CCGGCCCGCCGCCGTCACTGCTCCCTGGCTTCCATCAGCAGCCGGCAGGCCCTGCACTGCCGAGCGCGGGGTCAGGCGCCGCCTTGCTGCAGATGCTCCGGCAGAACTCCGCGGCGCAGCCGCAGCCGGGGCCAGCACATCCGGCGCCGCAGCAGCAGCATCACGGCTATGCAAATGGCGGAGGCCTTGTGCTGCCGGGCCTGGCCCCTGGGCAGACGCTGCTCGCGCAGCTGCAGAGAGGACCTCAGCAGCCACTGCAGATGCCTGGCCTTCCGCCGAAGCAGGCACCCATCTTGCAGCAAGCGCCAGTCGCACAGGGTGCGGCGCGGCTCGCATGTCTGCAGCAGCCAGGAGTGCCGCCAGCTGCCCCTGTAGGAGTGTTGCCGGGCGCAGCGCTGCTTGCGCAGCTGCAGGGCAGCCGCCCTGCAGCTGCACCCGCAGTTGGCGGCAGCGAGCATGCGGCCCTGCAGAGAGGTGGTCCCCCTGCAGGGCCCAGCAGCAGCTTCCCGCCAGGCCAGCAGCAGGGTGTGCTGACAGCTGAGGAGCATTTCATAGCGCAGCTTCAGAGCGCTGCAGCAGCTCCTGCCCAGGCCCAGGCGCCCGGCGGCTCCACAGCTGCGCCCAGCTTCCTGGCGCTGCTGCAGAGGGGAGGAGGCGGAGCGAAGGCCAGTGCAGGTTGCTCCTCCTGTCCTGCATTTGCTCCTGTAAATTCAAGGTATCTAGCTTAAAAGCGAGCCAATTTCAGACATCCTTCACAGCATAGGATGCTATACATCAGAGAGTTGTGTTGAGAGCCTTCTATAAAGAAGATGCAGAGGGTGACTGATGGATACGATTGGTTTGGTTCCAGACGGCGGACGGCAGCGGCTCCAACGCAGCCACAGCCTGCGCAGCAGCAGCAGCGGCAGAGGGCCAAGCCGAGTGCGCCTCCCATTGGCAGCATCCCGGCAGTGAACTCGGCACTTGCCGGCATCCAGGTGCGTTTCATTGTCACGACTTCTCTGCCTGAATATCACACTAGTTTGTCGCGCCATCATTTTTCAAAATGGTGAAGGGTCAGGTAACGCCATGCAGAAGTTGGAAGTTTCAGGTATCCAACATATGTGGTGGGGCACAGGTGAAGGGCTCTGCAGGAAAGAAACGAGGCCCAGTGGACGTTCCTAGCGCCGCAGTTCCAAAAGGTGCACTCCACACTTACTCTGAAGCAAGCTATTTGCAGTGAGCAGGATGTGAATGCCCAAGTGCATTTATTGCTTTGCACTGCCTCGATTTTCTGCCTGCTCTCATGTGTTGTTGCAGTGCTTGGTCTGGAGGTACTAATGTAAAAACCTGTCTTGACAGGTGCCTCTCCTGAGGCGGCAGCAGCTCAGAAGCAGGGATCGCCGCTGGAGGGACGCGCCAGCTTTGACAGCCTGTGGGAGAAGCTGCAGCAGCAGCACTTGGAGGAGGCATCCGCCGGGGCCAATCTGAGCAGCCCGCCTGCTCAGCAGCTGCCTGGTAGGACCCCGGCAGCCACCTCTGAAGCCGACTTCTGGAAGAAGCTTCAGGGACAGTGAATCCCAGTGAAGCTTCTTAGCTGGGTGAAGTTCATAGCTGGGGACAACTGCAGACCTTGCGTTCACCCATGCCATATTGCCTTTGATGGGGACACAGGCAATCCCATCCAATACGGAGTTTGCTCAAATGTGTCTTGGATTCTAGGAAGACAAGGCTGCATGTGAAATTATGGTTGGGATGCATGAGTAGTTTTCCGGTAAAATGAATGAGGACATCATGCCACTAAACTGCTGGACAATGTATTGATACACCGTATGCTCCATGAGTGTATGGGCTTTTCTGTCATGCCCAACTTGCAAATCCGATCCAGGAGTCGACCTCTCATCGAAGCTCTCCCTTGTGGCAGCCTGCTCTCACTGATCAGTGAGTGGTATCCCATACATCTCAGTAGCTTCATTCCGCAAGCAGCAATAGAACATTTGGCAAAATCAATATTGCTGTGCATCAGATGCCCTGTAGTGCCTTCCTGCATCTTCAAGGGATGATGACAGGGGCCATCCATGCAAAGGCCACATTAGGCAAGCACCTTGACATCACTTACCAAGCACTTACGAGTGATCTGGAACCTTGGCAACAGGAACGGTGTTAGATGTTACACCATTCAGAACAAATCTACAGTTAGATCTGAGTTCGTAGACGCACACAGTAAGTCTTGCGGCACACAGAACGACAGGGGCTAGGCTGCATATTATATTAATTTCAATATCACTATAGTAAGAAAGAAGATCACAAGATTAAATCTTGGCCCCAGAAACTACTCTTGTACCGTCGAGACTGATACAGTGGTGCTCACCTCGGCGGGACTGTCGTTTTGTTGTGGATGGCCAGGAGGCCTGGCCTCCTTTCTTCTGGGGTCATACTAATCTTCTACGCGCTTTCATGTTCCTTCATTGGAATTTCACAAGCCAGATTTGACGTCGAAGAGATCGGCACAACCGTTGCGGAGGTGATCTACTCTCCTATAGCAAGACAGAATGGGAAGAATGAGGCACAGTCTGCAGAGCAAAAGGGAGATATCCTGAGCAAAGATCGCCTGTCTCCTGAGTTTTTCGGCATAACCTAGACACGATCCTGTGAGATCAGTGACAGGATCGAGCGTTCGAAGCGCTGTAGGTAGAATGATCTTGTACTTCAATAATATCCTCTGGCTCCTGCTTGACACATCGTTTGCTGAAGGACTGTGACCATTGCCGCAGAATGACACGAGGGCTGGGCTTTGGACTGATGATGGGCAGCTGCAGGATCTGGGCATCCCAGTCAACATCTCTGGGCGCTTCAAAGGTGCCCGCCTCCCTCCAGCCTGCGTATTTTCTTCTATGCACATCTTGCTTGGTCCCAGCGCATGCCTCACATTTGACCTTGATGCCTTCTTTGGAGTCATGCGCACTCCCATGTGTGGGGCTGCAGGGACCTGGAGCAAGTTGGAAGTGGCCGATGCTCTAGCAGGCGTGGAATGGCTGCAGCTGGAGGGAGGGGAGGTGGGAATTGAGCTGCGGGCCAGCCTGTCATCCACTGACGGCGTGCACAATGTTGAGGTGAGGGCATGCTTCTGCATGCACAACCCTTTATTATGCGACCACACACTTACTCACCCTGCCAAGACTCTGCAAACGGGCATTTCCATCGGCTCTGTGATTTCTGGTCATGAAATTGGCACTTCCATATCGGCGCCTTTCACTCCTCGGGCGTTCAAAGTCTCAATGCTGTGTTCTGCTACTGCCTGGTGAGGGACATATACTACCGGCACGGGGGCAACATAAAATGGGCGGTGCATTTTGCAGGGGGAGTTGGCGTTGAGAGAGGGGTTGTACCTGGCAGAAGAGCCGGAGCTGCTGAAGCTGTCTGGCGTGTATGTGGCAGCTACCGGGCGGCTGCATGCGCAGGCGCAGCTTGCCGGGGGACAGCTAGTCATCCCCCTGGCCGGTAATGTGTCTGACATAGACACCCAGGAGTACAGGTGCGCAGATCCAATAGCCCTGTGCTCTGTGTAGGAGCATTGGAGAATGCTCCCACGTCTTGTTAGTGACAGTATCATCATAATCAAGATGCCACATTCATATTTCACAGCATCAAACTCTGGAGACGTGGGCAACAAGGATGGCGCTCAAAGCTTACTTGATGTGGCAGGAACACACAAGATGTCCACTGCTCTGTGATACCCTGTTCCATATGGAAAAAGGGGTTTGCATGTGCTGAGTGATGTGCCTCTGTGGGAGCCTTCATGGAGCCTCCTGCTCGGCATCCAATCTAAAGTCTTGTCAATGCCTTGTCTGGCAGGATGGCGCTGAGGAGGAAAGCGTCCATGTGGACTGAGCCCAGCCGTCAGCCGCCACTCTTCTACTTCTTGCGACCTGACACCCTGGAATTCCTCAACAAGGTATAGAGCACAGAGCTTCCCTGCATCCGAACTGTCTCTCACTGAGATCCCTTTGATCACCCATACATTTTGAGCACCAGCTTGTTGTATGATTGCACCTTCAATTGGCATGGAGCAATGGTGCGGAATTGTACGAAGCCATGCAAAGGAAGTTTGCAGCGCTCTGTGCTGAGGAGGCCTGTGTCGACAGATGGAGAAGGGCTGCGAGTTTGTGTTGGATCTGGGAGTGCACTACTCTGCTGGCCGGGATGGCAGCGACAGCGCCAAAGAGATCCAGGAGGAAGGGTCAGACGACTCAGCAAGGAAGGAAGCAGGTACCAACCCCCTTGGCCAGCACCTTGTGTACCTGGTCAATCTTTGAAACTCAGCTAATGACTCATTCCTTGCCTGTGAAAGCAGCATACATGGTACTGCAGCATACATTGCAGTGCATGTTAATGGTATTACTCAGGATATGGTGGATTACAGGCTTGGGTGCACCGAAATTATGAACAAGCAACAAGAAGGGCTTCGTGAGGGAACCGGTATGTTTCAGGCAGCTCAATTGGCAGGAGCCATGCATGTGACTTGTCGCTCGTGGCCTTGATTGCAGGGCCTGGGCAAACAAAGGACGGTGCCAGGGGGTTGGACGCGGGGGACTGGGTGCTGAATGGGACCTTGAGCAGCCGCAACTGCGGAGTGGCACTCTCCATGAACCTCACCATGACCCACATGGAGAAACTGAACTCCAAGTCCATCAAGTACACCCTCATGATGACCGCCGTCTCCTTCATCCAGGTCAGCCACTGTGTCTGCTCTTTCTCTGATACCGTATTATCCTGTTGATTCTTATGCCCACATCTGTGGGAAGTGCAAGAGCAGGGTAAGAAGAGCACTCTCAGAGACCTGTGAGCAAGAGCACGTGACACTGCATGAAGCATGTGTACAATTGTCACCTCGGGCACTTGTCACCCATCCATATGGGTGAAATGCAACCTTTGCAGCTCTCAGTCCTCTTAAACTTTCATACTAGGATATGACTAAGCGAGCGGGTGCATGCATGCAGGTTCTGCTGCTGATAAACCAGATGGACGGCAGCGATGCTCCGGCAGCGGCGGCCAAGGTGTCGCTGCTCATGCTGGGGCAGCAGGCCATCCTGGACGCCCTCCTCTGTTTAGCACACCTGACTGCAGGTATGCCCACATCTACCGATCTCTCCGTTAAACTCCCCCTATGCACATGCCTGATCATGTGTGGCTACGCATGCGCATGAGTTCCTTTATGGCATCCCGTGCCTGCAGCACTGTACATAAGAGGGCAATGACCAGCATGCACAAGACTACATGGGGCACCTTTTATTTGGCCCCTGAGGCCCTGGCCGTACAAATGGAGCAGTGCAGGCAATCAGTGATCCCCTCTTGCAGAAACATGCGCTGGCAGGGAGGAACATGCATGATGACATTGCTGCCGGGTGCCTTTAGGAGACAAGAAAAAGAAAAACATGTCGGCTGCCCATGTGCAGGGATTGTGATGGAGGATGTGTTCAACGCGTTTGCGGTGGCGGCGTTCTTCGAATTTGTGGTGTTTGCCATCTTTGAGATGCGCTACCTGCTGCTGGTCTGGAAGGCGCGCCGCGCCAACTCTCTGGACCCTTGGGCGGCGCAGCGCGAACTGTCTGTGCTTTATGCGCGGTTCTATGGAGTGCTGCTCGCCGGAGTCTTCCTCGGCTACCAGCTTCACCTGTGCGCGCTTTCTCCCTGCTCCTGTGTCCGTTATCTGTCAGACATGCTGTCTTACAGTGGTCGTCAGTGAAGTTGCATCAATGGGCCATTGCATTGCCAGCGCTGTGCCGCCCCAACAATCGCGAACAGGATGCGTGCTCAGAAGAGACAGGATCCAGTCTCTCCTGTTTTGGTGTCAGGTTATGTGATAGTTGGAGGTGTGGTAGTGTCGCAGAGGATGGCATTGCTTTCTATGACAAGACATGGAGAAGTGTCTTCATTTAGCGGCACTACCACGTCTGCAAACAATGCCTTGTTTGAGGCTGGAAGGATGACTAATCCGAGGCTGCCAGGCTGCATTCCCTTATGATTCTCCCAGCTGCAACGGAAACAGTTGCTCTGTGCTCCACATAAAATCTCGCCTGAGCTGGCTTGCACTGTATGCATGCGCGCAGGTGGCTGAAGTATCTGATATTCCCCATGTACGCCTTCTGGGTACCCCAGATCGTGTACTGCGCGCGCCACGATGTCCGCCAGCCGCTGCGGCCGGCTTATGTAATCGGCATCACCCTGACGCGTCTCGCGCTCCCGCTGTACCTCTTCGGCTGCCCCCACAACCTGCTCGGCTGGCAACCGCGCCCGGGGGTCTGCCTCGCCCTCTGCATCTGCATGGCAGTTCAGGTGGGTACACTTTTTTTTGGCCCATCCTGTGCAAACTCCCCAGTCCCTTGTTCACCTGAAGCTGGAAACTGGTGTGGTGGTGTCGTCCATGCTTGCTGTGAAGAATTCGCAGTGTCTCAAGGATTGAGGTCCATTCTACAGATCAGCCACACCTGTCAAGGCAGCGATCACACTTGTGTATGCCCCCATGGTTCTGGTGTATCTGTGCAGAGCAGACCATGGGATGTTCTTCCTGAGGCCTTGCAAGCTCTGCAGTTAGAGGCAGAACACTTCATGCGTTGGAGTGGGCCCCCAAGGCATCTGAACAGCCTTATTGGCTGGCAAGGATGTCAGCTCCCCTCTTTCTGCTATTCTCTCTCTAAATGTATTGACAGGGTAGGAGTGTGGCAGCCCTTAACTGCAGCTTGTCTGCAGGACATACCTTGCCGACTGTTAGGAATTGTTGGTGATTCTAAGATAACAAATTGAAGTGTGTGTGGCATGGTGCCAGGTGGCGGTGCTGATGGTGCAGACTCGGTGGGGCCCGCGCTGCTTCATCCCCAAGCGCTTCCTGCCGGCCAAGTACGACTACCACCGGCGCGCGCCGGCCCGGCCGCTGGAGGCGCCAGATCAGGCTCGGGGGCCGCGCGACATCGAGACGGGGGACGCGGGCGTGGAGTGCGTCATCTGCATGAACCCGCTGGACGTTGAGCGGACCTCGGCTCGCATGGTCACCCCCTGCAACCACTTCTTCCACCCCGACTGCCTCAACCGCTGGATGGATGTGAAGATGGAATGCCCCACCTGCCGGCAGCTGCTGCCACCCACCTGACAGGGTAGCAACCTCCTGGTGTAGCTCATTCAATGTGCTGCAACAGGGGTAGGTGCTGGGCAGTTTTGAGGGAACGGCTTCATGCCCGTGTAATTTAAATTTGTGATGGGCTGTGGCATGTAGAGAATGCCGTGTATGGAGAGTAGGGTGGAGACATTTAACAAGGTCCTGAAAGGGCCCCGGTATATCTATAGATGGGAGGCAATTTGGGGCCATGGTGAACATTCTTGCACACGAGCTCGTTGTGCAAGTCTGCATGAAATTTTGCAATTGCCTGTGCGGCAAATTTGTCTCCCAGAATTTGCAGGCGATTACAAGGCCAAAGTAGGCACAAGGCACGTATTTATATGAATAGATGTAATAGAGGGGATGACTTTCGAGCAATCACGATTGTACACATGAAAGAAGAGCAACCTGATAATCAAGTCTCAGCTTCCGAGAAGGTTCACCAACGGTCATGGCATTCCCAGGAACATTGCAATTTTTTCGACATCAATGTTTTTTGCTTGGGCAATGCCTAATGAAGGGGCTCTGTCTTCATACTAGTTGCACATATTCTATGATGATCATGAAATCTCTCATGAAAGCTAGGGATAAAAAGTACAATGCACGCAAGTGTTCTCTCCTTGCACAACTCTCAAAACTCACACATCAGCACAATGCACGACTGCCGTCTGCAGCTGGCTACTCTCAAGACACCAAATCAATAAAAAATTTGGACATTCTCCCAAGATATGATCTCCCCAGGACCCGAAGTAACAAAGACCCCATTTCCTCAAGCGGATCCTGGCGTGAGGCCTGGAGTCAGCCGCTTGTGCATCAGGTATCGCCTGTCCTGGCCCAACAACAATACCAGGAAGTTGTCCTGCTTGCACACGCTATAGCCTGCTCGCTGGTACAAAGCCTGCGCTGGCTTGTCCTGGAACCTGTCAGCAAACACTTTCACCATGTTTGTGCCCAGACAGAGAAACCGATTGCTTTTTATTGATAGAAGTAAAGCCTGCAATATGGTGCAAGCAACATGTCACCATAGTATGCATGAGCGTGAAGCATTCAGTAAAGACCAGCGTCACTGGCAGCGTGGAAGCCATCAATCACACGTGGTCTGCTCGCGACAACAGCTGTGACTGCAGATGCAGGGACAATGATTGCCACATAGTGACTGACCTCAAGTGCAGGTACAGATCGCGCTGGCCTCCCAGCCGAGCAATCTCCTCTGCAGCTTCCAGCAGCAGCAGCCCATAGCCCCTTCGCCGGTACTCTGGGTTCACTGCCATATTGCACACATACGCGCACTCCTGCATGCAGCCCAACCAGTTCCAAAAAGGCAATCTCAGATCAATCATAGACATGCATCCCTCAAACACACGTGCTCAACTCTTTCAGTATATCCAATTTGTCCAGCGAGCAGCTACTTTTCAATTGTAGTGCCCACAGATTTGCTCAGAAGGTGCAGGTATTACACCAAGGCAGTGAGGGGGTAGTCACCTCGGGAGCATTCAGAGTAAGGAAGCGAGTGCGCGTGGAGGCCGCCACCGACACTTCCACGGTCCCCACCAGAGTTCCCTCCTCTGAGGAGGATGCCTCCGCACCTGAGCCCGCTCGATCCCTGTCTTGCTCAGCTGCATCCTCGCACCTGCATGAACCCCTTCAGCCTCATCCACTTGCACCTGCCTTCTACCAGTGTCAAGACACTGCAACTGGATGATACTGGCTACAGAAGGACTGGCAGGTGCATATTATAAGCCAGCGCTCTTGTACGGCCTTTCAACAAGAACAAGAGCATGACACAAGTGCCCACAGCTGAGAGCTATCTACATCCAGATGTTCCCTGTTGCAGAGTACGACCGCTTCGCTTTTTTGCTCCAGAGCGAGCTGGAATGCATCCCAGGCATCAAGATATTTTTCCCCCAAACATACAAGCGAGGGCAGGCCATAAGTACTTACGGTGGCAGGCTGTCTGCATCGTTCCCTGGCAGCCGCGCAGCAGTCAGCCGCTGCATGAGCTCTTCAATGTTGGTATGCACGCTCGCTCGCTCCTTCTCAGCCGCCGTGTCAGCAAGGGACATGAACTGCGCCCCCCCTGTCCTGTTCAGGCGCTGGAGAGCGCCGCTGTTGGACTGTTGAGTGTCCGAACTGAGTGTGAGCTGGCCTGAGGGGCTCAGCAGAGCCACCAGCACCACTGTCTTTGGCGGCAGGTGCGCATGCTGCTGCAGATACTGCTGGATGTGCCTCCTCAGGAATGTCCTGCGCACATGCATTCATCCGTGCTGACTGATCTCATGACCACTTCTCTACTAAGCAATGCTCTGCTCAACAGTCTCAGCTTCAGCTTGGTGAATCTCCGACACCAAAAGGAACCAGAGATGGTCAGTAAATGGATCTTGTAAACGTTTGAACACATATCTGAGTTTCTTTCATTCAACGGCTTGTTAAATTTATGGTATTCCGAGCTGCCCAGCCTTGATTTGCACTTCTCGATGTCAACTTGGGCAGGCCATATTCTGAGCCCTCACATTGGCGAGCACCTCCCCAATATTGGGCGGACTAAACAGTTCAACGCATGCACATGGCAATGACAACACATTGCACGAGTGAAGATCGGCATGTGAGGTTAGCTCAGCACCTGTAGACATTCATGTAGCCCATGGCTTCAGAGAAAGAGAGCGTGAGGAGCTCGGTGGTGTCCTGCATCTGCTTCTCCGTGATGGGCCTGATGAGTAAGCTGCCGCCCGGCGCAGCCGCCCTGTATCTGTACTCCAGAAACGCTTGCCGCACGTCCGTCTGCGCACATGCACAAGCTAAAAGTATGCCAATACTATACATTAAATTTTGGGCCACGCTGCTGACCTTTGAATGAGAGAAGTGTAGGCAAAACTGTGCGTGGTCCAGGCACCAGATCGAGGACAGACTTGCCTGGGGCACGAATGGAAAGAATTTTGGTGTGATCACGTCTGTGTCGGTAGCTGCTAGCTCCTCTGTGGTGGCATGGCGTGCTTGCATGCGTCCGCTCGCGCGCTGCGGCTGCACAATACATGTACATTGGTTACCAAATTACGCTCAGACACTCGAAATTGCGGGCTTTGCAGCATTACTGGACTGTCCATTATGGCACGCTGTGATTTGCGTGAGTACAACTTTGGACATTGCCGATCGCAACAACTCGCACCTCCACACCGTGAAATCGCTGCCAAGCTTCAGCTACCACGCAGATGCTGGCTGGAACACCAGACTCTGTCCTAGACAATCGAAAGAGTCTGTTCTTCAACATTTTACTGCGCTGCCCCATCTGTCCCGCGCAGCGAGTCAGTTGGCCACAGACCACTGCTGTACTTGTCCGCGTGGCCAACAAGCGGGTGTTATAGACTGGCACAGTGTATGGCAGCGGGGTGCCCAGCATTGCCCAAGAGGGTCAAAGTTAGACAGCAGAAGAATGTCTAGTCTATGAGTAATGGACAGTTGTATATTAGTGGGCCTCGAGCGCGTTTTCAATGTCACAGACCATGAAACAAACACGGTATTATAGAGGATCAGTTTTTGCGATATTGTGAGGGAGCGCAAAACGAATGCCTTGGACGTTCGTTCCGGTGCTAACTCAATTGGAATGACACACCTAGCCACTGTTTACTCGAAAAGTGCAATTTCCAGCCAAGCTTGTTGCAGCGCTCGCAAATGTGTGCATCTGAATGCGATGTCGCCTCGAGTTCAGCACGTGGGTTCACTTTCGCCACTCTAATATCTGGCAGAAGCCGCTTTAATATCTGGCTAAAATGCAAAACTCCAAATGCAATCTACAAAGTCGAGATTTCTGTCTGACGAGGATGCGGCCTCGAGACAGCACTGTGGCATTGATCTTCATCAAAAGTAGCAAGCAAGCGTCTTGGTTGCGTTGGAGTGGGTGCTGACAGGCCTCGAAGCTCCGCTCGCTGCAAATATGTCGAAGCCTGCTCTTGCCCGCCTCTCCCTCGGGGCTCTGTCCCGCAGCAGCCTGGCTCCAGCCACTCACAATGAGGTACTTGCAGGAGGAGTCTTTCTAGTTCATCTTAATGTTCATGTGCTGCCTTGATTGCTACGTATGCAATCTGGAGACAGCTGGGAGGACGGTAACTGGGAGACTGCATCAGGATTAGAAAGTTGTTGGACCTCCTTTTCCTGTCGTTCACTGCATGATAGTACACAGGTGTGGATGATACATTAAAGCGTGAGGTGCAAGCACGAACACATATCGCGTCTGTATTTCAAACCCGGCCGAGTTTCTCTTTGCTAATGGATCAGGGACGCAACATGGCAGAGGCTTTGGACGAACAGCAGCGGCAGAGGCTGCAACAGGAAGGGGATGCGGCCGCAGCCCAGACCAGCGCTCCAGTCGCATCTTTTCGCAAGGTAACTGTTCCCCAGTGGTCGTGCTGCGTCAGCCTGTTTGTCTCACCTTGCCTCGGAGGTCCCATTGGGGCAAAGCAGAGAGTGAGACCCTCACCTGCGGCATTCCTTGGACACCACAAGTATTTTTGTAGCGCGCCTACATCCCTTTGCAACGATGAACCTGTGGGAGTCCACTTCCTTATCCGTACTCCGTGGATTTCTGATGCAGTACTGCTTGAAAGAGTGTCGCGTCTCCTGCACTAGAGTGGGTTGTTGAGGCGCATGCAAGCCCATGTGCATCATGGGAAGGCTCCCACCGGTCGCGCTGATTGCAGAAAACGTTTCCTTTTGACAAGGGTTTCAGTCGTTTCGCTGTCTGGAGACACCTGGCTTGATCCCTTATGGGAGGTCGAACGGCCCGCGACGTCGTGTCAATTGGCAACGATAATTCAAATCGACAATTAATCGCTAGATTGGGGCGGTGTAGAACCCTTCAGGACAGGGTGCAGCGCGCACTCTCTAGGATTTAACGTCTCACGATCGTGTGCTTCTGCCACCGCAGACACTGCACCTCCACATCGGCGCAGACTTGCACATTCCTGTGCGTGACAGCAAGTACACCCACCCCAGCCGGGAGGAGCAGCAGCAGGCAGCAGCATCCAGCGACCCATTTGATGGCTTGCCGCTGAGGGCGTGGGCTGAGAAGCTTGGGGAGAGAGTGATGCCTGCCTATGAGCTCATCAAAGAAGAGCAGGAGGCTGCGAAGAAAGCCGCCAGGGCTATGGGAAAGCAGGTCACGGAGATGCATGTTCCCAACATCCCCCACGTGCTGCCACTCACAAGATGGTGCGCCCTTCCTCACAACCAAGCAATACTTGCACATGCTCTTGCAATCACTTGCATCTGCCCCTTTGCTCAGTCAAGCGGCAATGACACGGCATGCTTTTTTGTAAAATGCTGTATAATGCTGATGTGGCTTCCATTCTTTGCTGCAGGGCGGCTCAGAGCAAGGCCATGCAGAGCACTTTTGTGGTGGACGAGTCCAAGAACAGGAAGAAGGCTCGGCTGTCCTGGTACCATCCAGATGACACGGTGTGCTTCCCTCCTGATGCCACCAAATCACCCCACGCAATGCATGCAAGCACTTGTGCATCCTGAACGGATAACAGGGCACAGTATCAGCCACCGTAAGAGAAGATTCCAGGATGCAAAATGGTGATGGTGAGTTTGTGCTTGTGCTGGTGTGCAGATGGTGCCTCGCGACTGGTTCCGTGGAGGCTTGCTGAAGGATCTGGCCTACTATCGCCCCTTCTCTGCCGACAGCTGAAGGGGACCACGCCTGTTGCAAGAGCAATAGCCCCACCTCCTCAGTCAAATTGTTTGACGATCCCTGGGCTTATATGCCAGCAGACCGGTTGAGGTGGCAGGCAGCACAGCTGCCAGCACCCGCAGAATACTTTTCTTCACAGCACAAGTATAATGGTGCAGCGCTGGAGTGACGATGCAAAACAAATGTGGATGATGAGATGAGCAATGATGTACCTTGATGAGTGTGCGTACTCAGAAGAGGCATAGAGAGAATGGTGCCAGCATGTGACCTTCAATTTTGATGATGAGATGGGCACCAGCAAGTGTACTGGAGGGAAGGGTGTTTGTACGAAGATTTACCTTCGGGACCTTTTGAGTGAGAGCCTGTGCATGGCTGCCATTGTCGCGGCATTGCTGAGTTGGCAGGCTTTTGTATGTCAGGTGTATATGGTGACGATGTGTATCATATCATCAAGTAGGTGAAACGCTCGATGAACAATTTTGCGGCGCATCAGATACAAGGGATGTGCCGCACATAGGATTCTTGGTGCAATCCGACAAATTTTGTGAGAACCGCGTGGAAGACAGTGGCTTGGCGCTTGAGGTTTCTCAAGTGCCCTCTGCCAGACGTCTAATTTTCAAACGTTTGTAATAACTGGATGCCAGGGGGTCGAGATGTGCCTCAGATGTGATAGAGCCAACACTATTGCACGAGTTGCAATGGTAGCTCAATACATGAAACTCGGTGATTTGATGATCAGTAGTCACAATATGGTGTGCAACGCAATGGGCTGTAATAACCTAAATATTGGAACAAAGTTGGATTGTGCATTGGGATTGATATCAACTTAGAGCCTGTAAACTCCTACTTGGCAGGCACTCTTATAGCTATGGGATCAAATATGCCTGAGCAACTGCGCAGTCCCTCACAGCAGTGACAGCACTGCGCTGGCAGGCTGGCTGCCACCACAGCTAAATTAAGCCTGGCGGGCCGCCATGGCCAGCGGCTGCACTGCTCGCCAGGCTTGGCATGACGGTGCACGTGCCCGCTGGCGCTCATGGTGCCATCATTGCCCCAAATGAGGAGTAACAGAAAGCCAAATGCATGCCCTTGGACATTCCAAATGCTTCCGGTACAACGTTTGGACTTCAGATCCAGCTGCAGTTACACTGAAACTGAAGCTGGCTCGAGCACGCCGTTGTGTAGCTGACGTGCCAAATGTGAGTTGGGTATTCGATTTGTCAAACAATTCTGAAGTTCCAGAGCTCGATCATGCTTCATGATCTGCATATCTCCTGTCAAAGTCCTTGCATTGCACAGGCACCGTTGCTTTCCAGCGAGGAGGCGGGCTTCTGCTGTGAATCACATAGGTCGTACTCGCTTGACAGACAGCAGCTGTCCAATACCAGTTTGCAGAAGATCATGCAGATTAACACATGCACAGGTTTTGGATGGCGAAGGGCTCCTCGCGGCTCCACCCATTATAGCTCTTGATGTGGAGCACATCCATTTTAGAGGCAGCCCAGACCGCATTGTGGTCCCAGGAGAAGTCTGCATCGTAAATTCACATGGGGATATTCTGTATCATAGCTACTGCCGGCCAGGTAAGCCACGCTTGAACGGTGAATGTTGTATGCTCCTTTGCATGCGTTGGTCACTGGAGGATTAACAAGTTGCTTGGTCCTGCACAGATGAAGAGGTCATAACGAGAGGGTATGTGGGGGGCGTGCGAAAGAGCCGATGGAGAGAGGCACCTCCCCTTCTAGAGGTTGCTGCAAGGGTTTCCCAGGAAATCCAGGGCAAGATCTTGGTGGGCCACGGCCTGCAGGGAGATCTGGAAGTCCTGGGGCTTATCCACCCTCGCCATCTGAAGCGAGACACCATGACGTTCAGAAAGTTCCAGTCCAAGGGTCATGCGCGCAAACTCAGATCTCTGGCTGCAGACTTGCTAGGAAAAGACATCCAAGTCTACCGGCATTCTGCTAGGTGTGTGCTTGCTTCATCCTCAATGAGACTTGCTGCGACATTCGTGGCCCCAACAAACATCATCACCTTGATAATAAGGCAGACTATCTGCCAATTAAATGCGTGTCAAGATATCCATGCAATGTGCAGGGAGGATGCCACGGCAGCCATGCAGCTCTATTTGAAGTACATCGATGAGATTGAAGAAGACCCTGAAGTACTGCTGAGTCACCACTTAAGCATACTGACTGCCACCATTGCCTCCAAGAAGGCAGGCAGCCCTGAAGACTCCTGAGCTTCCCAGGTCTAAACTACGAGTTTTGCGCACCAGGCCGCCCAGCAGCACAAGTATAGGACTGCCAGGTATCTTCCTGCAAATTCGTTGCTCTTTGTCCTAAGTTAGGGGTCTCGCCATGATCAAACATACTGTCAGGTCCAGGACACAAATGAAATTTTTGATTATGTATTCGGATTTGCGCAGGCTCACGCTCAAAGTCTGTGAGACCGGACCTGAAGAATCGTGATGATTGGAGCGCGGCTGAATTCCAGCGTTGGTCAAGTTCCTTACAGCGCTTGACACTCAATTTCAAGCCTTGACACAGCTGTACAGTCCCTGGATTTTGCCCATGGTGATGGTGGCTGCAAGCACCTGCAGCTGATCAGGATGTGCTGTACAACATGTGTAAACTTATGGCACGACTCATGAGCAAGCTCATCAAGTGTGATGGTGATTCTATGGCTTTGATGGCAGCTACTTGAGGCTACTGTGCACACTCTCAATGGCATTTGACCTGCTGGAGCTCACAGATCTAGTGGCAGCTTACAAGTCTACTCAGTGTGGTGACTTGCAGGCCCTGTGCTACATGTACACCGTAGGCCCGGGCCACTGGCACCAGCGTGGCTGGTGGTCCACGTGGTGGAACTAGTGGCACCAAGGTATTAATCAACTAAAATGTAACTTTGGATGCTGTCAGAAGTTTACCAGTCATGGGCACAATGAGAAAGAAAGGAGCACACTGGAAGCATCAAAGACCGAAGGCTGGGGATTTCCTTGGACCAAATGTCGGAGATTTGAGCCTGACATTTGCATGTCCTGCGACATTGAATTCTGACAAGTTGCTTAAATTGCAACTGATCGTCCACTTCTTCTGTTAAGGAATAGAATCGTGAAGCAGAAGATGTTCTGTATATCATAGGGATTCAATATGGCACACAAGAGAAGGACTGCCACAGTAGATTCCAGCGCCTCTTTTTTATAGCAGAAGACCGCGGCGTCGGGCGCATAGTTGGGATGAAAAGCACTGCGGATACACCAAGAAAGTCGTTCTTGTTCTTTGCTGGACTTGTTGCAATATATCTGACATTTAATTCGCTTCTCAATCTCTCAAACAAATGGGTCCTTTCCAGCAGCACTGGTTATGGCTTCACGTTCCCGTTGGCACTGACATGCTGCCATATGGGATTCAGCTTTCTGGCTTTGCTTCCTTACATGCTCGGCAAGTCCATGCGGGGTACACATAGGAAGTCCATTGAGAAGCAATGGAAGGGCCTCGTGGCCATCGGCGTCCTAATGGCTGCCAATATAGCATTCAACAACAGCAGCCTTGTCAACATGAGCCTTTCATTGAATCAGATCATCAGGTGTGCCCATGCACAGAGCTCTTTCACACCAGCCTTCTACTTCTCCATGCAGAAATGGTCCCTGAAAGCAAAGTGCTAATCCTTCATTTGCATACGCCCAATTAATCTTTCCTTAATGTTCCCAGGGCTTCAATTCCAGTGGTGACAGCAATAGTGGCGGTGGTGGTGGAGCATCAGGTCCCAGGCAAGGGAGAGGCAGCTGGACTGCTGGTACTCACAGGCGGCGTCATGCTTTCGGTGTGCTGCCAGACTCCCTGCCAAGCACAGATCTCTTCCTTTAGTATTCTCCTGTTGGGATATCAGCTGCAGGGCAATGCCCATATCGATTCCTGGCATGCCATGTGAAGAGGTTGTAAATCTACTTGTTGCACTGAATAAATGGGCAACGTAACAGGTGACTGTGCACCTTGCAGGTGTATGAGGGTACAGCAGTGGGCAGCCCATATGCAATCTTCTGCTGCATAGCGGGGACAGTGTGCAACGGGGCCATGATGTCTTTCTCAGGCAGGCTCCTGGCTGAGAAGCTGGATGTGTTGCGGCTGGCATTCTACACTGCGCCTGTCTCCCTCGGCGTTCTCCTGCCAATATTCTACCTGTCAGAGGTGAGCTTTCCTTCCTGGGAAACTGGCAAGTAACTGCAAAATTTGTGGATGTCCTATGCAAAACTCCATGGCTGGGCCAGGTCACGCAATCTAGAAGAATATGGGGAGGTCAGCAAGTCTTCTGTGCACATGTCTCTCTCAATTTCAATGTGTGATCCATGAATCCAGTGCTGGAAGTGTAATTGCTTGGCATTCTGAATCTTTGCTGCTCTGTGTTGCATGTGGAAGGGCCTCTGTGGTATTGATTGCATCCATCACAGAATTGTGCACAGATGGTAAAGAATCCACTCGAGGAACATTCTGCCTGTGTGAATTGCTGTCCTGCTTGCTGTGCACGCAGGCGCAGCGAATCCAGCAGTACATGGCGATCAACGGGCGGGATGTGTACATCTTAGTCATCCTGAGCAGCATGCTGGCGCTGTCGTACAACATAGTGCACTCGCTCATGATCCTGCACACTTCGGCTGTGGCCACCACAGTCATCGGCGAGGCCAAGATCATCGGCCTCCTGATCCTCTCCTACTTCCTCCTGGGTGAGTAGCCTCACATAACAAACGCTGCAGAAACTTGCTCGGTGTGCAATGGGCTAAAATTGCAATTTGGAAATCTGATCAGACCTGCAGCAAGGGCAGCGTGTCAGCAACAAGCTCAATCATGATGCTGCGGTCATCTCAGGCGCAAGTTTGACTGCTTGTGCATCAGACATCACAAATGTGGTTTCAGGTCTCATGTGTGGTGTAACCTGTTGCATCTGTACAGGTGAAAAGAAAGTGTTCACACCAAACTTGTGGATTGGATGCGTGGCAGCCATCGGGGGTTTCTGCTTGTACTCCCACTTTAAACTTCGAGCCATCCAATCCAAGGTGAATGTTAATCATCTCCTTGAAGACCCTTCTCTGACATTCTTTCTGACATCCCCCACTTCATTGGAGTGATGTCAGTGGTCAATCTGACCGAGACACTGATCAATTTGCTTCAGCTTTCAGCCTGCTGGATCACAGCGGGCTTTGAGGTGGCAAGCCTGTTGCCACCTCACAGAGGGATCAATTGGCTTGCGCGCCCAAGTGCCGCTGTGACCCATCAGATTCAGTTTGTTTTGAGGCTGGTGCTCAAGCTGCATCTGCACTTGAGATCACAGGTGCAACGACATTGCCATGCAAGACTTCGAATGGCGCACGTTGTCTGACGGTGTGTGGTCATCTGTACTGATGTGTGCTGGCTGCTGCTGACCAGGCTGCGCAAGATGGGCCTCGGGATGCGGCTGATGCAGAGGCGCACCCCTTGATCCCAGCTGCAACCCAGCTGACAAAGTTGTCACCGAGGTCGCCGGAAAGCAGAGTGTGAACAGCAGCACAAGCTGCACAACCGGAGGAACTTCCACACAACAACCTGTTTTGGAACAGCAAATGTTACCGGGACTGTTCGGCGTGCGCTTCAAAGAATGAACTCTGTCTCCGGTTGCTGTAGCAAGCAGTGGTATATTATCCCTGCAAGGGATGTGATTGTGCCCTGGACGTACAATTATATCTTCTGCATTTACTTTCCCAGGGCAACATGTCTGACATCAGTCATTTGTATATGATGTGTGCTTAATATGAACGTGTGTATGGTAGTGGTGATCAGAGGTGCTGCAATGCTCTCTGACTTTCTATTTCATTCAGCCATATTTAGATTTATATGGTTTTCATTTGGTTGCAATCAACTTACTTATGGAAGTGTTGCTGGCATGTACATGTCAAGCTAGTAAGTACAAGTACAGCGCAATTTGCCTGACATGATGTGGCCACTTTGAGATAGAGGCCCAACCATCCTGCAAAAATCCTTGAAGGACAAAACTCTGACAGCGTTCTCACTCACAGCTGCACTTCCAGAACCTACTAGCTAAAGGTGACCGCACAACTCGTCTTGTAAGATCATGACGCCTACCACCATTGTAAGCAGGCGGAAATGTACCTCAAAAATTAATGTTCCCTGACTTCATCTACCTACTGGCAGAGCCTACCTACCATCCCAGCCTTGCCAATCTACCCCGCTCACTCTATAAAGAACTGGCTAGGACAAGGCTCAAGACACAAATTGCCTGAACACTCCTGAACCATACATAAGGCTAAACTAATAGTCAGAGCAAAAGGGGACCATTGTTGCCCCGCCCCTGTTGAATGAATGTCCTCTTCCTAGAGACCAGATGAGTGGCACCTAAAGAATTGCCTGCATGTGCAGGAAATAGACATCGCAACCCCAACACCAAGTTTCAAGACGTTCATCAGCGCTGCACTGAGCGTGCGGCCCCAACAAACCCGGGAATAAATGCAAACAATTGGCCTAATGAACTACCTTTCCTAAAGCAATTGCAGTGTCCCAATACTCTTGCAACCACCTCACTGTTCCAAATACTTACAAGACTTGCTAAACGTGTCAACCTTCCACTTATTGCTTTGTGTCGTGTACCTGATTCCTGAATGAGTTTCCAACGCTGCGAGGGGGGTCTCAGCGCTCAGACAGCTTGATCTTGAGGGCGCGGGTGAGCTGCGAAAACTCGCTGTCCGCATCTGCAGGGCCGCGCATTGACTCGAAGGTCAGCGAGCCCTTCAGCGGCGACACGACACTGGACACCCATGCAATGGTGGGCTCCAAGGCGCCGCGCAGCTTCCCCTCAGCCTCCTCCACCTGTGCAGCACAAGCACCCAATCAGGTTTCCAGAACCAACGCTCCTTTGCATTGTGTTCAAAATGAAGCACACCCTCCAACGCTTTTGTTGGCCTTCGTCAATTCATCTTCAGTCCACCCTTCGGTGCAGAATCTGCAGGTTGTATGGTTGCGACTGTCCAACAGACTGCATCTCTGCCCAAAGGCTCAAAAAAATATTGCAGCAGCTGGCCCAAAGAGACTCGCTCGCATGTACAGCCAATGGATCATCCACGCTGAGCAAAGGAGCGAGGAGCAGACTACTCTGTGGGGGCCAGCAAACTACAGCAGAAACAGCATGCAGGTGATTGTCTTACTAACGGGGATTGTGTGATATAAACATTTGTCTGTAGCATTCATCGAGCAAAATGGCAGGGGAGTGGAAGCAGGAAACGCACCCGACTGATGCCCAGGGCGCGCGAGGAGGACATGCCGATGGCGGCGGTGCCCCACATGGCCAGAATTGTGCCCCACATCATCGCCCGCCCAGGGGTGAAAGTTGGCAGCAGCCTGCAAAGCAGGACAGGATACAGTAAACAGGATGCGCATGTCGAAAGTCCCCAGATGACCATGTCACACCAGCCTGTCAATCTCACAAGCCATGCAAACCCTCACATGATACCATAGTGTGCCAAACTGACACCCCTGCGCTCTGTTCATTATGCCTCAACGCCTCTGGCCCACCTCTGGACATCGCAACATGGTACGGTCCAATATGGAAGGTATATGCTGCTTAAATGCAACATTGAGGCGACAGGTGAGCAAGGATGGTACAGGGCCCTCACCGAATGCCAGCAACCAGAGGGGTCTCCATGGTGGCCTTGGTGACTCGGCTGAGCCGCATCGCTTCAAAGGGGGTGGGGATGCGCACAGGCTCCTGGGCCAGCCGCCTGCCGTCAGCCACGGAGAAGACGGAGCCGCCCTCTGTGCTCCACCTAGCGCGGCCCAGCGACATGGAGGGCATTGAGGGCCGCACCTCGTTCAGGAAGTTGGCTGCCTCCCTGGCAACTGCAGATGGCACACCAGCCAGCAGGGTGTCAGGCCTTTGCTGTTTGTGAGGCGTTCGCTGTGGGCACATCGGGCAAGCACTCCTGGGAGTTATACTATTGGAACGCAGAATACCTACATACTTGAGCCTCGTTATAGATTCAGGTCCTGGTCCTGCAGGATCCTGGTCAAATAGGTCAAGGCGGTACTCACCAGGGATACGGCTTTTGGTGTACTGGGGAACAATCTCTGCCGCAGGCCGGCTCGTAATGTGTGTCGTCTGCACCCTGTCTGCGTTCCTGGCTTGCAGCATCTGCAGGGCCGACTCGGGCAGCTTGCCGGCCTTGACCATCTTTTCCAGCCATTTCTCGGTCAGCGCGTTGTTGTTTTGGTGCGACCAGGAGTTTTCGAAACCCCTCCCCGTCCGCAACAGCGAAGCCATGACGCTTTCTTCGCGCAAGAATATGAATCTACCAGAGCTTATTTCCTACCACAGCTTCACCTATTCTTGTCCGCTTCAATCTGGTAAACACACTGTGGGCCTCCGGGGACACAGATCTGACACACTAGGACCGAGAAGCGCTATGACAGCATCGACGGAAGCAGCTGGAGGTGGCCGAGGAAGGTTGAAGCAAGGCAGGAAGGTGAGTGACGTCATTTGACACGCTGGAACGTGAGGCTCAGAAACGTGTCAGGCCCTAATTTGGCGCCTCCTCCCCCTTATGCACGGTTCTGCCGCTGCCACAGAAGTTAAAAGATCCAGCGGAGCCGGTCGAAGTCATCCACCGCCAACGATCGCTCAGAGCAACCTACTTCATATTTGCTGATTACCCACACCGGAACCCAGGTGCGCTGCCGCCCCACTGTGCCTGGCATACTTTGACCCTCTCAAAATAGGTGTGCTGGATGTTGAAGCCTGCCGAAGCTGACCACGGATGTTATGTTCAAGAGCTGGTCCCCGTGTGCTGCCTGTAATTTTGTGAGAGTCAGTGTATGCACCGAGCCGCCATGTTTGCTGGGGAAGCTGGCCCAGGTGTGGCACGAATATGCCCTAAATCATATATGGTGCTGTCGACAGGCTCTGCCCGAATAACCCACAATGTCGGCTCAGTACATCAACATCAGCCTGTCCCTCATCGGCCTGGTCGCCCTCGCGGGCGCCGGTGTCGCTGTCGGCTCCGGAGTGGGTATGGCCGCAATGGCTATGGCAGAGGAGGAGCAGAAGCAGAAGGGAACTTCCGCAATTGCCCACTCAGTCATCGAGAAGAAGCCCACCCCCGGGACTGGCCGCGGTTTCGCTGCTGGCAGCCAGTAGATTGGGAGCTCGTGCAGCCCCAGTCCGCGTTTTCAGTCGCACCACAGTATTTTTTACATGTGGGTATGATGGACCAAGTCCTCTTAGGGTGCACTCAACGCTTTAGGGCAACTAGTCATCTAGAGAATTCGTCCAAACGCATATATCTTTGCTGAAGTCTGCTCTGCTTCTGCAATGCATTGCAATTCATTTCCAGCAAGCCTGGACTGTCCCCTAGGTCGCCTCTCTTAGGAGTTCTAGGTCGCTCTCTAGGAGTTTAGGTGTCTTGTCCCCCAGGGTCCATTCATTCTTTGGGATAAATGGACTCAGATGAGTCCTGGAACAGAACAATCAGCAGGGTGTTCAGCGCACAGCTGCACTCATGGTGAATAAATAAGTTTATCACCTCAGCGAGGTCTTACAGGAACCTGAGATAAGGTTGTGACACACAACATAAATTTTAAATTGGGAAGTACAATCTTCGATGTTAGGATTTTTTGTAAACTTTGGAGTGGTTGGGTTATATGTTGAGGCCTATCAGTGTATAAAGTGTTGCGAGGCGGAGGAGATGTGAGATTGCTGCGTGAGAGCAACAAAATTTTGGAGCAGTGTGCGAGTGTGATATGGAGCCACTGGGGTGTAATATTAAAAGTTGCAGATCCCTTATAAAAGAGCATGCATTCCAGTTTTCCACTATTTGGCCTTTGTAAAGCAGCTGGCTCAGTCACCATCACAATTGTTGCTTAGCCTGCATGTGGCTGGTACAAAGATGGAGATTGTGAGTTGCCGTGCTGCAGAAAATCAAACACGATGGAAATTGCACTGGACAGCTGCATGCGCACACCGTGTGGCAGTGATTTGCGGAAATGTCATTTGACTCGAACGACAGCCTGTTCTGGACACATACTGACATGTGGGCATCTTTCAGAACAAGAGGCTCTTCCGCAGAAGGCTGGGCTTCTCTTCCTGCTCTGCGTTGACAGTTTCAAACAAGTCGTGGCCCCACTTGCCCCTTGCATCCGCGCGCATGCCGCCCGCCGGCCTGCCCACACCAACGCTTTGGTCAGACGCCGCATCTACTAAGACGCGTCCGGCAAATGACAGAGCTGCACACTTACCCAGCTGATCCTGCAGTTCATCCCCAACACAGAAAGTGCTGCACAGCCCAAAAGGTGCCCAGTTCAAGAGCAGCGTTGGAAACCTGTGGAAGCCCACGCTGGATGATCTGAGATGACCATCAGACAGTGAGGCACCTGTGCTGCAATGGTGCTGTGCCGCCAAGGCGCTGGAAGACTCCATTGCCTGCCCGGTTGATGTTGTTGCCGCTGCTCCTCTGCTGGTGCCCAGGATCTGGCTGCTCCCGCTGCTGCAGCCTGCACGACACCAAGTGTGTCAGTCAGTGCAAATGACCTGTTACTGGATTGTTGCTGCATCCCCACATACTGTACAGCACTGTGATTGCCTGGACATGCGACGAACAGCATGCTATAGGGAAGGTGTAGTGCCGAAAGCAATGCAGGAAGGAAGGCTACTCACAGATAGCAGCCAGACAAACATGCTCCTCCCCAACAACGATCAATGTCGGACCAGCGCCGCCGGGAGATGCACTACTGGTATTCAAGGCAGCAATGTGGCAGAGCGCAGATCTTGCCCACCTGTCAAAGCCAACAACCTGCGAGGTGATGCGCCCGGCCAGGCGGCCGGGCGCGCTGCCGGGATCCCGGCCGCGGTCTCCGCGCGGCGCGCTGACCTGGCGTTGATCTGGCGAGACGTTCCTTTGCGCGTCATGGTCTGGGCCGTCCAAACGCTCCCGGGCGTCGCTGTGACGGCCGCGAGGCGGTTTGTCATCTGCCTCGGTCTCGGCCGGAGCTGGCGCGGTGCTCACCTTGCCATCATAGTGCACCTGGACAAGCAGCCTGTCTCAAGTAAGAGGCCAAGGGAGGAAGCAGGCGCTTGCCTTTGTGAACCGCCATCATCCTGAGCTCCTTGCCCAAGTCTGCCTCCACGACTGGAACAAGGCTCCGTACAATATCTTGTGTTCACACTGCACGAGAGCCTCTGCTATCCATTTTAAGGATGCCGCCTCACTTGGCAGCAAGTGTTGCCCAGCAACGAAGCGAAGGTTCTGCAGGGGAAGGATGTGGCTGATACGGTTTGCACAGGGCATCCATAACGTTGATGGGGCTAGGCGCACCTGGCTGCGGATGGTGCGCGGGCGCGCCGGTGCAACGTCCTCTGGCCGGCGGCGCTCGGCTGCGCGATCGTGGCCTGCCCGCTGCTCTGCGCGTCCCACCGGCGACCGCTCTCGCTCCCTGTGCAGCACCGGCCGCTCTGCCTGCGGCGACGGAGGCAGCGCCCTGCTGCTGGGGCCACCTTCGCACAGACAGGCATGCATGTGACCCCTTTGTCACGTCGGCTGTGGCATCTTCAGCAACAGAAGAGAATTGATCCTTGGTAAAAACCCTGCAGGTGCCTGACGCTTTGACACATCATGTGTGCGGTGTGACAAATAAATCTGCAGTCTCGCAATAGCCGTATCGATAGAAAAGGACAAGGAGGTACTTATGGTTCACCTATTCTGGACATCAGAGTGGCGCGGCCATTGTGCTGCTCCCTGGCACCACCCCTTGGTGCACCATTGAAGCCATTGCCGCCGCGATGCTGGGGCCGAGAATTGTATTGCGATGGCCCCCTGTCTCCACCGTTGCGCATTGGTGGTGGCCTATAGTCACCTCCACCTGTAGTAAAGACTCGGTCAAAGGGTGAAGACTCACAAATGCTGCGCACAGGTAACCATATCTTGGAATTTTTACCTCGCAAACGTTCTAGAGAACGCACTAAGTCGGCAAAACCTGCACATCAGCTGGTATCGAGCGTTGCGCTGGAGAAGGAGAAATACCTTGCTGTTGGTTTCCCCTTGTTGGCTTCCAGACGTCGCGGTCGTCGTGCTGCACGTCTCAAGTGGTGATCAACCTTGTTTAACAAGCCTTGGCACCAGAAATATCAGGAAACAGATCCAACTCAACAATGATCAACCAACCTCGAAGTAATAGCCACCCCGCGGCACGATGTAATCCAGCTCATCAATCTGCCGTGAATAACGCTCGTTTCCTCTGCCTCCGGGTCCCTTGTTACGAGGGCCAGGGGCGCCTCGATCGGGATCCAAAGTGTCTGCATACATCACTTCTGCTTGTGATCCTCCACAAGCAGAAGAGCGGTCACTGAAAATACAGTGGAAACCTAATTTCAAATGTAACTTTTCAGACGATTGAACTGTTTCGTGACAGATGAAGAGAATGCACTGAAACATCTGAAATGGACGTCATCAAGCCTGGAAAGGAGGGAACGCTTCTGAGACGAGATCTCGGATAAGCAGAGCTGCAGATTTCTCGCAGTAAATCTCGACGGACAGGCTGGACGATTGACGGTGGCCTCAGCGGTCTCACCAGATCTGTGGGAGTCAGAGGAGGCCAGCAGAAGTCGTTGTCTGTGACGCACCCGGGAGTATGGCTGCGGGCAGGCTGCAGGGTTTCTGCGCTGTTGGCCCCAGCGCGGCCAAGACCAACGCTCTTCGAGCTTACATCACCGCACCATCGGCAGCTTTGCGGTGCAGTCAAGGTGAGGACACGACATGGGTCTCCGGAGGCCTGTAGCAGGGTGGGAGCTGGGGACACCGTGTGTTTGTGGCTCACAGAGGCATTGGGGCTCTGCAGCAGCTTTTTGGCCCCGCGCCCTCCGTGCATCGGAATTCAGGAAGGCAGCGCCTTGAATAGATCTAGGTGTGTTTCTTACTGGTGGAGCTTTTGGGGTATCAAGTGGCGGCCCTGTCCGATACCTGGCCTTGGCTGCTGTAAGCAGCCTTGGGAGAAATAGTCCGCCTTCGACGGCGCCCAAATTGGGTGCCGCATTCGAGATCTGAGTCTTGATAGCTCGCCATAGCTTCTGGAGAGCCGAGGTCGGGGACAAGGCTTCGCCCTCCGGTGCTGGAGCTGAGTTATGTCGCTTCGTTGTAAGCTAATGACTATGAGCAGAGGGTGTTTGTCCAAGCCTTCCATTAAAAGCAAAAGTTTCAATATGTTCGACAGCCAGGGGACAGGCTGGTGTTAGATTGGGAGGTCAAAGCACCACCAGGTCACGTTGTACGGTACATCTGGTATGGGGCAACAGAGCCCCAAACTTGGCAGAAATCCATTCACTTTCATGGAAGTTCAATCTCCTGTTTGTAGGCTCAGTCGTGAGCTGCTGCGGTTGATTTCAGTTCCATTTGGCCATACGAGGGGTATGCCCTTACTGACTGTCTGTGTGCAGGAGTGAGGTCAGTTCAGACGCTGTGCTGTCTTGGTGACTTCAACTCTCAGCGCCGCGACTCACAGAGCAGCAGCAACAATGTACCAGACCCGATCGATGAGGAATGGAAGGTGGGTTGTCTTTTCTAACTTTGCTGCCACTTCTTCGCCAACAGACGTTCATCATGATACATAGCGATGGAAGGCAACTTTAGGAATTTGACAGTGCTCATTTACATTATCAGATTTCACAGCCAGTACTGAGAGCTTCTGCTGTGTCTTGCAACGCGCTCGTTGCAGACCTGGCTAGAAAGAGCATTTGCCAGGTGTTTCTGCTGTGTTCATTGTAGTCCTGGATTTATGGGATGCTACATCATATGCTAAGAGCTGGGAGGAGCTCAGGTTGTGTGCTGAGGGAAGGAAGTTTACACAATGATCCAGCCGCCTAGGGCTAATAAAATCATGCCCCCCTGCAGGTCATGCGGCGGCGGTATATTTCCCTGGACTCCGGCGCGCCGTCCACGAGCGGCAGGGGGGCGTTCCCGTCATTGCCCAGCAGCAGCCACCCAAACCGGCCGGTGAACCAGTTTAGCTACGAGGACAGCTGGGACCTGACAGACGACGGTGGCTACACGCCGTTCCCAGTGAACCTGCCCACGGGCGAGGGCGCTGAGGGCCACGGCGTGGAGCTGGGCCAGATGTCGGCCGGGCTGCACCTGTCAGACTCCAAGGAGATCTGGGGCAAGATGGGCCAGGTGTGCACCCTCTTCCTGCACAAGTCCCCTCCCTTGAAAGCAGTTAGCATTCAGCCAGGGCATGGGAGGAGGATTTGGGTCACTGAGGCAATTTGATCGGCGACGCCTGGTGCTCTGCAAAGGGCAGCAATGGCTGGGTTGAGCCAATGCTCAGCCTTTTGGGCCTCATCATTTATCTAGGGAGAGGGGTTGTTGCTATTGATGTGATGGCCTTTGGTGGTGGGAACATGGGAGGACTGATTTGTGCATACTGGTGCAGGTGTTTGTGCTGCTGTTTGGCGTGGGAGAGGCGGAGACGGAAGGGATTTACTCGCTGCGCGCCATGTCCCGGGAGGAGGGCCTGCCGCAAGACACCATCGTGGCTTTTGAGGACCTGGAAGATGCCGAGCGGTGCGTGCCCTCCCACTATCACACCACCCCCCAGGCGCCATGCTCCCCTCATTGTTTGCGACGTCCTCGTGGGTGTTCTGGATATTTTTAATCTTGAAAACCTGCATCGGGGAGCTTGTGAACACTGGGATAAGTAACATTGCGGCTCAAAAAGCTGTCTTTTGTATGGTGGTCTGCATCCCTGAGAGGCAGAGTGGGGGAAGAGACGTGCAGGTGGAGAGGAGCATGCAGGGATCTCTAATCTTCAGCGATGCTTTTGAATTGCACAGCAGTTCAGGTGGTGACATGAGTGTGCATTTGTGTTGCAGGTATTGCACGCTGCTGCAGGCGACGATGCCGCACGTGCCCAATGTGATGCCAATCGAGCCAAAGGAGCTGCTGGAGTTCTGCAGCGACGCCGGCTACAACTGCCGCCTGGAGCCCCGGGGCAGCTGGTTCACTCCGCCCGACTACAACGTTGGCATGACCGACTGGGAACGCTCCCTGCGCCTCAGGTGAGCTTTTTGGTTCATTCTCCTGTGATTTCAGTCACTTTTGAATCTATAGTCCCTTTTTCAGAAATTTGTTGGTGCTGTACACTTACAGCTTTTGCAGTTCTGTATCGGCCTGTGGCAAGTCATGATGCAAGGCATGCTGTCTTTGAGCGCCGATGCGAGCCGATGTGCTCCTTCAGATGCATGTCTGTGTGCGCTTGTTACTGCTGACTTTTTGAGAGCAAGAGGCTTGGGATGCATTTGCTGATGCAATGCATGTTGGGGTGTATCAGGGAAGGGCGCTGGAGCGTGCTGGACTGCGATCCAGAGCGGCGTGCTTTCGGCGAGGGCGCGGCAGCTGCCACGCAGCAGCCGCAGCAGCTGCCCTACCACTACCTCAGCGGCCAATTCCACAACAACGCGGGCGCCTACTTCTCCACAGACTACGAGCTGGAGGAGCTGAAGGCTCGCCTGGAACGCCTCCTGCCGGAGGAATGAGTCGTCGCCCCACATGGGCACATGATGATGTCATGCCGCGCTCAGTCGCCAGCTCAGGCAAAAGCAGCAGCGGCTGGAGCGGACAGCGAGTGCCTTGGCAGATGCGCATAGGCCGGGGCTTTGCTATTAGCGGCAGGAAAAGATGGCCAGTTGCAAGACACCCTAAGAGATGTTTGTGGCTGCATCACAATCAAGAGTGGCATGGTGCGGCGGCGGCGCCAGGCCAAACATTCGTATTTGCCTGTCAGAAGAGACACGTGGAGGATGTGCAGGGGTTGGGCTGGCTGGCTCAACTGGTCCAAAGGCCGTTTTGAAAGGGAGAGAGATCCAGTGGGGGCCTAAGAGTGAGGGGAGTGGATGTGTGGTCCAGGTGTCAAAGAGGCACAAATCATTTTGCAACGATGTGCGAACACCATATGCACACCTGGGAGCAGTGCTGTATGCATCACTATTCGGTGGCACGTCCTTTACTGTGCGTGCAGCCGCAAGACAATCTATGTTTCTGGAAGATTCTGGATACGCTGCAGGAGTCGTTGATTCCAGTCAAAGCGAGCTAAAGAGGCGCTGTTAGCCTGCAGCAAAGCATGAATATCACGGTGCTTTTCTACTTATTGAGTTAAGCACAGGCGTCATTGACTCTCAAAACGTGTGAAGGCTGACTTGTGGGCTCATGTTTGTCTGCATGTGCGGGCTTCATGTGGGTCTTGAGTCAGCTGCAGCACCAAAGAGGTAGCTAGCAGGGAAGTGGGAAGGGAGGTTGATCGGAACAAAGGTGGGCGCTTGACAATTTTGCTGTGTATGGTGGCCTTGTGCTGCCCTTGTGAGACACCCGTGGCTGGGCTCTGTGAAAGGCCCAGCATCAAATATCTGGCCTCCTGTGGAACCATCAATTTTGGTTGTCTGGGCATTCCTTTCCATCACGTTTTCTTTGAGGGATTGCCGCATTCTGTGCACGTGTGAGGGGCTTGCTGACTCTGCACCCTAAGATACTTCCAACCAGTTCTATGAGCACATCTTGATGGCTTGTCTACGTTGACTTTTGGCAAACCAGATATAACAGAAAATGTCACCAAGGCAGAGTGTGGCCACACATTCAGGGTGGACTGCTCGTTGTGTTGCCGGATCGCAAATGTGATGATGGGCACTTCTATTGGCGGACCTGTGTCCTCTTGTGAGATTATAATGGATGCCTGTTAGTTGATTGATAGATTCTCATGTCAGGTGGTGCTGAGCGGAGGCTACATGCCAGTGGAACACCGTAGTTCAGAAATCAAAGCCCTGCAGAGTATGATATTGTGAGGTCCATATCATAGCGCTGATGTAGAGGTAGAGAAAAGGCCTGGCGTTGCTCTGCAGCGACGCACAGGGCTGCATGTACACTACTGGGTAAGATCGTGCTGATTTTAGTATTTTGGGTCTTGAGACTGGATTGTAACAATTCTAGGCAAATCACAAAAGCCGTCCGATCTCCTCATGAATTTCTTATCTACACTGCTGTTCACTGCAATTTACTCAATGATGCAAAATAGCATGTATTGTCACAAACTGCACCCTAACCTTGAAACAATTAGCAAAGCAGTTGCCAGCTATATATTGTGTACTAGACCCGACACTGCATGCTGTTCCTCCATTCATGTCACAATACATTGCTGGCCATCTTACTGTCCACTAACTTGTTCTTTGGGATATCATATAGAATCCCCGATTTCCTCCCAGCATTTGCAGCAGCACAACTGATCTAGATCTGATCTGTTGCAAAGAAACAAGAACCCTGCATGCAAATCAGCACATGTAAACCAATGACTCATGTTGGATATCTCCCATTTGGGCAACACAACACCATCTATGAGCTAAGGGTTGCTATGCTTCCTGGTCCTGCAGTAGTTCAGCTGTTGATGCGCGGAACCGCGCAGCCACTAATGCCTGACACGCCATGGCTGTGCGCATTCCGTGCTCCTGGGCCGGAGGATCATTGCAGTATATTGCTGCATGATGTCCATTTGCGAGGCAGCCCTTCCTCTAATTTCTGGTGGTCGCTCTGACTTGATAGTTGCATTCCTTTTCCTCTGAAATCAGGTGCTCTGGCGGCGGCCGGCATGATGCGCGTGGCCGTCATCGTGGCCGTCATCGGACAGCGGCCCGCTCATGACGCTCTCCATCTCGTCCTCCGACCCGATCATCACGTCGCGCAGCCGGCTCGATATCGACAGCACGTCATCGTCCTCCGCCTGCAGCGCAGGGTTTTTTTGAGAGGGAGCTCATCCAGAGTGGCTCGCAATTTGACAGGTATGGTTCCTTGCGCTGCCGATTAGATGCACTTTCAAGCTCAGGCTAGCCTATTCTTAAAAAACCATGTTCTGTGAGAGGGCCAGGCTTGTGAAGCTGCATGTGGCTATCTGAGGAAGCCTCCTTCAGAAAGTTCTGCGATGGATGGACCCTCCCTCTGTAATGCATGATGCTGCAAGGCAATTGGAAGGGCTGACAATATGTCCAGACGCCAAATTCCTCAGTGCATATAAACCTCCTTTGCTTTGATCACATTCTCCCTCCAGTGAATGACTGCCCACTCCAATCGTCTCATTCTCTCAACGATTAGAACTCCTGGGACCATGATGCCTGCCTTTGTAATCACGAGGTCCTCCTTCGATGTCGCACAACATAGTCTTTACTGTGGCAGAAAGGATGGCACAGAGGATGCGCGTATGAGACTGGGAGCGCACCGCAGCACCGCCAAAGACGCGGCGGCCGAGAGCGGAGCGGCCGAGCCAGGAGCGCGGCTGCGGGGCCGGCTGCCAGCTGGCGCGCTGCCGGGAAGCCAGCCGCAGCCTCGTCACCAGCCGCCGCGTGCCGCTGCGCGCTGCATGCCACCCCTGCTGCAAATAAAGAGAAGTAAGATGCTTGAGCAGCAGATCACTTACAGCAACCATGGCAGCCGCAGGGCACAGGCGAACGCGCTTGCACTGCTGCAGCCATCATTGTGTTGTACTGTAAACAGATTAAAGACATCTCACGCCATCAATAATGTCTATTATATAGTGCTACGTCAGCTGGCCGAGGCCCCGCTCACGTGACGAACGTTGTCCCTGGAAATGCTGCAGAGGACCGAAGTCACATGCCTTTAATCGATAGGAGGCTGGACACTTGGAAGAGCCTCAAGGGACCTCGGGCAAGCCTTTCAGAAGATCAAGGGCCAGCAGGGCTTGCTCGAGGATCGTCCAGGCACTCAAAGTGAATACCCACATTGCCATGAAGCAAATAACCAGAGACAGAACAGGACACCTTGGCGTCCTAAAGAGTCTCAACACCTGGACGGAATGGTGAAGGAGGACTGTGGCCAAGCCTTGCTGTTCCACTTGATTTAGAGGACTGCCCAGAATCCCGCGACCGCAACCCAGGTGAAAGATGCTCTGTTCCAATTTTGTCAGTCGCAGTGAGCGAAAGGCTCAAAAAGATACCTTGGCCATCTGTGCCTGCACCCAGGTGGCGACGCCCGATTGGCCGGAGCGCGGACGCAGGCGCTCCCCAAGGATGCGGTGCTGCTGGTCTACGATGGCATTCACTGCCAGCAGCACAGTCGCTGTGCTGGCCAGGCCCGCCACCGCCGCCGACAGGAGTATCACCACGATCTGGTACCTTGCCACCTGCGCCCCTCAGACCTGCAATGTTCAGGAGACTGCCAACAGCAATAATTTTCGGAACAAATGATACCATGACACCCATGTGCGGATGGCAGATCAGATGGGCCAAAGCTGTACAACTATATTGATTACCCCAGGCAGCATGTAGCTATTGGCAAGAAGGTCAACAATGGCTGAGCTGCAACCAAATCCAACCTTTTGCAAGGCTCTGCAGGCCGCCTGGGGCAGGCGACACCATGTACAGCTTCCCTCAATGCTCTGCACAGCAGCTTCTGTCCTGTCCAGGGGAGACTGATGGCAGGTACGAGACTAACCCAATATAGTTTGCAATCCAACCTCTCGCAAGGGAGAAGCAGGTAAAAGCCTCACCTGGATGGGGGGAACGCCGCCGAGCAGCTGGCCGCTCATGAAGGAGGGCAGGGTGACAATGCCGGCAGCGCCCATGTGCGCCAGGCTGGGGCCCAAAGCCGCGCTGATGGAGCGCTGCACCACTCCCTGTGTGGCCTCCCAGCGGCTGGCGCCCACTGTCAACATCTGCTCCACATGCAGCCGCCCTGCGCCATGCACCCCTCAACTCGCCCATTGCTTGACATCTGGCTGTCTCATTCACTCTCTCAATCACTCTGAGCTGACAGGGGATAGGGACATGCACACAGGGTACTGTATGGCCATCACATTCCGCTCTGGGCTCAATATAGTCTCCGCCCAGAGCGCAGCCAACGAGCATATAGTATCCTGTGTGCTGTAAGAGGTTGCAATGGAGACACTCATCAAAGAATCGTGTAGTCGCGGTGAAGGAAACTTGAGAATGTTGCTCGTGGCTTATCAGACCCTGTAACAGCGCGGCGGTCCCACAGATGAGTGCTGTGACCTCGCCCGTATCTTGCTACATGTACAGTCACCAGTCATGACAGCACATGTGCCAAGCACAAACGTAAGCAACAGCATACCCCCTCCCTTACAGGAACGCCATGGGGATGTATGGTATTCCAGTACGGATTCTCTGGGAACGCTAGAGTCCATGCTCTACGCAACCAATAGGAGGGCCAACATGCTTGACAGGTGCAACACAGGAGCAACACAATCACCGACAGTCAGCCTCCGCACCTAGTGTGAGCTCCTGGATGACGCTGGAGAGGCCGGCGGAGACGCAGGACAGCGAGTTGGCGAGCAGGTAGGCCAGCACGGCGATGGCATAGGAGGCGTCCCACCAGGGGCGCGGCCGCAGCACCAGCAGCAGCGCATACACCATCACCGCTCCGGTTGATGCCCCCAGAGAGCCCAGCACGTGCAGCAGCATGCCCTGCAATTATTCTTATTATTACACGCTTTTCCTGCCAAGAGGCAAGGTGCGTCCTGCAGACAAGCTGCAGTCAAAGGCTGCCACAATCCTACCCTTGTTGGACTCGCCAGATCCAATACACAATCAACCGTGGGCACGGTGCTCAGTATTTGTACCGCCCCCCGCCAGCCGGGGCCAAAATGCCCTGCAATATGCCGTTCAAATTATGATTAGTGCTGCAGAAAATTAACAGGCACACAAGCCCGTCAGTAAGACTTATATCTGCATGTGAATTGACTAGTCAGACTTTCGGGGGTGGCTGTCGATGCTGTTGGGTAAATGGCATGGTAAATCTCTCGGGAAGAGCGTTTACTGGTGAAGCATAGCACCAGAGACACCCCTTGATGGTTGATTGGGCCCATGGGAAGAGGCACTTTTTAACTAGTCTCAGTCTTTTTTCATTTCCTCTGTAGCAAAGGAAGGTTGTTACTGAACCCTGTAATATGTGTGCAAGATGTAAAAATGCCTCCTTCTCATCATGGCTGGGTACCTTGTAGGAGGCGCTCGGGCGGGAGACGGTCTCGGCAGAAGACACTGCCAGCATGGCGCCTGCGTAGAGGAGCACCAGCCACCAGGTGTTGAAGTGGAACAGGGGCGCCAGCACATAGCCCAGGAGGCTCAGCTGCAGTATGCACCTGCAAATTAGCAGGAACTTGACAGTGAGAATTACCCTTGGCAACAGGGTCGTTTGGCAGGTAGTACCAGAGTTCCATCAATAAAGATCCGTCCCTTCTCTGGATGAAAATTTCCGAAGGAAATCTGGGACTACCTGCAAATTCAGCAGGCCTGTGTGCCAACTACTGAACAGCATGTTGGCAACAATTCTGAGAAGTCACAGGAGAGATAGAGGACTCGGATGGGTACCATACTGCATTCAGGCCTCAGAGATGCGACCAAGACAAGGCATCTGCCACGGATCTGCAGCAGGCAAAGTTCTCTGTGTGGATGAAGAGGCAGGTAAAGGGCCATAGGTATATATGCACCTGATGGAGGCTACAAGGAGCGTCCTATGGAGGCCGAGGGAGAAGCGGACAGAGATGGCGGCATTCACGAGGACCAATGCAGCGGAGAGCAGCAGTGCAAAGGGGCCCAGGGGCTCGACATGCTGCAGGGGGTTGCTGCCTGGCATGGAGCCCAGGCCGGTAAAGAGGTCTTGGGACATCAGTGAGATATTGAAGGGGGCAACATGGTGCAAACGGCGGACATCCTTGGGCAATCAACCTGCAAACAGCAAACGGACAGTGTAAAGCAATGCATCGCCCCCCCAACATGGTGCTGCGTGTAAGTCAATAGACGCCGGTAACGCGCGCATCATGATTTCAGCCACCAATCATACGTTTTCAGCCAAATCCTCAAGAGTGTTCAGTCTTGGAGGTGAGCCAGGCAGGCAATGACAGATCTCTTGGCCACTCACCTGCGCTATTATTGTAGTTTGTGGCTTCTTATTGCTGCACTGCCACCTCGATCAGAGCCTCCTTGACATGCTCATCCTGAGAGGCGAGGGTGTCTGCACTGCTGTTCCCTTCCACAGATGACGTCAGCTGCGTCACAGGATACTGCGCGCACAGCACATTACCCATAAAAATGAAAGAATTATTACATTTGACAGTGTGCACTTGCCCCTGCACATCTCGGCTAAACTCCCTTTGGCCCCATGCATCTCCGAACTTTCACACACAGCAATTCCTGCAGGAAGCATGATGTGACCTATGCATGCATGCATGCCTGCCAGAGATCTGGCGTGGCTCTTCCCTTTCTTCAAGCTGACAGAGGGGCTGTCACACCTACATGTGTATCCCTCTGGACCCCAGAGCTTTGCACTCTTCTTATTTGGCACTCTGATTACATGACATGCAGCGGATGGATGCTCAAATACAATCTATCAATTCTAAAGCCCTCAATCAGACAGTCCATTTCTAGGTCTTCTCACTCCTATTTAGGGTATGTAACTACCTCTGTGCCCAGGGGCAGCTGCAGGACGCGGCCGCCGACGCGCAGGGGCTGGGCGTCCTCGTGGGTGATCCAGATCAGGCCGCAGCCGGATGATGTCAGCACGCGCTCAGCCGCCAGCGCTGAGTCGTGGTCCAGCGCTGATGTCGGCTCGTCCAGTAGCAGGAAGGTGGGCTTCAGCGCTATGCAGATCGCCAATGTCACCCGCTGTGCCTGTCCGCCCTGCGCCATTTGAGCCCCGTCAATCCTCCTTTTGCCACGGGGGCATTTCAGGTATTAGGCTTCGCTATGTCTGTGCAGTGGAGGACTCCTGTGATTGGCTAGCATGCTCTGTGAAAGCATGCTTTGTAATTCCTCATGCTGTTCCTCCCGCAGCATCAGATGCAGTGCCATGCTAGATTTCTGCGCTTGCAAGGCATGCTCATTTTCTCAGGGATCCCTATTAGCAAAGAGTTGCAATAGCAAGCCACGCACCAGAAGGGAGAGGACAGAGGCCAAGTGGATGTGCTGCACATGAGACACAGGGAGGAAATTAGGGGTTGGAGAGAGAAACCGCACCGAGAGCTCAATCCAGGGCTGGTTGAGCACGCTCTGTTCCAAGCCAAGCTCTGCCACAAGCGCTGGAAGGTCCCCTCTGGGCCGTCCTCGCTGTGCCTTGAATTGCTGTGAGCACATGCAACCTTGTCAGCACTGATGATGTTGCTTTTGAAAGTCAAGATCTGGGCCCCTAAAGTGATCCTCTGAGAGATCATACTCGAATCCATGCCCATGCATGCTCATGACTGCATTTCATTGAAGCTCCATGTGGGATTTGGCATTGACCTCCTGAAGGAGAAGTGATACCTGGGCTGCAAAGTACAGCTCTGAAGGTGTGCCCTTCTGCTGCGTGCGAGACTGCGGCACGTAGGTGACTTGTGTCCGCCACTGCGGCACGCCAATTTGCTCTGGTGCTTTGCCGTCCAGGAAGAGGGTGCCACCCTGCAACGATAGCACACAGCCCAACATGGTTACCTGTCCTCATGCGAGATCTAGAAGATTACCGGCACCAGTGCACATTTTCCAAATCAGATCACTCTTTGATGTGTCCACATTCATCAGCCAATGCACTTGCACTGCAGCACTTCTTGCTGAGTGCTAGGATAGCTTTGATAGTCTAATAAGCATGATACATATACAACCAGTTGTAGAATAGGAATGCTAGACACCTCAGCCTATGCAACCTGAAGCGCACTTGCGAACGCATGCGCACCTGTATAGGATCGAGGTAGGCAAGCGCACGGAGGAGCAAGCTCTTGCCGACGCCACTAGGTCCCCTGATGAAGAGTTTTTCTCCGGCACGTACGCTGAAGCTGATGTCTGTCAAGATGGTGCGATCCCCTATGACACGCTTCAGATCGTGTACCTCCAACGTGGCAGACATGAAGCCTGCGCCAGGGCGTCCTCTAGTGATATCACCTCTAATATTGCAGTTATGTTTTTAGACTGACTTGCCAAGCAGCAAAGAGCATAACATTCCAAGGTCCTTGCATGGATCTAGGAAACTGAAAGCGCCGTTGTAGACACAGAGAGCACACGTTGGATCCGAGCTGGCTTTTCAAGGTCACGGGGTCAGCTTTTGACCAGGCCAGAGCACAATTTGCATCTGTAATTTGGGAGACGTACTGAGAGATCCAGGCTTGTTCTGGTGTCTGGTGTCCATCAGCGGGCTTGTGCTGGCAGCTGTGTGCCGAATTGTTGGAAGACTCAATCCCTTGTGAAAGGCAGCCCTTGGGCGCCCTCACACCGGCATGGCCTCCAATGCCGACCAGCTGAAGGTACTTTCTTTCTAGGAGGGTTTGTAGGCTCTGCTGCTCTGGCACTGCGTGTGTTTGGCATGGCCCTGTCGCTGGGTGAGCCTGACTTTCTGCACCGTTTATTGCGTTGAAGAGCATTTTTGCAAATGACGCAGGCATTGAATGGTTTTCTTGCAAAAGCTGGTGGAAAGGACAAGCTGACAGCTCTCATCCAGGTGCGATATCTTGTTGGTGGACCTGAGAGTGGGAAACCGCTTTACTTTGCCCTTGACGGCAGTGCACAGGTTACAGAGTTGATAAACAGTGAATCCCATTGCTTCTTCAAACATGATGATGCTGATGCAACGTCCATGCACACGCAGTACACATGCATGTTCATCTCAGCTGGAGAACCTGGCAATGCCAAGAAGATCCAGGCCTCTGTTGCAGCGGCAAGAAAGGTGTTCCGCGTGTTTGGGGTGAGTCCTCTGCATAATATGCCTGCTTTCAATGTTTTGCACTGCGTTGATGGCGTAATCCTCTCCTGGGCTGACCTCTACACTATCAGGTACCATTCTGCCTTGCTTTGCTTTGCTCGTATGCTCATTGTAATGCAATGCTTGGGTTGTCAAAAATTGAATGGTGTGTGCAGCCTTTGGAGTCAGTGACCCCCGTCATCTTGAATCCCCACCTGAACCCGAAGAAGCCCATCTACATCGAGCTCTTGAATAAGGTATGCTCTTTATTTTCAGTGTCCTTCAGCTCTGGGACCTTTTTCAAATCACACAGGATGTGGTCTCATCTTCATTTGAACATGAACCTTATGTGACATGTGCAATTTTTCATGTGTGCAGCTCAAAGGGGTGTTGATGGCCATCTACTTTGGGGCGGACCACGTGGTGTGGGCTGGTCAGGCCGGCCTTGTCTCCAACAAGACCGTCCTTGAAAGGTGACAGCCGTCATCATCTGCACTGTGAATTGCTAATGGACATGGTTCTAGTGAGTGTCTGCACTGTGAAATGCCAATGGACATGGTTCTAGTGAGTGTCTCTTCAGCCAGTCAATCTGATCTGCTCCACTGCTGAATGCTGTGGCCTCCATTCAGCCCACGAGTGTTTCATGGCCAACCAGTAGAGCTCCAAGGTCCTTGTTGTTCTGACCCCGGACTTCCATCAGCGCTAGGGTGTCCCAGGGGCCAATAAGCTGGACACCATCTTTAGTCCAGTCATCAAGAATGCACGAAAAAGGGAGTGGATACAAAAAACGTACCAAACGTCCCAGTCTCTAAAATCGTGCTTATCCGTGCTGAGCAGGTTCCAGAAGGCGTCCCTGTACGGGTGGGCGGGCGGCTCGATGTGCACGGTGATCAGCGAGAGCTGGGAGCTGATGGAGCTGAACAAGATCAAGAGGAAGGATGAGAGCGAGGAGGCCTGGCAGGCGCGCCAAGCCAAGGCCATTGCTGAGATCAACTCCCACTCCCTCATTCTCTTCCACGGTCTCGTGCAGGTCTGTTGTGTTTTCCCCTCCCTACCCCACACATAATATAGGTCTTCAAAACTGGTCCCTCCCATTCCTTTTCTATATCAAAGGACAAATGATGTGCACGAACTCATCGGCAGCAACTTCATTCTGATGCATAAAATTCTCTCGAGATCAAACATCTTCTGTCCTCTCATCTCTCTTCCTAAAACCCAAATTTTGAGCATTCAGATTGTCTTCTCTCGATGTTCTGCAATGCTCTTGTGGTCAAGCACCAAAAAGCTATATTTGTGCTTTGTTTTACTAATGGGGATTGTGTGATTGTCTAATATGTCTGCAGCACGCATCATATTTGTGGCTCTTGTCTCCCCTTGCCAAAATTTACAGGAGAATGTCAACTGACAGGCTTGTACCTGCGCAGGCGGCGCTGGCTGCTGGACTGCTGGGCCTGACGAGCTGGAAGCCGAGGTTTGTGGGCTTTCTGGGCGTGGTGGCCTCTGCAATCAACTGCTACATGCTCTTCCCAGCGCTGCCCAAGCCGGCAGAGAAGCCTGCTGTCAGGAAGGAGGTCCAGCTGGAGGGCCTTAAGAACCCTGCTCTCAAGGCGGCTTAGGCCGCCACTCTGCGCTCAGCACTAGGCCGGGTCTGCCGGATCTTCCAAGATCTTCTAGGATATCTTGAGATATCTTGAGGAAGCTCAATATGGGCGGGTATTATTCTCTACAGCCTGCCGATGGCTGCAATGTGCACTGTTGCAAGCTGATTGCTGCTGCGCGTGAGAAGAACCTTGGCCGCTAGAGGCTACATCAAAGAGGGGCTGTTATTTGAGGCTCCTCTCTTGATGTCAATTTTGGGTGTAACATTGTACACTGGGATTCAGGGTATATTAGAGCACTACGTGGAAGGTATCAGGTATCAATCAAAATTGTGGTATTCTTTATGTGAGCGTGCAGCTAGGCCAGACGAGCGTGTACTAGGATTAAGAAGCATTGCACACCGAGGATGCACATACAGTATGTTCAAACTCTTACACATCATCACTATTCATGCGCGGTGATCCAACAACTCCAACTGGCTGTAAAAGGTTACAGCTTAAAGTTCACAATTTACATCCAGTCTCTCTCTCTAACAACTCTCTGTAACAACTAGAGAAAAGCTTGAGCAGTCCAAGAAGTACAAGATTGACTTTTCCTCAGACTTGAGTATGATTGAATCACAGCATTAACTTGATGGCAGCGCCATATATCACAAGAAACCAACCACCGGAAGGGGTGCATGTACATCGCAACACCAAGAGCCCTTCACTCTACAGAACTCGCTCCAGCAGCAGCACGCTGTCGTGTTAATCTTGGCCTGGCCTCATGGATCACTGCACTGCCATCTGCAGCCACAGCCTCCTCTCCATTTGACCCATCCCCTGCAGCCACATTCGACCTTTTGTCAGGCTCCCCTGAGGTACCCAAGCAACATGGAGAAATTTTCAGATCATTCAAGTTCCCCGTCCCAGGCTGATAACATAATCTGATCCGATTTAAGTTCCACTTTACATGTTTGAATGACGCAGTTTCAGCCAGGTGGCCAGATGCTTAGGACAGGTGCATGTGATGTCACAGTGCATGCAGTGTTGCCTGTGTGTGCACCTGCAGCTGGCGCTGATGCTTCGGGCCTCTTCCTGCCTCGCGCAGGCACACGCGGCAGCACCTTCCTCCGCGGTGGTGCGCTCGCAGGGCCGTCCCCATCCGCCACCTATGCAGAAAGTGGATGGCCATTAATCAGTGAGCTGAACAGCCCAGCAGGGAACCAGCCATGCGCTCAATGCCCCCATGCAGTGGTTCCTCCTTCTCCATGTTGTTCCTGCGTTCTCTTGCATATGCACAAGCAATTGCTTCCTCAATGCTGCACTTCTCACTAGGAGAGCTGCATGCTGGAATGCAAGTGCACATAACACCCTGTCTTATTGCAAGAAAATGTAGGGACACCTGTTGGTGAATAAAATATACCTGTGGCGCCACTGGCGGCGCAGCAATGGCCACTTCTGCAGCGGCGGATGCTGGCTCCCCCGGCGCGGCGCTTGCCTCTGGGTGTGTCTCTGTGGCCGGCTGCTTCGGCCTTCGCTGCGATGCCTTTGTCCTGGCGCGCTGCGTTCCACCTGACCAGGCAGCCAAAATTATTGGCGATCCAACTTTTGGAACGCTGCATCTGCTGCTGTGAAATGCAGATAGTAGGCCAGGCTCACGACAAGCATTGGAGTGAAGGGAAAAGTGGCCCACAAACCCGGTCACAGTATGCATAGCATTTCAACCATTGTCCATCTGAATATCTCGTCAACGGCAGATGTACCTGTATCACAGTAGAAGAACTGTACCAACCGCTGGGAATGCGCTATTTCTTGCTGTTCTATGAAGAACAAGAGCATAGGACAGACCATTCTGGACGGGCGGCGCAGGCAGGGCAAGCACGTCGTCATTCTCTGCGCCAGCATCGGCCTCTGCGGCTTCAGCGTCGTCTGCTTGAGACCGTCCCAGCAGCGCTGCTGTCAGGTCAGGCCGCTGCTCCTCCCCGCTGCCGTCCACCACACCCGTGTTCTCCTGATCCTCTGTGTGCTGCGCATCAACAAAGAAAGACCTTCTGCAACTGAATTAGTTGTATGAGATGTGCTGCTGACACTTCTGCCAAAGTTCTAGCTCGATTGCCAAAGCTACAATCAGCAGATCACTCACATGCCCACAGCCAGATATGCATGCGTATCCATATCACAAGCAGAACCTCCTGCAAGCAGCAGCACCATCCACCCGCCCCCTCAAACCACCGAAAAATTGGTGCAGTGATGCCATCAGGCATGTTTATTGAACGCTTCTCTGCGATGGAACTGTCTGAACACGTGTTCATTGGGGCGCACCTGCTTGAGCAGGGCGACAACCTCCTTGAGGGACTCCTGGGATGCGGCGCCGCCCCCGGACAGCGCGGAGTCGACCCGCGCAAAATCGGCGCGATACTCGCGCTGTAGCTTGTTCTTGAGCGCCTTGCGCTGGCGTCCCGGGAACATGCGCTCTATCAGCGTGAAGTCCGTGCCAAACAGTCGCAGCGCCTGCACACCGAGACACCCGCCGTTTGAGACATACCTGCAGCAAATGTTCAGTGATAGCCAGACAGTTGGTGATAGTCTCACTCGCTGCAGCAGGACCGCCCGATTCTTATTCACATCAGGGTGCATGCTTTGTCAGCAATATCTGCAACAAACGAGACTCACAGCTTGGGTCCATCATCAGGCAAGTACAACAGGTGTCTTCTATTCTTCGTGCTAAAGTCAGCTGTGCCATAACAGAAAACGGGAGAAGAATGGGGGAAGACAACGGCTTGGATGCCACACCTTGTAGAAGAGCTCAGTGTCCTCAGCGCTCCAGCGCTCGTTGTTCATGCGCCTGGCGTACGTCAGGTTGTTGAGCTTCTGCATTATCAAGCACAATCAAGTGTCTCAGCTCCACGGCACCTTTTGATGCATTGCTCAAGTCTTACACACTGGCTACTCTGCTCCAGGCTTACAAGAGTTTCCCAAGGGAATTGTAGGCTCAACCAAGCGGCAGAGCAGACTGCAGCAGCCATGAGTATTCAGAGGATCTGTACTTCAAACGGCAGGCACACGGGCGATTGTTGTCCTGTGTGCTGCCGAATAAGCACGAGTCATTCAGTCCCTTTTCAAAGCTTCATTGCTCTCTTATATAAAGTATGGGATGGCTCACCGGGTTGTCTTCTACAGTGATGAGCCGGCCGGCAGCCTCCGGCTGCGCCTGGATGGACAGGCTCTGCTCCACGATGCGCATCCGGCCGTCCACCACCTCCACTCGCGGCGCCAGGCCGGCCGCGCTCGGCTGCGGTGAAGCTGCCACCGGCGCAGCCGCCGCCACCGGTACCTGCGAGCCGCCGGCCTCCTGCGTCAGCTTCTCCTCCTCTTCCTGCAGGCCCCAGGTGCTCAATTGTCTGGCAGAGGAATTATCTCTTGGTGTGACCCTGGCATCATCAATTAGAACATTTTGCCAGATTATACCGAGCTTAGATGTATGTTGCAGGCTGAAGTTCCCGATCAGCGCCAATAATGCGGCTGGCATGCAGGCTCTTATAGAGGACAATAGGCAGCAGAAAAGAGCGTGATGAAGCGTGGAGCAGTGGTCTAGATACAAGTATATGAGAGGCAGCCAGCATTACCTTTTTCCGCTTCTCCTCGTCCAGCCGGGCTCGCTCCTTTGCGTACGCGCACTTGATGATGCTCTTCAAGGACATGGTCGATACATCCAAGGGGGCCGTTGCCGCCACTGCTTTCCTGGCCCTCCCTTTCCTCCCTGCTAAAGCGACACAAAGGCTCAGTCAGAGAGCGTGAAGGTACATACCTCACCCTCAACGAGTTCAGTACCTCCCTCCCTCATGCCTCGTTCTCCAGCATGCAGACTGTGGATGTGCATCGGAGAACTGGTCTGCAAGGGGAGGCTCAGCTGAGGCAGGAACCTCTCCCTGAATTCCCACCTTTGCCTGCAGGTGCTGCTGCTTCTCCATCTGCATCTTGCCGCTGCTGATCGGGCAGTATCACCAATGTGCGGTCCTCTACGCCAACTGCAGCTGGCACAGCTCTGCTGGATCTCTCCGCTGCAGCCGGCGAGGATGGGCCAGCCTCCTCCTCAGGCGCTGCGGCCTGCTTGCCCTTCTGAGTAGATGCACGAGGCATAAACCTGAAGCAACCCACCATCTGTGTCATAGTCATACGCTGATGTGCCCCCAGAGGGCGGGACAACACAGCTACTCCTCAGATACGTTTGCAGGACGATATGATCAATTCCTGCAACGCAATCATTGGATCGCATGCAATCAGTGGAGGTAGGCACCTGCGGAAACCGGCTTTCCCAGGAGCAGGGGGCTCTGTCCCCAGTGGGCCAGGAATGTCATAGCCCACAGGCTGCCGTCGCTGTGGAGCTGCTGGGGGTTGCGAGGATGGGCCAGGAACATCTGCCTGAGAGGTACTGGGTGCAGCAGGCCCTGCGGCTTCTGCTGGGGCTGGCACAGTTTCTGCTGCTGGAAGTGCCTCAGCGGCAGCCCCCTTCGCAGTTACAGGGCCTGATGCAATGCACGAACTTCCTCAGCAGAGGACAGGACATGCCAGACAGCGGATGTGCAGTACTGCACTGATGTCTGCAAGGTATTTGGAAGTGTTCCAACAGGGATGGAATGCGCACCTGTCGGAATACCTACGCCTTCTTGTGCATCAATAGCCGCAGGTTCATGCACCGCGACATCAGCAGCTGAGCTCCTGGCTGGTCGTTTCTGCTCACATCAAAAGTGTCCGTGAGAACTGCTTGGAACGGAAGTACCTGCCTCGCAACATTTGAAAGGCCAAGGCTACTTTTTCAAGAGCTTGATCAGAAGTTGATGATACAGGTATTGAGGCCTCAAGCAGCAGACCGCACCGGACGAGCTCTTGCACTTGGAGCAAACTTGGATGTCCTGGTTGCTGCCTTGGATTCAGTGACCTTGTCGAGTGCAGACAGATCAAAATCCATAGGTCCACAATGAGTTAAGTAGCGATATGAAATGAAGCTCTAGAATACGGACATTCTGAACAAGTCATGACAGCTGAAGATTTGCAATATAGCTGGACTCTTCCAATTCCGCCATCGCAGCACTTTTCCAGCTCGAAACCTAGAACGTTATTTATTTTGAAACAGGTAGGCTTCTAAAGTAGAATCTCAAGAATGCAATATGCATTGCATGCTTAAATTTCTGCAGGGGCTTGCCAGGGTTACGTTGACCTCAGCCCATCGTCAATGTCACGCAAGCGTCGTTCTCACACATCTACTCCCAAACCCTGGCGCCCAACGGTGCTTCTACGTGCATTGATTGCTGGAAGTGCTTTGTTTCCGAGCAAAGGCATAGTCTGGATCCAGCTCGAGCAAGACCCAGTCTGGGACAGGATACCTGACTATTTGTGTCCTTAGTATATTCGGACACGAGCCATTCAGTGTTCAGGGCATGCCAAAAGTACTGGACTATACAACGTGCACGTCTTGACGCATCGCAGATTTTTTCCAGAATATATCGACGAGGCCAGAAACAGCGAGTGCGTTTGTCAGCATCCAGGGCTCTCTAAATCCAGTGATCTGGGAACCGGTTCCCTTGATCGATCAACGCTTTGAAGCATCCATAGAGTTGTTTTAACATGGACTGCTGCACATATTACATCGGCTGAAGGATTGTGTTGCTTCCCTGCGCAGAAGTTGTGTGCTCCACAAGGGACATCGGCCCTATTTGTCAAGAGGCAAAATAATTCCTTACTTGCAATTCACCTCCGGTCATCGGTCATTCACTTGCTTTAATTCAGGGTAAGACCCTTGGACCAGGAACACACCTAAAGCTCTAAGTCCTTGCTTGAGACAGGCCTCACAACACTGACTATCCTTCTCTGCACAGATCAGATGGAGCCTGAAAGACCTGCTGTGAGGCCAATAAATACCACATCTACAGCGTCATCCAGGCATCAAGATGCTGGGCAGGTCTGCCTTCCCCACATTACCAAACGAATTTGTAGCAGCTGTCAGTCGCGAGGTGTTTGTATGGTAGTCAGCTGTCATGCTGCTGCGTTTCTGTGACCTGACCATATTGATGTGTCAAGGGTATTGTTTGATGCTGCAGGCAAATACATCATCAGCTGTGCCGTCGCATGCATTATCAATGGAGGACAGCGGCATGTTGTTTGATGCGAGCCCGCCTCCCAGAAACTCCAATAAACTGCCCCCATTAGGTGAACTACATGGCTGCTCTGCAAAGCGGCTGCTTGCCAACTTTATAATATGTACTCACTGATGGACATTCTCGATTTGATGGCCCTGCCTGTGAGTTGACATGGCTGCGCATGCATCAGGCTCAGGTGTCCGGCCTGGGGCGGCTTTTGGACCCGGGCAGCAGTTTTCGAGGAGCGACGTTTCTCTGTGCTCGAAATTCTCATCGGGGTCGGGCGGCGGCTTGGATCGGGCGATAGATGCGGCGCGCGCCAACGAGGAGGGCCTAGATAATGACGAGGACTATGAAATGGATGCAGATGTCAGGTGCTCTCTTTGCAATGGCCCTGTGGAAGCACCTGCAAGTGCCCACCCTCTGGACGTTGAATGACAGAGGCTGTGCAGGTCTTAATTGCCAATAAGGAGGCATGCTAGAACAGTGTTGATTTGGTCATGCCATTGTTAGCGTGCAGGCTGCGTGACTCGAGGCTGGAACTACGGGTTTCCTGCATGGCGTCTTACATCTACATGCTGCGCATGCTGTGACAGGTTTCTGCGCTCTGGCATCTCCATTGACAGTTCTGAGGCCCGCTCCCTGCGCTCCTTCTCCCTGACAACCCCCTTTGCCGCGCCGCAGCTGCAGACCGTCGCCTCACGAGAGATCGCACCGCACCTACTGCGTGACCTCTTACCTGGTGCGGTCTCTGCTGCATCCCCTTGAGGAGAGAATGTGGCACAGTGGTCCTCTTGCTTGAATGCAATGTCAGCTGACCAGTCAAATCCGCTGCGCTTCTGTCGCTCTGTTTGGGAGCTGCTGTTGCTGACTGCAATCCTGGACTAGCATTGCAGATTTAGACAAGCACTGCTGACATAGCTCAATTGGTTTGTGTGCAGCGGGGGAGTCCCTGTCCCTGGATGAGCAGGACCTGTACAAGCATCTTGTGATGGAACTCCAGTCAGACGGCACTCTGTCCTCCGAAATCTCTGAGCTTCTAACCGAGCTCCAGATGAGCTCGTCCAATGCATCGTCTATCGGTGTCAGGTGAGCGCTCTTGTCCAGTCTCCAATTTACTCCAGAACCCAGTGTAGTGCATCTACGTGCAGTTTGTCCAACTGATTATAATATATGGTAAGTTACTCTGTTGGTGACATAACCATGTCTCTTATCCTGCCAAATGAGCGTCAATTGCTCCCATACTGATTTATGATTGTTCTGCAAGGTGCCGGGTCCTGAGAGGCATTTAACATGGCCCTCAACATGTAGGCATTCTAATCAGGCATTATGTCTGCTGGGTGGCCGTCCTGATCAGGCGTCTGAATGCATGCGCAGCGACGACCAGGTGGAGGCGCAGAGGGAGAAGGTGGTGGAAGTTGTGCAGAAGCTCAAATCCCGGCTACCGGCGGACAAAGCCGCGCAGCTCAGCTCCTTTGATAGCTATGGGCTGTTGGACCTGTACAACCACCATAATTCTGGTCAGAAGGGCGGGCAACCTGGTCACTTGTGACCCGCCGCTGTGTTGCATTGGTGCCTGCTCTTCGCAACCATTCAGCATGGCGTCCAGCCCGGTCCCATGTGACAGGCCGTTGTTTGCAGCAGCGGCGCGCCTGGGCTTTGCAGCCGTTAAGCGCGTCCTGCAATTTGAGTAGCTGCACTGCAGGTGCTAGTGTTTTTAATATGTAGCGCGGCAGAGGTGGTACCGGCACTCCCACTGCAAGCGGCAGGGAGGGAGGGATAAAGAAGAGATGTGAGTAGTGCTGTTCGCTGCGTTGTTGATAGTAGCTGGATACTTTGGCAGGTGGGCAGGTTTCCTCTGTTCTCAGAATGAAGGAAAGCACCAAAGGCTCATCACTTCAAGCAGAGGGCTACTCAATGGGGGATCGACTCCAGAGAAATTGGCGTTTATCCGTTGATGTGTGCGTTGAAGGCTTCAAGAGTCAATAGTTGCACAGTTTGCCAATGAATGTTGCTTGTGAGGTGGGTACACTGTTGGCATCAGGGATGTCTGCAGGCGAATTTTGCAGGCAGAAAATATGATGTGGAATCAAGATCTGCATGAGAATATGGACTCCTCAGCAGTTCCAAGAGCTTGCTTGAATTCCACAATGACTCATATCACAGGAAATTTGGCTCCCTTCTATGGAGCTTTTGCTAGATGGTGATTTTGCCACAATGGCTGCAACTACAGATTTGAAAAATTCCTGTTACACAGACTTTAAATTGCAGGTTTGTCACCAACCCGCAAATGTCATCATTCGACGTGCGTTAAAGCGCACCTTTTGGAGAATTTGCTGCGACATGGGGTATCTCTGTGGCTATTTAGAATTTCAACTGGTGATCAGTTGAGGTATCCAAACAACAGAGGTGTGATTAGTTTATCTTCTAGGTGAGGCAAGCGTTTGCAGCGTGGCAGCGCAATGCAGTGCCACTTGCGCGCATCTGCAACCGCGCTTCGAAGCTGAATTCAAAATAGATGTAATCTCCACTGCTATTGATCTTGGACAATCAATTCAACCGCAGTACATGAGCATTGCATATATTCAATGCAGTGGATTGGATGTGCCTGATGACTCTTAATAATATTGCAAGAGCTATGCCAATGCACATCTGATGTGCAGAGTCTGCAATCTATAGAATGCAGCTATGCTGCCATAGTGTTTTTCCGGGAGAGACCAGGTGCCTGCTGTATATGTATTGGAAGCTTTTGCACTGGGGTTGAACGTGTGGGCCAGAGGGAAATAGGCAAAGGGAAGCTAGAGCCTGTCGAGGAACTGGAGCAATCAGGGTATCCTGCGAGGGCGAGCTGATGCGTATGTACACTATTTACTAAATAGTATGCCGGGACGGTCTGTATTCGGAATGTAATTTCTATGCTCTGCAAATCGCTGAACCATGCATTACTTCGTGCGTGCATCGCATCACATACCGTGACTACATGGCGGCATGCTGTGTTTTATCAGCACTTTCTGACAGGTACCGTACCGTTAGTGACTTTAATATGTCAGTGTTCAGCAAGTTGCCTGCGCCGCGCAGGCCTGCATGAGCCAAATCTACCAGCTGCGCTTGGCCACTGGCAATAATTCAATGAGTGGATGAGATCCACTATGCAGTGCACAGCCACTTGCTGCCCACCAAAAATTACAAATCGCCAGCATTCACCTAGCTAGCAGGCTGCTGGCAGCCGCGACGGCGCACTGCATGCAGCTGCAGCCATCGGTAGATTCTACCAGGAAGATTGATTATCTCATGTTTGAAACGTGATGGGGAAGCCCACAATGTGCGTCCTATCGGAAGCTTCAAACTTGGATCAAGAGTCTGTGCCTTGGTCTGCAAACAAAGAAGACGCATGAAGGAGCCTCGGTTGCATGCATCCAGATCAGGCTCAAACGTCGCGTTAACCTCGCATAACCGCAAGGAGAGACTCTCGACGCTCTCGACGCTTCCACACGTCGATCTCACGTAGGAAAAGGGACAGACTTCAGAACTCTGTTTAGTAGACCAGCATTCGCACTGTCAACCTTGCCATAGAGGCGTCGCCAGAACAGGACGAAGTACGCTCCAGTCCAGGCACATCGGTACGCACGCTGGGTGTCCGTTGCCTTGTTAATGTATTATGCAAATTGTGGTTTATTTGAAGTCTGCGGTATCATGCTGTATCCGTTACTCGGTCAGCGCACATGGCTACATCGAAACAACTTTGACTTCTACATCAGCACCTTTGTACTGATCTGCTCTTCCTTGCCGATTAAATCGAGGACCACTGAGCTACATAGAGCATACATGCGAGTTTTTGGATGCGAAGTTCAATTCTCCTGGACGATGCGTGACGGATCCTCTTCTTGGTCTTCGCAGGTCCTTCCAGATGGCTAGCTTACTTCAAGCACTGGCCAGTAATCAGCTTATATCCCTGCACAAGCTGCACCAACGCAGCCAAGATTGCACTTTGAGATCTTCTTCAAGACCTGTCCACGGGTCCAACAAGCCTAGACGCACCAGGTAAGTGGGCCTCTGGAGTGTATCTAGTGGCTTGATTGCTCGGTTTCGAAAGTTTCGAATGAAAAAGCTCATCTTCGTAGGCTCGTCACCAAGCATTCGTATGTTTGTTGCTGTGACAGGCCAGCCGTGTGCCAAGCTGCATCAAGTGGGCTCTCTGCCACGCCACCTGTGCCTGAGGGCGATGCAGACATACCCCTGTTGAGTGGGCTGATGAACACAGTGGAATGGCTTACGGATTACCAGGCATTCTACCAGAAAAGGCAAGATACCAGCTCTTCTCATTGCGCTTACTAGTCATAGCTTCGAGCAGTATGTTCATACAAGGTGGGACGTACGGGGTACGGCATGTGTGAGCAGATGTGTGAACAGGGCTGCTTTGACCATGCATGCAGGTTCGAGAAGTTTGGCGGCCTCTTTAAAACAAATCTCCTCTTCAATCCCATGGTAGTAGTGACTGATGAGAACGAAGTCCGCCGCCTTCTTCAGGTGTGTGATTTCTTTGCACTACAAATCCATTGGCGACCACCTTTCAATTGGCCTAGACAACAGGCAGATGCTGCACACATGAATGCAGTACTGAGACCTATCCTACACATGGTGCAAGTCACTCTGAATCCTCTGATTTCGGACACTGCAGGCGGAACATAAGTTGGTCGAGTCAGCCTGGCCAGAGTCGATGCGCAACCTGCTCGGCCCCAACGCCATCCTGACAGCGCCTGCCAAGGCGCACAAGAAGCAGCGTCAGATCCTATCCCAGGTGATCACTGTATGCTCTGAAACAGCATCTGTATCTTGCTCCGTGGGAAGCTGTGCACCTCATTCATCCCCAAGCATTGGAAGGCCATGCTTCCTCACCCTATGCTCTGAGCAGCCTCTTGTGACATACAGGCTCTATAGAACTCCAGTGCATCGCACCTCAAATAGCACAGCAAGAATTATATTACAGCAGAAAGATGCACGAATATTGTCGCTCGGTAATCAACCCTGATATCAAAGGGGCATATGTGTGCAGGCCTTCACAGAGGCAGCGATGCGGCTGTACCTGCCGACAATACTGGATGTTTCGCGCTACACAATGGAGCAGTGGGCGGCAAGCAAGGAGCCCGTGCTCTTCTACTCGGCTGCACGCGCATTTGCCTTTGACATTGCTGCCACCGTGCTGACCGGCACGCGATTTGATGGAGACACACTGGGTAAACTCATTCAAGCTGCGCTTTGTTTATTTTTTGCAACTTGTAGACACGTAGTTCAGCTTGCCTTTTTCAATTTCAGTACTACTAAAGGCAAAGTGCATGATAGTTAAGAGATTATAATTGCAACTTAGGAAAATTTTGCAAGGCAGAGGTGAAAGGCAGTGCATTTGCAACCAGGAGCAGTCCTTATTATGCTTTTGCATCTAAAATTAAGGAATAAGACCCGAAGCATTGGTGGGCTGCCTGCAGTCAAGATGCGTGAGGAGTTTGATGTCTACGCTGATGGCCTCTTCTCCCTGCCCCTCAACATTCCCGGGACTCCCTATGGGAAGGCTGTGAAAGCGCGAGCGTACATTGTGGCAGAGATTGAGCGTGAGTCTGCCCCTCTTCATCCTTGGTGTTGTCCAAGCATCCCCAGGACTCCTCCCCAGGACTCCTTGCTTGTCATGTCTGCTTGTGCCACCATCATGTCTGTCAGGTGTTCAAGGAAGAGATTGTTTGCACATAGATGTTACTGGCATGATCTGAGCATGATGACATGATGAGCAACCAAAAGTGTGAGTTTGCGTCCGCGCAGGCTTGATCTTGGATGCCAAGGCTAGCAATGAGGCGCAGTCCACCGGCCGCAAGAATGCGCTACGGCTCCTGTTGGATGCTCAGGATGAGAACGGTGAAAAGGTCAGCACGACACAAACTTCTGGTGACTCTGTTGATGCACAGATCAACGGGTCTGGCGGGTCTGGCAGTCTCTGCAGACAACCACTTTTGTGCTTCGGAGTTGTGAAGAGATGCTCTCCATTCCTGACTGTTGTGTGACTGTGTGCAGCTGACCATGGAGCAGCTGAAGGACCAAATCCTCACCCAGCTGTTTGCAGGTAACCCTGATTGCTCTCGCAACCACTTTACTTCTGGTACAGGGAAGCTGTGCCTTGGTCAATACCACGGATGAGCATTACCAGACACATGTGCATGGTGGGTGTTGGGCAGGCCATGAGACCACAGGCGCCACGCTGTCGCGCGTGCTGCCAGAGATTCAGAGGCAGCCGCACATCATGGCCAGGATGCGTCAGGAGCAGGCCGAGCTCATCCAGAAGTACGGCGATGAGATCACCTGTGAGTCCCCGCCCTTTGCATCCTCCTACTTCTGTGGTCAAGCGGAAGTGCAGAAGCCATTGCGCAGCTTGCAGCTTTACTAGATCTTGAGCTTGTCCTCCATTCTGTGTATGAGACTTCGCAGAACCTGACTCGTGGTTCTCTGCGCAATTCGAAGCTTGCATGCATTTCTGTAGTTTGAATAGACTTTTCCATGCACCTTGCTGATAATTGGCTGGCTGCCTGTGCTTTGTACACTTTTTAACGGACCTGGCTGATAATTGGCTGGCTGCTTGCGCTGCAGATGAGATGCTGGAGCAGATGCCGTACACGGACGCGGTGCTGAAGGAGGTGATGCGCATGCACGGCATCGTGGACGGCGTGTGGCGGCAGGCGCTGGAAGACCTGGAGATCCAGGGCTGCCGCGTGCCCAAGGTGCGCCCCTGCGCCATAGAACATAATATTGACAACCTCCACAGATCCTCAGCAAATCAAGCACTGGGCCTTCAAGTGGAGTCCCCTGCATCAGCTGTGCTCTCCCAAGGAAGCAACAATTTTTATTGGGGCAAGAAGGTTGAGGGGCCCATGAAGCACCATGCTGTCAGGCAAAGGATCCTCCTCCCCTGAGTGGGCTCTCTTGAACGCCTCGCTTTGTGCACAAGCTCTGCGTGTGCACATGCACAGACGATATTGTTGACAGTACCCACTCAGGAGAGCGAGATTTGTATACATTCATGCTCTGCAATGTGATTTCACAGACAAGAATGCTTTCGAGGGGGACAGTATGTCGGAATACTCGGCACGAGAAGATTGCTTGCTTCAACAAGGAAGATAATCTCTAGGGGCTGGTCGACTGTGTCAATCTGCGCTGAGGAATGCTTTCATTTGTCACTCTGTCTTTGTTGGTGACCTTATTCACCCTGCGCACACAGGGGTGGACGGTGCAGCTGATGGTGAAGAAGGCGGGGCTGGCCATGCCGGAGTTCCAGGGGGACGCGGATAGGTTTGACCCCTCGCGCTGGCTGGAGGATGGGGCGCCATTGAAGAAGGAGCCCAAGGGATTTATGCCATTTGGAGAGGGGCCGCGCAAGTGCCTGGGCATGCTCCTGGCCAAGATGGAGATGCGGGTATGGGCGACTTTTCCCACCAATAATGCGCTTTATTAAACCAGTGAAGTTGCGCAGGCCTATTCTGATCTGCAGGTCCACTGTTGTCCAGCAGATAAGTGGATAAATGACGCTGAAACTTATTACAGATCTTGCCTTGGCTACCATCCGCATGCGGCGGTGAACAAGTCTGTGACTTTTTATCTGTGCTTGCTGGCGTGGTTTTGCTTGCCAGAAGGATGCTGGAAGTATTGTAATAATTCAAATAAGCATTGCTAATTCATGAAGGTGAGCTGCTTGTGCAGGCGCTGCTGGCTGTGCTGGCGAGGGGTTACACAGTGGAGCTGGACGATCCCAATGAGTTCTGGTTCCAGGACTTCAAGCCTGTCAACAAGCTCCCGGGGCGCGTGGTCAAGTACCAAGCTTAGCTGCCCCAAGCTCAGCTAAGCTTACATAGGCCAGAATGGTCTAGAGAAGTCATTTAGGAGGATCTTGAGAAAAAAAGCTAAAATCACTGAAGTTACAAGAGTAACCTCTTGAGATAGGCAGCAAGTAGAGGTCTTGCAAACGATGCTGATAATTGCATCTAGGCAAATGCCATGGAATTATTGTATAGCAGCAGGAAACTTCCTTGGAAACTCAGTCCCTTGAGGCACAGTCTCTTGAAAAGTCAAGGAAGTAACCTTCAACGGATGCACATTTACATTCTGCAATTTCTTGGAACCCTTGATTTGAATGTTTCACATGGTGTTATCGTGCAAAAGATTGCAGATCGATGCCCTCATAGATAAGTGCCTGAGGTGTTTATTTCCTGACGAGTGACCCTTGTGCATTACATAGCATTACAGAGATTATTGCTGGGACTGCCTCAATCTGGTTGACTGCCGGTTGACTACCATCGTTTTGTCAATGATGCAAGCAGTTGTAAGAATTCCAATGGGTTCCCCTTCTTGTCCCGCCTCCTTTTTACTTGAGCTGCTGGTGATGACTGCACATCCACCTGCAACATGCAACGTCGTGATCATCTATGAGATCCCTCAGCTCTTCTCATGCATCCTAGTGAAATGAGCAGAGTGTCCACATGCAGTAGTAGTTTGTGTTGAAAGTTTTGTTGCAGATCTATACAATGCATACACTGCACAATGAAAAGTTCATAGTAACAGTGGAAGAGTTCTGTTGCAAACCTCTGGTGTGGCGGCAGCCAAGGCGGAGCGCCAACCAATCAGAAACACAGCTGTCACGGCGAAGGAGACAATCACAAACGCCTTGTCTGGAAAGTAGCCTCGTGACAAAGACCGCAGCGCTACGCCCACCTGGCACCCAGTCACACACTTGTCATGCGCCTCTGCCACTGATGACAATGTGGCAAGCAGAACAGCTTGCGACTGTGCCCCACGACTTTCCCATATATACAACACAGCCAAATTGTGCAGAGAACAGGCAAAATAACTGATAAGTCACACACCGTCGTTCCAAGTGCCCAGCATTTAGCTGCAGTGATGGCTGCAGGCCCTGTGCGGCCTCCCTGTGCTTCCTTGCCAAATCCCCCGAGCAGTGCTGCGCTCCCAAACCAGCCTGGGGAAGTGCCACACAGCTCCCATTCAGTGTGCTTATTCACTTGCCAATTCTGCTAAGAGGGCGGATGCAGTCACTAAATGCCCAACGCAGTGGTCTCCTGTTGTGTGTCATAGAAGATGCCATGGCAACATGTGTACTTGCATGATGACACTCGGTGGAGGCTCCTATTCATGGCGACAAAACCAGATTCATGTGCTGCATGCCAAAGACACCTTTGTGGGTATCTTTGCAGGATAATTATGGTAGAGGTGGTGTTGAGACTCACCCACAAGGAACGGCCAGGCAACAGAGAGCACCGACGCAGGGTCCAAGCTCTCGCCATGATTGGCGCGTCCGATGGCTGCAAAGAGCAGCAGCGCCGCTGCATCACCTCCCACGAGCAAGGCCAGCCTCCTGTGTCATCAGGCACTCTTGCTACTGCTGAACAACCCAAGATCTGGCATGTCAACGGATCAATGGAGGAACCAAAATACTTCAATTCAGTGCCCCTGGCAGGACCAGCAGCTGATTTCTCACCCGAGGGAAGGGCCATCCTCGCCCCTGTCCACAGCTGCAACGCCAGCCCAAGCCTCCTCTCCCAGCCTTTCAATTCTTTCTAGCTGCGAGCAAAACCAGGTGGTCTAGTCACGCATAGTTCCAAGGAGCACCGTAATAATTGCTTCTTCCACAGCATGCAATGGACTTGTTGACGCTGTATGATAGTTAGAGATACCTTTAGTCCCTTCGGCCTTCCACCAGGCAGTTCATCGACCTCCTGTACACGGCCTGATGGCCCAGGCTGCCCTGTTTCTCTTTCTGGAGACTCTGCTGCGCGTACTCGCAGCGATGTCCCCCTTAGCCGCCGATTGAGTGGAGACGTGCATATATGATGAAACCAGGATTGCGATCGCCCATTGAGAGCAAGGCTACAACAGTTAAACGTGCTCATGCTGCTCGCTTGAATCTCTGTGACGCAGCCAAGCGACCCCACTGAAGACAATGTGAATACTGGCTCTTAAATGCTATTTTCTACAACTTGTAGACTACAAGCATTCGGGCATTTGTATTCTTTCTCAGATCGATTAATGATCATGATGATGCAGAAAGGTCGGGAACACCGTCGGACGATCAGCCCAATAGGGTTTTTCCTGCAGGTGTGTGAGAGGGTTTCTCTCAGTAAGAGCAGCCGCCGAGAGGAATTTGCAGTCTCTCTTTCAGTGGACAGGCAGATTGCGGTTGGGCTTGCGGCTCTGTCGAGATGCCGCACATATCATACTACCGGAACTGTAAGTGCCCGGGCAGGCTCGATGTATAGAGCAACTGCGCTGTAGCAATTGTGCCTGGCAGTGGTACAAGTATATCATCATGCAGAGACAGCAACGATGCTACCGATCAAGCAAACTGCATAGTTGACATCCTTGCCAGCCTCGAAAGCAGGATGCATCGTGGTTCACAGAAACATAACAGCAGGATGTGATCGCCTCTTTGTTCTGTTGCGCAGATGGGAAGACCTTCAAAAAGCCTCGGCGTCCTTTTGAGAAGGAGCGTCTCGACAGTGAGCTGAAGTTGGTCGGAGAGTTCGGGCTCAGGAACAAGCGTGAGCTCTGGCGTGTGCAGATGGCTCTGTCAAAGATTCGTCAGGTGTGTGGTACACTACAAGAGGGGGCTTCCTGATCTGTGAGCAGAATTCTTGGCGCAAACGAACCACATCTGGTTCTAGCATGCTCAGCTCACTGCAGCAGCTGATTTGCCAATCCCTTGGTCTGGCTGCTGCCATTCTGCTTGTGCAGCATACAGCACAGGGCAGTCCTTATTGAAAGTTTCCACCCATGCTTAATGAGCACACCGGAATTGTTCGAGCAGTTCCACTACGTCCCATGTGCAGATTAATTTTCAGATCTTTCCTCAGACGGGACACCGACAGACCTATTGAGCAGGGTTGCTGGAGCTGTTCAATGATCATAGCCGTTATATTAGCGGAGGATGCATATCTAAGCTGTGGGTGCATTGTGTGATGGCAGGCTGCGCGGACGCTGCTGACGCTGGACGACAAGGAGACAAAGCGGCTGTTTGAGGGCGAGGCGCTGCTGCGGCGCATGTACAAGTACGGGCTGCTGGAGGAGGCCCAGAACAAGCTGGATTACGTGCTTGCGCTGACGCCCCAGGACTTCTTGGAGCGCCGCCTGCAGACGCTCGTCTTCAAGCTGGGCCTCGCCAAGTCCATGCACCACGCCCGCGTCCTCATCCGCCAGAGGCACATCAGGTGGGGGCCAGATGCATTCGGCACATCTCCTGAAGCCCCCGTGCGAGCCTCTTTTAGATGACCATGATACCCATGGCCCGTTATGTGTCTGCATCTGAGAAGGTGCATGTTGGGGTGGTGTTTGCATGATGGCTGGTCAGGTAATAGTGAGGCCCGGTGCTGGAGCGGGCATTGAATGATGCAGCTCATCAGGACAGGAGCAGAGGTGGCAGGGAGTCTGCGCCCAGCTAGTACATGAAGCGCACATGTGCAGTGGCATACACGGCGATTGCTCGTTCTTTGCTACGCCCGCCTGTCGCGGTGTTTAGTGATGACAAGGCGCTGATGGGTATGGGGTGTGTCATGATAGGGTGGGCAAGCAGATTGTGAATGTGCCCTCCTTTATGGTGCGCGTGGACAGCCAGAAGCACATCGACTTTGCCCTCAACAGCCCCTTCGGTGGCGGCCGCCCCGGCCGCAACAAGAGGAAAGCGCTCAAGTGAGTGACCTGCCCTTATTCTCTCTTCGTCCCTTGTACCAGCTTTGTGTCCAGCCTCAATTCCTTTGCACTGTTTATCGATTGCATCATCTTTGCATATTTTGGTGATTATGGTTTTGCAGATCTTTCGTCACTACTGCACATCGCAATGGCAGCGCCCTGCCTTTGTTTCTCACTCTTTCAATTTGCTGACTTGGCCTGACTGCGGCGCAGGAACAAGAAGAGCAACAAGCAGGAGGAGGCTGATGACGAGGACGAGGACGACGAGTCCTAGATCTGAATTTAGATTGCCTCATCTGGTTGCCTGCAGCCTTCTTATGTGCCCCACCTACTGGGGAATAGCGGTTCAGCTGTCTTTGTTTGTATCAATATCTGGGCGGAAGGGCAGTGTGCTTCCTTGCACCCTGACAGCACAAGCAGGGCTGACCTGATGGACCTGTCAGCGTGACTGCAGGTCCCTGGTGTAATGGCTTTCATGAAATCACTATGCACCTCCCAATCACCTTTGCGGGCATGTCCATCAGGAGCATTACAGGTATTTTACATAGCATCTCTACATGCGCATGGATATGGTAAATCATGTTTCGTCATGTTGCAGAAAATGGCTGAAGCGATGCATGGCAGTTGCATTCAGGGTCACATTTATTGCTCTTCATGCATATGCCATGCTGATGCTCGCCGGAGCCACGATGGAAACATGACAAACGACGCTCATACTCCTGATCTAATTCGTTTCACAACTGTTCCGGGGAGGCGCGCCAAATGTCCCTGCATCAGCCCCTCTGTGTGCTCACATCAAGGGATCCTGTTCGCTGGGCTGCCTTGCTTCCCCATGCTCTTCATCGCATTGATTACTGCTGCTCTCCTCCTCCAATCGCCTGAAACGAGACAATCAATAAAAGGAAACCAAGTGCTATGCTGTCTCACATGCCGCCCATCCGAACAGATACAAGCGCAAAGTTTGCCAGCGTCCTATGCAGTCTTCACATGCTGCCCACCGTAACAGGTACAAGCCAAAAAATTTGCCAGTGTCAAGCAACAGTGCCACTGGAAGGTCTGCTTCCTGTTGCAGAATTCAAGCCCGCTTATCAGACCTTGGGGGCGTGATCGCGCGAGTTTAATCCTGCAACAGGGGTAACTGCTCCTCCAAGCACCACAAACAAAACACAGCACTTGTCGCCTATGGGCCTACGTGGCTTCGTCGCCTATTGCACAGCATATATTTTCAAAGTCTTGGGGAAGACAGAGTGGGCCCCACCGCCTGAGTTGGCGCCGGGTGTATGTGGTGAGCAGCGCAGCAGCCACCCCAATCAGCGCTGCCGACACGCCCACAATCAGCGCCAGTGCAAGGGGAGACAGCCTGGTCCGGCCCCTGATAACCTCCCTGAGATCTGTTGCCAGGCTGCCGACATATGCATACAGCAGCGACACTGCAGCCACAGCACAAGTCATCGGCGCTCGCTCTGTCTTCATGATCGCACTCTCTCTTGGCTCGATTTTGAACCTTGATACTGCGGTATTCAGCTGAGATCCATGCATGCAAAGAGGAGATGAAACGGTACGGTACTACAGGCTCACACCGGTCGTCTAGGAGCCTCTCTTTGTCTTCAGGGTGCTCATTCTATTTGGCTACCAGACAATTGCCCCCCATCTGCAGGGAGGTGAGGAAGGCAGGCTTGACAAAAGCAAGTGTGAGCTCTTGATAAGAGGCCACTGGCGGTGTCTGTCTAGAGGCCACTGCAACAGCTTTCCAGCAAGGGGGAGTATATGTGCCTGGGAGGAGTCCAATGGCTGATGGCCACATGAAGTTCCAGAAGGAGATGCAGGTCAGGCCGGCAACATAGTTGACAGCCGTGAAGGGAACTGCAGGGCTCAGCCGCAGCAGCAACACAATCTTCCAGCCTTCCATTGCCTATAGCCCTCTCAATTGCCTGCACTCAATCCAACCCGCTCCGATCCGCACTTTTGCATAGCAGCTGATTGCTAGGCTTACTGTGAATAGCAGGATCCTCATTGAAGCCTTGGAAAGCCAAGTGTGAGTACTGGCAGCTGCAGCAGAAGAGCTGGAAAGTACCCGCCATGTTGGCGACTTGTTTGCCATAGAAGCTACCCAATCTTGCATCAGCCACCTGCAGCATGCATGCATCACTATGACAATGCCTGTACCTTAAGCAGTGCACTGTGTTGCAAACTTCTAATCAGGGAAGCGTGAAGAAGTCATTGTTGGCAATGCATGCAAGAATTGTCAAGCTACCTGCCAAGAAGGAAGCCTCCTGCTGCACCCAACAGGCTTCCAATGTACACCAGCAGAGCTCCATATGAGAAGCCAAAGATGACACCGGCTGAGAGGCCCAGGACAGTCGCAGGGAGGGGTAGCACTGCACACCAGCAAGCAGAAAGGTAAGAAATGGACGAAAGGCATGGCAGGAGCCAGTCAAAAGAAACTTTTAAGTGTTACACGCGGAAATCGACCTGCAAAGACTACATACAAGCCAATGAATGCCCCTGTTCCTTCGGCTTTGTGGGTCTGGATCCATTCCAGCGCATCTCCTACGTGCTCGTGGACATGCGAAGACAGCGTCACCACGAGCAGCATCACGATGAGCACTACGAGCACTATCGCTTTTAGAGAGTTTCGCAAAACCGATCTCAGCGACATGAGGTGTTCTGCTCTTCTTGCTGTGACGTGATCTCGGCGTCGTTCGGCAGCTTGCGTGCAATGGGCAACCTATCGTTTCGTGCCTTGGCTTATTGTAAGGTCATTCGAAGAACCTTTGGCAAAATATAGTGCACTGCTTCTATCTCATCGCTATGTGGAACCCCATGACGAAGCGATTTTAAGCTGTGAGTCAACCTCCAAGGTTGCACACAAGGCACCCAGAAGACATGCTAAGATTAGCTCATTCTAAATGCAGCCATGCTTTTTTAAAATCACAGGTAAAGCTTAGTTTTCGCTACCACATATCAATCAGATCTCAATCACAATTTTAACCTGAGCACCGTATCCACACAATGTACATGTTCACAACGTTGAACCTCCAGTCCAGCATCAAAGCCAGACACTATGTGCACCAATTACAGCTGCTTGTGCTGATGCTTCTAGGGCACTGCCACGATCGGGCACTGCTTAGCAAGGCCCACCCACATGTACAGGTGACACTTCTGCCTCTGTCAGGCTTGATGCAGAGGCTGCTGTATCAGGCGCTCAGTCACTCCATCCTCCCTGGCCACCAAATCCGCATCCGCCTCAAGATCCCCATTCCTCAGCCGCTCCTGCTCCAAGCGCCTGTCACATGCACACCAGTGTAATCAATCGCTCCTGCTTAGGCATGTCCCTTTCAATTTCCTGATTCCCGTCCTGCCAATGCTGCAGGGCATGCACAACCAGCCACATACGCACATGTCCTGTGATCCATTGACTGTCAGGAAAGTCCTGCGGACTCGCCAAAGGTGATGGTATTCCCTCTGATGACACACACAGAGCAAAGCACCATGCCAGCAATCTGAGCAGCTCCTTACCTGCTGACAGCGCGCTTGGCGTATAGGGTAATGATGACAAAGGCAGCAATGATGAAGATGCCCGACAGCACTGCCGACACGATGGTGACTGCCGGAGACACTCCCGTGCGGCCGCTCAGAATCTCCCCCACATCATTGGCCAGGCTGCCGATGTACACATACGCCAGCACACCTGCATGCACCCAGCACATTTGCAAATTGGACTCAGCTAGGACCAAAGAGGTGCAGCTGCGCAGGGCAGCAAAAATTTACTCGCCCCAGAGGTGCCCCCATAGGAGGGCTAGTGGGAGACATATGCAGCCGGTAGCTCAAACAGTAAGAAGGGTGCCCTCCAAAAGAATAAATTACTGTACTGTCATGATTGGTTGTTGTCAGGCTTCCTTTAACAGGTGTGCATGTGCTCTTCTGGGCAATGACCCACATGAGCGTAAGTCAGAGATCAATTTCTGATTTGATTTTCATTGTTTGAGGGCCAGACACTAGGATGTGAGCATGGGTAAAGGTCTGCAGCTGAGAAATGCTGGTCAGACGATCTCTCTTCTACCATGCACCCACCATTTGTCGACCGGCTGCAGCTCAAAAACCGAGAAAGCAATAAAAGATGTGCCTGCCAAGAGACTAAATTCTTGCCCTTAGCATATATCAAGACTCCTTTGAATGGAGTCCATATGCTCATGTGGCAGGATGTGTGCTTGAGTACAGATCTGCGTTTGAGAAACGCTGAACAGATATGCAGCCACATGGCGTACCAGATGACGTCGCTCCATTACCACGCAACCACCATTTCTCAGCCAGCTTCAGCTCAACTACAGTGGTCCGTTATGGGGCACACGCTTGAAGATTGCCTAGCCTGCAATCTCCATCTATCTGTGCATGTGCTGTTGTTTCGGGCTGCCCAGCCTCTTTGTTTTTTTGCACTTCAATGTGATGTTTGGGCAGGCCATAACACGAATCGGCCCATTTTCTCAGGTGCTCCTCTAGATTGGGCGGACTAAGGACAGAGAAGGCACCTGGGATGATGCCGAGTGCTGAGGCCCAGGTGTAGTCGAAGAAACTGATGGCGGTGAGGCTGAGCATGTAATTGAGCAGGGCAAAGGGGATGACTGGGCTCAGCCGCAGCAGCACCACCATCTTCCACCCCTCCTCCTCCACCGCAGCTTCCACCGCCTGCACGATCACATATGTGACCCTTTATACTTCTTTAAAGGTAAAATAGTGGTACACTGTGACTGGTGCTTGGGGGTGGAGGGAACTCCGGTGACCTGCACACCTGACTGACACATTTCCATTCTTGCGAAGTCATCTAATACACCTAATACTGCAATATCAGGCACTTCGATGCATTTTTCCGCAAGTAATGTAATCCTAGATAAGCCAATGCATGGTATCAAACTGCAAAGAAGGCATACGATTGACTAAGCACTGTTAGGAACAATGGCTGTGTTGGCTTGACAAAGGTGCGCACCTGCCAGATGTCATATTTCTTGGCCAGTGATGCCACCCAATCGCGGAGAATAAGCCTGAACGAAGCAGGCCAGTATCATGGTGCATGTAATCAACCATGATCACCAAGCCTGAAGTCTTATATATTGCCGTGTTGTAGCCAGGCTGGCTAGCCAACCTACACAGGTGCATGACAGCACCTACCACGACTTGGTGGTAGAAAGACATTAAGGGTGTGTGCGGATGCTGCAACTGCACCTGCCAACAATGAAGCACCCGATCTCTCCCAGCACTGCTCCAGTCCAAACCAAAAGAGATCCGAGCGTGAGCTTGAAGATAGTACCGGCTGCCAGGCTCATGACAGCGGCTGGCACTGGCAACACTGCATCATAAGGAGTTGTTCGTGTCCTGTTCCATAGCTCATGATTCCCATTGGCTAGATTGACCTGCCTCTTGCTGCATGCATGTCTGAGTTCGAGAAATGCTCACCTGTGAAGAGGGCATAGAATCCCACAAAAGATAGAGATCCGGCGACCTTGTGTGCCTCAATCCAATCCAGAATGTCTCCAATGTGATCTTGGACGCGGAGTACTAGTGTGGCCACAAGTATGATGGCCACGAAAGCTAGGATACCAGCCACTCTGAGAGCGTTCCTTGACAATTTGGTGAGCGCCATACTATCAGACACCGACGGATTTCCTGTCCTAGAACGGGCTATCCTCCAAGCTGTCAGAGCAAGCAGGATGCCATGCGCTTGCTTCTCAGATTTTGATGGGCTTTGGCAGACGTTCTGTATTGCTAAGACATAAAGGATATCGGTTGATTAGTAAAGACCCTATTGTGACGTGACCCCTACGAGTCTATGAAGTCCCAGATCCCGATGTGATCTTCAATCCAAAATCACCTTCGTAACAACAAAATAAGCTGCACTGATCCCTAGTGATTCCTTGTGTTCAATGCACAGATCAACACGTCTTGTAGTTTCTGCTGCTTTTGGAATGTGAGGAGAACTGAAGGCATCCAAGAATGTTCCTTTCTGGGCTGCTGCATGATTGCCACGTGTGCAACATGGTCCATCTGTTCCTTTCAGAAAAGGATATCTGTGTTCCTTGCATATTTTGAGAACAATTATCGCATCTGGAGACTGCATGCAATCTTCTGTGACAACGCTGCAAAGATAAGGAAAGACTCCATGCTTATGAGGCTGGGCATCGGTGGTATTACAATCAACAGACCAGATCCCTCTACCGTGGATCGCGCGACCAATAAGGCAAAATTGTAAGCCTGCACAGGTATATTGCAAGCAATTGTCGACTCTGTCAAGGTTTACGTTGGCCAATGTCCGGGATGTGTGCTGTTCAGGGCGGCCCCAAATCATAACTTGACCGGCATCACCGAATTTACGTCCGGAAGTTCTCTGAAAGGGTGGCAGTCAGACTATGATCGTGTGCAGGTGGGCTGTCAATTGCCTTGATCCACCCACCTTCAGCCGACATCCGTGTGCTCCTCGGACAGTGCTCTGATGCTGTCATCGATGTTGTACACAGGTTGGCAAGGGCAAGCAAGCCTACAGAAAAGCAAAGGATTTTGTGAGTGAATGGCAGCACATGGGACTGGGTTGGGTGGACACCAACCGGCCAGCAGTCAAGGTGCACCCATTGCATCTGAGATTGGATATGTTGCAGGCTCGTCAATAGGTCTAAGTGCCGCTCTAAGTCCCTATAAGTCACAAATGAATTAATAAGTGGTGCAATCTGGGAAGCCGAAGTGATCTCCCAATCCAGCAAGCACAGAATGCATACCGAGGCAACGGCTTGACTTTAAGTGCACAAGTCTGCAAGGTGGGGGAGCATGTGATCGTCATGGCACAAGTTCTGGGGCTCTTGTGGATGTGCAATCCACTGCGCATCCTGTATGCCAAGGAAGAGAAGGGTTTGATCCCTGCTGCAGCAATGCTGAGAGCTCGACGCCAACCAGCCTGCACCAGTAGAGGTCGGATCCTCTTGTTATCCACTGCTCTTCCTGCAGCATCCCATTGTCACATGTACAACAGCACGGATATGTGCTGGTGCTTTTATGGGCTGCTCAGATGGCTCCAAAGCCTTGGGCTGACCAGTGATTGCTGGTGTTTCTGCCAGGCCTGCGCTTTGACCTTGGGCAGACAACTCTTGAGGGTCACAGCCTGGCTGGAGAGGAGCGCTTCTCTGTACAGTGGTCCAAGGAAGATGACAGTGTCTGGTGGGTGTCCCTTTTTTCCATGCAGTCCAATTGCGTACAGTTGTCAAGGCGTTGGAACTGCATGGGGTATGAGCTGTGCTTGGTTGTTGCAGGTACGAGATATATGCTATCAGCAGACCTGCAACCTTGTTGGCGCTAGCGAGCTACCCATTAACAAGATATTACCAGCAGAGATTCCGGCGAGAATCAATGGCTGCAGTGCAACGTGCAGCGGAGTGCATTTGATATTACAGTGTTGTCTTCATGAACCATTGAAGAGCCTCAAAGGCCTGACCTGACCATCGATGTCACTAAGATGCCGTTTTCTGCCATTTGGAAGGACAATTGTGAATTTATGGAATGTGATCAAGAATGCTGTATGCTCTTGAGCGTGCGAGAGTGTTGGCTATTCAAGCCGCTGTTTTCATGTGGCACATGCCGTGCGCTGCAGTGAATGTTTACAGTCCAAAACGCAGCCAAAAAACTAGAAGCACAAAAAATATGTCGCCAGGCCCTGCAATGGACTCTAGGATATTGTAATACACTCACAGCAATGATCTGGAACGCACACCTCAATAATCTTCTCCATACTTCTCAAAAGGAGAGACCTAGTGACTGGTTTCCCAAGGCCTGGACAAGCTCTTAAGGGGACCTAGTAAACATCCTGACCGAGAACCAGTAAAAATCAATTGACTGCCGCGAAACCTTTGCACAATCGTGCACAGCTGCTACAGCACGGCGCTCCATGTGCTCTCTTCTCACTCCTACTTTATACCTACATTAAACCAGGTGCCGGCTGGCGGGGGGCGGTACAAATACTGAGCACCGTGCCCACGGTTGATTGGGTCTTGCTTGGATCTGGCGAGTCCAACAAGGGTAGGATTGTGGCAGCCTTTAATTGCAGCTTGTCTGCAGGACGCACCTTGCCTCTTGGCAGGAAAAGCGTGTAATAATAATAATAAAAACCAGGTGCTCTCTTTAAGAAATATCCTATCCTACCCTGGCAAATGCTGCACTATGCTGAGGCAGACTTGGAGGCTCTGATTACAGCGAGCAGCCAGTACAGTGTGGCTACTGATCCCTGGACAGAGGGTCCACTCTTGGGAAGTATGCCCCCATGGGCATCTGTCTCCGGCCTACAGAGGGAGAGTTTCTGACTCTGGCAACTGCTGCTGCTGTGCACGCATCCGCAGCCACATGCCTGCACAGCACACACAAAGATCTTGCTCAGCATGCATGTGTATGGCTCTGCAAGAATGGCACAGCATGGATAAAGAAAATGTTGTGCCCATGCAAAGTGGTACAGATGGGTGTGAAATACAGATCGGTGGGCCAATGCCTGTCATTGCCAGGTCAGCCCGTGGCTTTGGACAGCTGCTCAAGCCAGGCAGGGACTGGGATGTAGGTTGAAAAAGCATAGTGGGCTCCTTGAGACGGCGCAAAGCCGCCCTGAGGCGTCATAGCAGCCCTGCCCATGACAATGACTTTCCTGCCTCAGTCCAGCTCGCAGCCCATCTGGTGTCGCAAAAGGAAAAAAAATGCACAATATTGCGTGCTTGTTTTCTAAGACAGCACTGGTCAATGTTGGGTCATTGCTGGTCATCTGCAGACTCTATGAAGAGCGCTAGAGCTGGGGGAGCTTGCCTGAGTGGCTTGGGCTTTTTGGGACTGGATTTGGGACTGCCCTTGCCCTTGCGCTTGCTGCGCTTGCCCCCCTCTCTGCCAGGAATGTAGTCTTCGTCCTTGGGTGCCTCATACTCATCGATCTGCACAGACACACATCAAAGCATCAGCACATGCCTGCAGCCCAGAACTTCAGAACATTGAGTGAAGACTGCATGCTCTTCCTGTCAAAAGAGGCAAGGTGTGTCTGCTTATAACATGCATGCACAGCCTCCCATATGGGTTAGGAAGACCCAGAGCAGCCAGAATGGACATGCCCATCAGCCAAATCATGCATGCCACATCCTTGCATTGCGGTATGCAATGCAGTTCCGAGTCTCTAAGGGTGCGGCTGTCATGGAAAGCACAAATCGACTCCTAGAAGGGGGGCAGAGGCAGCTCACATGCATGTCTGACATCTTCGAGGTCATGCATGTGGGCTCCTCCTCCTGCTGCAGCTTCTCAGCAAACTGCCGGTCAGCTTCCTCCAGCGCTGACAGGGACTGCTGCGGCGGCGCCCTGGCTGCGGGTGAGGCAGGGCCCGCCTCAAAGTCGTCTGCCAGAATGGGGTCATTGCCAGGCCTGCTGGGAGAGCCGACATCCACATCTTCAACGCTCTCATCAGAAGAGGCAAAACCGTTCGGCTCCTGCGCGTATACATGCAGCCAGCGAGGCTTCAAATCTGGGAATTCATGCTCACGCAGGAGAGGTAGAAGGCATATCTGACGGATCAAGTGACTTTGCCTGTCCATGATGTACTGATCGTGATTACAGGAGGTAAGCTGACTCAAACGAGAAGCTTTGGTGTCTAGATGAACACACAGAAAGATTCCATTGTGAAATTATCACGTCCAGTGTTGGCATTGGCATAGAGCACAGAGCTCACCTGTGAGTGTGGCACAGGCTGTTGTGAGCTTCCACCTCTCCTCTGCTTCCTGTTGTTCTTGTACCTCCTCTTCTTCTCCCTCCTCTTCATCCTCCCCTTCTCATCAAGATCCTGCAAGTCACACAATGTCATGAAGGCATGGAGACCATTCATCCACACCACCAGAGCCCACTCATTGTTGTGCGACAGTTGTAGCAAAAGCCCTGCCATCCCAGCAGAATGCAAATGCAAATTATGCCCAACTCACCACAGCATAATCGCCAATAGCACTGCCAGGGCCTCCAGCGTTGGCAGGCAGCTGCTCAGAGGGCCCAGGGGCTGTGGGCGGCTGCATTCCAGCTGCGTCCAGTGGGGTGGCAGCTTCCTGGTAGCTGCTGCCTGGCTGCTGCTGAGCTGGGCTGTCTGCAGCGCCGCTGTCTGATGTCAGATCAATCTCGGCCCTTGAGCTCGGCTCATCAGCCTCTGCCATTGCACCTGCAGGGTCCACCCCACAATGGTCATATGAGCTAAATCGGTTCTCTTTTCATAGCCACAATTCCATTGCAAGAGGATATATACCATGGAGTATTGACTGTGAAACACCTCCCAGAAGCGTCTGCTCTGAGTAGCGCATCGTTTGCTCACCTGCTGTGTCACTCTTGTCTTCCTCCTCAGTTGTGGTGAAGCCATCCATGTGAGCGACAGAAGGCTGTTTTTTCTGTGCCTGCCAGCAATGTGCACGGTTGTGTTGGTTGCTACATTTGCTCACAAGCTTTATCAAGCACCATACAAGCATTCTACATTGGTCTGACCTGGAGGAAAGCACTGGTTGCAATCTTGACATGGGGGATATACATGGCATTCCTAGACCATGCAATAAAAAGAGAACCAAGAGAATGGAAGGTGCAATACCTTGAATTTCAGAGACACAGGCAGCGCCGCCTGTATGATATTTCTCAGGCGAGCTGTCCCGCGGTTCCAGGCTGTCGCCATAGGGGCCTGCTCCAGCAGTCCAGAGGCGCCGCTGGGCTGCCGGCCTGTCTTTGCAGGCTCGTCTCCTGGCAGCTCGAGCATGACCGCTTTTGCCAGAGCATCATCCATGCTGGCCTTAGACGCCGCAGCGGGGGTCTGGAGCACCCAGGAAGGAAAGCCTGCGGTGATCATCATTGCTCGTGTTACTTAGACAGGACGATCACTGCAGACAAGTGGGCACCACATGCGAGAGCTGTTCTGCTTTGCCCAATTAGCCCCTCTGCAGAATGAAGCGCTGCAAGTCGTGCAGGATCCAGGAATCACGTGCAGAAGAGACTTTCACACCCCAGAATTTTATCCTCTTGTTGATCGCACCAGAAGTGGCGGCGGGTGCCTCAGGACGGCTCCTGTCTTCGACCCATGCCATTGTGCGCTCTACAGATGCAATGATCTCCTCTGACTCCCGACTGGCAGCAGCAAAATCGTTGGGGGGTGGCGTGATCTGCGCCGCCAGCCCAGCCTCATCCGCCTTGTCCTCATCCCCTGTCAGATCATGCGCCTCATCCGCAGCAGCCGCCGGCTTGTGCCCTGCAAGGAAGTTCCATCTCTCAGTATGTGCCGTGAACCCATCTCTACTACTAATCAAGTGCCCTCTGGCTTCCGGGTGTCCCCTGCATGCTGTCATTAGAGGCAAAGTGCATCGTTACGTGCCACAGCTTCGCCAGATGATCTCCTGCTGCACTGGCCACAGACACTACAATCCGAAAATGGCAGGACTGAGGTGTTTTCTTGCACAAGGGTGTTTGTTCTTTCAAATATTTCCAAGAAGGAGTAGCAGGAACACACGCTTCGAGTCGGCACCGGACAGGCCGCAGTCCCTGACAGACCTGCCGGAGGCCTCGCCCTGCAACTTGTCGGAGCGGCCGGGGGCGTTGCGCGTGCGATCAGAGACTCTGCCCCGCGGGCTGCCCATCAGCATTGAAGGGCTCCTCACAGCAGGCGGGCTTGCGTTGCCTGGCCACTCCTCGATTCCGTAGTCATCCTGCTTGCTCGCGCCTGTGCACAGTCGCTAATGTCTATGGACTGCCAGTGACATTGCATTGTTGATCGCTGCAAGTTGCCGTCAAGAGCAGTGCTGCTAAGCAGCAGCCCAGCAGATCTATATGCATGCCTCTCATGCGCACAGACATGATAGTCCATCACTAACAGCCATGCTTCTCATCATGGCCTTTCATCTGCGATGGGAGCCACTGCAGCGTGCCCAGGAAATCATCCTTCCACATCTTGCAAACAGTGTCTGCCAGGGAACAGCAGGAGGCGCACAGCGGACGGGCGCTGGCTTCCAGGCCGCCAGCGGGGCCGGTCTGGCGGACAGGCACAAGTCCATCCACTCGTAGGCGCTGGCCTCGGAGTCAAACGTCTTGCGCTTGCCGGGATCCTGCACGATGAGGCCCTTCCTGCCTGACGGCTCCCGGCGCAGCATTTCCACCTCCACATGTGAGAGCCGGTCGCCGTCTGACGAGAAGCGCTTGTGCAACCGGAAGTAGGATTCATACTTCTCAGCCATCGCCGGCGTCTCCACGCGGCCGGCCGGCTCCTCTGGCGCGGGCGTGGCGCCGCTGCCTGCATGCATGGCGGCAGCGCCTGCTCAGGCAACCTTGATGATATAACATTTTGATGCCCTGACTATTCTTTGGCATCGCTGCCTGCATGCATGATGGCAGCGCCCGCTCAGGCAACCTTGATGACTCATAAATTTGATGACATCACTATTCTTTGGCATCATTGCCTGCATGCATGACGGTAGCGCCTGCTCAGGGTAGCGCCTGCTCAGGCAACCTTGATGACGAATCAATTTGATGACATGACTAATCATTGGAATGGTTGATCCTGCATGGTAGCAGGGCCTGCTCTGGCTACTTCGATGCCACACAAATTGACAACATGACTGTTTATGGCAACTTCAGTGATTCAGCAGTTTGTTGAGGGCAATTGATTTCTGGCAAAGCAGTCACGGCACATTCAGTCCAAGGCAGTCTGCTCTGATGGATGGGATTGTCTATGCAGGCAGCTAAGAATACGAAGCAGGGAGAGCTGAGGGTTCAGGCGAGTACCTGAAGCGCCACCCAGGTCAATGCTGTCGAGCTCCTTGGTGCACTGCACATCATTGCCCCCGTCCTCCTGCGCAGGAGCAGCACTGCCGACCTCAGGCTCTGCATGCATTACGGATTGGACGATTATTGTGTGCTGAGCTAAGGAGCACATTCTTAATCCGCATTGGTGGATACTGTTAACTCACATCTGATGATGGCTCCAAAACCAGCTTTCTCCTCCCCGCAGAGCTGTTTCCCTTGCTCTGCCACTCCCCATCCTGTGCATCAAGTTGGGAACGTCAAATGTTATGGGAAAAGGCCAGAGGATTACAGAATGTGTGACAAATCTACACATGCATGTCAAACAATACTGTACATCATTTGAATGCCCCATCACAGGGGCATGTGATTTAATCCCCAGAGAATGCAGCACCTCATCATATCAACCCTTGCTTGCATGGGAGTGTCAGGAGCTTCACACATGAACATGAGCGGGAGGAGTTGTCACCTTGCTGACATTGTCAGGGGACTGCTCGCGCGAGGAGTTGTACGCCACCAGTGGGCCATCCTGCACCTTGCTGTGCAAGCGGAAGTCATTGAAGGGGTTGCTGGGGAACTCTGAGCCCTCTCGTGGGCTGGAGGCCAGGTCGATCTCAAAATTCTCCTGCATTGCAGCCTTAATGATTATAAGGGGAAAGCTCGTGAACGGGTCAACAAAATGATTTTTGCCCTGGTCGTCCACCAACAGTTCAGCTGCCACAGGTAAAGCACAAAGCCAGTGTACAGTAACTGCATGTACTATGAAAACACACACAAGAGTCCCTTCATGCTGCAATGTACTGACAGCAGGAGTGTCCCCAAGCAGCAGGTAATCACACTGCTCACAGCAATGGAGTTTGCATGTGTGCTTGGATGTGCAAATCACACTGCTCACAGCAATATTGTTTGCATGTGTGGTGGATGTGTACTCACGAGCTCGTCGCTATTCTGCGTGCCGCCGAGTCGCCGCTCAGCCGCGTCGGCCGCCTTGCGCCGGCGGCTGGCGGGGTCATCGGGGCCGGCCGCGCCGGTGCTGCCGGGCTGAGAGTCACGCTGCGAGAGGCCGCGCCGCGCCTCAGAGCGCTCCCGGGCCTCCGCGGCCTTGCGCTGCTGCTGCTGCTGCTTCTCCTCTGCCTGCCGCTGCTTTTCGCGCCGCTGCCTCTCCAGCTCCTGCGCGCAGACAGTGCCGCAGCCTTTCATATCATGCCATGCTTTACTCCTTTCTGAGAGGTTGCATGTTGGTCGTCATTTGAGCCATTCTAGAGACTTTGCATTTGGGTCGGCGCCTCCTTTGACCATGCGGCCCCTTTCACATGCACATATAAATACCTCTGCAGGGCAGCTGTGTTACTGGACCACTCTGTCAGGAATGCCAGTTGTCTTTCTGGGACTGAAAGGAGGATCCTGCTTCAGTCTTGACGGTATTTGCAATGCAGAGCGTTACATATGTAAAGGGGGCTCTACAGAGCCTGCAGGGATAAGGCCAAGTAGTCACATACCCTCTTGTGATCCTCACGTCGCTCCAGTCCCTGCGGCAGGTAGTCTGCAGGGCCCTGGTACCTGGCACACATTCACACCCCAGTGTTAAATATCCACTTCATAACCGCTTGCAGACTTCAGGTCAGCAGCAAGAAGATTGATTGCAAAGCTTCTGACTGTGAGACGGCCTCGCGTGCTAAAACGAGTGGGAGACAACAATTAGTAAATGCTGCTCCATCCATGGCTTCACAGAGGCTCAGCTTTCCATGGGCTTCGAGCCTTCCGCTGTATAGATCAGGGCTCTGTCAAATCAAGCATTGCACATGAGCATGGCCAAGCATGGCACACAAGGCTTGAGTAAGGTATCAAATTGGCACCTGTCTGGGCCTTCCTCATAGCGATTGATGTCCTGGAGCGCCTCTGCAAGGGCATCACCGCGGCTCTGCAGCTGGACCTCAGGCACCTGCTCCACGAAGAGCTTGAGCAGTAGGTAGCGGATGTGCTCGCGCAGCTTGCTGGCGTTGCCGGGGTAGAACCACTTGTGGTGCAGGAAGAGCGGGTAGTCCGACAGACCTGCACACATAGACCAGAACCCCTGAGTCGTGTGCCATGCATGCTTCAAGAGACACATAGAGAAACAACATGCAAAGTTTGGACTGATACCGTGCATACTGGAATTTCCAGGAGCGGACCTGCAGCTAAGTAACCCAAAGCATGATATTACAGCTGGCACGATCCGTATTACTGCCTGTGCACTATCTCTCACTGCTGACAGTCTAATACCCCTGTGCCCAAACTAGGCCTGTCTTTGCATCTCTGCCTTTCCTATCAGGTGCCTTCCAGCTGGCCCCTCAACGTCCTGTGAAAATCACACATTAGAGAACACCAATGAGGATGCAGTGAACAAGAAAGGGTTGACGCACTGGCAAGCTCGTCGGCGTCAAGGGGCCTGCGCTGATGGATAGTGAGACGCAGGGATGCGGGCAGGCCATGCGTGAAGAAGTCCACGTAGGTGAGTAGGAAGAGGCCGCAGTCGCAGTAGTTGTCCTGCATCGGCAGCTTCACCTTCTTCGCCTGCAGCTCAAACGCGCGCGGCGGCGCGTCCGGTTGCGCGGCCGCCCACTGGGCCGGCACGCTCTCCCCTCCCTCCGACACCTGCACCCATGCAGCACTCTTCAAAAAGCGCATGTAAAGTGTCATATATTGACGTCTGCATCCATGCTTGCATGCCTGCCTTACAGGCTTCAGTGGCAGTGATGGTAGGCGATCGGCAGCTCCCAATTTGCAAAAGCACATGCTTTTGGCTCGACGAGCTGACTCAATCAGCCATGAATATGATGCATGAGGCCCTCATGGTTCAACAACAGGCCTGTTGTGCAGGCCATGGGAGGCGCACAGTGCTGTCTGCATTTGCTTGCATGCCCCAGGAATTCTTTTGACGCAAGTGATTCAGGAAGGACAGAGAGCAGCACCTTGCGATCCCACTCCTGCGTGAGGAAGTTGGAGATGGCCTTCTTCAGGCCAGGAGTGCTGTGCCCGCCTGCAGCCACGCACATCTCCTCATGTATCAATGCCCACAACACGAGAACTCCTTTTCTAGAAAGTTCAGCTGCCTAAGCTCTCAGCACACTTGTGCACAAGGTATTCAGAGCGGCCTGCAGCCTGAGACACCTTACAGAAGCGTGCGTCCTGAGGTGAGCAATCCTACACATCATGGATGTGCAGCAGGCATGAGGGATGGTGCATGCCAGTCATGGAGTCCAGGTGCAGCATGCAGGGCGTCCTGGAGGTGTCCTCGGGGTCGGCGCCGGGGTTGCACACGATGAGCAGGCTCCAATGCAGGTGGTCGTGGATGGGCACAAACAGGAAGTCCATCGCAAAGATGTCCAGGCCCTGCACGTCGCAATGGAAGAGCTCTCATGGCACCATGCGTAGAAGAGCACAGTTCGCATTCAGAAGTCGTGAGTACGTCGGCAAGAGCTGCAGCATATCGACGCCCAAGTCACATGCGCTTCTTCCTTGCACTTTGCTGACATTGTAGGCTGCCCTGCAACAATTCACAGCAAGCATTCCAGCACAATATATACTTATCAATTCAGGAAAAGGACATGTGTTAGACAGCATGACGCCAGCATGGTGCCAGTTAGACCAGATAGGGGCGCACCTTGGTCCATTTCTTCACCCGCTCATGGTTGGCAGCCGCCACAGGGCCCCTGGGGCCGTTGTCGAGGGTGGATGACAGGCCAGACTTCTCCGTCAGCTTCTTCCAGAAAAAGCTGTTGAAGAAGTAGCAGCGTGCCTTCACCTCCTCTGGCAGATGCTCCCAAATGTGCCTGTCCGCGCATCATCCTACTCAGCCACTCTTCATGAATACTTACACATTTGAGAGAGCCAATTGCTCTCCACTGCATCTTGCAGTGCAGAAGAAATCCAACCCAGACCACGATAGGTAAAGCATAAGGTAAAGCATACGCTGTACAATTTTCACTGCACAGGGCTTGCTATGAATCCAGAACTTAGCAGACATGTTGTCTTGGATCATTGGCAAAAACATCGCAGGGACAGGTGCACCTCATGAAGAAGTCGATGATGGTGTCATTCAGGAACTCCTCGGGATTGAGGCGCGCCATGTCAGCGGGCGTGATCTCCACAGCCCCAGGACCGCCGCATGGTGGGTACAGCGCCTTCAAGCCCTGCAGCACAACATCATGAATTTCCACCACTGGAACCCTTGTTGTTGCTTACCATGCAGCCCTTTCACAGCTACGCTACGGCTCCATTCCCACTTGTTGAAAAAGGTTGGGATCACTGATCACTGGCAGGCCTGGCAGGACGCCGATCTAGGGTCTGCCGGGCCTGACCCAAACCACAGCTAACCGAGGTATGCTGCTCCGTCAATCATGTTATTGACACTGGGAACACTGGGAACAGTGCATGGTGACCAAGAAAGAGGGCCGTCACATGCAGAGTCACCGCATGCACAGCTGCCTGCTGCCGATGGGGATTTGCTTGCCAAGAAGCTCTGGTAATAATACTCAGAGCACCATGCTCTGAGTGAGTTTGAAGGATGTGCCGGTGATGCCTCACCTCGAACCTCTGCATGGGCCCCTTGAAGGCATTGGAGCGCTGGCTGCGCCGCGGCTGCGCTGCGTCCGCCAGGCTGCCCGGCCCTGGGCCGGCCTCCTCGTCGTCCGTATCATCCAGGGTGATCGGCTCATTGTCCTGCCATTCTCAGAATCACCTCAACACCTACCGTCATCAGGAGCCTTGCCCTTCATATATCTAAGGACAGACGCTTCGGTGGGCGTGTTGCACCACAAGCTGCAAAGAATAAGCAGCTTGAAGAGAAACAGGCTCTCAAGGCACTACTTGAGCCTCAAGTACTTATGTGGTCAAGTACTTATGTGCACGCTATGACGGGACAGCCTCAATGAGGAAGGGCTTGAGGCATGCACATGGTATCCTCACCTGCTCAACTATGCGCTTGCGGGTAGCAGCGCCTTGCCGCGTCCTCGAGAAGGTCTGCTCGCCGCTGTCCTGAGCAGCCCCTCTGCTCTGAGGCCGCGCAGGGCCGGACGCATCCATCTTGCCATAGAAGTTGTTGGTGGGCAGGCCACCCTCCTTCAGGCGCGGCTGCCGGTAGTTCCGGGTGTCTGGATCGAAGTCATCCTCCTCGATCTGTACATGGCAGTGCAGCGTTGACAGAAATGCCCACAATTTTGCTCAAAACAAATATAATGTCACCACATTGAACCGCATGCATGCAAGTCATGAAGCTGAGAAGGGCGTTGAGGTATTGAACAGAGTTTCACCATCAGCAGTATAAAGGAGGGCATAGAGAGCAGTTGGGGTCAAGCGCGCTCACATAGCTGGTGGCAGCTTCGCGAGTCCTTCGCCTGCCCTGGTCTGCGCCACTCCCGCCTGCTCCTTGAGCATCATGACACTCGTCGCAGATGTACCCAACACCCTACACACAGGACAGAATACTCTGGAATAAGAGCATAGTTGAGCAGGAATTTCACCCCATCACAGCTTGAGCTGATACACGAATGGTACTGCGCGTGGACCATGTCAGAGAAATGATTAAGTCGGGTGATTTCATCACGTCTCCAGAGATGGCAACTGCATTCTGCTGGATATACACATCCATATTTCAAATGCAGATTGAGCGCTCACCGGATATTCCTCTCCATTGCTGCGGTGTCGGTTGCAGCTCAAGCACTCCTGCCCGCTCAAAGCCTTCTCCTTTCCATGCTGTTGCTGCTGGAGCTCACCTGGCGATCATAAAGGCATGAATCCAGCTGAGTGAATCCCAATTATTTTAACAACCCCTCAAAACGTGAAGGTGATACTGAACGGTATGTTTCGGCAGTGCGGCATTGCACTTTTGTTGCCCCAAGTCTGCAGGTGTGCTCCCTGAGCATCCGCACCTCGTCTGGATGTCGAAAGAAGCAGCTGACCTTTGAGGCTCCCTGGCCGAGACCCCGACTGAGGCGCAGCCGGCACTACAGCGCCAGTCTGGCGGCGTCTCCCAGGCCCTGCAGAGAAGAAGACTTCAAGCTATCAGACAACCCTGCCATGCAATCAGGGGACATAATGAAGGGCAGAATGTAACTTATTGAGCAAGGAGGAAGTCTTTGAGGCAGTAGGTACACAGGGCATGACACAAAGATCACAGGAGCAAGGAGCACTCATGATTTGAGAGATCCGGCTTGTGGTGCATCGCACCAGTCTGCACAGCGACAACTTGCTTTGCTCCCTGACTCATCATCGGACGCTGTGGCATCCTTCTGACTCGCTCTGGCGCCTGCTCATTAGCACAAACCACCTTTCTTGCCCGCAACACATTTGCCAAGCCCTTGCTGGGCGCCAATACATCTATGTCCCAATTGAACGGCATCGCTACTGCTTGGATTGCACGAATTTTCAGATCTTGCATAGGAAGGAGAGTGCATTACCTGCCAATTTCCGCTCTCATCAAGTGTCCTGTCTCTGACTGGGGAAGTGGGTGCACCACCTGCAGCTCTGGTGTTTCTGAAAGGGTTGTTCTCCTGAGCAGCTTTTCCATTCCCCGCTAAGGCTCCTGGATTGTCTTCAGTCCTTTCTGCTATTGAATCTGCCTGGTCCTTCACAGCCTGGCGCACATACAGGTCCAGTCAATGGAGACATCTGTGTTGCTCTTCAGATAAGCTGAATGGCTGAGAAGGAAACCACGTCCTGAAAGCGTGCTCAATTATGCGGTGATCGAGGTAATGGACCTGTCTGAGCCAGGCCTTGGATCGGCGTTCCTTTTCTGCCTCCATCCTAGCGATCTTTCCTGCTACCTTGGCGCCCCCATCTGGAGCCCTCAGGATAACCTGATGCAATGTCCTTCTCATAGAGGTGAGGTTGGTTTCCAGTTCCTGGTCTCCCAGTTCCCTGTAAGCCTTCTCGAGCTCCTCGTCTGTCAGGGTGTTCTTATGGGTGCGAATCGCATCCATTTTCCCTTCCAGCTCATTAAGGGCGCCCATAGTGATTTCCGGATCCACCACAAACTGCTTGTGGACACGGTTGGCGAGCAGCTCGTACGGCTGGTTCGCAATGCTCATATCACAAGCTAGGGACCTTCTGAGTCGTGGAACGCATTATACCAAAGCACATCCCTCGAGAAGCAAAATACATCTAGATGTATAGATTAGAGTCTGTCATGCCGGCATCTGGCCTGGAGCCAGGAATGGAGGTCTGACCATCACCATTGCAGGTTGTTGACAACGCGCACGATCTTCAGGAATGAATGTAACTCATGCAGGAAGGTATCGTCCGCTGCAAGAAGATGACTATCACTATAAGGTACTAAAGGTACAGTTATTTTGCTCAATCAAACCCTGCAACTCTGCTGGGCCTGCTGCCACTAGTAATCTTAGTCAGTGCATAGTCATGCCGTGGCCATGGCCAGGGGAGTGGAAATGAAGAAATCTTTGACCACCTTGTGGACCATTGGGCATGTGTTGCGAGCACAACTTCTCCTTCACACACACAGCTTCTGACATTGACGTTCGATCCAAGTGTCCTCCAGCTGACTGGCATTGCGCACGTATGATGGAAAGGGAATAGACCAGCACAGTCAAACCTCTTGTTTTGTGCTGTGAGTGAAGGCTGTATCCTGCGCACATCTGTCCCTCAATTCTCTGCATCAATTGGTTTGAGGATGAACGGCAAGAATGCGGTGACAAAGGCTCAGAATGAGACCCACAGACGCATCTTGGCTGGTCTCCTTAAGCAGGACGACAACCGCCGATGTGCAGATTGCAACGCCCGGGGGCCAACCTGGGCCTCCGTCAATCTGGGATGCTTTATATGCTTGAATTGCTCAGGCGTGCACCGATCCCTGGGGGTGCATTGCTCCAAAGTGCGCTCCACGACGCTGGACACCTGGCTGCCCGAGCAAGTCGCTTTTGCACAGAGCATGGGCAACCGAAGGGCGAACCTTTACTGGGAGGCGAGGCTTTCCAGCGGATTCAAGAGGCCAAGTGAGGGGGACATGGTGGGCTTGAAGAGGTTTATTGAGGAGAAGTACAGGTGAGGTCGGTTTGTTCGTTGGAAAAGCCAGATCTGAACTTGAACTTTCATTGAAGCCGAGGAATGTCTGCAAGCATGGCTGCAAACTTTATCGTGATGTTGATTTATTGTATCCTAGTGATTATCTGTTCCTTTCGTGCCAGCACACCTCAAGGCAGACTTAGGTTGACTGGTAGTCAAGACCTTGCACGATGCACAACTTTTCTCGTGGCAAAAGATTGCATCGGCTAGCACGTTCTCAAAGACAACTGCTCGAAGCTCGAATGAAAGGCAATGGAAAGTCAGGATACAAACGAGCTTCTTGGTTTTCTGCAGAAACCAGGCATATGCAGCGCGAGGCTACAGCCAGCCGCCCTCAATAGAAAACGCAGCCAACCACCCCTTCCTGAAAGATCTGGAGGCGAAGGAGAACGGTGGAAGCCAGGCAGCTGAAGAGACGAGCCAAGCAGGCGCAGCTCAGCCCAGCACGGCTGCCAAGCCCCCTGCGGTTGCCTCCAGGCCACTGCAGCTGCCTGCATCCACTGCAAAGGCGGCCCCTGCCGCTGCTCCCCAGCCAGCGCAGCTCTTCGACCTGCTCAGCTTGCATGACGTGAGCTTCCTCCGCAGCCTTGCACCACAGCGCTTTGCCAGACCTGTGCATGCCTGAGGGAGTGTGAATTGCGGGTCGTTGGCCTCCACACCCTCAAATTTAGCTCAGCAGCATCTTGCCGTGAGGGCTTTCTGAGTTCATCCAGGTCACTTGAACACCATTATCAGTACATGCAATTGTGAATGATTTCGTGACAGAGCGCCCATGTGACATGCAGGCACCTGCGGTGAGCGCTGCTGCACAAGCGCCAGCGGCTGCCAGCCACGATGAGGGTTGGGCTGCATTCCTGGATGCATCACCGGCTCCTGTCAGCGCTGCGCCACCCGCTGCAGAGGCAGCCTCGCCTGCCGACGACCACTGGGATGCTTTCCAGGTAGTCCTTGTGATCCCACATGATGCCACATGCTCTATAGCATGTGTCTACAGCATGTGGTTTCCTGGTGCCCATCTGCATCACCAAGAAATTGTAGAGTCAAGAGGTAGTGCACCTTCGCGTTGACTGGTTTGCATATGTACATTAAGCCTTCACATCACGCTGGAACAATTGTTGTGATGTGCTCAGGGGAGTTCGAGTCCTGCAACTGCAAGCGCGGCGAGCGCGGCAGAGGACCCGTTTGCACCCAAGCCGCAGGCAAGCGCCGCGTCACGCGAGGATTCCCCTTCATCGTTTGACGACCCTTTTGCGGATTCGCAGAGCACGCAGCAGCCGGCAAAGGAAGCCGCGGCAGTGCCCGCGCTTCCCCCAAAGAAGTCTGCTGCCGACATCCTGAAGATGTTTGACGCACCCATGCAGGTGGGCTTCCCCAGATGTTTGCTCTTCTCTGTATCCATTACTGCCTTCCCGAAGAAGCTCACAGCTCTGGATAGATGATGTGTTTGGAAGCTGACTGGCGCGGCAGAGTTGCTGAGTTCTGACTGCATGTTATCCACAGGGGCAACCACAGCAGGGGCTCGGAGGGGGGCAGTTTGGCGGCGGCATGGGCGTTCGCATGCCCGGCATGATGCCACAGCACTATGGAGGACTGCAGGTGGCAGCGTCACTCCATGCATGATGTTTTGATTGCCTTCACGCACCTGTGCAGCCACCTGCGGCCTCTGGTGGCCCAACAAGGCCATTTTGCTAACATCCTGCTGTCAGACTATAGAAGACTGGGCTGATGCATTTGCTGGCGGTGCGCAGGGAATGGGTGGGGGCTTCCAGCAGCAGCAGTTGTACCCCCAGCAGGCGGTGGGCGGTGTACAGGGGTTGCAGCCAATGCCATTCATGGGCAGCACAGTAGGGCCACAGCCTGGCTTCATCGGCACAGCTCTGCCCTATGGTGGACCAGGTTATCAGCCCCAGATGCCGCAGCTGCCCCCCAACCAGGCCCCAAAGTTTGCCAGCGAGCCCGCAATGAATGGCAGCTTCTTCTGACTGGGCGGATGCTGGCCCCTTTGTCCGGCATGTCATGTCACTGGTATTCTTTGGGACCTCCGCCATGGGAGATCCTAAGCTGTCAAGAGCATCGACTCAACGGCAGGCTCACACAGAAGTACACTGCGGAGATGGCGTGAGACTTGCCATGCCAATAGAGAGGAGACTACTGTGGCGATTGTAAAGATGCATAATGAAGTGGTCATCATGACTTCCAGAAGATTTCAGGTCACGCTTGCATGCAAGATTGAGCCCATGCTTATCTTTTTTATCAATAAGTATATTAGCGGATTTAATGGGAGCGGAACTTGTCTGGCCTACCTGTTGTAAACGAATGAGGTAGACATTGTGTATGTACGTTTGGTTTCTCCCACGAATTTTATTGCCTTACAAGCATCATGATGGAAACTTAATAAGCAAAAGCCAAACATTCATCACCAACTTTGGAGGATCCTTCAGATCTGACCAACAAAGAAATCAACCTTAAGGACATCATTCTGGATTCTCGAAAGGGCCACTGCGAATAAATTCAGAACAGGTTTCGGGTGCTGCAGGGAAAATGACATCAAAAAAGTGCCTTTGGTCTCAAAACAAGTTACGCACATGTTCAACAAGTTGAACAATCATTGCATGAGGCCGGCCAGGGGCCCCAAGGCATTGTGACAACGCAGACAGGGTTGCAATGGTATGGATCTGAGAAAGTCATGACACTTGTAAAACCCAAAAAGCCAATGCTGCTAACAAACAAATACTTCTACCGCCACCAAGACAGGGACAGGACCTCAATTCTGCAGTGATAAAACACACGAGGACAAGGTCTCAACCGACAACAGCACTTGCATCAGCTGCCACGGTAGGTGCTGTATCCATACGGGCTCCAAGTCAGCGGCACATGGAAGTGCTCGTTGACCTGTGCGGGGCTGATCTCAAAGGTGATGCTAGCCTGGGGGTAGAAGGCCACTTCTGGGAAGAAGTTGGGGTATGCCAGGTGGCACAGCTTCATGTAGGATGCCACGTCAAAGGTCAGCCTGCAACAAACAAGGCATCCCTGTCAGCTGCAGATCACAAACCTCACGAAAAGTTCCACCTTGAAAGGATGAAAGACTTGTTCGAAAAGGAGGGGCGTCTTGACGCGCATAATGCCCCACAGGGGACAGAAGCACAGAGGAGGAAAGACTCTGCAACTTGAGAAGCAAGCCAAGGGTGGTGGCTAAGGTATGGATGTGCGATCACCTGTAAACGCCGGGCTCGATGGAGTTGGAGGGAGGCAGGAGGTCGCTGATGCGGCCATTGGGGTCTGTGGTGCCCTGCACAACAAATTGCCAGGCAGCGGTGCTGCCGGGGCAGCGCCTGTGCAGCTGCACACCCACGCCAGCCGCCGGCTTGCCCAGGCTGGTGTCCAGCATGTGTGTGGTGATCGGCGAGCGCCCCGCCTCACCGTTTCCCACTGCGCAGCATACAAACACAGTCAGGCCCCGACTAATATTAGCCATAATCCATGATGCTGCTGTAGCAGCTCCTCGGCTAGAAAAGGGCAACAAACACCCGAGTCTCCTGCTTAGTACCTCATTCCCAAAACGATTCCCTGTCCATTCCATCGATCTGACAAACGGCGCAGAACCAGACGGGACTCTCTGGCTGTTACATTGATCCGAGAAACAGCGCAGAAGATAGGAAAAGGCTTGAAGAGTCAAAGGGCTGCGCGAGCAACGCACCCAGGTGGGCTTGGATCTGACCTGCTCGCCGCTCGACCTGCGCATAGGCGGCCGGCTCCGCGGGGGAGCTCGGGCTGCGGCTGCCGCTGAGCAGCTTGTGCAGGCGCAGCTCCGTGATCTTCATCTGCTCCGCTGCCGCTATGAGCAGCTCCTCATGGGGATCATTGTCAATCCTGCAAACAGCGCACAGAATGAGGTTAGGGCTGGGACTCGGCACCAATGTACATCCACCGAATGAGGCAAGTTCCTATTGATGCGACTGAGAAATCTGCATAACAAGCTTGTCATGATTCCACTGAACTATCACAAATGGAGCAGGAGCATGCCTGGATTTGATGACCGCCAGCATCTCGTTGGCTGTCTTGCCCGATGCGCAGATGATGAAGATGTGGCCAAAGCGCTGCTCATAGAGCTGGTTCATGTAGGCCAGCTCCTGCGTGCCATGAGTGTCACACGGATCAGCCATGCCTGCTGTCAGAATAATTGTCTGCTTGTTGCATCTACCTGAGAAGTGAGGTGATTCACAGAGGTGGTGTGTCCTTACCCCCAGGATGGCCTGGTTGGCACTGCTTGCAGCTGCCTGCTCGTCGCGGCTGAGCTCACCAAAAGCCCCGTGCTTTGTCCTCAATGTTTTCATGTCGCCGATGCGCGGGTGCGCCTCGAACGCTTGCAGCCATCCTCTGATCGGAACCTGTGCAGATCCAATGTCCCCATGAGCACGATGCTGCTGCAGGGTACTTGCATGCACCTTGATGTGCCGTGCTCGACGTATGAAGTCTGCAATTTTACCTCTGTCCACCAGATCTGCCTCGCTCTGTCGACGAGCGCTTCGCTGCTGCTGTACGGGCAGCCCTCCACAACCGCTCTGGCGAAAGCGAAAGACCCGCAGGCAGCCAGCGCATCCCCCTCGCTGATGGTGACCATCCGGGCAAACCTTGATCGAAGGGACCTGTTCTCTGGACTACTATTCTCTGGACAACAAACGGTCCCAGTCAGGCACCGTCTGAGTAGTTCCGTCTGAGACTTTCCTGGGCGCTGATCGGGACTCAACCCCTTTGAATTTGAGGAATATTGATGCTCAGCTTATAATTTTGAACCGAAACCTGTCTACGAATCTGCGTCTGGTGATGGTTGGGCATTCGCTGCAGAACTCGTCTTGGAAGCTGCAGATTGCCACATGGGAGTTGGTCATTGGGTGCCGGTCGTCGGTCGGCGTTGCAAGGAAATGGATATCGATGGGTCATGCCGCGGTGGAGGTGCACTTTCCAAGTCAGACAACAGATTTGTGAACGGGAGCGAGACGGGTAGGAGTACTCATCCAGAAGATTTTCGCAATCTGCTGGCAAACAACAGAGGGCGGTGCCCAGGTGCGCGTGGAGTTCGAGGCCTGTGCGTCCGCAAGGCGATTCTCGCATCTCACAGTCGTAGGTTCCCTGCGCGCCCAGCCTGTTGGAGCCGGGCAGAAGTGAGCCAGCAAAGATGCAGCAGTCACTTGGGACCGTAGGGCAGCCGTTGGTGTGTCCGGGAGTTTCGGGGCGACCCAGAAAGGTTGGGAGCAATGCTGGCCGCTCGCTGGTGCCAGTGAGCGCGTCAAAGTCAGACGTAGCTGCGCCTAGTTCCACCGGGTCCACCCTCGCCCTGGAAAGGCCCGAGCTTGTTCTCAGCGGCCACCCAGACGCAGTGAGGCGACGACAGGACGCCACAAAGCGGTGAGGAAGCTGGCGCACTCCCTGTCAGTCAGTCAGGGCGGTCCAGGTCAAGTCTTGAGGCCTGGACTTTCACACCATTATTATGCTGCTTCCTTCTGGCAAAAATATTCCATCAAGTTGGAGGCCTAAATGTCAAGTCTTGGGAAGATGGGGCCTTTATGGGTGTGGTTTTTGGTTGTCCGAATGCAGTGCTTGCAGGTTAGCACCTTGTGTTTTTGTCAGCTTATGTGCCCATCGTACACATCGATACCGATCTCATGCGATGTACTTTTGCCTTTTCGTGATGTTGTTTGCCCTGCTGCGCAGGCTGCGTGACGCCAAGGTGCAGGGAGAGCTTGCATCAAGTACAGCATGGTGAGCGCCACTCGAGCATCTGTAGCGGCCTTATTGTGTGCATGGCTCCGTAGTGTGGCTTTTGCATGCCCTGCAAGCATGATCAACAGCACAAATTGGAGGATTTTGACCCAGAATCGTCATGTTCTGCTGCTTTAATGTCTACCTGCATGGCAGATGTCATAGGTGTGTGTTGCCTCTTACAGGTATGAGAATCCACTCCCAGACAATTTCCTGCGCGTGAGGACACCCGAAGATTTTTTGGAGGCCATAGCAGGGGACACACTGGTCATTGCCGACTATTTCGTGCCCTGGTGCATCGCCTGCCGCCGCTTCCATCCAGCACTGATAAAACTGGCTACTAAGCACCCAGAGTGCACATTCTTGGCGGTGAGTCCTCATTGTCTCTTGCTCAGATCATCAGCAATACCGCCACAGCACGTCAAAGCCTGTTCTCGTCTGATGTATGCTGTCTTGTTCCTGTCCTCTTCTGCCGTTCTGCTGATGACGGTGGGCGCTCCCTTGAGATGATAATCTGCCTGTGTAGGTGAATGGGGGCGACCATGCGCTGCATGACTTTGTGGCAACCTTGGGCGTGGAGAAGCTGCCGTACTTCCAATTCTACCGGTGTGGAGAGATACTGTCCCAATTTGCTGCCAACCTGTCCAAGATTGGCCAGCTGCGCGCAGAGATCGACATGTACAAGGCTCGCGCGCAGCAGCACGGACGCAGCATCATCAGCCAGTCCTAGAGATGTGTGCTTTACCATCACCAAGAGTGTAATTTTTAGTGAGAGCATCTAGAGAGCAGAATTAGAGAGAGCTGGTTTCCAGGAGAACGCATGCATTGCTGTGCCCATGGGACCTAGGATATTAGGGTGCCTTGTGTGAGGTCTGCGCCTGCTGTTCACTGCCTATTATTTCCCAGGCTTCCACACACGCAGGCCTGGTGCTACGCTGCCGGTGGTGCCGCTGTGCAGCAGTCAATTGTATGAAAGGCACCTAGGAGTGCTGTCACGAGCTGTCACTATGACAGACTCCCCAGCACCCGAGAGACTGGGTATTTGTGGGTTACAAACATTTGTGCCATTAGAACGCGGTCAGGAGGAGGTGTGAGGCACGATCGTCTTGCTTTGAGGTTCGTCTGCAACATTTTAGACTCTACAAGGTTCATCAGAGCGCATCTGCCTCTGTTGCGGGGCTCCATTGCATCAGTGCTTGTTGCTGCTAATGGCAGCAAGTGCAGGCTGTTGGAAGCCCAACAGCCTGCACCACACTGAGTGTGTCCACAGGGGCACATGCCATTTAGGTGTAAAATAAAGAATGTTACCTTTTGTAGCGTTTTACAGTTGCAGATACAGGACAGCCGTATGGACTTGCAGAGGGAGCAATGCTGTGCGTCTATGTTCTTGATTTTGCTTGCTCAGGAACATTTCCACCCAAATCAGCATGGGTAGGATGTGTGATCTTCATTGAACATCGGGTTGACAGGCTGTTGGGCCGCTATTGGGCAGAGCTGTCAGATTGCTGCTGCGTTTGTTGTTCCCCGGTCCGTTGTTCCGTTGAGGCGCTGAAGGGGCTAGCCAGCGCTGTGTCTTATGTCACTGACGGTCTGATCATGCTGCATTGCAAGCTCCAACTCACAATTGTGAATAGCCACGCGTACGTTGGCTATGGCTTGATCACTGATCATTTGCAGTTGTTGACGGTCCCAACTTATGAGCTGGCAAATTCATGGCCATGGGATCCTTCCAATCTAGAACTCAAGTCTCTGTGAAGGTGCCGTGGTAATTGACACATCTGAGACAGGTGATCTGACTCATACCTTCTGTGAGAAGGACCCAAAATGGGGTCCTTGGCACCAACTTGGAGAGCTGCGTTGTTGGAGCGATAGGAGCCAGATTTGGCAGCACGCCCGGAGTTTGCAATCGCTCGCATACGAGCACCTTGCCGTGCTCAATCTGCCGCTATCTCACCATCAGGAGGCTTCAAGTGATCAATAATCGAGTTGCAAGATTGGCTCCGCATTGGCGAGGCCGTCTGTGTCCCAAACCTGCTTGTCAAGACGAGGCTGGACAGTTTGAATTCGTCCTCGACCTGGTATCTGCGTCCTTCTGGATCAAAACGCACTTTGAGAAGTGCAAGACGCCATCGGAGCTCCATTTCACTTTTCCAGACAGGGAACGAGGGGCTCTGGCGGCCAGCTGCATAGCAAAGAACGGACGGCAGCTTCTAAGCAAGGGGCTTGGCGAAACACATAATGTGACTATAGCCTCACATTTTGATCGATGAATCTACAGCAAGATTGAAGAAGCTCTCGGATACGCCAAGCATTGAAGGTGATCCCAAATTCGGAGTATTGGGCTTTTGTCAGTTCCAATGCGCTCTTTTGGTGTTGTGTAGAGGTGCACGTGGATCATGTCTGAATATGCCCCTATTGGTATGTGTGGTCTGGGAGGTCTATAAGGCCAGAGCAGATGCCATTTGAAGTTTACTGTTTGAGTTTTCTACCAAGGCACCAAGGTGTAGGTCTCTCTGCGATGACCTTCACCTTGTAACCTGCCTGGCAGGTACACCGACATCGGAATTTTGATAGCAAAGGCTGAGGCATCAGCAGCTCTTGGCCATCTCGCCATAGAGTGCGGCCCCGACGCTTGAGAAGTGGGACACCAATAAGCTGCAGAGATGCATGTACATTAACTGCGAAAGATGTACGCCATCGAACCCTGCTCCAATACCTCGTTTCCTCACATGCTTGATGATTTTGCGTTGCCACCAAATAGCTCGAATTAAGATTGCTCCCAGCCTGTGCCCGTTTTGCTCACTGACTGCTACCATTTGCAGGTCATCTACGCTGGCCTCAAGCGAGGAGGATGCCAGCCACAAGTCGGGGGCAGCGGAGCAGGATGAGCTGCCCACCGTGCCAGACCGGGTGCCGATCACTGCCCGCAGTCCACCTTTTGATGTTTCGGATGCAGCAGCCACCCTTGCAACCTATGGCAGCCTTGGAGCAGCACGTCCCTTGCTGAGGTTCTCAGCACTCTTATTCCACAAATCATACAGGGTTGCTGATGATCACATGAGGTTGCTCAGGTATCGCTTGGAGGGATGCCCATTTATATTGTGGACAAGCGCTTGGGGAAGGGAGGCTTTGGCCAGGTCTGCTTGGGGCGGCGGTTGCAGCAGCGGAAAACCACGCCAATCAACAAGCCGAACAAGGTGCGGTGCTTTGTTGACTGCCAAAACCTCAGACATTCTCTGGTAGCAGGGCAAGTATCGCCTGCCAAGCCTTGCACAAGGTCATGTATTTGTGGAAAATTATGCATGCAGTTGTGAGGGTCCTTGTTTTGACTGTTTCCAGGTGGCCATCAAATTCGAATCCACAGCCAGCAAGGGGTGCAATAATGGCGGGCCGCCCTACGAGTGGCAGGTGTACAACAAGATCGCTGGGTGCTATGGAATACCCAAGATCTATGCAAAGGGCACCCAGGGCGGCTTTCACATCATGGTGAAGACCGCTGGTCCCAGATCTCTGAAACCACTGTTGCATTTCTCAGCTGGAATGTTATGTGTGGCAAACAGAGGGCAAGGATGCTCAATACTGGAGGCAGAGACAAAAGATATCAGTGTTGGGGTCACAATGGCGTGCATGCTGTGTCTCCTGCTGTCATCCTTGCGTTTTGCTCACTGCAGAGCAATCCAGGTTGCAAGGATGGCGATGGATGGCACTCTGTGGACCACTATGCAATGAAATGCAGAAAGGGGGACGGTGCTTGATGCCGAGAGTGTGTGAATGCAGATCATGGAGCTGCTGGGTCCGAGTGTGTGGGATGTGTGGACGACGGAGGGGCAGTCGCTACCCGTTCCCTACGTAGCCTGCGTCGCCGCAGAGGCCCTCAGAGCGTTGCAAGACTTGCATGGCAGAGGGTACGACTTCGCTCAGCCTGCTTGACAACAAGGTCAACTCGTTTGAAGCTTGCGATATCTTTGGTGTGTTGCATTGTCGTAAGGGAATTGCAGGCTGACTGCCAGCACAGCCAAAATGCATCCTGAAATCCCTTCCGCTCAAGAATTTATTTTGTCACCAACACAGAGCATGCAGGCTGTGAAGGATGAGCCACACAAGTGCTGGACATGCTGCTACTGGCATGCACCTGCATAGCAACATTAGAACAGCAAGCAGATGCATGCATATACTAGCGAGGCAAGCAGTTGCCAGACTAGAAGATCTGTGCTGCTTCCAGGTATGTGCATGGCGACATAAAGCCGGAGAACCTGCTGCTGGGAGCCCCGGACACTCCTGACGCCACTCGCCTGTACATGGTTGACCTGGGCCTTGCGCAGCGATACACATCATCGTCCACTGCCCGCCACCTGCCCTACCATCAGAACCCCAACGAGTTCAGGTGCGCCCAGGGGCTAAAAAGATCCGACACCTGCCGAGCTCCACATGGCTCCTGTGGTCTCTTGTGTTTTCTTAAGGTCTCAGATTACCTCACGGTGGAGGACCCTGTTTCACTGTCATGCGAAGCAGGGATGACAGTCCTGGCTCAATCATCGAGGCGCTCAAGTCAGTTTTGAAGCTGGACGATAAGATATGGGCATGTGTCTTGCCAGAAGAGGACAATCCAATGCTTATTTGTCCCTCTCAAGGCCTGCCTGCATGCAGCCGCGCGCATGCCCTGCTGCTGACGCAGAGAAGTTCTGCTGCATTATGTATCTGTATATCTGGAAATTAAAATTCAGCCTGACAAAAGTTTGATAGCGACTCGTGTGGTGTGCTGCAGGGGGACGATCAGGTATGCGAGCGTGCATGCGCACTTGGGCCGCATCGCCAGCCGCAGGGACGACCTGGAGTCTCTGGCGTACACCCTCGTCTTCCTCCTCAGCGGCTGCCTGCCCTGGCAGGGCTTCCAGGTTGGGAGCCTGCCTCAACTGTCACTCCCTGCTGTATTCAGAAGCTCTTGCTCAGGGACGTCACTCTTTGCGCAAGGCCATACTTACTGTGCTGCTGTGGTAAATTGTGTTGAAATGCATTGCTGCCGGCTGCTCGACCCTGAGGGTCTGCTGGCTTGCTCTGAGTGGCTTCATTGAAGCAGTAATCTAACGCTACTTGGATCAACAATTTGCTAAAGTTGAGGTGTCTCAGTTGAGGATCTACTTGAGGACAGTGACTTACTAAGTGTTGGTGGGGTGAGTGAGTGTTAATGAGTCAGAGTTGGCGCGCAGGGGGACGATAAGGGGTATCAGGTGTGCAAGAAGAAGATGGACACGAGCGCGGAGACGCTGTGCGGGTCGGCGTGGCCGCCCGCATTCAGCCGCTTCCTGGAGTCCGTGCTGGCGCTCAAGTATGACGAGGAGCCCATGTACGACGCCTACATGGCGCTCTTCAGGCCCCTCACCGGCAACAGCGCGTCGCGGCCCCTCACCATCTTCCCCTCCCCAGAGAAGACCCCCAGAAAGGTGCCCACCTGGCATTCAATTTCACACGCTGCATTGCCACCACCACCGGCATCTGTCCTTAAATCTTGAGCAAATTTCTGGAAGCCTTCCTGCGTAGCACCCTTGCAATGCGCAATACATCTTGTAAGGGTTCAGGTGTGCATGCTTGCCTCGCTGCTAGATCTGTGGTTTATCCTGGCACATGAGACGCAAGGCCGCATGGTCGGCACGTTTCATCACAGATGACAAGAGCACAATCTGGACCCACGTCGACATCGTCTGGATCCTGGGGTGCAGATTGCGCACCCTAGGATCCTGATGATAGCGACCTGGATTACTGCTATCGTCACGAGTGACACCGCAGCTTGTGCCGCACGAACTCACAGCCTTGGCAATGGCTTACGCAAAGCACCCTGTCAAGAGCACTACAAGCATTGCCCAGTGGCGTGGTGTAACCGTGGATGTCTGCCACAGCAGGTAGTCGGCCGGAAGCGCGCGAGGGAGGATTCGGCGGAGGACACAGCGGCGGAGCTGGGGCTGACGCCCCCGGACAGCCAGCGCAAGAAGGCCCGCACCGGCTGGGCCGGCACGCAGTGGATCACCGTCTACGTCAAACGCCGCCCCATGAAGCAGCGGTGCGCGCCCCTCTGAGCATATGACATGTATGTCTTCACAGGTAGAACACCCACATATTGGTGTCGCTCTGATGCAGTTAAGAATTTTAGCTCCCTTGGTAAAGGCTGCATTGTTCGACTGCGCCATAGCGACACCAGTACATGTCGCACTACCACCGCCTCCCATCATTCACCTAGTGTTTTGACTGTCAGCAGCGCGCTGGCCGATAGCTGCGGATGTGGCGGCTTCTGGCAGTATCTAAGTTATGAGCATGGGTGCCCCTGGGAAAGACATCTTACATTCAAGGAGCTGACAGAGAGCTGCATGTGAAACAGGCATCCTTGCTCGTCATAGTGTGCTGTTATAGATACGGTTCCTGAGTGCTGGGCTGATAGGTTCAATGGCTATGAACCTCAGCGAAGCTATGTGGCGCACAGGTACCACTTCAATGTGAACGCTGACCGGCTAAGCACGCATGTGGAGAAGGGCTACAAGGAGGGCCTCTTCATCACCGCGGTGGCCTCCTGCAAGGGGCTCTGGGCCGTCATCATGGACGCCAGCGCCAAGCAGAAAGGCCAGGTGTGCCCACCCTTCTGGATGGCTGGAAACGTGTCTTTCCTTCTTTCATCCAATCATGCGAACCCCCTGGAATGGGCTCTGGGGAGACCTTTGATGTGTCAGGACCCTGGAGTTCAGATTGATCATGGCATAAAAGAGGGATATTCAACCATTGATCGTTGCTGGAGCTGTCATTGGGCAAGCTTTGAAATCAAGTTCAAAGCATGGGGCGTTGCGCAGTCGTACAAGCTGACCAACGGGGTCTTCATGCCGCGCGAGTGGATCACAGAGAAGTGGGACGAGGGCTACTACATCACTGCAGTGGCAGGTGCTGCCGACTTCCCTTACAAATAGCATTGCTTCAAATATGTGAGGCCAAAGGAGTCTCCATGCAGCACTCTTAACTTAAGAGCATGCTCCATTGCTCGCTGCAGGAAAATGCATCGATCCCACTTGCATGTCAGGCATGTTGACCTTGCATGTGCTTTTCTGTGCATGATTCACCTTCTGGTGACTTCTATCCCTGGCTGAAGCATCGTCAGATACTGCTTCAGCCAGGCTGGAGCAGTGAAGGTGAACCAAGCTCACGAAGGTTTCTCAAGACTGCTCTGAGCACTGCTTCAAGAGAATGAGATTGCATGATATCATTGCATTGGAAGCGCCAAATCAGGAGAGATGCCGGCCTCACACACCAAGCAATGCATGAGACATGCATGCCAGCTCAGGAGAAGTGATGATTACATGGCTGTACATCGCAGGGTCGGACAACTTCAGCTCGTTGGTGGTGATGAGCAAGGGCACCAAGTGGACGCAGCAGAGCTACAAGGTGGACTCCACCTTCCCCTACGAGTGGATCAAGAAGAAGTGGCGCGAGAACTTCCATGTAACTTCCATCGGCACAGCTGGCAGCCCGGCCACAAAGCAGCAGTGGGCCGTCGTCATGAGCCGGGACACCGAGTTTCGGCATCAGGTGGTGGAGATCGACTTCCAGTACCCCTCCGAGGGCATCCACTACCACTGGGACAAGGGTGCGCTGCCACCCCTGATCCTCAAAGGCACACCTTGCTGTCGAGGCAACTTATGTGCAGAAGGGCAAGTGCAGCAGGACCTGGGGTTAGGCATTTGGTAATATGCCGCCCGTACCTTCCTGCGGCCTTGTCACACGCAACACCCTCATGCGCCTCTCTGGCCCTCTCCAGCTGTTGCGGCATGCTCCCTCGGAGACCAGCGCTCTGTAATATGAAGACAGTGCAAGCTGTTTATGCAGTCGTGGACTTCAAGCGCACATGGCAAGCTGCTGCAGTTTGCTTCAAGCAGCTTACGGAAGCTCGATTTTCATAGTCCTTATAAATGAGAACTTGTAACAATAAGACCCATGACGGGGCGCAGGGTACCGGATAACGGCGTGCGGCGCGACGCAGCACCAGGCGGCGGTGGTGATGAGCCTGGCCAAGCGCAGCAACGCGGGGGACATCGTGCAGGAGACTCTGCGCACGGGCGACTTCCCCGCCACATACGTCAAGGAGAAGTGGGAGCGCGACCTCTACATCGACCTCATCGCCTACGGCCGCACTGTCTGCTGACGGCCCTGCTTTCACTTTTGCAAGAGCAGCCCAGGAAGACGGTGGTCCTTGCCTCCTAAAAAGGGAACTCTACAGCAGCCGCACCGTCTGCTGACGGCGCTGCTTCTTTCTTGCAAGCACTCGATAAACGTAGGCCAGGGGAGAGCTGCCAAGGAGCGCTCTCGCAGAAGCCGAGGCTGGGAGTTTCACACTGCCCGCAGTGCTTCCCAGCTTCTGGGTACTTGCGTATTTCCAAGGGCCGGTTTGTGGGGAAAGCCGGCTGCGGGGGCTTGAGGCTTGGCTTCTTGGCGGAGGGTGAAAGGGCATCTCGTTCGTTTGCAACGCTGTGCCTTGCAAGTGGGGTGGCCTTTGGGATTCAGCTTTTGCCGGCACTCCCCGGCAGGACAAGTCGAATGCCTCGAGATCAGTGAGGATGGCCCAGTGCTGCCTGCATCAGGGCTGCTTTTCTTTGCTGCCTTCGTGGCGCGCCCCTGCGCAGGTTCACTTTGAGGGAGTCCAGCGCTTCACTAAAACAACTGGCATGCCAGTGTGACAATGAACACAGGTCCTTCGCCAAAAGTTTGCTTTAAAACCCAACCCGAATAATACATCATGCAGATGGTAGGAGTAGGCAGAGGTAGGCACAAGGCAGGCCTGCTCACCTGACACGATCGCGGGTGTGCAAACGCGCAATCGTGTCAAGTGTGGGGCCGTTTGGTTTGAGCGTAGAGGAAATTTGCCACTGCATGGGCAGATCTCAAGGTCCTATGAGGCCCTGCAGTCTGCAGAGGACTGCAAAGAGATCAGGCAAGATGTGCTGGCAGTGGCAGGCATATGTGCACGAGGCACCTTTTGACAATTGCGCATGTTTTGTAGGTTCTCAGGATATGATTGTTTTTTCGTGTCTGCGTGCATGCGGGTCGACACTTGAGGTGCTGCCATGCTGTTAGGTCAGCGCTCTTGACGTCCATTGTCAAGGAGGATTGTGCTTTTGCTTGTGTGCGTGTAGGCTCAAAAGTGCTACTGGCCACAGTTTTGAAAGACTGTTTGATAGAAGTGAGCATCACATATGTCTTCTTGGGTACTTGAAGTGGCATTGGGTCTACCAATCTGGTGCAGACTTAGTTTGACCAGTGGACAAGTCAAATGAGTGACAGTGAGTGATTGATTGATTGGGTGCATCATGCATGCAACTTGGGGCTGTTGTACGTTCCTTGTAAACTTGGCAAAGCAGAAGGCCCCGTTGTGCCTAAAGACATGATGTGTGCACCCTGCTGGTTGCAAAGGTTCATGTCAATCGCTCACTTCAGCTGAGCCTCAAGCAGACGAGTTTAATTCAACTGTGACTTGTCCGGTTCTGGAAAAAGCAGTTTTGCTGTGCAGCGCCCTGCCAGGGTGGCATGCATGCAGGTTTTGATGGAACAAGCCATTACGCACAGCCGTAGTGCGCCATGCGGCGCCGCACATGAAGAATTGAAACTGAGAATTGGAAAATTTTTAGATTCCAGCCGGCCGCGCACCGCGGACTTTTTTGGACAGGATTGATCCTGATCACCGGGCAAATTACAGCATGGGCCGGCAGTGATGATATCATTCTAGCAAAACCCCCATGCTCTTGAGATCAGTCCCTTTTCTTCGAGCTCTGCATTATCAAAATTTTCAAGCCCTAGCTGCTGCGCATGGCATGCCCTCTAGGGCGGCCAATTCAGGATGGGTTTATGCAATCCATGAAACGATGCGGTACAATCGTGCTTTGCTTCGTCCCAAAGCTAGCACGCTCAGACATCCATCCTCGACCGCGCATCCATCGCTCTGCACCCTCGACAACGACATCTTCGGAGCTACCGTCAACCTCTCGTCGTCCTCTTTCCACACGTCAAAGGCAAGTACGACCAAGCGTTCTAATACCTCACCAGAACGCAAGCGTCTCGCCTCGTCGTAGAGCTCGTGCCAATGCACGTCCTGGAAGCACTGTTAGTTTTCTTTTGTAAGGATAAGCTCTAGCCAGCAATTTGCTGCGTAAGTGCGCTTTGCGAAGCGTCGTGAAGATGTCATGCTCTGCCATGCTACGCTCTTTTCTTCGCCCCTGTCGAGAGATGTGCTGCATGAAGCGTACAAAAGAATCGAGCTGAACGATTTGAGCGCCACGTGCGGGCATTTGCATGATAGGGGCCCTTTTGCAGAAAGATCACCTCCCGACCATCGACAGCCGAGTCTGGCACTGGAAGGCCTGCCACACCATTCTGAACCTAGAGCGACGTCCGTGCATCTTGTCTTCAAGCATAATATTGGATCAACGTGGTCGACGAGGGTGGTGGTGTGTCTGTAGTGCGGTCTCTCAGGGCCTGGGATCCCTGTCCGCTCGCAAGCAAGCCACTGTGGCACACAAGGTGTAGCATAACCCTGGTGGATGCCTTTGACCGGGATCTCCAAGAGCCTAATCAATTGTCCATGTTTGTGCAGGCCATAATGTCCTTCTACCCCTACCTGTACTACAATGATGCCAAGGCGGCCAAGGACTGGCTGATCAACGTCTGCGGCTTTGAGCACAACATCACGATGGAGGACCCGGTGACACTGTCTGCTACCCTCCCCTGATATTTCCTGTGGCATGCTTCCTGGCAGATCACCTCCCCCCATGAAGTGTGATCCATGATTAAGCTTGTTGTGCTGGGTGCCACAACCCCGGCAACACCTGATCAGCCCTGTCGGCTGGAAGATCTTCATCTCTAGAAATGTAAGCTGAGTGTCTCCCTGACTGAACAGGACGGTACAATTGGCCACGCAGAGGTCAAGCACGGCTTTGGCGTCGTCATGTTTGCCACCGCCAAGCCTGCAGGTGATCAACCCAACTATCCTGTTTTGCCTAACACTGTGACAACTCTAATGCGCAGCACCAGATCACTTGGGTGTGCCTCGACAAAAGCAAACAGAAAGTGCAAAAATACCACCAAGATCCTAATAGCAGCAACCTGTTTGCCTCAACCTTGAGAAGTGAGCAGTGTCAAAGATACCAGTCAAGGAGTGACAGAAGCTTGCCACTGAGCAGAGGGAAAGAAGAGCCCCAAGGATCTGGGAGGGGCGGAGACAGCGAGTGTGTATGTGAATGTGAAAGAATTGGATAGCCTGCACGACCGCGCCAAGGCGGCTGGCGGCAACATCACCAAGGCCCCCTATGACACTGACTATGGCTCGCGCGACTTTTCCATGAAGGACCCAGAGGGGCGTCTGTGGTTCTTTGGTGCGCTCCTTTGAAGATTGTAGCAACCTATGGTGCCGGTTTACTGCCACCATTGCATGTGGATGTGCCCTGGATGTTTTTTCCATCTGGGGCACCCTCACCCCCTTGAAGGGATTTTCAAAGAGATATGCTTGCTACATTCAAGCTTGAGGCAGAATGACCGCCAGAATTAAGGAAGGGCCGCCTTGCAGTGTGATTGCAATGCTCTCCACAAACTTTTCTAAGGGGTGTTTCTCGCTCTCAACTGCACTGTGGTTGTGGTGCAGGTACCTACGTCCCGAGGCACGAGTGCCCGGACAAGAAGGAGTAAGGCGTCATGTGCATCAAAATGAAGTCAAATGCATCTCGCATGCTGCTGGCATCCAATGATGACGGTGGCCGCCAGAACCAGTTGCTGGCCCAGCCAAATTCAGCATCTTTGTATGTACTGTGTGCAGCACACAGTAGGAGTCTTTGCATGTACAGTATCTTCCAGAATAGCGAGAGCAGAAGCTCACAGATATTTGCCCATCAGGTCCTGATATGGATACAGGATTTAGCAGTTCTGGGTCACTTCAATGGGTCTGGCAGGCAGACCGTCAACAACACAATATGTGAGCAATTAGAGCAATTTGACACATCCTGAAAACTCAGGCATGCATTAATCTTGACCAACATGTAACCTCAAACGTCTGCAGGCATCTTTGATTACACTTAACCTCACCCACTCTGCTACAGCCTTACAGCTCACTTATTTATGAGTATCAGAATTTTTAAACCTGCACCGCATACTTCACCTGACGGCTACCTAAGGTGTCTGATCTTCTTCTGCTGCTTACAAAGCAGCGCATTCCTACATACCTAACCTACTGTGGGACTCAAGCGAGACTGTTCTGGCGTTGGGGCCGGGCCAGCAAGAGCCTCTGTTGCTTGAGCAAAAGCAGGAGACTGAAAGCTGTTTTGAGACGCCACGAATCCTGTCTGCTGCCTGCTCTGGGGCGGCTCTCTGGGTGTGCCGCCCTCTTTCTCCAGATGACCAAATTCCCTTTCCCATGCGTCCTGAGCCTCCTCCTTTGTTCGCAGCTTCCAAAGCGGTTCAGGTTCAGGGCCCGGTTTCACCTGTCATCCAGCATATAAAGGAAGTTGCTGTGTCTCTAAATGCATCGGATGCATGCTGTCTGACTTGATATCCTCTACCACACATATAATTGACAACCACCAGTAATGCAAAATCGGAGCGGCTGCAAGTTGGTGTCAGCCCTCAGCCTTGAAGCAGGCTCACCTGGTCTGCAAAGGCTGTCCTCTTCTTAAGGCAGTTGTAGAAGGCATCCCAGAACTCGCGGCAGTCGCTGACATTGCCATATCGGTAATACTGCCGCAGTTGGAATCCCGGACCTGCACAGGCTTGTGTTGTCAGGCTGGTGTTGTACTGGTTGAAAGTCCATTCTACATCAATGCACCTCATGGGCACAGTCAACAACTGGAAATGGGAGAGGATAACAGCACGTACTGTAGCAAAACCATAGTGCATCGAAATGAGGGATGCAGGACTCGCGTGAGCTGGCTTCTCTCCCACTTGCAGCTCGCTCACTGTCAGTGCTACTGCTGCCTTGTTGCATGCTAGTCCAGTAGATCTCACGAATTGGCGCCAACAAGCCTTGCAAACAAAGATCTCAGGGAGATGCTACAGCAGTTAAGTAGGGGATACTACTTACAGCCATGCACACTCAAGACCTCGTATCAGCTCAATCTTCTGGTTGCAGATCGAGATGCATAGGACAATACTAATACTCTTGCGGACTAATAATCCTTGCAAATCAATGATTGCCAATCGAAAGAGCGCCTGAACTCTGATCGGCTCCCCCGCACGTGGTGGTATATTACTAATGTGTGCTGCTCAATTTGTTCAACAGCTTCGACGAAGCAGTGCCAAGAATAATTTCTGATCTGGTTGATTTCTACGGAGCAGGTGATTGCTGGGAAGAGATTCGGATGGAGAGCTTCTAGAAAAAGGGTCGCCTGAAGGCTCACATTTGCTGGAAGCGGGTTGTACAAGCATTGCTCGTGAGGTGGTTGGATTGATGTACACTGAACATTTCGGCAGCAAAATTTGAGTGCTGCTAGTAGCTGGACAGAGCAGCAGGATCAGGGTGACACAAGCCAATCTGCATCTGCTTGGGCTTGTTGATCTATAAAGCCCAGCGCCGATGGCGTCAGTAGCTGGCGGGCGAATTACAGCGGGTGTTGGTGCCAATCTCATTGGCCAGCATGCCCAGGATAGGAATCAGGATGCAACCGTGTATGTGGGCAACCTCGACGTGCAGGTGGATGCTTGTTCTGCTTTATGCATGTGTGGCATCATATGCTGAAAAACCTTGGTATCAGTAGACGATTCTTCTTAACAAGTCATGGTCGATGATTTCTGACTGGTGTTCCTGGCTGCGCAGCTGAGCGAGGAGCTTGTGTGGGAGCTCTTTGTGCAGTCTGGGCCTGTTGGTGGGTTCCTCTGCTCACTGTGAGAGATAAAATTCTTGTGTTGAAGACTCTGTATGCTCTGCCTTTACACACTGTCAACGCGTCTCCTATGTGTCCTGTTGATCTCACCCGTTCATTTGCGTGCAGTCAATGTCTACCTTCCAAAGGATCGTGTGACCAGCCAGCACCAAGGCTATGGCTTTGTGGAATTCAAGAGCGAGGACGATGCTGACTATGTATGCCATCTTCCCTCCAGCACGTCTCAATAGCACATGATTCTGATTGAATTTTTTGGAGGGCTGTGCATCTATTTCTGATGGGTTGCCATCTTTTTGCAGGCGATCAAGATCCTGAACATGATCAAGGTGTATGGCAAACCAATTCGAGTGAACAAGGCCAGCCAGGACAAGAAGACTCAGGATGTTGGGGCCAACCTGTTCATTGGAAACATTGACCCCGATGTCGATGAAAAGGTGCCAGCTCTGCCTGCTGCTCGTACTTGCCTCTGCAAATTTTTAAAGCACATATTGATCATCTGCCGCCAACACAATAACTTCTGCACTGTGTGGGCCCAGCTACCATGAATTTGAGGCTCAGAGCTTCCTGCTCTACACACGTTGCCACTGCCGTAGGAATTTGCTGAGCGATTATCTGCTGTGTCTGCTGCAGCTGCTCTATGATACGTTCAGCGCCTTCGGCATGATCATCCAGACACCAAAGATCATGCGCGACCCGGAGACCGGCGCGACTAAAGGCTTCGGCTTTGTGTCCTATGACAGCTTTGAGGCGTCTGATGCAGCCATTGAAGCCATGAATGGCCAGTTTCTCTGCAACAGGTGTGTGCCTACTGCCTTGAACCCACAGACACCACACTGATGTGTCAGTGCTCTCTTCTGATGTGTAGATGCCGTCCTGCCCAAATGTCTCACCACGCAAGCATGTGATGTGGACTTGATCAAAGAGTTACGGTCATGATTGCTCGCTCCGGCTGGGTCCGGCTGGCTGGCGCGGGGCGGTATAAATACAGAGCACCGTGCCCATGTTGATTGGGTCTTGCTTGGATCTGGCGAGTGCAATAAGGGGTAGGATTGTGGCAGCCTTTGACTGCAGCTTGTCTGCAGGACGTACTTTGGTCTAGGCAGGAAAAGCGTGTTAAAAACATCGCACGCTGCGCAGGCCCATCACGGTATCGTTTGCGTACAAGAAAGACACGAAGGGCGAGCGGCACGGCTCTGAAGCAGAGCGGCAGTTGGCGACACAGCAGCGCACAAAGGCAGCTGCTGCCAGCCGGCCGCACACGCTGTTTGCGTCCGGGCCCCGCCAGCGTCCAGACGGCGGCCTGGCTCCCTCAGACGACAATGTGCGCTGCTGCCATAACCCCTTGTTCATCCTCCCACTCCCTCCGAGCAGGGAGCAGGGGAGTCTGCAGCACTTCCACTTTCTCAGAGCAGGGAGCAGGGGAGTTTGCAGCATTTCCAGACTCGATCATGCATCGGTGTGCTTATTGTATATGCACCATTGCTCTTGAGGGTCCTGGATGACGCACCTCTTGAAAGCATTCTGTGGAGCATGGCCCAACACAGAGCACTTGTCATGACTGATGAATTCATGTTGTCTGAGCAGGTGCCCGGACCGCCGCCGCCACCACCAGCTCCTGGCGCCCCTGGCATGGTGAGTCTTTGCTCTTACAAGCTTCCTGACATTCTGTTTCATCCTGCTCACCCACTAGCGGATTTTATGCTTGTGTCTCATGCTTGACCCACTGGCGCTGGCAGGTCAGCCAGAAGGATGCATGTTCGTGCTTGTGAAAAGAGTTCCTGGCATGTGTACTGAGAATCAGTGTTGCCTTTGCAGATGTACCCAGGAGGCCCCCCGATGCCAATGCAGATGCCGGGATCAGGCCCCCCGCAGTGGGCGCCACCGCAGCAGCAGTATGGTGGGCCGCCCAGGCCCCCTCCCTGGGCAGGGCAGCCGGGCGGACCCCCCCCTCCCTGGGGCCAGCCTGGCCCCCCAATGGGCATGCCGCCACCGCCGATGGGCTACGCCCCCGGCCGGCCGCCGCCGCCCCCCGGCTACGGCATGCCTCCCCCTGGCTGGCAGCCGCACATGCCGCCACCCGCGCCGCAGGCCCCGCCGCAATAGTTGTTGCTTTGAGCAATGCCAGAGTTGGAGCTGCATGCAACTCTAGCAATGTCTTTCCAGCTATGCCAGACAGTTTGTTGCAAGTAGTATGCCCCATCTTCAGATTTCTTTTATTGCAAGTGTGACTTTGCATCTGAGTGCACAATAGCAATGAAAGACTTGGAAGTGTGTCAAGAGGCTTGGTTTTACTCATGGAGCTTCTGGCTGCCCAAAGGTGGTCATGCATGGTGGAGCAGGTGCCAGGTGGAACCAGATCGATCTCCAGGGGGAAACACATGAACTGAAAAAAATTCAAACTATCACTGACTAAGGAAGCAATCAAAACAGCAGAGCAATTGTTGGATGCATCTCATGCTACAATGCAGTCGCATGGCAGGCATACCCCCTATGGTTTATAAAACATTCTGTTGCCTAAATCGATGCTCACATGTATGAAACTATCGCCAGACTTCTCAAATGTTTTCTCCGCCCATTTCACCCATATCAAGGTCCCGGATCTTCACGTCCGCATCTTCACCCCACTGCATGCATGAAAAAGACAAATGAGTTGCTAGGCATGAAAGTCCTCGTTGCTGAGCACAAGAACACAATTCATTGCATCCATACTTCTGCCATTCAAGGCACACCACCAAAACCCGCAAGAGGCATAGCTAAAGTCATAGCACCAGAAGCACGACCTTCAAATTCCATCGACACGTCTGATCAACCCTGGGCTGCTGCTGCAGAACCCGACACGTGACAAAAAGAAATGGCAAAGTTGCAAAGATGATAGATATATATCCATTACTGCCCCAAAAGAAAAGCGTGGCTCATGCCCCACCTGAATGCATTGGTTGACCTGAGCCAGCTGTAGAAACATTTACAAGAAAATGATAGGGGAGGCCTTCAGAGTGCGCGCTTGCGCTTGCCCCACCTGTATGCAGTGGTCGATCTGGGCCAGCACGTCGCCAATGCTCTCCTCGTCGGAGTAATCGAGCGCGGCAAAGGCGACCATGCTCCACTCGTCCACCAGCTGAGCCACCGCCGCGTTCAGCCGCCGAAAGCCGGGGCTCGTGCTGCGGTCCAGCTCAGCTGCCAGGCTGGACGCCTCCGGGAACAGGAAGTTATCCAACGCAGCCTGCAGCGTAACTGTTAAATTACACATTTTTCCTACCAAGAGCAGCAAGGTGCATTGCACGGATTTTCTGCCAGGAAAAGTGAAATGTAAGCATGTGCCACATGCACGCAATAGAGGCAACAAAATCCTCCTTGCTTGTCTCATCACAGCCAAGCAAAACCGGGTAGAATGTGAGTGTGGTGCCCGGACAACTATGCTGCACCCTGCCAGTCGTCATGAAACATTCCGTATACTTCCACACCCAGCCAGGTGGCAAAAGTTCTCAGGCCCTCATGAGCTATTGGTGACGCACATGCAGGTCAGGCATCGCTCGCCCCATGCAAGCCTGGCTACATGAAAAAGTTAAAGTCAGGTGTGCTTGTATTTGAAAGCAGGACAGGATAATACCTTGTTCTCGTCGCCCAGGAGGTCAACTTTGGTGAGCAGGTTCATGTGGGGCAGCTCCAGCTGCACCATGGCTGCCATGGCCTGCAGCGACCCCGCAATGAACTTAGTGGGGTCCCCCACAAATTGGCAGTCCGTGCAGTATACCGCCGCCACGCTCCAGCCGTCGCGCTTGAGGAAGTCCACAAAGCTGCGGAAGACGCTGATGTGCGAGTACAACTCGATTTGGCCCGGGCAGTCGAAAACCAGGTAGTCGTCCTCTCCATACCCCTGCAATGACAAATTTTCATACCACTCACCCTCTTGGCCCAGGTGTAAGACAGTAACCAACAAATGATTCAAGAAAAAGGGCTGTACAAACCCCTGCATGGCGTCACACCCGACCAGGAAGGGACCTCCCAATTATATACACACGGTGTTCAACTGTGATGACCCTTGTGCCGCTTGTGAGGATGGCGCAAGCAGTGCATGTTTGCCACGAGGCATAAGATGTTCTGTTAAGATCGTGCTGGCAGGCAAGCGCATTGCATCAGAGGGGTACCTGGAGCTGCTCCCCCAGCCAGTCTTCCAGGCTCTCCTCCAGGTACTCCATGCAATACAGCAGGCCCCTGCATGCATGAGGAAATTCAGCTCACACCAGAATGCCTTAGGCGGCAGGCGAAGCTGAGCATCAGTACTCACCAGAGCATTGCAGCTTTCTTTTAGGCATGGGAAGCTTTCTCTCACCCGTTGGGGCCTAGCTTGAGCTCCTCCATGACATCTTCCAGGGAAATGAGGTCCCTGATGTCAAAGGCCACAGGGTAGTGGAATACATCTGCTGCAGGATCTGCCACAGGACAGTGCCCACGCTCAGGTCTAGCTCGGGCCGTGTCAGCTGCAGATGCCGCTATTTGGCACACTGTGAGGTGTCATGAAGGCCGCTTTATGCTCACCTAGGTTGACGACATGAACGCTTCTCCCCACTGTCTCACAGTGCTGGCGCAGATTGTCGCAATAAGTTGACTGCATTACAAATCATGCTCAGCAGGGCAATGCCATCTAGAAAGCAAGCTTGACTTTGTGCTAGAAGGTGAACAACGCCCAGCACCCATATTTAAGTCCATTCAATGGTAATTTCATTACCTTTCCACTCCCCGCTGGCCCAATCACCAGCTGTGCATACCTCCCCATGGTGATCTGTATCGCCGATCTGTGATCTTCTTTGTGAGCTTCGCGCTCATCGTCAGCAATATGCGCTTTGAAGCTTCATTGTTCGAACATCTTTATGCCTTGATGCAACCTGGAGAAGTTAGTCTGCCTGCAATCAGCTGCTTCCTTGAAGTGCACAACGACTGTGGACCTTCCTTTCTGGGTGATTGCAGGAAGTCAAGTAGTATTACACCTAAAGTCTGCTTTGAAAGGATAATGTTGTGTTGCATATGGACATGCAGAGTGTGATCTCTAAATATATATATAAACATCTTCTTACATGCACCCATTCTTATGACGACCCCCTCCAACTTCATTTGCATATTTCTCGGTTCCCTTTGGGGCAGAGACTGTGAATCGAGGTGTTTGCACTCCAAGAATGTTGTAGCAAACCTGTCAGGGCAAGGGTTGCATTGGGGCGCCAAGTGTGGTGCAAAAATATTGTCCATCACTGGCTGTGTGTACGTGACTGGTCACTCTGAAGCATTTGATATTGACGTGTACTTGTGGAAGCTTAGCACTGATTTTTCTCGGACAGCTCGCATCCATCAGAGCTGAGCAACAAATAATTTGACGGTGCATCACTTTCTTTCTTGGCGATCGTCCGACTGAAGTGTGATAAAATATTAATCGGCATTGACTGACCGTGATCCTTGATAATTTTCACTTTTCCTATGTGTTTCTGTAAGACTTGCAAGTCGTTTCTATAATTATTTACTTGAAGACTGAAGCCTGATGTGTGTCTTGAAGAGGGGGAGCTTGCAGGGTCCTTGGTCGCGATGCACACATATATGTACCGATTGAATGCACTGTTCACCGTGGCTTCCACGGCGCTAGCAGTCATTTGTGCTGCAGCGGCTCTGACAGATTGGACTTTCACACCTGAACCATCAGTCAGTCTGAAGGTTAAAAGCTATGATGGATTGCAGGTATGGCTCATTCTTCTTGTCTTGCTGCATCCTCCAAGCAGACACCACATACATGCAACTGAGATCACTAGGTCTTTGCAAGCTGAAGCCTTCCTGCAACGTTTGCAGCGAGAAGCTGGGGAGCATAGAGCATGGATGACACTCCAGCTAAACGCAGATCTGCAAAGTGTCTTCCACTGGAACACAAAGCAGGTAAAGCATGAGACCCTCTGTTCGACCATGCATGCAACACCAGCCATTGCCCGGTCCTGGATCAAGCTGGATGGGGTTCAGAGCATGACAGCTGGTGTGTGCAGGCCTTCATGTACATCACAGCAGAGTTTGAAACTCCGAAGAACAAGGTGAACCAGGCGGTGGTGTGGAGCAGAATAGTTGAGAAGCAGAAGGATGCACGCATCAAGGAGACAGTGCGCTTTGGATATCCTTACCAGCTCACAGACCCAGGTAAGCCATGTCTTGGCGCTGCAAAATCCTTTAGGAGGAAAACATGATCGTAACACACATGGTTGAAATAGTATTGGAACTGGCAGTCCCTGTGGTGTGTGAGGCTGGCTTGGAACCGATTACTGGGAAAACTGACCTCATCTGTGGTTGCAGGTTTAAGTTTGCAGAACACGACATTCAGCCTCATGTTCAATTGGGAGACTGTGCCGCTGGTGGGGGCGATGCACAGAGACACAAGAGTCTTTCCCGGGCTGAACTTTCCAGGGGAGTACTTCAGGACGAGGGCAATCCCCAAGGGCTGGTGACAGGAAGGCTGCCCCTGGGAACGACACTGAAACACTGTATCTGACAGCATGATTGAGGTCATGGCCACTGGCCCAGATACAACCTGTGCTTTGCAAGCTTGCTGGAACGTTTAAATAAAAAACGTAAATGGAACGCCTTACGCTTGCATTAACCTGTCTGGGTACAGTGCCGGTGACTGTTAATTGTGAGGTGCGCACAGAAGAGGTCACACGGTGTCTGGGAATCCCTTGAATTGTGTAGTCATTGCACATCCTTGAGTCCATTACGAATCCACATCTAGCAGCAAACATGCTCCTCACGTGAATCTCGTCAGAGATTGTGCAGTCACAATGTTGGAAATTCCACAGTATCTGCGGCATGCTCCTTCTTTAGGGATTCTGCTTCAACCATAGCAGATTCACCCAAAGACCAAGTAGTGTAGTTGGTGCGGTGCAATCTGTCTGATTCTGATCAGCAACTGCATCGTGATCCTTGAATGCATCCTTAACAATTCAAGCCCAGTCAAGCTCTCTGCCACAAGCAAGGCATCAGTCACCCATCGTCAAAATTGTCCATATGCCTAGGGAAGCAGCCCCTCGCGCGTAGATGATCTACTAGCTGTTCTCATTTGTTTGTGTGATTGCCCCACTGTCACTTTTCTCTCGCTGCTTGCCAGTTGCTCACATTCTATATGTAGCCCAGGGCCCACGAGAGCACTGCCAGGATGCTGACGATCACAATGATCCACAGGAAGTAATTTGATCCCATGGCCTGCATACATGCCACAAAGTAAGTCTGGCTCCACATGCATTACATGGGATATTGTCATGTCAATCTCATCATGATCGATCTCATCATCATCAGATTCCCAGGCAATTGACATGCAGCAGGACACACCCTGTTTGGGCTGCCTCCAAGAGACAGGTACTCATCGCGCAGCTTCTTCTTGAACTCCTGCACAGGAGCGCAAACTTCAATGCAAACACATGAAAATTTTTTCTAGCAGGCACACTCTTGAAGTAAGGACTGTATGTGGGCCAATGATTCTCAAGGTATGCAAGCTTCGTGCTCAGCCAGTGCCAAGTCCAACAGGCATGTGAAGGCTCACCGGTGACATGTCATCCTTGGGCTTGAGCTGCACCACAGTCAACACAACATGTTCAGAGATGACTGGCAATTGGTGATGCACCCACAAAGACTTCAGGGGTTGAGAGACTGACACTGCAGTACTTCTTCAGCCTCTTGTCGCTTCCAGTGGGCTTTACATGCATGAAGGTAATTTAGAACTAGTTCTTGTGGCACGCGCACCGGCCGCTCATCGTTGTAGAATGTGCCACCAGATGAAGCTGGCTCCTGTGCGGTCTTCACATCAGTCTCAGCTTCCTTTTCCTCTGCAGAGCTGCGAATGGGCTTCCAGGAGTGTTGCCTGGATCAACAGCAGGATGTGCGTCGGTACCATCTCGCAGAGAATGCTATATTTTTGCACCCATGTGAGCATGTCGATGTTAGCATTATCGTGACCCCATGGGGATGATGTTCCTGATAGCAGAGAGGAAGACGAAAGTGCTGCAAGGTAGCAATCGAGCTGACTGTGCAATCCTTGCAAAGACCTTGAGCACCCTTGACGGTCCATGCAGGCTGAAACTCTCAGTACTGCGAATGTTTTGAATGTTTTTGTTACTCACTTGCGGGTCGTTGTGAGAGAAGGCCTGGTTGTGAAAGGTTTTGCCACAGTCCTTTTAGAAGCCACAACCAGGTTAAACTGGGCGCCAATAGCAACAGTGGGAGCCATAATTGCTCGACGATTGATACACGCAAGAAAGGGGGGTTTTGGTGGTTTTGAATGAGCAGTGTGGGATGTTGGAATCTGACACGAGCGTGGCACCCGCAGATCCATCTGGCACATCCGCAGCTTCCCTTCGATGAGAAGCTATGGACCGCGTTCCGCTGTAACCGAAACAAGGTTGGGAAGCAACCCTTGCTTGAAGCTTCTTGTGACACACAAGGGACATCAATATATCCCGGACGCCAATTTTTGATATACCCTGTCCGGTTATATCAAACATTACATTAATGTAATTTTTCAGTTTCACGGGCGCTCACCAGCCTCAGGCTGGCTCAGCCTCAGCTGACCTGCAGGCTGTCAATCTAAAGAAATTGAAGTACTACACTAGTGCAATGTTGACTCGTGCCGGGCACCACCGTGGTGACTGCAAACTCACAGACATTCTGTACTGTGACAACCAGACCTGTGACAGACATCTAAACGGGCTAGACAGGCTACTACTATGACGAGACTGGACGCAAGGTACACCCACCACCGTAAGTAATTCTACGGGTACTGCTACAGAACACTAATCAACAGGATATGGTCGACAAGAATCCATCAGAAGTGGACAGGAAACCACTGACGATTATTATAAACATGCAAGCCGCGGACACGTCAGACTGTTCGACTCAAAGGACAAAGGAGCGACACATCAGCGCATCGTGACGTTCAGCGCCTGCGCTGATAAGGGCTGGTACACATTGATCCATTTGTTTGGCAAATTGTTGTCATCGGCGGTGCGCGGCCGCTTTGGCAGGACAATCCTGTCAAGGTCCATTTTTGCGATGCTCTTGATCTGTCAGAGCACACCCAGGCGCCGTCAGGACCAGGTAGCAGGTGCTATCATGCATGCAGACCCTCAAATCACAACTTAATGTAACAGCAGTGTCAAAAGGCACAGATGCATCAGAGTGTCAAAGATGCTAAGTGTAACACCATAATTGACACGCACAGATGCAGCAGAGGTCAAAGTTTCTGTACACGCGCACCTTCTCTGGCAGGGGGGCAAAATAGAACCACTTCATGGGCTTCTGCACAGCATCAGACAGGATGTACTGGGCGAGCTCCTTCAGTATGAGGCCCTGGGGGTAACCTGCCGACGGCCATATAATTTCCTCAGACGACCATCAAGCCAAATACAGGATGCAGCAGAATCCTGCAGCTCAATGAAAAGGTTTGACTCGCACCTTTGGCAGACAGGTCGAGTTCGATATTGTAGTACTCCAGACCTGAGATTGGGTAAGCCATGGGACGCCCTGATGCAGCCACCATCACATATTATGCCAGAGAACCAGCCAAGGTTGCATTGAACACCAAGTAATCACAGCAGAAATCGTCACAATGGTGCTCTATAAAGCGATGCATGGGCAACTTACTAGATGACATGAGTGACACATTGGCCCACGCAGCGCTGACTGTCGAGTTGGGGATAATGAAATCAGTGCCAAATATATCTGTGACATTCGACGCCAGAACTTGATCAGGACGGACAAAGTTGCCAGCTGCGTTCTGCAGGGCTGCGTACGCTATGTTATTCACCCTGGCCAGCCCATACTCCGCGTACCTATTCCGACCAACAGAGAAATGCTCAACTCTTACTCTCTACCTCAATTTGATTTTGCAGAGACAAGAGACAAGATACTCATGATACCCGGCTCCTTGTTCTCTGAAACGCAGACACAAGCAAAGTAGTCAGTCCTCTCCCAGCAAGTCAGCCGCTGTTCGGGATTAAAAGCTATAAATATCGGCCCTGTCAGCCTTTATTTACGCTGCCGTGGTCGTGTATTCCTTAGGCTGTATCGATCAATGCTTGGGCCTCATTGGCAACAATATGGCGTTGAGCCAGAAGGTGAACCATTGATCACGACATGTACATGGTGGATCACTTTTTAGAGGTGGTGCATACCCGACAGCGTTCTTCTGATTGGCAATGTAGTTCAGGATGCCCTCTGACCCCTGCACCTGCTGGGCACACTTGGGCCATGCCAATGACTTGCCCACAGCCAGAGCCCAGGAGGGATCTGTGGCCAGGTAATTGGTCACCAGCTCTGTGCTGCCACTGGAGTCCACCCTCACGACTGGGAAGATGTCAGCTGAGGGCAGCCTGCATTTGAAATTACCTCAGCCCATCAAGCATAGCGGGCCCAGCACAACGTGCATAGCAGGCGCACAGGTGCAGACGATAGTGATCAGGTCTTCCCCAGGAGTTCTGCCAAAATAGTGGTGAGATAAGGAAGGCGGCTTACTTGGCATCGGGGTTGATTGCTCGGATGGCAGGGTCATCCCAGCGGGTGATGGTGCACTGAAGGATGGCCCCAAAAACAAAGGCGTTGAGATTCAGGGGTTTGGACAAGCCTGCGTGCCACAAAGGCTCTTCCAACTCCTCCGTTCTATGGAGATTGCCTCCACTATTCTGTGCATCTTGAGAGTACGGTCCCAGGGTCGCATGTGGCGGGCTTTACTCACCAGAGACTGAATGCACAGCATCCAGGGCACTTATGGCAAACGGTATCTGCAATATCGGCCTGCAACATGTCAAACATGTCAGGGCCTCAGACAAGAAAATCTTCGCGAGACATTTCCAGGCAGGATGCAGCGCACGTTGACACACACCTGTCCAACCCATTGTATACATCCCCAGGGATCGGCACATCGCTGACGGCGTAGTCATATGCTCTGTTGAAAAGACTCTTTTGTCCCTGTACACGCAGCACATTGATGAATGCTGAGAACTTGAAACTTCGTGAGGCAAATCCCCAGCATTGCAGTTGCTCCGGACACCTTCATATGTAGGAAAGACACAACAATAGCAGCGCCGCACCTGGCCAGATCCTACTGCATCGTAGGTCAGGCTGAAAGGCGCATTGCCTGTGGCTGAGGCGTTTGCGATGATACTTCTCCACAACGTTGAGGCTGCTGTGGAGCCACTTCCTTGCACCAGGGGCAAGTTTGACACTGACTTGCCTGCCAGCACAACAGAAACATCATTCAACCGACATTGCTGCCTGTTATGGGATTCCATTATTTATGAGTTGGCAAGCTTGGTGTCCCCAGCCAAGCGCCATACTGTCCAAAGAGAAGTTTCTTCAAAATCGATCTGATGGCTGTCAGAGCGTACTTTGTTGAAGATGTCTTGTGTGCCCTTCAGTGAGAAGCAGCAGCCCAAGAATGCAGCACAGGCGTTGGGTCGCCAACCTCATGCGATCAGATCACCAAGAGCCAACTCTCACTGATGCCATTTCTTGCAACAACCTCCTCATCATTCAAATTCCACTTTGCAATCATTAACAATGCTGTACAAGCTGCAACAAATCAGATCGAAACCTTTGGAATCGTGACGAAGGCCCAGCCCAGCTTGTGACGTGGGGTTGAGTAATTCCAAGAAGATTCCTTTTGTTGGTGGCCCCTCGCATTTGCGGCTGCAACGATCGATGTGCTCCTCTTCTTCTCTTGTTTTCTCGTGGTTCTTGTTTGTACAATCTGATCCGCTCACAGTGCGTCCATGAAATTGTCTTCGGTGCGGTTCGGCAATCGTGGGCGTCTACAGTTGTACGAGGGCAGGTGCAAAATCATGCTTTTTTGCGTACTGATTGTAAGTGGCTGGCATTGTAAGATCTTTGGCATCCAACACGGTCATGTCTCCCGAGATGTCATTGTGGGCACGCTCCAGACATTTGGCCTGTGGTCATGTATGGACACAAGCCATTCCTCGTTGTGCTTAATGCCTGAGAGCTAATGAAGAAATCTGACTCGGTGGTATCCTAAATGCAGATCAAGTATCCTGGCTGCTTGGTGAAGGAAATGGCAAGCTGAGCTTGCAACGACACGGCCTTCACGGCGATGTTTCTGCAGATACTCATATATCTGCTTCTGGTCTCTCGCTATTCCGCTCAACTCCAGTCACCAACCCAGGTGGCCAGTGCTAAGGACTTGGCAGCAGCTCTATCATCATATCGCATCCAGAACATTGAAATCAGTGGTGGGCCTCTCTTATCACTTTAGGACTCCGATGTCACAGCTGATGACGACTCGTTCATGGATGTCCCTTGTGCACGTGTGCCAATATACTGAGGTGCGCAATGTGATTTTTCAGGGACTATTACTCTTACGCCAACGACATGGAAACCGATTGGAGGCACTGTCACGATTGTGAACAGATATGTCCAAATTGCAGCAGGTAGGTGCTGCTGCCCCATTAGTCCCAATCTGAATGCTCACATGTCATGGGTCTGTGACAGTTGCATGCATGTGATCCCTTCTGATGTCCATTCTTGTCTGTGGTGCAGCAACAAATAGCACAGAGCCTGCTGTGTTGGACTTTGGCCAAATTGTGGATGCTCTCATGGTTGGCGAGAGGGGCACACTGGCTCTGTACAACATGACGCTGCAAAACGCCGCTCCAAGGAACATTCTGAAAACTGATAGCCACGCCCGCTACAAGATCATTCCATTCGGTCCTTGGCCCTCCCTCACAGTACTACCCAATGCCACGGTGAGCACTTACCTCTCGGATTCAGATTGCCTTCTCTGTGACTGCAAACTGCACTTGATTTCATATAGTGCCCGGGAACGCAAATTCATTGAGATTTAGCGCTTCAAAAGTTGCACGAAAGGTATGTTGGAGAAGATGGGTACGGGTGCAAGAATGGTCCACAACTCACAGTCTGTGTGCACAATGCAGGTAATTTTGAACAGGACTCGCAACACGTACGACAGCGAGCCGCAGTGGAATCAGTGCCTGGACTTCCAGAACCAGTTTCGAAACTATGCGTCCTCATGGGCGCCGACTGACAAGCTTCTCGATGTTGGGAATGACACCCTCTACATCTCTGGGGCCTACACTCGCTTCACACGCATCGTGGACCTGGTGATAAATGACACTGGTGCGCACCTCGGATGGCCAGCTTGCCTCATTGCAGGTGTCCTGTCAATGGAAGATAGACTCAGGCAGAGAGGATCAAATTTTCAGATCAGACACTGAGCAGGGCTGAGCAGCAATATTGAGCAGGGGCATACAAAGACAGCTCATCATGTACTTGAGGAGTCCCTGAAGCTGACTGATGCCCTGCCTGCTGCAGTGGGATTTGCTGAAGTTGTCAGCATCGACAATTCTATCCTCTGTCGGCCCAATGCGCCGTTGCCGACAGCGCTCGCTCCAGCCCCTGGCCCTGGTGTGGTTGCCACGGCTGCAGGTGGGCACTCACGTTCCTGTGCTCTAATAATGGACACTCGGTTAACCTTTTAACTTTTTTAATTGAAAAGTTATAAAACATGCATGTCCTCTTGGCCGGCTTCTACCAGGCGAACCGTGACTGTGGCTGGTGTTCTGCTTAACACTGTACCGTAGCGTTTTCATGTGGCTTGACGGGTGGAGTGACCAGCCATGGCGCTGACATCCATGCACAGGACACACAATTCAATTCTGCCTGGTTGGCGCTGCACTGCGTTGGCCTCGCAGCCGGCAATGAGGGTACTTTTGCATTGTTTGCAGGCAACTCAGAGGGCAGCAGCGGGGGGCAGTCAAAAGTGACGTGGTGGATCATTGCCGTCGCTGTGATCGCGGGCGTTGCAGCAATCGCTACTGGGATCCTTGCTGCTTTCCTGGTCAAGCGCAAGAGGAGCCCCAGAGAGGAGCCTCCCAAGGCCCCTGAGCCCCTGCTCAAGGTGGGTGCTGCAGCCTACACTCCAGAAGAAACCCCTATGGGCGATTCCGGATATTCCTGGTCATCGATGTCCTGAGTGCATTGGCACTTTGCGTAATCCACCATAGCAATGCTGCTGAGCATGCAGAGGTCCAGGACATGGCATTGCCCTTTGCCTTCCAGGCATTGCTGATGAAATATGTTCGGCCGTTGCTGACTGTTCTTTATTTTGGATTGGCACTCAAATGCGCAATTTTGTCTTGCAGGATGACCACTTCTCAGAGCGCATGTCAGCGTCCGTTCGTTCCAGGTCACTGCCGCGCGGCTACTCGGGGGATGTGGACAGCATCAGTGCCAGGTGGGCACCGCACCTACGATTTTCCCAAACTTACGATTGTGAATTACTTACAGCAGGATGATGCCTTTGTGGGTCCTTTGTGGGCTGCAGCACCTGTCATGTGCCAATTGAAATGTGACGGCTCAACTTGTAGCTGTATTTCCTACATCACTTGCTGGTAGCATTTGGTCGGGATTCCTTTTTGGGGGGAAGATATTTTGTGGATGTCCTCTGTTAGCCATTTCAAAAGGAGTTGGGGGCTCAAATCCTTCCCTTATAATGCCAACACATCCAATCCACTGGCAGTGCCCTGAGATGAAGCAACAGCTGCCATTTTTTCTTTCACCTCTAATAATACCAGCATGTCTGTTTGACAGGGATGAAGAGCGCCTGACAGAGGATGAGGATCGGCTGTCAGAGCTGCCATCCTCCAACAAAGGCAAGAGCCTTACTAACCTGCTGAGCCTGCCCGAGACGCTGCGTCAGCGCTCCTCCTGCATGGTGGACAGCCTGGAATTGGGAACGCCCCTGGGCAGAGGCTCCTATGGCAAGGTCTACAAGGGTGCGCCCTCCGTGCTCATTCCTTGCACTATTATCATTATAATTGCAATCTTATCCTGCCAAGAGGCAAGGTGCGTTTGCAGACAAGCTGCATTTCAAGGCTGCTAAAATCCTACCCCTTGATGGAGTGCTTGTACAATTGCACATTTCCTTACTGCCCCAAAGGGTGTGACGGGCATGCTTCTCAGCATCCTTATATGCATTCGTTGGAGACATCTCTCTGTGTACACCAGAAGCAAACCATTGCAGTGCTTGGTTGCAAGCCTCCCTCCTCTGACCAAGCTCCATCGGATCTGCTGGACTTTCTTCCTGCATGCATCAAAAGGGTGGCTGGTGTTGGTCAGCAGAGCCTGTGTTGCATGCATGCAGGCTCTGAATGCTATGGTTTTGGGGGTGCAACAGGGAAGTGGAAGGGGGTGACTGTGGCAGTGAAGATTGTGGAGCACAATGCAGAGACTGAGAGCGAGCTGGTGCAGCTGAGGGAGTCCCTGCTCAGCTCATCTGTTGTGCATCCCAATGTGGTGAGTCCTTCACTCTGTCTGTTGTTTCCCAACTCCCAAAATTGGCTGCTGCGTGTAAATTATGTGCATGCGTCCCCTTTCCTCTTGCAATATGTTGAAGATTGGATGAGCTTGCAGCTCGTTTGATATGCTCAAGTGAGTCAAGTCAGCGAATGTTCCAGCAATCTTGATGTGCGCAAGTAATGATGTCGCAGATTGCCACCTACAAAGTGCGCACGGTTCGTGTGGTGGACGAGAGAGCGGTGAACGATTCGGCAAATGATGGCAGCGGGCATGTCACAAGGCCAGCCAACCCTCCAAAGATGGATTCGTCTTTGGTGCGCATGTCTGCCATGCTCCTGTAATTACTCAGCATGAGAATACATGACCGCGTACAGGCAAAGCGTGTAATTCTTTCGGCCAAAGAGCCACACCCTATGGCAGGAAATAATTAGAAGGCCTGCAATTGCCTTGGGGACCTTTAGTTCGTCGCATCATCAAACGGGAACACTCTTGCGGACCAGGATACTTGTGCTTTGCTCACCATTCTGCCCAGCAGCTCCTAACCTGATGCATTTTCCGCGGTCGTCTTGGCAATTCACACTATGAGGTAGACAAATTATGTACTACCATGCATGTGTTCACAAGGGTTGATGGCTGATGCACAGGAGTCAACAAAGGGGCCGGAGGTTGATGGAGGCAGCCAGGACATGAGGGAGACCTGGATGCTTTTGGAATATGCTGACAGGGGAAATCTGGACAGGGCCCTCGTGCACAAGAAGCTCATGCTGGACAATGGCTGCCTCGACATGGTGCGGCATCATTCATCTTATTATTGCCCTGTCTGCTTGTTTGCCTGGAAAGTTGGGGCAAGCATGCTTGCCGCTCTTGCAGGCTCTGTTGTGGTTGCGTGGAGCACCGCTGAGGGAATTTGTGGTCTGCTTGCAGGATGCTGTCTGCAGGTGCCTCATTGACATTGCAGCGGGCATGGACTACCTGCACTCTCTGGGAGTCCTTCATGGTGCAGACAATTTTTCCACTGTGCTCCTGCGATCCTTGCAAAGTGAACACATACTGATTGAACGTCCTTGACATATATGATAGGATGGCTTGTGACATGCTCCTTCTTGCAGGTGACTTGAAGGGCGCCAATGTCCTTCTGAAATCAACAAATGACGACCCCAGAGGCTACACATGCAAGGTGAGGCACCCCAGAGCATGCAGATCTTCAAGCCACCGGCCAAGAGCAGTATTTTCTGGCCTGTCCCCAACATGTAGCTGCTGTGGCATTGAGTGCAATTCTGTCTGGCCGCAGCTAGCGGACTTCGGCCTGAGTCGCGTGCTGGAGACACATGCCACGCATGTCAGCACAAAGACTTACGGGACCCTCGCATACATGCCAGGTATGTCACACCCTCAACTGTCCCTCAATATATCGGCGTGGATCTTGCACATCACACTGCAAAGGCCTTGTCTGCGTGTCTTCTAAACACGGGACACTGCTGCAACGCACTTCACCCAACTAGTGGTGGATCGTGGCACAAATCAGCTCACCTACTGGACATGCGTGTGTGCGTGCAGCTGAGCTTCTGCAGGATGGCAGGATGAGCCGCGCAGCCGATGTGTACTCTTTTGCAATGATCATGTGGGAGCTGTTTGCTTGCAAGCGCCTCTACGAGGGCCACATTGCCAGCCAGGTACGCGTGCTTGCCTGCATTGAATATCACAGGTGGCTTCTGGAGTAGTCATTTGACCGAAGGCTTTGACCACAGCTTCATGATGTGGCGAGCGTGCAGACACATGTGCATGTGCATGTGCATGGAGGGCGTCCACTTAGCTCTTGCAGTGCACGTGCAATGCGCGTGACACGTGTTGCCAGCAATCTGACTGCATGAATCATTAACAGATGGCTAGCCTTGCGCACTGCCCAGCGCCAACATCCGAGTCTTGTGCCACAGTGCTGCACAATGTTTGCTAGCATAAACTCAGCAGAACTGGAGGGACATAGGGGAGTGCAACAAGAAATTCGCCATGGGATGCAAAACTTAAGAATGGAGGGCGGTGCGCAGGTGTTCTTTAAGGTGCTGATGGGGTGCCGGCCGAACATGCCGGAGAGCATGCCGGAGGGCTTCCGCAAGCTCATGATGGACTGCTGGGACACCGACGCAACCAAGCGGCCACCCTTTGAGGAAGTGCACCGCAGGCTGCAGGTCGGTGGCCCCTTCCAATTGCCCTTGCACATCATCGAATTTGGCTGTGCACCCAGCTCCTCACAACTTGAGCAGAGGAGCGTTCAAGTTCTGAGACCAGATTGCACGCCCGGCTCTGAAGTGAATCTGGCTACAGTGACTACAGATGAATCTCAGGGACATTCGATCTAAATTCTCATTGTGAATGACCCATTGTTGTCCTGCTTGGATGTTGTTCCAAGGGAAAATCTTCGCTGGGAACTGGCCATTGGCAGGGGCATGCAAGCTTGTCCCTGTACAGAGTACACTGAGTCCATGACAAGGCCCATCCACACAGCATGATGCAGCCTGCATGCATCGAGCGGCCCCAAAGTGAGGGTTCTTTTGCTTGCAGCTGCTGCACGAGGATGTGATGGCCAATCCGCCGGCGGCGGCAAGTGTCCCGGTGGCCACTGCGGTGTCAGAGAGCCCGGCAGCTTCCAGCGGTAGCGGGGGCAACCAGCCGGCCCTGCCCGGCTGGGAGGAGCGCATCATGTCGGCCGTCAACACCCCGGCGGGCTCGCAGCTCGCGCTGCAGGCTGGCCAGTTTTGCAGCCGGGAGCAGCAGCAGGGCGACTCAGCGACGTCGCGGTCGATCAGCCTTGGAGAGACCAGCAGCTACAGCCAAAGCCTGCAGAAGCTCGAGTCCGGGATCCTCCCGCAGGTGATGAATCAAACGGAAATCTCGCAACTGAACAGGGGCACAGGATTGGGTGTGTCAGGGCTGTATCGATCATATTTTCACGAGTGGAAGATTTCGGGGCAAGGCCTGATGGTTTTTGGTGCAGCCCCTCTGCCAGCTCCACCATCTGAGCTGTACCCAAGTGGTCTGCGGCCGCCGCCGCGCGCGCACTGAAGGAGCAAGTTTGAAGGGGCATCGCATCTACAGCATTGCTAGGCTTCTGGTCATTACTCCACTTGTCAGACACGTGCTCAGACAAACATGTCGCTGCAGGTGTTCAGCACGCGGGACAGCTATGATGCTCCTGGCGGCTTTGGCAGTGTCCCCCGCTCGCAGGAGGAGCGGAACCCCATGCACGCTGCGCTGGCCGCTCAGGCAATCACCGCGCAGGTGCAGCCTGCACCCGAAATCAAACCATTCCTATTTACACTGTGGCCCCGGCTGGCGGGGGGCGGTGTAAGTAGTGAGCACCGTTCCCACGGTTGATTGGGTCTTGCTTGGATCTGGCGAGTCCATCATGGGGTAGGATTTTGGCAGCATCTAACTGCAGCTTGTCTGCAGGACGCACCTTGCCTTTTGGAAGGAACCGCGTGCTCATAAAAATTATTTACACTCCATGAATAGGGCTGTTCACGCATGCTGTTCACGTATGCCGCTTTTGGGTGGCGGCATCTCGCTTGGGCTAGCTTTGCATCACAAGGGATGGAGAAAACCGCTCGTATAATGGTCTCGCTGCGCTTTGGGAGATAAGAGACGAGTACTATATCTTATTGGGGCAGGCTATGGATAATACGTACTTGTGAAATCCTCTGCGCCAATGGGATGCACCAACTGCGTCATTTCTGCATTGCACCGACGGGTTATACATTTCAGCTGTTTAATGCCTGACCACAGTTGATTGGGTCTCGCTTGGATCTGGCGAGTCCAACAAGGGGAAGGATTGTGGCAGCCTTCAATTACAGCTTGTCTGCAGGACGTACTTGCCTTGTGGCAGGAAAGGCGTGTAATAACAATAATGATACGAATGTCTGCCTCTGCTTCACAGGTGATGTCGCTGCACAGCACCCCAGTTGGCAGCGCAGCGGACCCCCCGGGCTCGCAGGGGGGCACCGCGGCCGGCGGGCGGCCGGCGGCGCTGGACCGGCGGGTGAGCTTCCGGGACGGCGGCCACCCCGTTCCCGGCGTGCTGACGTGGCGGCCCCCCGCCTCGCGGTCCACCAGCGATCTCGTCGGCGGCGTTCCCTCTGGGGGGTCCCCCCAGGTGCTGGGCATGCTTCCGGCCCTGTCCGCCGAATACTTCCAGCAGCCGTCGCCAAACCAGCACCCCGCCACAGTCAGGAGTGCCTTTGCAGACGCTGCGCAGGCGCCTTCGAATTCGAATCCAAGGCCGCAGCTGGGGACGCGCGCGCTCCCCGGCTCGGCGGCGGAGGTGGAGATGGTGGAGCATGCGGGGGAGACCGGGGGGTCCGACAATGCCACAGCCTCTCAGGGCGACGGCCTGCCCATGCCCGACGTCGTTGCCGAGTGGTTCAAAACGGCGTCGTTTAGAAACGAAGCCGCGGCGATGCAGCAGCCCATCAATGTCAAGGATGATGCGGAAGGCGGCGATTTTGCTGAGAGCATGCCACTGGAACTTGGGCGGAACAGGCGGCGACATCAGTGATGTCTGTGCGACCTTGCGCCCTAAATGCTGACCACACCACAAGTCTTATGACAGTTTGAGAGCGCGGGACTGTGCTATGAGAAGCTGTGGAAGGCATGGGTCCCTTTGTTTACAGGAAGCCATGAAAGAAGGGAGAGATCTATTTCTATGGTGGGGGTGAAGCTTTGAATGTGTGTCTAGAACTCTCTGCTGCTGAAAGACCCCATTTTTGCGCACTGCGAATGGACAGTGTGACGGGACACAGTGAAGCAGCGGCAGCTGACATAGCATATTTCATTGTTAGACCAATCTATGACCGGCAGTCTTAAAGGACTTCCTCTGAGAATCTCCCCAAGGTTCGGGGATATGTTTGGGCATTTTTATGCTCTCCAAATGCAGCCAGGCTGCCGCATGCCATGCGTGTGTTTAACTTGTAGATAGATTTTGAATGACAACTTTGCTTCATGCTCATGCTTAGCATTCTTAGCGTCCAACAGTGTAGCGCGTCGCAGTGTGTCGCTTTGATATTTTCCCTGTCGTTTGTGAGTTCCTGCAAGGCATACTATGTGGTAGCCTTTGTGAGGTTTGGCTTTCATGTCCAGCAAAGATTAGCGTAGAATGACGAAGACATGCAAGCGTATATATATCAGGACGCCCATCCTGTGCTTCTCACAGTTTGATTTTCTGGCCGCACTGAGTCAGTAAGAGGCGCCGTTCACCCTTCAGGGGCGCAATTGTTCTGATGAATGGTCCCCGGACCCGAGTGCAGTGGCGAAGGTATTGCCTACCAATTGGGCGTCCCTCTGTGTGACAGGGGAGCTCCAATTGAAGGGGGGTTCTGTGTCCCTGTTATCCGATGTGACAGTCCCTTAGGCACATGTAGCGTACCTGTCTAGGTGATGCAGTTGTTTTGTGATATGGCGCTTTACTGGCAGTGCCCAAGTGTGGTCTGTGGGGCTTTCTGGAAAAGATTGGTGTATGCTCTGCGAGAGATCTTGCTCATTGGTGAGCGGTGCTGACAGTGTTCTCATTTTGCATCACCGTGACGTTGCACGCTTGACGCGTGCCGCTGCACAGTGCTGAGTCAGTAATGGAATGTCTATAATGCATAGTCCGTTGAGTTGAGCTCATTCAAGCCCAGATGTAGCTTACTATGTTGACATCCTCGGGACGGTGAGCTCAGTGAATATGTGTATCCTACATGTGACATGTGACATGAACCTATCTATAGTGTATCAGTCTACCTACTATACAGTCTATCTTGCGTAGATATTTAGAGCATGTGATCACCTCCATCCTGAAGCTGCTGTCTGATGCCGCACGGCGCCAGAGTAGGCCAACCTAGGCCGGGCCAAGGAATTCTACACAGTGAGATTCAATCCATTCATGCAACCTAGGGAGAGGGTTTCACGTGATATCACTAAGGTGTAGTCATATTATGTGATAATTTCGAAAGGAAGTTTGATCATTCGCTGATCAGAATGGGGCCTGTTACGAAATGTTTCCCCAATCATGTTTCTGAAAGGCTTGCCTTTGAGGGATTCAGGAAACAACGGCAACCTTAAAATGTTGTCCCGGAATTCATAGAAAATTTTCCTGCATCGTGGGTACCGGAAGTCCTTCGTTGAAAATACAGCGGCCCCCTCATTCTGGCTTGCTGAGGCCAAGCCAACCTTGACAGATCCTTCACCACTATGTAGCTTGGATTCAGGCTGACCATGGGTTCGGGTTCTGGGCGTGGTTGCTCTGGTCGTAATAAAAGCCCAGCGCCCACGTGTACTAGAGACCAAGCGGGGAACATACACAGCATTTGTTCATGCAGCCTATGCGATCATAGATATCTAGCAATGCATTGGAAAGAATTGTTCCAGAAATTATGAAGGGCGTGACCCTGCGTGGGCTGCTGGGTCTATTGGTAATCCTCACAGGAGTGAACTTGGCCTGCTCAGCTCGGAGCTTGGACCAGCTTGATCCTAAAATCTTTGGATATGCCAATGATACCTCGTCGAGCAGAACTGTCACCACTGGGGCAGACCTTGCAGCCACTTTGTCGGACGTGACCGTCTCGACCATCATCCTGAACGGTGTGTTTCTCCATCGCCACGCAGGATTGCCCAAGTGTGCTATTCTTTTCGATCCTTGTAATTTGTAATGGTTGTTTGAAGTGAACACTATCTGTGGGAGTTGTTTCTTGCCCTGAAGGAGTCTGTTTTTCTTGGTGCAGATAGTGTTGCCCTCAGCTCAGAGGTGTGGAAGGCGACTGTTCCGATCAGGAGCAGAAATGTGCAAATCATATCAGGTGTGTCAATATGATGCTGCACTGTGGAGTTTCTAAGCTCGAGCTGCTCTGACAAGCAGACCAAGAACAGACGAAGCCCAGTTCCATGCGCATAGCACCGATTCTGCTGTCTCTCGAAACAGTGGACGGAGGGGATTTGCATGCTAGAGATTAAGGCTCGTGTGCTTTGCCACAGGACCCTCACAGCACTTAGAAATTGATTTTGGCGGCCTTGTCAATGCAATATACGTGGAGAGCGATGGGATTCTGGGCCTCTTCAATATCACCGCTAGGAACATTGGGCCCAAGGCTCTCAGGCGGCCCACGGAGAACCTGCAGAACCTGCAGTACAAGATTGAGTCTTTTGGCCCATGGCCCAGCATACAAGTAGCCCCAGGCGCAACGGTGGGGGCCTTAACCTGAACTCTCCTCTCAAACTATTCTTTTAGCAAAGAGATGTGCAGACGTCCGAGCAGTGCGAGCGCTAGGGACACAAGAGGAAGGGCTGCCTCGGGAGTGCACATCATGCAGCAACACTCAATGATACCCCGGAGCACTAATTTGTAGCCTTGTGTTGCACTTTCAGTGGCGCATGGTCTGGCTGTGTGTTCTTCTCTTGACTAAGGAGGATACAGACACATGACAGCTGTTAGCTGGGTGTCAACTTGGGCCACGCATGTTGTTTTCATTATTTTCTTGCATGACAAGTCTAGCAGACTTCCAACATGTAGCAGAGCTCTCGCAGACTGTTCTCTTTCATTGCTTCTCAGTCACTGAGGACCAGTGGGTGGATGTTCGTGCTTCTCGGTTGCTGAAGACCAGTGGAATGAATGTGTGTGCAGCTGTACACCACCCTGGTCACCTTTTATGCCTACAGCGAGCCGGACTGGCAGCAGTGCACACTGTTCCAAAACTACACTGCAGAGCGGCTGCTGGACAGTGGCTATCCAGGCTCCTACACTATCACAGGCCGCAACTCCTTCACCATCAACGAATTTGCTACTGTCAGACCAAAGATTATTGACCTGCGAACCAACAAAGTTGGTGGGTTGCTGAATTCTGCTCAGTCTTTGTCTATTTCTAGTATTTTACATGAAATTTTGAAGATACTGAATATCGATAGAACTGTTGGAAACCGCCTCAGGCTCACTGGCTTGTGGACAATCGTTCCCTGTCCTGTTCATATCACCAACATTTCAGTGTTCCTGGCTTTATGTAAGCCCATTTGCATGCATGATGCAGCTGTGCAAACACATCTGTCTGTGCACATCACATGTGCAGCCTCACTGTGACAGCGCATGGGTAGCTTGGTGTGGTGAGGTGCCTGACTAATCTGTGTGGCGTTCTGCAGTGGGGAATGCGAGCCTGATTGGGGAAAAAATCACCATCACTTGTGCTCCAGACCCCTTTCTCAACCTATCAGTTGACTCTCCTGCTCCTGAAGGTGCGCCAAAGCTCAGAACCAGCCTTCAAACTCATGTCAGTGTTTCATGCTCTGCTACCATGAGGGGAAGCCTCAACAGGAAGGATGTCTGAAGGAGGGTGGCTTCCCACCTCACACAGACAGCGCCAAACAGCGCATTTTTGTCACGCCAGGGGGGCTTCAATTGATAGAGCTGCTACTTATTAAGATCCGAATTGCCAGGAGACGCAAAGAACCTGGGGTGAATCACTTGACAGCAGCACTTCTCCGCCATGCACACGTTTGCAGCAGGAATAATGGGTGGTGTTGATGCGCAGCGGCGAGCTCAGGCGTGTCCAACAGCGTTCCTTGGTGGGTGGGCCTGCTCTGCGCTGTCGGAGGCCTGCTGGTGCTCGTGATGGGAGCCTGGCTGCTTCTTGTCATACGCGGCCGCCGCCCCCGGCGTGCGACCGATGACCCCGAGAAGCTTCCTCCCTCCCCGGATAAGGTGCGCGCCTGCCGCTATTATTATTATTATTATTATTATTATTATTATCATTATTATCATTATTATTATTATTATTATTATTATTATTATTATTATTATTATTATTATTATTATTATTATTATTATTATTATTATTATTATTATTATTATTATTATTATTATTATTATTATTATTATTATTATTTATTATTATTATTACAATTATTATTATTAGACGCTCTTCCTGCCAAGAGGCAAAGTGCATCCTGCAGACAAGCTGCAATTGAAGGCTGCCGCAATCCTACCTCTCGATGGACTCGCTAGATCCAAGCAAGCCCCTGTCAACCGTGGGCACGGTGCTCAGTATTTATGCCGGCCCCCTTAAGCCGGGGCCAAGCCGGCGCCTGCCGCTACACAATATGAGAACTGGTGACCAGACCCTGACATGCATGCAGACAAGCGATTTTGGCATCGGTGTCCGAGCAGAAATATTGTCTTGTGTTATTGAATTTGTGTCCAGGCAGGTGGGTGCGCGCTTCTGCGCGACCTCGCGTGTCATGCATGCATTGCATGTCACGTCGTCCTCCTCCTGCTAGTGCAGAAGAAGTGGTCATGCGTTTTCGAGATATTTGTTTGGCACATGGGTCTTGGATGAGATGGACAGCTATATGGTGCATCAAATATAGAGACAAGTTAGCTGTCGAGTGATCTCTCATATTTTGTGGCACGTTACGCTGCAGGAGGACGGGGCGCGGCACACATGCAGGGCGTGCAGCGGGGACTTGGGGCCTGATGAGAGCCAGAAGCTGTCTACGGCTCCCAGCAGGAGCTATGACAGCGCGGTTAGGACACAGAATGGACATCCCAACGGCCCTGTCACCCTTCGCAAGCCTCAGACCGACGCCGGCAGCGCCTCTGAATCCGCCGGGCCGGAAGATGGTGCGCCGTTTTGCACCGCGTGCTCCTGCATACCTGTCCACAAACTCACAGTCAGCATGCAAGCCAATGTCAAAAGACGTGCTTGGTGCCGTTGCTTTGTGACTGGCTTCACACTTTACTGAGTGCCATGCTGCTGTGCTACACTCTACACTTTTGTGAGATCTCTTCCAGGAGGCAATACTCTCTTTATGCCATATATACATGCGCAGGGCCACATCATGACACTCCATCAGGACAGGATGTGGCTCCTTGCTTGCAGCTATTACACCCCACATTCCGCGATGTGAGCCTTATCTGCATGCATGAAATGGTACGATTCGGAATGCAGGCTTCGTGTCAGCGCCGACCACAGGCCCAAGCAGCACCAACACGGCAAACACCAACTCCATCACTGACATGACGAGCCTGCCGGACATTCTGCGCGCGCGCTCGGCCATGCTCGTCGGCGCCCTCGAGCTTGGCGCCCCCCTGGGCCGCGGCAGCTATGGCAAGGTCTACAAGGGTGCGCCCTCTCTTTCTTGCTGCTATACTTGCAGCTTACCACAATCCTGTATTGCACAGCACACTCCACGTGCATTTGCCACGGCAGTGACTAATCCTGTGAAAATGGTGTATGGGCACGCCGCTGCCTGACACATCCTTCTACATGTGCGCTGCTATACTGAGCAGATATCCAATTTTACAGCTTGTGCTAGAAAACAACTTGTCAAGGAGTCCATGTGCATGGGCTCTGTTGACTTTGACTCCTATTTGTATGTGAGCATGATGTATGTTTCTTGCCTGAATTTGTTCTTCTCATATCAGGCATACCCTGCTCACCATTGCTTGAGGGCTGTGATCGGTCAAGGTCAGATGGTCTTTGATTGTGATTCTGATCCCATGGCAGAGCCATATAAACAGTAATTTGCTCGAATCAGATCATTGTGCGCGCTTGCACCCCATGTGCGGAGTGCATCCCGCTCCTGTGGTTTTTGGCAGTCTTGGGGCCACTTTCTGAGCCGGCACGGTGTGTTCCAGGCAAGTGGAAGGGTGTGACGGTGGCTGTCAAAATTGTGGAGCACAGCTCGGAGGCCAATGGGGGCATCAGGCAGCTGCGAGAGTCCATCCTCAGTTCCTCCATAATCCACCCCAATGTGGTGCGTGTCAGGCTGCTGTGCTCACCTCTTACATCCTAGCACCTGATAAACGTGATATGTGTATGGTGTCTTGGAGAATTGCTGGTTGTCCCAGAGAGCACACCATCTCTCATCTCTGTGTGGTCATGCGTTGCATAAAGTACATGTCAAGGATGTTGGAAAGCTTCTAGGTAGAGCATGTAGGTAAAAGGTCATGTTGGGAGGTGGACTCTGAACATTAGATTTAACAGAGGGAGCAAGATTGGTGACATGTGCTTTTATTGTGTCACAGGTGTCCACCTACAAGATCCGCACCATCCCAGCTGCATGTGCACACCCTGATGGGATTTCCCGCACAGCAAAGCAGCAGGTAGTCTTATTGGCACCTGCTCTGCAGTGGTTCAGAATTATAGCACAATAATATCAGTAGGTATCGCCCCCTTGGAGATGGGGGGCAGTGCAGACTCAAGGGGATTGAAGCTTCCGTGCAATTGCAAGGCAATAGAGGATGACCAAGCTGCTAGGGGTGATAGCATTGTTATGGCATAGTAGTATTGTGAATAAGCAGATGCTACTTGCAACAGCAAGGCTTTGACTGCACTGGTTCTCAGAATGGCGCTTGCATGATGTTGCATCCGTGCCCATGCAAGAACATTGTTGCAAGTGTGAGAAAGACAACAGGCTGCTTTGCTTAGTCATCCTTAGTGGGCTGTAAAGCAGGGGAGAGACATTGGCGCGTATGCATCAGACCCCACTGTGGAGAAGGAGGCCGGGAAGGAGGCCGGCTATGCACCAGACATGCTGGAAACCTGGCTCCTCCTGGAGTTCTGTGACAGGTGCTGCCTGGAAAATTCTCTTCTACCTGATGTGCAATGCCAATTCTATTACAGGCGTCCACTGCTCATTGCTGCAACATATCGGTGACTGTGCCGCCGTTCTGCGTGAGGGATATCAAGATGCAGATTGAATGTGCAAGTCCATCATCGACTGCCAACGTCCCTGATTTGCGGTCATGGTGCACAGGGGCAACCTGGATAGGGCCATCATGCAGCAGAAGGAGTTCCACCATCCCAATGGCAGGCCCAAGCTGGTAAGCTCATCCTTTTGCTCCCGAGTCCCTTTCCCAGGGCCTGGCTCGCCCCCTGATGGACACCTCACACTGGCCCACCACCTGCAAGCTGCCTGTATAAGGTCACAACAGCCAAGATAACCGCACAGACCCCAATGTCTCTGTCAAAGAAGGGCTCTCATGCTAGGACAAGCGGCTGAAGGCGGTGCTCCAGAACGCGGTGTTTCTCCTTGCAACATTGTTCTTCTTATGTCAGGTCTACACTGAAGCAGCTGAGGGTTGGCTGTGCAGGAATCGATGTACCGATGTCTCATCGACATGGCGGCTGGCATGGACTATCTGCACTCGCTGGGGGTCATCAATGGTGACCTCAAGCCGGCCAATGTGCTGCTCAAGTCCACCAACGCAGACAGCCGCGGCTTCACCTGCAAGGTGCGCTGCTCTCCCCTCCTCTGGCCTCCAAGCACTCTTCACCTGCAGTCTTCCTTGGGACAATTTCTTTGACTGCACTAGCATGGGCTGTGTCCTGAGCCCAGCCTGCAAAGGTATTGTACAGGCCTCCATGCGGTCCCCTATCTTGTTTGATACTGTTCCTTCGGATCCTAGCAGGCTGTGGGCTTGGCGTAAACTTGCGAATCCGCCCACATCCAGCAACGAGACTGCCCCAGGCAGACATTTGACGAAGCTGCTCATTAGATGTGTCAGAGTGACTCATGTGCTGTCATGACTGACGTGGGACATCGCCTTTTGCAGCTTGCGGATTTTGGGTTGAGCCGCGTGCTGGACACGAATGGGACGCATGTGAGCACACAGACGTATGGCACGCTCGCGTATCAGCCGGCGGAGCTTCTGCGGGATGGGAAGCTGACCAAGGCCGTGGACGTGTACTCCTTCGGCATGATTATGTGGGAGCTGTGCGCCGGGCGCCGCCTTTTTGAAAACAACATCACTGGCCAGGTGCGTGGCCACAAGCAGATGCACCCCCTCTTATCGAAGGTGTTTGATGTCCTTTCAATCAGCAAAGAAGGGAAGGGGGCGGGTCTGAGGTGGTCAAGCAGAACCCCATGTGCAACTCCAGTGATGCATGGCCTCTTTTGTCATTGGCTTTTTTTGTGTTGTTCACTCATGCGTGTCCACTCATGTTAGCAGCAAGCTGCTGGCTGTATTGTTATGTGCAGCTAGCTGTAAATGTTGCACCAATGCCGCAGTCAGCATGCCTTGATACCGCCAACTGGCACATTGCATTTGTCTGGAGCATCATAAACCGAGGTGACTCGAGGAAAATCTATTCAAATTCAAAACTGTGGTCCAAATCTGGCAGCGACTGAGGGGGAGGCATCGCCGCTGCGCAGGTGTTCTACAAGGTGCTGATGGGCTTCCGGCCGGCCATCCCTGCGGACATGGCGCTCGGCTACAGAAACGTCATGGAAGCATGCTGGCAGCCCAACGACGCCTTGCGGCCCACCTTTGATGTCATCCTGCGCAGCCTGCAGGTGACAATCCGCACACTGCGGCACACCACTGGGGTTCCTGTTGAATACAGGGCCTGTATGGGTCAGCAACTTGGGCGCTACCTAGGACACCATGAGAGTCTCGAGGGTCTTATATGTGCATGTAGCATGCTCCATGGTTTTTGCACATTCCCCAGTTGTGGTGGCTCTCTTCTGTGCTGCCAACACAATGATAATAGAGCTGGGACTTCGAAGGCAAGTGCTACGGTCATAGCACCTCGAGGATTGTGGAGATAGGACATGGCCGCATGGCGGGTTTGCTAAGCGGTGACACACTGCGATGCAGAGGCTGCTGGACGAGCACATGCAGATGGAGCATGGCATGGAGTACATGCCCACAATCCAGATGGCCTTCTACGACGAAAATGGCAAACCACCCAAAGCACCCACCAAGGCGGAGTCCCCAGCCTTCTTCAACCAGCTGCAGGCTGCTGCCCGCCAGGTCAGCATTTTGAAAGACCTGTGCACTGATCCCTTAATGGTGCCTCTTCGATCTGGGATGTTTGCAAAGGGGTCCTTAAAACAAGTTGGTGCTGCTGACCCCGCGAAGAAGACATCAGTCACAAGAGAACTGAGAAAATGCGCACGCGTGCGTGAAACAGGCTCGCGACGAGCTCGGCGTGGATGGGAGGCCTGTCACGAAACGCGCAAGCCCGTTCTCAGACGCGGACGTGGTGCCGATCTTGGAAACTGCGGAAGTGAATGGTGACGGGCCGAATTCATCTGACAGCTATGTGCAGATCAACAGCCTGGGAGGTACGCTGCAGGAGACCAGCTACGAAGTTGGCACGGCGGCGCGCATGCAGTCCTGGGAGCGGGCAAATTCCGGCTCGCTCACCCCTGCCCGCCTGGAGGGCGCCGGGCAGGGAGGCCTGCCCAGGCCGGGCAGCTCCGGGCAGCTGGGGGCGACGACGCATAACTTCTGGCAGCCCACACCGCAGCGCCAGCTCGCGGACATGGAGCTGTCGCCCTTCAACGCCGCCGTGCGCGGGCGCGAGGGGCCGCCGCTGCCGCAGCCGCCGGGCGCCACCTTCGGCGGCGGCGCCGCCGCGCAGCTGCACCTGGCCAGCCCGGCCGACCGTGCGCCGCCGCTTGGCGTGGGCGAGCTCCGAGCGATGCTGGAAGGCCGCGCAGGGATGGCTGCAGCGGCGACAGCGGACAGGGAATCATGCAGCTCGAGCGGTGCGGAGTACAGGGCAGCAACGGCGGCGGCCGGGGAGGCCCTCTCGGCGCGGGCCCCGTCGGCCGAGGCGCCGATGGGCCTGGACGACCTCGCGAGCATGATGGGCCGCAAGAAGCGCCGGCCGGTCGTCGCGCCGCCGCTCTCGCCGCAGCCGCCGGCCTCGCCGGACGCCTCCGCGCACCCGGCAGGCGTGGACGTGCCCGGCGCAGCCGGGCTGGAGCCGAATGGCCTGGCGATACCGGGGCAGGTGGAAGGGATTAAGGTGGAAGGCTGGCTGGAGCGGCCGGCGATCCCGCCCGGCAGCCTGGCCGAGCGCTACCTGCAGGAGCTCGCCGAGGAAGAGGCGGCGGAGGAGGCGGCTGCGGCGGCGGCCGCGGCAGGAGGCGGCCGGCCGCCGATCTCCGGCGACTTCCCCGCGCAGCACAGCGGGCGGAGCCTGCTTAGCGAGGAGCGTAGCAGCGAGCGGTCCGGGCTGCGGAGCCCGGCGAGCGATGCTAGCGGCTTGCGCGGCAGCAGCGGCAGCGGTGGCCGGCCGCGGTACGCCCTGGCGGAGGCGCACAGTGTGGCCAGCACGCGCACCAGCAGCGAGCTTCGCGACGAGCGCATCATCGCCGAGGAGGCTCCAGACAGCCTTGCTGAGCTGGATGACTTGCTGTCCCGGTGTGTTCCCTCCCACCCCATATGCCCCATGCAGCATCCTGCCAAATGCCCGAAAGATGTGCACGCACCCTCATTGTCCTCTGCTCATGGCCACTGCGCGGTTTGTGCAGCACTTCACATTTTATTCAAATGGTTCTCTGTACCTGGCCCCAATATTAATGCTGCACAGGCGTTGAATCTCAGTCTTGCTGCATAGCTTGACACAATAGACAGTCTCTCTTGCTGGTATTCTGAGCGCTGCTTTGTGCTCATGGCTCAGGCGGCAATCGCAGCTGGGGGGGTCCATGTCTCAGACTCCGATGGACATGCGGTCTATGCTGGAGGCAACTTCGTCGGCCGAGACACCTACGGGGAGCCGGCCGCCGATGGGACCGCAGGGGCATCTGCTGCGTGACATGTTTGACGACAGGAACTTTGCTCTGCGGCAGTCGCCCTTTGGCGGGTACACAGCCGTGGAAAAGGGGGAAAGCATCGAGCACATGGCCCGCCGCAGCAGCCTTCAGCCCACCAGAAGCGGCCCAGTCGAATGTGCGCTCGTTCATCCTGCTCTTAAGGCCATGCCCATGTTGCAAAGATAGGATCACTTTCTGCCGACCGAGGAAATTATGACTTCTGCTGATTGAGCTTACTCGTTCAACATGCGCTCGGCAGGTAGATAGCTCAAGCGGAACATGTCACGAAGCTTGTGCACATTGTTGTTTAGGCTAGGATTCTGCGCATTGTCACACGGGTTGCACTCAACAAGCTACTTGAAAATGCGCAGGCGCGAGCAGGACGGAGATAGAGATCCGGGGCCGTAACGGGGGCCCGACCGTGGGCGCGCAGCTGCCGCAGAAGGCCAGCCTGCACCTCATCCGTCGCGACGGCCGCGGCCCAGCCACCACCGGGGCGGCCGGCGGCACGGCCGACAGCCGACGCGGCCGCTCCCTCCCCCCGGAGGACATGGCACGCATCATGGACATGCGCGCCAGAGCGCAGCGCGATACGGCCCTTTCGCTCGGCGCGGCGCCCCTCAGCCGGCAGGACATCAGGCACGCCTCGGGAGAGGGCGCCGCCGCCAAAGTTCCCGGGGGGACCCCGGGGGACACCCCATCTGCCGCGGCGGCCGCCGCCATGGATAACCCGTTTGCGTTCAACGCCTGATGAGAGATGGTGCGTACTTGAAACGGAGCAGGGGACTCTTAAGGACGGTACTTTACTTAGTTTAGAGTCTGCTGAACGAAGTAGGGATGGTTCCCTAAGGATGCAATTATATCTGATCAGCAGCGCAAGGGATAACATTTGTCAATTCGCGCCCCATTTTGAAATTTCGTCGGCCTTTTGAGAATAAACGGCTGCTGTGCACAACAGCGAAACACGCGTCTACCTGTGTCTAGGCAGAAGCAGTATTTGCAATTCAGGTTTGCTACGTTGCAGTCAGGTTTCCTGCAGTGCAGTCTGGGGAAGCTTAGACAGTAGGGGGATCAAAGATTCCTCTTCTGTGTAGAGCACACTTTGAGCATATGCCTAAAAACAATTCTTTTTTGTGGTGCACCGCGGTGCATCTGTCCGCGCCCTTTGCTGCGCGCCTCTCGCATGTGTGATGCGGTTACTTCTTCGTGTTTGGTATTTATGCTGTGGCTCTCTTATGTGGGCTGCTATATACAACGCGTCTTTTTGCCACGCGTGTATGCGTCCCATGACTGCCCTATTACACGGTCCAGCGCTGATCTGTGCGATTTAATTGATGCCTGTTGTCCCGTCTCCCTTTGTGTGATGGCCGACTTCGGAAAAGTATGCGCGGACAGGTCTGCGACAATGGCAGCAGATGGCAAGACAATGTAGCGGTGAAGCAAAGTGGTGCTGCATTTGAGATGGATCATTGTTTGTCGTCCCAAGAAGTACATGAGATGAGCTGAGCTGACGACATCTTTTGTAAATCTCATGTAAAAATATTCATCATTTATAAATACGCCTGGAAGCTTGCCAATTTATTCAAGGTGCAGCCCAGCCTGCAATAGCGTTGTTAAAGTTTAACAAGCAATTCCGCATTGCACTTCCTCGGCATGCCCGGTGCACTTCCCCTTTGATCACAATGCAGTCACACACATTTCTAGGGACCCAGTTGCAATAATATACATTGACCTGACAGATCAGACAGTGGGGGACTGCGAGTGCAAGCCCTGCAGCACTGAGAGCACTCTTTCTGTACAGCCGCTGCTACAATGTCTCCTGTTGATGTTTCTTTATATGCTCCACATAGTTGTCTAGCAGCAGCGGCCACGCCTGGCTCTCATCGAAGTTGCTGCAGTCCGGCCTCACCTACCGCCATGCACATGCGCCGTTTCAAGCCACCCGGGCATGTGCCTGTGCAGTGCTTTCCATTACAAGAGGACCAGTCAGAACAGATGATGCTGAGGGCAGGATCCAGGCGCAAGTGGTCAGCCTGTTGGCCGGTTGACCCAAATGATGAGATTTCCATGCATTCAACATGTTCAGAACGACAGCCTTGCATGGCTCTGGTAATTTCTGGCTGATATGAATGATGTAAAGCCCCTCCCAGTACAACAACAACAAGTCAAGGGTGTGTTTGTGGATTTGGGCCCACTGCTTCCAGCCAGGTATCTTGCACAAGTCAGGCATTTACTTATGGTTGGCAGCTCATTCCCTTGGGCCCTGATCAACCCCGGCCTGAGATTTTCAACAGCCTCACTATTTTGCCACGTTCTGGCTTTGTTGAATGTGGGGGAAATGAGACCTCCTCGGCGAAGCGTTGGAAGCTGGTCCACTGGTCGAGGTTGACGGCCTTGTACTCCTGCTGGGCCTGCAGAAAGCTGGTGAAGGGCGCCAGGTGCGGCTCACTGGGCGGCATGGCTATCGCCAACATCTGCGCCGCCGTCTCTATGTCTATTATCTTCTGCCGCGGCTCCTGCGCGCATCATGTGACAGGCATCAAGGGTGCACCGCAATGTGTACATGTTGCAGCACACTTTTGCTGTGTGCCTTATCGTGAGAGTGATTGTTGACACTTCTGCTGCGTTGCAGCAGTCTTTGATTGCTTCAATGGCGTGTCACAAATGGATTTTCAAGGGGATTTTTTGGGTTTTCATAGCATGGCAATCCTGAATCCTCTTAGTTCACATGTAGTGTATCTGCTGCCACAAAGCACACGCATTTGTGACGGCAAATATAACCAGCACATGAAACAGAGGTGTGCAGGGTCCTTTGTTTGAAGCAGATAGGCAGCGCTGAATGCAATACGCAGCTGCAAGCTTCTCGGAAAACCCATCTTGCTGCAGCGAACACAGCAGACAATTTGCACACTGCCGGACTCTTCCCAAGCATAAGTGAGGCTCCATTGTTCAGAGAGCTTTCTTAAGCATGTAGTGTTGTTCTCTGTATTTACAACTAATTACTGCGTTCCTGACCCTGAACAGGCTCACCGTGAGGCAGAATTTGAATGCGAAGGTGAAGAAGGATGAGAACGCCGCAGGATTGGAGTCCACCTCCTCTTCCAACTTTGGCAGTGCCTTCTTTAGCTTGTCCAGGGTTGTTGCACCGAGCGCCCTGAGCCCCCTGCTGAATTCCTCCCGCGAAAAGAAGCCCATCCGCTGCGCCTCCATCTTCCACGCTAGCAGCAGCACCTGTGACATGCAGACAACGGTGCTCTAAGCCACATCTAGTCGTGAGACAGCCATCGCCATCCAGTCTAGAGACAACACACAGGAATGACATTGCAGAAATAACATCTACCAGCATGTTTCAGCCACAGATGCCCCACTGTTTAGATCCTTGTGCTGACTGTAATGATGTATGCATTGGAAATTGGCGATGTGCGCTGATCATGCAGATGGATTGCTTGCAAGTGCACACCTGTCTAGAAGATGGATCTACATTCAGGTCGCTGCACAACCTCTCCACTCCTGCACCAGCCACCGGCGATTCAGCCCTGTCCTAGACAGTGATCAGTAAACTGCATGAAAGCTGCCCTGCTTGTGTGAGCGGCAACCATGGAAGTCTGGGGGCCATGCAGTACCTTCTGGCCCAATGACGTCCTCATTAGCATCCTTATATTGAATAAAGAGAGCTTCAGACTTGTCTTGCTCCTTTGTAGGCGCCTGTATATGGCAGCAAAGGTTGCAGAATTCTCTGTGAGAGATTTCTCTGGCACAAGACTCTTTGTGGATGTCTTGAGGCCAGCTCATACCAAAGGCTAATATTCTGTGCATGGCATTACTTATAGTCAGGACTTCGACGGTGAGCATCACAATAAGAACAGGTGCTTGTCGAACATCACTGTGTTGTTTTGGCATCTGCAATGCCTTCCTGCCGGCACAGGGGTGCCAGTGAACGGATTTAAATGACAAAACTTCACACCAGATTGATCAGGTTGTTTCCGATCTATTGCCGTTCATACCTTTGTTGTCGTTTGTCGCCTTCCCAACCTCATGGTGGCCAGATTTGTCTTCAAGAATCCAAGCACTCAGCGCTCTACCAGACAGCGACTCCTTCAACAGAAGCAAGTGGATGTGCTGATCAATCCTAGGATTCCCGGAGATCACTCTCACGCCACACTCTGCGCCTGGAGCATTTGGAGGAAGGGCAAGGGCGTCATGAGGCAGCTGCCTATCCTGGCAGAGGCAGTCATGCACCCATCTGCCCAGCACCTGCCCACTAAATCGACGAGAAAATTCAAACCTGCTTCTCTTGGAGTTGTTCATTTGAAAGATTCGGTGACTTGGATCAAGGTCAGGCTTGTTGCCCTGAAGGTGTTGGTCAATGGCATGAGAGCAGTGCACCTTATTCTTGTCAAGTAGGCGTCACGATACTAATCCTAGAACTCTGGCTTGCAAAATCTGAGCCCTTCTGGATTGTACGCTCTATAGTGTTCACCTGTATTGAAACAGGAGGACACTCCCAAAGCCATGGCCCCCTTATTTCGCCAGGCAACTGGCCGTTGCACTAACCCATTAGCATGTCTTTCGCGATCATTCGTGTCCTTAGCAGCCCGCATGTCTGCTGATACGTCTGAAAGGATGTATACACCAGACGAAGGCGAGACAGCAAGCTTTGGTACGACCCACATAAAGTCTGAAAATAGGTGTCCTACTCAGGAGAGGTCTGAGAGACTGCTCGACGATTGAAGTGTTCTTATGCTCTTCAACTCAATTGCAGGGTTCGAAGAAATCAGAGCAGAGGAAAAGTCCAAGCGTGTGGGCCAAGTGTTCAGCAGTGTCGCCTCATCCTATGACACCATGAACGACTTAATGAGTGGAGGCCTGCACCGTCTGTGGAAAGACAGGTAGCACATCTGGCGGCCCTTCATAAGTCCGAGCTCATGACCACCTGCTTTTTGCACCGTGCTCAATGATAGTCACAGTGACTGCAGCCAATGCCCTGGCCTTGAACAGACCTATGTGGGCCACTGAAATGCGCATATGTATGGCAGGTTGGTGACTCGCTTGCAGCCATTCGCTGGGATGCAGCACCTGGACGTGGCAGGAGGCACTGGGGACGTGGCCTTCAGGGTGCTAGGGGCCATGGGAGAGGAGCAGGCCAGGGAGCAAGAGGATAGCGATGCACCCAACCCGGTGCCCCTGGGCCAAGTGCATGTGTGCGACATCAACCCTGACATGCTCCAGGCAGGCCAACGGAAAGCTCTGCAGCAGCACATAGGTGAATTTGTGGGCCTTGCATGCATCTACCTTCATGCATGCACCTTCAGCTGTACAGATGAAGAGCATTTGCTTCCTTTCGGCGATAGTCTCATGATTGTGCAGCTCTGTGGACGATGCAGTTGTTGTAGACATCTACTGAGTTTCTGTGACTGAAGAGATAGCATGATCTGTGTTGTCCAGGGGAGGGTGGCGGCCTCAGCTGGGTAGTGGGGGATGCAGAACAGCTGCCCTTCCAAGATAACAGCATGGACGCTTACACGATTGCATTTGGCATTCGAAACGTCACCAACATCGATGCTGCCTTGGACGAGGCCTTTCGGGTGAATTGCCAATCTAAAGATCCACAAAAATCTTATCACTTGTGAGGTGCTGTCAGCACACAGCAAAGGGTGCTATGCTCGAGAGGCAGAGTAGGCAAGAGTCTTGTCAATGATGATCATTGAGCTGCATGAAAATTCTTTTTGCAGGTGCTGAAGAAGGGTGGCGCTTTCCACTGCCTGGAATTCTCTCAACTGGCCCTGCCTGGTCTAAGGGAGTTGTATGACGCCTACTCTTTCAGGGTCATCCCCCAAATTGGCAGGTACCCTTTTCACTACCGGGCACCACGATCTTCTCCTACTGATAATTTCACACTCTCTACCACAGGATCAATCCCCCTTACTTGCACTGCTTCCAAGGTACTCCATGCATGCATATCAAAGTGACAGAGTTGTATGGTCCCCAATCTGGGCCTTAAGATGGTTCGATTAACGCTTGATGTGCTCTTATAGTTGCAGGGATTGATAGTGGTGCTTCACTGTAGGGTGGTGGCGAACGATGAGGCGAGCTACCAGTACCTTGTGGAAAGCATCCGCAGATTCCCAGATCAGAAGACTTTTGCCAGCCTCATACGCGAGGCACAGTTCTCTGGGGTGTCTTATGAGAACCTGAGCGGAGGCATATGTGCCATTCACAGCGGCTTCAAGATTTGAACTCTTATGTTGTTGAAGGCACGGGTGACCTCAGGCTGTGTCAGCATGTCCCATAATCGAATCATTTGCTCTCTCTCCTGAATAATTAAAATATTAATGGATCCTGTGTCCACGTCCGTGTCATATTTAACAGAGACTCAGAGCTTTAGGAGGTTTATCTCGTGCTGCTGTTGATATGATGTATTGCTGGGCCCCTCGCTAAAAATAGAACTGCGCGCCCCACCCATCATGCAAAGCGTAGAGATCGAGCATGGCAATACGGTACTCATACTGATTATAGTCCAGTTCCAGAAAGGCCCTCGCAAGGCCAAACGAGTGCCATTAAGAGCATCCAAGGTTGCTCCATCTTCAGCAGATGGAGGACGTTAAAGGCATGGAAGCGCCAGCTCTCCCGCAACAGGATAGCGAAGATAGAACTGCAGAAGATAAGCTTATTTACGCTTGCGAGAACGGAGATGACGACTCTGTGTCGTCATTACTGCAGGAAGGTACGCCATATCTTGAAAAGACAGTTTAGCTGACAAATTTTTTCGGCGCAGCTCAGGGCCTTGAACAGGACTTACGACTTGCCTACCATTCGTGATTTTCGATAAGTTGCAGGGATGGTCAAAGAGCATGGGTGGTTGATAGAGCAGGAGTCTCGCCAAGTATCACGAATTCGGAGGGAGCAACCCCACTGATAGCAGCAGCAAGCTGTGGGAATGCCAGCATTCTGCAGCTTCTGCTGGACGCTGGAGCAGACCCTGGGGCAGAATCAGAGGTGTTTGACACTCCTTCTGCCACTGTTTTTGCAACCCACAGCATGCTATGCCTATTTGGCCCGCAAAAGCATGCAATGCACCGCCAATGCACAGAACACCAGAGTTCTTTCCATTGACATTGTTGTGTCCCCTCCAACAGACTGTATTGAAGGAGACTGCCAAGAATGGCGAGGTGCAGTGATATAATTCTCACTAAGAGTCTGCACCATCGCAATGTTTTGTAATGCAGAATGGTGCCACAGCGCTCAGAGCAGCGACTGTGTTGGGGGATGGAGAGGCGGTGCAGGTGCTCTTGGGAGGGGGGGCTGATCCAAATCAGGAGACCAGCCGGGGCACACCCCTCAGTGCAGCAGCGCATGAGGGCGATGTCAGCATGCTGACCCTGTTCCTTGATGCTGGAGCTGAAGTGAACCATGTCAGCCGCAATGGTGAGCAGACAGGACGTCCAAGTGACTAGCAAACAGTCATTCTCTCAGTCAGCAAAGTTCCTTCAACACAACACTGCTGTCCACTCCAAATCGAAAGATGCCATTGAAGGTGAAAAGATGCTGGAATGCGACAGTTGTTGTCTCGGGCAGGGACAACTCCGCTGATGGCAGCGGTGAGACCAGGTCATGCATCTGCTGTAGAGTTTCTGCTAAGGAAAGGTGCAGACCCAGCACTTGAGAATGAGGCCGGGTGCTCAGCTATACACCTGGCTCAGGTGCTCACTCTAGCCTGTCCACGTCATGTCTTTAAGTTGACCTGCGCTCATGTGTTCGTTCCAACAGAGCTTTTGTCACGATCGAGTGTTATTAGCAATAGCTTTATCTCCTTGCTCCAACACCTGAGAAGAGTGAGATTGCAGGCAGCAAAACAGGAGGTCATTCTAAGGTTGTTGGTCCTCAAGCAAATCAAGAAGCTCACAACAGCAACGCTGGAGTATGTACATGAGCATGACAGAATGCTTCAGACCTTCAACATTGAGAAGGAGCAGGAACTGCAGCAGGTGTGCGCATTGAGTTGTGAAAATACTGTGATACTCAAACATCCAGTTAGAACTGCAAAGGCTTTATTAAGGGCATAAGAATCTGGTGGTCATCTACATTTCAGCGTCTCCCACCTTTCTTAGTGATTTTATCAAAAAGCAGGTCAAATGAATTCACTGGACAAATTTGTGCAAAGGCAAGGCAGGCACCCTAACAGTTGACACTGTGGAACTCAATATTGCAGAGCCTGGAAGAGGATATGAAGCTATTGGAGCAGCAGAAGAATGCATTCCAAGAGATCCTGAAGTCGCAACAGGAGGACCAAACCGACAGAATTGTTACTGTGTGACTATAGTGAAGATTGAATGCCGGTCAATTTGCAACTTACATCCCAGAGCTCATTTGCTGTCGCTGTGTTCTCTGCTTGCCTCGCTGGCGTCGCGGATTTTCCACCAGCCACATATTGACCAGCAACCTGTGCAGAAAGATGCAAGAAACTCCACATCAGCTTGCCCGGGCAGTGCATGCCAAATTGTGACTCTCACAAGCCTTGCTTTGAGCAGCACGAGCAGGGTAAATGCTTGTCAGGGTGATACAACATCGTCAGCAGCTTCTCAAGGTGGAAAGACCAACCTGCTCAGCAGGGGCTGTTGCAGCGCACAAGATGCTTTCCACAGCCCTACCCGGCTGTATCAGCAGCCAAGGAGCCAAGGCTCTGGCCAGAGGTGCTACAAGGGGCTGTGCAGCTTTCCCCGCCACATCAGCGCCTGTGAGCCAATCCCTGGCCAGCTTTGTGTCTACCAGCCCTGGATGCACTGCCACTGCCACATCTTTCCTGCTGCCTGAGCTCCTGCAAAGACACCAAATGGGTACTCTGGATCATGTCATGGCGCTGGCAGTCCCACACAGAAAGTACAGCACTTCTGCATGCGTTGAACGGGAACTAGATATTCCGGTAGGGAATTTGTACATGACTGGCAACTTGCCTGTTGAAATGTCGCTGGAACTCCTTGGCAGCAAGTAGGGTGGCCAGCTTTGAATTTGCATAGCCCTTGAAGCCTGAGTAGCCATGCTCCAGCTGCAGATTGCCAAAGTCCAGCTTGCCTGCTCTGTGGGTCGTGGACGACAAAAATATCAGGCGTGTGCCAAGGTCATCTGTTCCATGTGCAGAGGCGTCTTGAGCGGCCTTTTGTGTATGTCTTCTTCTCACTGTGCTTCTGCTGGATGACATGGCTTTGCTTCGTTGGTGACTGAGTAGCTCATGCGCAAGCAACCAGTGGCCCAGGTAGTTGACCTGCAAATATATACTCGCGCAGTAAATTTAGGAAGCTCCACTCAACTTTTGAGCCATCTGTGCAAGGTTTCAATTTGCAACGTGTACAATGAGCTTTGTTGGAGCATGACATTAGTTGTGTGCACCTGGAATTGCAATTCCAAGCCGTCTGCCGTCTGCTGACGCTCTGGAGGAGCCATGATGCCTGCATTGCAAATGAGCACATCCAGCCGCCTCTGTTCCTTGTTGAAGGCTCTCGCAAAGCTCCTGACTGATTCCAGCGACGCCAGATCTAGCTCCCTCACCTCAATTTTATGTACCTTGTCTGACTGCCCAATCTTTTGAGCAATTGCCTGCAGTCACAGGGCGTTTGCACACACCTCAGCATTGCCTGTGCTAGGTTGCCGATAATCACTGCGTCCCCAGGCCACAGGGCAATTCAAAGATAATCGTGGCTCTACAGGCAAGTGTCGTATGCTCAGGCTGTAAGCTGAATCACCTGTGCCGCTGATTTCCCACGTGCAAGGGAACGGCACGCCAGGACAACCTTTCCTCCTTGCCGTGCAATTGCCTCAGCAGTTGATAGCCCTATGCCAGCATTGCCTCCTGTTATGATGCATGTCTGCAAGAAACAATCCAAAGAGTTTCTTACACTCGAAATTAGCGTGTTTCCCATAGACATATGCTAAAAACAGTCGACAACATATTAATGGATTGGGGCCTGACTTGCCTTTCCTTCAAGTTGGCTCCAGGAAGATGAATTGGATGGTTTGAAAGGATGCAAGGTGTCCAGAATATTTAGCCTGATGTTGTCTGCAAACTCTACTGCACCTATGAGATATGCTAATGATCTGGTGCGTAGGAACTCCATGCTCGAAACTGTTTTCTATCGTGATCCTGGACGTGTATGGTCTTTCGGAAATATCTCTATGGTGTTTACGATCTGCTCGGTATCGAGCTGCAGACTGATCCCTGGAGAGAATGCGACCGGTCTCAACAGGCATGAGATGGCTAGCTTCCTCCATGTGGGAAGCTAGGCCTCTTCTGCTTGAACCTTCGACATCACATTTATCAAATGTTCTCTATGATACTCTACTCTATACATGTAATTTTTTGGTGTGACTGTATTCCTCGAGTGTGCTCTGCTTCACACATCGAGGAAAAAACCAGGGCCTGGTAGCTTTTGCAATGCCGTTTTGAGTACATCGATGTACAGTATTTCCCTATCAATAGATGAAAACTATCTAATACAGTAAGTAGGTAGTTGAACATTAGATGCGGCAATGCATGCGATTTTATGCACAGATCGTTACCAGAAGCAGCCTTGCAGCCTCTAGTAATATCGTAGCATGCCTCAAACCTCACTGCAGAGCATTCGCTACAACACATGAAAGCAGTTTATTTGATGCCATCAGAGCTCTCAGCAAGCCTGGAGTCCTGTTGGCCTTCCACTCAGACAACCATGAGGTACCGCTTGAGGAGAAGCACCGCTTTCCGATGTCAAAGTACAGACTCACAAGGCTGGCCTTGGAAGGGGACGCCACTGTAAAGGACTTGCTGGAGATCAGAGAGGTAGAACTGCCAAGAAATCCCTGTCCTACTCACATGCAAAACCGGTTCTCAAAATTCATCTTCAAGCCTGGGGCGTAGGCTGAATGGAGGGGAACTGTTTTCAGGCGCCACAAGCAACAGAGGAGGATCTGGCGCTTGCGCATGACCCAGGCTATGTGCGGCGGTTCTTTGAGGGACAGTTGGGCCCAAAGGAGATGCGATCCATTGGATTCCCTTGGTCAGAAGGTCTGGTGAGAAGAGCCAGAGCCTCTGCAGGAGGCACACTGGCCGCCACCCGAGCCCTGCTCGAATGGCAGCTGCCATTCACCGCCAACATTGCAGGTGCGACCTCTACAAAAGCCAAGTCCCTCCTGGGTCGATGGTCAAGTACGGAGGTATCTAACGGCTAGCCGACATATGGTCAACAGTAGAGCTTGCTTATTTCCTGGAATTGGTATTGACAGTGGAAAAGATGATACCAAGAATACCGATATGCACGACATAAAGGGCAGCACTAGCGCCAAGAATGTAGGAAGAGCTGCCTCGCGCTGTGAACAGTGTGCATCAACAAATATCTCCCGGCCCAGGAGCATTAAAAGATTGAAAAGGTTGCAAATGTCATGCTCGGCAGGTGGCACGCATCACGCCTTTGCAGGCAGGGGCGAGGGCTTCTGTGTCTTCAATGACATCGCTGTGTCTGCCAGGATGGCAATGACTGAGGAGGGGATTGAAAAGGTCCTAGTGATTGACCTTGATGTGCACCAGGTGCGCCTGAATACATAATTTTCTCTGCATGCACCTTCCTAATGGGCGATGAGTCAACATGCAAGCCAAAGCATCTGGTCTGATGGCCGTATGCGCCGTTGCAGGGGAATGGAACATCTGCAATTTTTGCGCAGGATGACCGGGTGACAACCTTTGATGTCCATGGTGCGTCCTGCTTCACCTGCCTTCTCGCATGCCAAGTTCTTTTATCACACGCACAACATTCTGTGTATCAGAGATTTTAACGAGGAGAATGTGGGGAGGCTAGTGCAGTTGATTGGCATGTGTGATGACATGGCATGCATGCGGGCCGACAGGGGACAAGAACTATCCTTGGAAGACTCGCTCCAAGTCGACATATGATGTGGCACTTAAGGATGCCACCAGGGATGAGGAGTATCTGGCACTGCTGCGAGAGTGGCTGCCACGACTTTTTGCTGAGCATCGCCCGCAGCTGGTGTTCTTTCAGGCTGGCGTGGATGCTATGGAGAAGGACAGCTTTGGCAGGTGACTGTTCTTGCCAGACTTGCATCACTCATGCTGACAAGCATCCCATCTGATGCCATGTCACATCAGTTTTCAATTTATTGGCATCTATTGGCTGACACAATCATGACTGTGCACATGTGCAGGTTGAGCCTGACACGCAAAGGGCTCTTGGAAAGGAATGAGATGGTACTGTCAAAGTGTCTTCAGGTGCCAAATTCTCTTCCATCAGATAAATACAAAAGCTTGAGAGCTTTTGCACAGTTCTTATTGATGGAGGAAAGGAATGTGTCTAAATGAAGTAAAGACAGTGCTTATTGGACTGTTCTACTGCTGTACAGGAAGGTGTCCCTACAGTCATTACAATGGGAGGGGGCTACTCAAGGCCCATAGACAAAACTGTGGAGGCACATGCAGATGTGTATCGCACAGGGGCAAGACTCTACCCTAGAAACTGAGCGCCAATCTATCTGTTCAGCAAGTTTCAGACAAGGCCCCAAACCCTTCAATTTTGATAGCAGCCCTCTACGGTCCCAATTATTATATTATTTATTTAAGCAAATTTACTAATTAGCAAGTTCCTCGGCTGGGATTTGAGACTCGCAACATTGTAAAGAATGGAACATGGACACAACTGACACATGCAATTCTGCAAACTTCATCACACGCATTCTTGCATTGCTTCCTCATGCTCTCGGCGCATTGCTCGACATGCATGCCTGCCCAGAGCATTGGGACTTTCACACAAAACAGCACTTTGGCAATCTGACCAAAGCCCCTTCGCAGAGAATCCCGCACTTTTAAAATTGACACCAACGTCTCACTAATATTGAGGCTACCAAGCACAAGACAAACTCCAGAAATAGAGACCCAAAAGAACGCCAAAACTGCAAAAATTCCTGTGCTAATCTGGACATGGGGGCTTTCAAATCTAAAAGGCGCATCAAGATGCAAAGCAAGAGGTTTACCGGTTATAATTACACCCTTAAAAATCTGCCAGTGCAAGAGCAACGTGTACTTTCCTTGTTAGCTTCAACTTTCTAGGCAGCTATTCATCTATTTGCTTGTTGCCTTAATAGTGTGAAGCTGGCGCATCCCACAAAGGGAGCTGCATCAAAGCTCCTCCAACGGATCCTCGGGCTTGGTTTCTGGAATGCACATGCAGGTCCTGATGAAGCTCGACCGCCGCACCGCTACATGATTCCCTGCAGAACACATCACCCACTGGAGAAAAATTGTCTTACATTAAAGTTCACCAAATTGTGTCTTATAGAATTATCGACCCTTCATCGACCCTAAATCCTGAATCCTCCATTGCATTCCCCGTGAAAAATTATTACTATAAAGGCCCCTTCCCTAAACCCTAGATCCATATCCCCTAAACCCTAAGCTAGAGTGGGTGAAGAATAACGTCAGGGAGAAAAATCCACTTGACACATTTTCACATAAACACAATGTGCAGGCACCCGACACAGCAGCACCCTTCTGCTTGCTGCTTGCGGCCTTTGCAAAATGATATTCAATGCGACTGGGCCTGTGTTTCTACTCACAAAGTTTCCCTGGCAGATCGATACGTGCAATGTTTCCATAGATGACCGTGGTGAGAGGAGTTGAGGAAAAGGGGTGCTCACGGAGGGGGTTCCACACAAACTGCGGGCAGATGGTGACGTAGGTCTTGGGCTCTGCCAGTTGCTGCTCAGGGTCCTCCACTCGCAGCGTGTACAGGAGAGCGCCCGACATCTTCTCCCTGCATGTCAGCATATCAGTAATTTTATCTCAGAGAATTGCCCAAGCGCTGCAGACTTTCTCACCTGCCCAGAGACCGTCTTATACATACGTTGGCAGCACTAGATATTGCGGTGCTTTTGCTGCTCAGACCCCCATATTAAACCTGGAAAAGAGCTTCAGAATGAGACAGCGAATGGCAGGAAGCCTTGCCGCACCACGAAAACAACGGTCTGGCTGCCCTACAGCCCTTATGTGCGCTGTATACAGGGGCCCCAGCCGGCGGGGGGCGGTACATATACAAAGCAGCGTGCCCACGATTGATTGGGTCTTGGATCTGGCGAGTCCATCAAGGGGTGGGACTCATGGCAGCCTTGACCTGCAGCTTGCCTCTGGCAGGAACAGCATGTTGATAAGAATGTGATAATTGTACAGTGGGCCACCACACACCTGTCATGGAAGCTGCGGGGGTGCTTCAGTAACCGCGGGAGGCTGCGGTGGAGCGGGAGGTCCGCAAGCGGGGGGCCCACGGCCGCAGGGCCCCCCGCCGGTGGTGCGGCTCCGCCGGCGGTGGCCGCCGCGCCACCGGCCCTGGGGGTCTGTGCGCGTGGGGCAGGCTGCAACAGTGGGAGCTCCTCCACAAAGCACCAGTTCCGCTGGCCCAACAGCTTCTGACCCGCCTGCAGCGCCGCACCCCAATGTGTGCTGATCGATATAGCTTTGCAGTCAGGACCCCTTTACTCAGGCTGTCATGCACAAGAGATGTGCAGCATCCCCATAAAACTTGTGCAAGAGAACCTTTGACATGCGATGGAAAGGATTTGAAACCATGGCAAGATCTGAGATGATGTCACACAAGGTGCTCTCACTCTCTTAGGGCAAGAGCCCAAGGTTTGAAGGATTCTATAATAGTAGCTTCCTTGCTCCAATAATGGATCTTATCGAGGAATTGAAAGCGCGCACGTCAAAGTCCCGGACCATCTTCTCCTGGGTGTTGTGGTTGATTTTGGAGGCCTTGTTGGTGCGCTCCAGCATCGTCAGCAGCACCTGGGGCGGGGGGCAGTTCCAGATGGCGCTCGAAACCACCTGAGGCATGAACCGGTAGTCGTGCCGCAGGTGCGCCACCTGCACAAAACAGCTTCCTGTAAACTCAAGAGCTCCACAAAGAGCCGACACCATGCACCTTAGACCTGTTTGGATTGACTCTTCAGGCATTGACCGCATCTACCGCCACTTGAAGGGATGAACCGGTCGGGCTGTAAGGCTTCAAGACACCCTCAAAATTGTCAGCTTGGGGGCGGCATGTGTGCAGATGTAGGTAATTGATGTAGGTAATTGATGTATGTATGCTCTTTTCTAGCACCCCTTAGCACAGGGGGCGCGCCTTGGGGCGGCTGTAGAGGCGGCCGATGCCGGCGCAGTGTACGTCGCCGGAGATGAAGCTGATGCGCGCTTCGCGCGCTTTGGCGACCGCCTGCAGCCGCTCTATGAAGCGCCGGCGCTCACCCAAATGGCTGCCAGCGTCCCAGTGATCCACTATGTCGTCCAGCAGGTCTGGGTGGCCGAACCTGCGCGCATGCCATGGGGCAAGGACATTAAAAGAGAAACCAGTACTGTTGTTATGATTACTGTATTTATTACGGTACAGGCTTTTCCTGCCTTTGGCGTCTGCAGACAAGCTGCAGTCAAAGGTTGCCACAATCCTACCCCTTGTCGGGCTCCCCAGATACAAGCAAGACCCAATCAACCGTGGGCACGGTGCTCAGTAATCGTACTGCCCCCGCCAGCCGGGGCCTACACCTGCTATACATGCTGTAATAGGTAGTCTAACCTAGAGAATATCTGGTATCTGAAGGCCAGAGAATTACATACGTGTTCCTCTGGACCTTGAGGCCTTCACCATACCAGGGCCTTCATTCGCACATCCTCTATATAAATTTCTTTTCAACATGAGGTCCAGGTGTTCCAACCTGGGCATGTGCAGTGCATGAGGTAGTAATTTCCGAGAAAAACCAGATTTCACGGCATAATTACTCCAATTGGTGCATATCCTTGAAATTCACCCTTGCTCACCGTCAGGGCTGACGTGAATAGATTTCTGCTGTATGCATCCCACATACATCAGAGCAGCGCACCAGATATTGCTACACTGGAGAGCCAAGAAGAGCAAGGAGAGAAAGTTTACTTGTCAATGATGCCAGCGCCAAGGCCAGTCTTCTGGAGGGCGCCTTTGATGAGGGGAAAACTTTGAATTGTCATCATTGTCGTTTCGCTCAGGGGCAGCTTGGGGAAGACTATGGGCACCGTCGTGACCACCACGATGTGTTTTATGCTCTGCGGTAGCGCGCCAATCCTGGCATGCAAGGCAGGCAACAACCATAAGCTTTCCAGCTAGTAGTCAAAAGTGTAAATGTGATGCTTTTATTCATACACAAATCATACTGACAAATGCAGATCCTGGTGACTTGCCGCTTTGTGGGCTCAGTCACATGCAGAATCTGTCAAGCACACGACGCGACAAGCCTTAAGGGGCAATGATAAAACCGAATTGTGAATTACCCCTAACGCCTGCAAACAAAAGGCAAGCAGTGGCCGGGGGTTTTAAGAACTCTGAGCTACACGACAGATCTTCAGGCACAAAACATCAAAAGGTGGGTTATTACTGACTGCTTGCGGATGCTTGGACATGCACTTCTACTAACGGGGATTGTTTGATTGATTTGATTGATTTGTCTGCAGCACTCATCGACTCTATGGGGCGCACCGCCTGAAGAGCTCATCGTAAGCCTCCGGGGAGATGATCCGATTGATGGTGCGCTGCGAGCGGCAGTCGGGGCCCACGATCGCCACGCGGGCGCCAATTTGGCGGCACCACGAGAATGTCTCCGACGGCCCAAATAGATCATTCATCGACCGCGATAGCTCCACTGTTGTGTGGTGCTGGAATGACAGATAGAATCGCCGGCAGCACCTGAAGGTGCCTGGCCACCCCACCACATTTGCACATCAGCCAGGATTCATACCTCTTCTCAAGCAAGCTGTTGAGGGAATGGGCAACTGCAGGCTTGGTCCCTCGAGAGCGCAAGCTCACAGGCGGCTCATGCAAGCTCCATATGCAAGCTCCATAGTCACGCAGACCTCCAATTAGACTCCCAACAATGAGGCAGAGGATGATGGCATGCCTTGGAAGACTGGGCAGTTCTGCAGGTCCTCTGGGTAAGATCCCCACCCGTCCCAGATGTCATGGTCATCCCAAATGTTCATCTGCATGCATGCATAACAGGCTCAGGAGAGGCTCGCTTTATTGTTCTAACGAAAACGAGGTCACATGCGCTCATCTTGGATGCATCATGCGGCATGCATGCAATACGTGATCTCATCTCAGCAGTGTGTACATGGGAGTCTGTTATACGCCATACAGTGTATGCACAGCTGCTCCGGGCTCTATTGACATGTAAATGCCCCTACTTCGCTTCACATAAAATCAAGAGTGAGGCTGCCGTACCTGTGGGATGCAGGCAAAGGCGTATGCCATGGATATCCTCGAGTTGAAGTGGACGCGGTAGTGGTTGAAGAGGAAGTCGCTCACTTCCTTCTCCATCTCAGGAGTGAAGGGCATCTTCAGCCGCTCCTGCAAGTCATGCTGCTCTGTCACTCTGCCTCCCTGGTCTTTCATTGATCTGCCTCCCTTGCCCTTCCTGAAACAGCACTTGGAAGGAACAGCAGGCGGCCGTACTTGAGCACAGATGCAAGCCTTGTTCATGTTCATGGCAAAAGAGATTTTGTCTGCATGGCATCAACACTGTTCATGATTTCCACTTGCGAGGCAGGCGCTCCTCTCATACCAGGCGCTCGCTTTGCTTTGATGGCTGCATTCCTCTTTTTCTGATTTGATGAAAAGAAGATCAGAGGAAGGCTGACAGGGTGAATGAGGTTCACCTCAGCTGAGGGGACATCCAGCCAGGCCTTCAAGCTGGGCACAAACCAGAGAGCATCATTGTAAATCTGGTCCCCCCCGCCCACGAGGGCATGCAGGGGGGACTTCTCATGCAGCACAAGCACATCCTTCCACAGCGCTGGCTCCTTCCACTTGCTAACATCTGCGCTCGCTGACAACCCATTGCAGGAGTGGAATCCCCAATTCCACCCCCCATCCCTGCTGGGCAGGGCCACTGGGTACCTGTCCAATCACCAAGAGATTTGACGTCATGTCGCGGAATTTGAGAGGGAGAGAAAGCTCCGCCAGCTTTTAGTGAGCAGCCGCCTCGGAGCCACGGCCCTCACAACGCTGTATATTTGGCAGAAAAGCTGTGCCACATCTTAGCACTTCTTGTCATTCGTGTTTCATGTGTATTTTGTATTCCTCCTCTGGAGAAGCGTATCTCTCAATTGAGACAATTGGTGGAGGATACCATGGACTTTTTTAGCATGATCCTCTCAAGCATGTGGAAGGCAATCCTCTTGAGCACGGGCAGGGCAAACAAAAGCACCAAGCAGGCAGGTGGATGACTGAGGAAGGGTGGGAAGGGGGCACCTGTCGCTCTTGCTGAGGCCATCTGCATCCAGAGCATACTCCACCTGCCTGGGGCTGTCGCCCAGTGTAGCACTCACATCAAAGCGCCAGAATTTCCACTGAGCATGCTCATCCAGCAACAAGCCTTGCAACTGCGTTGCCTTGCCTGCAATCATCCCACATGAATTGTGCACTCTCAGCATTCTTTCTTGCGATTCACAATGGTTAGCGAGTTGCCAGATGCATGCATGCATGCTCAGCATGTGGGATGCATTTTGCTTTTTTTTGGGCGAGAAGGGGAGCACACACCGCCATCATCGAATGTCAGCACAGGCTCTGGGGGCAAAACAGTCAGCTTGGATGGCGGGGTGACAATCAAGACAGAGGCTCGCCACAGGGCCTTGGCGGAGTCATAGCCCAGCAGCTGTATGTAGGGGCCGCTCACTACCAGATGCTCGTTGGTACTGGGAATCTGCCAGCATGCATGCACAACCTTAGTACTTTATTCTGTAGAGGGGGGTTTTGAAAGCCTGATAGAGGTGATAGGGAGGAGGGTGAAGCGCACAAGGACACAGTTATCCCCTCTGCTGGCGGCAGCGACTGCTGAAGCTTTGGTTGAGAGCGGATTTGCCTCCTCATGCACCACATCTGCCTCGGGTTGCTGCTGCCAGTGCCTGACTTGGCCAGCTGCGCTCTCTGCCTTTTGGAGAGCAGTGCTGTCTGCCTGTCACAGCAAAGCGAAGACCTTGTATGTAAGACTCAATGGCTGAAGTTCCCGATGCAAACAAAGTGAAGGTTTACCCCAGAAGTCAACTGCTCGAGACGTGGCTTGGCCAATATCGCTGCCGTTGGTCTAAGTCGACCTCGGCACAATTAGATATACTCAACATGATATAACTCATGTTAATGAGTTATCCTTTGGAGCGCACCTGCAATCCATTGGCACTAAATTGACTGGGTGGATTCGGTGCCGATGCATGAGTTTCTGCAACAACATTGTCTTTGGCCACAGCAGGTAATGCAGATGCCTGCTCCATCTTTGTAGTCAGTATTCAAGTTTATGCATGCGAGTGAGACTGAAAACTGTTGCTCATTAGTGCACACGGTATATCCTTATTCTGTTTTGAATGGGTTACAAAGACCACTGATAAACATCAACGATCAAGAGTAAGGACAACCGCAGCATTGTGAGTGCAGTGATTTTTCTTCTTTCTTGTGAAAAATTTGTGAAAAAACAAAAGGCGCGCGCTCCCACGGGCTCGGTTTCTCTGCCAGTCCTGATCATTCGTTATGTAAATTGTGACGTCACTTTGGAACGCACTCCGAGTAGGGCCGAAGGAGTGGTGTGAGCTCGTGGGAAAGGATATTCTGAAGGTATTCTGTGCGTAGAGGTAGAGAAACGGAATACCTGCTTAGTGTAGGCAGTTCTCCCTTGGGCTGCTTTCTATATGTACCGGACGGCTCGTGTGTGATTTGATATTGACGAATATCTGCTCCGACTCTCAGCTCAGAGCGTGATTATCATATCAATAGGGAAAACGAACGTAACCTCAGATCGTGGACAGCACTAGTCTGCTCTCATTTCTCGCGCTTGTGGCCGGTACACTTTTCACGGGACTAGTCATCTGGGAGTCAAAATGTATTCCGTGCAGCAGGGTGCTGTTGCTGCTATGAATATGACGGACGGAAGGAGGACATCTACAAGCAAGAGGACAGATGAAGATGGCAATGAAGTCTTCGAAGAAGAGGAGGTGCGGCTCCCGAGCATCGCTTCTGTCCTGAATATACAGTCCATATGGTTTTGGGCACCACGATTTCCTCTCCAATACTGTTGAACAGTTTATCTACGGAGGCCTCATAGCGTTTATGTCACTTTCATGTGCAAGGAAGATCCTGTCCTTGAAATTGGCAAGCCCAATATTTTCCCAGGTGGAGGATTTTGAGGAGCTCAAACGTGCTGCCATGGAAGAGTTCGGTCAGAGCCAGCGCACCTTCAAATATCCCCTGACTGGCGAGGGTGACGACAAGGTAGCTGATTCCTTGCCACCTTGAGTCGACACAGCTGCAATGCATGCGATCACCAGCCATTAGTCACCAAGAGGACGGTATGTGCTGTTCAGATGCAGGATGAACTCATCTGAGGATAGAGCAGGTTCTAAGATTGCACAGGGATTGCTGGCGTGCAATGTGCTCTGCATGGCGTTTTTGCGTCGAGACAATTCTGTGCAGCGCCCACGACATGCATGTCACAGTGACAACGTGAATCAGCATGCTTCTTGTGTGTCCATCAAGGGGTGGGATTTTGGCAGCCTTTAGCTGCAGCTTGTCTGCAGACGCACCTTGTCTCTGGCAGGAAGAGCGTGCGATCATGCCTTCATTGCTTCTTGCCTGACTGCGCAGGTCGTGGTGATTGATGTGCGCGCGATGGGCCGCAAGGGCGGCAACCAGCACCGGAAGCTTGTGGTGGACAGAGCGCTGGCAACCAAGGACCAGGACAATGAGCGCTTCTACAAGAACCTGCGTGCACGCTTTGACAGGCGAGTCCACACCGCACAAGTACAGCAGTTGGTCACTCGAGATATCTATATCTCTAGCAGCAGCTGCTATTTTGAATATGCAGTCAACTGGTGGCCAGGAGAAGCAATGGAGCGTGTCTTACATACTGATCCATGATAAGCCATGCATCGTTGTTTAGGCATATGATGGATGCTTCAGGACTACGCCTCCCGGTCTCCAATGCAAGCATGTACGCAGTAAATTGAGGCTGTAATCTTTGGATTCAGGGTGCGCATCAATTTGTCCAAGGTGGAGGTCCGCTTTGAGAACTTGGCAGTGGAAGCTGACGTGCATGTGGGGGGGCGTGCGTTGCCCAGTGTGCTCAATTCTGTGCGCAATATTGTGGAGGTGAGCACAACTTTCACAACAAGCTCTAGGCATGGGGCTGCAGAGTCCCTGAATGCAAGACCCTGCGCTGCATGCAGATGTAGACCTCCCATGCGGCATGCTTGCCTGATAGCCTAGCATGCCATATTATTCTGATGAGCTTCTTCCAGTAGCTTGCATTCCATCTCTTGCTTCTCAATCAATTGTTCTGGTTAGTCCGCCCAATCTAAAGAGGCGCCAGAGAAAGCCGGGCCGACAGTGTAATTGCCTGCCCAAATCCATCAGCTGAAAAGGAAACACTGGGGAGCTTAGAACAACAGCGTATTCACAGAAATATGGAGACGAGACACTGAAATTTCTACAAGCGAGTGCCTACGTGGGGATCTCCCTAAGTTGACTGCTGAACAGATGTTTGTGCCCTGCTGCAGAGCAATCTCCAGACTTTTGGCATCATGCGCAGCCCCAAGAGGAAGTTCCAGATCCTCAATGGCATCAGCGGCGTGCTCAAGCCGGTGCGAAACTGGCACCCTTTTGTTTCTCTCGCTGTTGCAGGTTGCCAATTCCCGCTTTCAGAGGGTGCTCAGGCTGAAATGTTGAGGACCGCCTCCCGTTGCCAGTCTGTTATCAATCCATGCATCAGTCTGAAGTTACAACCGAAATCAATATTTTACCTGCTAGTGTCGTTGGAATCATGCTTGGACGAATATTGCAATAAAAGGGACTCTGTCAAGCATATGAGCGTTGGGTTCTCACAAAGCACTCCTACCTAAGGTGCCCTAGCTGGTCGCTGAAATTTTAAAGTGTGCGTTCGCAGCTGGGCATATGTGCTCCGGTGTCTAACAGTGGCTGCATTTATTGACGAAGTGCATGGCCGCTATTCCTTCGTGAAAGTGGGATACTCCCATCCCACTTGTATGTCAATGACTGGGCATAACTGCTGCAGGGGCGGTTGACGCTGCTGCTGGGGCCCCCGGGGTCGGGAAAAAGCACGCTGCTGAAGGCACTTGCCGGGAAGCTGCAGGGCAGCTCCCCGCACGTCACCGGCCGCATCACGTTCAACGGCGAGACCTTCGACCGCTTTGTGCCGCAGCGCACCGCCGCCTACGTCAGCCAGGTGCGCACAATTTACTTTATTATTATTCTTATCATTACACGCCTTTCCTGCCAAGAGGCAAGGTGCATCCTGCAGACAAGCTGCAGTTGAAGGCTGCCAAAATTCTACACCATTGATGAACTCGCCAGATCCAAGCAAGACCCAATCAACCGTGGGCACGGTGTTCAGTATTTATACCGCCCCCTGCCAGCCGGGGCCAAGTTTACTTTATTCCCCTGGAATTTATTGTATGAATGCCGCTCTGTGGCCACGGCTTAATTGGCTCCATTATCTTGACGCTCAATAGATGCTTTGGCGCCAAGAGTGGGCGGGGGTGGATGTAGGGTACGTGGGTCGGGAATTCGTTATTTTTAGTGTTGGTTTTCTCAAACCCAAAAATTCCCAGAAAAGTAGTCCTCAGGACTGTGAAATCTCTTGTGAGGTTTGAATCTAAACCTCTCTCTTGAGAGGTTTGATTGCCCAACCGTGATGAGATGGTTGACGGCTTCAATTTTGTTGAGGGCTGCATTCCGTGTGCATGCGGCGGGCGCTGTAGGGGGCTGTCTTGTGCAGTCTCTGCTGCTCAAACCGGCCATTACAATGCCCACTGCATGCATTTGATGAGCGCCTTTACGGACCCAAGATGGCGTACAAGTCGATAAGCTTTTGAAGTCTCCTGTTTGTCTGTTGCAGGTGGACAATCACATTGCTGAGTTGACTGTGAAGGAGACTCTGGACTTTGCTGCGCGCGTTCTGGGTGTGGGCCACAAAGCAGGCATGCACTGCTCAGCCCACCCACCGTTGCATGCACAAGGGATTTTGCGTTAAAGCTATTTACACGTTTAGGGGCACTTGGTCTTTGTTTGCAGTTGCTGATATCGGCTCTCCTTGGCCGAAAAGCAATTCCCGATGTTCCTACACCAGGCCTTCGTGTATTCTTCATTTGGTGCTCGTATGCTGATTTGGACCTCATACCTCGAGGTGTTTCTTAACTCAGACCTCATGGTATGAGGTGCAACTTCATAAGGAGCTACCATGTGCTGAAGAGCTCATGGCAACGAGACGACAACAGCATGCCATGAGCTCCACTTAAAATCTCTGCATGGGAACATGGGAGAGCCTTTCAGTGAAAATTTGCCATGCTGATGTGGCGGTGTGTGATTGGCACAGAGTATCTGCGGCTGCTGCGGGAGCGCGAGACGGCGGCCGGTCTGCGCGGCGATCCCGAGACTGACGCCTTCATGAAGGCCAGCGCGCTGCAGGGCAAGCGCCACAGCGTGGCCACTGAGTACATGCTGCGCCTGCTGGGCCTTGATGTGAGTGCAGTCGCTTCCAGAGCCTCTCTTTTTCTGGCCATAAATGTCCTCAAGCTCATGAGGAGCGCTCCCTCTTGTGTGTTGCCCAACCCTCTAGTGTCTGCTGGCCCCTATTGTCTGGAAGGCAATGCATCCAGTGCTTTGGTGAAGTTCAACTGTTGTTCCTTAATGTCAAGCAACAGTTCTCATCAGCCTGTGCAAGGAAGGTTGACACTACGGCGGCCCTGGGAGGATGCTCACCTCTGTAAGCCAGATCTTGGTTGTTAAGGAATGGATGCTATTATGTTGACATCCGCATTTAAGAGGCGTTCCAATGGCTACATGGGGGTCTGAAGGCTTCAGAAGTGGAGTCATGCGACGGTGAGAGGGTGCTGATTAATGTTAACTTGCGCCAGGTGTGCGCGGACACCATTGTGGGCAGCCAGATGGTGCGTGGCATCAGCGGCGGCCAGCGCAAGCGCGTCACCACCGGAGAGATGGTCGTGGGACCCATGAAGACCCTCTTGCTGGTCAGCACTCCCAATTTTATATTCTCCATGGCCCCAGTGATACATGTCATGCAGCTAAGAATGATAAAATGATAAAAGCATGATATGCAAAAGATGGGATCAGAGCGTGCAGTCAGGTGGGCATTTGTGTCCTGTCATGCCAACAAACACACACCACCAGGTAGCATGCACTGATCTGTCTTTCCTGGCGTCTGCTCGGATCTGAGTGTTGGAGCTTGTGGAGGGCCTAAAGAGTTTTCTTTGGCTCTTGCCCTGGTCCTGTGCTTTCCGGCGGATTCAAGAAAAATTTTGCAACCCAATAGGTGAGGTGTGTGCTGTGTTCACTGCAGGACGAGATTAGCACTGGTCTGGACTCCTCGACTACGTACCTGATCACCAAGTGCATCCGCAACTTTGTGCACATGCAAGACGTGCGCCATTTCTTCTGATGTAAAATTTCGCTTGCCAGCAAAACAAAACGTGTGCAGGACTGAACTATGTGCCATATATAGCTTGGAGTAGCTCAACTTCTTATTGTTTGCACAGGCAACTGTGCTGCTGGCTCTGCTGCAGCCTGCACCAGAGACCTTTGAGCTCTTTGATGACATCATGCTGTTGTCAGAAGGTGTGCCCCTGTCTCTGTCATCACACATGTGCATGCCACAAATTCCTGGGCATGCATGGAACTTGCGACGGAAGTAGTGATCATGATGCATGCATTCTTATATGGCCTCAAGTGGCGCTATTGTGCTACACATCAAGCACGCTACTTGATGCTGCTCTTGAGGTTTGCATCAGGTGTGTGAAAGTTGAATTGCATTTAAACAGAGGGCTGTGCTGCAGGGCACATTGTGTACTTTGGGCCGCGCGAGGGTGTCATGCCGTTCTTCAACAGCATGGGCTTCGCTCTGCCGGCGCGCAAGGGCATTGCCGACTTCCTGCAGGAGGTGCGTGACTCATCCTTGACTCGTCTCTTGGATGCGGGAGGCGTTGTGGATGTGCTTTGCCATATAGGAGCAATATCTGTGAAGAGAACCAGAGTAATTGTGTTGTATGCATGCACCTTCAATTGTGACAGTAATGGTGTCCTAAACTGCAAGTTACAGCTCCCAAGCCACTATGAAATGAAGCTGACGGTCAACTGCATATTTGTGCTGGCAGGTGACGTCTCGCAAGGACCAGGGCCAGTACTGGGCGGACCGCGCGCGGCCATATGAGTTTGTGCCCGTCCAGGCGTTCTCAAACGCCTTTGAGAAGAGCAAGATCGGCAGAGGCAACGCGGCCGCCCTGGCAGAGCCCTACCAGCCGGGGGCCAAGGGCACCTTTGACGCCCTCGTGCGCACCAAGTGAGACTTTGTTTCTCATATGTTGCCTGTATCTGATCTGATCTGAAGAGGGTCTTGACCATCCAGCTGTTGGTCAGCTGGTGCCTTCAAACTTTTCTTCATTTGAGGCCACGTTGGCATGCCCCTGTGTTGCTCCTGGTCCACTCCTGCCTGTAGACAGCGGATGAGGGGAATTTCTTGCGCTGTAGATACATGCGTGGAGGGTGAGTGGCATCTTGTGTGCTTAGGATGCCTGCGCAGAGCGACATGGGCAGTCAAGCATTTGTGGGGAATGCGCTCAGAGGGTCTGTGAAAAATGTGTTAAGAGGGGTAATTTGTGGCGCAGGTTTGCGCTGTCCGGGTGGCAGGCGTTTAAGGCGTGCCTGCGCCGCGAGTGGACGCTCATGGTCCGTCACAAATTCATCTACATCTTCCGCACCTGCCAGGCACGCTCTCTCCACACCCCTTACATCTCCCTTTCGTCTTAGCATAGCATTTGCCTCTCATCACACAATGGTACTTCTGCCTCTCACCATTCCCTAGCATCTGCCTCCCGTCATATGATGTGGTGGTTATGCATGTCAGCCCTTACATTACCAGTCCTTCATGCTCCACACCTTGGGAGAGGACCCACAGTTGCTAGAGCCATAGCTGCAAGACAGTGCGAGCGCCAGTGTCGGGGGAAAGGGCTGCCTTGTGGTTCAAGTAAATTTATAGGCATGTTAAACTATATCTTGCTGTTTGAAACACCAGGGAACATGCACATTATGTGGCGTTGAGTCAAGGGAGTCAAGGGATCATGCGCAAGAGATGTCACCTTGCCCTGTGTGATGTGTCATGCTGACATCATGCTGGCGGTGAGACAGGTCAGCGTGGTGTCGACGATCATTGCCACGCTCTTTCTGCGCACAACACTCAATTCCACCAGCGTAGATGACGGCCAGACCTATCTTGGCCTTATCTTCTTTGCCATCATCCACATGGTGAGATTTGCTACTCCTGCAATTTCCCCCTGCGTTGCCTTGACCATGAGGATGTTTTGATATATTCAGTATCCCCCTGCCTCGACAGGCCCCCCCCCCAAGCCCCAGAGCTAAGCCTCTGGGCTTGGAAGAGCTTTGATATCCCGCTTTGACCTTTCAAACTGCACTTAGCCTTTAAGTTGCTTTGACAGGCTTCCTCCCCAGAGCTGGGATCCTGTGTATGGGAGGGCTTTGATTCCCCGATTTGAATTTGAATCTTATCTGTCTGGTATCGCAGATGTTCAACGCCTACTCAGAGATGTCCATCATGGTCGGCAGCCTGGCAGGTGTGCTTCCTCAAACTTGCAGACATGGCACAATGTCGTGCCTTCGTTTCTGGCTTTTGGTAGGTGGATGTCGGACTGTGTATATGTTAATGGTCATGAGATATTACTTTCAGAAGCGCCCCTTGGAAAAGACATCTCCTACCATATATAAAGACCGTTTTGCAATTTAATTAGGCTTCTACAAGCAGCGGGACGCCTATTTCTACCCGGCTTGGGCAGCTTCGCTGCCCACGGCGCTGCTGCGGCTGCCCTACTCCTTTGTGGAGTCCCTGGTTCTCTCCTGCATCATCTACTGGGTGGCTGGAATGGCCCCCGAGGCCGGCAGGTGCGCAGCAGTCTCTGAGTCTTCAGTGCAGCGCTATGAAAAGTTGCGTTAGATGCTATTGTTGCCCTTTCATTTGGCTAGCAGCAATTCCGTGCCCGCGCTCCGTTTCAATAATGCCAGATGGGATGGCTGAGAGGGAGTCAGTGCATTTGAACTTCTGTGCCTATATTGGGGTCTTTTGCCAATACTTTTTCTGATGCTCATGTTGGCATTTGCAGCAAGTGACCCTGCCTCTTGTAGCAAAAGTCACACTGCACCTCTCCAGAGTTTGCTTGGTACTTTGTCTTGTGCCCATGCTAATGGCAAACAGCATTTGTCATCCTTGGCACACTGACTCAGCACTGAATCTTCTTTTGAACTCTGTGATGCACGAGAGTTTGATGCTTTACCGCATCACAAAGTATCAAATGGAGTTCAATGCTTTGAGGGCACAGACAATGACTTCTTTCTGCGTGCGTGCGCTTGGCGCGAGTTCTTCTTCTTGTGGCTGCTGGTGCACCTTGCCCAATCATGCCAGCTTGAATGCCCTTTGCTCAAGGCGCTTTCATGATGCCATGAGTCAGATTGCGCAGAATTGATACTTTCAACTCATGCGTGCGTTGTGTTTGGCTGGCGCAGGTTCTTCTTCTTCTGGCTGCTGATGTTCCTGGTGCACCAGATGAGCGTGGCCATGTTCCGACTCATGGGCGCCATCGGCCGCACCTTAGTCATTGCCACCACATTTGGATCCACCCTCGTCCTCTTCGTTGTCACCCTGAGTGGCTTCGTGCTGGCCTACCCTCAGGTGGGACTCAATCCTAATTTTGATTTCAATTTGATGAAGATGCCCTAGAAATTGCACTCGTCACGGTGCCACGCGTCCCCTATTGCCAGGTCAGCCCAACGCTGCTTGGTGGAACTCTTCATTCCTTACGCCACCACTTTTTGCCTGCGGAGGGACTTATTATACTGGGCGGGTTGGTTATCTACTCAGAACATGTACTGGCATCCTGCATGCATCAATTTCGCTGTTGAAGAATAGAGGCAGACTGGTTTATTTGTGAAAGTCAGTGTGGAAGACATTTTGTGTAAGGCAAATGGCTGGATCCACAATCTGCAGCTCTGGAAGTGATCTTGATAAGCTCCATGGGGCCTGACGGCCTTCTTTTCTGACCCGCAGATCCACCCCTGGACCATCTGGGGCTTCTGGATCAGCCCCCTCATGTACGCGCAGCAGGCCATCTCCATCAACGAGTTCCGAGCAAGTGCGCATGCTCACTCATTGAGTAATATTGTGCGCCGTGCAGGACTTCAGCCCTGTAACATGCATCCATGTACACATAACATACACATGCTCCCCTGCAGTGCACTGAGCAATATTGATGTCGGGGTGTTTGTTGAGAGTGCTGGGCTGTTTGGATGCAGAGCGCTGGCAGACCCCCTATGGCGACAGCACAGTGGGGCTGACGGTGCTCTCTGGCCGGGGGCTTTTCACGAGCGATTCTTGGCGCTGGATTGGGCCTCTGGCGCTGCTAGGCTACGCTGTCCTGTTCAACATTCTCATCCTGCTCGCCCAGACCTACCTCAACCGTGAGCCTCTTTGCATCTCTTACCCACAGGAGAAGGAGCACATCAGGCCTGCTTGCTGCTAAATTCTTGCGTAATGAGACGACGACTTTCTGGATTTCAAAAGGGCGCCCCTCAGTGCAGTAACAGCCCCCCTGCCTCGCTTTCCTGCATGCTTCGAATGACCTTCGCCACAAGGACGCTTGCTTTTGCGTACTACCTCGAACAATGCTTGAATGGCAGCCTTTGTGTGAATTTCTGATCGCCAGAGCTTCTGTAGCGGGCTGCAGCTTTAAGGCAAGTTGCTCGCCATTTTATATGGACGGTAATCTGAGGCATTTGTTCGCACGCAGCTGTCGGCAACTCTGCGGCGGCTGTTCCTGAGGAGGTAATGGCTGAGCGCGAGTTCAACCGCACCGGCACCACAAGCCCCAAGGGATCCCCACGCAAGGCCGGCCGCGCATCACAGGTGACTTCAATTTGTCTTTCAGTGCCGCCCAGGCATCCGTTTGCCCATGAGCCAAGGCACAAGAAGAATGAGAAAAGACACCTATAATAGGTGCCGAGCAGGACATGGTTTCTGTTTGATAAGGGTTCTCTGTCTCAATGGCTCCATCATGCATGCCAAGCTTCGTTTCTTCAATTTCTCTGGTGCCATCCTCGGCCCCTATTTTGGTGTGGCATTAACGCCAGCTGTGCGCCACATTGCAGCCTGCCTTTTTGGGGTGCAGGTGCGGCACAGCTGTGGTGTCAAACAGTTCGTTAGCTTTTCAGTAAAAAGTTCCATGTTGCACACTGGCAAAGGCCCTCTGTGCGCAGAGCTGGAAGCCTGGTCACCATAATATTTTTTAGAATGGTCAGTAAAATCATCTGTGTTGCAACAATCTCAGAAGCCCTCTGCACAAGGGAACGCCATCCCACGGTCGGACAGCCTCACCGGCGCCAGCTTCCGCAAGGCCGTGCGCGCGCCCGCGACTAACGGCGACGCCGCTGCGACTAATGGCCACGTCAGCGGCCATGCAAACGGTCATGCCAATGGACATAGCGATGCGCATGACATAGAGATGGGCGCCATGCCTCGAGAGGTGGGAGCACATGCATAATGCTTTTTAGTGATTGTGTGCTGCAACGTCAAGGACCATGATTGTTCATGACTCATGGTCAGGTCATCTGGCACTGCTGAGGCCCATGAGGTTGAGATGGGCGGGTGGGGTGACACATATTTTGTGCGTTTCAACAACTTTAGGCGAATGCAAATGCATGCGTGCCTTGCTTCCTAGTGGATAACTGCACTGCAGACACATGCTGGTACCTGCATTCTGAGCGTTTCCTGTTTGGTGAGCGATTCAGGTGGGCTCACTTGCGTACCGTTTGGCCGGCAAGGTGTTCTCATTTTGCATGGCATGGGATGCAAGGCTGCTCTGAAATTGTTTGTGCGATGAGTGCAGGAGGGGCCGGGAGCGAGTGTGAAGGCCATCAAGGGCTCGGCTGCCAAGGGCATGATTCTGCCCTTCCAGCCCATGGCTCTCACCTTCCACAACGTCTCCTATTATGTCCCCCTGCCCAAGGTATCGTCCCCCTGCTCATGTCGCCTCCCCTTTTTTGAGCAGATGTAATCCCTTGATGTGGACCCCAAGAGTAGCATTTTGGCGCATTGCACCAAGATGCGTGGCCATGTGGAGTTGTTTTCTTGGATCCATCAGACCTGCTGACTCTCTTTTTGTGTGATGTTGCTGTGTGTCAACATCACTGGAAGGAGCGCTTGTTGGTTTGATGCATCAACAGCGCTTTCTTTGTGTTTGTTCCTCCTCATTTACTCTCTCAATTACTGGGTGCATTGATGCCCTGCTGCAGAAGTCGGGCAGGTCTGGCATATCGCCGCATGTCAAACTTGCTTTATGCAGAGCGCCGGTTGATTGATTCAGTTCGACCCAATTTGTTTCCCACCTATCAGTCCCCTCAATTTAGTTGTGCTCTGCTGCAGTGCTGCAGGTCTTGCACAAAGCTGCATGTCTATATCGCTCAGCACAGCGTCGGGTGACTCAGTGCATGTCGACCGCTTTTCTTTCTTTCTGTCACCAGATTCACTGATATATGGGTGCGCTGATGCGTTGCTGCAGGAGGTGGCGGAGCAGCAGGGCAAGAAGCCTGGGCAGGGGCCGCCCATGCTGCAGCTGCTGCACAATGTCAGCGGTGCATTCCAGCCGGGAGTGCTCACCGCCCTTGTCGGCGTGAGTGGCGCCGGCAAGACCACCCTGCTGGATGTGCTCGCCGGCCGCAAGTCAAGTGCGCCTGATTTATTTCATTTCCATGCCTGATGGCTGGTTATAAAGATTCATGGTCTCGAGAGGGCTAGCATTTTCATGATTGTGGCCGGCAAGACAACACTGCTGGATGTGCTTGCTGGCCGCAAGTCAAGCGCGCTCTTTGTGCTGTCAGTTCTCTCGTGCCGCATGGATGCTGAATTTCATATAACACCCTCTGGCTCATCAAGTCATGGGGTCTTGGAATGGTCTGTGCGCTGTGTGCAGCAGCCCATTATGTGTACTCTCTTCTTGGGTTGACAAAATCACAATACCTCTTCAATCTAGCTGCTATTGCCACAAAGAACACATAATGGGCTGTTCCGAAGACGTGTGTCACTGACTTTGCCAAAGCTCATCAGCTGGCTGGCAGGTTAGGGGCCACTGCCATGATTCTGGTGTTTCATCTCTGTTGGTAGTAGTCATGATAGACCAGAAAATTTGGCATGTGCAGGCGGCAAGGTGACAGGTGACATCCGGCTGGATGGGCACCCCAAGGAGCAGAGTACCTTTGCGCGAGTGTGCGGCTATGTCGAACAGAACGACATCCACAGCCCACAGGTCCGATTCTGGCCCTCTTCTTTGCATTCCTGAGCCCGCTTTTCCCAGCTCTCATTCCTCAGCGGCTCTGTAGGCCCTTATCAATGCAACTGACCCTCCCATTTGGCAAGTCCTTGCGCTTTGGCAAGCTCCCTTCCAAGCACCCTCCATGCTGTGGACTCTGCAGAAACCCGGGAATAGAAGAAGATAGACGGATGGCATTGGGCGTCTGCACCCATGCATTGTAATGCACCAGCAGGGAGTTCCTGCTGTGCTGGCAGTTTCAGTAGTCAGTGTCAAGAGGGGCTGACAAATGAATTGGCTTTCCAGGTTACCGTGGAGGAGTCGCTGATGTTCTCAGCGCAGCTGCGGCTGATGGACGTCAGCAAGGTCGACCTGCGCACCTTTGTCAACGAGGTGAGCCCGAGTCACAATTACTCCCCCGATGGTCACAATTCACGATGTTTGCCTTGAAAAGCAGGCAGAAAAGAGGCGCTCAGCTTGGCTCTGAGAGATGCAATGCCACTCATGTCATTCCGACTGGCCGCTATGGTTGTTTGGCTGATTGGCAAAAAGGTGCAGCATGTGAGCCACCACCAAACGGCATCTAAAGGACCGATCACTGCAGAGAGAACTACCCCTAAGCAAGTAAATTTTTGGGCCCTGCTCTCAACATGCTTCAGGTGATGGAGCTGGTGGAGTTGACCCCGCTGAAGGGGTCCCTAGTGGGCATGCCCGGCAGCACAGGCCTCAGCGTGGAGCAGCGCAAGCGCCTGACCATCGCTGTGGAGCTTGTGGCCAACCCCTCAGTCATTTTCATGGACGAGCCCACCACTGGTGCGCACCTGCCTCTTGCTCCTCAGCCGACAGGGCCTTGTATGACAGAAGAATACTCTGTTGAGGCATTCAAAGGCACGTTTGGTCAGATGACCTCCATATGTTTGATGGGTGGGTGTCGCCACCCTCACATGGAGTGTCAAAAGACCGCCCTGGGACTCTACAGTTTTGAATCTTACTGTCCTATCCATTATGTTGAGCTAAGGGAATGCACAAAGAAGACCTTTGCGCGGTCTTGCACTTCTGAGTTGGTTTTATTTCATCCCCGCGATTTGCTGCCAGTGCTGCAGGGAGTTCTTTTCCCACGCCAGCAGCACATGTAGACCCCTGCCGCACTGGTGAAAGGTAGCTGGAATGAAAGCGAGTCCACCCCGGTGTGCAGTAGCATGCAAAACATGGTGCTGGACTTTGCCTGACATCCACTGAGTGTGCATGACTGTTGTCCAGGGCTGGATGCTCGTGCAGCGGCCATTGTAATGCGCACAGTGCGAAACACCGTCAACACCGGCCGCACTGTTGTGTGTACCATCCACCAGCCCTCCATCGACATCTTCGAGGCGGGTTTCACACTCAAATTTAAAAGTTTCAGGGAAACTAAGTCACTTGCTAAGTGTCAGCAGCATGGATCTGGCACGTATTGTACATCTGTGGCGTGTGACCTAGGGAAGCAACGAAAAGAAGTCCAAGAAGTGTTCTGGGAAGAAGTGTTCTGGATCCCTGGTATTACTGTCAACATCTTATCCCAAGAAGTCTTCAAGCATCTCAAAATTGATATAATCATTTTTGTAGGTGAAAATACGAACTTTCTTATAGGCTTTGAGAACTGAAAGTCCAGAAAGTTATTTATTTGGGTGGCGCAGGCGTTTGATGATCTGCTGCTGCTGAAGCGCGGAGGGCACGCCATCTACGTGGGGCACCTGGGCGTGCACTCTGTCGACCTCGTGCGCTACTTTGAGGCAAGCAACGCTCTCTCCAAACTGGGCATGGGAAGAGTATGTTGCACTTGCTTCCTGCTCGTCTTCGTCCATTTCTCAACTGGTTGAGACGTGAGTGGGTCTCATCCAGCCTGTCTCGAGAGGGATGTTGCCGAGCAAGGAGCACCATAAGCCCACCAGTCCCCGCGTGTCAGCCTGGCCTGATCTCTTTCCCACGCCGTCTTCAATTACAGCTTATAGATGCATCTGAGGTCAAGTGCTGTGGCAGACTTGTTAGCGCCAGTCACTTCTTAAAGAAGTGTGCTGATCTGAGGTTTACTTCTTGTGCAAGGGAATCTACTGTTGGAGTCTGTTTGCCTTCATCAAAGCAAGGTCCAATATATTGCCTGTGTTGCGCCCAAACAGGCGGTGCCAGGCGTGCCTCGCCTGACCAAGGGGATTAACCCTGCCACCTGGATGCTGGAGGTGAGCGCGCTGGCCAAGGAGTCCCAGCTCGGCGTCGACTTTGCCAACGTCTACCGCAGCAGCAACCTCTTCAGGTGCGCACATGCAGTGCACAAGAAGGACTGCAGTACAAACTTCGTTGTGTGCCTATGGACCCAAGGACTTGAGAGTCTTTCTACTGTCTCTGATACCACCAACCTGAACTAAAGCGCTAGAGATTGTGCTGCAAGACATGCCTTTACATGGGGCGTGCTATTGCGAGGGTCTCAAACATGTGCAGCATCCAGTAATGTGGCTGAGGAGCTGCCCTCGAACCCTCTTGTTAACATTCCCAATATCATGGCTTTGTCTGGCAGCAGCAAGCCTCTACACCAAATTGAACCTTCCAACATACAGCACATGCTGCTGCTCACTTGTGCGCGCTTTCTCAGGAAGAAAAGTGTTTGCTCTTCTTCCTGTGAAAGCGTGTGGTGTATATGTATATAATTCTGTATATTTGTAACAAATTGCCCTCGAGATAGGCCTTCCACATGCGCATGCCTTACACCGGGACACGAGGAGCTCATCTTGCAGCTTTGGTGCTAATATTTCCTGAACCTTGCATCACATGACAAAGCTGACACGCGCATACATTCACAGGGAGAACGAGGAGCTGATAGCGCGGTTGGCGCGGCCGGCGGAGGGGAGCCGGCCGCTGCATTTCGCGCACGCGTTCCCGCAGAGCCAGCCGCGGCAGCTGGCGCTGCTTCTGAAGAAGAACATGTTGACTTACTGGCGGTCCCCGTTCTACAACACCGTGCGCTTCGCATTCACCATCGGCCTGGGGCTCATCATCGGCGCCATCTACTGGGACCTCGGCAACCGCAGGTGCGGGCTTTTGACTCGGATTAGAACTATTACTTGTATTATTACTATTATATAGACTAGTAATATTACGCCACATAATGTTTCTGCCAGAGGCACGGTGCGGTGAGGGTGCAGCCATGCATGAATGCAGATGATTGTTCAAGACATGATAACCAAAGGCAGAAGGGCCTACGAGCTTGGAGCCATGATTGGTTTGCCAAGAGCGTCCTAGAGCTCCGTTGGCGGCAGCACTGCAGCACAGGTAGGCAGGATGAATTCAGGTGATGGGTCCATCGTCAGAGGTGCAGCAGCTATGCTATCTGAGGTCAATCAGAGTAGATAGCAGAGGTGTGAATCTGTGGAGGGTACCATCTCCTTGTATATCCTGCGCTCCTGTGCTACAGCGCCACATTTTTTTGGAATGACCCCCCGTTGCGATGAAATACTGACATTGACATGGTCATCAGCACGTTTCACTGTGGACTGGCCTGAGGATGCAACCCTTTGCCAGGCAATATAACAGCCATTCTCATAGCGACATCAGTACCGTAGAGATTTTTTGGTGTGTTGCTGATGGCCTCGTACATGCATGCTCCGCAGGGGCCAGCAGGGCGACGTGCTCAACATCATGGGCGCCATTTTTGTGGCTGTCATCTTCCTGGGTGAGGCCCTTCTGCCTCTGCCAGAAATAATGTCCTAGATTGCCTTCAGATTTTCTCAGCCCCCTTCAGACAATGAGTGCACGGATTCAACCAAATTGCTGAACTGCAAGATATAATCATGTGGCAGCAGATATGGCAATTGTACTGAATGTGTTTTCTGCACCTCACAGGCACATCCAACAGCTCCACTGTGCAGCCTGTAGTGGCCATTGAGCGCACTGTCATGTACAGGTAACTATCTTCCTTCACTCCTGCGCCCCTCAGTCCTGTGCCTTTTTATTTTGGCTGCTCAATTCCCTGCACGTGCATTGCATGTGTTGCAACTGTCTCCCATCCAAAGCCACCAAACTCTTCACCTGCAGAGCACTACCTGTTCACTTGCCCAGATCACCTGTTCACTTGCCCAGATCACACTCATCAGTCTCCTTTGCGTTGGGCATGCTGGAATTTTGTCTGGCACTTTTCAGTCTCTTCTGCGCAAGGCATACAAACAACGTCATTGATTCCTGCCAGCTCCTTAGAGCAGGGAATACACGAAATGTCTTATGATTCAATATAAGTGTCCGTGGCTGCAGGGAGCGGGCGGCGGGCATGTATGGGGTGATTCCCTACGCGGTGGCACAGGGCGCAGTGGAGTTTCCCTGGGCCCTGGCGCAGTCCATCGTGTACTCCGTCATCACCTACTTCATGATCCAGTTCGAGTTCTCAGCCGGTGAGTCGCCTGCCCTTCACCCTCACACACTGCTCTGGCAGCCAATGTCCCATCCATGCACAGGATATTTTGGGCCAGCATGGTTCGATACACCACACCTGCACATCAATTGAACTTCTATGATACGATTTGCTCTGAGGCTGGCCTCTGGGCAAGGATCGCCGCTCATGTCTGCTTCTGTCGTCAACATGATCAATTGTAACCTCTTGCAGATGACTTGCTTTTCACAGAGTGGTGGGCATGTATCTTTGCACAGCAGTGTTTTCTTCTCCTGAAACCTGCTCATATCACCGCTTGCCACTCCCGGGAACCTCAGCAGTTGGCTTTGTGTCGACACAGAGGTCAGGGCAGCCAGATTCTCCGGATATCTGCTGACATCAGCAGTTGCTAAGCCAGCACATGCCTTGCTGCTCTTTACTGAGCCGCGTGCTAATCTGCTGCGCAGCCAAGTTCTTCTGGTACCTGCTGTTCTCCTACCTGACGCTCCTCTACTTCACCTTTTATGGCATGATGGCCGTGGCGGTGTCCCCTCACGTGCAGCTGGCGGCTGTCATCTCCTCCGCCTTCTACTCCATCTGGTTCCTCTTCGCCGGATTCCTCATCCCTCGCCCGGTGCGCGGCTCATCCCCCATCTTAGGACATGTTCCTTTCCATCCATGCATGCATTACTGATGAAGGTGCCCTGCTCAAGAAGCATGCCGCTCGTTGATCTCTGTTAGGATGCGCTGACAAGGTCAGACAGATGACTAGACTGCATGCCCTCAACCGTGGGCCATTGAGCAACGTCTGGACAGGAAGACACCTGTTTCTTCCCCAGGGAACCATGCTGTTTTCTCACGAGATTGTTCTGGCACAATGCATCGCTGGCCTCTATGAAGGGATGTCGTTGGGTGTCTGCATTGCTCCGTTATGATTCCAATTGATGGCCATGCTGATGACTTTGCTGTTGATGGCTGCAGAGGATGCCGGTCTGGTGGAAGTGGTACAGCTACCTGGACCCAGGTGAGACCTGTGCTCATGAAATTCTCTTGCAAAAGAATTACCTTGCGTTGCCGAGTCTACCTGCACCGCAGTCTTACTACTGAGGTGCTGTAGGTATGCTCCCATTCGATGAGCTGTCTTTGACAGCTCACGCTTCTGTCAAAGACCCTCCAGCAAATGGGAGCATACTTACAGCATATAATCACTACTTCTGCAGCTTCAAGCTGTCTGCAGGACGCACCTTGCCTTCTGGCTGGAAAAGCGTGTAATAATGTTAATAATAAAATGATTACCACTTCTACTTCTGAAAGTCTGTGAGGGAGCTCATGTCTGCTGCTGCTCTCATGCCTATGAAGTAATCCTTCCTGTCTACATGCAGCCTGTCTACATGCAGCGTGACCACTGAAGCTTAGGTGGCCCATATATTGGATTGTGTGTGCTGCAGTTGCGTGGACGCTGTCTGGAGTCATAGGCAGCCAGCTGGGGGATGTGCAGGATGTAATAGAGGTGAATGGGCAGAAGCTGACTGTGCAGCAGTACATTCAGGACACATATGACTTCAGCAAGGACTCCCTCTGGTACACTGTTATCATCCTGCTGGGCTTCTCCATCGCCTTCTGGTTTGTGGTTGCAGGTAAGGACCTTTTTGCACCGTGTTGAATTGCTGAGAGTGCCAGCTCTGTGCTTCTGCTTGGCTGTGGGCTTGGTGATTTGTTGAGAGTACCGCCTGTGTTCTTGGCTTACTGAAGGTCAAAGCTGTAGGATCGGAGAGCATGTCTTCAACAAAACTGGTGCTGATTGTCTTGAAGTGGGTTTATCGGTAGTGTTCAAAGAGTGGGTGACGAAACAAGCCTCACCCATGAGTGCATACTTTGTGAAAGTCGTCCTTTAGTCGGATGCACAGGTTTTGATGACATGCGGGCATTAGGATCACTGTGAAGGCCTGAAGAAGGGCTGAGGATGCTTTGGTGTGCTTACAAAGCTGTGTGTGCATGTGATGCCTGCAGGTGCCCTGAAGTACCTCAACTACCAGAAGCGCTAGGCAGCAAGCAAATGAGCTCAGATCAGCCAATCTGCTCCGGTCCACAACAGCCAGGATGCTCTTGCAGGCCACATGGCCAAAGAGCAAGAGCAGATGAAGGGCATGTGGCAAGTGTACAGTACTGGCAGCAGAGGAGCAGTCTCTTTCATTCACTCTTTGTGCTGGGATTGCTCTGTTGGGGAATTGCCCGCAAAGCACACCGATTTATGGGGGTATGATATTAATATCTAGATACTTTTCAGACGATCTTTGATGTTGTGGATGACCTGCTCCTGCCAATTCGCTGGGCTGTGTGATGGAATAAGAGTTACTGAGAAAGTCTCAGTGAGAATACGGACTCTGAGAATAAGGACTCCACCCGTAGGTTGTGATAGGTGTGTTGCAGGGTATTTATTTGTTGTAAAGTTATTTATACAGTGAGAGCTATCTGGTTCTCAAGGCAACTTTGGATGGCGGGGAACACGGAAGGCTGTGCTGAGACCGTGGCTCTCCCTTTGCCAGTCTTATTTAGAATCTTGCTAGGCAGACTGTTCAATGCCGCCTGATGCCTCGTAGGTGCAGGTCGGGCTCTGTCTGACATGCGAGGCACTTGAAGACGTGTCAAATCTGCCCGCTCAAAACAGAAAAAGGTCCCTCAGCATATTTCTCCAAGCTCAGGACATTGTAAATATATATGTACATGTAACACAGCAGCAAGTGTAGAAGCAGGTGGAGATGTAAACTCTATTCGCGCAGTTTTGGCAGCTCTACCGACATGACTGACAATCAGACCATCAAATTCATACTGACTGGCTATTGGAAACCCATACTAGAGATCAGAAGGTGGGAAAATAATTTGAGACCTAAGCCAGAATGGATCAACTAAGGGTGTCCAGGTATTTTCAAGTATCTAACTAAAACCTGCAGACAAATGCCTCCGAGCTCGAGCTCTGCATTCTTCAGATTATCTCAGCACGATCCCCTCATCACATGCATCACTTGACCTGTACTCGACCTACTACACCAATCTCAGAACACACAGCTACATCTGCAAAGGCCAGCTCACAATGACAGTCGGGTCTGGTATGCTATTGAGCATCACTCAGAATGTCACATCAAACTTGGACAGCACAGTGACTCTGAAGCAGTCTGTCATCTTCATGTCCCACTGGAAAATTGCAATATTGGGCCGAACAGCACCCGTCAGAAGCCTCACACAGACTGCACTAAGACTTTGGTCATCGCTAGGTACCACATCCACTCCAGTCTATCTTATGGCACGCCAGGTGACTTGACACTACAAAACTTGACATTGACACAATCAAGTTGGGTGAGACTCCCCTGTCTGGTCATCTGCACGTTCTGCCCTCTTCTCTGCATAAGCTCGACTCAGCCAAGAAAGCACAACCACATGCTGCAGACACACGTGTCATGCAATAGACCTCTGCAAGAAGTCCGCTCCAATCCAACTTATGGCACTGCAGGTAGGTTGACAGCTACATGACTTTCTTTGAAGGCCATAAGTAATCTCAACCCTGCAGGCGTCTGTAAATGGACAGCACATAGACATGGAAAAGAGTCCCCCCACACCCTACATCAGTGAGAAAGGAGAAAACTTCCCTCCTTCCTCAGCGGCATATTCTGAACTGCTCACTGCATGCCTCAGCACAAATACTACCACCCCGCTGTAAGAGGCACCTCATGACACAGCTGATCAGCCCTACTGGTGGTTGTGGATGGGCAGGACACACGCAACGGAGAATATTCCCCGCTCCCCACAGAGTTGAAGGGAAGAATTCAATTTACAGTTATACCAGCTACATGTTTCAAGCTGCTTGCTGCATGCGCACCCGCATGCTGCGCTCAAAAGATCTCATCCCTGGAGGCGGCTATAGACGGACAGCACATAGACGATTGAGAAGATCATGGAAGCGCCAGACGCGCCGTAGAGGACAGTGGATAATTTGTTGACCTGCTCGAGTGTCATGGCTCCGGTTATGCGCGCGCAGAGGGAGAGCAGCAGGTTTCCGCACAGGCGGCCGAGCGTGCCTGCCTGCGTGGAAAGCAGCCCCGCATTCCATAGTCCTTTTGCCATGCGTTCGTCGATCACCTGCTCACAGAGGAGGGGTATTTAGATAAGACTTCCATTAGGGAGAAAAATGTGCCTGATTGGCTGCGCAAGGGACCATGATTGCCAATTTTCGTGCCGTTTTGAGCGAATCAGCAGTATCGGCTGCCTTGTGAGAAATTTAAAGTCGTATTGTTGCACAATGATGTCTGCATGTGCTTTTGGTGCGTTGTGCGAGACTGCTGGCGAGAAGGGGCACTTGCGGCGACAAAGTTTGCGTACATGAAGCGCAGTGAAAACCCTGCCAGCACACAGAGGCAGCCTCTAAAATGGGTGCTCACCAAACTTCTTGACCCCTGTCCCACCAAGGCTTGCCAGGCAGTGCACCCTGACATGCCTGCAAAAGCAGGGCACACTCCAGAAACAGCAAGGATGTCAAGCAGAGCTGACACTCCATATAATGCTCATATAATGCTCATAAAACTTGGCCCCGGCTGGCGGGGGCGGTATAAATACTGAGCACCGTGCCCACGGTTGATTGGGTCTTGCTTGGATCTGGCAAGTCCATCAAGGGGTAGGATTTTGGCAGCCTTTACTGCAGCTTGTCTGCAGACGCACCTTGCTTCCGGCAGCAAAAGCGTGTAATAATAACAATAATAATAATAATAATGCTCATAAAATAGAGTGAGTTCAAGGAAGCGTGCCTTGGAGGTGAGGGACATGGAGACTGCTTCCAGGACGATGGTGCCCATGTACACCAGGGCGCCTGCGATGAAGAAGTTGGACATGGGGAGGGGCCCCTTCATCAGCGCAGCGCAGCCCGCCAGTGTCACCAAGATCGACGCCAGCTGCAGCACAACAGACACAGAGTCGATCAGTCAGGACAAGCAATGCGAGCCAGCTGCACTGGAAGCCCACACAGACCCGGTCACATGAAGGCCATTGGGCAGCAGCTGCATTGCAATAGCACTAGATGCAATCCTTATTTTCCTTATGGACAGCAGGGCACAACTAGGAGAGCCGCCGCGTTTCCAATGCATGTCCGCATGTTCTTGCACTTACATTCCCACTCCTCCATCACAGGACCAGCAGCTTTCATGTCACGGGGTACACCTGCTCCTCAGCTGCTGCACGATGCGCGCTCTGCAGATGCTTCATCATCCCCAAGAAACTCCAATTTATTTTGAAAACGCCATGCTTGATTTGGAATTCAAATGTGGTGCGCACGGTGATGTGGCGGTCTGGGAGCTTGGCGGAGAGGCGGCCGACGGTGAAGTTGACTAATGGAGCCACCAGTCCCAGCACGCCCAGCATGACACCCACGTCCGAGTTGGACCATCCATACGCCATCTCTGTGAAGATCGGCAGGCCGTCAATGTACGCCTGCAAGGAAACGCCCGCGCACTCAGCTTCGCTGAGTTTCTCATCATGCAGGCTGATTTGCACACCAGGTGCAATCCCTGATCAAGAAGCCAGGGTCCGCATGTGAGTGCAATGACTTGCACATGCACATGCATGCTGCTAGCACCTGCACCTGCAACTTGTGTCACCCAGAACCGCTCCTGCATCATGCCTATCATACGTAAAGGCAGTACATGCTGCTGCTCTCTATCTCTCTGCCCTTGCTTCTTCAAATGTATTCCCTTTATCCTTCACAGGCTGATCCGGACAAAAGGCAGATCTGCTCGGTGCTGCCAGATTTGACAGATCTCAACCGATGGTGACCTTGGATGTCTAGGCTCTCGATTGTCTTGTTTCATTTGGGTGCTGTCAGTAGAACAGAGGGAGCGTGAGAGGCTTCTCGGCGCACCTGCTGCACGACTTTGAGGATGTAGCAGAGGAAGATGCAGCAGGAGGTGGCGACGAGGGGTGAGCTCCACAGGTGACTCAGCCGCGCCAGGTAACCCTCCTCCTCCAGCTCACCCGCCTCGTCATCCGAGTCCGCTGAGCTGGACGGCGGCGGCGGGGGGACCTTGGGCAGCGGGGGGCCCGCCTCCACGTCGTGGGGCGTTCCATTCGCCGCCAGCAGCGGCTCGCGCAGCTCGTCCCTGCGCGCCACACAATGTAATTTTCAATAGCTCCATATGTGCTGAAACCCCACACTAAAAGCTCGCAAACCTCTGCACGCAAATTTTAACATGGGTCAGTGCTGTCGGGTGCTGTCTCAATGTGTGTTTCTGCCCAGCTGCAAACGCCTCACTACAGCCTGGAATCTGTGAGAGACATTCTACGCGTTCACATTCACCTTCACTTTCACACATGCCAGCAGTAAAACAATTGTTAGAACCAGGCAGCACAGACTGGAAAGTAATAATGAAGGCAGAAGTGCTGATAATATAGCGCAAAATCATACAACGTGGGGAGCAATTGCTGGAGATTGAAGGACAACGCAATGGCAGAAAGGGCGCTCACGTCTTCTTCTTTTTCTTCAGAGGATCCTCGAAGCCAAAGTAGGCGAAGATCATGAAGATGAGCCAGGCCACGTTCATCAGCCATCCTCCCATCGTGATCTGCCCCACACCCATTAGATGTAAAATTTCCTGATAATCAAAGCCATGGCATCTTCATTTTGACCCAAACTGGCAGAACTTCACCCGAACACCTCAGGGGATCAGCACACAACCATGCATGGGTGATAATTTCTACATGCACCTCAATCCTGGTGCCAGACCAGGCACTGAAGCTCTGAAGCAGAGTCAACAGGTTGGTTGTATCACAGCGCTTCCAGCCAACTCAGGGGTTGTCCTAATGCCCGGCTCTGACTCTCACAGCCACCGCACGGCACGCCATCTTAATAGAATGTTCAGACAGGACAGCTTCACATGAAAACACCACATGAAGGTGAGAGGAGAGGAGAGCAGCCGCACATGGTCAAATGTGAGGCCGGCAAACTTGAGGGTGGGGAAGTGGGACAGGGGCAGCGCCAAGAGGGGACCCAGAGCCATGCCCACAGCGCTGAGGCTGACGAAGAGCGCGCTGGCCCACGTGCGGTCCTTGTACGCCACAAATATCGCTATGTAGCGCCGGTTCACCGTCCTGGCCGACCCTGCGCGCGCAAGCATTTCTCGTGATTATGATATGCCTCTGCTGTTGACAGCCGTGGGGCTTCTGCAGATTAGCTGCAGGTGAAGGCTGCCAATTCACCATCCTCCGGCAGACTCTGTACAAACACAAACATCGCTATGTAACGCCGGTTTACCGTCCTGGCCGACCCTGCGCGCATCGCTCCTTTCATCCAAATGCAGGCCCAGCTTGTTACCTACTTTCGAAATTGAAGAAGAAGTCATCTTGGTGCAGTACACCGCGTGGCAGGCCATAGCCCCTGATGTCCATTGTCATGTAAACATGTTGGATGTGCTCAAGACCAACGGAGTTGGATGTGCTCAAGACCAACGGAACGAATTCTCATATGGAGGAGTTAACAAGCAGCCAAGGTGCAACGGAGCCTGTGATGCGGTGCTCATGGCTTGAGCTATTGCAGCACATGAGGAATGTATCCATAGCATGTGGTGCAACAGCTCAGCCTTAGAACACGCATGACAACCTTTGTCATAAAGCATGTCCCCTTTGCGTGCATCGATTTTCACAGACCGAGCAGAGATGACCCAAGTTTAGGTGAAGGTGCCACTGGATTGAGGAGCACATAAACCAAAAAGCAATGCAATGAGACCCTTGGCAGGGGAAGTCCCAGGGGGCCGCATATTTACTTCACATTTCCCTGGAGTTCCCATCCAGAAGGGGATTGTGAGGGGGCCGACGCACCGAGGCCGGTGATGAGGCGGGCGAGGAAGAGGAGCCAGACAGCGCCCAGGTCATAGGAGAGGCAGTAGGCCAAGTTGCCCACCAGGCACGCCGTCGCGCTGGCCAGCAGCGGCGTCTTGTAGTCGTGGTTCGTCCATATGCTGTAGCCTGCGCGCCACCAACCCATTTGTTTCAGAAGTACTCCACTTTGGCAGTCTGATCACACCATGATCAGCTCTTAAACCTCCTGTCCACGTTCACATATTGGTGGCGACTCGAAAGCATGCAGACACAGCATGCAATGCCTCCCGGAGGCCTTCCTTCCTCCCTTTCTCTGATGCACAGATGCTCTCAACAATTTCACAGCATATTGGCACTGTTTCCTCTTGAAAAGAACAGCATCTGCTGTGGTCAATAAGCACCAGGAAGCCCACCAGGCAAGCCTGGCCAGCACAGTGATTTGAACGTAGAGAATGGGGCATTTTGATGCATATATGGGGACGGCAGCAGCCCACCGATGGTGCCCGGGATTGTGGCGATGTCACAGCAGCCGATGATGATTCCCACCATTGCGTTGGGCACGCCGATCTTGCGGCACAGCTCCGTGATTGTGGGGATGATGAGGTTGTAATTCGCCATGTACAGCCCTGTCACATGCACCAGAGCATTTGATGTTGAGGCAGCGCATTCCCACGATTGATTGGGTGTTGCTTGGATCTGGCGAGTCCATCAAGGGGACACTGTTGTAGCCTTTACCTGCAGATTGTCTGCAAACGCACCTTGGCCCTGATAGGAAAAGAGTATAATCATAAGAGGAATAACACAAGCGCATGTGATGCACTTCTTGCCAGCCATGCGCCACAAGAAGCACAGAAACTAGACGAGCTTGTCAGCAGTGGCAGCAAGTGAGTCATGTGCTGCAAAAGGAATCCCCCAAATGTTCCAAAATTGAAGGGGAGCATACCAGAGTTGATGCAGTTGAGCAGCAGTCCTCCTGGGGTGGCCAGGGCATCCTCGTCATCCGGGGCCGGCTCGAAGATACCAGCCTGCGGAGACAAACACTCCATAAAGCATGGAAATAGCACGGACAGCACCCTTATGGGGCTCCAGTATTTACCCCTGACGGGTCGGTGCCCGAGCACTTTAAGGAATAACCCTCTTGCGCTGGGCCCTAGGAGGCTCAGAAGAAGTTGCCTGTGACATGCCCCTGGAGGCAATCTCAAAGAAAGCATTCACCGCTGCTGCTTTGGCAAACGTTGCTGCAAAGGGCAGGTAATGCAGCGATGTACAGGCGTTGCTCGACCTACCTAGTCTTTCAGATTTCATGCGTGTGTAAATACAGATAAATTCATGAACAGGGCTCTCTTCCTCCTCTCATGCTTGCATGCAGACTCAAAAGGTACCCCTCACGCAATTTCCGACAGCATTCCCAGCAGAAATCACATCTAAATTGTCCCCTGAGCAAGAGTCTCTAGGGTGATGAGGGCTCTGCGCGCATGCATGCAGGCTACTGTGTACTATATACCCAAAATGACGGGGTGCATGCCTGGGCCTCCTGCCAGGGGATGGGGTGGATGAGTCGCGCGTTGCGGTCCGCCATCTCCAGCGCAAACTTCATCTGCTGCAGCAGCTCGTCCAAGTCCAGCCCCTGATCGGGCTCCGCGCCCGGCAGCCCCGGCGTCCATGCGGGGGTGTACCTGCGCCGGCCCATCACATATCTCATGGCGTCATCATTCGATACAAAAGATGCATACAGGGTGTGAGCGGCTGCAAAATTCTAAACACGTGCAGCGATGCGCAAAGCATTTTGAACATCAATGTCAGATCCCACAGATGTTCACCTCCAATGACAGACCTCAGACATGCATCAATATAGTTTCAGTACCTTTTGTGAAGGATATCTCATGGTTGAGAATGAAGGAGATCAAGAAGATACCCTTACGATGGGGTACCCATTGATTTTGGGTATTCATACACTCTACAGAAAAGCTGGAGACGCTCGTAGTCTGTTCCACATTCACCTCAGAAGTAGTGTTGCCACGCATGCCATGTCCACCAGGAGAGCTTCAGGAATAGATTGGGAAGACATAAGAAAACAGGCACCCGAATCTTAATAAAAGAAGGGGGGAGACGCACTTGAAGGAGGTGCGGGAGCTGAGGCGGCGGCTGAGGGTGCGAGCGGCCTTCGTGTCGGCCGGCAGCGGCCGCGGCGCCGGCACGGCGGCCGCCGGCGCGCGGCTGGCGACGCCCGGGTGCACCGCCATGAATTTCTCGCGGCACTCCCTCAGGTGCTCGTACACATCCCTCACCTGAGCAGGCCCAATGTGAACTCTTCACGTTGCAGCATGAGGCATTGAGGCACTCTCCGCCCATCATCGTAATGCGCGGACTGCAATAACTTATTTAATTTGAGTCATGGATGTCCTTATGATTGGGAGAGGGGCATGTCCCCGATGGTATAGCCAAAAAGGGGCTTTCGTGCCCTTCTGGTGAAATCTGTACAGGACATGCATCAGTTGCATGGTGTGACTTGCCTTCTCAGAAGCCTGGTTGAGTGCCTCGTGGCTGCCCATGGCTTCCAGCTCGCGGCCAATGGACTCCTTCAGGAAGGTGCCCTGTTTATGGCACAATAAATTCGTCAGGAACAGGATTTCACCCTCTTGTAGCAGAAACCACCTCCACACGACTGTAGCTGGTCAGCCAGTCCCCGTTGATCAGCAACGAATGGTGTCTTGAAGCAACAAAAGGTGCCTTGAAGCAGCTTGCCTGAAGCAGCTTCCAGCCAGGCTCGTGAGGGTGCTCCACCCTAAGTGTGAGGTATCCTGCGCAGAGAAATTTGCAGTCAGAAAAAGTCATTACTGGCAACACCCATCAAAGACAATCAATATTCTATTTACGCCCATCCATGCTAAACATTTCCATGCTAAACATTCCCTGCTCATGTAGACCAACCCACATGGATGGGCTTGGAGTAAGTTTCTGCAGATGAAACATCAAGGATAAGGGGAAAGAACTGTACCTGGCTGTGGCTTCGTGGGCTCCACATTCTTCGCGTACTTCTTCAGTATCTTGCGCAGGGCTGCAGTGTTGAGGCTGACATAGCCCAGCAGGTGGAAGATGTCCAGAGCAATGGGCCGCAGGCTCCTCAGAGACGCATCCAGATGGTCCAGCTGCAGCACCAAAATGCACACTGGTATGTAAATACTCTTGTAGGTAATATTGTGCTTGTTTTTGTCATTTTTACAAAAGAATGCCCTTGTTTGGGCGGGCGAGGGCCGGGATAAGCACTGAGCACTGTGCCCACGGCTGATTGGGCCTTGCATGCCTCCCATGCATGTCATGCCATGCCATGTCCTTGCATGGGAGGTGCGTGGAAATACTAGAATGGTACGGGGGGATGTGAGGCTGAAAATTGGTGTCGCACCACTTCTTCTGGCTCTGGGGGGCTAGCAGCTGTGGTTTCAGCCATGCTCCTTGCTGCGCCGCCCTGAGTGCTGGAAGCAGCTGCCTTCGCTGCGCTTGACTTCTCTCGATAGAAGGCAATCACCTGTCAATTGACCACAATCCCCCTTAAAATTTGGTTCCCTCTCGATTGCACAAGGTGCTTGGACGCGCTGTTATAGCGCACACGGATGAAGAGGTAATTTTAAGGGTGATGGTGAAGACATGGCATTAATCTGCACCTTCTCTATCTCTGCATCCAGCGACTTGGCGAAGTCTTCCTTGCAATCCTCCCGCCCCTGATCGTCTTGGGCAACCATGACGGCTTTCATTTTGCGTTTCAGAAGCTCGTAGTTGATGTACTGGGCCGCCCAGGGCACCCATCGTTCACGAGCCAGCCGTTCACCGAATCGCATCTCTGCGCCGAAACACCTATCCCAACAGCGGCAATGATGTTTGGAAGTCTTCCATTTTGTCCCAGGACAGACTGGCAGCACAAATATTTTTTCTCCAAGTCGCAGATCCCAACTCGATGAGGAGATACTACAGGGCTGATCCTGCATGTCAAAGTGCTCACCTTGCCCTTCTTAGTCGTATATCAGAGGTAGTTCATTTCAATATACCTTATGAGACTCGATGCATGCAAGGAAAGGGCCTTCAAAACGATGTAACCCTAGTGGAACATCTTCTCCCTGCGATGCTCTATTTAAGAAGGGCTTCTATGTTCCCAAGCGCTGCCGAAGTTCAATAGGAAAATGTATCATATAGATAATACGCAGATTAGCTTTGCTGAACCGAGGCATGAAGCGGAGTGCTTGCATCTCGGGAATTTGATTCCGTTTAAATTGGAAAACGATGCCATCCTTGGCTTCGCACAGCTTCCAACGCGTATCCCTTAGCTACCGCTCCCTCGCAGTCATTCCTTGGAACTTTGCCCGCTCTTTTCTTGATGCCGTGCGATTGAAGCGGGGCTGGACAAGGGCGGGACCCCCCACATTGCTGGATCAAAGTGCACAAGGAGGACGCTTGCATTACGGCATCGATATCGAATGCTATGCTGCAAGAAGGCGACAAACGTGCTGTGCGATCGTAGTTCATCGTCCTCTGGCGACGGACAGAAGATAGAAGACAGTATATGCACAAGTAAGTAGCGGACTCTGAAAGAGTATTGCAATTTTTCAACTTAATGAACTAGAATTTTGGAGGAGGAGGCGATTACGCCGATTACGAATGTTCTTGATCTTGTATGCACCAAGCATTCATAAGTCTTCTCGCCTCCCCCCGTGATCCGATTATGGGGCATCTACTCTGACTGGAACTGAATCTTGCAGGACCTTTCCATGGGGCCCCGGGACGTCTTGAAAGTAGGGGCTTCAGAGTACGAAAGGACATATCTCAGAAAGCGCAGCAGAGTCGAGGAGAACTGTGAAGAAGGTAGGAAAGCTGGATCCAGATCAACAGAGCCAAATGAGCCTCCTACCACGTTCCACCTTGTCACTGTGACAGATCACCACTGGAAGTGCACATTCATTTCTATCCTTGCAATCACGACATAACGAAAGGCTCATTTTGGTGCAGGACTGCCAACAACGCATGGAGACAGTGCAGCTGTAGCATGGGCAGATCTTCCTTGGCCTGCAATGAAATGCCTGGTGACCCAGTGTGATACCCCGACACAAGCATGTCTAGCCCAGACTAGCAAGGCCATGTATTGGGCAGTCAAGCCCAAGCTGACAGCCATCAGACGAGCAGCAATCCAAGCGACAAAAGCCAGTCTCCACCAAAGACTGCAGGGATCTTTGCAGCAGGGTGGCAATCACCAGACAGAAACCCTCAGCAGCATCGCACCGAAGATGGACCTTGTGATTCTGCAAATTGTCTCGACCATGCTCGAAACCATTCTGCTCCGCTTCCACAGAGACTGAGACAAGGATGAAGCCTCACATGTCTCATGCAAAACTCTTACAGGAGTTTAAAAGCTGTTAGGATGTGCATCAAGTCAGTGCACTATGCAACAGGCATTTGAGCCATTTTATTTCAAATTTCACATTGTTGAGCTTGTGAACTTCAGCTGTGTACCTGGAGCATGCACGGCAATTTAGCAGGGATGGCCACGCCTCTCGGAAATCCAAGGGGATGAGCTTAACCCTGAGCATTTCAAGGTTGGCTGGCCCTGTGGTGGGGCTCATAGAAATGAAAGAAAGTCCCTATGATAGGGAAGCCTGCCTTGAAAAATTTTGCACATTTTATCGAAATAGGGAGTTTGCTGATCACAGGCATGCTTCAAATTTGAAACCATGGGAAGCATGATATTGTGCCCCAAGAACACGCATGTTTGCTGGAAAACCCTCAGGGCTGTGCCCTCAAGCTTTCCCAAAAATTTGGGGGTGTAATTGGGGAGTGATATTATGGGGTTCCTTGCTGTCTAGTAAGGGACTGGCCATCCCTTTGATGTAGGGAGAAGGAAAGAAAACGGCACTTCAGGACCCTGTTGTATCGGCGCCAGCAATGACAACGAGCAAGTGCTCTTAAGGCGTCTGTGAAATACATTTAGTCTTTGCTTCATCAAGCTGGTTGAGTTGCTTGATTAGACATGAAATTTGACTCTGAGCTCGAAGTGGACGCTTGAGATAGGCCCATATGACTTTGTGGTACTATTGCAGAGCGCTGGCTCATACTTGATAACTGCCGGTGATTGATCTGCCACAATACTGCCTTTGATGATAAATTTCTGAAAGGTCATGTTCTTTTATTTGCAGCTTGTGTCCAGACGCAGGCATCCCTGCCTCTGGCAGGACCCTTGTCTGATAAGAACAATTGTAATTTTTTGCCTACATTTGAGAGCATATGAACTGGGACATTAGTTGTGGCACAACATTTACATACTTCCTGCAAGGGCAACGGATAGAGTGACAGACAGACTGGCAGACAGAGAATCACCCGGCACCTACTCATACATTGAGACATTCATATGGTACAAGCTGGCAAAATCACCCACAGGCCCTGCTGTGAACACTAAACAGAAAAGGCTGCCGATTTCATGATTTGAGCACCTCATTAAATTGAGCTCCTCTTTTATGTACGTAAGCTGCAAGGTTTCTGGTGGCTTCAGCTGCCCGCCTGGAAGAAATAGGTGATGGCAAATGCTATTACGCTGCCGAGCGTGCACCCAATTGTGAGGGCCAGGTTCAAGATGGGCCCGCAGCGGTCCCTCGCAAATCCCCGTGGCAGAGTGGCTGGCGCATGCATCATGGCCAGAGATGTCAAATGACCGTTTGTCAGTCCCAGCAGCAGCGTCAGCCCTATGGGCCACGCGTCCGACCTGCACCACATTCCAGCTCAGCCAGGATCAGAAATTCTTGTTGTATATGCCTTCACAGACTGCTGTGCAAAGGAGTTGGCTAGCTTGTTGCATGCGCAGCATTGGCAATGAGAGATGAGCTTCTATATCAAGCAAACAGTGGCCACGGCCTGGTGGGTGGTAAATTGCAGAGAAGGGCTCTTGATAGTACAGCAGTGCTACAAGGACTTGCAAATGCAGCAAATTAACCAGCATGTACAGTATGTTTTGTGCAGACTCTCAAGGTGCTGCTCGGGTATTGGGTTTGGATTGATAGCATTGCAACTCAGGGTCACACTGCAGGAAAGGATGCAAAGCAGCAGCAGCATGTAGAACCCAGCATGCACAAGGCAGCATGCATTGACTAACATAAAATATGAAAAGTGGTTTGGTAACGAGCTCACTTGAGCAGGACTGGCAGCTGCCAGGGGGCAGCAGTGACCACATTGCACAGCACCAGGCCACCCACTATCAGCGCTCGGGCTGCAGAGTAGACTATCAGGAAGGCCATGGGGGGCGCCTGGGATCTCCAAGGCTCCAGCCCAGCTGCTAATCTCCCCACAAAGTCCCCAGCATTGAACACTAAGAAGATGAACGGGACGAAGAGGTCGCCTGTAACCCCAACAGACAATCTCATTTGCCTCTGTGCACGGAATTTCGTGGGGTCCAATCATGTCCCCGACAGGGCGCTGCTTCCTTCTTTAAACTGTTGCATGGCCACATGTGTCTCTTGCAGCATAGACAGCTGTCAGAAACAGCTGTCTGACACAGCTGTCCTGTGCGCAAAGATACACATGCTTGCTTGCTGTCTGAAAGCTGCTGGAATGCCACACGAAGAATGCCTGATTCACACACTGTTTTGTTGTATCTGTAAATCCTGGCATGCCGAATGGTACAGTGAAAGAGGAGATATCAGAGAGAGGTGGCTGCAGGAAGGCGCACCAAAGAAGCGGCCTTTAGAGGAGTAGGATTCACAGGGGGCAATGTCTGCCTTGTTCCACCGGGAGCACATGGCACTGGTCACCCCTGCATAGAGCAGCTTCAGACCAACACAACGCATTAAAATGTTTCTACTGAGCATGACAGGAATGAGCAGCTGCTGATATCAGCCAGCACTCAGCTAGCATTTGATCACTTCACTGAGCAGCCTCTTGCTCGTTGACACTACCACTTGGACAGCACTGCATGGACATGAAAAGCTTAGGTTGGCCTCTCAGAGATCATGAGACCTTTCGAAGATCATCTGACTGAAGCGTATTTCAACTTGCATCAGTGACAGTACGGTATTGACAAATTTGGGTCATTGCATGAAGAACAGAAAGCGATAGTGCATCCTAGCATGTGCAATAAAATGCCCTAACTGAGAGCTTCCCAAGTCCGCCTTCATATTTACACAGCCCTTATAATTTTTAGAGATAGGAAATCATCGTTTGACACTTTTTCCAAATAAGCTTTTCATTTTCTCGATAAAGAATTAGAGAAAATACGGTACTCAGAACCCAGCCGGCAACTCTCATTTGCTTGTGGGGTCGACATCAGGTACCAACACATAGCCCAAAAGTCCCCAAGACAAGTTTCTGCACTTTTCTCACAGAACCATCTCAAAGGCACATTTCTCATTAGGACAGCTTAGCGTGAAACATTTCTCCCCACCTGGAAAGGCTGCGCTGGTGACGAGGAGGACCAGGATACAGACCACATTGTAGCCCATCATCCGCTGCAGAACCTCGCGCAGACTGAGCTCAGACACATCCCGCATGCTGACCCCTCTTGACAGCCGCCCTGCGCAACATGCACCATCATCTCCACTGCTGAAAGATCTGAGTCGATGCACAATTGCGATCACGTTCACGGGATCGCTAAAATATGCAGTGTTTAGAACTTTCACTGTAGAGATAGTGCAGTGGCAAGAAAGCTTTACTGGTTCCAAATCAAGCCAAGTATTAACGTGGTGCTCTGCAAAATGACAGTCTGTATGGTGTGTTACAGTTGTGATGGGTACTGGAACTTCTATGCTCCCGGGTGCTGGTAAAATACTTTGCTGGTCATCACCAACAAGAACTTGAGGATGGTTGCACTATGCCCGTGGCAAAGGTCCAAATAATGGACAAGGGTACATTCGCAATCACTTCCAAGTGCTTGTCGCTGATAATCATGTAAATCCAATTCTGGGTGCTTGAGAAGGTGGAGACAATAATACTCAGACAGTATTGCTGGAACGGATCCTGCTGGGATGCCATTACAGATGATGATCAGCAGGATGCAGGCACTGGGGCTAGAGGCAGACTATGGAAGAGCTGGATTGACTATGTGAGAGATGACCTTGCTGCTATCGGCCATGCATTGGTGGAGGAAGTGCAAGAATCGAGAAGACTGGAGGGCAATATTCCAGGTGTTGCTTGACGTGCCTAGTCCTTAAGGACTGGAAATTGTGTCATAACAATAATGATGCAAATACTTGCAGAAATTAAGTATCTGGTGCTTAGGGAGGCCAAAGAGCGCACCATACAGCGGCGCCTTTGCCACAGAACCGGCCTTAGAGGAGCGCAGGAGCCGCTCCAGGTCATGCGCTGAGTCAGATGGCCCGGAACCAGCCGGCAGGGCGCCAATCAGGGGCTCCTTCAGCGTTCCCTCTTCTGAGTCACGCCAGTCCCACTCCGCGACCACTGCCACATCAGACGCGACACATTAAAGCCCAATCCATTCCATCTTGTTTCCTTGAGAAATGCCTTGTTGTGTTCTCATGCCTGAAAGTCCACGGTGATCATTGGTCCGTGCATGACAACATTGCAGCAGCAGTGAACCTGATGTCTTTCATGCGGCTATGCTGCAGCGTGCATCACTAGAAAGCACTATCTGAAGTACCCCTGAAGTAGAGTGGTTCGCACATAGGCATTTGCAATGTTCAGGCACTATTATTCATGTTCTTTTAACTGTTGTTTGGAGCTCCCCAGCCCTGTTTTTGCAGCTTATTCGCATTTAAGCAGGCCATAACAAGCATGGGATCCATTTCCTCTGGTGCTCCTCTAGATTGGGCAGACTTAAATGGTGGACCCTCATTGGGTGGGCAAGAGCTAACCTTCTGGCTGGCGGTGATGCCTGACAAAGGGCATTCTGAAGAAGATGAAGTAGGTGACAACAGCAGCCGCGATGATGAGCGACGAAAGCAGGAAGTAAGAAAAGGCCTCTGGCGCGATTTCTTCCGGAGTCTTGGCATGCTTCATCGAGGGGTGGGACCACCAGAGGGTGAGGAATGAAATGGAGGCAACACCTACACCAGACAGACCGATGCCCAGCGACATACCCTGCGCAGAACATACCCCAGCTGCTTCACCACTCAGCTGGAATTGATTACATAAGGATGATCTTAAAATCAAGTGGCTGTATCTTCCTTCTTTACAGACCAGACGAAGCAAAAACAACCCTGCACTGCTGCATCCTCCACACGTGTGAACATTTGGGCTGTCAGTTTGCTATCCCAGGCTGATGAGACACTCCGATGCCAGGAAGTTGCGTGATGCATGCATGCCATGCAGGAGTGTTTAACATGGGTTACTGAGGAAGGAGGCTCGTCTGCACAAACTACGCAAATGAGAGACACCGCTACTAGGAAATTTCCCTGATTCTTGCATATGGGAAATGAGTAATTCATGTGCGTTGTTGGAGGGGAGGCTCGCCTGCACATACTTCTGTGGCAGCCAGGCTGCCATGGCAAAGACACCTCCAACAATGGTGGCATTGGTGAGACCAATAACTACTTGGCTTGCCAAAGTGATGAATGCGACGGTGTTCCCTCCCAGCTGCAGGGCCAGGCAGACAGCGCAGCCCCCAATCATCACCAGTAGTGTCAACACCTGAGGGTGCAGGACCTGCATGCATGCATTGGCAATCTTAGCACCCATGAGAAGCCACCATAATACGAGTCCATCCTTGCTGCAGAGTCTCAAGGCAGGGGCACACTGCAATGAAACGCCTAGCATCCACAAAGAGCCAGTACAGTACATGAGTCCAGTTCTGGAGGCTCTGGAGGCAGGAGGGTGGCATGCATTGCTGAGTATGGTGTGTGGGGAAACGAAGGGGTTGGAAAGGAAAAGGTGGCACCTGGGCATCCATTGACATCCAGTGCTGGCAGGGGACATATATGAGAAAGCCCAGAAGGTTCCTGTTTGACATACAAACTGTCAAGTTGGGAGTCTGCATACTCTTTCAGAACAATGAATGCTCATGTCATTTTATATCCCAACTGGGCCCACTAAGCAAAGAATACATCCGTGTCCTCTGCTGGTCATAGATCAAAGGAATGTAGGGGCGCACGCAGCCTGTGATGTGACGAGGTTGACATTCTCAAAATTGTCGGCCAGGACACGCGAAAAGGGTGGAACATGGACTCGCAGGCCAAAGTACTCTGACTCCGTAACATACACGTTCCAGGGCACAGCGCTGGCCAGGCCTTGCAGCACGACAATGGCATAGACAAGGTGCCACCTGCATGGAGCATACTTTTTGTGCATGGGCTCTTTCAAAAGCCCTAGCTGGGCGTCAATTCTAGGTCGAACTTTCTGGCGGATCTGTCCCTGCAACGTTGGAGTTTTAGCTACATAAAGCAGCCTCATTAGGAACAAGGCAACCTGAGAGGAGAATGCACCTGTCTTTTGGCTCTCTCATCAATCCTGCTCAAGCCTCTCAACCGATGTCGAGCTGCAACTCGAGCATAGATCATTTGAAGCCCGCCAGGCAGCTTGCCTGCATTTCACGAATGGCAAGTACCGCCCTTCGCACCGTGTGCCCTTCTTCGGCTTCTGATTGTCAGATTACGCACGAAAACCTTGCCTGCGCAGTAGAGCGTTTCCTTTGATACATTACAATAATTGGGTTCCTTTCAGATCTCGATCGAGGAGATGGTGTGAATCAACATGGACTACTCATCGAATACTGTTTGATTTCCAAATTACCTTCGCAGGTATTACGGTCTTGTCCTGTGACCTCAGGAATACCGGACACGAAGATTATGGTTCTAAGCCACTGTGGCACTAATATATAGTGGATGTGCTACGTATGGGAGCCTTAGCGCCTGTCATCCGTCTAGAAACGAAAGCGTCGGCGTGTCAATGCTACACTTGAGTCTTCGGATCCTTTCTTGGTCCGCAATTTTGGTCCCACAACTTCACGAAACTCTAGCCATAAATCTCAAAGTATCACACGGACGACAAGGGTATGCTAGCCGCTCACAATTCTTGCATGTTGCGCGAAAAACACGCAAACGCCCGAATGACCCTTCTGTCGCCAACAGTGACTCACCGCTCATGTGGTTGTCCAGCTGTGCTTGAAGGTCCCAGCTTCCAGCAAGATTTATTTGAGTGATTCCAGTCTGAGCACCCCTGCAACGGGCATGTATTTGTGGCACTAATACTTGGGATGCATGCGTAAAACATTTGGCAAACGGTGCACGCTGTGGAAGCAACGCAGGTTTCCGAGGTAGTAGGGACATCGGCGAGAGGGAAAAATGGGGGAGGACTTGAAAAAGCTGCTCAAAAAGCGATTGCTGGTAATGCTTATTGCATCGTAACACCGCAATGCAGAGTGCAAAACCCACAAATAAAGTCAGCGAACCAACTTCTGGCACCGACTTTGACCTGAAAATGCATTGTTTTTGTGAGCCATGACGCGTTCGTCGGACCGTCATCAACCTAATCATGTGTAAATAAAGAGTGAGCCTGCCATCCTTCATGATTGTAAGATGAGTTGGATATCTTAGATGTCTGACTTCTGAGTCATTGCTCCCCTTTCCCTTGCACAGGATGAGATGCTGGGAAGCGTGAAAGACACAGAATGGAGCGTGCTGATTATGGATATGGTCACGACCCGAGTGATGTCCAGCATCTGCAGGATTTCCGAAATCCTGGACTACGGAGTCTCATGTGAGCTCTTGCGCAAAAAATATAGCAGGGGTCTTTTGACATGATGATGTCGTTTGGATTGCCAGGTCCACAGCAATTTCTGGCAAGCTGAATGCATGGAGGGGTCGCTTGCTCCCAAGCATAGGCCAAGGGAACCAATGGGTGCCTTCCTTGCAGTGGTGGAGAATGTGGCGGTAAAGCGGGAGGCGCTGCCAAACCTGTCTGGAGTGTATTTCATCACCCCATCAAACGAGAGCGTGCAGCGGTTGATCGAGGACTTCCAGTCGCAGCCCCTGTACAAATCAGCGCATGTGTTCTTCTCCTCCCCGGCCCCTGCCACTGTGCTGGCCGCGATCAGAAGCTGCCCTGGGCTCACTGCCCGGCTCAAGAGCCTCAAAGAGGTGCTGCATTTAATCGTTATGATACCATTGCCAATGACATCAATAAACCTATAAAGCACATGGAGCGAGAGTTGCTGATTGCACTGCTCCCAATGATCAGCAATGGTGCTCTTCCTGAGCAGCTGTGCTCTTGTCCAGTTCAAATCAACGTGTCCATTTCAATCAGGGTTCAGTGGATTAGAAGTGCACGGCGAAGGGTGTGGTGGAGGTGTGCATTAGTCACTGCCGAGGCTGAGGGGGGAGTCATGGGCAGGTGAACCTGGAGTTTCTGGTCGTGGACCGGCGCACGTTTGTGACGGATGAGAGGAACGCGCTGAGGGCGCTGTTTGGGGAGAATGGCAGCAACTCTGCCTCCTACAAGGTGGCTGTGGCGACGCTGTGCAGCCGCCTCACAGGCGTCTTTGCCTCCCTCAAGGTCAGAATCTTGTCTCGTCTTGCATCCTGCCGCATCACTGAACGTCATTGAATACGCTGCAGGGATCTCCATACAGTGCCCTAGCTGGTTGCGAAGCAGGTTCTCTGTAGAATTCGTGCAGCTTGTGAGACAAGTCATATACTGAGGCGGCACCAAACCGCAATTCTGTCTCTTCACACGTGGTACAGGACACTGATATCCTCGCTCAGCACTGGGATCCATGTGTTTGCCTCAACCCATCATATGACATGCTCTGCAGGCTCCCAGCTTTTGAGGCCAATGAGACAAAATACAGAAAATTGACATTAAATTGATTTCCAAAAAAACACGATTTGTGTGTGAGCGCAGGAGATGCCATCGATCAGGTTCAGGGCGAGCAAGCCCATCGGAGATGATGCGGGGTCAGGGCTGGAGACACAGGCGCTGGTGTCGCAGAGAGTGGCTCTGGAGCTCAATGACCGGCTGCAGGGCTTCCAGAGGGACGGCATCCTCCCCGCCAGCCAGACATGCGAGCTCATCATCCTCGACAGGTGCAGGCACACCCGCCAGCCTGTGCACTGTTCCTATTGCCTGCATATGGTGCCCTGATTAGAGGCTTTTTCTCTATTCAGGCGAAATTACCTTGCTGGTCAGTGGCATGCCAGTATAAATCACACGGCTTGATTTGTCCCTGATTCCCGACCGACCTCTGAATGCATGGATGGGAGAGGATCCAGTCTCGGTGGCAGCAAGAAATTGAGAAAGAAAAGATCAGCATGCTTATTGGAGAAACCCTAATGTGACCCTGATTTTATGCCCCCTGGTTTGTATGCACACAGGGGCTGTGACGCGGTGGCACCAATCATCCACGAGTGGACGTATGAGGCAATGGCGTACGATCTGCTGGGCCTGACCTCGAGCACGTTCCGGTACGAGAGCGAGACGGCCGGGGGCAAGGTGGAGTCCAAGGAGCACATCCTGGACGAACGCGACGAGCTCTGGGTGAGCCCTGGTCTCCTGACAGCTCACGTACTTCCAAATTCTGCCTGGCATGAGAGGATTGCCATTTACGTGTTTGCATCAGGACCAGGACTATTGGTGTCCCGGCCACTGATAGACGGCATGTGTCCAGAGCGCCTTTTTAGCACAATAGTAGTATGCTTATAGACTGGTGGAGCTTGATGAATGTTGGCTAGACAGGTAGCTCTGGTAAGCATAATCTAGCTGGTACATGCACGGTGGCATGGAGCCAGAGTTGCTGATGGGGATGACAGCGCTACGACAGTGATGTGGCCATATCGGTCAGGGTCTCAGAAAGGGACGACAGGCAGGGGTGCCTGGACAGCACCTCGGTGCATGCAATGCCTCAGAATTTGATCAGGGCTTTGTGATGAGATCATGAATATCAGACCCAAAATCCAGTTCCCCTGATCCTCCCTGGGGCGTGGTCGACAACGCATGCTCACTGATGTTGGGGGCATCAACGACATTTGATTGGCTAGATCGCTAGCAGCTACCGTCTCAGTCCCGTAAACGGAACCCATGTGGTTGGTCATGAGGTGTCATGCGGCCGGCAGGTGGAGCTGCGGCATCAGCATTTCGCAGAGGCGACGTCGCGCATTGCTGCGATGATGGACGACTTCAAGGCGAAGAACCGGGCGGCCAGCTACCGCGGCAAGGACAACGCGGACGCCATGGACATGCGCGCCATGCGCAACCTCGTCCAGGGCCTGCCCCAGTACAGGTACGCCCCTAGCTGTCAAGTTAACCTGCTTTTGTTGATGCATGTTTATTGGTAGTGCTGGCCCCGCTGGTGGGGACGAGATGAGTACTGAGCACCGTGCCCACGGTTCTTTGGGTCGTGCTTGGATCTGGCGAGCCCAACAAGGGGTAGAATTTGGCAGCAATCACCTGCCTGCTGTCCATGCGATTGGGAGTGCCGTGTCATCGTGGCCAGTGCTGACATGGGAAGCACCATTTGTGCCCAGAGTGTGTAGCGATGGAATGCCTTGCAGAAAATCATGTTGTGTTTGGTGTGCTAACCAAGTTGCCTCTCAAGCACTGCGAGTTATTGTTGAGTAAAGGATGTCTTTCATGTTTGCACGGATAATATTTATACCCTTTATGGCGCTCGCAATGCCTCGTATGTCTGTGCACTCATCAGCGGAAACTCCATTGCTGTGCAGGGAGCAGCTGGCGCGGCTGTCGGTGCATGTGGAGATAGCGAGCCGCATCAACCGCGAGATCGACGATCGCGCGCTCATCGTGCTGGGCAAGCTGGAGCAGGACCTTGTGTTTGGGGACGCCACCTCCAAGGAAGTCATCCAGTTCCTGCAGGACCACGCCGCCATACCCGCCAACGACAAGGTGTCCCTCTTTACTCCTGCCTTCCCATTTTGCTGGCCGCGTTTGCATGTGCCCGGCAGTGTTGCGCAAGGCATATGAAACCACGCCAGGTGATGCCCATGCACTTCCAAGACTTGCTCTTCTGGAATTGGCAGTTGTGGAGTCTGTCAAATTGCGCATGTGGTGCTCCTTCCTGCTTGTGTAAGGCATGCAGTGGTGCAAGAGCCTCGCTCGAACAATCAGCAATGGCATCCTTAGATCTGAAAGAGGAGTTCCAGTCACACGATCATCAGAGCATTTGTCTGAGGACGCTCCCAAGCCTTGCACAATCATCAACAGCGCATGCTACGATTCTATTACATATTTTAAATTGCGAAATAGCAAAGTTCACAAATGCAGTGTTGGTGCAACCTCTGACGCATGCATGTGTGCGGTGCAGGAGCGTCTGCTGATGTGCTACGCTGCGACACACCCGGAGAAGATGGACGCGGCGAAGCAGGCGCAGTGGCAGAAGCTGGCGCGGCTGCGGCCGGAGGACATGAACACGATCATCAACCTCGAGTTCCTCGGGGTTCCCGTGCGCAAACGTGGCGGCCGCTCCGTCGGACTCTCCTTCGGCCGCAAGCGCAAACGCGCCGTGCGCAAGGTGCGGTAACTCTGAACTCTGAGTGTGACCCTGCCTCCAGACCCGATATTTCTTTACGGCGCAGGCGTGCGCAGGTTTCATCATAGACCCGAGATGTAATCCTAGCGCGCTGGGCGCAGGATGGAATCATGAGCACGGTTCTCTCGTGTGTTCTTGCAATGGCTTGCACCCTTGGGCAGCGGCCTTTAATGATTGACAGTGATTGACAGTGGATGAATGTCAAGACTTCCTAGCTGCCTGCTTTGCCTGTGGTTGCATGAAGAATGATGTTGCATTGCCTTGTGGCATAACCACAGCATCAGTGGGCAAGCTATTAGTATATGCATGCACTTACACTGGGGCCAGCCAACACTCGGCTGGAAGGACGAGGGTGTGGCAAATATGCTGACGTGGGGTGTGTTGCATTGGCCTGGCGACATGCATACACAGCATCAGGAGGCCACCTGAAGAGGATGCAATATACTCAAGGCCAATCAACAGGTTGACACAGAGACGAGGGTGTATCGCTGAGGCGGGGTGTGTTGCGGGGGTGGGCAGGATCGGGACCCTGGGGAGGATGACCAGCAGTATGCGCTGTCGCGGTTTGTGCCGCTGCTGCAGGAGGTGCTGGAGGACATGGCCGCCAACAGCCTGTCTCCCGATGACTACCCCTTCGTCAGCGCCCCCGCCCCCGACGGTGCGCCCCTTTCGCCCGTCTCTTTTGCTGCGCCGTGATTCTGGTTTCACTGCCTAGTGGCCTAAGGCTTTCATAGCTACCTAGGCTGCCTCCGGTGATGGTGCTTCTGGCGGTGCAGGAAATGCGCTTAAGCGCCCTCTCTTACCAGGACACTCATGTTTACACAGGCAAACATAGACGTCCTGATGATATTCTAATCTAGAAATGCTCTGTTTCAGAGGATGGCCTCAAGGTGTCAGAAACTAAGTGCAAAGAGGAGGCAACAACCTGAGTTTGATCTGATTGTGCCACGGAGCACGTAAACTTGTCATGTGAGGACTGATGCAAAGGAAAAGGCTGGCACCTGATCTCATGAGGGGAAAGAGCATGCAGTCCCAACTTTCTCGGCTTCAAGGCAGCGAGCTGAGAATCTCCTTGGTGTGCCATGCTGCACGTACTGTCACGTGTGCAGGAAGCGGGCACTGGCCTCCATTGCTCTCAAAATGGTTCATGCATCACATCAGCCAGTCAACTTTGCAAGACGGCAGTCTGACATGTGTCATGATGATGCCCCTGCAGCGCGGTCGGCGGCGCCCACGACGCCGTACCACAAAGCCGGCTCGGTGCGCAGCAATCGCAGCGCGGTCGGCTGGGCCAAGAAGGCCGCCAGCGCGCCCAGCAACGCCGGTGCATCCTCGTCCTATGAGAATGGAACGCCGTCGGCGCGCGGCCGCAAGATCTTTGTCTACGTCATTGGCGGCATCACTCACAGGTGTGCCCCCACCTGCCGGTACATGCCGTCACCTGCACAGTTGTTGCTCAGCCCAGTATCTGTCACTGGTCATCAGCCTTTGATCTGTTGTCATTGGTGGCAATCATCCCTGTTGTGGGACTGGCAGGTTTGTGGGGAGACTAATTGAACATGCAAATGTGCTTTCTGCAAGGCATGCGGAAACAACCTTGAAGAGTGCATGTCAGAAATCAAGGACATGCAGGAACCCACAATAAAAGTACAGGGCGAGTAGACAGGCCCTCGCCTTCGCATGCAAGGGGTCACAGTGGCAAAGGCTGAGCAGCTTCGAGCTGGGCTTCGAGCTGGTCACTCTGCCAAGAGACAAGCAAGGATGCTTCAGATTTCCCTCCGAGCAGCAACTATTGCCGATACAAGCCTTGAGACTGGGGTGTGTGCGTCTTGCAGCGAGACTCGGGCGGCGCACAAGCTGAGCACAAAGCTGAACAGGGACATCGTCATCGGCGGCTCCACACTCAACACCCCAGAGGAATTCCTGGCACAACTCGCGGTGCGCCTCCTGCCCTCCACTGGAACCAAGTTCAATATTTGCCACGATCAATTTTTTCTTCTGCCACACCCCTACTATCTGATTGTCCTATTGTGTTTGTCCTATTGTATTTGGGAGGGAATCTTGCGCAGGAGAGAATCTTGCGCTGTAGCAAATAGGTTGTGATATCTGACCAGTGCTTCAAGCCAACCCCATAGCAATTCTCTTTTGCTGTAGTCTTCCTGTTGTCCAATGCTGAAGCTTCCAAAATATTGCAGCTTCCAAAGATCACGAGAGTGTCCTTTGTAGAATGTGCTTGTGATGGGTAAATGCCTGAGAGGACTTTGTCTGCCAGAGTTGAACGCAAAACTGAGATCAAAGTACTCGTGACTCATCAAGTAGCAATCATTTGAAGTTCGAATTCATGCTGCAGGAGCTGGGGAGCGCCGCTGAGCACACGGCCTTTGAGATCGAGTCGAATGGCAGGTTTTGAGATGCTTAGTTTGCAGCACTGCCCTTGACACAGAGCTCCAGTGGTGGTAGTGAGGCCGACAGCGGAGATGGAGAATAGTGGTAGCATGCATGGGAATAAGACTCAGCATAATTGGTTCTTGTGTGAGCAACAGGATTGCAGAAGAGCTGCTCGGCTGTGTTATATGTAAGGTATACGTTTCGACTCATTTGAACTCAATTGTAGTTCGCAAATTGCCAACTTCCTCTGTACCGTATGATACTGCAGGCGTCCAGTACAATTAGTAAATTCCAATCTCATCAGTCCATTACCACGTGGTGCACCCGCCTGCAACGATCCCTTCAAAGGGTGAGCACTACAGTTTGGAGCTGTGATGCTTCTGACCGAGCACCTTCTCTGTGACACTGTTGGCAGCATGCATGATGGGAGTGGCAGGGAACCCAAATGGGGCTGCCCAAAAGCACAGAAGTTGCCAAGCAGTGCTGTGGCACGCGTGGCCCACCTTGCTGACCTTGGCAATGCCCAGAGCTCATATGACGACCATGCCAACCTCTGACACACTAAGAAATATTCAATTTAAAGCATTCCTACCGCTTTATAAAATAGCTGACTAAGGGTACGATAGTGTGTTTGACTGCTGTCAGGGCACCTGTCAACAGGAAAAACTTGTTCGCTTCACCTTCAGAGAATTGCTTTTCTCTCCGCTTCTCTGATTGATTACTACTATTGTTATCATTTCATCGATGTCATTGTTTGGAAGCGATCACGCACGTCTTTCCAGACAGGCAGGATGTAAGCCGAGCACTCTCTATATAACACGATGGCAAGAAGACACGGCCATCTCGAGAACGTACTCACGGTCTGAACCATTTCGACGCATACAATTATTTAATATATGTCTTACAGCTGGAATCGCAAAAGGAGTTGTGTCATTAGTTCCGGAGGAAGCGGTCCACGGTACGGAACGACCGTCAGCAGCTCCGACAGTCACAGACGTCAAAACTGGGCATTCGCAGTCCTGATGTTATCAGAAAGATATTTAAAGTACTGCACACGTTGAAAGTAAGATGAACCTTTCCAAGAAGCATTCACAGTGAATTGCGAGACCTCCTACTCGTCAGCAACAGCCGATGTAGCGCAGGCAGGTTGTGGCAGACAATTGGGGCATATTGGAACTTCCCACTGAGATATTTGGCCACCTAAAGTAGCTTAGCATGCCGAGGACCGCATCGGAGTCATGAACGTGGCGCACTGCTTCAGCCTGTTGCTGGCCATCGGCACCGTGCTGCTGCAACACCCAGCCACTTGCCATGCGCAGGCACGCCCCTGTCCGAATGATTCCTTTGCCAATGCATGAAGTTCCTAGCAGCTCCTCTAGTTGAACCCCGGCTTGACCAGGCTTTGCAGATGAGCGAGGCGAGCGCAGAGCCGAGCACCACAAAGGATGCTGACCTCTCTGTGACTCTGTCCAGGGACCCTTCCGGGAACAGTTCATTTTCGAGGCAGAGTGGAGCCCAAACTTCGGCGCAGGTCGATCGCTGCTAGCGGCTTCGCCACCTCCTCCTTTGGGCCCCCCACCACCTCCAGCACCAAACAAGACATGCAACTGGGTCAAGTATGGAGACTGCTGCCCGTACTCTACTGGGGCCCAGATCGTGGTTACTGGCAAACAGGCCTGTGACATAGGTGCGCAGGAAGCTCAGGGGTCTCAATGATGTTCAGAGAGGATCTCTTCTCTGGTGTTGTTTGCCCGGCGGTGGGCTGCTCAAATACTGAGCACCGCGCCCATGGTTGACTGGGTCTTGATCTGGCGAGTCCATCAAGAGGATGATTTGTGGCAGCTGTACCTGCAGCTTGTCTACAGACGGACCATGCCTCTGGCAGGAACAATTTGTAAATTAGAGAAAAAAAAGTTGTGCATGTTTTACAGTCTTTTTTTGCCGGCAGGAAATGTCAGTACACTGCTCTGTCAGTGCAGCATTGTCACATGACATGAATCCCAGATCCGCTATTTTGCTGTCCGATTGTGGGGTATTGATTGGTGCTGAGCTGACAAGCGAGAGTGCAGCAAGATAACATGACAGGAACTACATAGTCCCTCACTTGCTGTCACAGTGTGGGATAGTATTGGTGCGAGCTGACAAATGAGAGCGTGCTCTGCAGGGTGTTCGCAGTGTGGAGCCACTATGCCTTTTGTCCCAACAACTTGCAACTGCAAGTCGGATTACTGTGACTTTGCCTACTACATTGCATCGACCGCGCACTGCTGGAGTTTGCCTGGATACTTGGTGGCGCCTCCGCCCCCACCGCCAAAGATGGTGAGTCCTTTGCATATCAATTGATCATATTGGCACAGTTGCTCTCTGGCTCAGAGAGGAAGACACCGTGATGCAATGTGCAGATTTCTGTGCATTCTGCACATTGTGAGACATGTACATGAGAAATTTTTGATGGGTCTGCTATGATATTTTGAACCAGTAAGCAACCAAACAATCAAATGCTTGCGGAATCTTCTATAGGAAGCCCTTCTGAAATATACTGTGTGCGTTGCAGCCTCCTCCGCCGCCCGCGCAGCCTCCGGTGAGCAGGGCCTGATCCTTCCAGAATTTACCTTAAATGAATGATGCTTGCAAGTCCTTCCAAATACAAGGCACCGTATCACTGCTTTCCTCAGAAGGTATTTCTGGGCTTTAGGCCATCTTCAGAGATTTGAACCTCCTTGAATGTTTATGCAGCCACCACCATCGCCGCCGCCGCCATCCCCACCCCCGCCAAATCCGGTGAGTGCAAACAGGGCCCGGAAGTTTCATCACAGTCAATCATATTACATTGCACCGCTTCCAGCCAGCTTGTGTAGAATCCACAGCATGATGTGCATGCCTTTTAACAGGCCACTGCCTCAAGAGCAGCTCTCCAGGAAAGAAATTATATCTTTAAATGGACCGAAGAGTTTGTAATTTGATTCTGCAGCCGCCGCCTCCGAGTCCACCCCCACCGTCGCCCCCACCCTCGCCTCCACCGCCCAGCCCCCCGCCCCCGCCATCACCGGTGGGGGCATCACAGCCAATCCTAATCATGATTGATGCTTAAAAAGCACACATCTGGTTATTCTTTCCAGGCAGTTAGAGGGTCGTATGTCATGATGTCATGGATTGTTCTCCTGAGTTTGGTCCCTAAGATCAAGGTCGCATCTGCCTTATACTTCTACACAGGTCCAACCAGGGTGTTAGGGAAGATAGTATCGCTTGGATCGCCCATATGGGTGTGCCCATGCATGGCACAATAAATTGCTGTGAAGGTCAGCTTAAACCTGACCCTGTAAAACCCTGCCCCGAGGGGCCCCATTTGGCACAAAGGGGATCTTTCCCAGCATATATAAATGTTCAGATCCATGCGGATTATGATGATACTAAGTTTTTCATTTTTGAGTGGAATACCTATTTTTGATGTGCGATATCTGCATTGCAGCCGCCTCCGAGTCCTCCTCCACCCTCGCCGCCTCCACCAAGCCCCCCTCTGCCGTCACCACCACCGCCAAGCCCCCCTCCGCCATCGCCTCCACCACCATCACCACCGCCCCCAAAGCCTCCAAGCCCACCGCCACCAAGCCCCCCGCCACCGAGCCCGCCACCGCCGAGCCCACCTCCGCCAAGCCCGGTGAGCACTCCAGACACTGAAGGCTCTATCCTGCAACCGAGGAGAAGTAGATCGAGTGTCTCCAAAGATGTGCATTTTCTTCCTTTGAGAGGTGTTTAGGATGACTTTTGTTCCTCGCAGCCGCCTCCAAGTCCTCCTCTGCCGTCGCCTCCCCCACCATCGCCACCTCCTCCCAGCCCGCCGCCCGATCCACCCCCACCGGACCTCCCGCCGCCAAGCCCTCCCCCTAACCCACCCCCGCCGAGTCCACCGCCGCCGAGTCCCCCACCCAATCCCCCGCCGCCGGACCCTCCGCCTCCGGATATGTCGCCGCCACCTAATCCACCCCCACTAAGTCCCCCGCCGCCAAGCCCCCCGCCGCCAAGCCCCCCGCCTAATCTGCCCCAGCCGTACCCTCCTCCGCCAAGTCCTCCACCGAATCCACCCCCGCCTGACCCCCCACCGCCAAGCCCTCCGCCCAATCCACCCCCTCCTAACCCTTCGCCGCCTGACATGCCGCCACCTAATTCACCCCCACCTAATCCGCCGCCACCCAGTCTGCCACCTCCCAGCCCCCCGCCAGATCCACCCCCGCCAGACCCACCGCCACCGAGTCCTCCACCCAATCCACCCCCTCCGGACCCCCCGCCTCCGGATATGCCGCCACCACCTAATCCACCCCCACCAAGCCCCCCACCCAATCCACCGCCGCCAGACCCTCCGCCACCAAGTCCCCCGCCGCCTAGCCCACCGCCGCCAAGCCCCCCGCCTAATCCGCCACCACCGGACTCTCCACCGCCGAGTCCTCCCCCCAATCCACCCCCGCCGGACCCTCCACCTCCAGACATGCCGCCACCTAATCCGCCCCCTCCTAATCCGCCGCCGCCGAGCCCTCCACTAGCAGACGCTCCAGCACCGGCGCCCCTAGTGCCGGACACCTTCCCACCGCTCAGCAGCCCTCCAACGGAGTTTTCGGCGCCAAATTTGGCTCCGCAGAATATTCCACAAGCTCCGGAACCATCAGTTTCAGCCCGACCCTCGGGCCCGGTATCAGCTGCTCCTATACCGGATTTTGAAACTCCGCTAAATTCTCCCCGGTTGGCGCCAGTAGAGTCTGTAGCACCCAGCTCTTTGCCACCGGAACCTTTGCTAGCTGGCGTTCCTCAGGCCGATGCACCTTTGGATGCGCCACCCTCTGAGCCGCCCTCTTCAATTGTTCCAACGATAGCTCCCTCGGAGTCCAACGCTGTACGTACTACAAGCCCAGATAAATACAAAATTGCACATTACGTCTTTTCTTCATATTACTTTGCTTATGACCCCTAGGATTTGATGTTTGACACATGGTTTTCCATGATTGCAGGTGGCGCCTGCATCACCGCCGCCAAATGTGCTGACACCGTCAACTCCACCAATCAGTCCACCTCCGGGGACATCACCTCCACCGCCGGTCCCCCCTCCATCACAGCCGCCACCACCGCCGGTTGCTTCACCTCCACCGCCGAATCCAGCTCCTCCGCCGCCGCAACTACCGAGCCCGGTATGTCTTAGATCACAATTTTCATGATGATTACACCTTTTGATTGCCAGAGGCACGGTGTTTCTGCAGACAGTCTGTCTGAAATTGACAGCGTCCATGACTCAGTCACAATAATAGAAAGCAAGCCAGCCTTGCAATGATTGGCTGGGACTGCCTGCAATTCAGTTCTAGTACACAGGTGCAACGCATGCTTGCTTATATGTGCAAAAGATTGGTGGTTGTGAGCCAGTGAATGAGTGTTAAGCATGCAGCCGCCACCCGTTGCGAGGCCGCCACCGCCCTCACCAGTACCTTCCCCACCCCCACCATCACCAGTGGTGAGATTGCTTCCTTCAAGCATTCATATAGGAAGTGCATGTTTGATTTTATTTCATGCATGCATGCTGACAGCATGCATGTCAAGTGGCATGCACCAGTAGAAGAATTCTTTGCCTGTACTGCTTGTGCTTTTAATTCAAGTGTGTCGTGATTTTTCAGGCAAGCCCCCCTGTAGCGGCCCCGTTCTCGCCTCCATTGAGCTTTATTCAGCGGAACCCTCCACCGCCAGTCATTGACAAAGTCACGACGGAGGTGATGACTGACACCATTTCAGCCAGACAAGAAACTTTTCAAATAATCTCGGGCAATTGAATGCATCTGCTGAATTGAGATGCACACTGTTGAAAACTCGTTCTGAACTCTGTTTTTCTTTCTTGACATCAGGCTCCTCCACCGGCTCCTTCATCGCTCCAGATTTCTAGTACGGAGAAGCAGTCTGCGGATGCCAAGAAGCAGAGAGAAACAATCATTATGACAGTGGTGCCATGTGCCATTGTGCTGATCCTCATTGCCGGTAAGAGTCAGCCCTTTTACTAGCACCTCTGCCAGTATACAGGTGCTATGTTGTCAATTTATCAGGCTTTGATTTTTGGAGTCAGTGATCAGTCATGGTCGGTGGGGCTTCAGTAATATGCAATCGGTGTTCCAGGTGGGGTGATAGCGATCCTGAAGATCGGCGCTCTTACAGCAACAACTGCTGCAGCCGGAACCACACCACTGGCACCAGCTGCCCATGCTCCTTGACAGAATTCGCAGTTAATTTCTGCTAGTATATTCTCTGCCAGTATACTGTGCAGGTTCATTAGAAGCAACAGCATTTAACCGCTTATTGAAGCAGCTGCGACTCAAATTTCTTGCGGGCATTTCCGCAAGTCATGGGAACCTTACTGTTTTCACCGTAGAACCTAAGTGTTTCACAGCAGAATCCATCATTGTGTTTATCACTGTCCAGATAATTGTAAGGAAACCCTCAACCACTCACCAACATCAAAAAAACATATTACCTGGAACATAACACGGAGGACCTCTATCTACTGCTATCTCTACAAGTAATACTTCTGCTGGGCTTCACACATATCCATGTTTCACTCCAAACATGGCCAAATCGCACTTGCTACACCTCCACAAACAAGAAACGATCAACAGCACACAGAGGAATCACAGCACTCAGATGGGAGCAATCCCGCCAAAGAGCGCTGCGGCAATAATGGTCGCCAGAATGAGCCCCGTGCAGTGGGCACTCTGGTATGTGATGGCCAGAACTCCATTTGCAGTGGCCTTCAGGTGTGGCTCTACGCAGGCAGGTGCCAGCACATAGGAGCAGGTGTTCACATAGCCCCCCAGGATCCACATAACGACGATATACCCTGCACATGGACAATACCCCTTCCAGACCAGTTCAAGCCAGTCCAAAAACAGCCAACCTTCAAGAACTTGCAATCAGGCATGAGCAGCTCAACTCCCTTGAAGCACCATTGCTCTCAACATGTTTATTCCCCTTGCCCTCAATAAGGCAATCGTCTTTGAAATAAGAGAGCCCACTTTCCTGATCAAGGGACGACAAACTTGGTAAAAACTTCCCTGATGATCAGACGCCTCTTCAGGGACCCATATCGATAAGGGATTCTGCAAGAGTGATAAAATTAGCTCAGAACAAGAGAAACTAATGCAGGGAGCTCACCGATGACAAACCAGTCGTTGTGCCAGGCGGTCTGCTTGATGTAGTAGAGGTAGCCGGGGACGGAGGCGGTCATGACAGCGCCAAAGCAGAACAGCACGTACCGCGATCGCACCGCCAGCCGCTTCAGCCGCGGCAGCGTTCGCCCGCAAACGTCAGCCGCCAGCCTGGCAAAGAACAGCACCTGCAAAACAGCAGCTGCCGCTCAGCAGTCAGAATCTATCAGCTCAAAGTTTGTCCGACAAGACAAAACAGTCTGAATCATCGTTTGATGGTATTGAGAAGCTGCAGCTGGGCCACAAGACATAGCTCTGCATACTGACCAGTACTGCATTGGTGAGAAGCCCTTTCTTATTCTGCTGCAATTTTTGCAAGCCAGTTCAAGTCCAGCCGCTCAGCCGCACAGCTCAGATTGTAGCTCAAGGATTGACTGACGATACTGAAGGCGTGCAGCAATCAAGAGATGCGGTACTGCAAATGGCTGCCACTTCAGCGATTCAACAATGGAGTGGCCGCCTACAAGTGAGTTCCTGGCACCCATGTGGGTACAGAACATCTTGCAGTACCACATCCAAGGGATCGAAACATTACAGGAGTGAGAGAATACTACAGTAGCAGGGGGGTCCCACCTTGGGCAGGTCCTGGCCGAAGGTTCCACCCGAGGGCACATAGGTGAAGAAGGGGAAGGCCAGAACAAAAAAAGTGCCGCTGAAGAATAGCGCCCCCAGCACTGGCCAACACTGCGCCACCACGCTCCCCAGCGCCCCTGCACATGCATTCAACCACTCATTCTACAGAGCTGCAGAAGAAATAATAGAGGAAGGCCTGCTCCCAAGTCCCGCTTCACAGGACCAAGCTGATGCTTTGTTCGCAAACTCTCCTGTGGGCACTGTTACTGTAATTGCCTGTATGACAGAGGGGAGCAGATCTGCGCTCAGTCGCATGCTTTACTAAGATCTGCGCCTCTTGCGTACACGCCGTGCAATGCTAAGCAACCAGGTGCCCAGCTATTCTGCATGCATCTATGAATGGAAGTCTGGTGTATGTCAGGGCTCTTGGAGGCAACAAGTCACTGTGCGCACCTGCGTGGCCAGAGGTGGAGGCGGTGGTGTCGGCTTGCGACGGCGCTACAGACGCCGCTGGAGATGTTTTGGGCGACAGCGGGGCTTCTGGGGTGGTGCCTCCCACCGGCGTCAGCGCAGGCCGCCACTCTGTGCCCACGCGAGCCAGGTCAGCAAATGCTGCCTTCTTGACAGTGGCAACGAGACACTGCTTTCAGTGCCCAGCACACACTGATTAAAATCTTGCCACAGATTGAGCCTTGTACTGCAGCATTACTACATACAAAAGAAGTGTGTCGGCTCTTCTGGAAAGATGAAGGTAAGCCGTAACGGATGTAATGGGTGCTTGCTTGCACCAGACAACCTTACACATGCAGCCAGAGCAATTGGAGGCATTTGAAAGGCGTCTCGTCTGGCCAAGCAGCCACTTAAGTTGCAAGGGATTTGTTGTGCTTGAGCCCAATAAGGGTGTGGAAAGGGTGACTCACCCTGCTGCTGCTGCGTCAGCGCTGACCTGGCTAGCTTGGCCTTCATGGCGCGCTCAGAAATGCCGAGTGGCTGCTCGGAAGCTGCCCGCCTCATGGATCCACCCCTGTGGGATCCACCCCACTGCGCCCCCCGCGGCCCCTGATCCAATGACCTCGATCGCCCCTGCGCCTGTCCTCCTGTGCACACCACATAGCCTTGTTGGCTGGCAAAGATGTAATGATCCCCTCTCTCTCTCTTCCCCCAACGAGAGAGGGATACAGCATCCACTGCCCCCTTCTCTCACAGCATCAAGAAGCACTGCTCTGAAGTACATTTGAAAACACAGTTATGGAGGAGAGGTATCCAGCATCTGCACAAAATATGAGCGGCTGTGGTGTTTGCACGAGGCAAAACATGACATGTATCAGCTGCTGCTCGATACATACATCAAGAACAGCTATTAGAGATGTCCTGTTGGAGGCAGAATGGCACCTGAGGCAAAGAGGAAGGGCTCTCCACTGAAGGCATCGCCCTCGGACAGCTGCTCCATGAAATCCAGCGGCGAGTAATTCAGCAGCAGCGGCGTTGACATGCGCCGCTGCTGCCCTGCCGCCAGCCCCTGCCTCTCCCTGCCCTCCAACCCCTCTTCCTGCAAACAATCAAACCATGCTTTTTTTGCTCTTGTTCTTTTCTTTATTCTCAATCAGGCTGAGCATATTCCTGTGCCACCAGCATGTGCAAAAGCACAGAGTAGAGGGTTAATTTTCAAATTATTGACAGGTGTAACACGTCGATCAGAAAACGACAAAAAACGACAGCCTTGAAACATACAGAACCCAGATGAGATAGCTAATTAACACAGTGCCAGCACAATGAGCATGTCAGCGGAATTCAAATCCCAGGCTTCTATAGGGCGGCAAAAGGCTTGCCTGCCAGAGCAGGGGCTCAGCCGGGTCCCCATCCCCCGAGCCGGCAGCAGGCTCCGAGCTCCACGCCTCAATTGCCCTCCAATGGCGCAGCAGCAGCGACACTGACGCTGCAGCCCCCGCTAACACCAGCCCTGCACAGCAACGATGCTGTTGTGAAGAATGACAATCCACGGGAGATGCCACCGGGCATGCATGTACTGGTGCATCAGGGAAATCTGCGGTCATGCACAGCAGCCCAACAAGGCCACAGGGAGCTCATCTATCCCATAATCTGCTGGGAGGCGGCTGCTCGGACTCTGTCAATCCTTAGCTGCCCATCAGCAAACGATGGACAAGGCGAGCGCCCAGTGGCTCACAAGGGATTGGGTTCCTTGACATCTCAGAGTCTATTTAGCGTTTTCCAATTTTCAATGGACAAGTCCCTTTGGTGCGAGTCATCCGCCTCGTAGCTGCGCAAGTGGGTCTCTTAAAAATTCTACTTCAAGTCATTGTAGCTTGCTCTTTATGTCACTATTCCGCTCAGTATGCTCAAAACCGGGTTCATTTCTGATCTACATTATTCATGCTCACCCGCAGTCAGCTCGAAGAGCCAGATGAGCTGGGCCGTAGTGGGCCGAGTCTTCATGCCCACAGCCAACTCCAGCAGGAGCACAACCATACCGCTGCCCACACACCCCAGGCCCAGCGCAATGACACTCTTGTTGGCAAAGCGCGCCACCAGCTGGTAACTGGAGCTGAAGGCTATCGCGCTCACCAGTCCCAGAGCCACTATCACTGTCAGCAGCGCCCTGCGCATGAAATGGCAGCCACTGTGATTGGTCCGCCCGATCCATAGGAGCACCTGAGCTCGAGGGCCCCATCATGTTATGGCCTGCCCAAATGTACATCGAGCTGCACAATAAGGAGCCGGGGAGCTCGAAACACCAGCAAAACTCACAGAGAAACGGAGAGTAGCGACCAGGGAGTGTTCTGGCAAGTGCCCACATGCGCACCTTCCTAGGTTGTGGATAAGCTACAGGTGGAGGTAAGAGACAGAGAATTGAGCAGGGAAGGCTGTTGAGATGATTGGGTGAATAGAATGCAGGTGAGGAGGGCAGGCTGCACCTGGGAGTGTTTACAATGAAGGGGAAGGCAGCACAGATGAGTGTGCAGCCTCCCAGGCCAAACAGCAGCCGTGCCAAGATGACCCTTGGGACACCTGCAAAATATATTTCCATGTATCATCACTGGCAATTAGGTGACGTGGTTAGCAAGGTACCCGAGCAAAATTGAGAACAACACCACCAGAGGAGCTGAAGCTCTTACCGAACTTCAAGTCCAGCCATTCGTCACAGGCTGCCGAGAAGATGAGAAGGGGGATGGACGGCAGGTAGTAGGCGATGTTCATCATCAGCAAAATTTGTGGGCCGTACAGCACAGCGTAGTAGCTCAGCAGGGAGGACACAGTGAACCATGGCACCGAATGAGCGATCTGCGCGCGTAAAACGGACTATTAAAAAATGTGGGATTGCATCGAGCATGATCAATAACGGAGCTGCTGCTTAAAAGGACATGCAAAGGACGGTCAATGTGGGATCGCACCGACACAAGGAAGAACCTAAACACGGTCCACTTTCCACCTTTGATTTTGTTTACATGATTCCCAACAATCCCGCCCCCACTCATGCTGGGGAACGCCTTATTACCGTCTTCGTTATTTGGGGTACTACCCTACATCTAGACGTTTGTTTGGTAACATTATGCAGACTCTAGGAATGTGACGAATACTAAGCAATCGTCACAATGTGCTGCTCCATTGAAGATCAGGTCACTTGCCTTCACTCTTACAAACAGGCAAGGCATCTTGAGTTTCCAATGATGCACAGTCACGTTGTGCCAGGAACGCAGCTGCAGCCCGGTGCCGATGGCATCCAGGCGTTACACCCCATCTTTCACCTCTGCATGTCGCTCCACTTTCACGTTTTCCGCCAATCTTCCAAAGAATCTTTGAACTGTGAAATGCCGATGCATTTTACAAACACTGCATTCACAGAATATAGTCCAAACTGAACTTCAGTGAAGTGCGCATTAAATTGCACAGGTGCAACACACACGCATATGCAGTGCATGGGTCAAGTGCTAGCTATTGCACTATACAACGGTACTCTGTAGGGCAGGACCTTGACTCGTGCATCATGCCATTTGGCATGCAGCACGCGCAGCGCGGGCAGCATTTCATGAGCTATAACTATTGTACAATCAGGGTCTCGCTTTCTTCCCTCTATGCCAGTCATATAGTGAAGTGCACAGAATGCCAGTCACCAACAACCAGACAACTGCAATTCCAGTGATACTTCTGTGCAGCAATACAGCCAACACGGGAGGACAGGACCTGAGCCGCATGTGGCCTCTGCATGCTTGTAGACCCAAGTTCTTCTCTAAGACTTGCTCAGCTGCTCTACAGCCTGCTCTCAATTATCTCGTCAGCACTGCTCTGTCGGCGGGGCAGCAGCTCTTCCTCTTCCTCATCATCCCCGCTGCTGTCCTTCACAATGTCCCCCCTGGGCCAATGGTAGGCTGCATAGCACACCCAGAGCGTGGCTGACACCGCCGCGATGCATGACATCATCAGCGCCACGCTACGCACGCTCATGCCGATCAGGTCAAACGCCATGCCGCCCAGGACCGCGCTCATTGACTCTGCCACCTGCAGAAAACGCCACAGCAGAGGCAGTTTAGGATCCAGCCATTGGATCTACCGGTATCATTACAAGTATTGTTGATACTGCACGCTTTTCCTGCCGGAGGCAAGCTGCTATGGGGGTTGTCAGACAGAGATAGAAATGGAAAGTCAGCCCCTTCCTGTCATAGGTAAAAAGACGAATGCTGCAAGAATGCCGTGGGCAAGGCTTTCATACACTGCCTCATCAAGTGCTGTTGCTCTCTTAACCAGCCATGAGGGTCACAGCAACTCGAGTTCACCCAGGTGATGAGAGGCTCCCCCGCAACAGTCAAGGCAGTCACATGCATGTCTACTGATGCCAAGCAGGCACAAAAAACACACATCAGCACATCAAGATTGTACACCACCTGACAAGTCCCCCCCTTCTCACTTCCGCACAGAAAAAAGAACACAACGAGACAAACCCCATGATGCATCACACTATTTTTTTCGTAAAGTTCTACAGCAGGACAGGGGCGCACCACATAGGCGGCCATTTCCAGGGCCATCATGCGGCCCTGCAGCTGGTTGGGCACGCGCAGCTGGATGAGCAGCGTGGAGTAAACCCACACCACGCTGGAGCCCATGGAGTGCACAATTGTGGAGGGAATCAAAGCCCAGATGTTGGGCGCCGCTGACATCAGCAGGTAGCCCGCAAAGAACAGCACGAACGACGCCGCGCACGCGCGCAGCAGGTGCGGCTTCCTGCGCGAAAGACAATGGAAAGCCCCAGTCTGTCAAGCATAAAAGATGTGTGCCTGAAAGGATGACTCGTGTGTGTCACATGCACGATCATGACAACTCACCGGTGAGCATGCCTTAAGAAGAACGGCTAGTGCATGGCACATGCAGCCAAATTTTGAACAACTATTCACCAAGCATGTGCCTGAGTTGCTGGCTATGGAACACCCGTGCAAGTCACATGCCCACTGGAGCATGTTTGGCCAGCCACAAGAAGTTGAGAGACATACAGAGAGGCTGCTTGCTCTGTAATGAGTAATAGCAAGGCTGCACTTCCAGGGGTGATCAGACATGGGGGGATTGGTGAAATTAGAGACTGAAGGGATTTGAGTGAGGGGCACCTGGGGGGAGTGAGGCGGTTGGAGATTATGGGCCCCATGAAGCAGGCGAGGCCGATGGCTGCAAAGAGAAGTCCGAGTGTGGTGGAGCTGTCCCCCAGCGACTGCATGCTCTTCAAGTTGCTGAAGCGCACCTGCAAGATATCTGACGCCCCCCACACTATTGCCCCGCTCGCCTTTATCAGAGCAAACGCCGCCGCGTCCCTGCATGCGCCATTATCACTATTACTACAAGCTTCTCCTGCCAAGAGGCAAGGTGCGTCCTGCAGACAAGCTGCAGGTGAAGGCTGCCACAATCCTACCCCTTGTTGGACTCGCCAGACCCAAGCAAGACCCAATCAACCATGGGCATGCTGCTCAGTGTTTATACCGCCCCCTGCCAGCCGGGGCCATTTGCGCCATTTGCACCAGCCAAAACTGAAATTTTGCTAAATGCATTTCTTCACAAGTACGAGAAGGAGGCCAGCACAAGGCCCTGACACCTACGAAGGGAGGAGGATGACGAGCAGCTTGCTGTGGATGGTGCTGCTTGTGGCCCTCTCCCTCCAGAAGGTGCCAATGGACTTTGAGTGCATGGGGACAAGCAATGAAAGCAAGGATGTTTTTACAACATCTTCCATCCAGAGAATGCTTGGCACCACATGAAGGGAAAGGCGCCACAAGCAGCAGCATTTGCTTATGAGTTATGATGGAGCCGCTTGTGGCGCAGTCCCTCCAGATTGTGTCAAAGACTCTTAAGGGCACCTGAAGTAGCTGGGACAAGCAGCCAATCACTGCAGAATGGTTGCTGACCTGTTCTTTGGTGCTGAGATGTACACGGCGCCTTCCTTGAGGGCGGCCAGCTCCTCTTTGAAGCCCCCAGTGACCGCCTGCCACACGCCCTGAGGCGCTGCAGCTTCCTCCCCTACCACACCGCTCGTGCTAGCGCTGCTGTGTGCTACTCGCCGCGCCTGCTCACCACCAGTGTTTCTTACTTTAAATTTTGGCTGGAAGCCAATGTGGCTTTGAAGATGTCCTTGAGGAAATTCTCCAAAGCCACAAAAAAATGGCTGAAGATAGGGCTTGAAGAAATTTTTGGCTCAGGCTGGTGGGTTTTGGGGCATTTTGAAAAGGGGCAAAATGTGGCTTTTGCGCGGTTGTGAATCACATTATCAACACCAATTTGTGCATTCCAAGCAGACATCCAAAAGCCCCTTTAACACCACGAATCTGCCCCTTCTATTTCTTGAAAGCCACATTGGCTGTAAAAGCCACTAGAACAGTTACTGCTCACCACCGGACAGCACCTCAAAATCTGACTCCGAGTCGAACAAAGCAGACTGAACTTCATACCCAGATGCCTGGTGTACTCCAGTTCCTGAGGATTGCAAAGATAGGTCCCTTGCACATGATGGCTGTCAAAAAGCATTGTGGCATCCTTTTGAGGGGCATGGCCTTTGGATGTGGGTTTGCCAACCTGCAATAACAGCAATTCACCGAGAAGAGGCCCACCTGAATGAGACTCTCGGTTTCCCTGTCACCACCAACTTCCAAGTAGTCAAGCGGCTGTGCAGAGCTGGCCTCACCACCTGACATCCCATCCCTGCTGCGAAGAGATTGCCCCTCGTCCCCATGCAGCGCCACTGACACAGCCGTCTTGGGCGGCTGTGGCACCAATTCCACTAATGCCTTATGCTGCCCTTGAGACGCCTCCAAATCCACCACCACCTCTTCCTTCTTCTTCTTCAGCTCTGCCAACATCCCCTGCAGCCAGATGAAGGTTGCTCAGTCACAACCCAAGCATACTGAAGATGTGATCCTTCCCCAAGCAACAAGTGCAGAACTAGTGGTGCTGTAGCGCATGCGTGCCAAAACAAAGGGTTGTTGGACAGTAAAGGGAGTGCTTGGGTGCACCTTGAGACGGAAGGCACAGTAGGCAGAAATGACATATGTCACCGCATCAATCACAAAGCAGAGGTTGGGCCCCACATGTGACACCTGAAGCACACACGAGAAGCCGTTCAGATGCCTCATGCATGCATACATCTTTGGCAGTGACAAGTCCCCCTTCTGGGAAGGTCTGTCACTCAGTGACAGCAGAGATGACTCACTTATAGCATGGCAGATCAGTAGTAGATGACTCACCGCAAAGCCTCCCAGGCTGGCTCCTACAGCGCCCACAAGGGACCAGGCAAAGGAGTCCAGGGTAGTTGCCAGGGGGAGTTTTTCGGTCGAGACAATCGTGGGAGTGATTGCCCGCCTTGCAGGATCGTAGAAACTGTTGGCGCTGAATTGCATGAACAGCAGCAGATACAGCGCCCTGAGCAGACAGCACGCCACTTCCATGAGGGTTGACATGGCCCGAAAATTTGCATCTTGCAAGCCGGTTTTCTGAAGTGTGCAATAGCGAGTGACTTTCTGTGGAAACTGTGTTCCTGAAATTATGTAAGGCAGACGCACCACACGTCTTGCGGTCGCTGAATGAGCGTGAAGCAAATCACTGAAGCTGCGGCTGTGAGGTTGGAGGCTATCAGCACCATCTCTCTGCTGTATCTGCAGCAGTGACAGCACCCAGTCCAGATTGTGCGACAAGCACCACGTCTAGGATATTTTGTGTCATGCAGAGCAAATTGCAGCTGCATGCTCACCTGTCAGCGGCAACCCCAGCAAGTGGGAAGAGCAGCAGGCTGGGGAGCATGCGCACTATGAGCACTAGAGACACGAGCAAGCCGCGCTCCCCTGCTAGCCTCTCAATGACCGTCAGTGTAGCTACATAATTGAACCATCCACCTGCAGATGTGTGCAGGCTGGGTCCTCAGGCACATTCTTACAAGGCACAAAGCACACTACTGTGCAGTGATGATTTAAAGAAAATCATGAACAGTGCAAATTGAATTGAATAGAGGGCAATGGATGTCGCAGACGCTTCAGCCCTTTCAGAGCAGCCACGGTCGCATGGCATAATCAGCAGCCTGCCGGTTTACATACAAGCGTGTGGAAGCCAAACTTACCGCAATTATTGATTACCTGCACCAGAAAAGAATTGTCAGGACAAGGAGCAGGAAAGACACGCAAGAAATGTAAGCAAGCATCGGTACAGGCGTTGCCGACAAAGCACGTCGAGCCGTTTTTGTTTGCAGAAAGCCATGGGGTGCGCAGAAATCTGAACTACATTGTTTAAATTCCATAGCGAATGAGACCAGATCTTCACCTCGCCTAACCAGATGACTCTGAAGCATCTGTTCTCCCTCAAAAGCTCATAGTAAGACTTGAGCGTCTGCTTTTCGTGCTCGTCATGTTCTGCCATTCTGTCAAGATTTATGACAAATTTCTAAAATCCCACCCATCAGATACAACGTCCTTCGGAGTATGAGAAAGGACAATCTTAAAGCTCGTAAGAAGGTGAAGGAAGCCGCTTGACGTCATGCCACATCCGCCCACAATCCATTCAGCTCAGAGTTGGTACGATGAAGTAACTGAAGCGAGCAGATATGATCTTGAAAAGTTAGTCCATTTAATTGTAAATTTCTTCCCACTGGATGCTCTTGAAGGGTGGAGAACCTATGATCAAAAACAATTTCTCACGCTCCATTCCGTGTTCAATCTTAGAGACTGAAGCACAAATGGTAATTGTAGCCAGGATGTTACTTCGTAAGAATATTTCAATATGATAATGAGATGCTTTCGCAAAATGCTTTGCTGCAAAGATTTGTAGCAACAGGAACACTAGCTTCTGCAGCCAGAGCATTGAGAGGCCCCCACCTAGCTTTCACTGTGAGGCCTGGGGCAGCAAGAGCAATAAATGAGCTGCAGATATTTGAGCCTACCCGCAGGTGGGTACAACAGAACCAGATGTTGCTCTGTTTATTCCACGCCAGAGCCCATATATGACTATGGAAAACATCTTTTCAGGGAGAATGAGATTGGTCAATTGCTGCCCGAAACGCTTGGCGAGGAGCGTTTGACCCTTCAGGAGCAGCGGCTCCAGATAGGCAGCCAGGAGCTTGTGCTGGTTGAGCCTGCAGATGTAGACGCTGTCATGGACATGTACATTCACAGAGGTGACGCTGCCTTTTGAATGACACTTCTGTGGCTTGCTTGCAACCTGCCTGCTGCCAGGGCCAGACGCATCACACATGACTGCCCCTTTGATTCATGGCCTGTAAGGGGCTTGCAATTATACCAGCAATGCATGCATGCGAAGAGGGCTGTGTTTGTGTGGCAGGTCAGATGGACAGGGATCCTTACTGGAGCCGCCCGTGGCCATCTGCTGTTGCCCTGGCTAAGCTCATACTCCAGCAGCCCAGCATTGTTGCTGGCAGGCGGGTCTGCGAGGTCGGCGCAGGCCTCGGCATTGCCTCCATAGCAGCTGTACTTGCAGGTGCTGATCCGCCTTTACTCACCAGCCATGGTTGACTGGCAAATTTGACCGGTTTTACAGCCTCTAACAGGGGAACCTGAGATCGTCTGTCCGGGTGTGTCTCATTTGGAGGGGATTGCTGCAGGCAGTAAATGGGTGAGATATGGGCATGCTATGCAGCGCAGGCGCGAAGGAGGTTGTCATGACAGATAGGGAGCCGCTGGCACTGGAGTGTGCACTGAGGAGCGCAGCAGCATCGGGCATCACGAGTGTGGCTGACTTTAAGGACACAACATTCAGCAAAAGCTCGAGAGCACAGGCAAGCTTGCAGATCTATGCGTCAAACTCCAAAAATCTGTGGTATATGCAGCCTTGAGCCTATGTATTATGTCCAGGTGTTGAAGAAAATCCCAATCGTTGCCTCAGGTGCGCGGAGAGCTGCTTGACTGGACAGAGCCGTATCTTGGGCCAAAATTTGACGTTGTTCTGGCGTGCGACGTATTGTATGAGGTAAAATCGCATGACATTGTAGCTCCACCTGGCTGTGCCCTGTGCTAAGGGATCAACAGCCTCAACAGTCACGCTCACAAGCTTCAGGTTGACTTGATGAGGTTGGAAAAGTAACTTTCTGTTATCTCCTCAGGATTTTTCAGTGGAGCCAGTGGGCGAGTTATTGCCTCAGATACTGAGCTGCAGCGGCTGTGTGCTCCTAGCAGACCCCTCAGAACGCACACGGCACAACAGGTGTGCTGTGCCCCTTGCCCTCACTCACTGGATCTGCTCTAGTACCGTATGCATGCATGATTCCTGGGTATTTCTTCAAGTCCGTAATTGCCTGTGCTGTGCCACTAAAGAGATATCTGAAAGAAAGCGCGCTGCGTATTGCAGGGAATACTTTGTGGACATGATGCAGAGCTTGAAGAGGCCAATGTTGCTTGAGGAGTGCACACAGATTGAGGAAGTGATGGATGGCAAGTCTTACTCGATAGAGCTCATGAAGTTCCACTTCAAAGAAGGGTCTGAGAGTGTGGGAGTCAAGAGACTGTTGACATAGTACCACTTGCCATCATTGATTATATGACCTCTATTGCGCGCTCATCAATCCAATACTATTGACACTTTATTCTTGTAATGGTGTTGTGACGTGGACACAAGCACTGGCTTGGGCTTCTGAGCAACTATTCCTATTTAAGGCTGTCCTTCTGATGCAGACATCTAATACGGTATCACCAGTCATCCTCATCCATGACTGTGGCATCCCCACCGTGCTCCACATAGCGAGCCCCATGCTTTGCATCATACTCCTCATAGCGCACGATCTCTGATGCCTCCACTGAGGCCCGCTGCGCGCGCGCCGCCACCTGCACAGCGCAGAATACTTCAATGTCAAGCAGTGCAGCCTTGGCTTGTCCTGTCCAGCATTCAACATTCAACATTCTTAAGCCAGCTGCAGATGTTATCTAGGAACAACCTCATCATGTGCAGTGCATGCATCAACCAAACATCTTGTGGCCACGTCTGGCTTTGAGCAGAGCGCCAAATAGTCTGATTATTGCTTCATCACGATACATGCAACCCCAACGAGCGACAGACTCAACAGCTACAAAGTGTCATCGACAGCAGATATGACCAAGTCATTCGGGATTCATTATGACCCAATTTGAGAGCAGATACTCTTGCACGATGGGGACGGTCCTCGACATCAAACGTGAACAATAGTGAGGGCAGATAATTTTGCAGCATGGGAATGCGCGCCTGGAAGTCGCGCAGAATGAGTGGGCGCAGGTCGGCCTCGGACAGGTCGGCCAGCTTGTGGGCATGCAGCGCCACCGCATCGCGCACCGGGCCCTGGCACGCCTCCTGCACCAGCGCACGCATGTCCGACCCTGCACTCCACAGACGATGCCACATCAGCGCATGACTAAGGCGTGTTGCAAAATTTCGGCCACTACATACGGTATCCCTTGTACAATAACACTCCAGGATATAGCCATTCAATTCCTTGCAGCAGAAGCGCAGCTGGCCCACAAAAAAGCGACATTTGCCTTACATCACCATGCAGCCCAAGAAAAACAAGTCTGCCTCCCTTCAGAAGCATATGCACAAATCTGTCTGTCCCCCAAAGCTCTGTCACTCTTCCACCCCTCAGGGTGGCCTCTGCACTGACTTGCATGACACTCTCAGCTCCTGACATGAGATGGGTATAGCAGGCTTCTCTTGGAGCCGAGGGACGTGTGCTTGCCTGAGTAGCCGGCAGTCTTCTCGACGATCTTGGCGATATCGGACACTGACAGCGTAGTGCTGACGCCCGAGGCGGGCCCCAGCTGGCGCTCGATCATGGCAGAGCGCGCGGCCGCGCACGGCAGCGGTATGTACAGCTGCTTCGGCATGCGCCGCCGCGCAGCTTCATCCAGCTCCTGTCACATGCACAATGCCTTCCCGTGGGGCGTCTGTTTTGAGACACGATTCCCTGCTTGACAGCATTCCTTGAATTACCTCCGGCCGCCTAGCAATGCGCCGAGTACCACTTCAAGACTTCCTGAAAGTGTCACTTCAACAGTCTTTACAGTGACCAAATACGATTTAAACGAGGGGTGAGTTTGTCTTGTTGTGTCGGTGCTGCAGCTTTGCATAGTGCATAGTACATGCTGTAGGGACCAGCAAGGAACACACCAAAGCTTTTCTGAGGCACAACACACAGGGAAGCGCAGGGTGCTGCAAAAGTGAGAACATGTGGGGTGCATGCAAGCATGTGCAGGCCATGTGCCGGTAGCGCTCGGCAGAGGTGATTGACAAGAGAACATTTCACGCCATTTGATGCGCACCTCGGGTCGGTTGGTGGCACCCACAAGCAGGACTCGGCGGTCGGCTGCGGACGGGTCGCAGCCGTCCATCTGGATCAGCATCTCCGTCTTCAGCCGCCGGCTCGCCTCATGCTCCCCTGCATGCAGCAGCACACTTGTGTCGGATTCCTGATCGAATTGGGATTATTTGTCATTTTCTCAATGTCTGTCCAGGTACAAGTTTTCTTCATGTGCACCCTCAGCTGCTCAGACTGCACGAAGCACTTGCGTGATTTCATATACACATCTCTCGTTGTGCTGGACAGCATATGCTGTGACGCAAACAACCAGGGCTTCAGGTCATCTGCAGGAACCATGACCGCATGCATGTGGCCTGCACCTTTTAAAGACACTTCTTTGTTGCTCTGAAGCTAAGCTTGCCGCTTGTTTTTTCCACGGTATGCACTGTACACATATAATCCGAGCAGGTTCTGCCGCACCTTCTGATTTGCGCGCGGACAGCACGGAGTCGATCTCGTCGATGAATATGACGCTGGGCTGCAAGCAGCCGGCCACGGCAAACAGAGCGCGCACCATCTTCTCACCCTCGCCAATCCACTTCGAGGTCAAGGAGGAGGCCGAAATGGAGAAGAATGTCGCACTACGTGTCATGCACAGCAGGGCTGTCATGCACAGCGCTGTCATGCACAGCAGGGATGTCATGCAACTGGCAGTCAATCATCACTGCGGTGATATGTGCGATAGGTCCATATTGCAGTGACACCAGGGAAAGGTGCAAGAATTCCCAGCAAAGCCACACAATCCAGTCAAAACTTGCATTGCAGCATGCCTTCAATGTGTGCAAATGGGCATAGCAGTCCGAGGTGGAAAGTGCAGCAGCACCTGATGTTTGCGGCAATGGCCTTGCCGATGAGCGTCTTGCCGGTGCCCGGCGGCCCAAACAGGAGCAGGCCCTTGGGCGGCGCGCGTGCCCCCTGCAACGCATTTACCACCAATATCGCTCACTGCCAGAGATTTCATGCCATTACCAGAACGGCAGGAGACGAGCTGCCCCCAAGTGGCACATTTCACCCATGGAGGACTCCCATGCCTACAGTATCACTGCAGCACTGCTTTGAAAAGCCATGCGCTGTTCACAATGGCACAAGAGCACACAGCGCTGCTGTTCAAGCGCAGAATTGCCCGAGGAAAAAGATCTTCGCATAGCTGGAGTGCCTGGAGTGCCGCTTTAAGGCAATGTTGATAAGTATACCCTCAGGGCCCCTAACTTTGCTGTAGGTGTCTGTGACATGTGATGCATGGGCTTGAATGGTGATGCAAACCTTGAAGAGGTGGGGGTTGAGCATGGGCCACACGACGAGTTCCTGCACCAGGCGTTTGGCCTGGTCCTGGCCAGCAATGTCATCCCACTGCACGCTGCTCTTGCCATCCAGGATCTCCGAGCACACCATTTCCACTATGCGCGGGTCCAGCTTCTGCAGAGCTTCCGGCAGCTCCCCATCCAGACCTTGCAATGTTGCCACAACCGTTTGTCTGGACATGTCAGATAAGTAGGTAAACACACTTATCATCACATGCTGTTTCTGCCGGAAGGCAAGGCACGTCTCCACACCAGCTGCAGATGAAGGCTGCCAGGGTTCATACCCTTTGATTGGCTCGCCGAGGCCCAATAAACCATGGGCATGGGTCTCAGCATTTCAACCACCCACACCTTGTAGGGCCAATGAGTGAAATATAGCTTGGCACATGTACTTGCAGCTGCATTGCAAATGTTCTTAACGCCAGGGGCAGCTTGTGTTCTGGGGCGTATCTCACACAATCCAGATGACTATTGGTGGCAGCTAAACTGGGGTTCCTCTGTCTTCCCAGGGACAGCTCCTCTAATGCCGCTTTGCAATCTATTAAGATGACTCGCGGCCTCATATCATGATAGGTGCACTAAAAGCACGTGCACAGGTGCAGGGCTGGAAAGAGTACCTCCAAGCATCTGCAGGGTCCTTGCAGACAGAGGGCCCTCAGCCTCAGTGTTCCCTGGCCCGTCCATGGCCTTCTTCACAAAGGGCGGGACGAAGGCTCCCCTCACATTGCTCCCACCTACATGTCCATTCCAATCTCAGTTTTCATTGAACACCGACATACCGTATCACATCTGGACCAAAGTTGTTCGCCATTCTCACTGCTCCACGAGGTTTCTCAGGTGGTCACTCATTAGTGAATGCATTAAGGTGCCTCTATTGTGAGATTTTCCTTTTAGGCACAGCAACTAGAAGAAGACAAAGACGCCTGCACATCATCCTTCTACCATAGGAGGAAAAGAATCACATAAACACAGACAAAGGGCGTCAGCACCATTCAAGTCAAATTCAAGACCTTGCAGCAAGGCATGACTCTCAATTCCTGACCGCCGCACAATCCACTGCACAGACAGCAATGCTACAAGTACAGCGTTTACTTGTGTCCATGCGTTTGACGCCGCTGTCCCGGCTGCGAAGCATGCCCTGCCGCGGGGCGGCCGCCCGGTTGAACGCCCCCTGGCCCTCCGGGAACATGCACCCGGAGCTAAAGTCGCTCTCCTTCACACCCCCGGCCCCGCGGCGCTGTGCCCCGGCAGCTTCGCGCGGCTGCAGCGGCGGCTGCCGCCCGCTCTTGCGCAGCTCGAGTGCATACGCTGTCCGCGCTGTCTGAAACCCGCAGTCCGGCTTTGTGGCCTGCTCAAACATTCGCCGCTCAGAGACCAGCAGAGCATCAATCCTTCCTGACCTTAGATATTCTCTTGTTTTCGTTTTTAAGGCAGGAGGAGAGCTGTGCGAGACTGGGGAATAAAGCAAGTAACATGCTGCATTCATGATAATAATTATGGAGATGTACCTGCTCCGGGGCGTCCTCTGGAGCGCTGAGTTCCTGGGAGTCGCTCTCCATGTTCTCTGCATTCTGCGACGGCACCGCCACTGCGCGCCTGCGGTTCCTCTGCTGCGTCGGCGGCGGCTTCGACCATTTGTCTGCAGCGAAACAAGTCGCACTTGATGTGTTTCATGCTCTTAAGATGGACCTCACCATGCATGACTGGCCATGAAGACCTCATTGATACGTGAGCTACTTGCACCACTGAAAATGAACCACTAGAAATGAAGCAAGCTGGCAGGCTGACCGTTGTTCTTCAGTTTGCCGAACGCGTCTCGTTTCCTGTTGTTGGCGGGTGATGAAGGCGCATCCGTGAGGTCTATCAGTGCCGTCGAGGCTGGGCATGACGTGGGAGTGTCCGCCCTGCCACTTGGACCGACATCTTTCTGGCAACTCTGGCCACAGAAAAGATGCCCTTAATGCAGAGGGATTTCCAGCGCACTGCCTACACATGGCTCAAAACAGACCCTGGACTGGTGAACAGCTAACGAACACACGGCCCACATTTACCTTCCTACACGCTTAGAAGGCGAACTTTTGAAGGTCAGGTGAAGCTGGATGAAAGGAATGGTGCACATGAGAAAATGGGGCCTTACCCGCGCATTACATGCAGCACCAGATGCTGTGGAATTTAGTGGTGGTTTCTCTGCGGTGCGAGGCACACTGGGCTTTGTAATAGGCGCTGCTATTGCTTTTGGCTTGAACGCCAATATGCTCTTGAAGGGCTCTTCCAGAAAGTCTGTGAATGTTGCATCCCCCTGTGTACAGTCAGGTCATCAGCAGACCACACAGCAAGCCACTTCTGTCTCTGGAGTGGGAGCTATACTCTATGCATGAGTGCACATACAGTAATGAGCAGAGCTCGCAGCACACCTGGCTGTCGAATTTGAAACTCTCTGGGAGATTAGCAGCGGCAAGACTCTGTGCGAAATCCTCATCCCTTGGACAAGAGACACAAAGATGCAAGATCAGTTGCAAGTGCAGAAGGCTGATTTTCTGGCTCACATGGAGCAAGAGGCAGTGTGCATACCTCTGGGCCAGCAGTTCAGGGCTGTTCTGCAGCCTCTGCAGAGCAAGCAGAGTTTGCTGGCGCAGCCTTTGCGTGTGAAAGACAGCCGCTGCATCTGCCTGGCACTCGGCAACCAGAAAGAGCGAGAGCTCCAGCCAGGATCTCTGTGTATAAAACAGATTCGTCACAACATATTCACATGACAGAAGAACGAAGGGGATCACTCTGAAGTCCATGCACCCAAGGAGAGATTTTTTCTCATAGCCTGCAGCGCCGTAAGCTCACCTGGCTCTTTACAAGATCTCCAGCTTCTTCAAGCCGCTCAGCAGCGAATAGCAGTTTCCTGAGATGCTCAGCCTTCTCGTCGTTTGATACTTCCATCTTATTCTATAGAAAGCTGATGGCAGTCCCACACAACTTGAAAATGGATCTGTCTCTTACTATCAGAGCAAATAAGCCGCAAAAAATCGAATGATCTTCCACATCAGAAGAATTGAATGAATTTCTCAGTCTCAGCGTGGGCATGTTTCCCTTGCACAGCAAGGATGCCCTTGGACATGTTCAAAAGCTGTGATGTTCATATCGATTGCTGGTCTTATCATGCACTGTGAACTATTATCATTGATGTAACCAAGAGAGAGCATGCGTAGACGAGAAATTGACGAGTAGACGAGAAAGTGCAGCGAGAATCGAAGTCAGGGGGTGAGTCATCCTTGGAAGGCACAGCACGGCCAGCACGAAGTGTCCATGTCGGAAGCGATTCCCCAATTCATGTCCCGCAACGGGCTCACTCTGAGTCAGAATGCCAATAATTTGAGAATTTGCAGAAGAGGAGGGTGAGGGGGCCACCAAACGGCACTGCTTGCGATGGCCAGAACAGCACTAAAGATGCCTGAGATCTTCCTGGCAAGTCGGACCAAGAACAGCATCGAGGTACGTACGCCTGTCTTTACGTTCCTTTCTGCTTCTTGATATCTGTATGTGACGTTTGTTGTTGACTGTTCCAGACTTTTGATGCGTTCACAGGTGGCAGCAGTGTTGCAGTTGGGTAGATTTGGTGAGAGGTTGGATGCTATTTTGTTGTCATTGCGCCTCTACTGGACACGTCACGGCAATTTAGCTGTGGTATGCTCCCACCTGCCCTGTTTGGGGACCTAAGGCTGGACCCATCCCTGTTCACGTTGGCACAATGCACGCTTCTTGTTCTGTCCATCCTTCGCCTTATATGTCAATTTGTCAAGGCAGACAAATTTCACAATCTCGTGATTTCACGCAGAGAACTTGGGAAGAGCTCATCCAGACCCAGGATGCAGACTTGCTCTCTGCCATACCCCTGATGGCGCACGCACTTCGCAGCAATGATCGGGACCTCCAGCTGCTGTACTGCAGTCTGCTGGAGTGTCAAAGAGACCTACAGCAGACCTCGGATGCCCTGCACACTCACATAAACCTTAACGTCAGCATTGCGAGGGAAATATCCGGCCACCCTGGCTGTCAAAGCCTGGTAAGACTCCCAGAAGAACAAAAAATTACAATTCTGCATGTCAACCATGGTATGTGATTTGCGTCTGTAATCTACAGCATTGGCAGCTACTCCTGTGTACAGAATATGAAGCGATGCCTTGTCATTTCAGGTGAAAGACAAGGTGCTCCTTGCATGGTGTGAGGGCATGCTGGCAGAGCGAGCAAAGGCAATCGCCAGCACTTGTGGGCTGCGCCGCTTCCCGCCTTTCATTGAGGTCCATCCTTTATTATTGCCATGCATGCCCAAATTTCTCAATAATCAAGGAGCCTTCTTGCCACGTACTCTGCTTTTATGTCCATCTTTACTCCTTACTAAGCCGTCCTTGCATCTCTCCACCGCTAAATGGGAATGCTATGCTGCAGGCTCTCCAACGATTGGCCGAGGATCCCTGCTTGCCGCTACCTCCTGTTGCCGGTACACCACCGCCAGCACTGACAGGCGCACCTCAGCCGCACAGGGCCCAAAGCAGCGGCCATATGGGGCTCAGAACACAGAGGTCAGCGCCAGCCCTGCAGGCACCTGCTCTGCTGCAATCCCATGCTGCTGGGGCTCAGCTGGGGGCATTTGCGTCGCCAGGCCAGTGGAGCAATGCCGGCTCGCCTGCGGGCCAGCTAAGCTTCAGCACCCCGGTGCAGCTGCCTCATCCGACAAATGCAGCCCACCCCGTCCCAGTCCTGGCAGCATTTGCCGGTATTGAGGCCCCGCCACAGGCCACTCCACAGCATCTGGCCGCTGGTCAGCCTTGCAGCCTCGATGGTGCACCGCAGCATCAGCCGAGCGCAGCGCAGCGTCATGCAGCAATGAGCATAGCTCCCACCCCCGGGGAGGGGCATCTCCTGCAGCCTCAGCTTCAGCAGAGCTCAGAGTCAAGTCCTTCACTGCCAGCAATGCCTGCAGGGCAGCGTAGGACGCCAGAGCAAGAGCGGGCGAGAGGGGCCTCTCTACAAGGAGCATACCACAGGGATCCACGCGCACAGCAGAGCTCTCAGGCTGCAGCAGGAGCAGCAGCACCAGCAGCAGCAGGACAGCTCACTCTTCAAGCACAGGCACATGAGGCGGACAGCGCTATGCCTGCCACAACAGCGGGTGTCCTGCAGAGCGGCTCCTCAGAGGAGCTGGCCAACGCTCTTGCAGGCCTCACACAGATGGTCAGCACCGCCCGAGGCATGCCCAGGCAGCAGCAGCCAGCCAACCGGGACTACCCCGCTGTTTCACAACCCACCGCAGCTGCTGCGGCGGGCCCGGATGGGGTTCAAGAGTTGGATGTCATGCGCATGGGTGGCAGCCAGGCAGCACAGAGCAGCGGCAGGGGTGTGAGAGAAAATGATGAAAACGATGCAGCGGCCCGGTACGCTGAGGAGGGCGCTCTGTCGCGCCCAACAAAGCGAGCTCGCTTAGGGCCGCAGCCAGGAATGAGTGGCGGCATTGGAGCCTCGCAGCAGGACGCGGGTGAGCCACCAATGGGAGCAGTCTCCAAAGCCGAGCCTGGCCGTGGCCTGCCCGCTTGGGAAGCTGGTGTGAGCACTGGCCGGTCAAGCCAGCAGCCAGCCGCGTCAAACAGACTTCTCAACCCCAGCAGTGCGGCAGGCGGCCCAAGAACTCCAAATGGTGGTGTTAGGGCCATCATCTCTGCTGAGGGCGCGTCTGCTGCCTCTCTGCACCTGCACGTGCTGCCTCCCGAAGAGTACCATGCAGAAGCAGGAGAAGGGCAGTTGACGGGGACTCCGGCTGGAGATGCGGAGGCAAAGGAGAATTTCAGTGATGCGCAGAATAGGCAGCTGAGATCGATCTTGAGGTAAAGCTCCAATCCTTGACAGTGACAGTCCACTTATTCAATTTAGAAAAGTGACAGAATTTCTGCAATGACCTTACTTGTCATTTGGTTTGCACTCAGGGGAGACGCAGCGCCTAGCACGTCCACTGAGAAAAGCTCGCCGCGCAGCAACCAGCGCTCGGTTCAAGGTGTGCTCCGTCATTATGGCACTTTACCACAAAGACCTTGATGGGACTTCTACAGCAGGTCACCAGCGCAACGCAATGGACACAATCTCAGTGACCTCTTTACTGATTGTAAACTGATTGTAAAATATTGTGTTCTCATCCCAGGTGATCAACATCCAGCGCCGGACGACCGCTCTCCAGCCAGCACGTCAGCGCACCAGCGGACCTCCTTTGCATTCCCGGACGGCGGCGGCCTCAGCCGCGCTCTGGAACAGCTCACCCCTGCAATGCCGGCTCGGGCGTCCGGCGGTGGCCACGCGCCCGGCATGCAGCCCCCGGAGCGCGTCGGCCGAAGCCGGGACGTCGTGCCTGACAGCGAGGAGGAGGCAACGCCGCCTGACCATGAGCCAAGGCTCCCACAGCATGGAGCAGAATCTTGTCTTGAACACCGCCGGGAACCACCCCTCTCCCAAGCAGCTGGGGAAGATGGCAGCAAAGTCCCAGGAGACAGTCAGCGGCCTTCAGGGAATGCGGACGCTGTTCTGTCACAGGTGCAGCAGGAACAGCATAACGGAAGCGGAGAAGGGCAGGATGCATGCGGGACAGGGGCGCCTCAGCCTGCGCTGGAGTGTACGCCTCGGGAGACCCGACCCGCCGCCAGCCCTGCGCAAGGAGACCTGCCAGGCAGTGCAGACAGGGAACGCCTCCTCGCGCTGGCGGCTGCGGCCGGCCCGGCGGCCGCGGCCGCGCTGATGGAGAGCCAGAGGGGCTCCAACTCGCCCAACAAGCGCAAGCTCCCGCTGCCGCGCCGGCCGCCGGACGGCTGCGGCGACGGCTGCGCCAGCGCCGCCGGCAGCCCGGCCTCCCAGGCCCTCTCGGCCCACAGCAGGGGCAGCTCTGGCAACCGCGACTGCAGCTTTATAATGGGTTGTCAAAGGGCCGGCGGCCCCTCGCAACCGTCCCCGCTTTGCCCCACCCGCCTCAACCGCGACCGGCCAGCCGATCTCGGCTCCCAACCCGACGCCCCGGCCGCCGCTTACTCGCAGCCGCAATCGCAGGCACCGGACGACGGCTGTGCCGATGCCGGCCCGCGCGCATGTGACGGCTCCGGTGCAGGACCAAGCCTGCCGGGAGGGGACGAGAGAGCGGGCGAGGCTAGGGTGGAGGACCGAGTGCGGCTGCAGTGGCTCAGGGCCGTCAGGGCACTGCACAGGATTGCACGTCAGCGGCAGGCGCTCGCGATCCCTGACGGCCAGACTTGGAGCTCCAGTGTCCATGTCCCCATCGGTGGAGACAGCTCGGCCGACGCATCGCACCGGCAGCGGTCTGCAGGCGTTCCTGGCCACAGCAGCAGCGGAGCCAAAGAACCCAGCGCTCCCCATGGCAGTGATGGCATGGCAGAGAGGGTGCCAGGCGGATCCTGGAATGGGGGAGCAGCCGCTGGTGCAGCATCTGCGCATGAGCAGAATTGTGCTGCAAAGCAGGCGTCCTCTGGTTGGCAGACTGCCAGGTCACAGGTAGGAGATTCGCGACAGCTCAAGAGTTGATGAAGAACAGGAAATCTGTAGATGTGATGCACCAGGCTTGTTTGTCACAATTGAACGCTTCCTTAGATGGGCTTGCATCATGTACCGTACCTGCATCAGTGAAAGACGGATACAAAGATTACATGTTAGCAATGCTGCATGCCCATGTAGTAACAGATGTATGAACAGGGCTCGCAGGGCTCCGGCGCGGTGAGTCAGACAGCCTTGCAGGGCAGCCAGCTCCGGCATAGCAGGGTCCTTCCAGAAGCGATGAAAACTGGAAAGCGGGCCAGGGAGGTCCAGGCAGAGGGTGGAGGGGCACAGGCGCAGCTGGGTGCTGATGTGGCAGGGGAGGGCGACAGGTCAGCATGCCACCTGGCAGCAGATGAAGGCCGGGATGGCCAGAGCAACAAGCGGCGGCGCGTCGGCGGGGGCCAGGAAGCTCTTAGCAGTCAGGGGGAGGAATGCGCTGGGCAAGGAGCTTCAAGGCAGCAGGTTGCAGGGGACCAGCCTGAGGCGCATGGAGGGGACAGAGAGGCCGGTGCAGATGGACAGAGCAGTCCCATCACACGCGAGGGAGACAGTGACGTGGACATCGGTGGCCCAGAGGACTTGCTGGGTCAGCCGCATGACGGCTGCAGCCTTGCGTGCGGCCATCCGTTGACGCAGGTATGTGTAGCCCGTATGGCTCTTCCTTATGCATGCCGTGAATGCCTGTGGCTTCTCAGCAGGCTATGTCTGCTCACCAGAACCTGCAGAAATTGAATGTGAACGTTCCCTTTGCAGAAGCCGCCCTGCTCCTGTTCATGCAATGATCAATTAAAAGTACAGAAATGCATTCATTGACGGCGTGCATGTTTGTTCAGTATCCGCCGAGGGATGCATGCAGCCAAGGGCGTGGTCTGAGCCAGGCAGCTGAGACGCAGATGTGCCACATGCACAGCTCCGAGGAGCAGGACCCGCTGTGTGGCCAGCCACTGCCGCCCCCACACCTGTCTCTGGGTGCGCGCAATCTACCCTTCCCTATTCTGCAAAGGCAGGAATGCCTAATCCCCTCATCGGCTGCGTTCGGGGGTGCTAACTTCTTGAGAAAGCTGCACCTACTTTAAAGAGATGACTAAGATAACACCAGAAACCTCCAATCATTACACATAATAGCCCTAGGAGTGAATGCCTGGAAATTCATGTGGCAAAATCACTGACTTATGAGGTGCACAAGCGTGGTATTGAAATACTGACGCAGAGCAATTGATTGGCTTGCAGAGGAGTTTGGCCGCACTCCAGGAGCGCTGCTGCTGAGGACGCCGGCAGAGCGGTCCCCCTGGGCGACCCCTCACTTCTCCCACCCCAACACCACCGACAGATGCGCGCCGGGGGATCCCCACCACAGCTCTGACATCCCTGTCTCTGCGGCACCCGCATCAGGTGCCCCACATCCCTCTGTCATTCATCTTTTTGACCACACTCCTTCTTCTGGAAGACCTATGTGACCGTCAAACAAGGGTTTCGGCAGTAGTGAAAAGAGCCTCTGTTGAAGTTGAGATGTTTACAGATTTCCTTGTGGAAATGCAGGCCCCCCGGCTGCAAGTTTGGGAGGCCAGAATGCCACAATGAGGGTGCTGTCCCTGGATGATAGGCCCAGCCCAGGCTGGACTCCAGGTGAGCCGCTGCCTTGTCATACATTCTTTCTTCCCTCCCTAGCTTGCAGCCTCTTGTTCTCCTTGGGCTGCTACCTCTTCACAAATTCATGCTCTGTAGCTTCAACCTTGTACTGTTGCACACGTATTATTACTATTCTTACACGCTTTTCCTGCCAGGAGGCAAGGTGCGCCCTGCAGACAAGCTGCAGTATGAGGCTGCCATAATCCTATCCCTTGATGAACTCGCCAGATCCAAGCTGTTGCAAAATACTACAGATATAACGGAGGGTTGGTCATTGCAGTGTTCGGTCCGAAGACATGTCGTCAGCAGAGTGCACTGAGCCCATGTTTTAAAGATTCAAACAAGGTTAAATAATGATAGCAGGTTGTGTGCATGCAGGTCTCATGTGCAGCGGCATTGGATTCCAGCAGGCAACGGCGGATGCCGGTGGCACAGCGCCGGATGCGCTGCACCGCCTGGCGCGCCGGGCACCTCTAACAGAAGTACTAGGTGTGGCGGAATTTTCTATCACCCAATACTTGCTTTTGATTGGGTGATCAGAGGTACTGAATTTCATGGTTTATGCCGGGAGCAATGTAGGCATGGCACTTGTTGCATGCCGGTGGGAACCTTGCTACAGCAGTCTTTGTGTTGCACGGGTTAGACATTACAGCTGTGCACAGGTCTCCTAAGGAGTGCTTTTACACTTGAAATTACTTGTCTTCACCTGGTTTTTAATGTCATGAGTTCATTCTCGGAGGTCATAATTCCTTCTATTGTATTATGCACGGCAGGTGGGCCTTCAGCACAGCAGGGCAGCTGTCAGGCACCGCTCATGACACAGTCCGGGGTGCTGACCCCCATAGGGCCGTGCAATAGCCAGGAGCAGCAGCTGCCAGACCTTGGCATTCAAGGGCTGCAAAATCAGGCGATGCTGGATCCGCACCATAACTTTGAAACCTGTCACAGCCTGGATGGACTGTTGTATGGTGGCTCTCAAAACAGCGACCGGGCGCTTCCGCTGTCTGGACAGCCGCTGCCATCGCCGCCAAATTGATGACACATTTTGAATGGAATATGACTCGATTAAGCGAGAGGAATGAGACTTGTGAGTGTGCTGATTGGTCCTTTAAGTGCACAGCGCTAGCCTTAACTGTTGGACACAGCTTCCGTCATCATACATTTTTACATGGCACAGGACTGCTGTGACAATTCAACCTGCGCAGAGTAATACCAAAATTGTCCCATTGTCCGTAGAATATTCTCTACCACATGACGTGTTATCAGCAGACAACAAGATTTTATGTCAGCAGACCAACTCAGCAGAATCATCATCACAAATCTGCCACTCATATCACGGAAAAATGCCCTCTCATATATTCTCACACAAGCCAGTGAAGAATATATTCACGAAATAGTACTTCTAGAGACTCAAACCGCCTTGATACTGTAATGTCAATGTCAACGGCCCACGATAATCTGCATTTCCTGCCACACAGAGATTGCTGCTCTGCCCTTGCAAAATACTCCCTCTCTGCTCCCTCTTGCCGAGCAGCCAAGGTAATTTGCAGATGCATTTCTTGCCAGGCTCAGATTGGCCCTCTGCCTCTGCCCCGTACACTATCCCATTCTGACCAGCCATGTAGAACATCGCTGCTTTACAGTATACCATATGATCTGCCCTCCTTTCCACAATGGCCGTGCTTCACTTGCGCAATGTCTGATCTGTCCTTCTCTCCAGAGAAGCCGGGCATCACATGCGCACTATCTGATCTGTTCCTTTTTGCCGAGCAGCCGCTTCTCATAGCCGATGGTGCCTGTGAGGCCGGCCAGCATGCCGACCAGGCCTGGCACCCCCTTGACAAGCAGGTTCAGGCGCGCCTCGTTGCTGGACTTGGCAAACAGCGACAGACCAAAGCCTATCAGCTCCAGGAAGGACAGCCGCGCCGACAGGAAGCCCTGAGTATCCAAGAGTGACTTTGGCTCAGAGGCATAATCTCACTATTCAAGCGATGCTGGCTTCACAAAGAGGCAGCACAAGAACATTACATGCATGAACTTGGAAAACAGAAACTCACATCTAAACAGGACATGTTCAGGTGAAAGGGAATAAGTGTGGCTCCTGGCCCAAGTACAGCAGTGGTTCCAAAGTAACGCAAAATATGCATGGTCCATGACAACTTCTTGACAAAATCCTCTGAAAACAAGTGGTGGGAGCTGGTGTGCTCGCCTGCCAGTGGTGGTCTGAGAGCGCAAAGAAGGCTGCAAAGAACTGGCGCGTCTCTGTTAGGTCCAGGCTCAGCAGGACGTCCATGCCAAAGCTGAAGAAGGCGCGCTGCCGGATCCTGCACGCGCGCACATGTACGCATGTGACTTGTATTTCTTGCATGAATACCGCCAGAGTAGAGTGCAGCAGAGGGCCGAGAGATGATTGTCCTCCTTTGGCATTCAACTTCTAATGCCTCCTTGGTGATCAATTTAAGAGAGGCAGCATGAGTCACCCTCCAGTTGGCACGCAATATCAGTCAAGGGCATTCATGGCAACGAGGTACTTGCCCCCTGCCCCACAGTGACCATCTCGAACGTAACCCACCAGAAAGCAAAGCAACAATGCAGCTGCAACGTGTGCCCAGCCATCAATCGACCCAAACCCCACATTGCAGACATCTCTTTTGCAGAGCAAAGCACAAGCGCACAGCACAAGAAGTTTTGAAACCTCTGCCGAATTATGTCCTACAACACCATTTACAACAACAAATATGCCTCCTACTGTGAGAAAATTGATGGCAAGGCAGCACACCTCTCCACGGGCCAGATGGAGTGCCAAACTGCGGCAGAGAGACGGTCGGCGTCGGATTCCGTGACGGCTCCGGGCGGCAGGTGCGACTGCGCAGCAGCATCGCTGGCAGCGCACAGCTGCTCCACAATGGCATCCGCCAGAACAGGCGCCGCTCCCAGCATGCGCGCCACCATGTACCCTGCCAAATCAGGCGACACATCTCACATCCTTGTTAACTGCAAAGAAATGCACTGCCCATGCACCCCAGGTATTTTTTGGGTTCATGTGCGGCAGCCGAAGAAGTGAATCGCGTCTTCAAACATTGTGCAGCGAAGCGACGAGCCGAATCCCTGGACACACATGTCTCGCCATGATCTGTCTATGCGAAAAGCAGGAGTACGGATAAGATGTCTCTAACTGTTAATACTGTGCTCCGTGCAGCAAATCACAGGAGGCAATGAAAGGCCTTATGGAGGGTGCAAGGCCAGGCGCTCCCACCACAAAGGCACTGGAGGTGAAATGTACACAGTCCGACCATCCTCCACTGCACAAATATGAGATACACTTGCAGGACAGCTCGATGGCAGCAAAGTGCCACTCTTCAGAATGGAGTCGCGCACCTGTGGAGGGGTGGACCATGCCAGCTGTGCCACCAATGCCGAGGGTGCGCTGCGGCAGCCGCGGCAGCACCCCGCCCATGGGAATGAGGCAGTACTCCTCCTCCTCGATCGCCTTTATCTTGATGCCGTACTTCGCCATGCGCGCCTCCAGCCGCTGCGAGTGTCACAGCAGAGTGACTCACACAGTACAGAAATGTATCTGGAAGCCAGAACGGGTCGACTGGAAGACCATGATCAGATCTGTGTCATCAGGGGCCTTGTTTAGTGCATCCACCACAAACAATACGCAGCCTGGATTTGAGAGCAGCCATGAGAATTACTGGCAAAGTACCTGGCCATGAGGTCGTATCAGGGTATCAGTGTGCACCAACTGCTTTCTGTCAGAGGTGCTTGGCCAAAGGATGCCATCCTTGAATGAAGGTGGGCTGACCTGTTTGAGTTCCAGGAAAGGGACTGCAGGGCGCGCCACGAGGGAGGTCTCCTCCAGGAAGATGCGCGTCTTGGAGAAGGGCATCGCGTACAGGAAAGTGGGCAGCTTCCTGCAGATCCCAAATCAAACAAAAAAATGAGGCAAGCACACACTGTGCCTCGAATTCATATGAGAAAAATGACAGGCCCAGTGCCCCAAATGAAGGTGGCAATGGTGCTCACATGCATTCTGCTCAATAATCTACATGGCTGCATGAAAGGCAACCTAAGAGCACTTAGGCAATTAAAGGTGTAAATGCATGCACCAGTGCTCTCCTGCAACTGAGTGCTCTATGTGCTCAATACTGCACAAGGCTGCAGCAGAAACGGCTGAAAAGGAGAGGAGTAGTGGGTGGGGCAAGCACAGGTGGAGGGTGAATGCACCTGTTGCTCTCCTGCATTTGTAGGTTGCTAGCCGTGTGCTCGTCCCTCCAGTCCATGAAGAGCATTGCATCTGTGGGGAATGGGTGGCTCTCCACCTCTGCCAGTATTCCATAGGCCCCCTGTTCAACCACATGCTCTTGTCAGCCCCTACTTCACCGTCACTGTTCTCATCATGTGCACGCATGCAATGCCAGGCAAGGCACAGAACTTTGAACCAAGGAAGCCTTTGCCGCAGCAATCCCCCGGGCATAACCACCATCACGCGCAAATTAAATGCAATGGCAACACACCGAGCAAATTATAATGATCGAGTTGGTGCTGCAACTCTGGAGGCACAAGGCGCTCCAAGAGGACACGTCTCTCCGAAATGCAGGAACAGGGATACATCACCTGGTAGCCTGGGTTGAAGGGCTTGTCATATTCCACGAGCTTGCGCGCATGGCCGGTGGCATCAAGCACCATGCAGCCCGGTATCCTGGTGCCGTCAGAGCAGGTAATTTGTGAGCTGCCATCTGCATGCACTACCTCCTCCACCCTGGCCTCCTGGAAGACCACCCCTGGACCAGCATCAACATGTGATTTCATATATTACCAACGTTACATCAAAGTCATCAACAAGACTACGCGTTCAAATTTTCTTCTCAAGATGTTGCAGAGTCGCCATATTGCATCCATCAACGGGGCAGTAGCAACAAGGTATGCCATGGCACGCATGCAGCATGAGCAAAGCCTCATGCATGCAACCCTCCCTCCTCAAGTGTGCCTGCCCTTGCTGCCTACCCAAATGCAGACAGCAAGGCAAGGCAGCCTGGTGGAATTCTCTCTCCAGTGCTTCTCTTTTCATAGAAGGCCAGGGTCCTGGGCTCACCGTGCGCCACACACCGCTGCAGCAGCTTGCGCTTTAGCTTGGCTCTGTCTACTCGCCCATAAGGCCTCGCAAGATGTCTGCAAAGAAGCAACATAACAATTATTGTGTTGAAATTATTACATATTTTCCAGTTCCTTGAGATCTAGGATCTAAGTACGTCCAGCAACACGTGTATCAGACTGACACAACAATCAGGACACATGATCTCTGAGGTATGCAATGATCATCGCATGGGTGGCCTTGGAAGGAGCTTGACTGTCACAGTGTTGGGCAGGAAGTCATCGATTTCTTACTTGAGACCAGAGGGGCTGCTGTCGAGGAATACTTCTGCCCTATCCCACACATGATCCAAGCAGTCATCAAGGCCCATTGCTCGAAACTCATCGACCCAGACACCTGCCATTCACAGCATGCCACCTCAGCGCATAGCTCTTAGTTAAAAGTTAAAACAAGACAAATGTTGCTTGTATGCATTGCCCAACAAAGTGAAGATGATTTTGTGATGCAGAAGTCCATACCATAGTTGTTCGGCCACGCAGCGAGGGGTGACGGGTCTATCACACAGACCTTGTAACCTGCACATGAGAAATATTCAAGAGTAAAAACAGACACCTCAAAATGAGAATATGAAGCCTGACAGGAGCACGAATCATTTGCAGGTGAGAATCAACAGGCAAGTAAGGACAAACTAGGCTCTGCGTGGTGTGCACCTGCTTGCGACACTCTCTCAGCCACTGCCAAGCCGGATGGGCCTGCACCGGCCACAACCAGCTCCACCTTCCCAATGCTTTGATGATATCTGGGAAGCATAATTTCTGCAACGACTGATGCTGCCCCTTGCGAGGATTCAGGCGCGCTGCTCTCTGCAGGCGATGTTTGTGGACTGGAACGCTCAAGCGCTTGCACACATTGCACTGCCACGCTGCTATGCCGACAGGGCTGTATCCTTCTGCATTTTGATGACCGATGCACCAGATCAAGCGACAGACAGCCGTTCCTGCTTGAGAAACAGAAAGTGATCGACTGCTGGTTACTAGCAGTCTTGGAAGCTGATGCGTGCAAAAATGGCCGACTGCATCTTGTGTTTGCTTGAAACACGTTGGAGATGTTTTGGATCTCTCTCTGCATTCCAAATGAGTGTTTGTAGTGACAGGGTGGAAGGCTACAGTTTGCTGACATTCTCAGTGTACCACCGCCTGCCATTCGGCATGGAGTCGTGTCCTTGCCCACACTATTAAATTTAGTGTACAGAATGTTTGAGGCGCTTTTCAGATTGGCAGTATTTTGAGATGAAGCAAACTGCTGCTCTCGGAGGACGACCGGATCGCATGCGTCATCGGCCGATCCACGTGCCTCTCATTTCCATGCAAGTGATGGGTGGGGCGTCATTGCTCTCGAGATCAAAGTACCTTAGTCAATAGAAAAGTTGTAAGTTGGTGAACAGGTGCTGGGCTATTTTGGGGAGCTACAATCATCGGACGCGTATGAAGGCTCCCTATTGGCGGTGCAATCCGTTCAGCACTCGGATCTCAGTGGGATTGCTGGTAGATTAGAAGAGATGTCGATGTGAAGATCACAGTATGGGTGCCAAAGTGACGATTCGAGTGCAAGTCATTGGCGGCAGCTCTCGTTCCTTTGAGTTGCAATCAGACACCCAGGTGTTGATTGAGCCTTTCAGGTTGAATTAACTGAGCCAGCATGACCATGTGTCTGTCATCTCCATACTATGTGGAATATACGAACTATACGATCCATATATTGACCCCTTGTCTGACCATCGCAGGTAGCTGTCCTTAGGCAACTCATATGCAGGGAACTACGGTTCCCGACTGACAGGCTGAAACTTGTGCGGAAAGGAAAGGTGCTTGAGGACAGCAGTGATCCTGCCCAAATGGAGGAAGGAGGTACAGATACATGCTGGGCACCACGTTTGTGCCACCCTTGAAATCTGGTGTTGTTTACAGTCCTTGGATGCATTACTGATCATTTTTGTGGTGACATGCACTGCAGACAGTTTCCTAGCACTCTTGGCACCCAAGACGCCTCCACAGCACATCCAGGAGAGCAGCGCTGCGTCCGGCTCATTTGACGAGGGCTCGATCAATGATCCGGCTCGCTTCAGGCTGCCAGCCAGCGCATCTCCTCTGCGCAAACGCATTGCAGCATTTCTGCAGCACCGCTTGAAGCTACCTGAAGTTGTCCTTGTCATCGTCTTCAGCATCAAGCCCTGGGTGTGGGTGGCATTCCTGGCATGGATGGCTGCAGCTCCCATAGCTTCATCATACGAGGTACACATCTGGAACTGCAGTGGCTCTATTCAGACAATCTGCCGTTGCATCAAAGTGCTTTTGAGCGCGGCGCCATCGCTTGCCTGGCAGTACTGTCTAAAATTATTTTCTGGCATGTGCTGTGCGTTGTGTTTGACATGAACTTGTGAAAATGTGCATGAATGCAGGTGGGGGAGATCTATGTGTTGGTCACTTTGGTAACGGTGATATTCTGCAATCTGGGCACGAGGAAGGCTGGGGAGGCCAGTGCTTACAGCATTTTCAACAACTTCAGGGAGCTTCCGGGGCAGCTCAATGCCAACATGCTGGATGATCAATTAAGAAGGGGACAAATGTAGCTCGTGCACATCAGATCTGACTAGCTTGCATGCTTGCATCTCAGAGAACAGAGTGCCCTGAAACCTTTCTAGTTTCACGAAAAAATAGGCCATCAGGTAGTCACACCTGACGGGCTGTTGTCAATGCCTTGTTTTTGCTTTGATAATCTACTGTACATCTGTTGGAATTAGCTGTATACGTACTGCATTACTTGAAAACAATGTGATGAGACCGTCACCCATACAGACTGGAGAATAAAAATACACGTTTTGCTCGACAAATTACCCACCACTTGGACCCTGGATGCCGGGACACATGCAAGCATAAGAAGGTGATGCTATCAACTCTTTATGCTGTCCAGTGTAGCCTGCCGCATCAAGTCCAACGGCGCAGGCTTGCCAGTGAAGAGCTCAAACTGCTCCGCTGCCTGGCCCACAAACATCTCCAGCCCGCTCACAGTGATGCAACCCTGATCCTTTGCATCCTGCAATCATTGGCAACTTCAGTAAGCTCCATCTCACATTCCCTGTTTGTCAACCTTGCAACTGTGAGCTGAGCCCTCTGTGCACAAATGTTCTATCTTGCTATACGAAAGAAGTCAAATCTCTTCTTTGTCATAGTGGCTGGAGGACAACGACAAACGTTTGCACTCTTCAAGAACTTGAGGAATTACTGTCAGGCAAGATAAAGCTCGGTCTCACCTTGAGCAGCAGTGTTTCCAGTGGGGTGTAGACTGCATCAAAGACCACCTTGTAGCCGCCGAGAGCCCCTGCACTGACGGGGGTCTCGTTTTCCTTGGGGTGCATGCCGATGGATGTGCTGTTCATGAGCACATCCCCTGCCACCTTGCCAGCCGCCACGTCAGCGTACTCCACTGCCTGTGCCCCTGCCCCGAGCGCCTCTGCCAGAGCTTCCGCCTTCTCTCGTGTCCTACACAAAATTGTGGGCACTGGTCATTTCACCACTGCCGGTGAGCTCATCAAGGCAGCTACAAGCTCATCTTCAGGGTTCTCAGGCATGACTGCATTTGGTAATGTCTTCAGCCCTGCCACTTGGACTCGTTTAAAAGTCACCATTTGCGGCAAAGATAAAAAAGTGCGTTTCCGTATGTATTTCAGAGCATCGGACCATGTCTGTCCATTGTATGATCAAGAAGGTGCAGGGATGGCCTTGCCTGTTGCATACAAGCACTTCAGCACCCCTTTCAATGGCTCCAAAAGCCAGGGCCTTCCCTGCGCCCCCAGCCCCCACTACAACCACGCGTAGCCCCTTCAGTGCAGACTCCCCTCCAGCCTTGCTGCCTGCATCGCAAGAAAAATCAGCGTCACATTTCCCTTGTGGACACAGTTGGAGTTACTTCCTTTCTTTCTCACCTTCCATTGATTTACAGGAAAAGCGCTGGACGGATTGAGGTTCGACTCTTTGCTTATCATACCCCTGGTGTCTTGATCACAGCGGATCCACCAGGGGCATCACCGCAAGGCATGCAAACGGAACCCCTTCAACGCTACTCGATACATCACAGAGTCTGACGGTAGGAATTCACGGCAGTGAGAGTGGCTGGGGCAACAATTGTGCGTACCTCCCAGTGCAGCCTCGACGGCAGATATGGCTGCAGACCAGTCGGTGTTGTAGGCCTTGAGGCCGCCGCCAGGCTGGCGCACGAGAGTGTTGGCCGCCCCGATGCGAGCCGCCACAGGGTCTGCGTCGTCAGCGCACTCCAACGCCGCCAGCTGCACCCAAATGCAGTGCATTTTACAAGCAGTGCATTCCATTGATTTGTCACTCATGGAGGCAGATCTTTGCAGGTCGATTCAGGAGAATATTTCCAGGGCGCAGGTGGGGCCACTGCACAAGAAGACACTTGCTGGGGCATGCTAACACCAGGGCCTGCTGGATACGCAACCCAAGGCTGCAGCAGCTCCTCCAACGTGACTACAAGCCCAACATGAAGCTACAATTTGTGCAGCAGCGCACACTTATGCAGTTCTATGCATGCCAAGTCAAAGGACTCATACTTTGCCCAGCGCCATCTCTTGTCGAGGACAGCGGGTGCTTTTGGGAATTCTCTATTTTGGCCCACCTTTGCTAATAACAGAGGGCAAGGAAGAGAGCAGCACCTTGTGTGGGATGGTGATGCTGATTCCGCTGAAGCTGGGGTAGGCATCCAGGAAGGGGCGCAGCTCGTCCACCAGCAGAGGTACATACACCGCGTCAAGGCCGGCCGCCGCCAGCGCTGCGTTGTGCAGCGCTGGACTGCGGCTGTGGGAGACCGGGTTGCCCACAATGCCAAAAACCTGTGCATGGGATTTTGCCAAGCTTCAGGGCTGGCTGGAGTATTGCATCTACTCGGGCAACAGATTTGGATGCCTTTGGTTTAAAGAAAGAGGGATGCTGCCGAGCGAGCACCAAATCGCGGAGGAAGGGCTGCCTTGCTGTGTGATTGCAATGCATGCCACCCTCTTGGAATGAACATCAGATCTTGAGACTTCAACAGATGTCTACCATATAATAAAGCACATCCTACATGCAGAATATCAATATGAAGTTACGGTTGCAATCAATGGTGTGTTGAGATACCTTGGTGGCGCTGCTTTGGTTTTGCAGCCGGTACAGCTGCCGCAGCTCAGTCACAGTTGGCTGCCCAGGCGCGCTGGCCTTCGCGGGAGACAAAGCCCCAAATGTCAGGTAGCCGCCGAATTTGGGCGCCAGCACTCGCGACGTCAGCCCCTTCTCGCCCATGGCGAGCGCAATCACCGGACCTGCGCATTGGAATCGGATTTAATTTGAAATCTGAATATCTAATTTCAAAAAGTTGTTGCACCGCAATGGAGATTTGATATTGCAATGAGCATGCACTGCAGGTTGGAGAATATTATCCAGTGAGTTGAGACAACCTACGCTGAACAAATCCTTCAAAGGACTTCCATGCCCTGACATGTGCTGCTCAGAACATGAATGCAGTCAATCGATCGTGATAATTCTACAGATACAAGTTCTACAGATACAAGTTCTACAGATACAAGTTCTACAGATACAAGCATGCAGAAGCTCCACGATGGCAGAGTTGATGAGTTTTGAGGTAAGGAGTTTGACGCTCACCCGAGGACTTGCCGGGCAAGGCCAGCATGCGCGCAGAGTCTTCGATCCTCTGTGCAGTGGTGGCGATCTTGGCGATGTCAGCCCCACCCTTGAACATCTCCTTCACCAGGGCTTCCAGGATCTCGTCGCTGGGTGTCTCATCGTAGTCGTGGTGGGACAGGATTACCTTTGTGGTCAACGGTACCTCCCCCTCACCTGTGCCAGCATGCATGCATCTTATTGACATGCATCCATCAGACATGCATATATCTATAAAGCCACCAGGGGGGCTGTAATGAGACACATGCATGCGTTCCATGACTTCAATCATACGTCAAGCATGGCAGAAAGGCAGCAATGAGGTGCATGCACTGTGCAACGATAAGAAGCACATTGCGGGTGGCCAGGGCCTCTCTGATCCGGAATGTGTCAGCGTGAATGCAAATGGGAAAGCAACATTTAGCTTCTGCATGTACTCACTCGCGAAGAAGAAATTTGCAGCCAGGTATTCAACGTCCACATAGGGAGCCCCAAGGACTGCTGCGTACTTCAGGACTGCCAGCCTTAGCGGCTCAGGACCATCGTACTGTCCCCTGCGCATATTATCAACATCTTTAAGTCATGATTGGAGGGAACAAGTATTGAACGCTCTGCCAGAACTGCCTCAATACGCATCTCCATGCAGGGGTACACCAATGACGATATCCATGCAATCTTGCCTGCATAATTTCCAAAGTTTCTCCTTGAAAGTCTGGCATTTGACATAGTGGAATGCATGTCAGGAAGCGCACCCTTCCCAGTTGGGTCTGAATGTGACGATGGCTGGCAGCCTGACTGCATTGCATGCATCCAGAAGTGGATTGAGGAAGGCTGCTGGATTGAAGAGATCTATATCCTTCAAGAAGTCCATTCGCAGCTCCACCACGTCTGCACCAAAGTCTGCAACCTCCCTAATTTCTGCTATAGCTCCATTCACTGTGTCTGCAGTGACACTGCAAACGCACAGGAGTTTACGAGATCAGTTGCTTGAATACAGCGACAGCAAAACGAAATTCTGCGTTGAATTATTGCATGATTTTCCCAGCATAGTGTAATGGTGCTTCACCTTGTGCAAACAAGGCCTTGCTCAGTTGCAGCTGGTGGGCTGACTGCAACAGCTTCCTGCGTCGCAGCCTTCAAATTGCTGCGACGGCTTACAGTCCTCATTGGGACCTCTAATTTGCGTGCTGAGACCGAAATGCAGCTTAGGCGTCCGCGATTGCAAGCGTCCGTAATGGAGCGATGCTGATGTTCAACCCTTCCTGAGAATGCCGCAGGAGAAGTCCTGAATGTGAATGATGACGGTTGATTTAACCGATTTTCATGGATCGTGTTGGAGGCTTGCGCAGAACACAGAGAGGAAGTGCTGCACAAGGTCATGATCAAAAAAAGTGATCTGTCGGAACCGACAACTCAATATTTGTATGGACACTTTGTTGCCGTGCCTTATGATACTAGCATTTCCAGCATTCCTGGCCATAGATTTTTCTTGGATTTAATTTGGAAATTCTTGCATTCAACTGGAAGAGTAGATCAACTTTAGGGTTGCTGGCACCAACCCTGCCGTGCTGAACCGCACAACACAAGAACACGTCGTGTCCGTGGTCCGTCTGTGCTCCTATTTTCAGTTTTCTGTTTCCTGTCATTGCATCGCTGTCACTTGTCTAAACGACGGAGACACTGCATATCTCGACTTAGGAAGCAGCAAGCTGCCTATCAATCCTGGCCTCTTATTATCTATAAGTAGAATGTTTCAAGAGATACTGTAGCTGCTAACATCATATTGCAGGACTAGGAATACAGAGGGGTAATTGATCATACTGCCGCCACCCAATGAGGGCTTTCTGTGGCTACTTGCCACGCCATGTGCTTTTGCAGCAGAGACCATTCTCCTGCTCTGTAGCAAATCTCAAATGCAGACTACGCATCGCCTCGGTGACTAGGTACAATTTCATTTGTGAAATGATCCGAGACGCTATGCTGTGATAACAGACACTTGACCTGGACCCTTAACCTGAAACATTGAAGCCTGTCTGGGAATTGCACTCCTGCAGGACCACAACTCATGGCACATTCACGTCCGGGCAAGGACACTCGCGCAGTAGAAGCACGTGTGGCTCACAGGTGCGAATATGTGGCGTCCCGCAAAGTAGGCTGCACAATGTAGAGAATGCCTCATGACCGCTGTCAGAGCTGTCCAAGATGTGCTCCATTGACTCTTCATAGATACGCTGTTCCCTGCATTCTTGTTGAGCGTGTATTGTGATGCAGCACGGGCAAATACAGCAGCGCAAGCCCCCACCTGCAGCCCCCTCATCCTCTGGCCGGCCAGATGCCGAGGTGCAGAGGAGCCCTTCGGATGACACTAGCGAGGCCAGCACGTCTGGCAAAGACAGCAGCTTGGAAGGCAATGGCGCCATTGCCCTGGACACAAACCCTGCCATACAGGTGGCGCCTGTAGACACTGTGGCCAAGCTAATTGTTGCAGAGAGAGAACTCAGCGCGTCTTATGAGCATGTGGCATGCATTCAAGATGTTTCCCTGAAACAAATGCGGATGCAGGTGGTGGAAATAGCAAAAGCATCAAAGTGGAAGAGGAGGTTCACCATTGTAGGACTCTGTTTCATGGCGTTCATGCTGTGCAACATGGACCGCGTGAACATGAGCATAGCCATCCTGCCCATGAGCAAACAGTTTGGCTGGGATAGCGCCACCATCGGCCTTGTCCAGTCATCCTTTTTCTGGTGCGGCCTCCTCCACATGCTTTCCTTTGCCTTGCTCTCTGCACATCAGGCCAAAATTGTGATGGATGCAGCAACGCGAACATTCAAGATGTCTCTTCTTCACTGAAAAGGACTGCAAAGGCCCGGCTCATTTGTACATAGATACATGTCAATGGCTTTGTGCAATTCGGGCGTATTGGGCAAGGTTTAGCACAAGTTGCCTGTGCTGTAAGCTGTGCCATTTCATGAACGAACTTCCTCATTGCTTGGCTGTGTTCCGCGCAGGGGTTACCTCACCACGCAGGTGGCAGGCGGCGTGTGGGCAGACAAATACGGCGGCAAGACAGTCCTGGGCTTTGGGGTCATCTGGTGGAGCATAGCAACCGCTCTCACCCCCCTGGCAGCCTCCCTGGGACTGCCAGCGCTGCTCTTTGCGCGCGCATGCATGGGCGTTGGCGAAGGCGTCGCCATGCCCGCCATGAACAATCTGCTGTCTAGGTGCGCGCATGTGCCAGCACCCTGTCAGCATGTGCCGACAACCTGTCAGCATGCGCTCTCAAATGCCTGCTACAGTGCAAGTGTCATGCGCGGAACTGTCTGCACAATTTATGGTTGGTGTAACATGGTGACTTGAAATGCTACCCAAGAGTGACTCATACGGTGAGGCATTATGTAGATATTTAACCTCTTGATTGGTATCATCAGTGTGCACTGTTTCTCTCAAAATGTGCAGCGTACAGTATGACCTGGCGCCTTGCGGATTATGACTATTCGCACATGCTGAATTGGGGTGTGGTTGCAGGTGGGTGCCAGTGCAGGAGCGGTCCAGGTCACTTGCGCTCGTGTATTCTGGCATGTACACAGGCTCAGTCCTGGGGCTGGCAGCATCACCTCACCTCATAGAGGTGCGAGCCTGCAAAGAACACCATCTTGTTTGGCTCAGACAGATGTCTCTTGACACAACTCAATCCTCCTGCTCTGGGAATTCCGCTTTTATGGTTGTTATGCTGAGCATGCCATCCATGCGTCTGGGTGCTTAATGCCCTCTCTGTCGGCCTGTGCAAAGAAGTCAACAGCGCTCAGCGGCTGAGCAGGTGCTCCTTCTTGACCTGTGCTTCGTACGCTTGAGGTTGCTTGTCATCCGGACCCTTGACCCAGCCTGTGTTGGTGCAGTGGCTGACGTGGCCGAGCGTGTTCCACATCTTTGGCAGCGTCGGCGTGCTCTGGTTCCTGCTGTGGGAGTGGCAGGCCAGCAGCTCGCCCGACGAGGACAACCGCTGCTCTGCAGAGGAAAAGGCACTCCTCGTCGCCAACACACCCATCAGCAGGGTATACCCCTTTACAGACTATATCTTCAGTGCACTGTCTCTGACAAAAACAATTCTTTCTGATGAGATTGATTGGAAAACCACTGGATGATGCTATGCTGGCTACCTTGGAATGTGATTGGCATGATAAAACGCCAGTCACTGCAGACAAACTCGTTGGCTTCAGTGCCAGGCACAGGTTTTTTCAGGCTGTGCAACGTGGTATCGGCATGCATGCTTGATAAATCTGTGCTGAGTGCAGACTCGGGGAGAACCAATCCCATGGAAGCTGCTGCTGTCAAAGGCTCCAGTCTGGGCGCTCATCGTTTGCCACTTCTGCCACAATTGGGGCACTTTCATCCTGCTCACATGGATGCCCATGTACTATAATCAGGTACATTGCAATCACCCTAAGCACCCTTTATATTGCTCCCTGGCTTTTGTATTGGGATATGGATGCTGTCATGCAGTCAAAGCCTCTGCCATACATCGTTGAGAGGCTCCAAATCACAAGAACTGGCGTATTGTCTCCACTTGGTGATCCAAAGAGCTTCAAAAGTTTATCTCTTCATGATTTGCAGAACGTGATCATAAACCGACTCAAGCGGCTCTGTTCTAAACTGCAGGTGTTAGGTTTTGATCTTTTGAAGAGCGGGATCTTCAGCGTGCTGCCCTGGATCACGATGGCTGTCTTTGCCAATGTTGGTGGCTGGCTGGCAGACACCATGGTCTCGAAGGGCGTTTCTGTCACACGCGTCCGCAAAATCATGCAGACGGTGCGGGGCCAATCTTTGACATCATGCACTGTCCTGGCTCGTCTTGTCTTGTTTTCGCAATGTCATTCAATTATGCCTCTCTCCCGATTACAACCTGGATACATCTGGACTTTCAGCCTTCAGCCTCGTGATCCTGGACAACCTCCAAAACCAAATGTAGCAATGATCTGTATCAGTGATATTGGTACTTGATGCAGATGATTGCTACATCGAGTGCCGGATGTTGTGTTTGGATATTGTCACAGTCCACTTGTCAGCTGTCAAACATTGGGGTGATAGATGCATGCACGCATGCTGCACAATTTTGGGCAGGAGTGAGATGATGTGGGAAACAGGAAAAGTATGCTTCACTTGGAGTTGAGCTGAATTTTCTCTGTTTGTTTCGCAGATTGGCTTCATGGGCCCAGCTATTTTCCTGACGAGGCTGGGCTCAGTGTCAACGCCAATGGGAGCAGTGGCATGCATGATGGCCTCTCAGGGCCTGGACTCCTTCTCACAGTCAGGCCTCTACTCCAACCATCAGGTCAGCCTCCTAGCAGCTTGACGAAGGGAAAGAAAATTTTCTGATGCATTTTCCAAAAGTATGCCAGCCTGCATGCAGAAGACTCTGGTGTTGCATGTATTTGCAGCAGCCTTTATCTGAAGATTGCCTGTCATACGAGCGCCTGATGCAAGATCTGCTGCGTGTGCATGCATAGAGCACTTGATAGATTTGGATTTGAAATAAACATTGACTGTTGTTGTGCAGGACATTGGGCCGCGGTACTCTGGGGTGCTGCTGGGAATGTCCAACACAGCTGGCGTGCTGGCAGGTACACTCAAAGCCTCCAAGAGCTTCTGCTTTCACTGCAATCCAATGTGAACCTTCCAAGTAATGGTGTCTTGCATGCAATGCTTGCCATGCACAACTAGCATGTAAAAGAAGGGCCACTTGGGATGACAAGGCACTGCTGCAAGCTAATACAGAGTCATTACGAGCCCTATCGTCCATCAATTAGTGGCGGGGCCGAGAATTCAGTACTTTAGCGCGACCATGCCCAGCCTTTCAAAGGAGCTTGACAAGTGACAGACCGCAGATACGCTATATTAGCAATGTAGCACATCGAATGAAGATTGATTTTGTGAAGAGACCAACGTGGGATTCATCGGCTGTAAAGGTGGAAGTGCATGGCTATGGCTTTTGCTGCAACAAAACTTTTAGCTTTGGTGCTACCACAAAAGTTGAGGACATGTGTGCTGGCAGGTGTGCTGGGGACAGCAGCTACTGGGCTTATTTTGGCCAACGGCTCCTGGGACGACGTTTGGGGCGTTGCTGTCGCCCTGTACCTTGTGGGCACAGTTGTCTGGAATGTCTTCTCCACCGGGGAGCAGATCTTTGACTAGGCATGACTTTCTAGCTGACAAGATACCTCGTGCTGCATTCCATCGGAGGTGCAGCGTTGACCAGATGCAGGTCAGGAAGGCAGGGGTGATTGCCAAAGGCTGCTTGATTTCCAAGGTGCACTTGCAGACCTGAAAACTTCGTCAGGAGACTTCAGAAAATGGTTGCGTGCTGTTGCCCTGTGGCCACATCAGGACAGAGCATCGTGTTCAGCAATCTGGAGCGGCATCATAATACATTTTTGAACCTGTTCTGAAGAACATGTTATCCCGGCACCACAGGGGAAGCATCAATTGCAGCGTTGGTTTGACTGCAATTTTGACTGGCAGCATGGAGCTTATTCCTGCTGTCTAGATCTACTGCAAGCTGCACGCTTGGAGGACACAAAGTCTCTGCTGTTTTTGGCACTGTATCTGGAAATGTAAGTCGACTCGCGTAGCATATATCTGAAAGAAGTGATCCTCTCTTGGGTTCTGCAACTTTTTTCCTGTTGTGACAATTTGCCTGATTGTGTCTGATTCTTCCGCTAGTGACACTTAGCCTGGGGATGCTCAGCATTTTAGGTGCTGATGAGTATTTCCATACGGATGCTTCTGCATGCTTCCATAGGTGCTCCAGTAGTTGGATTTTGCCTCTGGTGTTAGTCATGGTCAGCCAGCCAAGGTCGACAGCATGTAGGTAGTCTAGAATGCACGTGGGTACGATGGTGCGCCATATCATATTGCTCCATCCCAGGGGTCTTATTACGTGAGGAGAGGTGTATAACGGCTGCTATCCTCAGTTGCACACCTGCTTCAGGTGAACTTGCTACAGAAGTAATAGTACTATTCAATCACGTCACTGGTCCACTGTCAAGTATCAAGTGCGTCTGCAGACAGGCTTGTAAAATAGAAATACAATGCACATAGAATTCCTACCCCTGCCCTAGAGATCTTGTCATGTTTCATGCATACTAGGCCATCCCATGCTGGTTTAAACTTCTGCAGTGGCTATCATGGGTATGTTGACAAGTGCCCCTCACGCCAGATGCTACTCTGTTGGCAAGCACACATGCAGAAAATTCTTTGTTCGTCAATACAGGCACGCCATCCGAGAGTCCTATCCAACAGCACGTCCTCAAATGGTAGCAGATCTGCCCCTCTGCACTCCCCTTTCAACCCTCCAAATTGCTCAGGGTCTAGGACTCCAAACATCCTCACAGCCCACAATCTGCCTGCCGGCTGTCAGCATTGCTGATTTCCCTCTATGCGGCCACTGGACTCCCCAGCAACTTAAGCAACGCTGGCTCCAATGATGGCGCCGCACGCAGTGCAGACAGAAACCAAGGCAGCATCGCCTATTGGCAAATTATTACGCTGACAGCGCTGCTCGGTACCTGAAGCACGCGCCGCCACTTCATGCTTCGCATGCTTTGCGCTCTGCTCTCAAATCTTGAAGCAGGCGCCGCCGACGCGCCATGCTTTGCCTGCTTTGGGCTGCTTACTCTTCAAGCAGACACCGCCACGCCACCGCTTTGCATGCTGCGCTCAGTTCTTGAAGCAGTTGCCGCCGGAGAAGCAGACGGAGAGGAAGATGACGAGGGCCAGGATGAGGATGATGAGAATGACGATGAGCCACATCTTCTTGTGCTGCCACCACATCTTGCGCCGCAGCGCCACTCCAGTGCGGTGGAACCGGTCCGCCTGATTGGCCAGGAACTCAGTCAGTCAGTCAGTCACTTTTAATCGTGCGTAGTGTTTGAGGAAAACACTACAAACTCATATTGTACTTCTCTGGGCCAGGGTGACCTCCTGCCCATGATGTATCATTCAAAGTTGAAAGTAACCGATGTCCTTCCGTTGCCCAAGCCAAGCCAGCCCTGTCTTGTGCACTCCCTGCTATGCCCCAGCTAGAGGTTATCTGGGTACTAAGGAACAGAGATTATAAACACACTACATTGCTTCTAAGCAACATAAGGCTAACCCGATCCCTGACTCTGGTTCTTTGAGTCAGCGCCCAGCATGCCATCCACACACTCAGAAAGATCAATGTCGATAGCACCAATAAGACATCCTGGCAGAAGAACTGCACCTGGTTGCGCAGGTTGTCCGTTTTGTCCACCAGGTTCTCAATCCGCTCACCCCGCGCCAGCACCTGCACAAGGGAATGAACCCAATGAAAAGACAGAAGCATACACCTCAAAACTGCAGATGAACACTGAATAGTCAGCGGCATAGTCATGCAATCTGCACTACTCAAATTGCTTGGGTCTTGGTCGAGCGCAGAAGCACCCAGCTGAGGTACATGACTGGCACGACTGGACAGCAAGTCATGAGACAAATGATGCCCCCCTTGTTTCTCATGCCTGCATGGGAGCTGTCCTTGCACAACCTCTGTGGAGGTGAGGTGAAAAGGGGACCAGCACCTGCTCAATATTGTCCACCATGACATTCTTGACCTCGTCCACCTTCTTCTGCAGGCCGGCCACCTTGGACAGCTCCTCTGGATGCTCCATGCAGTAATCCATGTGGTATTTCAGCCGCGGCCTGCCACAATTTATCTGTGATTAAATTGCTGGTGGTAGGTATATGATTTTTGTGATCGAACGAGTTGCACGACTCTGCAGAAATGCAACAAGAGTGGTCTCCTACGCAGTCCAAGAATCGGGGCACAGTGCTGAGTGGATCTGCTCACCCGAACGCCCTGTCCAGGCTGCCTGCCTGTGCCGTCCGTGACTTTTCGGCATATTTCTGGTTGAACTCGTTCTTCACGTTCTCCAAGAACGCAAAGGGCACTTGACGTCCAAATCTGCTCCACAAGACAAAGCACTCAAGCAAGCTCGGTGTCAAGAAAAAGAATGTCCATATATAACGGCGATACAAAATAAATAAGAAAGAAGTGCGCAGCAACTTGCACCGAATTGGAGAGAACAGTCATGTACAAGGTCTGCCAGGAAAAGATACTGACTCACCCTTCATCAGCCACGACGAGGAAAGTGTAGCCTCCATCTATGAGGAAATTGAACGAGTGCTGGTTGGCTGTAAATGTAAATTTGTTGTTTCCACTGGGCACCCTGTCCAAGCACTGGACAGCTACAGACTTGAAGTTGCCTGTGAACTGTGGCCCTGTGTGGTCTGCTAGCACTGCCGTCTCCCTTGCCACGAATGCATATATGAGCGGCATGACGAAGAACTCCCTCACGCTCGAGAGGCCGGGTTTGTCCCCAAACCCCTAGTATATGTTGCCCAGATGAAGCAATAGGAGCCTCAAGCAGGTGGTCTGTTCTCGCACTACAGCTCAAACAAAACGGATCTGCAGCTTCAAGAATGACTTTACGCTTTCTTAGAATGTTTATGTGAAGACTTGATCGTCAGAGGCTTTTCGCATGATGGAAAGAAATTGAGGGAGCGCGCAAAATGACCAACGAACACGGACTCGCAGGAACGCCGCTCACGGTGTGCCGCAGTCTAATCTTGGGATCTATCCTCTTCCAACGAAAGAATAGGTATTCAATGAATTGCATGAGCTGTTCGGACTCAATTTCTTGATCTTAGCATATGAGTCTAGCTGCCATTGGTCCAAGACGATGATCTGCTCATTTGGGAAGCATTCTCAAAGCCTTGTTGATCTGCGCACATGTCAGACAGTGCCACCATCCTTGCCTGGCGCAGGAGTTAGGTATTCGTCCGCAAATATCCGTCAATGCGTCCTAAGATTTCAATGTGACCAGCCTGATATCAGGGCCAATCTACAAATTCAGAGAGAAAGCACTGCCAGATCCGTTCTTTGCAGAAGTCACGCAGAGATCGACCAAGACTTCATAGATGCTATAAATGAGGTGGATGAAAAGTTCTAGTCATTGCTCTCTCATCTGTACTGCCGGCGAATTGTGATTGAGCTTGGGGACCAGAGCTCGAAATATCTCGTTTTATTCATGAGACCAATTTTCCTTGTGTTGTTCTGAACAGGCGTCCAACCAGACACTGGCGGCCATGCTGGACAACAGTGAGGCCGAGGCCGCCAGGGTGGCGGCAGAGCTCCAGGACATGCGCATGTATCTCGAGGCTGAGGGCGACCTGGAATCCAGCCTGTTCCTCAAAACACTCCAGGTGCTCCAACTCTTCTTTGTACCTCATGATCATGCCTTAAGATGCTGTGCACATCGTCCTGTAATACAGGCAGACGCTTCCATTTAAGCACAGTACAGAGCATGCAGTATTGATCTCCTGGTCAGGGAGGCTGATTTGCCAGCATGGTAGCTTGTCATGTGAATGAAATATGTAACTGCTGGGTGTGGCAGGGCATGCTTCACCACACTCTGCTCAAGGATGCTGGAAAGCTGGAGGGCATGTACCAGCAAGCACTCAACCGCATCTGCAACCAGGCACGCCTCTCCCCGCATGCCTTCATACCACATGCGCGGCACTCTGGTCAAATTTTGGTGCAGCAACGTCCTGCTGTGGACAGCAAACTAGCAGTGTGCCATGCAGCTTGACGAAGCATACATGGCTCAAGGAAGCACCTTAGCATGTCCAGCATCTTTTTGAAATTCACAAGGTACCTGGCGCCCCATAGACAGGATTACCGTATCTCAACAAGCATACCTGCATGTCATGTACCAGCGTGCAGAATCAAGAGAACATTGCACCCGGTAGGGTCTAGAACCCATTCCATATACCACCCCTGCACTAAAGGGTCTAAACTTAACAATTCACCCCCAAGCAGGTGGCTGGGAGCGAGTGGAGGCTGACGGAGGAGGGCAAGAACGCGGAGCTGCCAGACGAGGAGCCCAGCTTCTCCACCTGGGATGATGTCATGGGCAAGAAGGGGCGCGCCAGTTCTGGCTCCCAGGCATCCACTAGCGCTCCAGTCAACTCTGGCGCAGGCGTCAGGGACACCACCTTCTACAGGTAACAAATACACTCCCAGTTATGACCAATCTAGATATAACAAAAATCAAGTGATTGTACATTGGACAGGTGGGTACACACCCATGGAAAGAGCTCTTAGAATCTATGCTCTGCAGAAAGGCATTTATTTGTGCAATCCTTTACTCTGACTTCCAGAACAATCATGCAAAGGTTGCTTCTGATATTCAAATTAGGAGGCGGTTGTCAACATGATGCAAGCATGGTCTGATATTTAATCTCAGATGTGAGGGGCTTGTTGTGTGGCAGGCTATTGGAGGTGGCAGAGAGTGCCTCAGCGGCAGAGATCAAGGCGGCGTACCGTGCAAAGGCACTGAAGGTACATCCGGACGTGAGTTCAGCGCCGGACGCGACGGAGAAATTTGCAGAGCTGAGTCATGCTTATGGTGAGTCAGGGGTCATTTGCACCAGCGCCATTGGAGCCGCCGTCCTCCGGACTGTGCATACAGGTTTATGGAGTCAAGGGTTTGCAAAATTAAGCAAAAGATTGCCTGAAATGCCTGCAAGCATAACAGGGTATCAATTTGCTGAGCCATTGAGCTTTCACCTTTCTTCCTGTCCTGAGGACCCCCAGAGCAGCACATCTGGACATTCTGATGGGTTCATTGCCCCATCTGTGGAGCTTGACTTGTTCACATGATGACTCTGCCATGACATGCAATCATTTGTGCTGCAGATGTGCTGTCAGACGCGACGGCGCGGTCCCTCTATGACAGATTTGGACCAGAAGGCATGAAGCAGCAAGCAGGCGCCGACTCCGGCCGCGGCAATGCTCGGGAGGTGAGCAGCTCTGTACTGGGTGAAAGGCCAGGATCTCAATTTGAGAAGAAGTTATCAGTGAGGAGACCCTTTTGTTTGACCTAGCCTCCTGCTCTTGACGTTGCTTTTAGTGGGCAGTATCAGGATGACAAGATACATTCGTGCATTTTGGGAGCATGGTCGAATGGAGCAAGTGCAGGACAGAAAGAATCAGCTCAGGAATGCAGGAGTCAGATGTTGCAGGAAGTAAGGAATGAGCAATGCATCAATCAGGCTCTGCTGGGGCTGAATCAGCTTGTTGGATGATGTGGCAGGCATGGGATGAGTTCAAGCCCTACAAGAAGGAGAACAAGAGGACCAAAGCGCGGGATGCAGCTCGTGCCTCAGTTTCCATGGACGACGCAGATGCACAAGTGGCAGACGACGGGTGAGTCATGCTTCGTGCTCTTCCTCACATGCAGGTCAAAGACATGGATCTTGACCCTCTTTTTTTGCGGCATGTGGTTGTTGCACAGCAGCAAGACTTGTCCCCTAAGCATGCAAGCGCAGCAAAGGGTAGAAAGGCATGTACAAATTGTGTCTGAGACCTTCACTGTGATAAATTCCTCGGTCTTCTCTGTCATTCCATGTTGCATGCTGGGAGCCTGGCAGAGTCATAATGCGAATCTGCGCCTGCAGGCTTCCACAGTTTGGAGACGTGGTTGAGTATCCGCTGCGGGAAATTGAGATGCGGGAACTGCAGGACGGCCGCACAGCCGGGGTGCGCCGAAACGCACTTCACAGCACCCCTGAAAACATTGCAAGCGGATGACTGCCGGCGGAATCTGTTTCACAACGAAGCTGAGGTCAGGATGCTAGAATATGGAGGGCAAGGTGCAAGGTGCCCTTCCTGGTGCTTTGCTAAAGGGGGAGAGCTAATTTTCTATATCAAGCGCTGCAGTGGAGCTTGTCCGACAGAGATGCATCCCCGGCTGGCATCCTGGAGAGGTGCACAGTTGCGCTGGCTCTTGTGCACAGCAGAGCTGGGCCAAACAGGCTGGGGTGGGAGTGGTGCAGGTGGGCTTGGTGGTGGGGCGCAACATGGACAGAGGAGATGCGAAGAAGCTGCCGCCTGATCAGTTGGACCTCTGTGAGATAGAGCCTCTGCGCCAGGAGGAGACTGGCTCTGAGAGGTGTTGCCCAGATGGTTTCCATGCGATGCACCTCACTGAGAAAGTGAAGATACTTTGTTGAGTTTGTCAAGAAGTGCGCAGTAGAATTTCCTTGCTGGCCTTCGGTTGACATGTGGATTTTGAGTTTCAGCGTTCATATTTTCAGTCGTTCACTGAGCATGCATGTTCTGCTGGTCTTCGCGCTGCCTATTTGGAATGGATGTGTGCATCCTCTTTAGGGATATCAGCATGGCTTTGGTGTCTATATTCTGTCTGCATCCAGTCGTGGTGGCCTTTCCTACACGGCCATTTGTAGGGGCAGGTACATCCGTTTGTCCAGGGTCTGTACGAGAGGCAGCGTGATTGTTTGATGCAGCGTGGCTTGTCATGGTCACAGGTGGTTTCCGGACGACTTGGGCATCCCATCCTTTGCGCGGCTGGGGGAGCTCAGGAAACTGCCGGTGCTGGACTATGACGGCCGGTATGACATATGGGTCATCAATGCCCCCTTGTCTGAGGGGTGTGGGGGGCCAGAACTGCCAGAGGAGATCATGCTGTGAGATTGCTGCTCCGTTATTAATGTTGCCCATCCAGTTCCTAGGATCTAGGTACGTCCAGCAACACGTGTATCAGGTTTCTCCATGCTGTGCGGTCATGGTACTTTCTCCACAAATGCAATGGCAATCAAATGGACTCCAAACGCTCCCTAACGTAGTCATTCCAGCTCTGCTGAGGTCTGCCCCTGACCCCAGTCACACTCATTGTGCCTAACATCATCTGCAATGGCATTTTTGTATGTTCTGTGTGACTGCTGCTTGCTAATCTGTCACTGGAATTCCGTTTTGCCTTGTTTCAATGCGTGGATGAGATCAATGATGCTGGCTACCAGACTCTCAAGGGCATTCATCAGACTGTAATCCAAACATGTCTCTCAACAGGGGAGTCCCACTGACACCTCCAAAGTAGCTACCAAGTAGCAATTACTGGTTACCTGGGATCGCATGCACACACCAGGGTTTATGGCCAAGACACATATGCTTGCTGTCCTGCCTGCCCTTCAAGCTTGAAGCTTAAGCTGTCAAACTCCAAAGGCTGTGCTAGGAACGCAGCCCACTGCACCCTCAGTGGCCCCAGCTTGGCTAAAGTATTACTCCTTATAAGGGATCCCTTCCGAATTAGCATTATGCTCATGTTGGCTGCTGATCCCGCGACTGGGAAGTTCTCCAGGCCATCATCTGCTGTTAGAATGCTCTGCGGCGTACACATAAGGAAGAGCTCAATCGAGAATGGAATTGGAGCAAATCCAACAGATCTGCCACTGAAGAGGAGATAGAGAGAGAGAAACATTACATCGTACCATCCAATATATTATATAAGGCTGATTAGATGTCCACTGCATCTAAACCATTATTTTTATATTATTTCTACACGCCTTTCCAACCCATGAGGATCAGGTGCGTAGCATTACTAACTCGGTCTAATGAGAGTCTAATGAAGGAGCCACAACTTACCAGATGATCACTGGACGTGGCAGCAGGCATGGCAGTGCCTAGTAGATTGGCGGCGAGGTTGGCTTGGGGTCTGGCGGACCCAGCCACTTGTTCAGCTTCTTGGCGATCCATTCATTGGGCAAGATGCCATGCGTCTCTTTCTGTCCCATCAGCTTCCGCTCCTCATGCTTCTCACTGCGCCCACATGCTGAGTCAGCATTCTTGACTGCACTCAAGGCAGGAACCTGTGGGTCCTGCCCTGTGCATGCATGACCTGCGCATCCTTTCACGCAACCTGTGCAATTCTTGAATCACATAATTGTTCAAAGCAAGCTTGCTCGCCGCTCAATGCTGTGGCGTCTCTTGTGCAGCCTCACAGGGCCCTGTTATATAGCAGGTCACGCAAACGGTCAACCCATTATTCGCTGCAAACAGAACTTGAATGTCAGGGTGTGATTCTGTTGTCTAGCATGCTTCATGTGACAATTAAGGGTGCCTGCTCTCCGGTGCACGGTGTAGTGACGCCCACAGTATGAACTTTTCCAAGGTCTGCTCAGTGCAAATTGTTCTGGACCCAACAGCGGGTGATCACCAGAACCGGTCAAACTCACCTGATGAGCTTCTGTGCTGCCTGCTGCTCCAAGCTGGTTGGGCAGGGGCCAAAGCCTGCCATCACACCGGAGGCCTTTCCAGGTCCCGTGCTGTCTGGGTCAAGCATGCGCTGCCGCATCAGGATACCAGTCAACACTGCGCATCACCAAGTCATAGCTTGTCAGGTGAGCAGTCTTAGACTTGGGGCAGGATTAGGAATGAAGTGTGCAGTGCAGGCACGCCCTGCAGGCAATTATACTGAGCAGGTTCTTCTGTTTCAAGACGCTCTTTGACTGGCTGATATCAATAGCACAGGGAAGGGCAAACGTTGCAGAAAATAGGTTGAACGTTCCGGAAGGCTGAGGCTGAAGGAACCTCGCAACCTCAGCTTCGATGCAGGTGGTGTCTTTCTGCAAAATTTGCAATTGGATGAACTCGATTCTTACCTGTAAAAACTCCTGCTAGCGTGAGGTATATAGGCACCCTTTTGGGGTGCTTGTACCTCGTATGCATACTTGCTGCTTCTGCTGTGCTGGGTCGCTCATCTGGACCTCCCATTTGCAGCCGATCAGATGCATAAAATCTTGTTCAGACTTCAATCTCACAGCATTCGACGCACAATAACTTGTGCCTTTGTCGTGCTTATCATGTTCGTACAGACTGTCGAGCGCCAAATCACTGCCGAATAAGCATGCATGAGCATGCAGACTCTGAGCAGCAGCTGGCGTTCCGTAAATTCATCAGTGAGAAAGCTCCCCATTTCTAGGTTAAAATCCAGCGTGAGGTTAAGTGTTGAGTCCTCTATGCTTAAGTGCATATTCCTCTATCCAAGCTTAGGTCATGCAGCTGAGCTTGCCAATTGGTAGAGTGCACGCTCATGAGCATGCCGGCAATGCATTCGATGCCAGCCGTGCAATTACAAGCCTTGAGGGCTGCATGCAGGACGTTGTGACCCATCAAATGAGATGTCATTTAGATCAGCTGCCCCTTACAAGACCAACATACGTCATGCAATGGGCCATTGGCAATGGCCACACTCTGAATCTCAGAAGGCCCTAGCCAGCCCACAAGCCACACAGCTGTGCGATGCCAATCCCAGGTCAGTACGTCCCATGGGGCCTCTGATCAATGTCGGCCTGCTTCCCCTGGCTAAGATTGATTAGGATTGTCATATGGCTGTGCACCGAACTGTGCGGGGACAGTAACTCCGAAACTGTGGCACACATTGTTACGGAGCAGGATCTAGATCCCCAAAGAAAACCAATAATGACCATGCACCAGTTGCATACACGTCCAAACAATAGAAAAGGTGCGCCTGGAGCATGCATTGTACACAGCAAAGGAATGTTACCACTCAATAAGTAGCTTATACTTCCACCATGCACTGAAGAACCACGATGAGCTTATTGGTTTAGACCACGCGGCAGCAATGAGATGGCCTTTCCGTAAGAACCGTTTTGCATTACAGCAGGTCACGAAAGGACTAGCTGGGCAGTGAGCACAATGTCTCTCCTCTGCAGTGTCCTATAAGCTAAGATGTCCCTGTACTTATGCAGGGTCTTGCCTGCCTGATGGCAGTGGAAGCCATGTGGCCTCCAACATGCTTGCACAGGAAGTCTTACTCCGGGGAAAAATGGCTCTCCAGCAGGAACACCAGAATCTCCTTCCACAAGATGTTGCAGAAGTCTAGCTGCAGCTGCTGCACAGATTCCCTCGGATGTATCGTTCTGGTGCTGCAGCATGCATCTCACTTGTTCTGCTCAGGCCTGGTGCCCAGTACTTCCCCGATCTTCTTGGGCATCGTCTCATTTCCCAGGATGCCGTGGCTCTCCATGCCCTTGTGCATGCCTGTCTCCCTGCACAGCCAATTACCAAGGTGTAAGCATGAGTGCATGGCAAAACCACAAGCTATAAATGGCACACCACAGAGGATATGCGGCCTGTTCTGCCAGGGCCAGTGAAAGCCAACTACGCTGCAAAGAGACTGCAAAGAAAAAAAAAGTAAATACTGTTGAGGACACCCCACAGCCCTGAAAGGAAATGTGCACAAGGGTGTGTGGCTGGTGCTACTGTTGAGAACAGCCGTGTTCAATAGGGTTTCTCCATTCTGATCATCGCATCAGCATTGAACCTCAATGGGGGGGTGAGTATGGAAGCAAGGTTACCTTGAGAGCTTGCGGGTGGCTGTCTCCTTGTGCTCGTGACCCTCTGCTGCCATGCTGCTCCTCTCTTCAGCCACAGGGTCCTTCCTCAGTGCCCTACTGCCCTCTGTAGAGGGGTGATTTGCATTCCACCAAAGATACGATGCTGCACCTGCAATGCATGATGAACGTTAAATGCCATACAGGTTGCCGCTCAACTCAGCACACTGAAATTTTGCAACATCAGAGGCACGTTTGTCCATCGCGATGCCTGTGACTTGTCAGCATCTTGATCCTGTAATCCAGTCAATTGTCTAGGATGATATCACAATATCAGTAGAAGCATTGAGATTGGCTATTCACTGCTGCCATTCGCACTTGGTGGCAATATAATCACTGCCCACCCACAGAGAAGCTAGACGTCGAAAGCAGTGCACCTGCAAATGTCGCGCCAACCACGATGTACAAAGGCACCCTCTTTGGCTGGAACCAGGTGCGAGCAGTGCTGGCTACCTCCTGAGAAGTGCTGGCCACCATACTGCAGATCAAGTGTCCACGGCTTAATACCCTGATATCAGTGCTGCAACTGCTGCTCTGTCAAAGTGCACGTCTAATGGATCTGCGCAAGGATTCCTGTTGGCAAGACTGCTTGTTTTCAGAGAGGGGAGTCCTTTCTGAGGCTTGGGCACAGGTGATGATTATGCCACTCGGCGATGGCTATTTTGGGAACATCGTTCACGGGAGCTGAGTCAGCAGCGGAGGCCACAGATCTCCAAGATCGGGCCCGTATCTGGCTGCTGAACAGAGCAACGAGCCAGAATTGCGTGTGGGTGACATCAGAAATTCTGTGCAGACCCCGATTGAGGGTTACAAGAGGAGAGGCAAGACCAGCGAAGATTCCATCGAGGCAGGAAATGGCGCCAGTGCACAGGCACGCCTATCGCTGGGTCCGGCCCGACGTCTACCCATTGTTTGCTGCTGTTGGAGTTGGAGTGGCCGCAGCGGCCGTGATCATGTCGAGGAAGCTAACCGCGGTACGTGCTTCCTTAGCCGGTATCCCGACTGAAGGAAGCAATATTTTCGCGACAAAGACAGCGCAATGCAGCAAGTCCATCATTGATAATGCTCACATTTTTTAGTGTATTCAACTGCACTCCTGGATCTGAAACCGGGTCGCTTGGTACGTGTGGTGTCACCTGTTCGAAGCGCATGCATCACATGCCCTTGTTTGAGGGGTTATGCCCTGAGCGGTGCTGGCAACCTGACAGGAAATCTTTTTTAATGTTGTTTTCCACTGTTTCGTGTGTCTAGAGCAAGCTGTCCTAAAGCTAGCTGGTCCACAAGATTCACGAGGTTTCCAGGAGGCATGCAGGACTGACCATCTGATGCTTCCTCTGCTGCCCAGCATGTTGTCTACTTGAGCACAGTCGTGCTGATGGCGCAGGATCCTTCTGTGACTATGTGGCGGTCCATGCGCGGGAAGGATGTGAACGAGGATCAGGCAAACAAGTGTGATCCTCCTCCCTGAGGCTCGGTCTCTTGTCGCCGCTTCACGCTGCAGCAACCATAATTTCAATCTTTCTCTGCTGTGCTTTGATCGAAACTTGCCAAGGCCGCCTTCAGGATTCCCACATGGAAATGCACTGACTCCAATATTGTGGACAATTCTGCACAGGTACAATGACAACGTGCTGCGACGCATGGTGCATGGCCGCCCTATTGCTATTCTGCCTGACTTCAATCGCGACAACAAGGAGAAGGAGAATTTGAGTCACGCATGAAGGACACGAGAATGCTACTGGCATTGTCTACATACGCTGTATAATATGTGACATGCATGAGACCCCACCAGATATTTTCAAATGTACAGCTTTACATGTACAGCTCTGTGGAGCGCAGGAGGTCATTGAATTTTCAGGGCCTGCATCTAGGAAAGGTGTTCAAAGTGAGATTGAAGCTCCATAATGCATCACATTGTATCATGTAATTGCTCAACTGTAACATTATGCAGCTGAAGTCAGCAACACAGCGCTCTCAACAGATCTGTGCAGATCGATGTTCAAAATTATACTGCACTGCATTAGCTCAACGTAATCAGGTTGTGGAACTGCAGACGCAGGAGTTGTTGCGTCTATCTAGCCGCAGCTCTGTTCTTGCTCTGCCTTGCAGTAACAAACACACTTCCTTTATCGCCCCTGCCAATCCTAAAGTCATCATCCAGGTAGGTTGTGTCCACCCAACCCTGCACACAGCCAGACTGGTATAAATACACTATATGTAGACATAGCCTGCAGATATAGTATATCTGCAGGCTGCAAGACCAACATTTCGAACATGGGATATGCAGGTCAGAGTCAGCAAACATGGATGCGCAATGGATCTAGCATTTGATTGATTTGCAGGGCCGCTAAAAAATGAAAGAGGCAGCCCACGCGCTGGCAGGCGTGGGCAGCAATAGCCTGACATCCAGTTCTTAATTCATGCGCCAATGTATTATGAGGGAGACATCAAGGCCTGCCATCGCACCGTAGGGTTGGCAAAGCCCAAGGGTATTTTCAGGGCTGGCAGGAACCCAATCTTCAGGCTGAAGGCTGTGAACTTCACATTCACGCGCACAGCTTCCTCTGCACCTCTCTTACTGCTGCTGGGCTGCGCAGGTTCCACTGTTCCCTCCACATTCAAATACCCATCCGCAGCATTTGCAATCCTGAACTCTGCTATGTTCTCCAATCTGCCGGCCTCTCTGTCAATAATCTGTGTGATGCCCTGCACACTCAAAGGTAAAAACGGTGAGGCAAATTCAAACGGATGACTCAATAGTAAAAGGATATAGAGCACAGGGCAAGGGTCAGGATTGCAGATTATTTGAAGGTGCAGATACCAATTCCTATTCTTATGATGCAAGCAAATATCCATGCAAGGGACCATCCACCTGATGTCCGCTCCATGCTTTCCTAAGATCTGATTGTTGCAGGAGTCTTACTGCAGCAGGAGTGCAGAAAGCAAGTACTTCAAGAGAAGCAAGTAATCGCTGTCTTGTGCGCACCTTGGACGATACGGCGTTTGCTGACAAGGGCCTCAATGCTGCCAGTACAGGGCCCTCCACACCCCCAGTCCGCTTCTCCCAATTCGTGTCATCCGCTGTTCCAGGGCCTGAATGATGCAGGTTCAAAAGTCATGTATGCCTATTGTTGCGTGCAAGAAGCTGCCACAGGGCAACATGACATGTTGCAGCAATCCAAGCACGAAATGTGCATGCGCTTGCATGCACAAAATATCCTGCAGCTGCACCTGTATAGAGAAGGCTCCATCTCCCAGATAATAGCTCGCTTTGGACTGGATTTGGTGTAGGATCGAGAGCCTCAAGCGCCTCAACTTTTCTAAGGATATCACGCTGTTGCTCGCCAGTTGCCCTTTTCCCACGTTTTGTGTTTGCAACAGCCCGTCGCAGATCACTCTGCAAGGAAGCCAGCCTGGTCATATGCTCCCAAGATTCTCCTCCTCCGATTCATTCAGAGTATTTGTAAGCATTTCTAGCAAGTTTTGTCACAGCGAACGTCATCACGCACCTTCAACTGTTCAGTTTGGCTCACCCCAATATCAGCTGTGCATCTGCACAACAAACGCCTGTGCATCGGGTGTTGTGAGAGGAGCAGTGCACTATTGCGATGGATGGATAACATCCTGATCACCAATACAATTCAGCAAATAAAAAAAAGACTGTGTTTAACTAAAGCACGGCATGTGCAAGGCTGGATCGACAATGCCGGCCCAACACAAGCTTCTCACGATGCTATACAACAGTCAGAATGCAGTAATGTTGATTCATTTCAGTAGAGGCGTGAGGATCTTTCTAATGCTTCGATGTCCACGTCGAGAGTGCTTTCCGAGACAAAAGCAGGGTTTGGGGGATTTGTGACGTTGGAAAATCAGAAAAGGGGTTTGTGCAGGGCCTGGCTCCATTTCCAAGACGCGCCAGCGACAGTTCCACATATCATTGTAGCTAGAAAGGTGGAAAGCGGTGGGCTGAATCTTAGTTCTGCCATTCGAAATGGCAATTACAGTGAGCATTCAGAGCAGAAATGGCAAGGAGCTCGTCAAAGGGGGAATACAACTACCTGAAGAGGTGAACTTTATCTCAACCTCGGACGCTCTCGGAAATCTAGTATTCAGTGCAGTAGAATTTGGACATGGCCACTGCGTAGCTCGTCACAATGCATCACTATGCATCTTGCAACGAAACAAAGCATCCTCACTTAATTGTCTTGGACCAATGGACTGAGTTTTTTGTATGCAGGCGACGGTGAGCGACTTGCAATCGAAATTTCACAAAGCGAAACCAACGTTTTACCCCTCTAGACAGCGGTTCTCACTGCCCTTGAAAGCTGGCGAGAAGAAAGCGACCTCCCTGGCAGCTGGCAAAAAGCTGTCAGACTACGATGTCAAGGATGGATCTGTCCTGATCTTCAAGGACTTGGGGCCACAGGTGCAGCCCCATCTCCTTTGCTTATGCGGGCAATGCATGCTGCCTTCAGAGCCCTCACGATATGCGTACATGCAAGCCAAGGTTGGAAGAAGACTCGCTCAGGATCCTGGTGCTTGTGGCAGATTGGCTACTCGACGGTGTTCTTCTGGGAGTACTTTGGCCCCTTGGTGGTCTATGCTCTCTTCTACTTCCTGCCGTCGGTCTTCTACCCCACCTACAAGTAATTTGCTTTGTCCCATGCCTGGTTGCAACTCATCACCGGCGTTGGCCACCCAACACTTTGTGTAATCGATGCTAATGTTCCAAGTCTGAAACCTTTGCAAGCCTCTGCTGGTGTTTTTGCAGGAATATCCCCGACAAGCACCCTGTGCAGACAATGGCTGTGGCGTACTGGAGCTTCCACTATGCCAAGAGGATCTTCGAGACATTCTTTGTGCACAGGTAGGACAATGGCGCGCTTATCACTATCTTATGTTATGGGTTTCACTTTTCAGCAGAGCATGCGTATGGCACCCACTTATTATGTACCATTGGTTGACGGGACAGAGTGACATTTGTGCAGGTTCAGCCACGGCACCATGCCGCTGACCAACCTGTTCAAGAACTGCGGTTACTACTGGGGCTTTGCCGCCTTTGTATCCTACTTTGTCAACCACCCTCTCTACACCGCTCCCAGCACCGAGGTCGCCTACATCCTCTTTGGGATCGCAATGCTGTGCCAGTTCGCCAACCTCACGCGCGTCCCCCAATGCTGCCTTCGACCTGCTTTGCCGTGTGCTGCATTATCAAGGCCGTCCTTTCCACATCACCAGGATTTTAGGCGCTGCTTGTTGGATGGTCAATGCTAACATCACAAATTTTGGCTTATCGTTGGCAGCCTGTGTTGCTTTGTACAATGCTCTGGGCCTGCAATACAACATGTCACCTTGCCTCTACGTCAATCATGGCCCGTTTATTCAATGGTTGGCAAGCTTGTCATGCGTGGCTGCCATGCAACCCATAAGAGGGGCGCACCAGATCGGACAGATTACAAGACACTGGTAGTTGACCAGTTTCCCTTTTTCAGAGGCGCAAAGCCTGTGATGAATGCGCAGGACTCACGTGATCCAGCGGAACCTGCGTCCCCCCGGCGGTAAGGGCTACGCAATCCCGCGCGGCTTCGGCTTCGACTACATTACCTGCGCCAACTACACGTTTGAGATCTACGGCTGGATCCTGTTTGCGGCCGCCACCTGGACGCTGCCCGCGCTCATCTTCATCACTGCCGGCGCCGCCCAGATGGCCATCTGGGCCAAGGCCAAGCACGCCCGCCTGCGCAAGGTGGGTGCCTCTCAAATGACTCTTTTTCCTACTTTTGCAGGCACGTTTGCTTGGCATATGAAGATCATACAGTCTAGGGCCAAGGCCAGCGCGTTAGCACAAGGTGAGGGGCTCCACAGCACTTGTTTCATCCCCCCTGCTCCATTGCAGCAATGAGCAGGAACGCTCAATAAGATAGGTGACACAGTATATGCAAAAGGCCAAGCATGCCCGCCTGCGCAAGGTCACTGGCATTCTAGCACTTTTGCAGGCACACCTGCTCACTATATAAGGTCACACAAAGGCCGTGGCCGTGCATGCGCGCCTGCAGGAAGTGAGCGGCTCCACAGCCTTGTTTGCTCCAGTGCAGCAGGCATACCTGTTTGATGTTTTCAGTTGACACAATGCATTCGGAATGCCAAGCACCCCCGCCTGCTCCAGGGGAGTGGCCCCCCAGCACTGTTTGCTCCCTTGCATCAGGCACTTTTGCTCGGTAAATGTAGGTCACAGACTGTATGCGCAAGGCCAAGCATGCCTGCCTGTGCAAGGGGAGTAGCTTGCAGCACTGTTTGCTGCAGTGCAGACAGCAACGTTCGCCAATCTGCCTCTTCTGTACAATCACAGGAAGTCATCGTGCATGTCAATCTGATCTGATGAATAGAGCCACTCCGTCTCTCACTGAATTTCAGCGGTCCTATATGATAGCATTCCTACTGCATGAAGCGATGGTGGGAGAATAGCAGCGGAAATTCAGCCACCCCTTCCTAGAATGTCTGCGGCTTTTTGGTGGTGTGACGTTTGTGTTTTGTATTCTGCAGATCTTCGATGGCAAGGACGGACGGGCGAAGTACCCAAAGCGCTGGATCATGCTGCCTCCTTTCTTCTGATTCTGCAGTGCCATGCTGCTGTCTCAGAACTCAATTAGCCAGTGCTTCCAAGTTGCTGTGAATTGTCATAGAGCAGGCGCATTCGTGGCTTGTACCCGGAATTCACTGTGTCTCTGTCCCACTTGCTTCAGTGATGAGGGCAAGCATTCTGGTCCAATTGTTTTTTGGAAGAGATGCTTCTGTACAGCCTCTGCATTCACCGAAGAGGTGCCACAGAACACTGTGAATTACTTCAGGACTGAGCCCTGCCTAATGTTATCCTTATTCTGAGTGGTGAGGCCTGAGCCACTGGAGTCTGGCAGTACATGCATTGACAAAGTTGTGGTTGGACTCTGTGTGCGATTGCTTGGTGGAGCTCACAATGTTTGTCCGGTACTGAACATTTTGCATGCAATTGTTGATTTCTACTGATGGAACAGGTACATCGGGTTGGGTTTCATGGAGATGGTCCTTTTGGTATCAAGACAATCTGCAGCTGTTTGATAATGATATGCATGCATGCCATATGGGCCCATACTATGTGATCGCCAGCAGGCCTAAGTTGCATGCAAATATGCCAGAGCCATCCGTGTGTGGAGAGTGATCACTTACAAGGGCTCCTGCTTGTAATATTTGAAAGCATGAGTCATTTGATGCGTGTCTTCTGCAGATTGCCGCAGTGACCATGCAGTCCACTGGCCATGGCCTTGAGCTGGCTCGCTGCGATCATGATACTTGTCACAAATGTCATGATGCGTGTACACGCTGTAGATGTGCTCAGTATTCGCAAATGAGGAGATCTGACAGGATGGCCCTCCAGGAGTCCTCCTGCAAAACCCTTCCAGCTCTTCTAACGATGACGTGGAAAGCGGCCAGTTCCGTGACAAAGATTATGTGAGGCTAGCGTTTGCCGGATGCAGGACATGAACCATTTCTTGTCAAGAATTTCCTCCTGGAAGTCCATGCGATGGCATTCTGATGCTCCGTGTCCCCGACACATGAAATACTAAGTTATATAACTTTTCTGTTCCAATCATCGCTTTCGGAACTCTTGACTTTCGGAGAAAGGGCCAGAGGCGTTGGGAGACAATTGCAAAGTTGATGTACGGCCGTGATTTATGCATGGCAGTATTGTGCGACCGGAAGCCGTGAAGGAGGTGTTGCAGACACCTCCAAGGGCTTCGTGACAGGGAAGACATCCTGGGATGGCAGGTCGAGGGGAAACTGCCTTGCAGATATGCTGTGGGACTTGTCAAAACGTTATAAATGGTGAGAAAGGGAATTGTCGAGATAGTGCATGTTCATGATGTCTTGATACCTTATTGTGCTCTTTGCATCCTGGAAGATGGTGTTATATCGCCCTGCCAAAGGTCTGCAGCATGTCCACGAATTCTGTTTGCATGTCAAGGCATCGGAAACCCGAACTATTCATAGCGAAAATACACTTCACTTCTAGGAATGCATTTGTCCTTGCGTGGAGCAACGGCAACCTTAGTAGGGATCCTTCTTGCTTCTGCATTGAAACCTTATTGCTGCGAGTTTCCCGTCATGCAACAGTGCAGGGCGTGCAGCTGTATGTCTTATTGATTTCTTCAAGCAGTTGCCATGCATTCCAGGATCTTCACAGTGAATCTGAGCATCCTTGTGTTCTGTTGCAGTACCACCAGCGCTGCTGCCACAGCTGCTTCAGGCCAGGCAGTTCAAGTGCCCGCACTGCAAGGCCACACAGGCCCTGCCCGAAGCCGTGCAGGCGCAGCAGCAAGCTGTACAGGCGCAGCAGCAAGCTGGGGGCTATCTTTATCAGGCCGTGCTCCCACAAAACGTGAGCAGAATGCTCTTGCCAGATACCCAAAGGAACAGTGCACACAATTGCCATATGCCTTGACAAAAATATCTACGCATTCTGACTTTTGCGTGTGAATCTGAGCTGGGTTCAAGTCCTTGAATCAGCGCAGTGCAGGGGTTGCCAAGTCAGAGGCTGAATGGTCTTACAGTGACATCGAGTTGCATGATTGCTGATGGGTGCTTACCTTGTCACCAGGCTGAGCGTCTGCCCTCCACATATGAGATGGCGCTGCAGAGGGAGATGGCCGAGCATGAGGCTCGCTGGCGATCAGGCGCGTGCCTCCTGCTGCAAGTGACATGTCTCTTGTCTTCCATCGGCCATGACTTCTCCCTGCTTCCATGCCTGGAGGACACACCTCGTCAATGCCCTGCCCTTCCTGTGAGTCGCATAGACATCAGCACATCCTGTGTGTACCTTTTACATGATCCATGCATCTGTAGAGTTTGCAGCTTCACCCTTTTGAGATTTTGGATGTAAATATGACAACAGGTGCAGCAGCGTCAACGTCCAGGGGGGCCACCATCACATCTGGGGTCGGGGGAGGCCAGCCACACTTGGGCTATGGGGTGGGGCCGGGCACCTACGTCAGGCAGGGCTATGGGCAGGCCCATTTTGGCAATGGGGTGGCGCACGGCTACCAGGAGGCCGGGCAGTACCAGTATGGCGCTGCGCCTCAGCAGGTACAGTCTGCTGTCCCAGGCCACTCCTTAAGCTGCAGTAATCTTTCTGTACGAGTCGGAGTAACTTAAGAAGAGCTGCAGGCAGTCCTATCCTCTACCCTCCAGTATCCTGTTCTACTGAACTTGAGCGTAGATGCTGCTATTGTGAATCCTTTTCAAATCATATCTAAGGAAAGCTGAGAAGCTTTGCTGCCTCGTCGGTATCATGGGTAGACACGTTGGCATTTCGCATTGATTGAGAGTTGCCAATTGCCACAACAAGTACCAAATGCCACCACAAGGACCACCAGCCAGTACTACATTATCATGATTTGCCCCCGCAAGCATTGTCACGGAATGCAGACACATGAGAAGTGTGTGATTTGAAGATGGGCAGTGACAGACTGCCTGAAAGACCAATGAGCCTTGTGTGGCTCCCCAAAGGTCTCTATAATGTAATAACAGCTCTGCAGCCTCCAGTTGTGTCATGGGTAGACACGTTGGATCCGCAGTGAGAGAGACTTGCCACTTGCCAGACCAAGTGTCATACACCACCAGGAAGACAGCATGGCACCAAATCAATATATTTGCAAGTTGCAAGCTGCAGCTTGAAGCGTTGTGTAAGTGTCACAGGTGTGGGACAATAGTGGGCTGGATCAGCGGCAGCAGGCAATGCACACAAACGGCGCCAGCCTGGACTGGGTGCAGCGGCAGCGCGTGAGCGAGGCAGAGCGCTACGCACAGCACAGCGAGTCCAGCGATGACGAGGCAGAAGATGATGATGTAAGGAATCCAGACCGTGCCCATCACTCTCACACATGCTGCTTGCGAAGACACCAATGCTCTCTGTCGAGTTGAGAGGAGGGAAAGCAGTGAGGGAGACCGCACACGCATGCTGCAAAGATACTACGCTTCATTTGATTTGAGGGCAGGGAAGTCAACGGAGGAAGACTGCACATTTATGCTGCTTGCGAAGACCCCAATGCTCTTATTTGATTTGAGAAAAGGGGACTCAGTGAGGGTGACCGCGCAGGGAAATCACAAATCACATGCGCCAAGCAGGAAGTCTGAGCACCGTTTGGCAAGAGAGCAAGCCCAACCTGCTGCTTTGAGGGCTTGTGTGCGCAGATTAGATCTTATCTTGCCTTCTCTTGTGTGGAAGTGGAGAAGATATATCAACTGCAGGTTCTGTCTGTCTTGTAGGTGGGTGCGGAGGGCGTGACATTCACAGACTACAAGCCGGCGAAGCTCCCCTATGGGAAGGCGCACCCAGACCCGGTGGTGGAGACTGCCAGCCTGGGGGCGGTGGAGCCGCCGGATGTCACATACGAGCTGCAGATACAGGACCTGGTTGAGTCAGGCGCGCTGAGTGGACTCCAGCTGGAGAGCATCGTGTACGCCTGCCAGCGGCACGAGCAATTTCTGCCGGACAAGTCCCGCTGCGCTTTCTTCATCGGCGACGGTGATCTCCCTTTGCCTCTTACTCATCACCCAAACAGCAGCAAGCGCATTTGTTCACGCATGGGGCGCGCTGATTTTGCCACTTATTCATGCTGCCTTCTCTGAATGTCGTGCGCGGTTTACCTTGCCCTGCAGCTATTTCACCTTCTGCCAAGGCCAACACAGCATGCCTTTCACATGGGTTGCATGCAGCAATGTGCTATATGTGCAATCGAGGTGGGGTCCGTAGCAGCTGGGATCTGTCATGGGTGTGCTTCAATGCATGATTACTACATGCTTTCCCTGCCAAAAGGCCCCGTACGTCCTGCACACATGCTGCACCTTAAGGCTGGCTCAATCCTTCCCCTTGCTGGACTCGCCAAATCCAAGCAAGACCCAATAACTTTGGGCACGGTGCACAATATTTGCACTGACCCCCGCCAGCCGGGGCCCATGCATGATGGGGAGGTTGTTAAATTTTGGTGATGTCTTTGCATTATTAGGCGCGGGCGTGGGTAAGGGGCGCACAATAGCGGGGCTGGTGTTGGAGAACTGGCGCTGCGGCCGCAAGCGCCATCTGTGGCTGACCATTGGCACGGACCTGCGCATCGACAGCCGCCGCGATCTGGACGATGTGGGCGCCACAGACATTCCCCTCCACCCCCTCAATAAACTGCCCTATGGCCAGCTGGACTCTGACAAGGTGATTGGTCTACTCCTTGCTAGCTGCAGTGGAGTAAACACAAGCGAGTGCAGGAGCCTATCTGCGCAGTCAGATGGCTGTTGTCGTATGGCGTTTCTTGGGGTGGTGATTGCTACTTGCTGTCGCTGCGCTGGTGTTTCAGAGAGTTCCTGACCCGCCTGAAGTGCACAGGGTTCTCCAGGTCCGAGTGAATCTAGGGCAAAGTTGATCCGTGTGATGATGGTTTTCAACATGCAGGTGGGCGTGAAAGAAGGTGTTGTGCTGCTGACGTACTCCTCCCTGATCAGCGCGGCCGACAGTGGGTCCTCCAGGATACAGCAGATTGTGGACTGGTGTGGGCCGGGCTTCGACGGCCTGGTCGTTTTTGACGGTGTGCTGCTGTCCCCACTTTACTCAAATGAATGCTTGGCCACTTGTGTATCTTATGCATGCAATTGCACGCCAGAAAGTGTGGGGTGCATAGGCTGCAGCTATCTTTTGGGGCTCAGAAGAGACCGTGAAGGTTGACAAATCAGACATTTACTTCTCATGTGGGCAATGCAGAATGCCACAAGGCCAAGAACCTGGTGCCGGACTCGGGAGGCAAGCCCACAAAGGTGGGGGAGAAAGTGCTGCAGCTGCAGCGCATGCTGCCCAATGCCAGAGTTGTCTACTGCTCAGCCACTGGTGCGCTGCTCTTTCCTTATCCCTGCCCACGGGGTCCAGAGCATGGCAGTCTTCTTATGGATAGCCCTGACAGGCCAAGTACAGGACTGTGTCTTGAGTGCAAGGAAGCCTGCCTTGACGACCAACCTTCAGACAGGTGGATTTTAATAGCAACATATAAGTCTGAGTTTGCTGGGGATGCTGTGCCAGCCGCCTGCTCCGTAGGGAGGAAAATGCAGGGTGAATTGAGCACACTTTCTCTATACCAACCCCTAGAATAAGATCCGGAAGGGGTGATGACGTGTTGGTGCGGCAGGTGCGAGCGAGCCGCGCAACTTGGGCTACATGGAGCGGCTGGGGCTGTGGGGGGAGGGAACTCCCTCCTTCGCGTCCTTCCCAGACTTCCTGGAGGCCGTCGGCGGCCGGGGTGTCGGCGCGCTGGAACTGGTCGCTATGGACATGAAGGCGCGCGGCATGTTTGTCTGCCGCACGCTCTCCTTCAAGGGTAAGCTGCGATTATCTTTCTCTTGCTGGTGCTGCATCCGCAGACTGCACGTTGCAGGCTGCGACCTATCTGAGATCAACACAGGGAGAAATTGTGATAAGACTGCCTCTCTCGATGCATAGCAATGGGTGCTGCAGGTCACTTGTCCCATGGTAGTATTTGCTGACATCCTACGCGGTGGCCACTTCACTGGCTGCATGTTGATTGTGGCCGGCTCCTCACAGATGTCGGACCTTTGTTGCTATCAGGCTGGGTTTGTCGGGTTTAAATGACCATGGCCCCGGCTGGCGGGGGGCGGTACAAATACTGAGCACCGTGCCCACGGTTGATTGGGTCTTGCTTGGATCTGGCGAGTCCAACAAGGGGTAGGAATTTGGCAGCCTTTACATGCAGCTTGTCTGCAGACGCACCTTGCCTTCGGCAGGAAAAGCGTGTAATAATAATAATAATAATAAAATGACCATGGCAACCTTTCCCTTCCTTGCAGGGTGTGAGTTTGAAGTGGTAGAGGCGCCTCTGGAGGAGCCGGTGCTCAGCCACTACCGTGCAGCCGCGCGCATGTGGAACCAGCTGCGCCGAGAGTTCCTGTACGCTGCTGAGCAGGTGAGCGGCAAAGAAAATTCACACTGCGTCACAAACATGAAAGTACTACGAACCTTTGCCTCTATATCTGTTCGGAGTCCTTCACAAACGATTGCTGTATGCATCAAATATGGCTGTGCATGCAAGAATTTTTCTTATGATTGCATAAGGACCTACTCAGAGTTGTAAAGTTGTGTACTGAGCCAGAACAACGCTCAGTCCCCAGCCGCAATGGACAACGGAATACAGCCAGCGTCACCAATTACAGAAGGTCACATTCAGAGCTTCAAGGTGGCTTGGTTGCGCAGGCGGGTGTGGGAGATGAGAAGCCGGGGCGTAGGGGGAATCTGACGTGGCGCACGTTCTGGGGCGCGCACCAGCGCTTCTTCCGCCACCTCTGCATGGCCGCCAAAGTGCCCGGCCTCGTGCGCATGTCACAGGTAGGTGCCCAGTACCCTCTCCTGCTGTCCTGCCCTCAGCCGGCTCATAACTGGGATTTAGAGCTGCAATGAATGCCCGGGTTGCAGACCGGGAGGCTTGGAGTTCCCTCTGGCCATGATCCAAGGGTGCGCACAATTGCAGAATTAAGATTGCAATGCTAGAGTAGTTGGATTCTCTTAGGTGAAAATTGTTCTAGCTACAATGTGCATGCAACCCTTGTGAACATCAGACCGCTTCATGAACACTCACCCTTTGTGTGAGAGTCGACGGTGTGGGCATCGACACATCTGAGCTTACTAACAGCTGTCTGTGAGGTTCCCATGCCTTTGGCACTTGTACAATTGGTGAGGTTTCCATTGGTGAGGTTACAAGTGGTCTACTGGTCATCAGGATCCGCCCGTTCAGGCACAAAGAATATGTCTATTGTACTGCGGGATCCTTCCACTTTGAGACGCCATGTCTTGACTCGCTATCCTTGGCGGCCCCTAAGCATGCATGCGCTAAGCATGCTGCCGGCACCGATGACAGGCAGCGCTGGAGGCCGGCAAGTGCGTGGTCATCGGCCTGCAGTCGACCGGGGAGGCACGCACACTCGATGTGGTGGCCGAGCGCGCGATTGACGGCGAGCTGGATGACTTTGTCTCTGGGCCCAAGGTATCAGCTGTTTCCATCTGATACCATCTGCCACTATGCTGTCTGTTTTTGACCAATGGTGTTGGTTGACTGTGCTCCCCAGAGCTTCTTGTCTGACTTCACGCGTGATTTTACATAGCAGCCACTGCTGTCTTCTCGTGACCATTCTGTTTGTGACCAGTTGGCTTATTTGGCAGCTTGTAAGAGCTGTTGTCCCGAGTCCTCTGGACAGGAGGTTTGCTAGGGATGGATTACTGTCAAGGATCCAGCTCTCAGCTTGTCGGACTTCTTGGCGGCCCTCACTAGCAGGCGGCATTTGCAAACGATGCAGCTTGTACTGTGGTACTGTGCTGAAATGTGGGCTGTCTGCGCTGTAGGAGCTGCTGCTGAAGCTGGTGGAGGACAACTACCCGCTGGCCCCTGATCCTGACGCTCCAGGTCCGTTTTCAATTTGTCATGCATTTTGAGATGTTCTTGGCCTATGCTGTGGATTTCGCCACAAGTGCAGCATTTCTATTCTACCTTAAAATGTGGAGCTGGTAAAAACCAAAAATTCTTTCCTCCCATTGGATCCCTGAAAGCCCCTTCTTGTACCGATCTGCTGGCTGCCAACCCATAAGAGTGTGGACTGTTTATCACTGTACAGCAGGTTTCTTTTGAGTTTCATGGAGGAACTCATGTAAGCTGCTGGGTGCAGAGGTTGATGCAGCAGCGTCCACGTCAGGCAGGGGTGCTTCAGGGAAGGGGCAGAACGGCGGTGGCCGCGGCAGAGGGAGGAAGCGCGCGGCTCCCGACACAAACGGCGGCGAGGCGGCCAAGCCGGCCCGGCGAAAACGCATGACCAAGAAGGCACTGGCCGCCATGGCAGAGGTGCTCATCCCTTTTTTTGGCTTCAGTATTCTGTGATTTGCTTCACCATGTTCCCCGGCTGATCTGGCAGGCATCATAGATGGCACAGATGTGACAACTGTCTAGACCAGTCTAGTACATTTCGGTCACCGGTGGCCGTTTTTGAACCTGAAAGCTGGCCATTGGGGCTGATCTGGAAGAATTATTTATGGATTAATGCAGTAGACAATTTGTGTCAGTTGAAATAAATTCTTGTTTGGCAGCCAGTGGCCGTGGTCAATGGCGTGCTCCATGCTTCAGCTGGCTTCCCAGCTTGACAGCTTGCCAAATCCTGCCATCTTGATAATATCTGGCCATCATTGCAACCGTCATCCACTTACAATAAACGCATGGGGGTTCTGGCATCACTTGTCTGAGAATTTGGATTTGTGACATGCAGGACTCCGGCAGGGACAAGCGTGGGAAGACCAAGGAGGAGAGCAACGGGGATGCGGTGGAGGTAGACCTGACTCAGGACCCGGACGATGACAGGGGCCCCGAAATCCTGACCATCTCTGATGACGAGGATGATGATGACGCGGCGGCAAATGGATCGGTGAGTTGGATTTTTGGTCAACTTTCACTTTTTTCCGCTTCCTTTTCATGTAGGGGCCAGCGCCAGAACTGCAGTGCTGCCTGCCTCTTGGGTGTTTGGGTGGGGTGTTCTGTGAAACAGGCACTTTGTCGAGAGCTGACTGCATCAAAAGCAGCCTCAGCACTGTCACGTCTCCGGTAGTTTCTTTGGGTGATCGTGAGTAAGCTGGCAAGCTCGCGCTAGTGGCATGAGGTGTTGTCAGCAAAGTATCCAAGTCCTAGGGATAACGGATGGAGAGAAGGAGCATTTGCCTGTGCTTGCTGTATAGTTATGACATTACGTGGGAAGAGTTTTGCGACGCGCAAAACATCTGCTTGTGAGGTTGGGACTTTGAGAAAAGTGATATGATGACACATGGACTGCATGCAGGCTCAGCAGGTGCGCGCAGCTGAGGCAGCAGGGCCCGGGCCGGCCTCGAGTTTGAACGGCAAATTCACGCCGCAGGAGCTGCGGCAGAGGGAGCAGTGGCGCATGCGGCGCAAGGCCGGCCTGGCCCGTAAGGAGCAGGCAAGAACCCTCTTTACGGTTTCCCTTTTCATTTCATCCACCACTAGCATCTCATCTCCTTGTGCATCATGTCGACAACAGGTTGTTGACAGAGAAACACAAGGCACCCCTGGCGAATGAGGGTTATAACTTTCCATGCAAGTTTTCATCTCTTCCCTCACAGCGGGGGACACTTGAGAGCTCAAACTTTGCTATGCATAATTACTTTGTGGAGCCACAGACGCTTTGGCGGGGAAGAGAAGAGGCAGTGCAGCGGACTTGCAAAATCCCTTTGTCATACAGGCACTCATGATTCTTTTTCCAGAGGCAGGCTTAGGTGCAGAGATCTATCCTGGTCTTTGATCTGCCAAACATTTGATCTGCCAAACACCTGTCGCAGGACCCCTGTTGATTTGAGCACTGCATATACTCAGCATCGTAGTGTGGTGATGCGCAGGTGCACCGAGCGATCCAGGGCCTGGATCTCCCCAACAACCCGCTGGACCAGCTGATAGACATGCTGGGGGGCCCGGCGGCAGTGGCCGAGATGACCGGGCGCAAGGGCCGCCTGGTTAGGCGCAAGACCGGGGAAGCCGGTGTCAAGTGGGAAGCGCGCAACGCGAGCGGGGTGGCCGCCGGGTCCAGCCTGGAGATGATCAATATCCACGAGCGCAAGATGTTTCTGGATGGGGAAAAGCTCGTTGCTGTGATTTCGGAGGCCGCCTCTGCTGGGATTTCCCTGCACGCCGACAGGTCTGGCTGCTGCCGGTCCCCATGCTTCTGTGGTAACAAGCACAAATCATAGCGTGCAATTGGGGCTTCTGCTATTGTGCATGCCTCCCATGCTTCATCTGTGTTTATCGCACAAATGTCTGCTGCTTTTCTGTTCTCCTTCGATGAATGTATCCCAGATACCAGGCTCCAACACACCCAATTGCGTCGCCTGCCTCTTATCTGAGAGACGGTCAGAGGAGTAGAAGATACGATCAGCTTGCCAATAGTCCCTGCAGGTTGAAAGCGGGCGATTGTACTGCCGTCTATTCAATTGAAGGTCAATCATGCATTGCACCTGGGATACATTGTTAAGCCTGTACATGTGCACAGGCGGATGATAAACCAGCGGCAGAGGGTGCACCTGACGCACGAGCTGCCCTGGAGCGCGGACAAAGCGATCCAGCAGTTCGGCCGCACGCACCGAGCCAACCAGACGCACGGGCCGCAGTACCGCCTCGTGTTCACTCCCCTGGGGGGCGAGAAGCGATTCGCGTCAGCAGTTGCGCGGCGGCTGCAGTCGCTCGGGGCCCTCACCCAAGGGGATCGGCGTGCCGGGACGGCCGGGCCATCCCTGAGCGAGTTCAACTTCGAAAGCCAGTGGGGCCAGAAGGCGCTCAAACACATGTACAAGGCCATCTGCGAGGTGGGCGCCCTTGCTGCCTCGTGCAAGATCTGGCTCTTGGGAGCTGAGCTGATGTTTGCATGCCCGTGAAGGATCATCCGAGCGCCATCCATAGCGCAGTCCCCAACTTCTTGTCCAGACTGCCGTGCTCAAAGAGTAGCAACTTGTTCGATTATCAATAAGTAGTACTGGGCTTGGATTAGAAAGTCAGAAGATTGGTCTACTTTTCCACCCAAGTTCCCAACTGCCATCCACGTTTCCAGATGCCATGTCCTTACTTCACTCTCTCGCTTTGCGCAAAATGCTTACAAATGCTTAGGGAGCACTAAGGGTTTTATGCATTTTGTGCAGGATGAGGTGCCGATGGTGCTGCCGCCGGCGTGCCAGCCGCGCCCGGGTGGCAGCTACATGTCGCCAGCTGTGTTCTACGGCCAGGCGCGCGCGCACCTGCTCTCCGTCGGCATCATCCGCCCGGCCGCTGACGTCACCGCCATAGACGTCAATGCCTTCTTATCCGCGCCCCACGGCGCGCCCCCCACTGCCGGCAAGGTCGCCGAGGTGGACAAGGGCGACGTCCCTCGTTTCCTCAACAGGTTGGAAAAATAAAACACAACAGGCCTTGTCACAGGCGCAGTCACAGACGCTGTTGTTGTTGTGTTTTTAAAGTGTTTAATTGGGAATTTGGGCACCTAAGATCAAACAAAAAAACGCCCGATACTTCAGAATCTATACCTAGCTGTGGATATACACTATATATTGCGATGCTGCACACCCCATCCGGAAACTTGTGTCTGCAAAACTGCCCAGATTCTAGTGTTCTCTGTCAATCATGCACTGAGAGCACATATTGCCTGGGCTGTACTGCAAACCGCCATGTCCGCAGGGGAGCATGCCGGGGTTTGCCAGGAACCATGGCCACCACCAGACATGATAATCAGTACGATTGGTCATGATTTTAGCCGGTGACTAAGAAGGGCATGTGCGCGCAGGCTGCTGGGCCTGGAGCCGGAGGTGCAGGAGTGTATCTTTGACTTCTACCAGGCCATCCTGGAGGCGACCATCGCGCAGGCGCGCCGCGAGGGGCGCTTTGACGAGGGAATTGTGGACGTGTCAGGCACGGCCATCACTCTCGCCCAACAGCCCCAGGTGCGCCCATTTAAGCGCATGATCTGTCATTGATGAGGGTATATTAATAAATCTGTGCCAAAAGCTTTACTGCCACATCTATCCGCCCCCTCTCGAGGCTAGAGAAGGACGCATTATTGTGCCTTGATTGCATGCTGCGGCAGAAAGCATGTGATTCTCCTTGAGAGTGCCAGAACATTCCCATATGAGAACCAGCATGTAGGTGAGACTTAGCACTTGCCTTCTGCTTCTGCACGTCGTTTTGTTATAGCTTGTGTCTCTTGCGGTGCCGGGAGACCCATCGGAATTTTGAGAGTGAGGGAAAAGTAAGATCCTGATAGGGGATGCTGTGTGCGATTACAGGTGATCCGGCGGGACGAGGTTTCAGGCGCGGCCACTCTGCTGTACAAGGTGCTGGTGGACCGGGGGGTCTCATGGTCCCACGCGTGCGCCATGCTCACTGATACCATCGCCGCCGCCAAGGCCGCCTCCGAGCGCAAGCAGGCAAGCGATTGTTTTTTTCCTACACCACTGCCGGGCTGCTGAAAAGGAAGATCTCGCTATCAGAAAACAGCGCAAGGAATACATCTGTGAAGGCTTGCTCATGCACCTGATCGCCTGGTCATCGTCACTGCATGCCCAAACTTTCACTTTGTAGCACTGCTTACATGCTCAAGAGGCTCTTTGTTTGTGGATTCTATGAAGACTCTATCAAGTTGACAGACTGAAAATGTGCTTCTTCAAGCCCTCTTTATTTGCATGCAGGCGGCTGAAGCAGCAGAGGCAGCAGAAGCAGCGTTAAACGGAAAGGAGGAGCCCGGCGCAGAGGGGTCGGCTGCAGACTCAGAGGAGAAGGTGCCAAACGGCGGGCAGGCTGCCAATTCAGGCGTTAAGGCAGACGCTGACCTGGCGGCGGCGGCAGGCAATGAGAGCGACTCGGACGTGGTGTGCATGGATGAGGGGGAGGGTGACACTGCGCACAGCGGCTATAGCGGTTTCTACCGCACCAGCCGAGAGACCGGCCGCGCCAATGTGCTGCTAGCGCTGCAGGTGCCTTGTCTGTCTCATTCATCAAACTTGAAGGAACGACTTGTTCTTGGTCTTAGTAGGCAGTTTGGGGTGCATCACTGACCTCCTGTAAAGCCATATTTGTCACCAGTGTCTGGCAAGGAGTTGTGCCGCGCTTCTGACCTCGTCAGCTGACGTAGATTTATCGCTCTCCATTGCTGCAGCCTTGGGAATGGCAAGGATTTCCTTGTGGCTGGGGTCGTTTTACGGGAGTTACACTATCGAGGACGGTTCTTCCGATGTGTGACAGGTGGCGGCGACCAATCCGCCGCGATTCAGGCTGACGCGACCGGTGACGGGCAGGGGCGGCAAAACCATCGACCTCAACGAGCTGCGCAACAAGTGCGCCACAGTCTATAGGCTCTAATACTGATCCTACCAACCAGGAATACTCCATGACCTGGGGAGTGCAGAGTGCAGAGGAAAAGAGGTTTCTGCATGCCTGTATTCTTGCCTTCTCTGGTTGTCTCACTTAATAATAAGAGTACTCTCATGCAAGACTCGTCGTCAGTACTGTGGTCATCACAGGTTAGCACCGTGACTTGACGCCACACACGTTGGCAATGCACCCTCGCACTCCAACACTGCCATGCCCCTGCCAGCCCGCACATGCCGGCAGGTGCTGAAGCGTGTGCGGACATGCGCAGGTACGATCGAGTGGACCGCGCGCGTGCCGGCCGGGTCTGGGCCGAGGCGTACGAGGCGTCGGCGCAGAAGCGCACCGGGGCGGGGGCGCGCGTGCGAGTTCTGTACCTTGTCAGCGGCCTCGTGCTGCCGGTGTGGCAGGAGGTCAAGCGCGTGCTGGCCGCGCAGCCGCGGCCGGCCGAGCGGCGGCTGAGCGTCATCCGCCTGGAGACCACCGGTGCGCGCATGCCTGTCATTCACGATGAGCTTTGGTATTAAGTATAGTATATTAGTATTTAGTATTTAGTAATTTTTTAGTTTTCAGTATTTTAGTATTTTAGTATTAGTATTTTAGTATTAGTATTTAGTGTTTTGGTATTAGTATTAGTATTTTAGTATTTAGTATTAGTATTTAGTATTTTAGTATTAGTATTTTAGTATTTAGTATTTAGATATGCAGGGGGTGCTATATCGCATAGTATTGTGCTCTATTTATTGTGGGTGCCCAAGCCCAGCGTCGTCCGCCCGGGACCACCAGTGCGCGCATGCCTAGCCACGCATGTGACATTTGTCGGCAAAGGTGTCATGCTGTGAGGTTGTAGTAAGGCAGTGTAATGCCGGGTTTTCTGCGGCAGACTGGCAACTATTGCTAGCCTTGTCTCTAAGGTCACGTTGTTCAGGCCAGCAGATGAACCATTCGGCACGTTGTTTGGAAGGCATAAAAAGCAGGGGTATAAAGGATGTGCGCATCTTCATGCGGGAAGGATTGGTGGCTTGAAAGGCCACCGCTGCTTGCCTGAGATGCTCAACGGAGCGCCAGCACTGAGCAGGTGTTTAGGACTTTTCCATGTCTGAAAGTGTGATATTTGATTGCAGGCGAGGACAGGAAGCGGCTGGTGGGGATGCTGATACCCGAGAAGGCTGTGCCAGAGCTGTTGGCCGAGCTGCAGACACCCCCGGAGGATTCCCCAGAGCCGCAGCAGGACACGTTCATAGACCCTGGCACTGGGAAGAGCTCAGGTGCCAGGAAGGGGCTGGTTTCTGAGATACTGGCTGGCATAAGGAGGGTGTAAACAGGTTGCATGGTCTGCGTTGACGCAGCAATACGGCGAGAGATGCATTGCTGCAGCCGTGGCTGTGAAATTCGCCATTCCGATATGACATACAGCCACTGTGACAGCAACAGCCAAGCTTGTATTCTTGTAGTAGCGCTGATATAGAATCATAAGTGAGCCCGAGCTGGGACAAGCTTATCTAGAGAGAGCCAGGGCCGATCATTCTTGAGAGGCGCCGGCGCAGCTATTGAATCTGTGTGTTTTCTTAGTTGTTGTTTTCTGGTTGGGCGCACCCTTGTGCAGCTACTTTTAGGTTATATCTCCGTTCTATTCATGTTCACAGGAGTCCTGTGACCTGTTCAGCACGACTGTGAATGAGGACTTGCCCCATGGGCCTTTGCAGCAGCCCTGCACAATTGTGTGCTGCAATTGCAGACTGCAGAAGGCAGAAGTCAATAAAATGAATTAGGAGGACCCCTTTTAGGAGTGGCCTTGTGAGACTATATCAGTACTTGTGAGACATGCGTCTTGCAGCAGCCCAGTGGAAGCTCGTGTCAGTTTTCCACCTCGGGGTGGCACAATATTCAAATATGGACCGATGCTTCGGCTGTTCGCTTTTTGGTGGGTGACTGTCACGTGCAGGGAAGTTTCTGGCCAAGGACTCTGATCTGTGTTTCTGCATGTCTCGGTTCACGAATTGGTTCCGCTCTGCTTCTCAGAATAAAAGTGCAATGTTAGACGAGAGCTGGCTATAGCAAAAAAAGATACGCACTCAGTCCGAATGCACATTAGCAACTTCCAAGGTTACGATGATAAAGAGTATCCTTCATGTGGTGGGCGAAACGACCCTCTTCCTGGCAGAAGAGCTCTAAAAATACCCGTATCCGCTCAAGTCTGCGAGATGAACAACAAGCCACGCTGTCAATGCCGGTTTGACTTCTGGACCATATAGGGCAGATGCCGCAAGACGATGAGCACCGAAGATTTCGACGCAGAGGCAGAATTGTCAAGGCTGCTCGAAAATTTTGCAGAAAGTTACAATCCAGATGCTGATTATGCAGACTCGATCAGCGGAGAAGATTCCGAACTACAGCACAAGGACTTTACAAAAGTGGCAGACCAGAATGCCTTGGACTTCAACACGGGAGCGCTGCAGCATATTGGAGAAGCACTCGAGAGCATAAAGCCATGTTTCTCAGCGCTTATCTCAGATTCAGCAGGGAACAACAACGATGGAGCAGATGTGAGACCCGACAACTAAACTAGCTGCCTTGCCCATGTGCTCCCTCACTGAAACGATGATGCTTTGAGACATTTCGCATGAGAGCTTGCAGCCTGCAGCTGGAAGTTCTGATGTTTAGAAATCACTGGTTCAGTGCGCGCAGGAGTCAGAAGTTGCACGCTCTATCAGAGCACTCGCAGTATGTGGCATAGAGGGAGACAGTGCAGCAAGCACCTCGGAGCTTGCCAACACACATCCAGCTTCCCAAGGGAATGCAGACTCCAGCGATAAGGAGAGCATCCTAGACCCTCAACAGAGAGAATTTGAGCATATCGCAACACCCCCAGCAGCGCCCAGATGCCACACCCAGAACCCGCGCTCTCCCCACACACCACCCAAGCCAGACACTAGCCGTCCCGTTGACAGCAGAAGGCAGCGCCAAACAGCCTCCCACCGTCAGCCAACCAGAAGCCTGCGCCGACATGCTTCACAGCACCACAGGCCTCCTTGCCTCACCCAACCTTCTCCTGGTCAGCTCAGCAGCAGCAGCAGAAACTCCATGGACTCCCAGCCAGGTCTCATGCGACCAGCTGACCCAACAGCAGAAGCAGCAGCAGCAGGTGCAGCAGGAGCAGCAGAGATAACAGCAGGGCTGCATGGGAGTCAGCAGGAAGGCGATGACCTGGCAGAACGGGTGGCGGCCTCCAGGGCGCTGTGCGCTGAGCTGGACCGCCAGCGTGCACAGCATGCCAGCTGGGAGGCCGCCCACCTGGCAGAGCGCCAGAAAATGCAGGCAGAGGTGCAGCGGGCGGTACTCCAATTTGCCAGGGAGCACGTAGCTGCAGGTGTGGTCATGGAGTGGTAACCACCTGCATGGACATCTCTGCTAATAATCTGCCATGAACAGAGCCTCCTTCCACCACGACAACACATGATGCAGGCTCTGGGGTCTTAAGCAGGGGGCATCTTTGTTCAGTGGCGTTGAGAGCTGGCCTCAGATGTGCCTGCGTGCTGTCTGCAGGCCGCATTGCCAGGGCATGGAGGAAATACAAAGCCAGTCATCCTCAGAAGCAGATGCTCCTGAGCAGGAGGAGTCAGCTGACACAGAGACGTGCATCGACACAATTGCCCAATAAGGGGCAGAAAGTGGGCCCACTTGCACCCCTGCACCCCAGGGCTGTCAAGGCGAATTCAGATGCCAGGCTGGCGCCCGGTCAGCACAGCGCTCTGCTGTCCACTGCTCGTCTCAAGCGGCGTTCCTTGCCAGCAGCCATGCAGACAAATGTGGATGTCGTCTGGGGGACAGTGTCTCGGGAGGCAGACAGCAAAAATGGCCTGGGTACTGCCCTGTTGGCGAGCAGGAGTGTCCTCGCGCAGCGGCAGGCTGCTGCTGAGAGGCAGCTGCACAGGGCGCTGAAGAGTGAGTCTCACCAGTATTTAGTGGGTCCAGAATGCCCAGGAATATCAACAAAATGCTGCTTACTGTGGTTTTGCAAGTCTTGTACAAGAATGTGATGTGACAATTAGCGTATCAAATATGCGAGCTGGTAGAGAGGATAGGATGACAAAGGGCTACCTGCATGCACACTTTCACTTGACGAATGCCAGATGACTAGCACAACGAATTCGTTTACTCTCATCTTCTTTCTTAGCATGCTGCAAACGATCGCAGGTATGCCGGTAGCTCAAGTGCGAGGTGCCATTGCACACGCAGCTTCTCAGGGCTGCGCAGCTGCCATGCTGCGGGAAGTCAAGGCGGCATGCTGCGCACGCGACGAGGAAGCTACCAGAAAACTCATGGAAGCTGCCGCAGCTGACCCTTTCAGCAGTGCGTCATTTCAGACAGCCTTCAATTGGGCTACGAGCCTAGGACTCGGTAAGCCACTTCAGATATTGTACCCTCGAAGAATAAAACATGCAGACTGATAAATGGACAAGAACGCTCCATGGCATGCCAAGTGGCCAAAACTTTCGGCTCAACTGTGTAATGCACCAGAAGGCGAACACTGATGAAGATTTTTATGATGATTAGAGTACTTTCAATGGTGACATGTTGTGAATCTTGACAGCTGGTGTGTGTACACAGACGCAGCATGCGCAGCGGCAATGGCTCTCATATCGCCGCGGAGAACAGCAGTGTCTGTGCGGCTGGCAAGAGAGGCACTGACCAGCCCAGCAGCCCAGCTGTCAGGTGAGCCTCGACAATCAAAAATAAATAGAGAATGTAGGCACTGTAGCACGTCTGCATGCAAGCCAAGCTCCAGTAGTCCAATTGTTATACTTCAGAAAGATGGCGGCTTGGCTTCTCCGTGGACTACTGGCAGAAGTGTTGCACATGTGTAGGGCACAAACATTCGTTTATTTGTCCACCTCAAACCTGGATTTGATGTGCCTTGACACTGTCAAGTTGACAGCGCTGACATTACTGTTGCAGGGCTGTTTGAGGAAGCGGAGCAGCTGGAGTTGGCTCAGGAGCTGCAGGCAGCTAAACAGAAGCTGCAGCAGAGGCAGCATGCAGCTGTAGCGGCTCTGCAGGCGGCTGCCATGCGAACGGACGCTGCCGCCTTTGCATCTGCCTTGTCAACAGCTTGGCTGGTACTCCGCACTTTCTTCCTTCCTTGGAGAACTTTATCTTTTCACCTTCCTTGGTGAATGGGAGAAACGTCTGCTCAACACCTGCTGCATGCTATGCTGTGCCATGGTGTTGCATAGCACAAGATATCCCCCTGTCAGGACTCACAATGGTTTATGCATTATTGTGACTGGCATGCATGCGTCTGCAGTGCAGACTCTGCACGCACAGAATACCGCCATATGTGCTTTACTACTTACTTTCAGGTGAGTGCACATGAAGATGAGGTCAGGGCGGCGGCTAGGCTGCTGGAGAGCCGCCTGCAGGAGGCGCCTGACCAGGGCACTGGTGGCTGGCACGCCCAGGATCGCCCTAGGACATCTGCTCGCACTTCAGAAGAGGGGCATCACTCATCAGGTGGGATAGCGATGCAAGCCAGCACCCATCTGGCCTGATCGGTTGTGCAAACCCCCAGCTGTAACGTCTACCCGGGAAGAGTTGCCGTACAGACCTTACTGTCATATATGACCCCTATGCTGCAGTGCTACATGATCTGCCAGAGAGCATTGGGGCCATCTTGACTAACCACGCCCTTCTGAATAAGATCATCAGATCTAAGCTCTGGACTATCCTGATTCTAAATAGCTGAACAAGTTTATCCATGTCTGTGCAGAGAGTGGGAGGGTGCTCACGAGCGGTCAGCTGGCAGGCATACTCCAGGGCAGTAGCTGTGGGGAGGTGACGCAGTTGAATCTTGGCCTGGAGCATCTGAGGAGCTTTGGCAGTGCCCTCAGCTGTTTGGCCAGCCTGGTGGAACTGTATGCACAGTCCAACTGCCTCACCAGCATCTCAGGCAAGCCCTCCAAGACCTTACCCTTTTTGTCCAGTTTTCTGATGTTCAGACCCTTCCCGATCAGAGTTGGAATTAGATCTGGACGGCATAAGCCTGCAACCGTTCACAGTTGATCCTTCAGCAGAAAACCTGTGCTGTGCAGGACTGGAGAGCTGCTTGAGCTTGCAAGTGCTGAATCTCAGCAACAATGCACTGACCAGCATCAAGGGTGTGAACAGGCTGACACTGCTCAGGTGCGCGCTGTGCACCCACATTTCAAGACCATTGTTCTGTCCGAGGCTGTGCAAACTACCAGTGTGACAAGGACACCACATTCAGTACTGTGAGGTCAAAACCTTCTGTCTGCTTGTAGGGAGGTAGATCTTAGTGTGAACAGCATCAGTAGCCTGGGAGGACTGCAGTGCTGCTCTGCACTGGAGAAACTCAATTTGGATGACAACAAGCTCATAAGTGTGGAAGGCGCCCTGCCAAGTGCAGCCCTTTCCTGGCTGTCACTGGCCAATAATTCACTGACAAGCATTGCAGGTGAATCCTGCTTCCACCACCTTTTTGAACATAAGCTGAACAACTGGCAGATTTTGCTGTTTTCCCTGCCTTCTGGAAAATTTGTTCTTTGTTCACTTTCATGGCCTTTATTGATCGCCATGAAAGAGAATGTGCCATGAAATAGGGCAAGGAAAGGAGAGGATGGATACTGATCAACGTAGGATTATGTGGTGTACAGGCATCTCTGCCTGCAGCATGCTGGACTATCTGTCCGTCCAAGGAAACCAGATAGCATCACTGTCAGGGCTGCAAACCTGCACCAGGCTGTGCCACCTGGACGCCGGTCTGAACCAGTTGACGGCGTTCCCAACCACCAGCCTCCCGCTGGATTCCCTGAGGCACCTTGTCCTAAACGGCAACAGGTCAGACCTATTCCATTTTTAGGCCCTCTTTTCCTGCCAGAGGCAAGGTCTGCACACAAGCTTCATATGATAAATCCCATTGATCCCATGTGCATGTGCACTCGATCGCTGGAACATCACACAAGCCTTCTCGTTGAGCAGCATGTATTGACAGTCAACTGTGTGAACTACCACCGTAGCGCAGTCGGTTCTTCTAATTTGGCGCTCATGTCTTGCATTCTGCCTTCTCCTGAATAAAGGATGCTTTGTGCAGGCTGACAAGCTTACCGCCGATGCCATGCATGCCGAGCTTGGAGGCTCTTTATCTGCAAGAAAATGAGATCAGCAGCGTGGGGCCCATGCATGGCCTGCCAGCACTGCGGCTGATCAACCTGTCATTCAACCAGCTTAGTAATTTGACCGTCCTAAACGCCTTCCTGCCACTCCCATCTCTGGCAGAGCTATACCTGAACGGCAACCCTGTAGAGACAGATGCCAGGCAGGCCCTTCCACCAGCCTACAACGCTCAGTCTTACATTCCCTTTTGCTTGTCAACTGACAAGAAGAGAAATTTCAGAATTTTTTGCAGCCAATGTGAATCGCAAGGGCTGGTGAAAGTCACAGGCAGATATTCAGTTAGTGTGTGTGTTTGTTGCCATCGTAGTTCTCTCATACTCACCCCGAAACTGACGATGCATGTTGTTCTATGTCAGATTTGAAGAAGAAATGACAGCTTGCAACTTGTGCTGGCAGGTATTTGGAGCAGCGAAGCAAGCTGCTCCCTCAGCTGGAGAAGGAGCACAGCCATGCGAAGGTGCCACACGAGGAATTGGAGGAAAGATTAATAAGTCACCTGGCAGCATCCTCTGTCACTCCGCTTGCTCTGCTACGCTGGCAGCTCACTGCCAGAGGGTCCCCTTTCCAATTGGGTGAGTTGGCAAGCCTTACTGCCATCATGCACTTCACAGAATGTGGGCTGTGCACACCTATTGCCTGTGCACGATCAGTTGGAGTTCAAAAGCAGCTGCTGATACTCTTGTTTTTTGGTGCTGATGCTTCTGTACCTGGTTTTGCTAGGTCATGCAGGCATGAGGAGGGCAGGAAGTGCTCTCAGTAACCACCCACTCTCAGTCAATTCGTCAGGGGCGTCAACGCAAGCAGAGCCGCGTGCACCTGAACGCGTCAATGCAGCATCCTTGGCGGTCATGCATCACAACAATCTGGCGCGCAGGCACTGGGCACTCTCACAGGTGAAGTATACCTTCATACTCGTAGAAAGATCCCATTGTCCGCAGGCTCCTTGCATTGTTCATTTCTGGTTTTTGCACTTCCGAGCTCCTCTTTACAACTCCCCTGCCATGTGTGGAAGTCATGGGTCACAAGGTGCCGGCATGGAATGAACAGCGCTGATAACACTGGGGGCACTCTTTCATACATCCCGGACACAGCCAGAAAGCAACCCATGCTCGGATCTGAAGTTGCCAGGCCTGGATATGCTGCCCTGAAAAAGAGGGCATCAGCAGGGACAGCAATACTTTCAAACATCTATTTCAAATCTGATATTTCAATTCTTGGCCCCGGCTGGCAGGGGCCGGTTTTAACTAATGAGCACCGTGCCCACGGTTGATTGGGTCTTGCTTGTCTCTGGTGAGTCCAACAAGGGGCAGGATTGTGGCAGCCTTCAACTGCACCTTGTCTGGACGTACATAGCCTTTTGGCAGTAAAAGCATGATTTTACCATTTCATTTCCAATTTCCATTTCCATTAAAAGCAGGATTTTTCCATTCCATTTCCATTTCCATTTCCATTTCCATTTCCATTTCCATTTCCATTCCCATTTCCATTTCCATTTCCATTTCCATTTCCATTTCCATTTATATTTCCATTCCATTTATATTTCCATTCCATTGCCATCCATTCCATTACCATTTCCATTTTATTTCCACTTCCATTTCCATTTCCATTTCCATTCCCATTTCCATTTCCATTTCCATTTCCATTTCCATTTCCATTTCCATTTCCATTTCCATTTCCATTTCCATTTCCATTTATATTTCCATTCCATTGCCATCCATTCCATTACCATTTCCATTTTATTTCCAATTCCATTTCCATTCATTTCCATTTCCATTTCCATTCCATTTCCATTTCCACTTCCATTTCCATTTCTATTTCCATTGCCATTTCCATTCCCATTTCCATTTCCTTTCCATTTCCACTTCCATTTCCATTTAACTACTGAGCACCGTGCCCACGGTTGATTGGGTCTTGCTTGTCTCTGGTGAGTCCAACAAGGGTCAGGATTGTGGCAGCCTTCAACTGCACCTTGTCTGGACGTACATAGCCTTTTGGCAGTAAAAGCATGATTTTACCATCTCATTTCCAATTCCCATTTCCATTAAAAGCAGGATTTTTCCATTCCATTTCCATTTACATTTCCATTTCCATTTCCATTTCCATTTCCATTTCCATTTCCATTTCCATTTTATTTCCACTTCCATTTTTATCTCTCTTTCCATTTCCATTTCCATCCATTTCCATTTCCATTTCCATTCCATTTCCATTTCCATTTCCTTCCATTTCCATTTCCATTCAACAAGCAGTTACATAACCGTTTAACAGACATTCGTACTTTGTATACTAAACCCTGCAGCCGTTCTGGGTCTTTCACGCCCCTCAGTCTTGCCACGTTGGAACAATAAACAATGAAATCTCGTGGAAGCACCGTCATATAATATTAATATGTAACAGTCTAATTCAAAGTCTGGTCTGTAGAGGATGGCGGGCAGGGTGCGGCGGCTGCTAGAGCGGGGAGAGGCGCTGCGGCAACGGTCCGCAATCACAATACAGGCGGCCTGGCGGGCTCACAGCACAAGGCGAGCCGCTCATCATGCTCAGCGCGAGCATGCAGCAGCCCGGCAGCGGTCAGCGGTCGAGGAGCGTGCTGCCCTGATCATCCAGGTGGAGCCTCCGCCTATTATTGTGCAGACCAAGTAAAGCATATAGAGTCTTGAACTGAGAAATACCTGCTGCCTATTCTCGCTCGAAGACCTGGCACTCTCATTCCTGGCTTGCTGTGACAGCCCTGCAATACCCACACTGTTTGTCTCAATGGATGATGCTGTGAGGCATCATTGGATTCCCTCCTTCGTCCTGTCAGCAAATGGGAGCCGGCTGGCGTTGATCCATAAAGGAGAGCACATCATTGTTTGCAGATATCGCTTGAAGGCGAAACGGGTTCATGGGTCTGAGGGATTTATATTGTGGTGCAGGCAGCGGTGCGCGGCTGGTGGGTGCGAAGCATGCTGCGCCGCACGAAGCTGAGCTCGCAGCTTGACCAAAGCGCAGCGCTGGATGAGTCACCTGCAGACAGCTGCACCAGTGATGATGATGAGGCTGAGCTGCTTGCCCTGGCGAGGTTTGCTGAGTCTGCAGCAGCTGCAATGCCTGCCGCAGCATGGGACTCTGCTTTGGGCCCGGTATCTTTGGGCGTGGCAGAACCTGGGGCCTCGATTGAGCTTGCGATTACCGGATTGCATGCGCATGCGCATGAGGAGCAATGCATTGCCAGTCCAGGAAGCTCAGAGGGTGGATGTCAGATTGTGGATCCAGTTCTTGAGAGCCATCATGTGAGCTGCACAGATGAGGGCTCGTCAGCGAGATATAGCAGAGCGACGTTATTCAGGGAGAGTGTCATGGCAGACACAGGGGCGATGCGGCAGAGCGTGACAGGCAAAGAGAAGGCTGACAGTAGGGTCCTTTCCTATGAGGAGATCATTGTCTGCTGGCCATCGGACGATGACAGCATGTTTGGCGACTCTGACGCAGACGTCACAAAGGCCGCCAGCTCATCAGTGACTCACATTAATAAGGAGGGCGGCAGCAGGCAGGGTGTGAATGTGCCAGGACTCGGCAGCAACATTCCGGCAGGATCACCAGAAGAGTCAGAGCATGCTGCATCAACGGTCGCATGTGCAGCAGAGAGCAAGTCTGCGCAAAGCGAGAGTGCACCAGGGGAAATTTGCCTATCAGGAGATGCCTCCCCTGGGCAGAGAAGCTCACTGCATGAGGTTGTATATGCAGAGCCGCTGTCTGACAAAGAGCTGCGCCGAAGAGTGGGTTACAGATCTTCCTACCCAGAAATATCACTTACTTCAACAGTGAATGACCCCGACATGCCCTGTGCAGAGGTGAACATAGGGCAGCTGTATGATGAATGATCCCCAGTAGAGAGGAAGATGCAGTCATATGCATGCATGCAATGATGCGGCAAGTGTCCTGAAGGGTGTATCTGGCTGCTGTGGAGCAGGTTGCCGTTGCTGGGGTCATGGAGGAGTGGAACTTCAAGGACTGGGCCACAGCGGAGGCTTTCTACAGGGCACAGCAGCACCAGACACGATCCAGGAGAGACCGCCAAAGGAACCACTCTCTAAAGGTAATGATCTTCTGTTGGATATGTTTGCTTTGCACAGTCGTTTTTGCACGAGATAGGAGTGTTGGAGAAGCTCGCCGCTGACTGTGTCGTGCATGTGTGAACAAAATGTTCCTCGTGTGACAGGACCCAAACGTGCGGCTGGCAAAGATCAAGTCCAAGGTAGAGGATCTAGCCCAGGCAGCGCCAAGCATGCATGCAGGAGCGCAGAGGTCTAGCATGCGTCTGCAAAGTACCACCAGCAGAAGGCGCTCCTCTGCTCTGTTTAGGGCGTAGCATCGCCGCATCGAATAAAAAATACCCTAGTGTTTGACATTCTGCCTGTTCCCTGGCATCTGATGGCCCTGACGGGTGAAACTGCAGTGGATTTAGACTTGGATTCTCGCACTTCACCCTATTGGCCAGTAATTCTTACATTTTTACATCGGCACAAAACTTCAGCAGCATGTTGCCAGCTTAGAACCCAAACAGCATGCAGCCAGGCTCCAAAAACTACCTCCCCTTTGTTGCTGCCCCCTCCAGCTATTCATCTATTCATCCCCTCAGAGCTTCATCACTGCTCAGGCTGCCATGGCTCCAACGTCGGCCAGCTTCGCCTGCAGCTCGCCAGATTTCTTCATCCTGACTGTGTCATCGCCGCCTCCAATGAACTTGCCCCCAATGAATACACGCGGCACTGAGCGGCCCCCAGTCAGCTGCTGTAAATAGTCCTGGATCTCGTCGCCGTCTGAGCGCTGGTCCAACTGCGCAGACACAACAAGACGATCAAAGTCTTGGAGCAGACGTGATGAGCTGGAAGCCAGGCAGTAGCTGCAGCAGAATATCTGTCCTTTTTATGTCCTCCCAACTCATTTTGGTCCACAAATTGAAGAATAGGGAATCTAAGTCCAGAAGGGCATCTCTCGGAGCTTCTGAGAACACTGACGCAACCGTAATAATTGCTCCTATCCTACACTCCTAAGTGTTTGACCTACTGGAAGTTAGGCAAGGCAGGCTGCTGCTGACAAATAGAATTCGAGATATGGCACAGAATTTTGGTTCGAACAGCGATGAAGCTGGAAAGGGCGTAGAAGTGTAGCATAAAATGCCATCTTCACTGTATTGTCATCGTACCTCTTCTACATCCACGGCATCTTTGGGCAGAAGAGAGAAAAGCGCATCCTTCGCCTTCTTGCAGTAGGGGCAGTATGACTTCGACCTGTGCAATCGTGGATTTCAGACCAGAACCACAAACTTTGGGATCCTAACACGTGATGTACAAAAGCGTCCATCTTTACTGCATTTAATGGTGCATTTGATTTATACATATCCATAAGTAATCTCAAAAATGTATGATGGCAGCAGATCATTTCAAAATAGTTGCTCGTTCCCAAAATACATCGTGCACAAAGCTTTTGGATGGATCCTTGTGACTCACCACACGACGACCTTGCCGTTCTTGATCTTGCTGTCGACGAATTCCTTGGTAGACATCTTTCCTTCGCTTTGTCCTTCCTCTGCTGCGTCTAGTCTAGAGCCGTATGTTGAGGGATGCGGATCTGGAGGCGTGTTCACCGGGTGATTTGGTTCTTTTCCTTTGGTCTTTGTCTCTGCCTTTTCTTTCGCTTTTGAGCACAATCCTCCCATGTGTGTAGAAATTCTCTGTAGAGTAATGCAATGGGTGTTACGTTTCCTTATGTCAGAGTAGAAGCTGATGCTTCACGTCATTCGCCAAACGCACGTGAGACATTCCCAGCCGAACGAGCTTCCCCACAGCTCCTCTGCATTAGGGGCAGAACCCACCCCTCAACCTCATCTGCTTTCCTGGATACTGCAATTCCAAGCTAAAAAAACATATCTTGCGATGCAAAAGCATGCTTGCATCATTCATGTGCTTACAGTAAAATTTTAAGCATTTCAAAGTTGTTGAGACATGCATGGCTGTCACACGGCTATACGGTACAGCCACAGCAATGTCAAGCTGACAATGTCAACCAACTGCTAGCCATCATGCAGGCAATAAATGCAGGCAATCATAGTCCATGGCATGGGCTCCATGCATGAAAATCTCAGCTGTGGGACACCACGCACATATCATTGATGCAATTGTGAGGCACCATGCACAACACCATGTGACTGATGTCAACACAATTCAGAGCCATCACCTCGGTCTTCTCAGATCTCTTCAAACGGCAGTTATTGTCTGCAGGATGCATTTCTGTGCAGGCAACTCGCACCACAAGATCCCAGCCCTCAGCGCCTCTCATCTCTCCCTTGCAGGTGCTTCCTGCGGCCCTCTGGTGTACACCCTTCTCTAATTTACAGTGTTGTTACATCAAGGCACCCTCGAGGCGCACGTGCATTCCATCCCTTGCTAGTCTTGAGCGAGCTGGTTGTCGCCTCTTTTCATGCCTCATCTCATGCGTTGAACGGCCAACAGACACTGCTGGTGAGACTGTGTCCTCTGCTTGAAGCAGCTGTGTCAGCACAGGCAGATCACTGCACCGCAGCGCAGCAGATGGTATATGGATGGATCGCGATGTGCGCAGTGCTACGCCGGCTGTTGCTGCTGCTGCTGATGATCTGGCGCTCAGGTGGTCACTCCTGGTCCGGGCGTGGGCATGCGCGTGTCCCTGGCAGCCAGCAGCGCAGGCAGCGTGCCAGTCTGCAGCAGGGCGATGGTCTCCTGCGGCACGCCATAAAGAAGGCCTTTCAAACATTTGAATCTGACAGCTGACAGCTGTGGCAGGGCAGAGTCATCAGGAAGCATTTGCTGTCAGGCCAGCAGTTGGCACAGCATGCTGAAGGATTTGCATCACTAGCAAATGATGGCAGCATCGTCACTTGTCTGGTTGACATCTGATGCAAGCAAGGAGTCACTGAGAGACACCCCGCTGTCCATCGGCATGCTGTGGGAGCATGGCATGCATGACGGCCAGAATGCCCATTCCCTGTCTCACAGTTGACATTGGAAATAGCAAAAAGCGGTCCCTGAGCCAAGTGCTGTCCAAATCATCATGCAGTGGGGGCATATGCTTCTGCATGCATGCTTCTCAGAATCGAGCAGGACTTAAATTGCAGGGGAATGCTAGGAGTGCAAAAACAAAGCAGTGGAGCACCTCAGAGCCGCCGATGAACTCGCCGTCGACGAAGACATAGGGCACGGTGGGCTTGCCGGTGAGCAGAGTCAGGTAGGCCTGGATTGCATCACCGTCCGGGCGCAGGTCAATCTGCACCCAGCCACACAGATCAGGCATCAGCTATCATTCTTTTGGATTGTCTACCCTGCTCAAAGTCAGCAATCAGACACCTGGAAGCACTTGCAGGCTAAAACTGGGCCGACCTTGGTGTACTTGCAGCTCTCTGTGAGTTTCTAGTGTGTACTAATGTCTGCCTGCTCAGTCCTGCCACTTGCCAAAAGGCAGCAACGCCTGTGCATGCCTCTGCAGTCTGCAACTGACCATGGGTGCAAGGAGGAGGAGGACTGCAACGTTGGCCTTGTGAAGGGATTGCTTTGTATGTGACATGAGGCACAAAATTAGCTACTGCATCTCTGGTCCAAGGAAACAGGGGAGGCGGTCACTTACGTCCTCGGTGTGGACCTTGCTCCGAGGCAGGACGGCGAACAGCGCTTCCTTGGTCAACTTCGTGTAGGGGCAGTAGCTCTTGCCCCTGCGCATCGTCAAATCTGGCCATGTCGCGTGCCTAATGGCAGTGAGTGTGTCACGAACAGAGCAGACACCTCGACCTTGCAATCTGCTCAACCCAGATCACCAGAAATTTCAAAAGCATATTATATGGAGTAGCGTACCACACCGCCACCGGATACTCAAGGATGATGCGGTCGACAATCGCTTTGACGGAGGATGCCATTGGGTCGTCTTCTTCTGTTGCTTTCTCAAACGGATCCTCCTGTGGGAAGTCAAAGGGTACGTTTGGATCTGCTTGCGCGGATATTCGGCTGTCAAAACTTTTCGGGATGGGGCAGAGTGGATCCTCAACTTTCCAGAGGACGGGATGTCGACGCTGACTCTGCACCCGCCTGCACTGAGGGAAACAGCAGCTCTGTCTCGGAGCGGTACTGGCAACACAGGGAAACTCCAAAACAACCATGAGCAGGCAGAAAGCTAGATAAACTGCTCGAAAAATTTTCACTCAAGGTTTAGAAGCTGCAGAAGCCTTGTCTTGCCAAAACTGGAAGACACCAAAGTCATCCCTGAATACACCCATCCCCCAACACAACCTATTTTCTGGTCTCCTTCATTGTGGGAAAATGTATCACATACCATTTTGTGCCATCCTAGGAAGATGGATGGCAATGGCAAAGCCTATTGATAACAAACACCCGCATGGAGTGGCATGAAGCTCAATATATAATAGTCAGAAGAGCTCTTCTGACTATTATATTTGCAAGGCTCGAGCCTTGCAAATCTTGCAGAAGGCAAGCATGTGATGCGATGCCCTGCTTAAGTGCATCAACATTCAGTATATCAACATTGAAACAGACCCTGTCAAACCTCTGTCATGTGTTCAGCAAATTCCCAACATTAATACAAGTGGGAGCGCCCGCGGGCGGCCACGAGGTCATACGCGAGCTGGGGGGCAGAACCAGTCGCAGGCCCGTAAAACCAATCGCCAGGGAGATATTTAGAGATAATCTAGGGCCAAAAACGGGGCAATCCCCCTGGAAAGGCCTCTAAACTGCGCCTCGCGTTCCGTTCAACTGCCGTGGCCGCCTGGCGAGCAGCCACATGGCATAGGGAAGGGGCAAAAGATAGAGAAAATCCGTACCAGGTTGACCGATCGTAAAGGACATTCGCCTTATGGCGAATGACCAAAAACCAACCCGGGAAAGGGGGCCCTTTCTTGATGTTCATTGGGTTCCTTTCGGTGTCATCAGCAATTTATAGCGCCATAGACAATTTAATTGGATCTTCTACAGCGCCCCACAAACGGCCAGTGCCCTTCAGCTTGCACTCCTGATGCTGATGTTGATCCTACGATCTTGCATGTGCTGCGCAAAGGGCCTGAACCCCTCCTCAGCATCTCTGTTCCCCCTTGCACAGGGCCACCCGTCGCCCTTGAAAACTCGAGGAATGCCGTGATAGCACTGCCGCGATCGGCCCTCCATCACAATCGCATCGCCTCCCCTTATGCGCATTGCCACCGGCTCTCCATCCCTTGTCTCCCCTGTGCAGGATACATGATGGCGGTCAGAAAGTTTGATGTCACTCTCACTGACACCAAGCATCATTGGGTCGTCTTCCATGCGCGTGATACCCAAAGGTAGCGTGACGGCTGCAGCATTTCACGCTGCATTCAATCTGCTGCTCCCACATTCTGATTGTCCAGGGCATCCTTATGGAAGGGGCACAATTGGGAGATGTTCTGCCACAGACAGGCAGGCTCCAGGGATTCCCAATACACTTGAATGGAGTGGGCCATGTCTTGCAATTGAGGGCAAGCTGGGCACTGCAGAGCACGCACCTCCCAGCAGGAAGATGGCGTCGCAGCCGAGGCTGAGAGCGACAATCGGTGCATGCATATTCCTTTCTGCATCATCCTTGTGACCGCCGAGCGTGTCACCCTCTCTGTAGTAATTTACCAGCGCCACCTCAGGCTCCCAGGCCCCCTGGCTTTGGCCTTCCAGCCCATCGACTCCACTCTTCACTTCTGCTGCTGGCACCTTACAGTCTTGTCTCCCATCCCCAGCAAGAGCGACACTTCCTTTGCTGTCATTATCTCTCCCATCCCCACACCCATTTCCGTGCCCTGTACTGGCAGCGCCCCCCATGCCGTCTTGTGAGGCTGCCTCTTTGCCGTCCGCATGATGACTGACAGGGGATGCGTCATCTGCATGATGACTAACAGGGCACATGTCGAGGCGGGCGATGGCTGAGGCGATGGAGACGGCCAGAGTGCGCAGATCGGGAGGGAGCGGCCGGTATGGGGCGTGCGCATCGTAGCGCCGCGCGGTCCAATCAAATTGCGGCCCCAGCGTGGCCCAGCGCAGCTTCCGCAGCAGCTGCGCCGCCGGGGGGCCCGGTCCCCCCGCCAGCCACCCCCGCAATCCCCCCGGGTCCCCTCCCTCCGGCCGCGGTCCGGCCCCTGCCGAGCACCAGCATGCGCGCATGCATGCATCGGTGCTGCCCTCAGTCTGACAGCTCGTCCTGCCATGCTTCATGTCGCCACTGCCGAACTGCTGCCCAGCTGCATTGCTGCTGATGCTGCATATAGTGCTGGGCGATCCATTCTTTTCCATTGGCGAATGGCTGCCGAGACCGAGGTCTGCTGTTTGGTCATCAGGAATTCTGCTATCTGGTGCAGCAGCGGACTGTGCAGTCTGTGAGGGGCTGCTGAGCGATAGCCCAGACTGTGCAGCTGCCCACAGTCCCTTCAGCTGGCCGTACGCCCTGCCGCACACCAAATGGACTCGTCAGAAAAGACAGGGTCAAAAAAGAAATTGATCTCACGAGCTGAACAACAAGCATTCGGCGTCACTTCTATTGGCCTATGGTTTGATCTGTAGGAGGAGCGGCAACGGATTCTTTGAAGGCAGAGAGAGAATAACATACCTGGTGTGGTTGGTGTTGCTGGGAGCCTCTGGATACTCCTGTAGCGCTGCTGTAATCAGCCGCTGCTGGACTTCGGGGCTGATAGCTCCAGGTATCAGAAAAAACCCTGCACAACTATGCGCTGATCAACCAAGCAGACTTCATGCATGGTCCCTGCGCCTTCTGTCTGATGGGAGCGTAGAGCAGCTTCCAGGCAAGGCCAAATGCAATGCTAGGCAATGCACCTGGATGACTGGCAAGGCCCATGATCTCTTTGCTCAGAACCTGGCTGTGAGCTCCCAAAACAGATCTGCCATGCCATGTGGAGCAATCCAGGAAGTCCAGCACCCCAGACAGATCTGTTGCTACTTGTCTGAGCTTGCCTCCACGCAGCTTGCCTTTCCTGATCACGCACAGACACAGCACTGATGCAGATTACTGCTATCTGAGAGATTGCAGTAGACTTTTGCGATCCAGAGACCATAAGCAAGGTCTTGGGTACTCAAGGTGGAGCCGAAGATGGAGCCCAGCAGTGATGTATTGCAGCTCAGGCCCGTACCTTCTGCGCATCTCCTGGTACCAGTGCAGCTGATGCTTCTTTTCTGCCGTTCTGAAGGCGCTCTGGGCCTCTGCATCTTCTGCTGGAGGCAAGTACTGCCCCATACTAGACGTCCAGGTCTCTCAGGGCAGCCTCTATGCTGCAGCCAATGTTTAGCATATTTGTGTATTGCAAGAGTCCAATTAATAAATCGAAGTAATTGCAGTGTGGTAATAAGGCTTGTCGAAGGACTGGGCAATCCAGTATAAGGGACGTGTAAACGAGTGCTTGCAATTGCAAAGTAGGAAATCAAAGAAAAAAAGAAAGCTTCGACTATGTACTGTACAACAGTGTGATCCTTGGTCTTGGCAGAGATCAATTGAGAGGATGCAAACCATAGCTGAGCGACTTAAAACCCTTTGCGCCACCTCAGCAGGCAATGAATCAGAAGCTTCCAATACGACGGAAGCGGGCTTGAATCTCGGACGACACTCTCTGTGAGACAGCTATACATCGTGCAAACATCCAAGATATCTACTGAGATCAAGTACAGTGAGATTAACTGGTGAGACCCGCCGACAGTTTGTGACAGAAAGGATGGCGACGGTTTCTTTCGGTGATGTGAGGATGCCCAAGTGGGAACCTGCTCGGGCCGACTCGGCAATGTCCTTGGTACGTCGATTCTACAAGACAATTTCTTATAGCATATGCTGCTACCATTTCGAGTATCATGTTTCCGGGTCGGCTTAACCTTGTGGAAGACCTGCTTTGTATACAGATCGAAAAGCAGATTGCAAAGGTGCCGGCAAAGCACGTTGATCACTGAAAACCAGCTAAGCTCCTTTGAAGAGTTACAATTCATAATCTTCGTTGTGCTGTGCTTGCAGGCTGCGTTTGTGGGGCTGCCAGTGCTGGCAGGCTTTGCTGTGTCGTTCCTGGGCCAGAAGGAAATCATCACATGGTAAGAGGAGGCTTTGATCCATGACTTCCTAAATTGTTGCGAGCCTCAGTTCAGCTTTTTCCATCCCAGGATTGTCTCTGCCGTTGTACTTCTCTTACCATGTGTTTTTGTAGGTACCCAAAACTTCGGAAGCCCAGCTGGCAGCCACCTGCTTGGCTCTTTGGTACATCATCTTTTGCCTCAACTGACCTCCAACTTGAAAAAAACCTGCACTTATTTGCTCTACGCTTATTCCTGCCATGAGCATCACATGTGAGTGACAAGCAGCTGCTTCTGAGCGGGCCCCTCACCATCTCTCACCCTGTATGCGAGGCATCAATCGACGAGTGCCCAATTCTGATGCACAGGCCCAGTGTGGACCACGCTGTACATCCTGATGGGCACAGCCGCATGGCTGGTGTGGACGCACGGCGGCTTTGAGATGCAGAAGCTGCCCCTGACACTCTATGGCATTCAGCTGCTGCTCAACCTGGCATGGAACCCCCTCTTCTTCCTCTTCCACAACCTCGACCTCGCCTTCTGGGATGCCCTGGGTGAGTCTCAATGCTTCGATTCCAGTTGCCAAGTGGCTTTAACCCAAAGTGTGCAGAATTGATGAGGTCTGCTTGGATCTGGCGAGTCAAGGAAGGGGTGGGTCATGTGGCAGCCTCTTTACCTGTAGCTTGCCTGCAGGACGCACCTTGCCTCATTCGGCAGGATCTGTAATCTTAATATTGAGTTATGGTTTTCTCAAAGAGCGGCTGCGGCAGTGCATCGATGTACTGAGTATCCAGGAGAGTACAAGCATGTGTGTTTGAAACCTGCCTCACCCAATATCGAGACAATAACAAGGAGCTCGAGAGAGTGGAGTGTGGTGTGACAGGTCTGGTGGGTACGCTGGGCCTGACAATCTGGTCCTTCCACAAGGTGGAGCCACTGGCCGCCATGCTGCTGCTGCCGTACCTGGCCTGGGCGGTCTTTGCTGCCTTCCTCACATCCACCCTCATCAACCTCAACCCTCAGGTTTGCCCATGACATCATTTTTATTATGCACGCTCTTGCCCAAGATGAAGAGCTGCAACAAGCCTGTTTTTGAATGTCAGCGCTGCACTGTGTGGTTTGATTATGAGGATAATCCATTCTTCTGCTAGATCTGGCAAGTCCAACAAGAGGCAGGAAGGACCCTTTGTTTGCAGCTTGTCTGCTGTTGCGCCGTGCCTTTTAGCAGGAAAAGCTTTTCCAAAAGTGGTCTTCATTCTGGGCTTATGTGCAGAGAGTTGTTGGACTGGCCTGATTGAGATGTGTGACAATAGCCACTCAATAGTAGTGTGTCTAAGTTCAGAATCATCATTGGGTTGTGCAGGAGTCCATGGCTGGCAGGGCTGTGGAGAAGGAAATTGACATGCGTCCGTTGGGCGGCATCGGAGCGGTCAAGCAGGAGCGCGACATGCGTCCGTTGGGCGGCATCGGAGCGGTCAAGCAGGAGCGCGTGGTGGTCAAGAAGGAGGAGTGATGTGCTGACCCTGGTTAGCAGCAGCATGTTTTAGTTGTGATTTGTGTGACCTCAAGTCCTTGCTGAGTCCTGGCCTGTGCGTTAGCCAGTAAGCAGTGCCCATTCAACATGTCCTCACCAAGACATGGGTAGCATGACCTTTAGAGTGTACAAAGGGGTAAAAATGCTGATGTTTTTGAGGTCATTGTGACCAGATCTGCTCTGCCAGATTTCAGTGAGTGCTGTGTAAAGCATATGCATGGCTGTACATGCGCACGATTTTGACCCTCGAAACATTCAAGAGTGTAATTTGCGCTGACCTCCTGTACATGTAAGGCCAACAGATGAATGAGATCGAGGAGTCAAATGCCTTCATTGTCTTGCAATGTCTCTCTTAACTTGATATCAAGAAATAGAACCACGTGATCTCACGTGCTAACAAGCAAGGTCTCACCTGTTTTCATGACTTCCACATTGATCTGACAGCAGGACTGCTGTAAATCTAATAAAGACCACTGGCTCCCCAGATTGTTTGCCTTGCATTGTTTCGTATTGAGAGGGATCCTTCTGAAGCGCTCAGAGCCCTCATTCTCTTTAATCTCTTGTACTGCATTTAATGAGCGCATTCAGGCCCGTTTGTTTGTTTACATGATGGATAAATGGCCCTTCGAGATACGGGTGGGAAGTACAGGATTTTTCTGTCCCGGCATCTACTGTGGCATCGGCATTGCGTATGGCCGTGAAGTGTCAATGGCTGGGGTACCGGGTGATCTCTCGGATCCATGTTGTCACATCAAAATGTCAAATGTAATTGATTTGAGTATCTCTTACATCGATATGATTCATTCTAGTAGACCCTCATTCTGCGATGCCAGCACTGCAACTGTCTTTCTCAGGGGTCCATGTTGCGATGCGCAGGGTTGGGGCAGCTTCTGAACAGCGTGTCTATGAGCCTCTCTGGCTTTGACAACATGATCGGGGGTGTGGGCACACAGGTAAACACCCTCAAAGACGCTCGATGTCTTGGCCACTCCATCCCTACAAAAAGACTTTCTCACCCCTATATTTGCCTGTAGCGATGCAATTTGAGAGTTGGGTCCCTGAGCTGGTGCTGGTTTTGTGAAAGAGCTGGCAAAAAGGGAGACTCGAGCGCTCTTCTGTCGCTGTCTGCTGCCTATACTCTGTGATGACTCAATTTGCTGGCTAAGTTGCATGCTCTCTGCAGGTGCGGCGCAGGGTGCGCAGCAGCAGCATGAAGGGGGTGGATGCAGGCCTCATGTGCGGCTTTGGGGTGGGCTATGGCTTTGGGGCAGGGCTGGTGCTCAAACCCAGCGCCCTGCAAGCGCTGCAGAGAGCTGTCCAGGACCTCAATGGTGCACACTTCGCATCTTGCCTGTCTTTGAGTGGACTGACTTGATAGCACCGCCTGTCATGATCAATCAAAATCAAGGGATCCTCTGCGTCTTGCGGGGTGACATATCTGGAAATCAATGGCACCACGCTGTCCCTTTGCATGTGATGTTGGTCGGATGATCAGACAGTTGTGGGTGTGCAGGACGAGTGATGGCAGCAGCAAAGTCCAGAGTGCCCCCGCAGCTGACTCAACTCATGAAGCAGCCCGGGTCAGATACGTTCCCGTTGGCACAGCAACAGCGGCTGGGGACAGCGGCTCAGGCTGTTACTAGCCCTTCTGTGCGCTTGGGCGACTTCTCTGTGGGCGATCAAAATACTGTCAGCTTGCTTGCAGTTGGATCGAGACACTCAACGCAAAGTAGACATCAGGTGACAGCCATCTCCATAATATTCAAAACACGGTGCTCCGAGTCTCTTTCAGAAGGGCACGTCACTGCTGCAATGAACAGGGTGATTTTAAGCAGTGATCAGGCCGCCTGGTGAGGCTCTTAAATCTTGGGGAGGTCTGCGTTGCAGTACCTGACAAATTTACTGCAGGTTTCTTTTAGAAAGACTGGGAGATTGCTGCGCTCACTTGTGGCCTGCCTGGATCATTCAGAAGGGGAGAGTGGGCGGAAACCACTCGCACTTTCCTGACAGCAGTCAAAGCGCCAACAGCAAGCTAGGATCAGCAGAGGCGAGCAGCGGACAGGAGTTGCATGTCAGGATGGAGCAGCCAGATCTGCAGGAGTTCACAGGAGCGCTGATGCAGCTCACAGCAGGTCTCAATGACTGTGCATGCAGCTTGAGGGAGGCCACAATAGAACTGAAGCAGGCCTGTGCAGAGCTGAGAAAACATGGCAACGGTGCCTAGCTAGGTTGACATTTGTGCTGCATGTTTTCTTGCTGAGAATCAAGCCTATGCTTGTGGGGATCCGACTCTGTACCCCATGAAATCGAGACGAATGTGACAATGGCTACAACCTCAACTATAATGTTCCACTGATGTTTGAGCCCATGATGCCAACTTGGCAGGCCTTGTCATTGTGACTTTATCTGCAGGTCAGATTCTTTTCCTATCACAGTATTGATGCGCCTGTCTTTTGCAAGGGCCACATATAGAGGAATCCAACCGTGTAAAATTGGAAGCTGCCTGCAAGATCAGATTGATCAAGTGATCTGGTTCAAGAAGCCATTGGAAGACCTGAACTCCACTCTTAGCTTCTCCTCTGTGGTGCAGCGGTGAAATGTATATTGGTGAAAGTGACGGTCAAGATTCAACCTTTATTACAAGTTATGTTTGTATCTAATTTGTGCTGGCTGTTTCGATACCAAGAGCTCATGTGCACAAATGAATTACAACAATTGGCAACCTTGCCAGCACAGCTTCAAGATTTATTCGCGCAAAACCCCTCCCATCATGCTTATCAATGCAACAGGCAGATGTTTATAGTCCATCCCTTTATGTGCCACGTGGCTACCTTCCTCCAATCTTTCATGCTTTGCAGACACAACTCCTCCGGTTCAACACTGCCTATGTGCTCCCAATTATTCTGGGGCAATCAAGTCTGGCCGCAGCTGCAAAGTGCTCTTGACAGCTTCGAGAGGCTGTGAACAACATACACAGCTTCCGGCTTGGCTGCCACAAGCGTGACCCACGTATGTTCCTCCATTGTTTTCAGAGGGACCCTGCCAACATGGATCCTGCCTGTGCGCACAGGCACCCCAGCGGGCACTTGCTGCTAATCACTCAAACCAATAAGCTAATCATGAGAGGTCCATGAACCCCTACAGTGCCCTCTTAATCTAATGCATCGATAGCGCTCCCCAGGCGGTGCTGCCAGCTTCTGCTGGTGCAACCCATAACCGGCATCATGACAGCTGCTGTGCACGGGCTGCAACGCTCAAGAATAACATCGACGTCTGCTCCCTCCCTCCTGACTGAAGCGCCAAATATGGCTGCACATCGGCTTGATCCGGCCGCGCCTAATTTGGCTCAGCGCCAGATCTGCACCCGCGCCAAAAGTAGACGTACGCCAGATTTGGCCGAACATCAAAATTGGCACCGCGCCGGATCAGGAGGTGTCCGATAGTTTGGCGGCTCCGATGCGCGATGCGCCGGTGGCTGCCTTGTCGGGCGGCGGCTGCTGCAGAGCGGCCGCCGCGTCACGACCCCCTGTCGTCCCCTCCTCCAACGCCATGAATCCCCTCATGATGATCTGCGCACAGCAAGGGATGACGTCATTCCCGGGAAGCAGCGACTTCAAATCAGGAAATCTGGATACAATATACCTTTCACTCGGTGCAATGGGAGATACGGTAATATTCAGCAGACCTGTGGGTATCAGCCACGCACGATGTGCTGTGCAGGCATAACCAGAGTCTTTCAAGCTGTAGCAGTTGAATTGCGCACACCTGTGGCTCATAGAGGCGCACAAAGAGCCCGTTTTTGAGAAGGTCCACGACAGTCTCCGGCTCGTTCCAGACCAGGCGATCCCGGAACCACTTGAGCAGCTCCGCGTCAGTTTTCAAGGAGGCCGCCAGGAACGCCTGCACAGACAGACATGTCATGCCCCACTCCCCGGACTGTCTTTACACAAAAAAAGATGCAGTGATGAACTGCAAGCAACATTCTGGTGTCTGCTTTCCAGATTTGCCGCTTCATTGCACTAGACGCAGCGCCCTGACTTGCTAGCACCACATGTTGCCCTCCCCTTCTGCCAAGCACGGTTTTTACTTCTCTTTCAGGTGCACATGCCCAGGGGAGGCATTACTGAGCCATGTGAAAGAAGCCCTGCAGACCCGTCTGCCTCTGCATGCAGACGCGCTTACATGTCCAGCGATAGGGTGCCCCACATTCACCGCATAGAGATATGATGCCTCAGGGCCAGATTAGTAGCCAAAGAAATAGTGGTGTTGCTAGGAGGTCTGCCGGGCGCGCACCATGCGGTCAAAGGGCAGGATGAAGCAGCGCTTGGCGTCGTCCTCTGTGGGAGCGCAGTCGCAGCGGTCGCGTCGGCTTTTCAGATCATCGAATTTGTTGTAGGTGTAGTGCAGCACCGCCACCTCATCACTTGTCTCCTCCCTGCAGCACTGCCCATTTCAATGCTGCATTGGGGGGAGCAGGGGTCACCGGTGTCTTGCTTTCCTTGACTGTACTCCAAGTAGTGCAGCCGCGCAATGGTGTGATGCTGAAATAAACCCAGAAATGGTTGTTTGAGCCACCCCCTCTGCACTCCACACAGAGTCTATGTAAAGCAGCGAAGTTCCAAGCCTGAACACGTGGTGTTGTCAGCTTCACATATGCACGGGGATTGCAAATGTTTCAAGCCTGCAGCTGCAGTCTGACGAGTTTCAGGTTCGCATGGAACTTGCCGCAAATTCAATTCTGCAGCTGCCTCTTTCTGAGCTTCTGACGCTTGTGGAGCTTTGCAAACAAGCATTCAGAGCACAGGGCACGCCTCAAGAGGCGCCCAGCAAACACTGCTGGACAGCACAGGTCTAATTTCCGAATCCCAGGAATAAGCATGTGGCAGGTGTCAAAGAGAGGGCAAGCACGCACTTGGGTGCCTTATTGTAGGAGTACCAGCGGTGGGCGCCGTTGGGGCGCAGGCCCGGCTGAACACGTGCGGCCGACTTGCCGTTGCCGTAGGTGATGAAGTAGTTGGGGTTGCCCCTCGCCACGGTGTGGTAGGCCTTGAAGTAGCTGTCGCTCACCACGTGGTGGTAGTTGCGCTTGAACAGCGTCACCTGTGCGCAGCAGGCCGGCAAATGCGTGTCAGCTGCAGTAGCTTGAGCTTGATCCCGGCGAGTGCCACAAGTCAAGACAGGACTCCACTGCAGATCCCTAATGGTCAGGCTGTTCTAGAAGGATGGAAGAGAGCCGCAGGCAGACACACGCAAGTTGCTTGTCCTCCAGCTATGGTACGGTGAAAAGGCAGGAGCTTGCATTTAAGAAAAAAACAAATTATGCTTAGTAGGTGTCAGGAGAGCATGTCGTAAGATGAAGCCGAGCCCCAAAGTAATGACACCTACAAGCCACCCATCCCACTCCATCCATCTATCCCATACGGGTCACCCTGCTTGCCTTTCACTAACTCAGCATGCCAACCACAATGATCCACTCTCACAAGGCAGCTAAGAGGGCGGCCGCCCACCTCGGTGAAGGGGTCCTGAACGTCATCCCGCTCCGGCAGCGATTCATAGTTTGGGAACACAATGGTGTCCACGTCAGCAGGCACGTTGGCCAGCACGCGCTGGATGGAATACTCTGGGCCGCCCCCCGGATACACCAGCTCGTCCGTGTCGATGTGCAGGATCCACTCCACTCCGTCCTTCGCCGCCAGCTCTATGCCCGCTGCGCAGTGGAACCAAAACGTCAGAACGGAGATTACAGGAGGCGTTACTTGGGCAATCATAGAAAACAGCCCTGCACTGCTCTGCTGGTCTTGCTAAACACTTTCTTTATTTGCGGAGCGGGCGTGCAGCAATCAGATGAAGGCCCTAGCTTGCTGTCATGTACAAATGGCGCAGAATGCCCATCTGCTGGCCGGCATTCACCTGCTTGATTCCTACTTCTCAAAAGAAGATTGAGGCAGGCCTCTCCCAATGGCGTTTGTGGCGTCTGAAAGCGATAAAATGACACGGCCTGCATGAAATATGCAGGTATGGGGAAAGCAGGCGCACCCTCCATGTTTAGGGACTGCAGGACGAAGAGCTCGTGGTTGCAGGGCTTGTGGAAGAATGCGGCGAGCCAGGTCTCGTTCCAGATGCGCGAGTGCGTGTGCCGGTACTTGAGCTTGTCGTCACGCGGGATCACCGTCACCCCCGGCAGCGCCCGCAGCCGCGCCTGCACCTCCGGCCGCGCCGCCTGCGCCAGATCAGGCCATGCCGGTCAGTCATGTGCATGTCGGCGGTTAGTCACCTTCACGCCAGCGGCTGAGACGAGCGCCAAATCGCTGCTCCCAGAGCTTGTATTGGCAATAATGGTGACAGAGTCAAGCATGAATGGTTTGATAAACAAGCATCAATAACACCATTTATGCTTGCAAAAAGGAAACCATTGATTTTGCTCCAGGGATCAGGCATGGGTCACACCAACCCCGTCATGGCCCTGAGCAGACATTCAGATACAGCACAGCGCCCTGCAGCTGCCGCAGTTGCAGTAGCAAGTACGCACTGGCATTGTGATCAATGATCTGGCTTGACAAGTAGATGGTGACTTTTGGAGGATGTGAGGGGATGCGTACCTGGCCGTCCACAAACAAGTAGAAGGTCTCCACGCCGATGGACTTATGATAGTCCGTCCAGAGCTTGATCTGCTTGTAGCCCTCCGACGTCGTTGTCACAAACGCCAACTGCACAGCCACAAATGCTATCAGAATGAACATCGTGGAGCACTTACTATATACCGAGCTGCTGCCAACCAAATGACAGCTCCAAACACATAAATCATGGAGTTGAGAGTGCTTGCGACTGCCATTGCTTTGGTGGTGCTCAGACGCATGCAGTGCAAGCCTGACGATGCATTACAGTGTATAAGCACCACTGCCACAGTGCCACCATTAACATGTGAGACAGCAAGGTGCACCGACTTAGTTAGTCCGCCCAATTCAGAGGAGCACCTGAGAAGATGGGGCCAAAGAGATATGGCCTGCCCAAATCCAAATCAAGCTGCAAAACCAGGGCTGGGGAGCTCGAAACAACACCAAATTCACCGATAGATGAAGGGTAGAGACTAGAAAACCTTCAATCATGTGAAGTCCACTCTAGTTTACTAGCACCACAAGCAATAGGCCATCATCGGCCCTGTGAGAGGCGCACCCTGGGCCCCTTAGCGCTGCCAAAGGACGTGGGCCTGAACCCATTGCCTGGCCGCCAAAGGCTGGAAGTCTTCTCGGTCCTGGCCACATATGTATCCTCCTTCTTCCCGCTGCCACTCACATCCACCAAACCCCGGCTGTTCACCCCTGAGCTCCCATCCCTGCGCCACATATTGGGGTCACCAAATCAGAAACATGGAGAGTCTGCCAGCATGCTTCGTGACACCTGCTCCTGTGGTGTGTTCAGCAGCACTCAAGAGGGTCTCTCTATGCAGGGGCAAGTAACACTGACAACCGAGATCATGTGTCGCTGAGAAAGCTGAATTAGCAGCTCCATTCAACTCTTTGTCATGGCAAAGCAGAAGGGTGCGCACTTGGGCATGCTGCCGAGGACCAGGTCCTGCTTGTCCTGATTTTTGGGTCCAGACCACTGCGCGAAACATGAGCGAGAGTCATTGGCAATCTGCTCTTGATTTGGAACCAGGGCCTGAAGACAGATGATAGCAAGATGCTGCAGCCGTTGGCATAGATCCAGCAGCTCCATGCTGTGAAACTTGATTATTAATTTAGGTATGTGAAGTTGAGATCTACGCAAGGGATACAGGAGCAGCATTAGGCAAAAAATGGCACTTCTTAATATATGGCTGCAGTACGATGATGCAAAGCGTTGACGATCGTTTTCAAGATGATCAAGATAAGCATCAGGCAAATTTTCAGGGTATCAATCGTGTGAGTTCGCACCTGTAACAAAAGCGCAAAAGCTGCTAGAAGTAGAGGAAGAGCAATCAGGAACTTGACGCCCCGTGCTGACAAAAACGAGGGCCGAGGCCCCTTCATCCCAAGCGTCGCCAGTTTTACAAATGTAGCTGTAAGATTTTAGATCACAAAAATATTACTGCCTCCGCACACTGTCTGCAACGCCTGCACAGTGAGGCTGGCATCTGTAAAGGAGCTGAAGATGGCCACTCATATGGACCACCCATGCATGCTGTATCTTGGTTCTCGCTTGTACTCAGAAATTAGGCTGTTTATTTTCGATCCATCATCACTCAGGCAGGTAGAAATGAAGGAATGCATGGCGGGATGCTTCCGAGGCAGTATTATCAAAGTACTGGGGGGACCGTCATTGTTGAGCGGGGGGGTCTTCTGAACGCCGAGGGCATGTGTCGCGACAGATCTGTGTCACCACATCACTTTTCCCAGAAAATGTGGCGTGATTCATATGAGAAAACTACTCATTCACTCAAGAGGAGGTTCTGGCAGCTTCACCTGTCAACAAATCCGGCATCACTGGAACCATGCTGGAGAGCATCGCCCTTAAACCGCAATCATATTGAGATTGCAGTCCCCTGAAAATAGAGTATCAGCTTAGTGTAGACGAAAGGATTATCTTGAAAAGCATCCGTGCACCATTTGGCACTCAGTGAAAAAGCAAAGTTGACAACATCCCAATACACCTTCCGTTGCTGGCCGGTTCGATGCTTGCCAGACGGGGACAGAAACACCTCTGCCGTCAGTTGGCTGCATTTGCTCAAGGGGCGCGCTGCAAGGCTGCGGAAAGCGCTGCATCATGTAACGTCTCTCCCCTGATCCCCTCGCTTCAGGGAGCGCCTAGGCAAGCACGCACCTACTTCAACCATCCTAGGTGAGTTCATCAAGCTTTGACGCTCACAGAGCAGGGTATTGGAGCAGCCACCTAGGCAAAGCTAATCTCTTAGCCACTTAGTGTTCTGGGCTTTCAGGCGCTACAAATGCCCTCTCCTGCTCGAAACACACATCAATACGTTTGCATCATCAATACTTCACTATGATGCGGTGCTCCTGTGCCGAGCTTTCATGCCCAGGGATTCATGGATAATGCCAGTAAGATCCATGTGTGTATGTGCCCTAGTCTTACCGGGGACGTCTGATCTCAAGAATAGGACTGTGCATGCCTGCACTGGACACAGCCAGCTGAGGAGTAGGAACATTGCCTGCAAATCCACCAGCTTTCAGGGTAGCTCCATGCCTTACCGTCTGACAGGTCCAACCTAAAACTGGTCTTAACCAGGCCCCCTGCTCCTGCACAGGGGTCAGTATGTCCATTTCAAGCCACGGGGGGATCCGTCTGTTCTCTCCCGGCGGTACAAGGTGATAGCGGTGGCGGCCGGGGGGGTCGCCATATTCTACTTCACGCACCTTGAAGACGTCCCCTACACACACAGGCGGCACGCAGTCTTCGTGTCACCCGAGACTGAGAAAGTTCTCGGCCTGCAGACCTTTGAGCAGGTGTGTACTGGCTGCCTGCAACTCCTCTGATGGAAATTGTGCCTGACATGTCCTAGGCAGCGCCGTGACACTTTTAAGGACTCCTGTAGCCAAATCAATGAGCTGCGGTTCTCTTAATACGCTGATGTGGCAGAGGTCCATACTTGGCAAAAGGTGTGCTTTTGCATGCACCGCTTTGAAGTCAGTGTCCAATTGCAGAGTGAGCAGGGACTCTTGTTAGGGTGGTTGAGATGCCAAGCTCAGTGCCTGCTCACCAGTATGCGGCCATCAAGCAATTATATACAGCAACCACCCTTGAAAAGCGCGCTGACAGAAAAGAGGCAGCCTGGCATCGACTGAGTGTGCAGCCTGATCTGGCGCAGGTCAAGGCAGAGGCGAAAGCTGCTGGGAAGCTTCTGCCGCAGCATCACCCGGCGGTGCAGTCGGTGCGGCGCATCGGCGAACGCATCGCGGCAAATGCAGAACATCCCGGCGGCGGCGGCCGCACTGATCACATGAAGGTGGGCGCTCTGCCAGAGAGGGCTCCTATTTGCTGGGTATTTGAGACTTTTGGGATGCTGACAGGCGCACATTGCTTGCTTCAAATGCATGGGTCTTAAAATTTTTTTGCTTTGGCATGTCTCGCATGTCTCAGGTTGCCTGGAGTGACATGGACATCGTATAGGACATTGCTCAATCAGCTATCGCTTGTTGGCTTGCATGCCGGACTTGTCTCTCCGTGACGCCTCCTTTTTCACCCAGGCATGCTGCGCTGGGGTAGCAGAAATCTCCAAGATTGTTTTAAGCGGCCTATTGTCTGGAGTGTCTTATCTAGGAAAAATCTGAGTCCATGCTCTGTATGTCGACTGGTGCTAGGACCTGAAGTGGGAGTTTATGGTCATCGACGAGCCGGGCAACGTAAACGCATTTGTCATGCCGGGCGGGAAAGTGGTCGTGTACACTGGGCTGCTGCGATTGCTGCGGAAAGAAGATGAAATTGCAGCGGTTCTGGGCCACGAAGTCGCGCACGTGCTTGCCCGCCACATTGTGAGTGGGCTGACCTCCTCTGAACCCTCTGATGAGCCCTCCACCTCTTAAAACCACTAAGTGAATTGACTGACAAATCACACATTCTATATCATAATCTCTAGATGGTTTGGAGTTCCTCCTGGACACAAGAAATGCCTTTTGTCCAGTCTGTATCTCCACACGAAGCAAGCATGCGCATTCTCTTTACTCAGGCATATGCAGGGCCTGTACCGCACAACCGTTGTAGTAGCAGCGTGTGCAGGACCACAAGAAAGTACCTCGGGAGCGCAGTTTTCGGTGCCACCGTGACTGGCTGTCTCTGGGCGCAGGGTGAGAAGCTGTCGAGCGCTGCGCTGTACACGATGCTTCAGATTGTTCTGGCGCTGACGCTTGGCTTCAACATCCCCTCTGACCTCTTCCAGGTCGCTGTCTTCCTGCCCAACTCCAGGCATGGCTCCTCTGAACCTGTTACCCCGCTGCTGCAACACTATGGCAATCATTATTTCCTGGCCCAGTGGTGCCTCTCAGTAACCCCCTGTAAAGAACGTGGTTCTTCGGCTTGCCAGAGGACATGATGTGTAGAATTGAACACCAATGCATGCTTTGGTGCAGAAAATACTAGATTATAGTCCCGGTGCCGAGCATGTTGTAATGTCCTGTCAAGGTGCACCTACTAAGTTTGGACGCAATGCCGAGCTCATTGTCGTCTTCAGTCAAGGTGACACAGTAAGCATGGGTACAAAAGGGAGGGGTCAGGGAGGGATGATGTGCGCTGACATCAGCGGGATGATGTGTGCAGGAAGCAGGAGACGGAGGCTGATGTCATTGGCATCCACCTGTCAGCGCGCGCCTGCTTCGACCCCACCGCCGCCGTCGATGTGTTCACAAAACTGGGCGAGGCAGAAAAGAGCGCCGGCATCAGTACACCGGGCTTCCTGAGGACGCACCCTCTCTCCCAGGTGCGCAATGTTTTTCTCTTTGCATCTTAAAGATCCATATTGGATATATTCAGCACCTTGAACCTGTGGTGGGGCTGCAAATTTGGATTTTGTAAGGTTTGAGGAGTGTGTCCACTGCATGTGACAGACTGGTATTTTTTGTCTTGATCAGGACACTGTAATTACTTGACCGATCGAGAGCTGGCACATTGCTTTCGCACAGAAGTGTGGTCTGTGCTGACATAAACAATGAAAGCCTGCGTCTGTGCATGCAAGGACCGGAGTGCACCCAGCTAGCCACATCCTGGTTAACATCTTATCATGTCTCTCCGGCTGATCCTTTGTTCTTGCAACTGGATTGAGAGGTTGGGGTGTGCACAGAAACGAGTGGAGGCCATAAAGAAGAATTTGCCAAAGGCGCTGGAGGACTATGAGCTGGCCGGCTGCAATGCGCCGCGCGGTTATTTCCCCTGGTGAGGGTAATGAATTGCAGGGTTCCTTCACAAGGTACATATGGTAGGCATTTGAGGCGACAAGAGGTTTCTAACAAATGAAGCCCTCGGGTAGAGAGCTGACATGTCCTGTCTGTATCAACAGCTGTGGTGAGCTAATACAGAACGCTCCTGTGCAACTATTTGGGTCCATCAGATTTGCAGAGCAGTTTTTTGCTAGTGTATTTGTTGTGTACACATGTGTTTGTCCCCGCATGTCCTTGCCATAGCTGGATATTTGCATTGGCATTTAAATTGGGCTCCTCAGCAGCGCACTTGTCTTCCTTGACAGATTGGGTCTGCTTTTTTCCTGTCAGCCATGCATGCCTGTGCTTTCATTGAATGCAAAAAGTGGACAGCAGCACTTACGTATCAGGATCACTGGCAGGTTCTGGCAGGTTATTGAGCTTGATGACTTCAACAAATTGAACACCATATCCCACCAGAGCAAGCAAGATCGATTGAATTCCTGCGTGCAATGGATGATGACCCCTCTAAGCAGCAATTGCAAGCGCTGCATTGATGCATTGGGCAAATGATAATCGTTGAGCTGCGACACCTTAAGCTTTAACTTGCAGCCTTCCGGGCGTACAGTGTGCATGGTATCCATTTGTCATGGTATCCATTCGTCATTATTATTTATCATCACACGTTTTCCTGCCAACAGGCAAGGTGCGTCCTGCAGACAAGCTGCAGTTGAAGGCTGCCACAATCCTACCCCTTGTTGGACTCGCCAGATCCAAGCAAGAATATCCATTTGCACCCTGATTTAAAAGGACCTGCGGACGCCATGTTACAGCACCTGCCGCCGCAGCATGCAATGCAAAGCCGGCATTGCAGCATTTCAGCCCAACACTGGGTCGCATGAGGTCGCATGCAAATAGTGTTCCTCCAGAGGCTGAGCAAAGCTCAGGACGACATCCAGCATGCACATTCAAATCAAAATTGCAGTTTGATCAGTCGCGCTCGCTGATGGCACTTAGGTGATCCTCCACCTCTTCGACTCCCAGCACTCGGAAGACACCGCCCTCCGACGCACGCACCACGCCCACCTGTGCAATACACTCTTTTCGAATCTCCACCCTTTTATTATATAAATTGCACACACAGACAAGACTTCGATCTGATGTCAGGCTATTTGCAGGACCCCGCTACGCCTGCATGATGCACAAAATATAGTCGAGCATGAAGTGATCCCTTGCGAGGCTCGGTACAGTTTACCTCTTTCCTTGCAGCCAGATCAGCAGGATTCTTACAGCAACATGATGGTACTATCCCATCTTTTAAGCTGTGTCTGCAAGATACAGGCAGACACAAAAGACCACGGCCCCTTCTGCACAGGCAAGTGGGGGCAAATGCCACCTCGGTGCACCTCGATTCTCTCTTCTCGACCCTTATTTTAATGGGTTAGGGGGGTACTAGGGGGTACATCATCTCCCCCCCTAGATATGGTATCCCCTGATGGGTTCTGTGCTCAGGAGAGCTTAGGCCTTAGGCCTAAGCACACTGGAATATGCCCCCCCAAATACAAAAAGTACAAATAAACCACGAGGCACGCTCTAGATACGGTATGACCCTGGTTTTCCAGGTGAATGTGTAATATGAGCAAAACAGTAGTAGTAATGTGAGCACACCTCTATCTCGGAGGCCTTGAAGTCCTCTGCGAGCACGCTCTGCAGCGCGGCGATGGCAGTCTGCGCGGTCTCCTCGAAGCTGAATTCTGGGTTGCCCTTGAAGCGCTTCTCCAAGAAGTTGTCCGCCTCTTGGTCCTTCGCGCCCGCGCTCGTCGCCTGCACGGCAGCAGCACAGGAAGCTGCAGGAAGCTGACAATTCTTCTGGTCGTCGGTTGGTATGACCCCGGTACTGTTTTAGGACTCACATAATAGAAACAGGCGGCAGCACAGGAAGCTGCAGGAAGTTGACGAGCACTCTGGCTGCTCAGCAGCAGCACAGGAAGCTAGTGGCACCCGACAAGTTGTATGGTCACCGCGGGGTGTGCTTTAGTACTGTTTCAGGGCTCACAGGACAGAAAGAAGCAGCAGCACGGGAGACTGCAGAAAGCCGACAATCTTTCTGGTCACTTGGAGGTGTGACTCAAATGTATTTTTAGGAAACGCAGGACGAAAAGATGGAGTTTTATTCCGCCGCTACAGGATAGTTGAGTGCGATGAAGAGCCTTAAATCACCGCATGCTGAGCAATCGCATGCTGCCAGTCAATAAACCAGCGAGAGAATGCGAGAGAATGACTGTCGCCATTCAGCATCTTCTGGCCAGGCCGGCTGGAGCCCACCTAGAGGTCCTAGGGTTTCAGCAGCCCACACTCGCTGAATATCCCAGGACTGGAAACAGGTACAAACAAGATTTGCAGCACAAAAAAAGACCGGTACCACTTATTCTCAGCGTTCCAGATGCCAAAAAGCATAGTTACAAAAGATGCCCGCTGCAAACAGCGTTGCAGGTATGGCTATACAGGTACAGGGGAGGGATTGGCGGACCTTGTAGCCGACGTAGTAGCCAGCAGGGTCGACCTTGAACAGCTGCGGCCCCGCCTCCTCATCAATGCCTGCCAGGATAAGCACCACTGCCAGCGGCCGCATGTACGCGTGCTGCAGCCACACAGTACACTTACGCATTCAGAGGGCGGTTGCTCAGAAGGGCATGAAGTTCCATGACAATACGGTCCCGTGTGCTGCCGATCAGAAAGAATAACAATCTCCCGGAAGCCCGATCTGAACACCAGCCCTCTGTCAGCGGTGCATGGAGCACTGTATCATGCCTGGCATGTGTTGCAACTGCAGACGAGCCAGTATCGCGGCTCTCCCTCACATATGAGGCTTGTGCCTGAGAGGCACACGCCTGCAGAACTGGCAATTCTGCAGGGAATAACATGCTTGCCAGTGGGACACTGCTGAGCAGAAGCCATCTTTCAGGCATGTCACTGCAGCGGCATGAGCTGCACCTGCAGGCAATTTAGGCCCACGGATATTCTTCCCCATATATTCCAGCACCCAGTGCACTCCCCATCCAGGGAGAGTAAGGCTTTCAAGTCTGAAGGGGAGAGCTGCTGCAGGGAGGAGGGAACACACCTGCGTGTAGACCTGCGCCTGGTCTGCCAACCGGGCGGCAAGGTAGTCCACGGGGATCTCGTACCCGTAGGTGTGCCGGAACTCCGCAGCTATGGACCGAGATTTCTGCACCAGGGACCGCGCGTCCGCTGCATGGGCACCACAGACATTCTCACTTTCCAGACTAGTCAGTCAAATAGGTACGCTCATGCACTGTATCCTTGCACTGTAGTCTGATGTGTGCACTTTGCCCAGCAGGCCTTGCCCATAACAGGACCTCGAAATGCCAAGACAAATGCAGGGGTGGAGTATTGTGTGGCAGGAGGAGACGAGTGTCTGCATTGCATGCTTGGAGTAACTTTGCAGAACAAGCTCCTGCAGTGCTTCAGCAGATCTCACCTCTTTGTCCAGTCGCTAGCATTCCTATGAACTTTGTGATCTGCAGGAGCCACACAGGTTTCAGCAAGGGTCTTGACCACCTTCATCAGACGTCTTAAGTCAGCACCTCGTCACAGCACACAGACATTCAGCCTTTTGGTTGACAAGCTAAAGAATTGGCATACCTTGAACATGTGCGTGACGCTGCTGGGGTCTATGAGCTTGTCCTGCGCAAAGGGCCAGCCACATCAGGAACATTGAGGACGGTACATACCTGCCATGCAAGGATGAAGAGTCCTGGAACAGAAGTTTGAAATAAGTTTAAAGTACGAAACTTACAGGGACCTTCTTCTGCGTGACAACCGCAACGCTGTCCTTTCCTCGCACAGCTATGCTGGTGATGCCTGCTGCCTTGACTGCTTTGAACGCATATTCTGCGGCACATAGACCCAGTGATCGTCAATAAGTTTCCTATCGTGCACAAACTATTCGTGGGACCAGGCACAGGCAACATGCAGAATGAGGAGCACTCATCAGCACTTTCATCTCCATCTAAAGCCAAACGAAAGACAAGCACATCTTCGCCAGAACTAGATACGACACGATGCACCTAATAAATACATAGATAGACCATAGTCCATCATAATGCAGTAACAGCATCCCAAGTGGTTGCTGGATCCTCACCAACTTGGAACAGACGACCTTCAGGACTGAAGATGGTGATGTGCCTATCGTAGCCACCTCCACTGCCTCGAGACATTGTGTCAATCTCTCAGGTCAGCGTACTGTGACTTGTATCAGGATGTTCCTTTCCTTTGAACATCGAAGGCACAAGCGGAAGGGATAGGAACGCCGTTGCACGTTGAAGTATTGGGAGCCATGCATGTTTGTGCATTTGTTTGCAACCGAGCATTTGCAGTATGTGACTTGATCATAACATTGGTACTGCGTGTTGCATGTGGCTGGTAGACGTTACAAAAGGCTTTTCTTTGCAAGTGTTAATTGATTGTTCTTTTTGAAGCAATGGTGCATATGCCAGCAAATGCGAGCTAAGATGGTCATGGTTGCACCAAGAAGAAGCTAGCTAGCTTGAGAGGTATTCACTATTGCATTTTGAAGATGATGAATAATTTACAAAGCAGATTGGTTCATTTATCAGGTGGAGCAATTATGTACGCAACCCTGCTCATGGGGCAGAAGTAGTGCCTCTGCATGCAACCATATACCCATCCCTTGAAGGAAATTTCCCCAATCATTCTGCTAAATTATTCTGCTCTGGTCAGATGTGGCACATACTGAGCGACAAAGACCACTTAACTACACAGCTGAAGATCTAGTAGGCAGCATTTCCTCCAACGCCGCCGGCGCCAGCCTTGTTGCTCTTGTGGATCTTGTTCTCGGTTGTGCCTGCACACACCACAGCACCGCTCAGTTTCGTTGCCTTGTTTGACAAACACTTATTCTCCCTTCTTGACAAAGAAAATTAGGCAGACATGTTATCGGGTCACAGGATCTTTTCAATCCACCACCCACAGGCTCTCACAATAATGCTGCTAGTGAGGGGTTTTCCTTCAACATACAAAGGCCACTAAATCCTGCCCTTGCACACATCTTCAGGGGCTATTCCCAAAAAATAGGTACAGGTCTCACCTGGGATGATCTTCTTGACCTTGTCTCCGAGAGTCTCAGCACCAGTGTCCACGGTGGACCCCTTGGTCATTCCTGCAGCACCAGTGCCAGTGTGGGTGCCATGGCCGTGGTGGCCAGCAGCGCCGATGGCCGCGCCAATGCCACCACCAGTGCCAGCCCCGGCGCCGGTGTGGTGGCCGCCAGTCGCGTAGCCAGAGTGCGCCACCTTGTTCTCAGTGGTGCCTGCAAAGATGGGAGAACAGATGGGTGAGTCTTATGTAATCTCTGCTGCAGTCCAGTCCAGCCGCAAAGGTCAGCAGCTTTGATTGGATTGTCAGTGCTCCAACAGTCAATTGGAACTCAGGTCTGTGGACATTGACTGAATCTCCCTCACAGCCTGGCCGATTCCTGGTCTTGGACACTACAGCATCCGGACAAAGTACAGATTGCAGGACACACTAGCTGCCACACTGGGCATCATGGCGAGCGTGCTGCCCTACAGGTGAGGACTGCACTTTGACAGGAGGGAGTGTGACAGGTGGCGGGCAAACTATGCTCACCTGGGATGTGCTCCTTCACCTGCTGGCCGATGCCACCAGCTCCACCGGTGTGGGCGTGTGAGGTGGGGTGGGTGGCACTGTGCTCAGCAGTGCCTGATGAAAAACAGAAAATTGCATTAGTATGCTGTGCGCAGCTGTCGTGTGTCACAAGCGCGACACACGACATCGGATGTTCGTCAGAATTTCTTGGAAACAGTGGACAAAACACATCTGTTCGAGTAAAAACTTCTTTGTGATCAAGTTTCGCTTTTGTGAAACAAGCGCTGATTTGCTGGCGAGACAGAGCTCGCCCTCGTTAATATCTACACGATCAGCCTCAACTGCAAAGCAACTTCCACAAGCTACTATCGCTGCAATGGCTTGGAAGACCGATAAAACTTTCGGGAAAATGAAACAATTGTTATGGCACAGCACTTCCGAGATTTTTGCCCACCTGGAATATGCGACTTGACGTTCGCTGCGATGCCGGATCCTGTGCCGGTACCCTGCCAACAAAGAAGCCATGATCGCGTCAAAATCAAAACTGGATCCCGTCGGATGTATCAAAACAACACGACTTTGTATACCATTCGTTTGATAAGCCCCCTTGCCATCTGCAGATAAGAATCCCTCCGCGCATCGGCACAGAAGCTGGGTGTACGACAGGCCAGAAACCGACACACTGATGGACCGGCTGACCACTACACGGCAACACTCGTATCTATGCATAGCAGCTGCACCAATGGTCGACGAGGCCGGGATGCTCGGTTCAACACATCAAGGGATGCACTAAGAAATCGAAGGTGATCAACCAGCCAGCCGTGGAAAGACCCAACCTTTGCTGGTATAATGCGTGATAAGCACCTCATGCTCACTGACCTCAACGAACCTAACACACTCCCGTCTCATCTTCATAGCACGCACCGTGTTGCCCACGCCTGTTCCGCTGTATGCCATGTTTGCTGGGAGTATGAATGTTTGTTAAAGCTCCTCTGTTTGATTGAAGGTTGTTTAGATTCGAATCGTCGTATGTATGTTTACTTGCGAATGCGAGTTTGGTTGAGGACTTGGAAAGATCAAGTATGTATGTAAGCTGTCACGAGGGGAAGTCGATTTATCGGACGGGAAGCTGCTACGCTCTGACGTGGATTCCGCCCAACTACGCCTTCCACCCAGCTGCCACAGCTTCCAGCTTCATCCCTCCGCCATAGAGCGTGTCAACCTGTCGGTCTTGGGATCTTGATCTCTTCTGACAAATCTCTCTGAAGGGTCCCTAGAGCATAGATCTTCCATGTGTAAATTTTGTTTGGCAGTGCACTGTAGTACACTGTAGACTGGTCACCACTACGGTAGACTCCGAGTCTACCGTGTCAAGCTTGAAGCTTGAACTTTTGGTGCAATCTGGATGGGCCAAAGAGTGGCATTTGGCGCTGGTCATTCTCACTGTAACCCGGCTTTGAAAGTGATTTTTTTTATGGCAAGGCCACTTACAGAATTTTCAGTGTGATCATATCATATGAGATGATGCATCCCAAATCAGCCTGAGCGTACACACTGGGAGTATGCCATAAGCACACAGTGTGCAAATGCACACTGCCCAAGCCAAGGGAATTGTGATTGCACGCGAATATAATGTTATAAGCTCACTTCAGCAGTCTCCCTGCTAGCCTAGCAGTGCTAGGTGCATAGGAAACTTTGAAAGCCAGCACTGCCAAATGCCAGCAGTAACTTTGTCCACAATGGGACTCAGTTCGGGAAACAGTGCAGGAAGCAGTCCTTCCGAAGCACTATGGCTGCCCTTGGAGCAATGAATTGCTTCAGGGCAAGGAAGATCTCACTGAGTCACGTGCAGCCGGCATTGGGCAATGGGGAAGCTCGAAGAAGCGTCTGAAGGTCATGCCTCTACTCTTAATCATTTTCAAAGGTTCAACTTGTGTAACAGACACATAGTGGCAGCCAGTTGCCGCAGAGATTCTCTCAAACTGCTGCCCTCACTGTGCCATATCCGCAGAGAAGTGCGCTGCAGACAGCCGCCCTCAGTTAAAAAGCGCCACTCCCTGCTGCCAGGTTGCCGGTACCCCTGCGCGACAAGCCACCAATTTCAAGCCGGAGAGTGTGCAAGAACAAATTTTACGTCTCATGTCAGAGGCCTTCTGCTGGTCTCAGTCTGAAATTCGGGAGTGCGATCCTTGGTACAGTCAGACCTGTCTAAGACAACCTGCTTTCAGATCAACTCCTGATTGGTAAAGCACATGTCTTGATGCGGTTGCCATCAGTGCTTTGCTTCACAATAGTCCCTAGCAAACAGGAGATCTGGATGAGACAGCACATATCTTACTGGTGCACAGAATAGAAGGAGAAAAAGCTTGCTGTTGAGAAATCAGATTTTATGGCTTGCCATATGATTTCAGGGGCTCGTACTTGCTTGTTCTTCGTTTGGCATCACGAGCGTGTAAATTGCGCCCGCTAAGAGCTGCCTATCCGACAGGAGATTCTCCAGGATTACTTCAGAGTTGCCGTTCCGCAAGTCGCCGATCAGACGCTGGGTATCCAAATCCGCCAGAACCTGGTCTGCGCGTCTGGGACCTGCTGCAGGGAGACGAAGTGTTTGGACCACGACGCCGTTGCGTTGGAGCTGAACTATTACGACGCCTGAGGCTTCCGCTGATGCCGCATCCTGCACCATCTTCTCAAGTAGAGGACGCCCCATCTGCTTCTATGCTGAAAAAGTTAATGGTGTGTGGAGGCGGTCTGTCGCTCGTCGTTCCATTTGAAAGCCAAGTTAGACCACCTACTGGGCCAGATTGAGCTTTGGCGACCTTGACAAGAATGGGCCATTGTCAAAAGAAATGAATACTTGTAAATTTCGGGGATGTCGAGTCGAGTCATGACAAGATCAGAAGTGGCTGAGAGAAGTTTTTGTGAGATTCAAGAGTCAGCAGATCACTCAATGCAGACTTTCTGTAGCTGGTAGACAAAGATGCACTTGTGCTGTCGTCACAATAACATTCTGAATGACACGCATGATCACGCGAAAGTTTGCTGTCTTTGATTGCGAGGATGCCCCAAAATGGAAGGGGCACGAGAAGGTACTCTTGTTGTTACATCTGCGTTGGTTTTTCACATTACCAATCTACACTAGAGGAAGTTGTGTGGCAGACTCAAGTCGAAGACAAAGTTATCTGCTCTGCCAGCCATCAGCATCGCCTCTTGAAAGCGTGTCTGGCCTGATGTCTGGGATGTTCTCCTTGCACAGCTGTATACAGAGACATTTGGTGGAGCGAAGGCAACCTGGGACATATTTAAGGTCAGAATCCTGGTTACGATCTGCGAAACTCTCCCATACCTGGAATCGGAACCTGGTGCAAGCAGGAAAACCTTCACCTGCACAGGACAGAGGAAAGCATCAAGGTGCCAACTGCGAGCGAAGCAGTATCTCTACGCTGCGTTTGCTCTGCGCAGTGCTGGGATGGGGAGCTGCCTGGGCTGGAGGCTGCAGAGCAGTTTGTGGGTATCTTCATCACAGGCAGCCACTTTTCAGCTTACGAGGACATGCCCTGGATTTCTGCACTGATGACCTGGCTGCATGACTTCCTGCAGCGTGAGCACAGCACCCGCATTGTCGCTGTGTGCTTTGGCAGCCAGGCGAGCCATTTTTTCATCTCTGCTCCATCGGTCACCTGACTTGACCCTGCACAGAGCGCTGAGCACGCTTCATCCCACGCTCATTTCCACATTTCATCGTCATCATAGGCTTGATATGCCGATTCATTCAAAGATGAGAGAAACGTCCTCTTTCACTCAGCACCGCCTGATGAGTGCAGCAATTGGGCAAAAGCATCTGTCATCTCATGCATGGCTCAGAACCGTCTCAGAAATCTTGTCCTATTTATTGTGCAGGTGGCTGCCAGGGCTCTGGGAGGCAGGGTGGGCAAAAATCCCTCGCAGCGCTTTGTGCTGACAGGTGAATCACTCCTATACACAGCACCCATGACAGGCTGGCCGCACGCGCATGTCCAACCATCTGACACCATCTCATATGCATCTTCCAAGGATTGCGTGGTGTTTAGTCATAATGCTCCTGTGCGTGGTGGGTGCCTGACGGCTGTGGGATGTGCTGCAGTGGAGGACTTGCAGTTGACGGAGGCGTTTGCACAGAAGGACTATTTCAGGGCAGCGTTTGAGCAGCAGACGGGGGGACAGGAGCCTCCAGCATCGCTCAAGATCATAGAGAGCCACGGCGATCAGGTTGGCGCCTCATGCTTGCTTGTGCCTTCTGACATGCATTGCTGCCTTGCTGGGAGGACAACGGGGATGGTGGGTCAGGCGAGCTGGGCTGTTTGTTGCTGGGCGCAGCGCAGTGTAGGCTCAAGTAAGCTGGTAAGTCTTAGGGGAGAGACACTATCGGCACCCACCCCACCACAAATGCAGGCCTCTCCTATCAGAGAACTGGCGATATGACTGGCACACCACAAGACAGCATGCCCACTCCCGTGGACCCTTTTCAACAATTGTCTTTTGAGAGTCTCCGCTGCCCGGACGGGCAGGTGTTGGAGCTGCCCGAAGCTGCCCAGCTGCTGGCCACGTCAGCCACCGCGCCAAATGAGGTGTGGACCGTGGGAGACCGCCTCCTCGCCATCCAGGGCCACCCCGAAATGGCTCCACAAGAAGCGCTCTCCAAAATCCACGCCACATTGGCCTCGAACGGGTGCGCCGCGCTCTTAGAATTCAAAAAACAAACGCCGCCTGTGGTAGAAATGTACCTCGTACCTGCACGATGATGTGAATGCAAGGAATGCAGCCCAAGTCAATCATCACTGAGGTAATGGCCATGTCACCTGCGTGGCTTCTGCCTCTCCACACCTGCTGTCTCGAGACCTTCGCCTGACTATCTTCAGGGACTACTAACAACTACCATCTTCAGGGGTGGTCTCTAGTACCCCCTGCTATCTTTGCCTGTCTGATGCCACGAGATCTTGACCCATGTGCCCACGTGCCTGCTGGACTGCGTCAGGTTGAGGCTGTCAGGGCATTTTTACAGTACTTGCATTCAGATTTGAATTCAAACGGCGCAGGCGGCTGTCAGAGGAGGAGGCGGCCGCCAGCAGGGCGGCTCTGGAGGGAACTCCCCCGGACTCAGCCGCCATCCAACGCATAATGGAGGCCTTTGTGGAGCAGGGCGCTGCTTCAGACACCCCCCTGCCTCCGCCAGAAGAAGGTGCTCCTCCTCCTCCACATCCTTGAGAAAACGATGCAGATACTCTGCACCCTGACAAAAACATACTAAAGTACTGTTCCTGAGGGCCTCCTGTCATGCACCAGAGTGTCCATCAAAGTATATGTTGATGCTGTCTATACACCTCTTCTTTGAGCAGCCTTGAGCACTCGAGCAGTTGCTCCTCTCTATGCTCTCCGGGAGAGAATGATGCTGGCAAAAAAAGAAAGCAAAGGTCGGTCCAAAGATTGAGTTCTGCGGTTCGACAGTCGACTCGAACCGCAGACTTACTGCTTCTCCACTGGAGGAGGAATTGGACTACGTACAACTTCCGCTCTTCCCCCTCCACCTGACAGGATCAAATTCACCCCTGCAGTTGGAACTGCTCGTATTGGTGTTTGCGGCATCTAAAATTCAGTTGCTTAATCATAATAGCTATTTCACCTTTGGCATCTTGGAAAGGTTTTGAGGAGAATCTCAAAGAATTTGTATAATGCTGAAATTGCCAGGGTTATGGTAATGCTTCATTGAAATTGGCTATTTCAGAGTTAGTAGCTAATCTTGCAAGTGTATCCTCTCATCAGGCGCTGCCTTGTTTAACACCCCCCATACATCAACCACAATCCACTTTTCCTGCTCTTGCAGTCCTGCTTTCTTCATCGTCAAAAGGACCTCACTATGTAAGATTAAAGTGCGCGCAGGAAAAAAACCCGAGGAAGGGACAACCCCGGAGACGGGCACCTCTTATGGCCTGACAGGATGGCTGCCATCAGTCACCATGCCAGCCGTGTCGCTGCCAAGTCTGGCGCTGCCTGCATGGATGCCCCGGCCCGGTTTGGCAACCTCCGCCTCCTCAGCACCACCTGGCCATGACTCATCCGCGCCGCAAGAAACTTCAGCGCAGCCCGCTGAAGCAGCAGCATTATTAGACACAGCTACCACAGCCACACAAGCAGCAGACTCTGTGCAAATCTCTGCGGATCCTGAGGGCAAATCTCAAGGTGACATATTACCCGGCAGCGGTGCGCCAACAGGAGGCCGGCCGGAAGCTGGCAAGCACCTTCCGGAAAGTTCAGCAGCTGAGGCGTCTGGATCAGGAACGCCGTTGGACGTGCGTCCAGGTCCCTCTATGCCTTTACAGGAATCAGAGGCGGCGTCTAGCTGTGCAGCCGACCGAGCTGCGGCCAGGAGAGCAAAGCTGCATGCGCAGGTGCGCTGTAATTTAGTTGTTTGAAGTTTCCCACATAAATTTCCTGTAGCTGTTCTACAGTCGTGGACTCCTGCAGAATAACTCTCTGTGTTTATTTTCATTCCTGTAGATTCATGATTCGCTGCACTCTTAGGCACAGCTGGTGGTAGACAGTCCACATTGTTGATAGCAGCTGCATCGCTTATGTACAGTGGTCTGGAATTGGACGTGTACGTCGGGACGCTTGATTGAGTATCGTTGCCTGAACAGGCTGAGCGGCTGGTGGATGACATGGCGGGCGCAGTGAGCGCTGAGCTGGACGGGGCGGTTGCAAACTACGAGCTGCTGTTTGGCGTGAACACCGTGTCTCGCGCGGAGTTCCTGCACATGCAGCAGGAGCTCGCCAACTGGCAACCCCTCATGCAGGCACGCACCTGCTCCAGCTTCGTGCTCTGAAGTCTCAACAAATGTTAATCCATCACTACAAGGGCTGTGACTTTTCGGTGCGTTGAGCGGTAGCCTGTTGTGGCTGCTCACAGCTGGATGACAAAATGTCAGGCACATTTTGGCCACCATCCGGGGTTGATCTGCCCTGTGCTAAGAAGTATTCGGATCCATAGCGTGGCCAATTAATACTTTTGAACTTGCATCGTGCAGCTCGAAAACTTGCTTGAGCTCTGTAGCGCGACACTCGCAGTTGCTCCTGCATCCTGTTCTTCTGCTTCTGCCAAGAAAACACTCCTGACAGTTGTTCAGGGAGCCAGGTCCTGAGGGAACTCTTTCGTCTTTACTACTGGGAGTCTCGGTCTGAAATCCAAGATGTGTTTGTCAGGAGATTCAGCGGAAGAGGGAGGCATGCCGGCCGCTGCTGGCAGCGTTGGAGGGGCTGGAGGCGCGCATGGAATCGGTGGAAGGGAACATCGCCACTCTGGACGCCGACACTCGCCACCTGGCACGCCAGCTGGGTGTCCCACCGGATGCCTAGTCAGCGCGTAGGGGTAATAAATGTACATCTGATGCATATTAACTTGTATTTTCATTGCCTTAATCAGCGGGTGCACATCATATGATGAGAAGGACATTAGTCTGGTGTAAGGGGTTGTGTCAGAGTAGGTGTAAGTGTATGTCAGAATGGTCCTGCACTGCTTTGTGATAAGATTTACTTGGTACATTTTCTTACTGATAGAGGAGATTAGTAGAAAATAGATTGTACATAACTGGCATGCGACCAGCACTGCATGCGGTGATACGCATGCAAAATAATTAAATTAAGTCTGCATTTGTGTCAGCATTGCACTCTTCAAGAAATCACCCTCTAGAGGTCTCCACAAAAGTACTGCATGAGCGGAAAGAGAAGTGGAATAAAGGGTCTCAGAATTATATGTGAGTGTACGCTGCGGATTTGCATGCATGCAAATCATATGAGAGCAAACGCGAGCTGTGACTAAGAGCAAAGCACTACTCTGCCGCCCATAACAGAACCTTCCTTATTGACCTATTGTACTCTGCCTTCCCCGTCAATTGACTCTTTGGCAATCCATTCTACCAGCGCATTGCATGGCGCATGCCGGCTACTGGAACACAAACGGCAACGTGATCGAAGTGTCTCCTGCAGACACACATTAGCTCAAGTCAGCTCTCTTGTCAGACAGCTCATCAGTACTGGTCCTCGGATCCAGTGTGCAGAGAAGATGGTGTCAAATTGACAAATAGTGTCTCAAGTATTATTCTTACTATTAATATTATTATCCCTACTCATACAGGGGGGTGCTTTGAATATGGTTAACAGCTTTGTAGGTGTTATGCAAGTCCCATACTTGCACAGGATCTGCAAGACCAGTGTGACTACCACTTACATATATAGAAATAGGTTACACACTTTTTCTGCCGAAAGGCAAGGTATCTCAATTATGAAGCCTGATTATACGGTGATGCCGGAACATTTAGGCTGGTCAAATCACATCAGAATGCTCGATGGCAGTCCCATGCATGCTGGGTGCTTTTCCAGTGCATGGGGAACCCTTCGGAGCCTTGAAATGTGACATGGCCACAGATGTCATGCAGTCTGTCAATCCAAACATATCTCCAACGGTGTTGGATCACCTAATATGTATTGGCATCCGCTCTTACTTCTGCGATGTTTAGATACAATCAGTATCTAATCGGCGGCACAAGAGGCCATGGCTTTCCAACTGCTCGCCAGATCAAACTGTTATATGGCCATCTAGTTTCAGCGGATCAGCGGCCCACCTTGTTGGCAGGGAGGGAACTCCGCTCGTTGGCTGATGTGGTGGTGTATTGCATCAAAAACCTGGTCCCTCACGCTCAAACCATCCGGGTCAGGGTCCGTAGGGACGTGCACTAAAGTGTCCGTCAGACACCTGCGCGCACATGCAGGCACATGCAGCTGTGATGAGTCACCAAGAGACAACATACCAGCCATTTGGAGTACTCTGATACAGTACTTCAGGGCCGGTGAGAGACAAATGGCGGCACGCCTCCAGCATTGATGTGGTTGCCAGTGCAACATCTAGAGAGGCAATGCACATTACAGTACTCATCAGAGAGTACTTATGCTGCATTTTACAGCGAAGAAGGCTCACCTAAGGTTGGAGACTTGTCCTGTCTCCCCAGACACTGTGAAGCGGATGACTATCGTGCCCAAGCACTGCGGAAGGCTGCCCAGCTCCTGTACATAATCCACATGCCTTTGTCAGCGGGCGGTCGTCAAGATTTCGCAGCTCTCACACTTTCAGTTGCCCAGGACGGACCGGCGGCTCACCTCGTAGAGCTCGCTGAGCACGCTGTCCAAAGTTTCTGTGGCTGCCTCCTCGTCCAAAGGGCCTGCACAGTCATAGAACAAATAGAGGTTCAGACTCACGCATCAAAGGCGTGCCTGGGAGTTCTTCATTGCCGCCCCTACAAGCCTAAAATTGAAAGAGCACGATTCTATGTAACATTGTACAAATGCGATCCCGAATGTCATATCTTCGGAAAGGGCTTGAGAGGAAGTTCTATCGGCTTCTTCTATATTCAGCCAGGGATGTAATATGAAGCAGCCGTGCAGCACAAGGCACACACGTCAGGGATTCTGGATGGGCTGCAGGGGAAATATGCAGGGTTGAAAAGGGTCGCGCACCATCGAAAAAGGGCGACGGCTCGGTAAACCAGCCGTGCAGGACGAGGCGCGCGCGTAGGGGGTCGCGCGTTCCCTCCACTGGCCGCACGCCGTGGGGGTAGCGCCCGTCAAACACCGTCAGCCGATTGAAATGCGGTTCCACCAATGTCACCTGCGCGCGGGCGTTGCCTCATCATTGCTACAAATTTTCAATTTTTTAATAAGTTTAATAGGTCGACAAACCCAAACACAAAGGCCATAGGGCACACATGCAGGATATCTGCAGCCACGTCTGGGGGGCCAACAAAGCCATTACAGCAGTCAAAATTGATTATAAATGTTTCATGATCCTGAGCTTCCTTGGTCTCTCTTCTGGCGGTGCCTGGCAGTATCGACCAGGTGATGAGTGGGTGAATGGTGGTTTTCATTTTCTGGCAAGCGGGTTGGAAACTTCTCCTTGAATGTTATCCTTGAATACAAACTTCTCCTTCTCTCTACCAAAGCACTACGCTGGCTGGAGATGCAGAGGGAAGACATAACGAGCATAAAGAGCACCATTGCACGTGAACACACATGTTGACGATATAGCTCACGTGACATGACAAGGAAGGTCGCACCATGTCCTTGACTTCAAAGCCCCTTGCAGGGTCGAAGGATGACCAGAAGTCGAGCATGTGCGGCTGGAAGATCATTGTCTCCCCGCCGCTGAAGCTGCGCCCCTCCCACTGCGTCAGCGATAGCACAAACGCCCATGGCCCGTGAGGGCTGTCAGCATGCAGCTCCTGCACGATTTCGAGTTCAAATTCAGATTTGAACCTTTGACTTAGTTCGGGTGCCAAATTGCAGTCATGTGGCAAGGAGCAGCAGTAAACCGGTGCCACATGACAGGTGATCTTTAAGGAGCAGTGCTAATTAGGCTGCCTGGTAACGTCGGCATATTCTGCAGACCAAGGGGTTACTAACCACAACAAGTCAATTCCCTGCTCCTTCAGGGCCACCTCCTCTACATCTCTATTTCCCAATTCATATTTCAACCCCCTGGGTTCAACCCCCCAGAGTGGTACTGAGGACACCCTGGCAGAGCAGCAGAAAGGGTGGATAAAGCGGGGCGAAGGCTGGCGGCACATGCACGCACCTGGCGGCAGCCGTGGACGTAGTAGGAGAGCCAGATTGGGGAGATGCCCCTGCACCCCAGCTGCTGCTCCCCATACTCCAGCAGAGCATCCTCCAGCTCCCTGCAAAGTCATTCAAATGAGCTTCACAGTATTTACACGGCTGCTCCAATCTTTTATGGCCAGGTGTTTTATCATATCCACGAGGGGGCCGAAGAGGTGCAATCAGGCAAGTGCCCTCATGCAAAGCAAGATGGGCCTATCACCTAACAGTGCCTAGGTGCTGGAGTGCCTGAGAGAGAATTGTTGGCTAGTGAATGTGTCAGCTAGTATGCATGGGCATGCCTGTAGGTGTCTTCAGGGAAGAAGTGGTCTGCAGGCGTGCGCAGCAGCGTGTACTGGTCAGGCACATGCCAGTAATCCCACACAAAGCGATCGCTTGTTGTCTTCAAGGGATTCTCAAACCTGCATCGAGGTCACTACAATGTGTCGTCATGAGCTTGAAGACAAGCTTACTGTGCGTCATGCATGCATGCAAATTGTTGTTAAGTGAAGGCTGTAGCTGCATGATGCATGGGAAGGCACAGCCAATATGCAATGTGATGGGTGCTGAAAGGGCTGGTCACCTGGATTCGAAGTGTTCTCTCAGAGCCGTAGCTGTCGGAAGGAAGTTGTCTGTTAGCAGAAGCTGTTGAGGTTCCTCCCCCCAAGCAAACTCTTCCTCTGCCGTGCTGCTTGACACCTGCTGCACATCTGCAATGCAAAAATTATGTTCAGCATCTGGATATCAAGGTACTCACGTCGTTTATCCTATCGAAGTGTGATGCTGACAACTTAGAGGGTCCGATGGGCACCTGCAGCTCTGCAGTGCAGGTTCCGTGTGGTTGATGACCCGCGCCAGCATCGATTATGTAGATGGATACTTGAATATCTTACATTAATTGACGATATCGTCCTGAAAACAGCGTTCATGAGGGCTACTTGAGCTCTGCGTTACCTCAGATCACCGCTACAAGTTTACATTTTTCCCTGCAAGAGCTCATACAAGGCCATTCCAGATACAATTATGTCTAAAATTGGAATGATCTGCTGTAAGAAGATGATGATGGTGCGCTTTGAGAGTTGAAATCTGTTTGGAGTGTTCTTGTTTCGGAGGGGAAATATGTTGTCGAGAACCAAGAAAGTGAAAGCCGTGCTTTCAGTCCTTGTGCCCCAGTCATATGCAACGATGGACATATAGTGAATGTGAGAATGGAGAACACAAGTAATAGACACCCTTCAGAAGCGCTCGAACAGCAGGCAGGTTCACTGACTTTCCATCTGCACTGATCTGTCGGCTATCAATCGTCATTTGCTATTCTCATCTCATTCATGTTCAGCAAAGTAATTTAAAATGCAAAGAATATGTAGTGGTATTCATTCCTGTGATGCCGTCTGCGTGAATATGTTCTGTTGTCAATAGCTCTGTTGCAGTGCAATATAAAGAGTTTGTTGCTCAGCATTGACAATGCTTGTGCAGTTGCGCCTTGTGGAAGTTGCTGCCGCGGAACTTCGATCTCTGAAGCCCAGCAGGGTGCGGGAATGCCTTGGTAAAGCAAGCTGTGTAAAGCAATGGAGACCTGCAGCCACTGTAACCCTTATATGAGGCACTGAGTGTTGATGGCATGATCGGATGAAACTTCTGGAGCGATGCAGGCTGTGTACACCAAGAAAGGAGAAATTTTCTTCAGGACAGACCGCGTTGTGGCCGATATAAGTGTGCAAGGTAAGATCCAGACCTCCCTATCACCAACGTGCGTTTGCATACAGAGCATGCCGCACAGATACTTGCACATCTGCAAGCCAGGACCATCGTCGCTGAGCATTCCCAGCTGATGCAGTTCTGCAATGTTCATCTTGCAGAGCAACTGAAGGAGCTTGAGGCAAAGGTCACGGAAAGCAGCAGGTCCTGAGCAACACTGTCTTCACAAGGGCAACAGCCGCTCGTATATAACAACTCCTGGCAGTGAAAGTAAGCTCAGGTTGGATTCCTGCATGGCAGCACAGAAGCAGGCCAGTGCAGAGCAGACTCAGGGCCAGAAGCGGAGCAGAAACAAGTTCAAGAAGGGCCCGTCAAATGTCATTGTGGAGGCCCCTGGCCATGCAGCAGAATCCCATGCGCAAGTGAAAGGGAACTCTGAGGGTGGCGCTCCCCACCTCAGTGAGAGTGTGGCAGGGGCAGCTCAGAGCCAGACCAGGACGCAGAAAGCTTCTATAGCTGGCGCTGCGGCATTGGTCAACGGGGCTGGAAGTGCGGCAGGGCCAAATGCCGGCAGGAAGCGCAGCCGCAACAAGTCCAAACAGCACTCTGAGCAGCCAACAGCTGCCACTGTAGAGGTGACAAGAACTGCAGCAACAACAACCGCTGCTCCGTCCCATGTTGCAGACGCGGCCCCGGCTGCCGCGGTTGAGAACGGCGCAAAGGCAAAGAAGCGCAGCAAGAACAAGTTCAAGCCGCAGGCCGCAGCTCAGCCGCCGGCGCAAGAGCCGGCAGGTGGCGTTACCCCCCGCGCGGCTGCGCCGCTTGACAGCAGCGGCGGTGCTTTGCAGCGGCCGAGGCCGCGTGCCGCTGTTACCGGGGAGGAGGCAGGAGACAAGGCAGCGGCGCGGCAGCACCCGGCAGGGACCAGCGGGCGCCTGCCCGGGGGTGTGCCCACCCGGGCACCCGGCTTGGGTAGCCCGGCCGGGCAGCGTAGCGGGCAGCCTGGGCAGCGCGGCGGGCACAAGCCGGAAAAGGCGGCTGCAGCTGGCAAGCTGGCAGGGCAGAAAAGGGGACCGGGGGATGCGGGCTTGCCGGAGCATGCGGCGGCTGGGGCCAAGCGGAAGAAGCGGCGGAGGAAGGCGAAGAGCGGTGCAGCAACCACAGAAGAAGGGGTTGCGTCAGTGGCTGGAAAACCGGATGCCAAAGCGCCTCGTGCACCCACTGTGCTGGCCCCGCCTCCCAAAGGTGCGCTGCTTTGCCTGTTTGTTGTCCTTTAGCCTACAACTGGTGTATTGTGGCGCCTACATTCCTACTGTCCCGCAGCATTGCAAATTTTGTCCCAACAGTCATATCTTTGGCAGCAACTCAGTCCACACGCCAGCAAGGGACTCTTCTGGCTGGTGCTGTTAAACCTCCTGACACCATTTTATAAATAGCTTCAAAATAGTATGTTGTTCAGGAGAGCTCGAATTATTTTGAGTTCTCATGTCTGCGCTGTTGTTGAGCAGGCGCGGCCGGCCAGTCCAATTGGACGGCACTGAAGGTGAAGCTCGGGGCCGGCAGCAGTCAGCGCAGAAAACCCCGGCGGCCGGCGGCGGAGGGAGGCGACGCCGCGGCGCTGGAGCGGCGGCCGGAGCGGCTGTCTGACGTGGAGGGGCTGACGCCTGTTGTGGCCGTCGACTGCGAAATGGTGGGCGTCGGCGCGGACGGCGTGCGCAGCTCGCTCGCCAGGTCAGCATCAGTCATAAATTTGTAAATTCACCGTGATCCATAACCGTACATCAATTGCAGTGAGCATGTGCTCTTGCTGACTTTCGCTGCAGAGGGCAGCGGGCACTGCCCAGGGAAGTAACACCACTGTTACTTCCCTGGCGGCATCAATGCTTGCAGCCTGCTTGCCTGGTCAGTAGCAGCAAGGTTCTTATTTGTGCTGTGTCCCCTCTCTTGCTTGTGTTTTGCCCGCTGCAAACTTGTCTTCAAGATTTAAGCCAAATCAGATGCGACAAGAATTCTTTTTGCGATCTGTGAACACGCTTGGGTTGTGTCTGCCCTCTGTTAAAATCTCATTAATTCTGCATGCGTATGCACACAGCCTGTGTTTTGTGCTGTTTCTGTGGCGGTGAGAAGGCTTGATAGAGCCAAGCAAGTCAAGAGTGAACATTCTTCCCTCGTGATTTACTTGTGAGGGGTCTGACTTGTGCAAGCTGATTGGCCGAGCCAGACCCTGAGGGTATTTCCCCATGCCGCGCAGGGTGTGCGTGGTGAACAGCGCGGGGAACGTCCTCCTAGACGAGCACGTGGCGCAGAGGGAACGCGTGGTAGACTATCGCACGCGATTCAGCGGCATCCGCCCCTCCGACCTGGTGGGTGCACCCAGCCTGGAGGAGGTACAGCGCAAGGTTGCAGACATGTTCAAGGGGCGCGTCGTCGTTGGGCACGCCATCACCAACGACCTCACGGTGAGCCGAGGATATACGGTTACATTAGAACAGCTCAGATATATAGAGGACCCCCCAGCAGTGGGGGCTTTGTGGGCTGCAATATGTGTGCAAAAGATGAGGGGACTTAGAGCAGGTTGTCCGCGCTTTAGCCCCCTAGGCAAGATGTGTATCCTCCTTGCACTGTCACAGAATGTGCAAGTCCCTTGCTGGCATAGATTAGCGCTGTGCTTACAACAAGTTCTTCCGTCACTCACTTGCTGCACTCATGCCTGCACACATGTCCTGAAATTTGATCGTGTGCACCTGTACCCTCCGTCTTGGCAGAACTTGGCCTTCAGTCCTGTGCATCACGTTGTGCGAGCAGGCTGCTTTCTGTCTGTATTTCCACTGCAGGTTACTTTCCTACAGGCTTTGCTGGGTGATCATTGCATGCGCTGGTACTGAGTCACCCACAAACCAGAACCCCATGACCGCAATGCGGGTCTCCTTACTCGTGCCAATACAAATCTAGAGTCATTCTTGCAACTCACACCTCTTTGCTTTTTTGCAGGCGCTGCTGCTGAGTCACCCGAGGAAGTCCATACGGGACACGGCGCGTTTCCCGCCGCTGATGCGAGCGACGGCCCCCGGCCGGCGGCCGAAGCCGCGCGCGCTCAGGCAATTGGCGCTGGAGCACCTGGGGCTGACTATACAGGAGGGAGAGCACTCCCCAGTAGACGACGCGCGCGCAGCGCTGTACCTCTACCAGAAACACCGCAAGGTTGGGAACCCTAATAAACACCCCGAACCCTAAAAGGGGAAAGCCGAGAAACAAAAAATCCTGTACCAGAAGAGCTGCGCTGTTCCCCAAGCTGAGGAGTTTGGATTTGAAACAGTCGGAGCAAAGGTTGCAGGCCAGGGTTGAATGAGTGATGCTTGGGCAGGCAATTGGTGCTCAATCTCAGGGCAGTCAGACATGTGAGATGAGTGATTTCCTGACATGTGCGGGCGCATGCTTGAGAAGCTGAGGCGAGTTTATAAATGTGGGGTCACTCTGGAATGCACCGTCCCTGAGTCTGTGTGTTGCCGGTGTGGTAGAGTAGGCGTCACAGCAAAATATCTGAGATGTTGAGGGTGCGCAGGAGTGGGAGATGCATATCGAGCGGGGGACTGTGAGCCAGCTGAAGGCGCCAGGCGCAGTGCAGCAGCAGCCGGGGGTAAAAAAAGGGGCTAAAACCCTGGAAGAGCTGGCAGCTGCAGATGACATGGTGGACTTGTGATTAGGATTTAAATTTGAAAGATTCTTAGAGGGAAAAATACAGGAGAGAGTGCATGCATGGAAGTCGGTGCGAGCGCCAAAGTAGGTAGGAAGGGCTGCCTCGATGTGTAAGCAACTTGTAGAGTGCACCGGCAGTGCAAACATCTCACGGCCCAGGTTGCCAATGCATGCAGCTTTCTTGAATCCTTACCTGCGCAAGAAGCAAGTTCAATGCTGATTTGCAAGGAGACGTGCGTGGCTTTTGCTTTGCACATTCAAATTTTCAGAATTGGGGGTGAAGAACCCCAATTTTGATGAATTTCTTGGGAACCCCGGCAGTGCAAAATTTCAGAAATCATAAATTAAAACATCCTGCAAGTCTGCTACCCGCATCATGATTTTAAATATGGCAGCTGTGCTCAGAAGGATTACTCTGCATATTTTAGGTCAAAGCGATCCTGGGCTCCTATTGGCACAATGTGGCAGGGCGCCTTTGGGAGATGACTGTGGGGGAAAAGTCCCGAAAGTCGGAATGGATACGCTTAGGAGGTTTGCCAGATGTGTGGATGGCTGCAAGGCAGGAAGAACGATGCCACGTGGATCTATTACATTAGAGGCCAAGCAGACATGTGTGTATTCTGCATTCCATACAGTAGTGCTTCAAGACATGCATATATCAGGATTGCAAGGCACAGAACATGAACAGTGTATATCTTAGTAAGAATTTCAATTTAGTTTTTTTAGATTATCTGAGGAAAAGAAAAGGTGCCTTCAAACTCTCCCATCTCCTTCGCGGTTTTCTTCTCCCTCTTCAGCTTCATGTACCTGTCCCGGTAGAGCTCAGCGTCTGCTTCGTGTCGGTCGCACAGGTTCTGCAAGCGCGCGACCTCTTGCCTCAGAGTGTCCACCAACTGCGGGTCACTGCGGTCGGAAATGCAAGTAGTCAGCGTTTGTGCATCTGCACTCATTGTACATGTCTTTATAGCTATGCAATTTATAATGAACGGTACCTCGCGCCGCCCGTTGCGGAGGTATCTGCCTCTGTCTGATTGTCACAAGGGTTGAAGGCAAGCGTGATCTCCTGCGATGCCTCCTTATTCTGGTGCAGTTGACGGATCTCCTTCTGCATCTCCTCCCTCTCCTTCTGCAGCTTCTTGTTTTCCTCCAGCAGCCTCCACTTCTCCCTGCGATTAGAAGGAACTGCAGCTGTGAATATTGGGTCTTGTGATATTTGAAAAGGGAATCCAAAAGCAAGGCAGGTCTGGTGATGGTGGTTAAGATTCTCACTTCTTGTAGGCGGCTTGGAGGGCAACATGGCCGGCGACTTCCTCAAGTGCCCGCTCCTTCTCCTTGCCCATGGTGTTGATCTTCTCCTTGTAGTGGGTCTTAAGATATGTGACCTGCTTCATCTCCTTCTGCAGCTTCTCATTTTCCTCCAGCAGCCTCAACTTCTCCCTGCAATTAGAAAGAACTGCAGTTGTGAATATTGGGTCTTGTGATATATGAAAAGGGAATTGAAAGGTACCAAAGCAAGGCAGGTCTGGTGATGATGGTGAAGGTTCTCACTTCTTGTAGGCGGCTTGGAGGGCAACATGGCCGGCGACTTCCTCAAGTGCCCGCTCCTTCTCCTTGCCCATGGTATTGATCTTCTGCTTGTAGAGGGTCTCAAGATATGTGACCTGCTCCCTGAGGTCCATTCAGCAACCACTGTGAGTATATGAGTGGATCTTGTACTTGTACTTGTCAAAATTGAACTTGACCAATATTGGCGCGACATCGTGTAAAAAAGAGTGCAGAATGGACGTACTCCAATTCTGTAGAACACTTCTCCCATTCAGCAGAATACTTCAAGTTCATCTGCTGGGCTACCACTTGTATGGGATTTCTCTCCGGGCATCCAAGTGCGTCCTGGGCAAGACATGATAGAGAGTTAAGTGTGTTTCTATAGGTGTCATGTGTTGTGTTTGCTTGGATGCAAAGGATGGATGCTGCTCACCACTGCCATTTGGTGGATGTTCTCGGTCCTCAGGCTGCTGAGTGGGATTGCTGGAGAGGATCTGGGTGGGAAGGGCGGCGTGTTGAGCAAGGTGCCAGGTGCCGCCCCCTCGTCCCCCTGAGCAACATCGTAGTCAAAACTTATAGCATGCTATGTTTGAAGGTGGTGTGATTGTGGCAATTTGTAGGCATTGTATTTTCAAAGTGCCCACCTTGCAGGCGGTGGCATCAGTGGGCACACTTTCTGCCCCTTCGTGAGGCCCGGTGGCTGGTGTTTGCAGCAATGGGCAATTTGCCAACTTGCAACTTGAAGTATTAGTGAGCAGGTAAGCCGAGGTATAGCTATGTTGTGCATTTCATGGTAAGAATGGTTTTGTGTGAGGGGCACACCTCTGGCTTGTTCTGTGCGGTGTGTGTGCGCTCGTTTGTTGGAGTGGCCTCCTTACTGGAGTGCGGCCGCTCCTTGTCCTTTAAAATTGTCTTGGCACCTTGCCCGCTCATTGCACCTCCTCCCTGTAGCAGTCGCATAAATGATAGTGAGTATGACGAAGGTAATTTGACGATGTTTTATTCACAATATACTTGGTTGTTCTGCCACTGGAGCTGGATATTCGTGTCATGTAGGGATTGTAGCAATATTTTGGCTTGTAGTGCCTGCCTTCGGACTAATACCTGGTCGCCGGCAGGGCGCTGTCCCTTGGCTCCCTCTGCATTGTTTGCCTCCAGCTGTGATGGCCGTATTAACACAGCGCTGCTCCCGCGGCCTGCTTTCGTCCCAGCCTATATGCACCGCACACAGTATTGTTTTTAAAAAAACCGGGTCGATATAGTGGCATGCTGCATTTCTAGTGGATGGCAACCCAAAAAGAAAGCACACTGTCAGTCCCTTTCTTAGCGACTCGAAGCCCACCTCAGGTAGGCTACCCAAACATTTGTATTTACCGAAATATTGTGATATATGAGCTCACCTGGACGGCGGTGGTATCTTCGTCTGCGTCGAGTTTCCTCTTCTTTGTGTGTTGGGATGATTCCATGTGGGAATCCTGCGAGTCCCCCTGGGCATCATCCTCCTCTCGCCCTCTCTTGCTGGCGAGCTTTGCCCTTGGGGTAGCCATGAATTGCTCCTTGGTCACCTGTTGCAGCACTATGTATTCTTAGGAATTGGTGTATACAAAGGTGCCTTCCCACATATTACGAGGGTGTGAATTAGAGTCGAACCTGAGGGAGGAATCCGTCTTTATCGAATTGTGCCTTAGCGATCAATACGCTGGCTTTCCCCTCGAGGCTTTTTGGTGTACTTGGTGGAGCACCGCTTGTGTCCAACCTATAGGCGTTGAACAAGATTGCCAAGGCCTCAGGGCCGGTCTTCCATCTTTTTTTTCCTGGGAAGTCGTCCCCCAACCACTCCTTGAGGTGGGTGTCACTTTTGATTTGATAAAACTCTCCTTGTATGTGCGGCGTATTGATGGTGTACGTCTTCCTTTTTATGCTTTCCATAATTCCGGCCAACCGTGTGATTTTCTGAGGATCTTTGAGTGCCAAAGTAATCGTTTCATAGTCTTTTTTGCGTGTTATGTAAGCATATCCTTTTTTACCCATATTTCCTCGGCTTAGCTACCAAAATTTCCTGAAAAAAAGAGTTGCGAAGTGTGACAATCGGCAGCTACAAATATGACGAGGGTCTAAATACCCTGCGGAAAATATCCAAATTAAATTCCTCAAATATTTCTGCTTGTATTCCTGCCTGTATTTCTGGGCATATTTCTGGTTAAATTCATGATTTTGCCTGCTTCCAATATGACCACGGACTGAATAAATTGCACATTATACTCCCTCGTGTATAGAAAAATTTCTACCTGTATTTCTGCCCATATTTCAGCGCATATTCCTAGCTGGAAATTTGCGAAATCTAATTTTGGAAATGCAAATCCGCCGCTACAAATATGACCACGGTGTGAATTCGGTGCGCTTATTCCTTCACATTTATAAATATTCCTGCTTGTATTCCTGCCTATATTTCTGGGCATATTTCTTGTTGAAATCATGATTTTGCCTACTTCAAATATGACCATGGACTGAATAAATCGCACATTATATTCCCTCATATATAGAAATATTTCTACCTGTATTTCTGCCCATATTTCAGCGCATATTCCTAGCTGGAATTTGCGTAATCTGATTTTGGAAATGCAAATCCGCCGCTACAAATATGACCACGGTGTGAATTCAGTGTGCTTATTCCTTCATATTTATAAATATTTCTGCTTGTATTCCTGCCTGTATTTCTGGGCATATTTCAGGGTGAGTTCATGATTTTTCGGCTCTTAGGGATCAACGACTTTGTGTCCTCGTGGGAGAGATATTCGTGAAGGTTCTGCAATTGAGGAATCATGGTCTTCCTCGTTTTCTGTCCTTTCTTCTATCATTTGGTTTATATGGCAAAGAATTCGCTGTTTGATTATGCCATGCCCATGAAATATTCGGAGGTAGTCACTTGTGAATTGCAAACGTGGATTTGACCTCCAGGAGTCGGGTAATCTTCGAGTCTCTTCAATGAATGTTGCAAATGTCGTGGAATGTGACAATTGGCGCCTATCAAAATCATCAAGATCCGAAATACATGTTCGCAATCGCGCTTCATACCTACAAATACTTTGTCTCTATTCCTGGTATCCATATAAATATTTCGGTCGAGGTCTGCTTCACAATTATGACGATGGTGGGAACTTTTTCACGATCTCACCTGGCGGATTTCAAGGTCCATCCATTTCTGCTTGTATTTCAGAAATGTTCCATTTCACGAAATATACCTGAAGGATTTCTACTGACATCCATTTCCGGGGGGATTTCGGAAATATTCCATTTCACGAAATATACCTGAAGGACTTTACTGACATCCGTTTCCGGGGGCATTTCGGAAATATTTCATTTCAAGAGATTTCCCTTATGGATTTCTACTGACATCCATTTCCGGTGGCATTTCGGAAATATTCCATTTCAAGAAATTTCCCTGATGGATTTCTACTGACATCCATTTCCGAGGGCATTTCGGAAATATTCCATTTCAAGAAATTTCCCTGATGGATTTCTACTGACATCCATTTCCGGTGGCATTTCGGAAATATTCCATTTCAAGAAATGTATCAGCCGAAATTCTACTGTCATCCATTTATGCTTGTATTTCAGAAATGTTTTCCTCTCGAATCTGCGCTAAATTTCGACGTCGGGTATGTATTTGCTTTTCCCGGCTTGATTCTTGTTCAAAATTGGCGGTGTGTTCGTACCTATGTTCGTGCATGTATTTCTACTTACATTTTTGCTTGTACCACACTAAATTTCTGGCACAATATGTGAATCTTTGCATTTCCTAGCGTATTTATGTTTGTAATTTGCCTGTACAATGATATGCATATTCAGTGCGCTTATTCCTTCATATTTATAAATATTTCTGCTTGTATTCCTGCCTGTATTTCTGGGCATATTTCAGGGTGAGTTCATGATTTTTCGGCTCTTAGGGATCAACGACTTTGTGTCCTCGTGGGAGAGATATTCGTGAAGGTTCTGCAATTGAGGAATCATGGTCTTCCTCGTTTTCTGTCCTTTCTTCTATCATTTGGTTTATATGGCAAAGAATTCGCTGTTTGATTATGCCATGCCCCTGAAATATTCGGAGGTAGTCACTTGTGAATTGCAAACGTGGATTTGACCTCCAGGAGTCGGGTAATCTTCGAGTCTCTTCAATGAATGTTGCAAATGTCGTGGAATGTGACAATTGGCGCCTATCAAAATCATCAAGGTCCGAAATACATGTTCGCAATCGCGCTTCATACCTACAAATACTTTGTCTCTATTCCTGGTATCTATATAAATATTTCGGTCGAGGTCTGCTTCACAATTATGACGATGGTGGGAACTTTTTCACGATCTCACCTGGCGGATTTCAAGGTCCATCCATTTCTGCTTGTATTTCAGAAATGTTCCATTTCACGAAATATACCTGAAGGATTTCTACTGACATCCATTTCCGGGGGGATTTCGGAAATATTCCATTTCACGAAATATACCTGAAGGACTTTACTGACATCCGTTTCCGGGGGCATTTCGGAAATATTTCATTTCAAGAGATTTCCCTGATGGATTTCTACTGACATCCATTTCCGGTGGCATTTCGGAAATATTCCATTTCAAGAAATTTCCCTGATGGATTTCTACTGACATCCATTTCCGGTGGCATTTCGGAAATATTCCATTTCAAGAAATGTATCAGCCGAAATTCTACTGTCATCCATTTCTGCTTGTATTTCAGAAATGTATTCCTCTCGAATCTGCGCTAAATTTCGACGTCGGGTATGTATTTGCTTTTCCCGGCTTGATTCTTGTTCAAAATTGGCGGTGTGTTCGTACCTATGTTCGTGCATGTATTTCTACTTACATTTTTGCTTGTACCACACTAAATTTCTGGCACAATATGTGAATCTTTGCATTTCCTAGCGTATTTATGTTTGTAATTTGCCTGTACAATGATATGCATATTCAGTGCGCTTATTCCTTCATATTTATAAATATTTCTGCTTGTATTCCTGCCTGTATTTCTGGGCATATTTCAGGGTGAGTTCATGATTTTTCGGCTCTTAGGGATCAACGACTTTGTGTCCTCGTGGGAGAGATATTCGTGAAGGTTCTGCAATTGAGGAATCATGGTCTTCCTCGTTTTCTGTCCTTTCTTCTATCATTTGGTTTATATGGCAAAGAATTCGCTGTTTGATTATGCCATGCCCATGAAATATTCGGAGGTAGTCACTTGTGAATTGCAAACGTGGATTTGACCTCCAGGAGTCGGGTAATCTTCGAGTCTCTTCAATGAATGTTGCAAATGTCGTGGAATGTGACAATTGGCGCCTATCAAAATCATCAAGATCCGAAATACATGTTCGCAATCGCGCTTCATACCTACAAATACTTTGTCTCTATTCCTGGTATCCATATAAATATTTCGGTCGAGGTCTGCTTCACAATTATGACGATGGTGGGAACTTTTTCACGATCTCACCTGGCGGATTTCAAGGTCCATCCATTTCTGCTTGTATTTCAGAAATGTTCCATTTCACGAAATATACCTGAAGGATTTCTACTGACATCCATTTCCGGGGGGATTTCGGAAATATTCCATTTCACGAAATATACCTGAAGGACTTTACTGACATCCGTTTCCGGGGGCATTTCGGAAATATTTCATTTCAAGAGATTTCCCTGATGGATTTCTACTGACATCCATTTCCGGTGGCATTTCGGAAATATTCCATTTCGGGAAATATACCTGAAGGATTTCTACTGACATCCATTTCCGGGGGCATTTCGGAAATATTCCATTTCAAGAAATTTCCCTGATGGATTTCTACCGACATCCGTTTCCGGGGGCATTTCTAAAATATTCCATTTCAAGAAATTTCCCTGATGGATTTCTACTGACATCCATTTCCGGGGGCATTTCGGAAATATTCCATTTCAAGAAATTTCCCTGAAGGACTTTACTGACATCCGTTTCCGGGGGCATTTCGGAAATATTTCATTTCAAGAGATTTCCCTGATGGATTTCTACTGACATCCATTTCCGGTGGCATTTCGGAAATATTCCATTTCGGGAAATATACCTGAAGGATTTATACTGACATCCATTTCCGGGGGCATTTCGGAAATATTCCATTTCAAGAGATTTCCCTGATGGATTTCTACTGACATCCATTTCCGGTGGCATTTCGGAAATATTCCATTTCAAGAAATTTTCCTGATGGATTTCTACTGACATCCATTTCCGGGGGCATTTCGGAAATATTCCATTTCAAGAAATTTCCCTGATGGATTTCTACTGACATCCATTTCCGGTGGCATTTCGGAAATATTCCATTTCAAGAAATGTATCAGCCGAAATTCTACTGTCATCCATTTATGCTTGTATTTCAGAAATGTTTTCCTCTCGAATCTGCGCTAAATTTCGACGTCGGGTATGTATTTGCTTTTCCCGACTTGATTCTTGTTCAAAATTGGCGGTGTGTTCGTACCTATGTTCGTGCATGTATTTCTACTTACATTTTTGCTTGTACCACACTAAATTTCTGGCACAATATGTGAATCTTTGCATTTCCTAGCGTATTTATGTTTGTAATTTGCCTGTACAATGATATGCATATTCAGTGCGATTATTCCTTCATATTTATAAATATTTCTGCTTGTATTCCTGCCTGTATTTCTGGGCATAATTCAGGTTGAATTCATGATTTTGCCTGCTTCCAATATGACCACGGATTGAATAAATTGCATATTATATTCCCTCATGTATAGAAATATATCTACCTAAATTTCTGCCCATATTTCAGCGCACAGTGCGCTTATCCCTTCACATTTATATGTATTCCTGCTTGTATTTCTGCCTGTCTTTCTGGGCATATTTCTGGTTGAATTCATGATTTTGCCTACTTCAAATATGACCATGGACTGAATAAATCGCACATTATATTCCCTCATATATAGAAATATTTCTACCTGTATCATACATCATCAAATGATTTCTGCCCATATTTCTGTGCATATTCCTAGCTGTAAATTTGCGAAATATGGTTTTGGAAATGCAAATTGGCCGCTACAAATATGACCACGGTGCGCATATTCCTGCCTATATTTCAGGGCATATTTCTGGTTGAATTTATGATTTTGCCTACTTCAAATATGACCACGGACTGAATTAATTGCACGTTATATTCCCTCGTATATAGAAATACTTCTACCCGTATTTCTGCCCATATTTCTGCGCATATTCAGACTATTTGAAAGTTCGGGTCTGAGCTATGCAATGTGTCAGTGTTACGTTTTGCAAAGAATAGTGTTTTTCAGGACGTCAATGTGCCAGCGTCATCATTCTTCCCACGTGCCCAATGTGACGTCAGGCGCCTCACGAGAACTTGCAGCTCCAATCTCTCGCCTCGGAAACATATTCCTGAAAGAAAGCAGCAAATTCATGAAGGGATTTTATAAGTACGCAGAAACCTTCGTCTTAACAGAAAAAAAATATCTTGGCAGGTTGCCCTCCAAAGTTCGACCATCCTGAACTGTGAATACTTTCTTTTTTCTCCACACTGACTTGTTAGTAATACAATTTGGTATCAATTTTACAAAACAGTCATGTAGAGGTCTTTCCGGTAACAGCATGAGATCTGGTGGTGAGCCAGACGACTTTATCGTTAGCTCTGAGCTGCCAGAGATCGCCTCGCCAAGCTCGCTGGAAGTGGACTTAGGCATTCTGGAAGACGTGGCACTCCTCGAATCTCCTGACAGAGGTGTGATTACATTAAAGAGTGTCCCCAAAGCAGCCGTGTCTGTAGGATTACTAAGTGCATTGCAAACCTCCCTGGTCATAATAGGATTGAAGATTGCTTAACGTGTCCATAGTTCTATGCAAATTTATACTTACTCGGCAGAACACATCCCATATAGTGGGTGATACGTCGATGCTCCTACGGACAGGTTCCCATGAACCAGTGGCAGATGACCTTGAGGCTGCACATACATCAGCAGCAAGCGGCGCCACTTTGATTCACTGGCCTCCAATTGGTGCCACTCTGGAGTTGACCCCCAATCGGTATGCATCATCCCCCTCAAGCTTCTTATCCAACTGCCAGACACCATGCCATTCCAGCTTGCGTAACGAGGTACTACACCGTGGGGGAAGCGGGATGCCATTGCAACCTACAAACAGTGATTTGCGTTATGCTGTATGCGGACAAAACCGAGCAATTAATCAAAGGCCCCGGCTGGCAGGGGCCGGTATGACCTCTGAACATCACGGTCGACTGGGTCTTGCTTAAATCTGGCGAGGCCATCAGGGGGCAGGATACGTGGCAGCCTGTACCTACAGCTTGTCTGCAGAAGCACCTTGACACTGGCAGGAACAGCCTGTTAATCAAGTAAGCAAACAATTCACGGCTTGCTGTGTTGATGCAGGCTGGCTCGGCACCACAGCACAGGAGCACTGGCCTCCCCAGCATCGATGAGTCCCCCGGAGACCCCCCCGAGGGCCAGGCAGCGGGGGGCAACAGAAGGGGGGACCGAGGCCACAAAGCTGCTGCTGCCTCTGGGGCCTCTGTCAGCAGCCAGCTCAGCCGATCTTACCATGCGCGACCTAGGTGGGCGATCTTAAGTTGATTCGGCATTTTCTTTTCTTTGCCCTTCTTCACCTAATACAGCTTTTTTCTTTGTGAAGTTTGTGCACTGAAGGTCTTGCTTCAGGAAACCGCTCCAACAAGGAGCAGAGTTGCATGTCAGGCACAGTGGAAGTGCAGTACACAAGTCCTCACAGCTGCATTGTATTTTTCAAGGCAGCAATGAGTCAGCACAATAGCACGGACTGTGCTGCTGCAAGTGTGCAGCACCCATGGTTTGGGGTAGAAAGTCCTCAGCATCTAATGTCATGCTTGGCTTGCATGTCGCACCAACCATGCACCAGCAATCACACAGGACCAAGCATACATGCAGTGCCATAATTTACAGGGACATTTCTAGATATTGAGATATTTCTCCATGTGTTCCCTGTGCAGTGAGCCCGCGCACGGGGCACCCGATACCGCGGCTGAAGCGCTACTACATGGTGGCCATCTTCACACTCACAGCCTCGCTGCTGTACGCGGATCAGAACCTGATGGCGCCCAACCTGTCCGCCATCGCTGAAGAGTTCGGCTTCAATGAGGAGGAGAAAGTCAGGTGGGAGCGTTGTCCAGTCCATGGCAGGGTAGGGCAGAGATTGCATGTGCAGACGTGCGCTATGTGATGGTTGACTTGGGTTCCTGATTGCCCCTTTTCTTCCATAGCATGGCTGCAGGAAGTACAGTCGCTACTGGCAGACCAAGCAGGCTTCCCCATGAAAGAGTTCTCGAGGTTCTGGACCGATCTACAAGCAAAGAAGTTAAGCAGAGAGAAGATTGCCTCTTGCACAAAAGGCCCTGCCTCTGGCAGTCGTCACAAGGCTATTCCAGAGCATGGCCCTTTGCGGCACATTCTGGAGATGAATGTGTAATAGCGGGGCCCACTGTATGAGGGGTGAGGGGTGTGAGGGATTCATTTGGGGATGCACCTTGGGCGCTGACACATCTGCATTGCATTTGGCGGCAGGTATCTGGGCGGCTATGTGGCGGCGGCCTTTTTCGCGGTGGGCGCGCCGGCGGCGTTGCTGATAGGATACCTGTGCGACAAGTTCAACCGCCGCAACCTGCTCTTCATAGTCGTGCTGCTCGGTGCGCTCCCCTTCACATGTTGCTCACAGGGGGAATGATATGTGATGAATACTACCCCTGCTGTAGATATTTCCCCCGTGTAGTGTCTCATATCCCTTGTTGGTTTATTAGCCAGCCTGCCTGCCCGACATGCATGCATTAGCCCAACATGTCAGGCGCCGGCCGCTTAAGCCATGTGCAATTTGCCACTGAGCACAAACGCAGCTGCTTGTGCTGTGAACGATATTTGTGTCTTGCTGCTAGGTAGGTGGGAGAAGGGAGAGGGGTTTGTCTAGGAATAAATGTGACCATTGCTGAACAGAATGAGGTGTCCCAGTGGGTTTTGCTGTGAAAATTGTTCTAGCAAAAATTCGAATTTGTTTTGAAAGTTGAATATGAAGACTTCATACGCAGGTGAGGGCCCCTGCCTTGCGACGTTCTTTGTGAAGCGCTACTGGCAGCTGCTGCTGCTGCGGATCATGACGGGGATTAGCGTGGGTGGCACATTCCCCCTGGTTTTCTCCCTCGTGGGGGATTTATTCTACGTGACTCAACGCGCCAACGTGGCAGCCGGCGTCCAGGTGGCGACGGGGGTCGGCTTTGCCGCCGGGCAGGCCATAGCCGGCTTTGTGGGTGAGTCAAGTTACATCATCATGCTTGGGGGAAGCAAGAAACACCATTTTCCTGCTCACCTGACTGACATCATCAGGCTTGAGAGAGACCAAACTTGAAGATGTATGATTGGTGCAGGATCGCAAGATTTTCTCGTGTGCTTGTGGTAATGTTGGCCAGTGCTACAATTCTTATCAAGGCTGCAGAATCAAATTAAGGCTACACGTGTATTGGGGAGGTGTTAATATGTAGCTTTGCGCTAGGTTCAGTGGCCAATTGAGAGTCAAGCAGGCCTTCTCTGTCCAGACACAATGCCTCCGATCTACTGAGCCTCTCTGTTGGATCGAGTGCAGGGCCGCACGCGGGGTGGAGGTGGCCGTTTGTGATAGTGGCACTGCCGGCAATTGCTGCAGCGTTCCTCATGCTGCTGACCACTAGCGAGCCGGAGCGGGGGGCGACAGAGGATGCACTGAAGGTGATTAAGCCAGGCTCTGTATTAATCTTTCTTGCTCTGCGCCGCATGGTTCTCTTGTACCGAAGCACGGCGGGAGAAGTGCTGCACTCAACAAGGTCCCGATGCCATAAATACCTGCATCTATTGGGTCTGTTGCCGGGAATCTCTGTGGAAGCTCAATGTGAACACATCAGCGCTGCTTGCGCAAACCACATCATGTCACTCCGGCTTTGCTAAAATGACATCAGATGAGGAAGACCCCACACCACATTCAGATCATCTCAAGCTGGATGCTATGCTGTGCTATCTGCATTGCTAAGATACTGGTGCGACGAGATCAGATCAAGTAACGAGAGAGTCCCTCTGGCGCGCACAGGATCTGTACGCGGTGGAGGGATTTGTGTACGACGAGAAGATCGACATGAAGAAGCTGGGGTTGCTAGCGCAGAGCCGCAGCACGCTGGGCGCTGTCATGCAGGTCTGTATTGTGATATTTAATTATATATATTAAACATATATATATAGGGTTTATATAGGCCTGCAGCTTGTCTGCAGGACGAACCTTGACTTTTGGCAGGAAAAGCGCGTAATAATAATAATAATAGTATAGGGTTTAGGGCTACTTAGACATTACACCTGCCAGGAGATGGATAAGGGAAATTAAACACAGATGTCCTGATGCTGCCTCGTGCGGGGATGACATGATTTGCACATGCAGAGGGAAAAGTCATTCATACCAGGAGGCAGGATTCTTTGTCAGCATGAGAGATGGGTCAAGATGGGTGAATCTGAAATTTCAAGGCACCTCGGATGGCCTTGTGTGGAGCAAGCTTCTGCAAGCCATGCAAAATATGGACGCGGAGATGTGTATCTGCTCTTCCAACGCACAGAAAGAGACTGGTCTGAAAGTGTCCAGACTTTGAGTGTCTGAACTTGAGGATCATGACTGAGTGATGATTCAATGAATCATCTTGTGAAAAGCACGGCGGCTGAGGAGGAAAGCTGTTGTGCGCAGGGGATGCCCGGTTCGCTGCCCTGGGGAGTGCTGCTGACGTTCCTGAACGACTTCCTGAGCCAGAAAAAGGGCATGAGCATTGCAGACGCCACCTGGGTGCGAGCTCTGCATCTCATTACTCTTCTTGTTGTGGACACCGCAAGAGTCAAGTGTTGCTTCTTTTGAGACACTCTGCAAAGTGAGCAGTGAACGAAAGGATTAATTGTATTGATTAGGGGAGAAAAGTGTTTGAATGCAATGGCTCAATCCCGGGGAGAGAGACTCATGCATGCAATGATGGCAAGAAGCGCTGCAATATTGACGTTGATGCAAGTGGGGCCTCAGTTGCTTGCCCGGTAAAGCATGACAGCCAGCCGTTGTGTCTCAGCCTTCTGCTGCCAGCGTCTTGAGACAGTCATGGCCGGCAAAACCTGCTTGACTCGCCTCCTGATGCTGCTACAAGTCAGGAGGCTGCCCCAGTGAGGCATTCACTGCCATTTCAGTTGATCTGGGGTGTGTGCATGCACTCACAGGTGATGACAATATGGGGTCTGGGAGGGGGAGTTGGGGTGATTGGAGGGGGCGCGATAGGCCAGTGGCTGCACAACAGGCGGCGAGCTTACATGCCGCTGTTTGTTGGCGCCTGCGTGGCTGCAGCCGCGTTCCCTATCTGGTTTCTGATAAACGCTGACGTGGGAAACCTGCCGCTGCCGGTCAGTTTCGCGGCCGGCTTCCTCGGCGGCGCGCTCGCGAGCCCCCCGGGGCCCAATGCCAGGTGGGGGATTTATATCTAGATTTTAAGGTACCCTACAACCTAACCACCATTAGTCCGCCCAATGGCGCCCGAATGTCCTCATATCGCATACTTTGGTGCCATGCATGTCTCAATGGGCTGTAGCCTGCCCATTCTGTCCCTTTGAATACTTTGCGTTGGTGTCCTGTCTGAGGCAAGTAACCCCGTGCTGCAGAATGCAGATGAGAGTTGCATTTCTCAAGCGTGTGAAGAATCGCTCATGCAGGACGCATAGTGGTACTCATGACGTGAATAGGTCTTTAGTGCAGCCTCTTGCAGTTGATTTAAGGCGCTTGCACCAAAGCAATTGAACGGTCTTGTTGTACAGTCTTATTGCAAGATTACCATTGCCCATACCCAGTGGGATCTGGGGGAATGGCAGATTCTGGTCAGCATTACCAAGATTGCCAAGGAAGCCGTTTATCGGAAACTTTCATCAAAGGAGCAATGAAGGTTAACTGAGCGCTGTGCATTTGCCCGTTGCAGGGCGATCCTGCTGAATGTGAACGAGCCGGAGACGCGCGGAGTGGCGCTGGCAATGCAGACAGTTTTAGACGATCTGGGCAAGGGGCTCGGGCCGCTGCTGGTTTCCCTCATGGTCTCCGCCTGGGGCGCGTGCGTTCCCTCCCGCCCAAATTTTGAATCCAAATACAACCCTAAGTCAATTTGAAAAGGTTGAAAAACACTACACCCCGATCTGTTCGATGGCGATCCCCCATCTGCTCCTTCTCCGCACAGCTCCCTTGTGGATGGGCCTTTATCAAGACGGGGTGTATTCTGCATGCGGCTCGTGCATTCTGTCCTGCCGCGGACACCTTCTAGTGTGTCTTTGCTGGGATACGATGGGGAACAGTTTCCTCATGCAGCAAAGTGTGTTGCGTGGGCCAAACTTCAATGTGCACTAGGAGTTCCCGAGTCACACAAGAGAATAGCACACACTTTGACTGGCAAAGCCCGGGGATTGAGGTGGCATCTGTGCTGCTCGTTGCGCAGGCAGGCGGCGTTCAATGTGGCCATAGCAGGTTGGATTCCCTGCGGCGTCATCTTTGCCTGCATCGCCCTGTCTCTCGGCAAGGAAGAGGACGCACTGCAGGTCTGCCTGCTGCTTCCACCCTGGAAAGCTCGAACATCTGGCTAGTGCAATCCTCCCCATACTAAAATTTGGCTGCTAGAGAAATTGGGAAATCCTCGATGCCTTCGCAAGTCTTGAGAGTCATTGCTTCTGTCATTGGTGATTTTCCGGAGGTTCGAACGCCCTGCCCATAGAGCAGCAGGCTCACGCGCTTTGCATGCGATGCAGCAGCGCAATTTTCTCTCTTTCCCTCTGCGATAGCAAGCTCAGGCAAACCCTTGAGCTCCTTTCTTGTGTGGGGCAGGTGAGGCTACGGAATAAGGTGTCGCTGACTACGGTGCGGATCTTGGACCGGGAGGATGCGCTGACGCCGTCCCGCCTGGATAGGCGTGAGACCGGGGGGCCCCAGACCCCCCGCCACACCCCCCGGCCCCCGTCTAGGGGGGAGTACCAGCTCGCGGCGCTCAACGGCCGAATAAACTGAAATTTTTATCAGGCAGAGGGCAAAATACCCGTGGGCATTACCCCCGGCTTGCCCTTGAACTTGGGGGCGCCCTGGCAGGTTTGATGTTTGAACTTATTCGATTTTCTAATATTTCCAATCACAGTGCCCCATCAGCGAAATACTCCTTGGAGGAGGCAAACTCTGTGAACGGCTGGAAAAAATCTTATAGTATACAAATGATTGTGTGCATGCATGATTGAGATGCAACGTTTCAATGTAGATATACCTATGTAGTATGAGTACTATCAGTTGTACTACTCCAGTATCATTGACAGTGATAGGCTGTGCTACCACTTCGCAGGCATTCAGCTGTATACATAGTAGATATCAATATGATCCCAAAGCTCCATTTCTCCACCCCTATGCACTCCTGTACATCTCTCAAACCCCGTGACAGATACTTGATTGCCAAAAGGAGTGGATGCAAAACTGAATGGCATATGACAGCTATGGTAGAATATATTGCACATAGAATATATCGCACATGCAACTCGCGATGCTTGATCAGGCACATCTCTTTCTTGTCAAATGCTTTGCCCATTCTAGAACCTTGCCGGCTGCCATTGTTTTGACCCAACTCTGTCCGCCATCAACAAAACAATAACCCGCCAATTTTGTTGACTCAGCTCTGTCCGCCATCAATAAAACAATGACCCACCAAAGATTTTGCATAAGACTATACTAAATTCATGCCAGCCGCCGTCTTTGCCACTGTATTTTATTTAGAGTTTAGGTTTCCAGGTGCCAGCGCCGTTCAGCTGACTCAGCGGCATAGAATAATTCATCCCCCTTTGGCAGAAACCTTGACAGAGGTTTGGCTGGCACCCTCCTTATCCCAGCAGCCAGTTGAGCTCGGGGAATGATTCAAAGCGGTGCAGATCTTCATTCCACATCACCAGCAGGAAAGACTGCAGCTCCGTTTTCAGATTCAAATATTTGATGTAGCGCCAGGTGGCGGGTGGCGCGCTGATGTGGCAGGAGCGGATGCGGTAGGAGGGAACGCGCGTGGAGAAGTGGTGGATGTGGTGATACTGCGCCAGGTGGCACACAGGTCCATCAAAATAATATTAAATCCAAATCTTAAATGTGGATTTGACAATGACTTGAAAATCAAAAGCCAGCAACTCATCAAGCATGTCAGCTGAGAGCAGCCCTGCTCTGTCCCATGCTTGTCACAGCCAGCTGGACAGGCTGTTTATTCATCCTGAACATTCTTATTTGTTGCAGATGATCCAGAATTCCATCTGGATGTAGTCACAGCAGGGAGAAGTGATGAGTGGCTACCTCGATGCCAAAAGTGGCCCACTTGAACCACTCCGGGATGTACTGGTATGTAGAACCTGCAGCGCACAACAGCATCACTCAGCTCAACTCCCAGGAACTGTAGCCAATGCAAGTGAGCGCTGTCATCAGCATCACGAAATTTAGCAGCGCATATGCGGCCCGCTTGATGGCTAATTTCACGCCTTGGTAGTGGAAAAGACATGCAAAGATTCTGCCTTGCATCTACTGTATATCAGACATGCCAAGGAGTGCATCCCAGACAGGCTTGCAAGCTCCTTCCTGCCAGATCTGAGGTTACTCGCCCATGAGAGATGCCAGGTCGCGGTCGTGCTGGTCTTTGGGGATGTCAAAATACAGGTCGGGCACATGCGCAAAATGCTGCAGGTGAAATAGCATGAAGCCCATGGTGCTCCCCTGCGCAACAGAACACACATTCGGCAACGCGAGGATGGGCCAATCTTGTCAGCAGGCTTCTTAAAACAGGTATTCTGGCAATTCTTGCATGAACCCATTGTACATTTGCAGGCTGAAGATATGTATGACATGCATGCCGGGTATGAGAGGCTGACAAGGGGTACTGCATGTGGTGAACTTCTGAGCTTGTCGATGACATTTATACTAAACTTGCAAGACATGCATGCAGTGTAAGGGAGATACCAGGGTGTAGAATGCCAGCTGGAACCACAGCCAGCTGGAGCCGTGCAGAGCATAGCCCGCCCACGCCTGCAGCAGAACAGCACAAAAGGCATAGCGTCAAGAGGGCAACCAAGGTGTCTATGCTTGGACCTCCTCGGGAATAGACCTCAAGTAACATGCCACAAGCCTTCACGACTATCCAAGTAATTCAGGCCTGCTGCACAAGCTGAAACAATATGAAGCGCCCAAAATCGCACGTGTCCTTGCACCCAACCAGGATTTGGTCGCAGATCAATTGCACTTGCCCAGTGCGGCTTTCTCACTCTCTCATCTGTTGCCAACACAAATTTATCGCCCTGATTGAGGCACTTTCATGCGGAAAGACTGCGCATGCGACTGCGCATGTATATACTGCTGCTGTATATAATATATTGCTGGTGTGGTCAGGTAAGAGCGCTGGGCACACCTGCAGGGCGGGAAGCAGAGTGGGCAGCACTCTGTCAATGGGATCCATGCTCGCCAGCACAAACTTTGGCTGCGAAGGAACCATTTGATCCATCCTGCAAGGCATTTTGTCCCTCAACCTTGCGGCACTGCCTGCCACAACTAAATGCGCATAAATACAGAAGCGGCCTGCCCGACTCAGCCGAGATGCTCTGCATGAGATAGATGCACTATTGAGGGTATTGAGTGCAGAGAGGCATGGTGGTCACTTGATGGACCCAAGCTCATTTGACGTGCTCTGCAAAAGGAGGGATTCTAAAATGAAAAGGATTTGGCATGCTGCTGATATTCAGAAAGAGGATGGGACAGAGCCTTACATGGGCAGCTTTCCGTTGTGCACTCCTGTGATGAGGAAGACGAGTCCCGGAACTGTGGCAAAGAAGAGAATCTGCGGCCCAGCAAGAAACATTCGTTACTCATCCCGTAGAGATACTTTGTAACTGGGTTAGAGACCCTCACACACTGCAGGACTGATCTAATGGTGCAAGAGAGGGTGTGTTCTGGATGCATTGTAAACTGCACACTATTAGCTGCTGGCACTTCGCGTGGATCAAAACCTGCTGTTGTGCCACAAGCTGCGATGGAAATAGGCAAGATGTATTCACAGTGTGGCATAAGCTTTCAGTCACAGAATATTCAAGAGATTGGAAACTGGGAAAACTACTCACCGGATCTCTGGCGATGCGAAGGAACAGCTTTCTGCGAGAGGTATAAGATTCCCATTCCTTTGTGGTCCATACCACAGTCGAGCTCCTCTCCACCAAAGCAGTCTCCTGCACAATCATTTCCCTTCCATTTTACATGAACCCTTAACCCTAAACCCTAAACCCTGAATGTCTTCACAAAATGAGATTTGCATACAACCGTGTGTTCCACTGCCAGCTCAGCCGAGCAGTCTTGTAAAGATACCAGACTGCATATATCGTCAAAGTTTCATACAGGATGTATCTGCATGGGCACGTTTTAGCAGTCAGGTGACTAAGCAAGACACGAGTCAGCCACTGCCTCTGAGCCTTTTGGTCAGTGGGTGAATATACGCACAAGATGCTTTGAAATGCCAGCTTAGGAAGAGGAGACTCTGCCCAAGTTCGCAGATGAGAACCACTCACATCTTTGCCGTGGTGTATGTGGTGTTCAACGTTGTGCATTTTGACCCATGCTGACCAGGAAGTGCATGTCAGCCCGCCAGCAATCCTTCCCACAATCATGTTGGCCCACCCGCTCCTGAAGAAGCTCCCTGCAGCAGCATCACTTCTGCTGTGAGCCTTCAGTACCTCTGTCCCACCGTAACATGCCTGTCCATCCAAGGTGCGTCTGCAGACGAGCCGCACGTGAAGGCCGCCAATTTTCACACCCCTTGATTGAGTTGTCAGATCCAAGCAAGACCCAGCCATCCCAGGGGACCGTTCTGAAAGCCTGACCTAATTCACTAATGTCTGGGACAGGAAGGCTGATCCCGGCAGACAGCAGGAGCACATTTCACAGGTCTTCACCCCTGTGGCGTGTGATCAATTTGCATTGCAGCCGTCACTCAAAGTAGCAGTAAGTGGAGCATCTACTGAGTCGAGATCAAAGTTTCAAAATGGCCTGAACGTCCAGAAGAAAATGCTTTGAACCGGAGGCCAGCAGCTGGGCCAGTCAATCTGAAAAAACCCCTCTGTGAGTTAGTCATCTCTCTGTCATGACTTCCAGACACTGTTCGAGAATCTGTTCAAATCCCTGATGGCACGAGACGTCCCTGGCTCTCAACGACACGTCTCTGAGAAGCCAAGTCAGCCAATGGCCTTGTCAGCATGCTTGAAGGCGTGAGCAGCGCACCGTGGCAGCAGTCATGGAAGATGATGAATGTGCGAACGTTGACTCCCGCCCTGAGGATGGCAGCTGCCGCCCACAGCGCCCAATGCTTTGTTGTGTAGGGGTAGGCAGCAAGGAAGCCAGCATACAGCGCTGCAGTGATGAGCAGAGTCCTGACAGCCAGGTACAGGTCTGGCTTTGAGAATTTCGCCACGTGAGCTTTGACCTGCACTCACCACAGGAACGACATTGACAAGAGCTTCTCTTTTTCGAACAGAGCGGAGGCATCTTTCTGTTCGATTCATTCCTGAGTGAAACAGTCGGAAAGCAAAAAACCCACCAACAAATGCGAACTAATGCAGTTTCAGAGTAATCAAAGGTTTGGGGATGCTATCTTCGCTTTCGGTAAAGCAGACGTTTCTATAGCTGGTTGATCAGTGATCACTCTCAGCTTGGAGATGTGAGCAACAGCCAGTAGCGTGAAGTGTGTCTTTCACCTCCTCGACGTTTCGCTTAATGTCGTCAACCGGCCCGGCTTGACTCAGGTGCCACACCATCTCGACGGATAGATTTCGCACTATTCCCGATAACTGTGGCCCGTCAGCAAGTTGCGGTGTCCTTCATCCAGCTCAGAAAGGGACCAGAACGGTGCGTGGAACACTCTTGCTTATGCAAAACATGCCCTTCAAAGCTGGCAATCGTCCCAGAAGGAGGTGGTTTGGGCATGCACGACGTCGGAGACAACCTCGTCCGAGGAAACGACATCGGAGCAGCCTTCTGTTGGGCAGTTCATCGGGCAGCCCAGCTGGGCTGACGCATGGTCCTGATCAGGAGTCGGTCATGCATGCAGCCGTACATGATGCAGCAGACAACTTGTGCCTGGATCTGACTTTTTTTTTATTATCCGGATGCCATGCTCGTGTCCAGTTCTGAGACTCAGATTAAAAGGCAGGAATGCCATGCGCATTGAATCAGCCCCAAACGGGCTGGAAGTTATGTTATTTACACCGATGTAATTGCCAACAACTGGACCACATTTGGAGGGACTCACACACGCTTCAGAGTTTTGAATTACTCCAAAAGTTTCTCTCAAATCGTGACTGTCTCCCTCTTGATATCTTACTTACCCACAAATTGTTTCATTCTAAACCTTGGGCCCTCGGGAAACAGGGGGATCTATATCTAAGTAGTTTTAAAGATCTAGTGGATAGAGATCCCTCTGCGAGAAGAGCCTCCCCTAGATGATACATCTTCAAAGGGAACACAATGGCTCCTTTTCTCCCATCGCAGACCACCGTTTGCATAGTGTACAAGTGTCTGGCATCGCATAATCAAATGGGCCATAAGCCCCATTCAGCATAATTGCTGACCATCAAGCCAGTAGCACTTCTGTCATACTTGGATGTACTTCCCAAAGAAAAGGCATGCATGAAACCCTCCTGATCAAACATTCCGGGTTCAACAAAGAAGAAACAGTACACATTGTTAACTCGAAGTGGTGTACGTTCAGCATGCATTCTTCAATTCATTCTTCCGAATTCCCTAATCATACAGATGCCACAAGCAGTCTATGCAAGAGCAAAGCTACTCGGGAGGAAGAAAACAACCCTGCAAGTGTGGTGCTGGGACACAGGCCTTCATCCATATGAAATAGCCGATGGCGAAAGCCTTCAGAATAGAATACAAAGAGCACTGCCCATGTCAGCACCTCAAGTACATGAAATACCAAGCACGTATATCAAGCACCACAAATACTTCATTCTTCTTTTGCTCACGCCTCCTTGGTGGAAAGATTTGGTAGCGACTGCTCAGTAAGATAAGTTGAGGGTGAGTCATTGATGCCCAGCAGCCAGTTGAGCTCGGGGAAGGATTCAAACCGATGCTTGTCCGGGTTCCACATGACAAGCAGGAGCGACTGCAGCTCCATTTCCAAATTCAAATATTTGACGTAGCGCCAGGTGGCGGGTGGCGCGCTGTCGTGGCAGGCGCGGATGCGGTAGGAGGGAACGCGCGTGGAGAAGTGGTGGATGTGGTGATACTGCGTAATTGCACACAAGTAAGCTTTCCAGTGTCACACCAATCAAACTCAAATGTCAATTTTGAATGTCACACCCATGGAGAAACACACAGTGCAAAGCAATTGGTGCGTCTTTTTCTTACAGGTGCAGGAGATGTTTTCACCGGGCATTGAAACAAAGGCCAAGTCTTGCTTGCAGAATTAGAAATGCTGCTTGGGACGTGATAGCGTGTACTTTACCTCGATGCCATTAGTCGCCCATTTGAGCCACTCAGGAACGTACTGAAAGGTGGAGCCTGGCAGTACACAGTAACATCAGTTACAGATCAGTAAAAAACTGCGATGCAGACTCCAAGTACAGTTATGTAATCCTGTGCACAACTCTCTGCAATTGGTCAATGTTACGATTAGCTTGACGTAGTCTTTCAGCTTGCACAGAGAAGACTGCTATGTCACGAAACCTTGCCAGACAACCATGACTAAGTTGCTAGTCAGGCAGGGCCACAACAGAAACAAGGTGATTCCTGTGGCTCTAAATCAGGTTCTGCACTCCTAGCCTAGTGACTTACATCCACAGAGATGGGCCCTTCTCAGAATTCGAAAACAAATGACGCACCCATGAGGCCTGCCAGGTCACGGTCATGCTCGTCCCGGGGAATGTCAAAGTAGAGGTTTGGGATGTGCGCCGCATGCTGCAGATGAAACAAGATGATCCCTACCGTGGTAGCCTGCGGCAAAGACCAGAGCTTCCATTAAGCCATAGTTGTGCCACTCAAATCTTGATAAACTTTACAGTCCTCAAAGGTCCTTGTTTGCAATCCTGGCAGGCTGAAGTGGATATGCTTCAGGCTTCAAGCTGGGTGCCATTCTAAGACAGAGACAAACATCGGCGATGAAAACTTCGAAGACAAAATTGAAGGCGTCAACTTTGGCAGGGGTTGCTTGAGCGTTACCACCATGATCGTGCCAAGCTCATACCAGAGCCAAGATTTGCCAAACAGCGTATATCCAATGCATGCCTGCAGAGCACATAACTCTACATGAGCGCGAAGCAAGGGACCATAGCTGAGTCTGCAGCCAAGGTCACACCAAAAACCTGCCATCCAAATTACAAACCAGTGCCTCAAATCTGCATCCAGCTGTGTATCACTCAATCTATACAAGGCCTATGCACAGAATAGAGTGACATGTTTCTGGACTCTGTGGCTACTGGACATGCACAACTCCATCTTGGAGCTTCGCTTCAGATCCTAAAGCAATTATGCACGGAGCAACTTGAAGAGCTGAGACCTGCCATACCTGAAGGGCAGGCAGCAGCGTGGGCAGGATTCTGTCGATAGGATCCATGGGATGGATGCGGTACGGAGGCTGAGATGGCACCACTTTCTCAATCCTGCAAACAGAAGCTGCACTTTCAGCTTGCTGCAGAGCGTTAGGCAGTTGCTCCATCTCAATTGCTGCAGGAAGGAGACTCTCCGAAACACTGAAGAGATGTTCTCTTGAAGTCAGGACACGGAGACAGCACTTTGAAATTTTGGATCTAAAAACTCGAAGTCAAATGTGGTGAAGAAAATTTTCTCACAGGGGCAGTTTGCCGTTGTGCACTCCGGCCGCCATGAAGATGAATGTTGGCACAAAGGTGAAAAAGAAAATCTGCAGGGCAGCAAAGCAGAGTTGATGTCTCAAATATGGCACATGTTTCTTGTCCATGTCTCTGACATGGCACATGCATCATCTCATAGAGGGAATAGGCATCCATCAAATTTCTGCCGAGAAACCAAGAGGGCGCTCCCTCTCTTTGGTGTTGACGCTACAGGCAAAACGACTCAGACTGCCTTCTTCAAAAATCTCAACCTCACCGGGTCTCTGGCAAAGCGCAGGAAGATCTTTCTAGGCAGCGAGTAAGACTCCCATTCTTTTGTGGTCCATCCCACCATTGAAGTCTGGTCCACCATCGGATGATCCTGCAAAGCACCACTGGCTTTCTCAGGTACCTCAAGGAATTTGTCTGCAGAGAACACTCTCTTGGCAAGAGCACAATCATAACTATCTGTAGTCACGCTGTTGCTGCCAGATGCAAGGTGTGTTTGCAGACAAGCTGCAGGTGAAAGCTGCCGCGCATCCTGCCCCTTGATAAACTCGCCAGGTCCAAGCAATACCCAGTGAACCGTGGGCATGGTCTCGGTATTTATACCGGCCTTGCCAGCCGGGGCTGTGCTTCCACGAGCAGTAAACAGCACATCAATTAGAAATGAGAGACAGAAAACAAACAGGAGCAAGGAGAGAATCTCACATCTTTGGCAAGGTTCATGTGGTGGTCTATGTTGTGGTTCTTGTGCCAGCCTGAGTACGATGTCATTTGCAGGGACCCAAGGAATCTTCCCACCCACAGATTGGCCCTGCTGCTCTTGAAGAAGCTTCCTGCAGAAATCAGACAATCCGAGTCATCCTTGTGACAAACAGCTTTAATGTATCTGCAGTGCACATGAGGCTCATTTCACTCATAAGGAACCTGCACAGCAAGTCGAAGAAGATCGAATAGCAGACTTCCTTCAAGCAGATGACTTGCTTAGCAGCTTTGGGACCCACAGGTGCACCAACTGGTCGTTGAAGCAGACAAAATGCATCAGAACGCCGTGCCCTCCTCATATATTTCACTGTACAGAAGAAGGTGTCCTGTAGGGTACAGTCCTGATGCAGCCAGTGGGGATGAGGGCAGGCAATGCCTGCAGCGCACCATGGCAGCAGTCATGGAAGATGACGAAGAGGCGATCGTACAGCACTCCCCTGTGGAATACGAGAATTGCCCACAAGGCCCAATGCTTTGTTGCAATGGGGTGTGCAGCAAAGAAACCGACGTGCAGGACTGCCGTCACGACCAAAGCTCGGATGGCCAGGTACAGATCCGGCTTGGAGAATTTTTGCACATGAGCCTTGACCTGAATTTCAGGACAAGCCACAGCGTTATGCAAATTTTACCGTCGACGACTTGACGCATGGCGTTGCCATATCAGCTGCATCAATCTTACGCCCCAATCGGACGTGCAATAGAGCTTAATGTGATGATTTTAGAACATTCAACCACCAGGAGCGAGTCAGCAATACTGAGTGCAACGCAAGCGTCGAAGTGATCGCCTCTCAAGTAACCCCAAAGCCCTACTCGGCTGGCATGAGCGGAAAAAGGGCCTTGCTATGGCCATTACCTCTTCGACATTTCGCTTGATGTCTTCTATCGGTCCAATCTTGCTCGTTTGCCACACCATATCGACGAGAGAGGGACGAGACCTGGCCTTCCGCTCAGTTGTCACCGGCAGGGTTGAAATCCGCAAAGCTTCAAGCTGCTGTGAGACACACAAATACGATATATGAGCGTCCAGCTGTTATATTTATATTCATAATAGCAAAGCCTGGAAAAACCGTGTGCAGGAAAGTTGGGAAATGCATTGGAACCAGTCGTACCACGGATCTAGTGTACGGCACCTACTTTTTGGGCGTGCGTGCATTCCAGACTCTCATAGTAGCGTCTCACGATATTCTGACAGATCGGTCTTGTCGAATTCTCCTATTAAAGATGGAATAGAAAAGACGAGTTGTGTCAAACCCTAGCTAGCTAGGAGGATGTTGACAAACCCCAGAACAAGCACGTGCGACAAATTGGTCGCCTCTGAAACCTTCCCTGAAATGCTGCCCAAGGATGAGAAGAGAGGCACATTGGAGATTACTATTGGGTGCACAGTACATGGCCAGCTCTATGCAGGCTGTCGAGGTAGCATGCAGCGCTGTAGCACGATAATGGTCCTTCAGTTGCAACCAGTTGGTCTGCAACATGCAGCTTGCCAAGTGAAGTTGCTTTGAATTCTATTCCAGACTACATGGTGCCATAAAAGTGCGGTACGACTGTTAATGGACATATTTACATGATGCACTCGAATATATTCCGCATGGTGATCACTCAAGAGCCTCCAGCTGGACACGGCGTTCTCTATGAGGGACCCATGACATCACCCAGAAAGATGACCTCCAGATATATGCAAGGGGGCCCGTTCAAAATAGACAAGATTTATCCTGATATATAGAGTTGCATTTGCACACACGGCTATATATATTGGCAAGTGCGCAGGGTTCCTGCTGCAGAAAACAGGCATTGTAAGGCATGCGCACAGGCAGCTCAAGCATACAAGGCAACTATCCTGGACACCCCTTACAGAGGTGGTATGTACTGGTTGAACAATCATCCTTCAGTCACCGAACCAACCTCAACATCGTCAAGATAGCAGAGAAACACCCATTTTGGCACCAGCCAGGCTTGTGCCAACAAGGGGTGACTCGCAGCGGCAGAAGGTCTAAGGCGTTTGTCTTGAGTTTTGTGATTTGCCGATCAAAAAAGCAACATCAAATGCATGCATGCGAGCAGCACACTGACTTGTGCGCTAAAATAATACAAGATGTCAATGCAAATCACCCAGAAGAGCAACATTCCCCTGCTGAGAGCACTGCACCTCATAAAAAGGCTATTCCTACTGATATACAGCTCCATTTGCCTGTCCCTCAATCAAGATGTTCCTCTTGTCTTTTCAGTGTGTTCTATTCTGCTGCAAAAGAAATCAGCCTACCCTCTACAGTAGTACTTCTACGCGCGTCTATGCACTGAACATACAAAATCATTCCGTTTTCTTGAGCTACGTATGTCTTTTATGGCCCTATATCTTCAGCGCTGAGCTGGCAAGAGGCAGGAATTAGAGAGCACAATCTAGTGAACGTTCCTTGCATCCGTTGGGCATGCCGAGCATGCGCTTGAAATGTGCAAACAAGGTAAACAACATTGTTTCCAGCCTGCAACCTCTGATGGGCCTCCTTGCTGAACCTCTGCCACGCAGCCAGCGTCCTTGTACAGTCATGCCCCAAGATCTGCACAGTCTGTGGTCTTGTCTGTGGCTGTTGCTGCAGGCCGCATCCAATGAGCCTGCCACATGTAGCCGCTTAGGCTCCCGGCTGCTATCTTGTTTTTGATGTCTTGGCAATCGCGGGCCACGACAGTTGCTGCACGAGCGCTGCTGAAGGCTCCTTATGAGCATTGTGGGCCAGCACCAACAGTGCTCTACTGCTGTGATACACATTGTGGCCTGCCGAATGCACACATGCATATACCGCTGATCAGGCTTCCCACTGCTTCTCTATATAAGTTTCTGGGCAATTATGGGCCACAACAGCTGCACGAGACCTGTAGAGCAGGTTGTATCCTACGGGCTGTTGTATCCTACGGGCGTGCATTCAGCCGATCAGGCGGCGGCGCCCGGCCGACCGCGTGTGCCGGCGGCTGGGGCGGGGTAGGTTGAGTGGGCGGCATGCACGCTGATGCGTAGTCTGCCCGTGGCCTCGCGCCACAGCGTCACTTTGTCTCCTACGCCCACGGCCCAGAACGCTGCGAAGGTCTGCGTCACAGACGAAATTCACTTGTGCCAAACACGCTTGTAACAACGTCAGACATTGTCAAGCAGGACACCCATCAACAAGTAGAACACCTGCTCTTCTGGTGGACAATTCTGCACAAGCATGCATCAGACATGAACAAAGCATATACAGGAACACCTCGTGGAAAATTGGCAGAGGTATAGCAAGGTCTGGGCTTATGCCAGTATGGGCGAGTACAACAGCGACACTGCTCAGTCCACGTGGAAAGGAGGTGATGAGTCACCTTCCAGCCGGCGCGCAGCTCGTAGGAGTAGCGGTGGGGGACGCAGCGGTACGTCATGGGCCACAGCCGCCCGCTGTCATCCTCCAACTCCACGCTCATCTGGCTCGGGCCGCCTGCAGCGCAAAACCAGTGTCATCCATTGTGCTCCATCAAACAGCGGTGTAAGTGACAGATCATCCCATCCCAAAGCCTTGAACAGATGCAGGTGGAGACACTCTTGTGCACCAAGCAAAGGCGAGAATTGCCACCCACAAATGTGCCAAGAGAGCCACCACTGCCAAGCAGATGGGAGCGTGCAAAAGTGGAAAAGTATGATGGAAAACTTTCCTTACCTGCGCTGGTGTGGGGCGGCTGTGGGAAGAGGTGGCGAGCCATGTCCTTGGTGAGGCACATGATGTGGTCGCAGCTCTTGTAGTCCAGGGTCTTGGCGAAAAACCCTGAGCCCTGGTGCGGCACCGGGGGCGGTAGCGGGGCGCGCGGCCGGTGCGCAGCTGCGGCGGAGCCGGCCCGGCGCTCCACCTCCTCAGCCGCCTGCGCCAGGCTCTCCAGCAGCAGCCCGGCAGCTGCCGCGCTGCCGGCGTGCCGCTCATACACCCCGTTTCCAAAACTCTGCTGCTGGTGCTGCTGCTGCTTGTCCTCATACTGCTCCTGCTGCTGCTGCTGGAACAGGGGAAGCTGGAAGAGCTGCTGCTCAGCGCGCCCGTCGGCTGAAGCGGCCGAGGGTGAGAAGAATTGGTGCATCGGGTCTGGATTATCCACAAGTCCCTGCTGCTGGTAGCTGACAACGCCGCTAGTGTGGGGTGCGTCGTCGGGGAACATTGCCGCGGCGCCGGCGGAGCACTCGGAGGGGCTCTCTGCGGAGGCGGCCGCGCCGCCGGCTGGCGCGCGGGGGCTGCCGGCCGCGGCGGCGAGGTCTTCAGATGCGTTGTCTCCACCGCTCTTCACGATGCGAAGGCCGCAGCTAAGCGGCGCGATGTGCAGCGTCGGGCTCGCTTCAGCTATTGGCTGCAGCTGCTGCGGCGACTGCTGCTCCTCCAGCCTGCAGCATATAAAATGTGCTTAGCACATGCCCCGTAAGCTAGTTACTTCCCTATGTCATAGCTAGAAAACCCCATAGAGCAGCTTGTACTGACTATAATTTACTACACATCTTGTGCAAGTGGGTACATGTCAGTGCACGCAAACTGCCAAGCTAATACTGTCAAGGCCAGGACAAATACAAGACCAAGATTTAAAATGCAGCTTACATTGAGCTGGCGGCAACAGAGGTGTTGGCCTCCCAGTATTGGTTGAAGCCGAGCGCGCCGGGCCAGCCGGCTACATGTAACGCCCCCGGCCAGCCGTGCCCCCCGCGGTGGACCTCAGTGGTGTCACGGGGCCCCCCGGTCACGTCCAGATCGGAGTCGGTGTCCTCGGGCGTGCTGTTCTCCTTGTCGCACACGCTCGGCTGAAGCGCCATCTGCACCCGCTCCTCCTGGTCCTGCACAGCTAGCCAACAAATCAAACACTGTGTGATCAACGGAACACTTGTCTGTAGTAGTTGCAAATCAGCGCACATTTACCACCACTAGCACTCAATAGCAACCTCAAGAGCAGCCCTGCCATAACTGTGACTCACAACCAAGCATGCAGACCTTGCTGACGAGTCTACAAACGTCACACCCAACACAGCATAAGAGGAGGACGACACGCCCCACAAAATGACAACGACGGTGTAAGGAACACAATGGTCTCCCATGCAGGTATCAAACAGCAGTGGTAACACCATCTATGATAATATGTAGAAGAGGAATGCACACCTTCAGCTGGGAACTGAGCCGCTGCAACTGGGCGTCCCAGCTGCGCAAGCGCGCATCCCAGTCGGCCAGCCGGCCTTCGCGCGCGGCCAGCTCGGCTGACCGCGCCGCCAGCTGCGCCTGCACTCCGCAGCACGCCGCCTCGCGGACCGTCACCCCGGCCTCCCTCTCCGCCACCGCCGCCAGCCACCTCGCGGCTGCAGAGTCAAATCCCTGCATCAAACACCTTTTGTCAGGACGATGGCATTTCAATTATACTTGCATGCGACTGGTTGCAGATTTAAATCCGATGCTCGCTGCCAAGCACTTCAGAAGCTGCCTATAGGACAGGACTTACGGCCTCGTGGACAACACTTACGGTCTGCAATACAACAGATACGTCATCCAGAGCTTCACTGCCACAAGAGGACTCCACAGCCCAAATTCATGGGTTCAGGGGAAAAAAACTTTACTTCCAAAACACAACATACAAAACTAATCAATCAGAATCTCACCACTTGCGATCTGTAAAGCTTGAGACACAGTCAGAGCTGGGAAGCTACCTCGTAGGCACTGCGCACGCCGTCGAGGCTGTCAGCGCAGGGCATGCGCAGCTGCAGCTGCCCGGCACCTGCCCGCTTGCGCTTGCCAAAACTCCTAAGCTGCCCTGAGGGCAGCAGTGCCTCTGACGTTGACGCTCCGTTCAACCCATTGCCAGTCAGGGCTGCCAGCTCCCTGAAGCCTCCCATGTTCTACCTGCAAAAATAGAAAAAGATGTCAAGAGCGAGCTTGACACAGCAGAGGCGGTCCCTGTTGACATACAGTTGGGTAGAGAAGCTCTCGCATCAGCTTCAGAGGAAACAGAAAAGACAGCAGCAGCAGCGAAGGCTGCCAAAAGTGCTGAGGCTGCACAGCTGGGGTGAACAGCAAGGCGCCTTTGAGGACAGTCACCCCTCCAACAAGGAGTGGCATATAAGCCAAAAAAAGGGCCAGGACTGTGCCAGGCGAGCAAACGGAATCCTATTGCACAAGAGATGCGTTCACAGCCTCCCAACGTGACCTCGCCACACCACCAGGCTGACATCACGAAGCCATCAAAGCAGCAGTGGAGGTAATAGAAATATGGCAGACACGAGCACGGCTCACAACAGGCGCCAGGGACAACCTTAGGGAAAGTGGCCCCCTACCAAACCACAGAAGTGAATTGGACACCTCCGAGTCAGCAGGTGACGTTAAAAGTTGCAAGCGATTATGCAAAACGCCCCTAACACCACACCTGTGTCCGTGCCCCCAGCCCACGATACCATGCTCATGAAATAATCCGGATGACATCTTGCCGCATGCTGAACATCTGTGAAGCAATTTTGGACCCTTTTGCCCAAAAACCATAAGGCCTGGGAGCAGAAGGAAGCCTCTGGAAGCTGACCTTTTCCTTGAAAGACGGTGTCCGCCTCTTTGACGGTCGGCCCCCTTGTTTGAAACTTTTAAAGTCGGTCCCACTCCTAAGCAGACCGGCGCCGACCGTGGGCGCGCTCAAGAGCGATGAGCAGACGTGTCCCGAGGCCTCCCGATCACCTTCTTGTCGCCTACGTAAAGCACTGACCACGCAGCTCGTGTCCTTCACAGGCTGATAAAAGCTGATTCCGTCCGGTCTCCGACAATCTGACCAAAGGTTTGTGACAATGCGCACAGAAATGATGGTGAAGGCACTCTTCTTGACGTGGCGTTGTGTTGAGAGGAAAGCAGTCACGTAAGGACCGATTAGAAATCGAGGGTAGCTTCGAAGACGGCCTCGGCCCCACCTCGCTTCCGACACCATAGCACTGGAAAAGCTAGCTTTGCAGAATTGGTACAAAGACAAGAATACTCTCCTGACACTTCATCAGTGAGCTATGTTGAATAATGAGGTGTCGATAGAGATAATTTGAATAAATCCAGAAGACGCTTTATTGAAGATTTACTATGATCGGGTAAGCAAGGAGCTGCCTGTGCGGATCATGGCGGACTACGATAGCGATGGGGGCGATGGCAATCTACAAGAAGCACCACGGAAGCGGCAGAAACGCTTTACGTTCAAGAATTTTGCACAGAGGGTGGCGGAGGTGGGCCTTTATGCTTATCAGGAGTTCATTTACCGAGGCAGATGCCCTTTTTATATGCGGTCGTATAGTAACAACGTCTTGAAATCATTTCTGTTCAACGATCGCTCCCTGTCCTCCCTTGAAAACTGCCGTCAGGCTCGTAGTAAACTGCACAGGGCTGTCAGATCACTGCTATAGAGAGGAAACCTCGTTGTGAACTCCTGTTCTAATAAAATTGCGGTTGAAGGAATTGAATATCGACTACCATCTCAGCTAGAGTCCATCAATGGTGCAAATCTCAGCCAACAAGTGCAACTCCACAGGTCGATGTGGATGTGTACCGGAGGCCTCCAGTGCGTGCAGAGCCGCTGCCTGGATCGAGCTCGTTCTTCCATGAGGAGCTGCAGAAGATGCGCGAGCTGCACACCACGGCCGACTTCCTGCAGGCGGCCGCAGCTCTCAACCCACTGGTCCAAACTCTGCCACAGCTGGTCCACCACAAGGTGCAATCATTTGCCACCCATGTTGTTTTGTGCTGCAAAGGTTGCACATCTGAACCAGCCTGTTTAGAAGGCCTTGTGGCGTTTTCACACCCATTTGCTTTGGCAGCCCACGCGGCCCTGGGATATCAAGCGTGCACCATGGCGCTGTCAGGAATGGCCTCCCCACCATGTAGTATGCCTAATTGCTGTGGAGACTTCTGGAGCACGTGGCTGTGGGCCTGCTCAACTCCTTTTTAAGGACATGTCACCGGCTTGCTTTCTAGCGCAAGTATCGCACCACAATCTTTTCTGAGCCATGCATGACCCAGTAGTGCTGCTCGATGACAGGATGCGGTGGTGGGAATTCTGCTGGGGGCGGTGCGGATGGATGCAGCGCTGTCACTGGACCCAGTTCTGGCGCTGCTGTCTGTTTTGGCGCGGGACCTGCAGGAAGACTGCGTTCCCTACGCCCCGCGCATCATTGACTCCCTTATGGACCTCGTGGAGCAAGGTGCGCTATTTGAGCTTTGGTGTTGTTATGCTTATGCATGCTTACTGTGCAGGACTGCAAGGGGCCGCTCTGGCATGGAAGGCTGGCCGCATCACGCGCTGTTTGAACCGTATATTCTGCGTGACTGGAGTGATTGGAATGCACTACTGTATGCAGTCTTGCATTGGTGGGTTGCCATGGGGTGGTGGCGACCAAGCTCATATGCAGCAGGCCATCAAAATTGGCTGTTTTGAGAAGGTGGCATCGCAGCGCCTCTTGACAGCAGGTCAATGACGACCGGGACACAAAGACAGTCATAGTGTATATGTCGACACATACGGATGCGCTGGATTGTTGTTGATTGCCGGATGACTGCTCCATGCCGGAGCGCCGATCATTGTTACCAATGAGGACATTTTACTGATGTGGCAGTGCTGATGTGGCGCAGGCGCGGACCGAGAGCCGGAGCTGCTGCAGCATGTGTTCGGCTGCCTGTCGAGCCTGTTCAGGCACCTGGTGCGCCACCTGGCCGCTGACCTGGCCGCCATGCTGGCGCGCACCGCGCGGCTGCGCTACCACCGGGCCGAGCACGTTCGGCTGCTCGCCGCGCAATCGACAGGTTTCCTTTTCCGGCATGCCGGCCAGCGCGCGCTGAAGTCCGGCATGCGCGCTGTCTTCGCTGGTGAGCTCTCTGCTTCATCGAGATCCCTCGGCCCTGCTTGTGAATTATAGCACAATGAATGGTGCCCGCCTGAAAGGCTTCCAGGCTGGATGGTGCTGATGCTCGCTGTTCCTACACGGGCAGAAAAGCGCAGGGTAGAACGCTCTTGACATCTGCCATGCGCTGTATTGCGAGCGTGTCGGAAAACCGAGCCCCAGCTCATCACAGCTGATGGATCTGATCAATGTCAGCCGCTCTTAGGATGACTGACCTACAGCACCATGTCTTGGCTGGCTGTAGCCCACTGGTATGCAGCTTTGTGAGTGCAGGAGCCTCTGTCCTGTCATCCCAGCGCTCTTGTCAAAGTGATATAATTATTCTTGTGTTCACTTCAGAGCATGCGCTGCGGCCGAGCGAGGAGAGAGCCCACGGAGCCGGCCTGCTTCTGGCGGAGAGTGTTGTGGGCGTTGGTAATGGGCTGCACTCGAAGGCTGCTGTGCTGCTGCCGCTGCTTCTGCGCGAAGACTTGCTCGACCGCTCAGACCTGAAACCCGCCACAGAGGTGGGCACGCGCACAATATCTCAGGCATGTTGCATGATGCCATCTGCTGTGGCGAGGAAGTCAGGAAGACATTTTTGTGGAGAGGCTAGAAGCAAAGCATGGCAGCGACTTGCTTGAGTATGTGATGACGTCATCAGGCTGTCCATCGCTGGCCAGACCTCTGTTGGAGTCACCCACCTCAGCCTCAGCGCTGGCTTCAGAGTTGTTGCTTGATGACTGTGATCTGGTCACAAAGTGTCACTGTCTGTTTGTTCCTTCTGTGCTGAAATTTGCAGCCGAGCGAGGCGAAAAAGTTGTGAGCGTGGGGAAAGAAGGTTTTTATGGTCCTCGCAGGTAGGGAGGGTGCCATCCAGGGAGGCATTGCGCGAGAGAGCGGCTGTGGTGGTTGAAATTGCGCTGGACCGGCTGCTGGAGCACGGCCGGCGCGGGAAATTAGCGCCGCTGTGGGACACCGCGTTAGACGAGACCGACGCGCGCCTGCGCAGCCTAGAGGCCTCTGCCGGTGCGTGCATGCACCTGGTCATGCTGTTTTGCAAGTGCAGACTCGCGAAGATGTGCAATAGTCTCCACCCAGAGCACATTATTCTATGTCGATGTCGCCTGACAGCCTTGGCGTGCAGTGGCTGCTGAAGTGGGACTCCTTGAAACCGCGTGAAGCATGCCCAGAAGTCAAGAATTCATGGATTCGTGTGCAGTCAGAAAGCTGACACCTTGCACTGTCACGCAATCGGAAGCGTTAGGCAAGTCTGGATCACTCTAAGTGTATATCTGGCATGTGCTGGCAGGTTCGGAGAGGGCGGCCGCTTCGGCGAGCGCCGCGCGGGCGGTGCTCACCCTCGCGCAGATGACTGAGTACATCCGCGGCAGCCGCGTGGAAGACTACGCTCCACTCTTTGCCCTCACCACGCGGCTCGGATCCATCATCGCAGCTCACCCAGCCGGCGCAGACTCAACAATAACTCACCCGGGCGGTGGCGATGAGTCAGCGGATGCTCACCCCGCCAGCAACGATGACTCGGCGGGTAGTCTTCCCGGCGTTGGCACGGCGTCGCTGCCGGGAGCTGCGCTGCGGCTGGTGGCGGCAGTGATCGGCGGCCACGGCAAGGATGTCGGCGCGAGCGCTGGGCTGAGCGCCATCTCTCGGGCCGTCCCCGGCTGGGCGCCTCTGCTGACTCATGCACCCATCGACGAGGTGAGCCTGGGTTAACTGTTTCTAATCTTAAGACTTGCGTTTCCTGAGCATCTTCATGGTGGCGTGCATGAGAGACCTATCTCTGCATGCTCACCTTCACACATGTGTGTTGTGCATTGCACTTGCTTCAGACTTTTACCGTATAAGATGGGCGGTGTGACTTACATCTGAGCAAATTTGCCGGCATTTCCCTCATCTTTTGCCCTCTTGTTGCTGAGCGGACCAAACGAATTATGGCCGATCCAGTGCTGCTTTCGAACCTTGAGTTGCTGGTGCTGAGCAAGGTTGTTGTGAGATGCTGCTGCTGCTACTTTGTGCTGCATTAGAATTCTGTTTCGAATCGAGACTTTGAGAAGCTGCTATGTTTTAGGCTTTATATTCTAGGAGAGGGTGTGTTATAAAAGGCTGCTATTTACCATGGCGGGATGCATGTCACAGGTGCTGCAGTTTGTGCGCCAGATCCTGCACGGCGCCGGGGCCGGCCCGGCAGCGGCGGCCGCTCTCGGCCCGCTGCTGCTGGGCGCACTCGGCCGCGCCATCGTGTCCGGGAACGCCGCACAACGCTCGCGCGCGCTGCCTCTGCTGGTCGATGCCTGCGATGCGCTGCGCCCGGAGGCAAGTACCGTCTGACAAGAAAAACATTCCCAAAAGGGCTTTTTACAAATTGCATTGCTCTCCGATTAGCGGCCTTGCCTCACAGGGCGTTCCGTCGGACGGATACATGCCCACGGCAGAGGAAAGAAGGCTTACAGGGCCAATATTTAAACTCTTAATGTTTATTTTGCCAAAGAATTTCATGCAAAGGGTGACGATACGGCCTAGCCCCGCTGGCCTCACAAGGCCTGCCCATTCGGCGGGGTTAATCAGCTGGAAAAAACATGCCCGCCCTTCTCGGGAACGGTGCTATTTCCCTGCGTGCAATACCCCACACCTCTGAACCCGGCTCAATTACCCTGCTGGATCCGACCCAAAACCCCTATTGACATGCTGCTGGATGTTGGCCAGGCTCGTTGCACTTTCACCCCTTTCTGCTGCAGCTCCTGGGCATCATGCTTGACAACAGGGGATTCCCTTCACGGCAACAACTGCCACTAAGGACCTCTGATGCAGTAAATCTCCTCCATCTTCCATTTTAGAATGAATTCTGACGCGTGTGGAATGGTGTGCAGATCTCTGCGGGCCAGGATGCAGTGCCCCTGCTGATGACAGCGCAGCCCGGCGGCGTCCGTCTGGCGGCGTTCCTGCGCAGGCTGGCGACTGAGGATGACTCACCGCCGGCCGAGGCATGGGCTGCCCTGCGTTGCCTCCCCCACGCCTGTGAGAAGCCAGATCAGGTGCGCCCCCCAACCCTTTTCTTCGAGTTTTTTGGTCGCTCGTGAATGGGTGGGAGTTCGTGCTGTGAGTTCAGAGCAGGGTTGTCTCCTTTGTCTCTGGCAGCACTGGGTCCATATTCCTTGCCCATATGTGATGGGCTTCTTAATAGCAGCACGAGTGGGTCCGGCATCGAGAGCCCATTTGCTGTTGAAAAGCTCTCTGGCGGGGCGTGGCATGTGGACACAATGAGAATGTAGAGCACATCTCTCCTCTTGCCCTCTGTGTGTGTCTCTGGACTCCTTTGGAGGGAAATGTGACCTTGTCTGTGGCATACAGGTGGTGGCGATTTGCAACATGCTGCTGGCCAGGACAGAAGCTGCCATGAGTCAACCCGAGGACATCCCTTCAAAGACTCGGGAGGGCCTCGTCTTCCTCCATGCACAGGTGGTCCTAACTCACATCTCCAACCCTGTTTTTGAAGGTCAGAAATGAGGAATATAATCTGTCAATACCGGTGGTTGGCTGTCTGGCCATCAGGCCTTGTTCCGCTGCATGTAAGGAGTTTCTTGAGCCATGGTAAAGAACAATTATATACTGGCCCCGGTAATCTATTTTGGGCCATTCTGCATACAAGGGTCACCAAAGGGAGGTAAAATCAATGGATCACGGGTGTTTAATGTTGTTGTGGTGGGGCCTCACAGGCCTGCCTGAGCTCTGCCAAAGAATATTGCACTTTCTAGCAGTGCTGTGCTATGTCAGGCAGGCTACGTTCTTGGATTATCAAAGGGAGATGATGTAAAGCACAAGGGGTGTGTGAGGCTGTTGTGGGGTGGATTCACAGGCGCTGCTGCTCCAAGCGCGGGTGCAGGCAGGGCACGCCCCTGCACGGGTGCATGAGCTGGCACAGCCTGCCCTGCAGCTGCTGCGCAGCTGCACCGGCAGCTTCCACGCGCTTGCCACCGCTGCCGACATCCTTGATGGCTGCAGAGCGTCCGGAAACCTCCTTCCTGAGGCACAACTGCTGGTGGGCTAACAATCACTCATGCTTGCCTTTTCTCTGACTTCCTCCTTCAAATACCTGCAATACAAGTCTGATCAATGGATTCCGAGGAAAGTGACAGGATAATGCACATACACTGTTACGGTGTGGCTGTTAGGATGTGGCAAAGCGGTGTTGACTGGAGAAGGCTTCAAGGATCTGCCATGACACTGCGCAGGCCAAACTCCAGTAGGCAACGGACATCTTGCACTGAAACATACCGTAAATCATTATGTGTGCATTGAAACATAATGTAGTTCCTTACTTGTACTTTTTGGTGTGCGCAGGAGCTGTTGCCTCTACTGGCGCCGAATTTGAATGCGCGATCGCAGTCGCACCGCGCAGCCGCCCTGAAGGTGCTCAGCAGCTTCCAGCAGCCGGCGCTGCCCACATCGGGCAACGGGCAGGCGGCCGCCGCCCAAGAGCGCAGCGACATATTCCCCCGCTGGGCCCAGATCGAGTCCCAGGTTTGACATTCGCCATGCTCTTTCTGCATGCATGCGGATGCTTGTGCACTTAAGAAAGCATCGCATCAGCATGCTTGCCAGGGAATTGCCAGGCAGCTAGGAGTTCTCCTGCAATCAGCAAGACACGTTGCACATTCGTCCAGAATATCTTTCGAAATATTCAAGCTGATGCTGCCACAGACACGAAGTGCCCCCTTGTTTTGGCATCTTCCGGGGCCACATGGGGATTCTCTTGCTTGCAAGAAAGCCTGCAGGGATCCCGTTCCTTATGCATGCATGCATGATGTTGCAGATCACGGCAACAGGACATGCATGCTTGCTGGTTGCTCAGAAATGAACATCGATTCTGAAGAGGGATTGCCTCTGCAGACGTGCACGCTGGACAATGGCCGGGTGGCGGCCACGGCGATAGTGCGCATGAAGACGGCGCTGGAGTACGGCCGCGTTCCCTCCGCCCAGATCGGACCCCTCGTACGCAGCCTGCTCGGCGCGCTGCATGTCAGGTGAGCCAGCTCCCCCTTAGTCATATGTACGCCAAATTTGGCACATGTGCTACATGCATGCAAACGACAAACTTCAGCATGCCAGAGCTCACCAAAGTACTTGCGGATTTGAGTTTCTGGCATCATTCATGAAGGGCGTATGGCGCGCCTTTTTCATGCAGGTACAACTCTGCAGCTGCATTCTGATTTTCCAATTGGAGACTTGTTTCCACATGGTAATGGGTGTATTGCTGACAGTGTTGTTGCTGTGTCGCTTCTGTGGCTCCCGGTATTGCTAACGATGGGTCACACCATGAGCAGTGCTTGAAGCCACATAGCGACCAGGCAGAAACAGGGCACCTGCACTTTCCCTCCACCCGCCTCAGATGCACCTGACAAGTCTTTCGTTCACCACGTCCAATTCAGGCTCAGGGCTTGACTGCTGCGCAGGTTCTCCCTGCTATGGGCACCGACGAGCGAGGCTCTGGCGACCACGCTGCGTACTAATGCTGACGTGGCGTGGCCGCTCGTGCTGGAGTCTCTGCGCGCCTGGCAGGCGGAGTTCCTGTCCGGCGCGGGACGATCCCACAATCCGCCCGGTGCGCAATTTCTGCCCGGTCCTGCTGGCTGGGCAAATGTTACATTCCTGATCTGATGCCATTAGATGCATTATGATTGCAGTTCAGCTTCACACCGTGGCATCGCCCCATTTCAGGTTCCACGTGCCCTGCATGGAGCGTTTGGGTGTAACGTGTTCTCAAGTACTCTGTTGATATTCCTGGTTCCTACAGTATCAGTGTGTATGAAGCCAAGAGCAAGGTGATCTTCTTGACTGCTACTATTTTACCAATATTGTGTCTATTTGTATTGCAGAGGGGCCAGCGGATGGGGATGAGAGCATTGAGCTGCAGACAGTGCAGCAGCGGTTTTCCTGGCATCTGGAAGAAGGCAGTGTGGAGCGCAGCGGCGGCTGCACCGACGCTGCCATGCGCATGACCAACCTTCTCAAGGTGACTGCTGCAATCTTGTCACTGAGTTCCTCCTACTGTGGATGTTGCCTTGCTCTTGAGTCATTCACTCTGTTCGCCGTGCAGGTCCCGTGCATTCTCCTTCCTGAAAGCTCACCAGATTTGGCCCACTTTTTCACCAATGCGGCTCCATCTGTGCTGCCGCAAGATGGCGGCGTGATTGCAAGATACATATTTGCAAATGGCATGTGATACTGGCAGTCATGCATGTACCCTATTAACCATTAGCAACCTCATACCCAGGAACCTTAAAGCAACATTTGGGTGTGTACCTGGCTTCCAAAACACCACGGACATGCTCCAGTGGATCGGGCTCGTCGAGTACTTTCCTCATCTGGTCTCAGATTATTGTCACAGGTTTTATATCTTTTACATGCGAGATGAAAATGTTATGTGGGCCTGATCAGGCGCTGGCGGCGGCCTCAGCAGAGGCGCTGGAGCCGCGCTCGGGGGACTGGGTCCCCCTGCTGCTGGCCTATCTAGGCTCGAGGTCACCGCAAGCGGCGGAGGACGCCCCTGCAGACGAGGCGGAGGGGGGATCCGACGAGGGTGACAAAGCCGATGAGAACCGGCGGCGCAGCGGCGCTGAAGCCGGCCCGTCTGGGCTGCCCGGTGGGCAGGCCGGGCTGCCCAGGACTTATGTCGGCGCAAGGTGGGTACTTTTGACTGCTGAACTGCTGTGATGTTGCCAGAACCTGCACTGATCAATTCCATTCTGCCGGCTTCTCAGGAGATCGGCAAATGTGCATTGAGCTGGTGGATGCTGTTGCATTGTTTGTCAGCTGACTGAGCGGCATTATTGGTCCTGTCTGGGTGTTCATCACAGCATAAGTACTCCTACACTGTTTATATGTGTCCCAGGGAGTATGGCCTGATGCTTTTCAGTACACTGGCAGACCATTCAGCGGCCTCATTTGCCCGGTCATTGAGTTCTTAAAATTGCACAGTAAATATCCTAATGCTCTGCAAAAGGTATTCACAGGGGAAGATTTACGTGAATGCAGGGCGTGGCGGGCGCTGGCAAAGGAGTGGATGGGGGCGGTGGCGGGCTTCAAGTCTCTGAGAGGCGTTCAGCGCTGGAAGGAACTCAGAGCTGCCATTGCCCTGCAGCTGCTCTCCAATGACCCGAGCCTGCAGCAGGCATCGCTCAAATGCCTCAAGGTACAGATGTGTCCCTTCTTTCCAAACAGGTTTTATACTGTGTGATCCTCTGGTCGCTGGTAATTAGACGGCCCGTAGGTGAAGCAGCCTATCACAGCACGCTTGGCAGGGACGTGCAGAAGACAGGCCTTCCTCGCTCCCTCACCTCCTTTGCTGTCCTCCCTTACAAAAGTTCACTTACCCAACCAGAATTTGGCGATCTGCCTGTAATGGAGGGTGTCAGCTGCACAGAAGGGGAGATCAATTCCGCAATGACAGGAACATCACGGTAGACGAACAAATGACTGAGTGCTAGCTGAGCAAATGCGGTTGGGATGCGTCTAGGTAGGCTGCAGGTGTGCTCTCAGAGAGATGGTGTTGTGAGTCATCTTTCTGGGAGATTATGGCAGGGCCCACCTAGGCGCACCCAGGTCTAACTGAAGCTATCCATCACTTGGTTTCCTGTACTGCAAGGTTGTTTGAGCATCAAGGAATCATTCTGGGGATGACGTGATTCTCGAAATCCCTGACAAATAGGGGTTCAAGCTGAAGTACCTCGGCCCGTATGCGGACCGGCTGCTGCGGCTGGCGGCTGACGCGACGCTGCGCGAGGAGCTGACGGCGTTCCCTCTCGCGCGCACCGCGGACGACGCCATCCAGCCAGAGCACCGCCTCGGTGAGTAGCAATCCCGCCCGGAATTCTCACTTCTTCAACACCCAATATGACAATACTGATTGATTGGCTTGACTGCGTGGAGAACCTGCCAGGATTACTGATCCTATTGCGCATGGGACATTAGACACAGTGGCCCAGGAACGCCGCACCCAAAGCCATTGGGAGTGAGGGTTGAAGTGGCTGAAACAAGCAGCGGAGATCTCAATGAGGACCTGCTTGTCTAAGCAGTATCACGATGATATTAGAACTCAGGCAGAAAGGTGGAAAGCCCACTGAGCGAAAGCAGCACATTCGATGAGCGGTAGAAATTTCTGTATGCAGGCCTGACGGCGGTGTTGGTGCGGGTTCTGTGGCCCAAAATGCGCAAGCGCTCCGGCCGGCTCGGCGGGAAGGGCGCGCCGGGCTCGGCCCGGGCCGCGATTCTCAACTTCCTCACCGGCCTCGAACCGCCCGAGCTGCGCCCGCTGCTCGTGCTCTTCCTGACGCCCCTCGGATCCGGCTTCGCCGTCACTCGGTGGGTAATCTGATTGTGCTTCTGGACATTACAAACGTCATGACGTCGGTTAAAGTCGATACTGCTGGATTTATTGGTTATTCAGTTGCATTATCCAACCCGTTCAAACAGCAAAGGGTCTATTATCAATCTAAGCAGTCAGAATTAAGCCAGACCTTTGCAACGCCATCAACGTCGGCTGGCGGTAGACGTTTGTGATGTTTATTAAAGTAGCTGCGCAATAGAGTATTGTACATTTCACGTTCCACAGGCCAAATGGCTGAAACTCTAGATTGACCGCAATGTGCTGCACGCAGAACCGATGGCGTTGCTGCGGCGGCCGGGGCTGACACGCTGTTTGCAGAGCCGTGGTGGGCGGCCGAGTTGGGGCGGCGGGACGGCGGCTGGTGGCTGTCGGCAGTGGATTCTGGCGCGCTGGCCACGCTGCCGGGCCGGGTGCGCGTCGGCTTCCTCAACGCCGCTGCCGACCTGCTTCGCCACCTGGTGCGTCTGAGTTTTTCTGTTCCTGTTTGCAATACATGCTACAGTACATACTCTTACCTAAGTGCTGATTTTCATGGACATCGGCTGCACGGTCAGCCGAATCTTACCTATTCTATATGCTGCTTCCCACGTCTCAGACCAGACCCCTGTCTAGTTTTTCCCGGCCTGCTTTTCTTACTCAGAACTTCATGCTGCTCCTTATGCAATTGAGCGAGAGAATTCTGCATGGGAAAATTTGCGCGTAGCCTCGTTTAGGCTTTATTTGCGTGCACAATCCCGACATCAGATCCCCTATGGAGCGCTTTGTGGGTTGAATTGTACCAACTCTTTGACAGGTACTCATGATCTGCGTGGTTCTTTTGTTCTTCCAAATTGTTCCTGAGTGTCCTGTTGGGTGAGCGCAGGGGCACCGGTTGGAGGCGTACCTTCCGGAAATTGTGGCCCTGCTAGTGTCTCTCCTCGAGGGTGCCACGTCATCGCTGCCAAAAGGGGCGCCTGCAGAGGATGTCCACGTCAGCGCCCCCCTGGCAGTGACTGGGCAGGACGCAGCTGCGGACGTACATGTGGACAATGCGTCAGAGGGGCAGAGCGATGCCGATGTGGACGAAGCAGAGGAAGCCATGCAAGTTGATGGAGCAACTGAACAGGTGGGACAAGTTCACCCACCAGCAGAAAGCACGCTACTCACAATGATCCTCGTGTGGTTGTCTTTTGAGCTTGGATATAGGATTTTCCTTCTTGGAATGAAGCTTGGTACCACCCACGAAGCCTGAAGCTGAATGGGTGCTTGTCCTCTGGCGGCACATGGATGTTTGGGAGGGGGGAAGCTATGCAGGGGTGAAAAATCCTCTTCCTATACATTTTCAATCCTTTGGATGCCACTCACTCTCAGCTTCTTCTATCATGTGTCTTCCATTTGCTCATTCCCCAAGTGTTTTGCGGTGTAGGCGGACACGGCTGTGCCATCATCGGACCCCACCAGGGACACAATCACTGATTTGAAAGCAAATTCGAATTTAAAAGCGGGCGAGAAGGCGCGGGAAGCTGACGCGGGCGCGAGGGAGGTCCGCTCCAGCGCGCTGCGGCTGCTGGCCGCGCTGTGGACGCGCTTCCCGGCCGCATGCGATTACTCACCCGTCTGGCCGCGCTTCTTTGGGGCAATCGCACCTCTGCTGCCGCGGCTGCTGGTGGAGGTATGCGCTTCTTTCCTCTTGACTTGGCCTGTGAGCGACTCCGCGATTGCAGAATTTGAAGTGTGAATGGTAACGCCAAGCCCCCATAAGGGGGGAACGCCTGCTGCCAAGCGTGACTTTTGAGGGTTCAAGTAAAGATCAAGGGGCGTTGTGCAAGAAGAAAAGGGTGCTCAGAGTTGTGTAAAGATTGACGCCGATCTCCTCGAAAGAGGTCAGGCCTCCTGCCATGCGTGACCATGGTGCTACAGCGGATTCCCTGGTCTGTAAGAGGCTGTAAAAGCCTTTGGCAAAAGGGGGGTGGGTTTAAGCACAAGAAGCACAATATAGCAAAATTCTGCAGGCTATCTCGTTCTAAGCTTATTGCCTTGCATGCAGGCTTCGGCTGAGAAGACACCACCGCTGCTGGAAGTGTTGGCAGCAATTGCAGCATCGCCAAGTCTGGCGCCTCTGCTGGGGGACTGTGCCTCACAGGTGGCAGCCTCAGAGGACGCCACCTGTCCCGTGGACATCTGCAGAGAAGCCTGGGCCAGCCAGCACCACCTGGGCTCAAGGTGCGGTCCTGGTGTATTTACTTTTCTCCTGCCTCTGTATCACATCTTTGTGGTGATGAAATGATTAATGTGTTGAGTCATGAGGCTTTCTGGCAGTCCCCGAAATGCAGCCTGCAGCGTTCAGGGCGTCTGCCATTTAGGTGGGGCAGCAGGCGCACTTGTCGAGTTCTGCATCATTTCTCATCATGTGAGCAGTGCAATACTCAACAGAACACTCCAGACAAACAGGCACTTTGCACCCCACATCTAGCTCACGCCCACTCGTGCCCGGAAGAAGTATCCTCTAATGACAGGAAACCAAAAAATTGTGCTCCCGGCTCGCAGGCTGCTGCAGCAGACGATTGCGGTGCTGGCGGCGCCGCATGCATCAGAGGCGGCGCGGGGCGCGGCTTTGGGCGCGCTCGAGTCGATACTCGACCTCGGACCGTCCTACGCTGACGTCATCCTGCGCCTGCACACAAAAGATCTGCTGGAGAGCCTCCGAGCGCTCGTCGCGGCGGCCGCCGCCTCCAACGGCGGCGCGCGGCCGAAGCGGCTGCGGCCCGGAGTCAAGGTGGGTCCGTGCAATGCCGTATCCGCCAGGCTTGTCAAGTTGAGAGGTACCCAATAAACCCACTTTGTACCTTGCAACTGCTCTGCTGGAGGTTGCACACATTGTTGCTTCCCCCCCATGGAGACCTTGTGAATGTGCCTTGAATTGCAGCAGCCTTGCACACTCGCTGCCGCAAAGCCCACTGATTGCCTAGGAAATGACCTGACCTGAATGATATGACCAAACAAAGGGTCAGCCGTCCCTTAAAATCCCAGAACTCTGCTGTGGAGCCACAAAAGCGGCCTCATGGCCGGACAAACATACAAGGACAGAAGAGTAAGTCGCGAACAAGTAATAAATGTGCGTGTGCTTGTAATGGGTCAGGTGGCGCCGCGAGGCCCGACGCGCACCGACGCGCTGCGCGCGCTGAGCATACTCGAGCGGATAGCGGCCGGCGGCGCCGCGGCCGGCGCTGACATGGCGCTGCAGCTGTCGGATGCGCTGCTGCCGATCCTCGCGCCCGGGGGCGGCCGGGCCGGGAAACGCGGCGACGAGGCGGCCGCCGTGCGCGTGCTCGGGGTTCTTGCTGCCGTGTGGTCGCAGTCCGCGGAGGCTGGAGGTGAAATGCCATGAATTCAAATATTTGTCCGGTGCAGCTTGTTTGGTGTGGGGTGGGCTTTGGGCGGGATTGGTTGCTCTGTTTTCTTTGCGATGCCTTCGACGACATCTGTACAAAAGGGCTGAAAGGGCACTTTGTGACCAGGAGCCTCATTTAAGTGCTGCATTTTGCAGCAATTCTCAGCCAGACTCGCCGTTTTTGGGCAGTACAGCTCACACGTTCTTGGTACATAGTAGCTTCATCACCCACCCAGAAAAGGATGACGAGCATTCTGAGACACCCAAATCGAGTCAGCAGTCTGAGCGGTTAATGCCTGTCCAGGTGGCATCCCAGAGGCGCACCTGTGGAGGTACGCCGCCGCGCTGGCGCCCCTCGCTGGAAGTCTGAGCAGCCGCGAGGCACGCGGCGCGCACACGGCCGCGTTCGAGTCGCTCGGCCGGCTGCTACCACCGCTGCAGCGCTCCGCCCGGCTGCTGTCCGGCCTCAACGCCATGTCTGCCACAGAGGTGTGGCTGTCGTCCTTGCGCACAAACACATTCTCCGGCTTGATGTCATAGTTGTAGATGCCCGTCCCATTTGCGTGCATCATCCCGGCGCAGGCCTGCATGACGTAGTGCAGCTGCTGCTGTAGCTGTAGCTGCTGCTGTAGCTGCAGCAGGTGCACTACGTCATACAGGCCTGCGGCGGGATGATGCACGCAAATGGATGGGCATCTACAAGTATGACATCAAGCCGGAGAATGTGGCTTGATGTTGTGAACAAAAATGCTTCTGTTGGAGAAGCATTTTTGTTGCCTTCTCTACACCACAGTGCCATATGCCCCTGTTCACCAAGGGTAAGGAGGCAGTGTTTCCTCTGGGGCATGCGACTAAAACAAAGCAGACCTCGTTGAAAATGTGAGCATTGGCCGTGCATTGCCAGCAACGCATGCTTGGTCCGTGCCAACCAACCTCGTTGGTCGCCAATGCATGCCTGTTGGATTTCCACATTGGCTGGCCCACACAGAAGTTGGCACAAAAACTTGTTTATATCCGCAGATTGATGCGCCGGACTACGACGCACGGCTGGGTGCTTACGCGGAGCTCAACCCAACTACTTGGGCCGCCATGCGCGCAACCGAGGCGCTGCCGCTGCTGCACGCCGCTTTGGCCGATGTGCGGAATGGAGAAGATCTCGCCGCGCGTGCAGCCGCCTCGCAAGCGCTCTCCCGGCTGATTTCTGCCGCCGCCGCTTTTGGCGACGATAAAGATGAGGCAGTGACCGCTGCCACGTCGTCAGTGGAGGCAGCTGTGGAAGCGGACCCCCCGGCGTTGGCCGGCGGGTCCGGCGCGGAGGGGGAGGTCCTGGCGACCGGGGGATCTGATGACTCATCGGCAGCGGCCGGGGGAGATATACGCGTGGTGGCCGAGCGGGTGCTCTACTCGCAGCTGAAACGCACACTGGCGATGCCTAGTCTGGCCGTCCGCCAGGTCAGCTTACCTCACCTTTTACCTCTTACAGTCTCTGTTTTGCTTCAACATTCTTCTGGAGATTCCACGTAGCACAACGCTGTATCGGGTGTTCACGTTGTGTGGTGGATGTACGTGAGCAACAAACCTGGGTTGGGACACATTTGGAGCAGGCTGTGATGGCTGCACATGACCCAATTCCTTCAAATATGCTCATTTGAACCAATAAATTGAGTCAGCATTCTGGTATTATGTGCAGGAGCATGTGGATCTGCTGAGGCAGCTGGTGCGCGCGTTCCCTACCCGCTTCCAGGACCTGCTCAAACTCACGGATGCCGACCCGGAGCTGGACTTTTTCAACAACGTCGCCCACTTGCAGTTGCACCGCCGCTCCCGGGCATTCTACCGCCTCAAAAAGGTGCGTTTTGATCTCGTTACCTAGGCCATATGCACTGTTGAACGGCAATTGCTAGTACAACATAGATCGGTGTGAAGTGCAGCATTCAATATGCACCTTGTACACTATGTTTACCATTTTACATGAAGTTGCCGGCCCATGCACACCTTCCTGTGTATGCGTTGAAAGGAGTATACTCTGCCTCCGCTGGCTGCATGACTGGATAGAAGCATTCCGCATGACATGCCGCAGCATAGGTGCATATACAACGAGTTTAGGTAAGTACAGGCTACTTTGTATGCCATTCAAATTATCTCATGCTATGCAGGCGGCTGAGGAGGGCAGCCTGGGCGCTGGAGCTCTGCTGGGCATAGCAGTACCGCTGCTCCAACAGGTCATTGTTGAAGGTGAGCGCTTACTGATGCATGTCACTTCAACACAATGTGCTTTCTCCCCAAGCACATGGCATTTGAAGGTGCTTTATTTCCTGATTGGCAATTACCAGGAAGGACCTGGCTGGGTTTGACACACCAAAGGGACCTGCATGCGTACGGTGATTTGCACGGTGATTTGGTTTCTAAAGCAGAGAGCGGCAATAAAAATTCACTGCGGTGATTGCTGAAGCACAGCTGGCGATCTAACCTGGGCAAATCTGTGGAACGCACAGGCAAGGAAGGGGAGGGGGCAGGCCACGAGCGCAAGGAGAAAGACAGGGACCGTGAGGCGAATGTCTCGGCTGCAGCGGTAGAGGCGCTCGGAGCCGTGGCCGGAAGCCTCGACTGGACGCACTACCGCGAGCTGCTCAACATCTTCATGCGCGTCATGCAGCGGAACGAGGGCAAGGTGGGTTTCTTGACCGAGTCATTCTTCTTCTAGCATGTGTGATCTGAAAGTTTATGTTGGGCAGGGGCTGTCTTGGCCCATTTGCTTGCTGTGTGCGCTGTGTCTTGTCGATGTTTCCATGCTCTAGAAGCGAGCACTCAATGCGCAAATCACATACAAATTATGAGCTTCGCTAAGGTCTTCCTTTTGCGCATGTCACACTGAAATTCAAGAGCATCTCTGTCAGGTATGGAAGAACACCTGCTGACATGCATGACCGGTCAGTCATTTGATGGTGAGTTATATGTTATGCAATGTTGGCTGGCTGAGAATACATGTGCATTTGACCAGGCGGTGATTCGGGCGGTGTGCGTGATCATTGACGCGTTCCACTTCCCGACAGCGGCTGACGCGGCGATGACATCAGCGGAGGGCGGCGATGACATCACCGCTGACATCAGCGCTGACTCGGCAGAGATTGAGACCACCCTCACCAAGCGCGTGCTGCCTGCGCTGCAAATGCACCTGGTGCGTTACGGCCGCCATGACCTTTCTTGTTGGAGTGACTGTGGACAGGTGAAAGGGAAAGACACCTATTTAGAAGTGACTCCAGGATCTGGCACTCTGTAAATGTCTCCCACTTCTCCTGGCCACAGTCATTCGAGGAGTAGATTAACAAGGCACCTAATATTACCTTGTGATGGCAATTGTTCCACGGCTGGCTGAGACGGTTGCTCCTCCGGAATTGCAATGCGGAGCCACTGTCACTGTTGATGTTGTTCTGGTATCAGCAGATCTCCAGCCACACTATAGGGGCTTGCTGCATCTCAGCAGCTTTTTAAGAGTGTCATTGGTCATAACATAAAATCTATTTTTTTTTACAAGTCTAACTTTCTTTTTCTGAGCGAGTTCATGTGCTGCGCAGGTGAACAAGGAGAGGGAGGCGGTGCGAGCGCCGGTGGCGCTGGCAGTGGTGAAGCTTCTGAAGCACCTTCCGCCGGCTTCCGCGCGCGCGGCGCTGCCGGCCGCCCTCCAAAAAGTTGCCAATCTGCTCAAGCTGCGCCTGCAGCGCATCCGGTGCGCAACTCTCCAGGATTCAGGGTGTTATATTATAGGTTTGCACTACCTCCTTATCGTCAGCCACAATTCTACTTTCAATTCCGCGCGTTTTCTTGTGCAATTATGGCTCATGGCCTCGCTTTGTACGGCGGACCTGTGGAGCAATCGAGCACAAGAGGGATTGTGTTGCTTGCCTACGGATGAGACGAGGAGTGCATGTGGTCTTGCCATGCCCCTGAGCAAGATTTACAGAAAGCTGCACTGCCAGGTCAAGAAATCCTGTATCCACCTCCAATGTCTCTGGAATCTTTTCTCTTTGCATGGGTCTTCTTGAAGTAGTCATGTGCATTGAGACAAGGGGCCAGGGCGAACTGGAATTTGGAGCGGGATTTGTTGCCTTCCATTGCCAGCTCTTCGGGAACTTGCTATTTGCCAAGCAATGGACCTGCATCAATCTGCAAACAAAGTTGTGAACGACGCATCTATCTGCAAGATCTTTGCATCCACCAGTGTAGCTTCTGTGGTGGATCATGCAGAATCGTGCTGCCCATGAAACACAGACATCGAAGAGGTGATCATCCATACAGGGGCTTAGTAACGATGATGTCACAGGGATGATGCGCGCACGGTGCTGGTGGCGATGGTGGCTGAGTTGGGCGCTGACTACGCACACTTTGCCATCGACACACTTCGATCAGCGCTGCCTCGGCGCGGATACATGGGCCACGTCCAGTGCTACACCGTGCATGCAATCGTGCAAGCCCTGCTCAAGGTGAGTCATGAAGCTACTGCGTTTCAATACCAAGCACACGAACTAGTGAGCAGGCAGTCTGATCCTGCTCACCCGGCAAGACTGGCCCTCAGGTTTGAATGCCTCTCCTTACAAGCAACTCATCTAAGCTTCACATTCTCTGAACATCAATAACAAGTGTGCAAGGTCTGCTCAAGGTGAGTGAATAATGAAGCCACTGAATTTTAATACCAAGCATAGGAGCTAGTGAGCAAGCATTTCGATCCTGCGCAATCGTGCAAGCCCTGCTCAAGGTGAGTGAATAATCAAGCTACTGAGTTTCAATACCAAGCATAGGAACTAGTGAGCAAGCAGTTTGGTCCTGCGCCATGGTGCAAGCCCTGCTCAAGGTGAGTGAATAATTAAGCTACTGAGTTTTAATACCAAGCTATAGGAAGTAGTGAGCAAGCACTTTGATCCTGCGCCATCGTGCAAGCCCTGCTCAAGGTTGGGCTGCATGGCTGAGATCTCTGACTGAAGGGTCTTGGCACTCGGATGCTGCTGGCATTGCCCCTTCACCCTGAGATTGTCAGTGAGTTAATTTGAACAAGGCCTGTGACCTTCTGTGCAGCCAACTTCGTGTCAAATGGAATGGTGGTGAGAGTATGGAGTGCTGTCATACAGCATAGGAAAACAATGAGTGACCATCGAGGAGTGATGGTCGCTGGTCATGTCCTGAGTGTTTCCTTGTCATGCTGCAAGGAATTTGGACCTTCCTGCAGCCATCTGGCTTTGAACACGGATGATCCTACACAGATTGTACACAGGGTCATTGCTTGGGTTTCGTCCTGATTGATACCCTAAATCCTATATATATATATATAACAGAGGAGTGCTCTTATTCTGGCAATCCTGGAGATCTATAATATTTATGCTGCATGGCACTTATCAGCGCACTCTCTTTTTTGGCGCTGCACAAGTCCCCTCTCTGCTCACAGTTCTGTGTATACAACTAGGACGTGGCGCCGCTATGTTGATCATGACCTCCTGTGCGGCACTGGCAACCGTGCGATCTTTCTTAAACAGATATGATAGTAAAAAAGTCCAGTGACAGTTTCTGTGCATGCGCATCAGGACGCTGCCCCGGGTGCGCTGGACGGGGTGATGGAGGACGTGTTAGAAGTGATAGAGGCCGAGGTGTGGGGGGAGATCGGCGAGGAGAAGGAGGCCGGCGCGTTCGCGGGCGGCTGCAAGGAAGCCAAGCGCGCGCGTGGCGTGGACAGCTACCAGCTCCTGGCGCAGGGCGTCACATTCCGGACTCACATTGCGCCCCTTCTGCAGCCGGTACGCAACGAAGCCTGTTTCCATGCGGTTGCTTTTCTTCCTTCTGAACAAAGCAAGATATGGGTCATCTGTTTAGTTATGACCCAAGGAATACATATAGGCCGTTGGAGCAGCCTTGAGTTATGTCGCTGAGGGTGAGGTGGTTAGTGGGCATCGCATTTACAACGCACATTGTGGCCCTGCTCGGTCGGTGAGCAGTGGAAGCATCTCCCTGCCTTTCATGGTAACTCTGCTCTCCACAATCATAGGGGTTTGAACTAGGCACTTACCAGAGGCTGAGCAGGGTCGCTAAATACGCAAAGCACCCCTGCTGCAGCCGTTGCGGGTGCAAGGAGACTGATCCGTCTGTCTTGTTTTGTGCATATCTCATGCGGATAATACATTTACTAGCTCTGAAGTCAGGTATTCAAGGTTACGCTGCCACAAAGGGGTACCTAGACAGATTGAGAAATGATATGTCCCAGGAGCGGCATCGGCTCAAATATTGGAATGTTCAAGTATTCCTGCTCTGATATGGACCATTGAAGGCCTGCAATCTTGGCAACGGAGCATTGCGACAGAATTCATTTTTGTTGCATGTTTCTTCACAATTGGGACCTGAGTATGTTCTGTCGCTTTGCTCTGTAGTCAGGATTCAACTAGGATTTACACAACCTTTCCTAAATGCCATTGTGATTTCTTGGCTGCAGGTCACAGAGCGGCTGGGCCGCGCAAGCAGTCCAGCAGTACGGGCCAAGCTGCAGGCGCTGCTGCAAGCAGCGGTGCAAGGAATTGCCGTGAACCCAACGGTCACGACAGAAGACCTGTTCATCTTCGTGCACGGCGCAATGGACGCCGGGCTGGCCGCAGAGGAAGCTGCGCGCGCGGCTGCTGCCGCCGCCGCGGAAGCTGCCGGGCAGGCGTCGGCTGACGGTGCCGCCTCATTTCGTCTTTTCTCACAAGCTGATTCAACTCTAAGTCTTTGAATAAATATAACTTTTGGATCGGAGGGTTGTGTGGCCGTGTCCGGGACCTCCACGATGCCATGGTTCTGGGTGTTGTGTCACTCTTATTTGTCTTACCCCTGGAAGACTCCCGGTGCCCATCTGGGTTTTACTTGTCCACTTAGCAGAGGCTTCGAGTACACATGTCCAGTCTTGCATGTCACAGTCAAAGGCCAGGCTTGCAAAGATCGCAAACTCAGAAGAAAATTATGAGATATATTGGAAGGCCCTCATATGCTTTGCGCAGGCGCAATGCAAGAGGCAGGAGACGGCGGCAGCCGCCACCAGCACCTGATGGTGGACGCAGCGCTGCGGCTGCTGCTGCGCGCGCTGCGCAGAGGCAACGCCACGTCAGACAGGTCCCCCCAGAACCTGGGCATGCTGGACGGGCTGCTGCCTGTTCTGGCTCGCGCACTCAAATCGCGCCACGCGGCCGTCGCCGAAAAGGCGCTGCGCTGCCTCGCCCTGCTGGCGCCGCTGCCGCTGCCAGGTCAGCACCACATAACCATTAGCTTGTGATTCTGGTTAGCATTTGGAGTTTTTGTGAGAATTGATTGGAGGCATTGCAAGGCCGGGTCTCCTGACGTCTCTGTGTGCGTACTGTGTTCAAGGGGAGGGACTGCAGGGAATTGAGGAATAAAAGTGAAAGTTGCCCCATATCCATTGCTAGAGTGTGTTAGCTGTGATACTGCCTATTGATGAACATGAATTTCCAAGTATTCGAAGGGCTACTCAATAAGTGTTGTCATGGTGTTCCCACTCTGGCAATGGCAGCAGTCAGAGTCATCCGTAGCAGATGGTTTGTAGATTTCACTGAAAAAATCTCACCCCTTGTTCTGCAAGGCAGAAAAAGCAAGCAAAGCTTGTCTCTGTCTTCTGCCTCTGTTGGCATTCCACTTAGAGCGAGCCTGTGCAGAGTGCAGAAGTCTCCCAGTCTTGAAGCGCGTACAGTACTTTTCCTGGAGTCCTGATCTGATCTTATCTGATCTTATGTGTTTCCTGGCGCAGGTCTGCCGGATGCTGCACCGGAGGCAGGAGCGGCAGTGATGGCGATGCTGCGAAGTGCGCCAGACTCAAACGCTCCTCTTGCACAAGAAGGCTTCAAGCTTCTTGCCGCTCTGCTGCGCTCCTGCGAGTCCTACAAGGTACGTTCCCCCTATCCAAAGGCCAAATGAAATGTTTCTGAGTTACTGTATTCCTCTCGCCTGCTGATTCTTCGTCAGCTGGCAGGAGTGCTGTGTGCGGGAATGGGTGCTGGTGTGACATGAGGTCCGTCAGATGTGAGCACACAGCAACGTGCACCCATGTGAAACACTTGGATCAGGCATACCTGCCAGACGAGGATAGCAATGCCAGTATCTTCATGGGAAGATCCACGTGCTGTTTGTTTGCCCGACCTCATGCCACACCAAAAGGAGGGAATCGTCTCGTGTCTCAGTTCCACCCTGCTGCATGTGTGCACCAAAAGAAGTAACACTTCAACAGATGGACAGAATGTGACCTTCAAATTTGAAGGAATTGAGAGTGAATTGCGTGCTTGTGTGCTGCCTGCAGCCGACGCAGGGCCAGCTGCGAGCGCTGCTTGCCACAGCATTTGTGGATGTGGAGGCAGCAGCGAACACAGTGGCGGCCTTCAATCTGCTCAAGGCCATCCTGGCGCGCCGGCTGATGCTGGAGGAAGTCTACCAGCTCATGAAGCGCGTGCAGGAGCTCATGATCAGCTCACACGTGCGCCGCTGACTGACTATACTGGAAAAATGTTGTTTTCCTTTCCAGTGGATGCAAGTGGGTGATTTCCAGGCGGTGTGGGCAAGTATGCATGCAGGCTGCAGTGTGTGCATGCATGCATGCATGAGGGGTACCTCAGAACGGGCCTCTCCCTGTTGAGGAAGCAGAGGCATCTTAGATGCCCAATGAGCCCTTTACATGCCCAGATTTTGTCCATTTTTCTTTCATGAGGGACACTCAAAAGTCTTGGCGGACCGCCTGCACCGCTGACTTGGTTTATCTTGGCGCAGTCAGTGTCGGTCTGTGCACAATGTAGCGCAATTAGTTTTTATATTGCTTGTGTACCGTTCCTCCTTTGTGTTTCTGTGGTAAAAAAAGTCCCTTCACAATGGTAGCTGCGTTCCTGGGCTTGCTGCCTGCATTGCTGGCTCAAGTTTTTTTCTGGCCCAGTCAGCGCCGGTGCGTGCACAGTGCAACGCAACGACAAATTATATGCGGGGTCTCCTATTTTTTTTTCCCTTGTGGCCCAGTCGGCGTCGGTGCGTGCGCAGTGCAACGCAATGAGAAAATATATGCGGGGTCTCCTAAACTATTTCCTCTTGTGGCGCAGTCGGCTTCGGTGCGTGCGCAGTGCAGTGCGATTCTGCTGATGTTTCTGCTGGACTATCCGCTGGGGGAGCAGCGGCTGGAACACCACCTCGACTTCCTCGTGGCAAACCTGGAATTCGAACACGAGTCCGGCCGCGAGGCCGCCATCGACGCCATGATCGTGAGTCACCCCTTACTGATGCTGGTTCACCGATAGTATGGCAATGCAATTGCCGACGCAGTGCGTTTTGTGCAAGCTGTGAATGCACCAGGGGCAATGATTATCTTTCCAGAGGTGCACGGCTCTTTTTTGGCATTTTGCATCCTGTCGTAGATTTTAAGCCGTATGGCCGCTGCATGTTGTCATGATTTCAAGATGTAGGCTCCTGCATGCTGTCCATATCTTAGCAAAAGGTAGATCATCTCATTTGTACTCAGGAGCTGTAGAATGTGGTAATCTGCTCAGAGTGTTGCAAGGATGAAGCCTATGGATAAGGGATGCCATATAAACAAATAATCCGGCATCTTATTTCGGGGATCTAATCGAATGTGTTTTGTGTTTTGAAGGCGGTGATCCAGAAGTTTCCGGAGGAAGTGCTCGTGAAGAAGGACCGCGCGTCGGCTTTTTTCCTGCCGCTGGTGGCGCGTCTGGTCAGCGATCCCTCCCCCAAGTGCCGCGCGCTCGTCGGCCGCGCCCTCAAAGCCCTGCTGTCGGTGGGCCACCCATTTATTTCCCTTTAGGGTTCCCTTCTTTCCTGTAACAAGGGTGCTGCATGACAGCGACTGGCCCAGTGCTCAGCAAAGCACTGCTCTCGGTGTGTGACCCTATTTTGTCCCCCTTCTTCTCTGCTAGGTGCCGCATGGCAGCGTCTGCATTTTATGGTGGTTCAGTCCTCAGCGCAATGTGGTAACGATACTTGAGCTGCTCACGAAGGTGCTTTGTTCGATCGTCTTGCTAGCATGGCATCTGGACATGCGAGTATCCTCAATGCCACGTGTGCGCTTGTCAGTCTGCCTCTTACGGGCCTGATAGTTGGTACACATGGGATTGAGTGTCTGTAACATGTCCCAATAGCGCATGCGTTCTGCCACATTCAAAGCGCGCCTGACTCCCGCATGCATGTTGAAAGGCTGCGCGGTTATCTCTTTGTTGCGTGCGACGCCGGTGCAAATGGATCGGTTCCCGAAACAAGTCATGTGCTACTACTTGATTCTGCCACAGTCAGCCAGTGAGTTTCAGGCGATCAAGTGGTTGTCCAGCGTCCTCTTGCTGTGCCTGCTTTTGGTCTCGGGACTCGCTCTTTCCGGCAGAGGCTGTACGCATATGAGGAGACTTTGTGGGGATTCTGTGCAGCGAGCCAACCCGGTGCAGCTGGACCGTTTTGCGAGCATGTGTCAGAAGTGGCTGGAGGGCGCAGACCCGCGCCTGGGCAGGAGCGGCGCGCAGACGCTGGGAATCATGGCGGAGACTGAGGGCGCCAGATTTGGACACCGAGTGCCCATCCTTCTGCCGCAGCTGCTGTCCACGCTGCAAGCCCACTCGCAGGAGGTAACGTTCTGTTTGTTGTGTGTGTCTTTCCGGTCTTCACTCATTAGCAAGAAGAATTTGGGTTGCACCACCTTAGGTGGATCGGGTAAGAAAGCAGTTCTTGCTCAGCCGCTCGGGTATGTCCGCCCAGGCTCCCTCACAGGAGGTCCGGCTACTCTGTTTTATGCGTATTTCAGGGGCATGTTTGGTCTCGAGTGCAATACAAGCGGTCATTCGCACCACGTTCTGTGAGAACAGAGAGAGGTGCTGTCCCTCAGCAGTTTGAGCGTGTCTGCTCCAGCACACTCGCAGGAGTTCAGGCTCCTCTTTTCATCTGTCTCGGTAGGGGCTACATTTGTATCACATTTTCAGCAAGGAGAAAGCGCAGCATCTTGAAAAGGAGGTCAAGAAGACAAAAGTTGTTTTTTTACACTCTTGGACAGGTCTTGTGGAGCTGCTGATGCAGATGATGACTGGGCTGAAGTGTATGTCCGGCAATGCAATGAATCTGACCCCTGTTTGGAGCAAATTTTAACAAAGCTTGCGTTGCTGGAGCAAGCATCATGATGCCGCCTGATCTGAGTTTAATACAGTCATTGCTGAGCAGTCCCTGTTGTGCCAAATGGTCACGTTCAGGCAGGCCACAATCGATGGGACAACCTCATTGGGCATCACTTTGGTACAGGGCAGGCTAATTAGCATGGGAGTGCTGTGAATGCCTAATTGTATCTGCTCGGAGATAAAGTCAGGCATTCACAGCACTCCACCAGGCAGATAGAGAAGGTTGGAAGGCTGTCATAGAAACGCTGCTGCGACGCACCTGATCCTCATGGATTGGAAAGGCGTGTAATAATAAATAATAATCAAATGCTTTGGCTGCAGGAGAGTGGCGCTGTTCTTTGCACGGAGGCGGAGAATATTGCGCAGGGGTGGCAGGTCTGCTACGCGTGCCTGCTGCTGCTGGAGAAGATTGTGGGCTCCTCCCCTGCCCAGGTACACTCCCAATTGACTCCCCACTGCAATTGCCTTCCCGTTCAGCATCGCTGGCACAAGCTGCAGTGAGCCAAATCAGGGATCTTCATCTGGTGTGCCCATGCACAATGCCTGGGAATAATTCAGAATATTGAACTGTGCAGATTCAGCACTTGCGCTTGGAACATGCAGAGGCTCTGTGCCGTCAGGGTATTAGTAGGGTGCCTGACTCGTCTGAGTGCATGATCAAATGGCATGAGATCGAAGGGAGCCAAGCGTTGGCGAGGAGCCTAACTTATGAAAAGTGAAGTGCATAATCGCTGTCTTTTACTACTGTTGTTGAGGGCGAGCATGACTTGTGTGGTTTCGTGCAGGTGCAGTGGTCGGCTGGCCGGAGGGAGGTACGCCAGATTTGGCTGCAGCTGCCGCCCCTGCTGACTCACCGCCACCTGTGGGTGCGCAAGGCCGCCTCCCGCCTGCTCGGCCTCGCCTTCGCCGAGAGCACCATCGGTGAGGCTACACTCCTGTCTTTATCTACTCTCCCTTTGATCATCCTTCCATGGTGTCCTTGAGAGCTTGTCACAGTCATACAAAGCTTGTCAATGACCGGCTTGCAGCATTCGCAAAGGAGCCTGACATTCCTCTGCTCTGAATAGTGGCTGCGATGGCTTGTACGAGCTGCATTGTATGCATCGTCTTTTTTTTTCATTGTCTGCAGGCGCACCTTGCCTCTGGCAGGAACAGCATTGAAATCACAATCATGCTAATTGGCGGCATGAAGTGTTCTGAGCAAGTTGGGCGTTCTTTGTTCAGGGGAGGGATTGCTGGCAGAAGAAGAGGCAGCGCCAGGCAGGCTGGCGTTTCTGCTCTTTATACAGCTGGAGGCGGAGGCGGCCGACGACGCTCTGCTGTCACAGGCAACTAAGAACCTCGTTTTCCTCGCCCCCCGTCTGCTCGCCACCGACACCGCCGCCGGCCGCGTGCCGGCCGCCGGAAAATCCATAAATTTGAGCAGCGTCGCCAATTCTGGCCCCGCAGCTGACACCGCCAAAATAGGCAATGGTACGGCCGACGCCAAAACGGGCACCGCACTTCTTCCTTGCCACTGTTTGCAAAGGGATTGTCATGTTTCACAATATAATCCCCTTGCTGTTTGTGCTCATTTACCTCATTGTGCCAAGACCCACGCAGAAAATGCGGGTGTTGTGGAGGTGTCAAAGTAGCAACGGTTGCAAGAAGTATGGTGGGAGTGACCGAGTGCGGCCGGGGCTCGCAGGAGCCGCAGGGGGACCGGGCGGCGCTGATGTGGCGGACGACGCTGACCTGGACGCTGACCTTGACGATGCCATTGAGGAGGCGGCAGAAGGGGAAGGCAGGTCAGCGCTGACGCTGCACGGGCTGGTCAGGCGGATGGCAAGACTCGCCGATGATCGCGCGTGGCCGCGGCAGGCAGCGCGTCTGGCGGCGCTGCGGTTTGCGGCCGCGCTCGGCAGCCGGCTCGGGAAGGAGTCCGTAGTGCCGTACCTGCCGTCCGTGCTGCTGCCGCTGTACCGCATCACCGAGAGCAACGCCGCAAACTCCGACGAGGTGCGCGCTTTTCTCATCACAGGGTCTTACACTGCCAAGTGCATCCTTCCCTTTCCCACCATGATGCACTCCCTTGTACTTAATTACACCTGTGCTGCGGGCTTGGGACAGCTGTTCTTAGACCTGAGGGGTGGTATTCAGCTGAGCTCACAGCATCTCCAGATCTGTTTGCTTCAACAGCTCGTTTGCAAGCCTCTGCCATGGTACCGCATTGCTGCCAGCGCTGAACTCATCAAGACAATGGTTGCCATGTTCCCGCCAGCAAACAGCAACCCACAAGTAGATCTCTAATGATCGATGCTATGAAATTGCTGCAGGTGAAGGCTCTTGCCGAGGAGGTCTTGGCGCACCTGCGCACGGTGGCGGGCCCAGAGGCGCTGCTGGCCGCGTACAATCGCGCGCGACAGCACGTCAGCGACCTGCGCTCCGAGCGCCGCCGGCAAAAGGCGCTGCAGGTGACTCACCTCGCAGCACACTTTTTATTAAATTTTCCTCTCAAGGCCTGTGCTGCAATTTCTCGCCAGCCTTGCACACAGGGGATGATCCGCTGCTGTAATTGTGTGCCGCTGGTTCTGGATTCCTGATTGCTCTTTGCTTGCCGGACACATTGGGCAAAACAAGGACAGGGGCTCCCAGCTTTGCAAGATCTGCAAAAGAGAGCATGCAGTGTAATCAGGGCCTATGTTGAGAGCTTGAGCTCTTGAGTGTAGTTGTTGCTCTACCAAGACATGTCTTTCTGTTCCTGGAGCTGCATAATGAGCGCACAAACAGGCTCTGACTGTGCGGTTTTACACTCTGCACACAGGCGCTGGTGGATCCTGAGGCGGCTGCCAAGGCGCGCATGCGGAAACAGGAGCGGCGGTCGGCCGGCCGCAGAAAAGCGCTCGAGGAGGTTCGGCGCATGCGCAGCGCAGGAGTCGCAGTGAAGCACAAGACCAAACGCGCGCATGGCAGCAGAAGTGCTGCCGGCGCCTGATCAGAGCACATGCAAGATAGTGGCAGGAGTGTTTACAGTCCCTTATCTCAAGCCAGCCCTCCAGCAGCTGAGGATCTGGGGCGAAGCCAGGTGCATGCGCAGGGGCAAGAGGGCCGCCAGTGCTCCATGAGAGAGGGCCTCATCATTTGGGAGTATAACAGGACTAAGCGTAACCCAAATACGCATGCTTAGGTACACCCACTCACATAGCAAGGCGGGGTGTCAGAATCGACCCACCTGCCGTCGCGGCGCACGCCGTTGGAAGCAGCAGATTATAGGCAGAACAATTGAAGCCACATATACGACCACATACAGTCTCCTTGATTCAATGTCTGGCCTGTATAAGTAGCGTACAGGTGGGTTTCAGTAGCCAGGAATGTCCAGTTGCAACGGTTAGTGCCGTGCTGCAGATTGATATGATATGATAGTTATGATTGCACTTCAAGTGAAAGAGCTTGAACTCAGAATGTCCAGTGAAGCCAGAAGTGCTGGCTGTAAAGCACACAGTGAACTGAAGATCTATAGACAGATAGTCTAGACTGCTTGCCAAGTGTATCTCTCCCGTAAGCACTATTCCTGCTCCATGATTCCAAACTCGCTCTTGATGCCCATTGGGTGAACAAACATGCACAAAAATGCAGAGAGTCTGTAAGCACTGCTTTAGCAGGAGCACTTTGCTGAGCTGTCTGCTGTCAAGTAAATTCAAATGCATATGGCGCAATGGCCAAAATAGGAGGCGTTGGCCTGTGAAAGGCTCGACGTGGATGATTGTGAACACACTAGCCTGCTGAGAAGTTGGATATATCTGCAATTACAAAGATTTATTGCGCTGATACATTGGCTGAAAGGTATTGTTTATTTCATTCGACAAGGTTCCCTGATAAGACTTGATAAGAGTGCAAGTAAGCAAGGCGAACTTGGCTCCCCAACAATAGCATCTGTTTTTCAACAATTAGATAGATCTGATGGCGAGCGCCAGAAGTTGTTGTAATTCATGGGTTCCTTCAAGACCACCACATCGTCCAAGATCCTTTCCGGAATATCATTTCAAAAATTCTCAAGTTGCCCCTAGCCATTGCATTGCCCGCTTGGGTTGCCAGCGTCGTCTCGCCGATATATCTAATGTAAGGAATTCCAAGAATAGTAAAGGATGCCTTAGATCGAAGAGAGGTGCCGTCATGGCCTCGAAAACGCCACCGCCTAGCCTTGACAGGTGTGCAAGGGCTCTTTTCCTGTGCTTTTCTAATGGCAGCCCAATCCCAATAATGTACACAGAGAATGGGATTCAATTCTCTTGCCTCTCGTGCAGGAAGCCTGAGGCCGCAAATATTGGGATTCGCAGCGAGGTGGAAGCCCCCTTCAGGTGCTTCCTGGGAGAGCTGGTTTACCGCTTTGAAGATGAAACTTTGCTGGCATGCACGTTGCTCTTTTGCATGCGTTTCCAAAACTGAGGCGTGGAACCGTCCTTTCCATCTTCTCATCCAAAAGTTGTCATCGACTGGTAGTCTGCGGTAACCTCTGATGATCCCCAGAGATGGCCATTATTTGCTGCCGACCAGAAACACCTTCTTACATGTGCTGCAAGGAAATGCAGCAACATTACCAAGCAGTTCAGCTCTTACCTAGGATTATGCTCTGGATAATCTCTCGAGCGAGCAATGCATGCCGCCTGCAGGGCGCTGCGTCTAGTTCTGTTCGGCTTCTTTGGGATCAGCGCATCAGTGGGAGCGCTGATAGCCACGACGCAGGTCATTGCCTCGCTCGGGGGCGCGCAGCGAGCGCTACCTCTCGCTGACGTGGCGCAGAGCCTCGGCATTGACCTGGCGGCTGCCGGAACCTTTGCTTTCTTCCTGCGGCGCGATCTGCAGGTGCGCGCATGTGCTGCCATGTGCATGCATGCCCTGGCATGGCGTGGTCGTGGTCTGTCCCCGCAAGCACTGGTCTGTATACTTCATGTCGTGCAAACATGTAGATGTCATGACTTGACATCTGCATGTCATCTACGAGACATCTAGACAAATAGTGGTTGATGAGTCAGCTCACTTCACGTGGCTTTCTGTCAGTCGCTACTGCTGCAAAGGGACGGCAGGCACATGACTGCAGATTTACTGTACCTTTTCAGGGTTCCATAATTAATGTCAGGAACTTACATCCGAGATGTGCGCGTTATTGAGTGTTTGGGTTGTGTGCTCAGGCGCGGGACAAGCAGATAGCGCGGCTGACGCGGGAGGAGCGGCTTGGGGCGTTGCCTCTCTCCCTGGCCAACGGCCGCCGCGTGAAAGTTGGGCAGCTGCGATCCTTCTCCCGAGTGGTGCGCCACTGTATACCCTTGCACCCCCTTTTCACCCCCTCTCGACACGGCGGATTCTTGAGAACTCTTCATGCGTTGCTTAACATCTAATCCTGTGTTCATGCAGGATTCTGTGTTAATTAGTGAAAGGGGTGTCTTCAAGTGTGGTATCCTAGAAGGGCTGATCTTTAATACTGTATGTTTGCATAAGCATGAAACATGGACATGATGCATTTTGGCAAGTCTGGTACGGGATCACTGTACAATGCTTCACCTGCATTACAAGCAGTACACAGCCATGTCATCTGCTTTAATGCTTGCATGCAAGCTTGTCAGATCCCAGTGCTACTGACATGAGTGCTGATCCACTGCTGCTGCACGTGCCCTGGGCAGGCCTTCCTTCACTCAACTTTACACAGATTAGAGGAAGAGATATGCGGACATCAAGGCAGAGCGAGCACCAGAAGATAGGAGAAAGGGCTGCGTCGCAAGTGCACGTCAAGCTACAAATATTATCATTCCCCTGCAGGTTATAGCGGCGGGGTCTCCGGAGCAGGTCGCAGCGGCGGTGCAGGCGGCCGAGCCGTTGAGGGAGCAGCTGCAGGAGCGGGGGGTCCTGGTGGTGCCTCTCCCCATATTTCCGGGGGACCCGGCCTCCTCCAACGGCGCGGCCCCGGCAGAGAGCAGCGGCAGCAGCAGCGCAGATGACCTCAGGTGGGTGTCTCATTCTCTGCACCTAAATTTAAAGTTGATGCGGCTGTCCGCTTAAGCATTGTTTGTGACTGCCAAAAGCACAAAATAAGGGTTCTTACTGTGGTAAAAGGGCTGCGCTCTTGCTGTGGCCACCATACTGAAATGCTGTCAGTCACTTTGGCGGCACTTGGGCAATCAGCAGAGAATCTCTCGTGACACGGATACAGCTCTACCCAAAAGGAAAAGGTTCTCAGCTACGGAGGTCATAGGCAGTATCAAGTGGGCGAGGAAGACATTGGGTCAGTACCTTTCTGTACCCAAATTGAATGACCAATGTGCATGAGTGGCGCCAAACCGCTGAACTTAATATCCACATCTGTTGCAGGTGGAAGGCGACACCCCTGCGGCTGGAGGAGTGGAAGGCATGGTTTGACGAGCAGACCGCGCTGGCGAATGCTAATCTGGACAAGGGTCTCTACATCAGCCTCCGACTGGATGGCCGGGTCCGCGGCAGCGGGCAGGGGCCGCCACCCTGGCAGCGACTCATCGCCCAGCTGGCACCCCTGGAAGGTGCGCGCATGTGCCTGCACCTGCCTGCAACCTCAGCGCAGACCTGAGATTGATTTTCAACTTGAATTTCACGGTCCTCTTTGCCCTAGAGGGTCTGCAATGGAGTCGAGGTGTTCTTTTGGTCTTCGCCAGCATTGCTGACCCTCAGAACCAGGCAATGCTGGGAGCAGACTGGCCTCATTGCTTGCTCTGTAGCGTAACAACCCATATTTACTGAGACCTCCTGGAAAGGAATAGGCAGCAGCAGGGCAGGCTAGCATGGCGCGCCAAATATCTTATTTTCTGGTGAAATTGATGAGTGGCTTCTGTGGTGTTGGTGGTCAGGCGACGGAGCGTGGAAGGGATTCTTTGACGGCTTTGATGGGCGAGTGTGAGGGTATGTGGCAACACCGCGGTATAAATAGCGCTGCTGCAGTTTAAGAGAGAGAGTCAGTTATCAGAGAGTCTCTAATCTCAAAGAGAGATTGGAAGGGGAGCAGGAGTGCAGCATTTGTGTGCTCGAACCTTGAGCGGAGCACTTGTGGGACATTAACGCTTGTAGGGAGGCTGCTGCAGCCTGCTAACTTGTGCGGAGGAGAAGAGAGATTACGAGCATAGGATCCCCTCAAGTTTGTCCAGAGAGGAGCTCAGAGTGTGTTCTAGAAGAAGAATTTCTTGTAGTAGAACCAAGTGGTGGACTGCTTACATGGATGTCATGCCCTATTGTTCAGATCATCTGCAGCTGCCGCAGAGGCTTTCTTATTTGCATTCTGCCAGTTCTGGCATTCCATGTGACATGGGCGTTGCCCAAGCTAGCCAGTGCTGTGTGCATGAGGGCACCGTCTGGCGCCATGTGCCAGTGCTTGCTGAAGCTCATGGCTCAGTGATTTACGGTAAAACACTATGAATGTGGAACTGGAAGCAATATGAGAGCTTGCAGTCTCACTGTTGGTGCATGGGCATTGACGTTTTGACTGGTGGGCATCCAAATCAGGACCGGGGATGAGAAACGGTGATGTGAGTTCAGTCATGTCGAGAACCTTACGCTGAATTGACCACCCATCGTAATATTGATAGACTTGATCAATTCCGAGAGAGCATTCACTGCATATTGGTGCTTGACGAGCTACACAGCACGTTCCCAGAGCAGCAGGACTCCAGCGCTGGGGCAATGGCCCATGCTTTCGTGTTATCCATCGTGTCGACCAGTGCTCACGAGCTTTGAGCGACGCTTTAATACTTTCTCCAGGCGTTTCTTGTCCCACGCAATGCCTAGCGACGAGGAATATAACAGCAGATGGATTCAGATCTGGTCGGACGGCCTTCCTGCTGGCCAGGTGTAGAACGCTTGCAACATTTCTAGTTTTCTTGGCGTTTTTGCAATTCCTTAACTCCCTGTCTGTACCTCTTGAAATAGTTCCCAACGTGCAGGGTTTCGACGCGTCAAGATCGGCCCCATCCTTGGTGAACAAGCTGACATCTGGACATCTGAGTGTGCTTGGAAAGCGTGCGCTTGTACCTGGTTGCGGGTATGTAATCGTCTCTCCTGCAGATGATCACGCTCAAATAGTATTCCACCTCATAAATCGTTGATATGTTTCTATTGGGGACTTAGTGGGTTCTGGGTTGAATTGAGCATTAGTGAGTCGATGTCCAGTTGTGCACTGCAGGAGGGGCTATGATGTCCTGCTCTTCGCCGAGCAAGGTGCAGAAGAAGCCATCGGCTTGGAGCTCTCCAGCAATGCTGTGAGCACAGCTATCCTGCACAAAAACCTTGATCATCTCTGTTATCTCGCCACAGCATTCTGCACTTAAATTGTGCATGCTTTGCTGGACCAAAGAGGCCTACACCTCTGTGAGAGTCATAAATTGAATGTGGAACCTTAAATCATGCGTGTTGCGTAGGTGAAAGCAGCAGAGGAGTATAGGAGCCAATCTGGGCTGGCGGAGAAACTGGCCTCAAAAGCTCATTTTAAGCAAGGTACACATGCTTGTTTAGTGAGGGGGTTTTGTGCAGTGTATCAATCACATGTTCAGCTCATAATATCTGTGCACTGACCAAGCCACGCTTCAGCTTGTTAGTGAACTCCATTGTGGAGAACACTACTTTGCTAAATAGCACTGCGTTGGGAGGCTCTCCTGAGCAGTTTTTTACCTTGCAGGCGATTTCTTTCGGTATGAGGATGGGCTGTTTGACATCGGCTATGACTACACGTAAGTATCCCCTTCACAAGATTTCTGGAAAGATGGCAAGCTGTTCTTGCGCACACACTTCGAGGCAAATATCAGGGTTGACTTCATCTTGAGATGCTGTTCTGCCAGTCTTTGGCCACTAAGACGGATGTCACCGGGATATGTCCTACATTTTTCCAGCCACCGATGAAGCTTAGCAATGCAAGTATCTGTTAGTGCAGCACAGCACTTTTCATACACAGTGAGCTCTTGGTGAGGAGTTGCGATGACGTGCTCACCCTACTCTTGCCTGCCCATGGCATTGCCCTCGCACATTTGACGGCACGGGCAAGTGGTATTTAGTCAACATTTTTGACTCATGCCACCTCGCAGGTTCCTGTGCGCTATGCACCCGGACATGAGGAGCCGGTGGGCCGAGGCATGGGCGCGCCAGATCAGGCCCGGGGGTGAATTAGTAACCCTCATGTTCCCTGTAGATCCTGCCAGGCCACGCGACGAGGGGCCGCCGTTCCCTCTCACCCCTGAGCTCTACACCGAGCTGCTGTCTCCCCACGGTAAGGATTTAAATGTTGTGATTGCTACTTTGCGCGCTTCTCCAGCCTTCCAAGGCCGGATGCGGATGCCTTCAGCAGCACTTCTTTAGATCCCTTCCAAAAGTCCTTGTGGGATGAGATTGAGTACTTCATTTTCAATCATAGCTCTTCAAGACCTTGAAGCCTGACTAAAATGCATGAGACGCATGCAGCAGGTTGCATCAGCAGGGTAATCTCTTTACCTGTGGCTGTAGCGGTAGCCAGTCTGCCAGGGGTGTATACAGTGTTTCGGTTTGTGCCGATTTCATGCAGCGGTAGCCGGGCGCATCCAGTTCAAATCTTCGGGTTGCTGAGTGTCCAATCAACCTGTAAAGCTGTGTCATTGATCAACGGGTTGTTGGTATGCATGCAGGCTTTGAGAGGGCTTTCTTTGAGGCAGTGCCTGAGGACCAGAGCCATGAGGGCCGGCAGGGCAAGGAGTTCATTGCACGCTGGGTCAAGGCCTAGGTTGAAGAATTCTGTTGTATCGTTGAACTCAATCGTTGACAAGCCTCAGTTGCGCTATTCTCTGCCGTGGGTCGGCAGAGCTTACTGTGAGTGCACTGGCGGCTCGCCATGGCTGATATAAAAGTACTCCAGGAGTGAAGCAGGTCCTTTTAATTGCTTCTCTATCTGTGCAAGCAGTGCCATGTTCGTTAACAAAGGGACGAGTCAAATTTGCATCCACCGCGGGAGGAGCCCTTCCGCTTGGCAAGAAGAGAGAGCTCTTGTTATTATCTTAGTAACAGATTCTGAGTGCATGCAACATACGAATATGCATGCATGCTGCCCTCAATCTTGCATGTACAGCCAGACTGACAGCTGGCTTGGATATCTACTTCTGTTGAAACATTGCTATAGTAAAGAGGCTTTCATAATGCAGCAGTGAGGTTGAAGGCTAAATACTCGAGGACTATTTCAGGAAGAAGCGTTGCAATAACACAGCATTGACGACTTATGACCGTCGAGGGCCCTATCCGGTCCGCCTGTGAGTTGTTGCACTGTCATAAACGATCTTGATGAGTGTCTTTCAAGAAGCCTTGCTGACTCAGCTAACAAGCTGGGAGCTTGTCACAAACTTAAAACATTTCAAGATCTGCTTTAACAACGTGAACGCAGTGATGTGTTCGATTGTCTGCAAGACATGTACAACCGAATGGGAGGATTGGGAAGAAATGATGCTTAGAGACACCAAAAGCCCAGACAGTGGACTGCAACTTCTGGTGGATATGTTTGGAATTTGAATTTGGGGTTTGGGAGGGTTGAGAGTTTGGATCTGGTCACCAGGCATCCTACTCTGTCGGGCAAAATCCACTACTTTAGTGGACATGCACTCCACTACATTAGTGGATTTGGCTCTCTTTCTGATTTACGCCCCTTCGGGGCGTGCAATAACAAAAGCAATGCTGCACATCCTTCAGATTTACCTACAACAATCTCAGCATTGCATAGTACCTCCGTCAAGCTAATTATTTCGGTCAAGCCTGTATCTATAGGATCGTGCGCTACTCGTTTCTGCGAAGACAGCAATGCCATTTGCCAGGTTACCGTTGCAAAGTAGGATTTGAAAGGGGGGTGGGACGGCCGCAAATGTTTATGGGAGTAATTTAAACGAATTCTTGAAGTCTTCTGTCGCTGGCCATGTGAGGTTCGCACTTTTGCCGGTTTTTTGGCATCCCCATCCTTGACTTGTTTGGACTCAGCTAATCGAATGTCACGACCATCGACGTGCATGTCTACTTCTTTCGTAGTGACTGCATGCCCTGCCAAGCCAATTCCTTGAAATGAAATGCGTGCAGGCAACACAGAGCGTTCACCTGAATTGAGCACTGATGCACCGGACAGACACTGAAGTCGTCTACAATCTAAACCAACATCAAGTTCAATTGTTCTGGTGAGCGTTACGATCCCTCTGCTGCTGTGAGTAGCCGTGGGTGTCTGCCCTGACCTGGCTTTGCTTGGAATGCCAATCTGATGAGGAGCATCTGGAGAGGACTGTGCACCCCAAAGAGTAGCAAGTAGCCCAGGTGCTTGTAAGGATAGTTGTATCACTTGTACTAGAAGGCATGCTGCTGATGTACTTCTCATTCCTTTAATGTCCTGGTGGATCACTTGCAGAAACCGTTGTGTGATGACTTCATGCAGGACGAATGGTCAGGAACAAGAGGTGGAGGGTCAGTGTCAAGGTGATACCATCAGCCGACACTCCTGCTCTGCTGCAGCCAGGCCGCAGATTTGGGAGGAACCTAGGCAGCACTGTGGCAACATCTGCACCGAGGGGACCCCGGAGGCCGGCCAGCGCCCTTCCATCCTGGCGGATCCCTGCAAGAAACACAGCTCAGCAGGAAGAACAGCAGGATGGCTTTGCAGATGGAGATGGAGAAGCCGCTGCTGCCTATTATCAGCCTCCGCCCTCACGCCGGCGTCTGCGGAAACAGGCAGCTCAAGAGGATAATAGACGGCTGCACCAAGCATGGGATGCGTGCTTTGATGACAATGTATTCAGGAACACATGTTTCCAAGCTGGTCAGCCTGCACGCCAAGCAGCACTGAAGCAGCAGCTGCAGGCAGAGTTTTTGACAGCTGCCAGAGCAGCCCTGCCCGCTTGCAGTCCATGCAGTCAGGCTGGGAGGGTGGGATCAGTGTGGGAGCAGGTGGAGACGATCAGCAGGCTTGTGTATGTCTCGATCAGCGGCAGGACAGAGGTCAGCCCCCCAGCATTCAGGTGTGGCGGGTGCAGTGCCGCCTTCACAGTCGATCCTGTGAGCATGGGATGCTTTCCTGCAACGCCACAGAGGCCGCTGGTTTACTACTCTGGAGCGCTCATGTTGCAGACGCATGAGCTCAGCCTCGCCAGCCCAACCTCAATGGTCGCCTGGACTAGCGCCCTGGAGGAGGTGCACGTCAGGAACGGCTGTGTGCCGTACGGGCAACTGAGTGGCCTGCCCAAAAATATCTGGAGGAACCTCCCAGTGGCGGTCAGACAGTGGCGCAGAATGGACATCGCCACACATGACCTCAACAGGCTTGGCGTGCAGCCCATCTGTTCGGAGGCAGGGCTCAGCGGTGACTCAGACTTGCAGCTCGGCCAGCCGCCGCCGCCCCAGGAGAACACTCAGAGGGAAGCAGCAGCGTCGTCATCGCCACCAGAAATGGAAGCAGGCAGCCTCGCGGCTCAAACTGGCAGAGATGCAGCTGAGGTGGGCCCGGCGACCCAGGAATCTCTGGACAGTCGTGCCTCCGGGGGCCCCACTGTGCAGTGTCCTTGCTGCTTTCGCACTTGCGTGGCAGCCATTGCTGACGCCTGCCTGGGACTCACGCAGCTCAGGGCGGCGGGCAAAGCCTCTGATTTCCTGCAGCCGAAGCTGCCCTATAGCCCCTTCATTGCTGATGAAGAGGTGAAGGCCTTGCTCGCTCAACGGAAGGCCTTGGACCCGGCGGCGCTGGAGCGGCCGGTCTGCTCTCAGTTCGTTGCTGCCACGCCAACCGCCTCAGACACGCAGCTGCGCCTATATGTGCAAGTGAGTCTCCTCGCATTTTTCTGGGATCTTGTTGCGCTTACTGATGTTGGCATGCATCTCATATATCCATGATTTTTTTCTCTTTTTTTCCTGGCCCCGGCTGGCAAGGGTAATACTTGGCAGCACCCTAGCGTGCCTTGCTTCAGGTGGTAAAAATACTGAATACCATGCCCACGGTTGATTGGGTCTTGCTTGGATCTGGCGAGTTCAACAAGGGGTAGGGTTATGGCAGCCTTAAATTGCAGCTCTGCAGGATGTACCTTGCTTGGCAGGAAAGCGTGTAACAAGAAGATGTGCTGGTGCTTTGGAGCCGGTCTGACACTCCCGCATGTGCTTGTGCGTAGGGCGTGGCAGCAGCAGTTTGCCGCCACGGGTATGTTCTCGTGGCGGCAAACCTGTTCACACCGGAGTGCTTTGTTTACTACGAGTTGCTCCTGCAGCGTCTGCTGAAGGAGTTCAAGCCTGAGGAGGGCAAGGATCTGAAGTACTTCTTCATTGACATTGCTTGCCAGTTTGACCCATATTGGCGAAGGTATAATCTTTCGTCCATCATGCCTGGCGTTTACGTCAAGATGTGCCCTGTACAATTATTGCATGGAACAATTTCACTCCTAGTGTCTAGTACTAGTCATGCTATGAGTGTGTGGATTCGTCGGAGTGCACAGCAGCGTCCCCTTTGAATGGTGATGTGTTGTGCTGGCAGGATGGTTCAAGGAAACGTGGAGGGTATGCCTGGCCTGGCAGTGGGGCCGTGGCATGTGAAGGCTCACATTCCGGCATGCCAAGAAAAGTATGGCGCCCGCCGCATGCTAGCGGCAGGAAACTCCTTTGGTGACAACATTGAACAGGCTTGGGCACATTACAGGAAATTTGCACACATCTTGAAGCGCATGGCGACTGCCACGCGGGAGGACTACATGACGGACCTGGTGAGTTCTCCTTTCATATGATGCAAGCTCTTGTAGCCTTGCTCGATGTTGCAGTTTGTAACCCTGTAGGTGCGAGAAGTGACAATGTTGGTCCATGTGCAGGCGATGGCTTGGCAGCGAAAAAAGGAGCGCAGGTTGCCCAAGCAGCTGCTTGAGTGGCATAGGAGGGCTGCTCGACTGCTGGCACAACTGCGGCAGTCCACGGGGGCCCTCAAGCAGGAGATTGCCCAAATCAAAGCCCCCGAGTTGCAGGTAAAATGCACCCCTCCTAGTTGCTGCACCTGTCTCTACTGATTCTCTGGGGAGATGCCATCTTGATATATCCTGCAGTCTGCAATGCTTTGCATGCTCGCTTATTGGCTGATGAATCAGGTGCAGGGTGGCGGTGGCTCAGGAGGCGTCCCATCACCGGCAGGCCAGGATCCTCTCCAAGGCGGCGCTGGTGCAGGCGCAAGTGACGAAGCAGAGGTGTGTTGGTCCTTTTTGAAGGCTCTTCTCTAGCATGGAATAAGTATCAATGGGTATGCTAGTGAGAAGGAGGTGCTCAGAGGACTCAGAGTAAAGAGCTGCCTCAGAAGAAAGTATGCAAGCAGATTGTTTGTTTTGCACGCAGGGGTCTGCCCGGGAGCAGCGGCAGACATCGTCTGAGGGGGCATCAACAAGCGCGCCCACCATCCCGGTGCTGCTCCACTCTGCACCTTCAGTTGGCTGTACTGGTGCTTGTTCATATGACATGATAGGACATTTGACATGTGACTTATGACATGACAGGACAAGACATGACAGGATGTGCATACTGGTGGAGTTTTTGTAAAGAGCAAATGGGATGCACACCTTTGGAAGATACATAAAGATGCATGAATCACTGATGTCAGGATTCTTACTCGCAGGCCCGTCTTACATGGGAGCACCACTACCAAGGCTGCTTGGAGGAGTTGTACGCGCTGGGTGGCAGTGTGACTCTCGCAGCTGAGGGGCAGCAATCGCTCTCCGAGCAAATGCGGCATGAGCACCGCCGAGTCCTTGAGGGCAAGCTGGCAGCGTGGGAGCGCAGGCACCGGGTACAGCTGCGGTGGGTGGAGGCAGACCGGTTGTACCAGGAGATAGGGGGTCAGCGGAAGAGGTTCATGATTCAGCAGCTACATGCTTCCATTGCAGCCAGGTTCGTGGATTACTACGCCCTACAGAGACAGCTGGAGACAGCGGCATATCGTGAGCGCACTAGCCTGAAGCGGTTGCGGCGCCAGATGGAAGCCATCGTGTCCAAAGTCAGCGATGACATCCTTCAGCTGCGGCGCTGGCATGCCGC